ACACCCTAACACCCTAACACCCTAACACCCTAACACCCTAACACCCTAACACCCTAACACCCTAACACCCTAACACCCTAACACCCTAACACCCTAACACCCTAACACCCTAACACCCTAACACCCTAACACCCTAACACCCTAACACCCTAACACCCTAACACCCTAACACCCTAACACCCTAACACCCTAACACCCTAACACCCTAACACCCTAACACCCTAACACCCTAACACCCTAACACCCTAACACCCTAACACCCTAACACCCTAACACCCTAACACCCTAACACCCTAACACCCTAACACCCTAACACCCTAACACCCTAACACCCTAACACCCTAACACCCTAACACCCTAACACCCTAACACCCTAACACCCTAACACCCTAACACCCTAACACCCTAACACCCTAACACCCTAACACCCTAACACCCTAACACCCTAACACCCTAACACCCTAACACCCTAACACCCTAACACCCTAACACCCTAACACCCTAACACCCTAACACCCTAACACCCTAACACCCTAACACCCTAACACCCTAACACCCTAACACCCTAACACCCTAACACCCTAACACCCTAACACCCTAACACCCTAACACCCTAACACCCTAACACCCTAACACCCTAACACCCTAACACCCTAACACCCTAACACCCTAACACCCTAACACCCTAACACCCTAACACCCTAACACCCTAACACCCTAACACCCTAACACCCTAACACCCTAACACCCTAACACCCTAACACCCTAACACCCTAACACCCTAACACCCTAACACCCTAACACCCTAACACCCTAACACCCTAACACCCTAACACCCTAACACCCTAACACCCTAACACCCTAACACCCTAACACCCTAACACCCTAACACCCTAACACCCTAACACCCTAACACCCTAACACCCTAACACCCTAACACCCTAACACCCTAACACCCTAACACCCTAACACCCTAACACCCTAACACCCTAACACCCTAACACCCTAACACCCTAACACCCTAACACCCTAACACCCTAACACCCTAACACCCTAACACCCTAACACCCTAACACCCTAACACCCTAACACCCTAACACCCTAACACCCTAACACCCTAACACCCTAACACCCTAACACCCTAACACCCTAACACCCTAACACCCTAACACCCTAACACCCTAACACCCTAACACCCTAACACCCTAACACCCTAACACCCTAACACCCTAACACCCTAACACCCTAACACCCTAACACCCTAACACCCTAACACCCTAACACCCTAACACCCTAACACCCTAACACCCTAACACCCTAACACCCTAACACCCTAACACCCTAACACCCTAACACCCTAACACCCTAACACCCTAACACCCTAACACCCTAACACCCTAACACCCTAACACCCTAACACCCTAACACCCTAACACCCTAACACCCTAACACCCTAACACCCTAACACCCTAACACCCTAACACCCTAACACCCTAACACCCTAACACCCTAACACCCTAACACCCTAACACCCTAACACCCTAACACCCTAACACCCTAACACCCTAACACCCTAACACCCTAACACCCTAACACCCTAACACCCTAACACCCTAACACCCTAACACCCTAACACCCTAACACCCTAACACCCTAACACCCTAACACCCTAACACCCTAACACCCTAACACCCTAACACCCTAACACCCTAACACCCTAACACCCTAACACCCTAACACCCTAACACCCTAACACCCTAACACCCTAACACCCTAACACCCTAACACCCTAACACCCTAACACCCTAACACCCTAACACCCTAACACCCTAACACCCTAACACCCTAACACCCTAACACCCTAACACCCTAACACCCTAACACCCTAACACCCTAACACCCTAACACCCTAACACCCTAACACCCTAACACCCTAACACCCTAACACCCTAACACCCTAACACCCTAACACCCTAACACCCTAACACCCTAACACCCTAACACCCTAACACCCTAACACCCTAACACCCTAACACCCTAACACCCTAACACCCTAACACCCTAACACCTATTTATTAAGACTTATTCATTTACAAATAATAGCTAAAGTCTGTCTTAAATTAATCAGTTACTCAAACTCTTTGTAGTTATGAAAATATTTTTGATCAAGTTTTAAAAGAAATCGACTCTGATTCTACAAAAATTGGCAGCCATGCCGAAAAAATCTAGCAAGCACAAAACTATCAAGAATAGAGAAAGATCCAGCTTTAAATTAGTTAGCATTGCAGTCAAATAAAGCTGTTGAAAAAGCTAAATTAATTTTTACAGTAATATCAAACAATAATATCGAATTATTCTGTGAATTAGAAAACAAATTGATGCAGCTATCAAGAGCTTTCCCCAAAATAATTCGAAAGTTATTCCACAAGAAATGCATTTTGAATTTAATAAAATTGATATAAACTTTGAGAAGGAAGGGGAGAATTTACAGTTAGCATTAAGTAAGTTTAAAGAAGCTATCAGAATTGATCCAAATCATGCTGATGCATACAATAGCACGGGACTTATCTATTCTAATGAAAAGAGACATGAAGAAGCAATAAAGCATTACAACGATGCAATTAGAATCGATCCAAACTGTGCACTTTATTATTCAAATAAAGGAAATGCTCTATATGAGATAGGCAGAAGAGAAGAAACTATGGAATGCTATAAAGAAGCTATCAGATTGATCCAAATGATCTGATGCATGCAATGGCATAGCAATTATTTTCTATAATGAAAAGAGATATGAAGAAGCATTAATACATTACAAGGTGCAATTAGAATCAAGCCAAACTGTGCACTGTATTATAGTAATAAAGGAGCTGCTCTATATGAGTTAGGTAGAATTGAAGAAGCTATGGAATGCTATAACGAAGCTATCAGAATTGATCCAAATTATGCTCATGCATAAGGATCCCCCCCCTCATTTGTCCAATTTTCTAGTCTTTTTTTTATAGGATAAAAAAAATTTTCAGGACCTCATTTGTCCCAAAATCTAGTCAAAAATGTTTGCCCCATTTTCTAGTCTTTTTTGGATTTTTTCGATGTCCTAAATTTTAGTTTAGTACTTTAAAAAAACTAGAAAATGAGACAATTGAGGTCCTGAAATTTTTTTTTTTCCTATAAATAAAACTAGAAAAATAGACAAATGATAAAAGACTAGAAAATTGGACAAATGAGGGGGGGATCCTTACAATAGCATAGGAAATATTTTCTATAATAAAAAGAAATATGAAGAAGCAATAAATGTTGCAATGATGCAATTAGAATCAATCCAAACAGTGCACTGTACTATAGTAATAAAGGAGCTGCTCTTAAAAAGTTATGCAGAAGAGAAAAAGCTATGGAATGCTATAAAGAAGCTATCAGAATTGATCCAATCATGCTGATGCATACGATGGCATGGGACTTATCTTTTACAATAAAAAGAGACATGAAGAAGCAATAAAGCATTACAACGATGCAATTAGAATCGATCCAAACTGTGTACTTTATTATTCAAATAAAGAAAATGCTCTATATGAGATAGGCAGAAGAGAAGAAGCTAAAAAAACTGGGTAAAACTGTTGAAAATGAATTAAGAGATTAAGATATATAGGATAAGTTAAAAATAAGTTTCATGCGCAGTATACAAGATATCTATTTCAATAATAGTGTTTATTGCTTTGGAGGAATAAAAAATAGCGAAATTTTAACTCTATCAGAAAGATTTGATTTAAATGAAAAAAGATAAATTAAATTAAAGTCACTGCTGCAAGCTGATTACTCTTGCAATAGAGTAATATTTAGCGGGAATATTTTGATTTCTGGAAGGATTAATAAAAATCTTTTGAGGTATTCAATTGGTAGTGGTAGCAACACTTTCGCAACAATTCCTTATGATTTTGAAGTTTTATTTGCAAGATTCTTATAAGTGCAGAAAAACTATATTTAATTGAATGTGGTAGATCAATCTACGAAAGCGAATTGTCAAATGACACTGTCTGGACGAATTGGAGACTCAATAATACGCTATTTTTCTCAAGTTTATTTGTCATATAATATAGGAGGAATAAACATTGCACGCCTTTATAATGATACTAGTTACTTTAAGTTTAATTTAGAGGCAAAAATATTAACCAAGCTGGATTAAAATAATTTTCTAATAAATAGGTCTCATTTAATAATTTTTTGCTATTACTTATTAAAAATTAATGCAAAAAGTTTTAAAATCGTCTATTTAATAATTATATATATCATGAAGAAGAAATGCTTCGAGTCAGGGTGTACGTATGAGGTTGAGTATTCATGCAAATGCTCTTCTCCTGAGACTTTATCTTGTAAAGTACATATTGGGAAGCATCTAAGCTTACAAAATAGAACTCATGGCCTTGAATCAATGTTTAGCCAGCCTTGCGAAGGGACAAAAGAAGCAATTCTTGAATTCCTTACAATAGAAAATTCAAAATACAGCGAGTTGAGGAGAAAGATCATAGATTCCTATAGCCAGTGCCCATTTAATTTAAAGAGAAATTTAAGAGATTTCACAAAAAAATTGGATGATTGCTCAGGTGAAATAAATGATTTCTTTGCAAAAATTTCCCAAATTCAAAAAGTATCAAAGTTAGAACAAGATCCAATATTAGGATTATTGGTTTTACAGCCTAGAGAAGCTGTTGAGAAAGTAAGATTCATGATCAAAGCCATGAAAGATTGATACAACGCTGCAAGATTCTTTTATATAATCACTGAAAAGTTAGCGAGTTTAGATAGATCCTTTGTTAAAGAAAAATGCGATGCACATCTAGAAAATATGAATATGCAAAATAATCCTGAATTGTATAATAAAACTAGAGTTTTAGCAAACGTTAAGGATTCGGTTTCCTTGATAAAAAATGTGAACAGTTTAAAAAGGCATAAAAACGTAAAAAAGCCAATAAAAAACCCCCCAGAAAACAAGGCAAGCTTGCTTAATTTTAAAATAAGCACTGCTTCTAATGATCTCAAAAGTAAACCCAAGGGGAAAAAAAGAGTTTTAAACGTAGGCGCATTAAGAAATAAAATAGCTGAGATTTTAAGTAAACCAAACAATCCAGAATTAGAGAAAGATTTCAGAAAAACTTGCTCAAAAATCCAAACCAGTTCTAGTTTTCATGATCCGCCACTAATGCAAGCTTACCAAGATTATCTTAAAGCTTATCAACAAAAGACATCTCTTTATAGTATTAGAGAAGATTATAAAAACAAGAGAGCTGATTTGCATATTTATAATACTGAAACTGAAACCAAAGAAGTTAAAATCTTGCAGACTCCACAGCTACTAGATCTAGGTACTTGCATAACTCAACTTCCAAATAGCAAACTATTCTGCTTTGGAAAAAGGGATCCGACTTCTGGAATTGCAATGCTGATTGATCTGAATGGTGGAGTCGAAATACTGCCATCTGGAACAGGAAAATCGCAATCATTTTTTATAATTTAGTATTTTTTCTTGCTTTAAATATCCACTGAAATTGCTCCACTCTCATTTAAATTTCAACTCAGACGAGCTTAATCTAGCATTTCTTAAAAGAAATCAGTAAGAACTAACACCCATCTGGAACTCCTTGCTCTAGCTCATCATGTATACTGGCTTTAAAGAATGATTATTGCATATGGATAATCTTTTAAAGGTGCATATTGATTGGATAAAAGATATGGTATGCTCCCAAGTTGCAGTTCATCTTCCAAGTATTGACATTTTTAAGAAGAAATTGCACAGAAGGAGAGTGCATAAAAGATCCAATAATCTATATAATCCATTCCATCTTTTCTCAAGCCCAATAGAAATTTATTATCCATCTCCTGCTTTTATCTCACAAAAGTTAAACTCTGCCAGAGACTGCAATAAAAAATCAAGTGACCTATATCTATTTCAACAACAGTGTCTATTGCTTTGGAGTTTATAATAAAATTTATTTAACTCTATCTAGTAGATTTGATTTGGATCAAAATCGATGAATTCACTTAACTCCAATTCCAAAAGCTGATTATAAGTTCAATAGCATAATATTTAGTGGAAATATTTTGATTTCTGGATATTTAAATAGAAATCTTTGGTTATACTCAATTGATATTGACTCTTTCTCGACAATTCCTTATGAGTTTGCAGGATGTATAAGAAAGATACTGATAAATGCAGAGAGTCTATATTTGATTGAATGCGACAATGGATCAATCTATGAAAGCGAAGTTGGAAGCTACTTGAATTGGAGACAAATAGGAAAATCAAAAATCAATTGCAATCTTAATCAAGTATATTGTTCATATAATAAAGGGGGAATATGCATTGGGACAGATATTGGCTACTTCAAGTTTGATTTCAAAAAAAATAGACTGGCTGAATTAAAAAGTAATAATTAATGCTTTTGTAATATGATGAGGATTGTTAATTCTTAAAATAAATGCTAGCTATCGGCTTAATTCAGCTAGACAAGACTCTATATGCAGAGAAAGTCAGGGCGATCAAAATGCTACTAATCAATTATTAAATATTCAAGAACTAAGATTTAAAAGATCTGCAATCCTAAGTAGAGCTTTAGGTGCTGAAGTAGAGCGAAATTTTAGGAGAATCTGTGGGCTATATGAGCAGCAGAATTAAATTTCTGATCCAGCATTAACTCAAGCATACCAAGAATATATAAATCCTTATCATCAAGCCACTTCTCTTTACCTTATTAAGAAAGTTGATAAAAGAAATAACTTGGTTGTTTATGACACGGAAAACGAAAGTATAAATTTGAGAAAAATTAGGTCTAGACAGCCTTTAGATTGAAGTTCATGTATTGCTCAGCTACCAAATGGTGAGTTATTTTGCTTTGGTAATAGATCTTTTTCTGGAATCGCCCTGATAATTTGCAATAATTCTAAAGTTCGAATGCTTCCATCCGGAAACTCATGCTCTGACTCATCAGCTATCTATTTCAAACAAAATGTCTACTGTTTTGGAGGATATCTCAATAATAATCGCCTAGCTCTATCTGCTAGATTTGATTTATATCAAAATCGATGGGTTAAATTAATTCCAATGCCTTGATCTGATTTCTGCTGCCACAGTGTAATATTTAAAGAAAATATTTCGATTGCCGGATGCACACATAAGAATATATTACTATATTCTATTGACAATGAATCTTTCTCAATAGTTCCTTATAGTTTCGCATTGCACACAAGAAAGATTTTAATAAGCTCAAATAGATTGTATTTGATTGAATGTTGTTTTAATGGCTGAATTTATGAAAGCAAAATTGGAGATGAGTACTCTTGGAAACAAATAGGAAAATCAGTAATCAAATTTAACCCTCTTCAAGTGTTTTGCACATATAACAAAGGTGGGGTATATATTGCATCTGCAGGGGTTTGTAATGATGATTTCTATAAGTTTAGTTTGAATAAAAAAGTGATAACTAAACTTTAGGAAAGTTAAAGTTTGTTAAATAATTCATTTACACTTATAATATGGCCTTAGAATACTTTAGTCTTTCAAGAGATGCGTCCACCTCTTTTAGTCAATTTCAAGTATATTCCCTCTTTTTCAAGTTCCCAATATAATGCTTATATTATGATCATTGCATTAAAATAATAAAAAAAAGATTTGATTTTTGAGAAAAGGTTAGTTACCCTTAAAGAGATTTGGCTTAGACTTGAGCAAACTCGAAGTCAAGTGTAATTGGGAGATTGCTTTCTTGAATATTAAGAGCCTTAATTTTCATTGTTTCAAGCTTGCTATGCAACCAGTGAAAGTTCATCCACTTGTTGAGATATCTGCACCTGAGTTTGAAGTAGCTTTCTAAACCCAGCTGAAAGTTGCTCAGATTATTCTATTTTTCTTGCTATAAACACTGCCAATAGTAGATTATAGAAATTGCCCGAATATAAAATCCTACAATTTTCAACATTAATATATATTATATTATCTTTATTTATAAAATAAAAAATTAAATTAAAATTTTCCGAGAGTTTTTAAATTAAATTTACAAATTTTCCTAAAAAAAAGTAAAATAACATAAAAATAGATACCAAGATTTTTGCGGAAAATTGTTAGAATAGTAAAATTATGAAAAAATAAATATCCCAATCAATAAAAGCTATTAATTATAGACTCTCTAAGATTTTTGAAATTTATAATATCTTAAAAAATTATTTAATTAGTCAATTTTAAATGAGCTCGTATATGCCTTGATGAACTTTGGTCTAATATTTAGGTATTTCTATTAGCTAATTATTTAATTTTTATTTGATATTGGGAAATTTATCAAACTAGCTTTAATTTATTTTTCTTTAAATTATGTCCTTTCCTTATAATATATGTGCTAAGACTATATGAAAATTTAATATTATAAATTTATAATGCAATTAACCCGTCAGAAAATTGAATTCCTTGATAGAAATTATGAAATACATTAAAATGCAATGGTGCAAACCTGGACTCTTAAAATCTGTAGTCTGCAGATTTATTGAAAAAATCGGACTTTGTGGAAGAGAGAACTGTGTATCCAGCTGGATAAAGCTTGGTTCGGTGAAGTAAAATGTCAACTAAGCCGATCGCATTAATTTATCTATACTAAAAATATTCAACAGTCAAAAGTAAATACAAAACATTTTTCGATCCGCTTTTCAGATTCTTTAGATGAAAATCTAAGGATAGTGCACACAAAAGATGAAAAGCTATCTATAAAATTGAATCTAACAAAAATTATGAAAGCAGTAACTGAGGTAGTGCATGCCTATATAGCAGTGAAACAATATGCAAGGACAAAAAAATTTGCAATAGATTGAACCTCGCATAAAAATTATTTCAAGTTGTGAATGAATCTTCAAAAGCTAGCCGAATAATAATCACAATTGTGATCTAATGGATAAAAGCTCTAAATATTAATACTTGATGCATTTATTAAGCATGCAAAGGGGAAAGACATTGAAAGAAAAAGTTGAAATTATCAGTAAAATAAGCTCCAAGGTACCAAGACGATATCTCGTATGACAATATTGAAATTAGTTCCAGTTTCTATCAAAAAAGTAGTCAAGAAAATTAAACTTATTGCAAATAGAAAAATTAAGCTGAATTCAAGGAAAATTTTGTTTTTAAGTGAAGAAAATGAATGAACCAGTGTTTTCAAAACACAAAAGGGAAAGAAATGCAGGTTTAATTTGAAGGCGGCTTCTTTGGAAATATTAACGCTATAGAAACATATTACAAAATAATTATGGTTTCTTATTAATCCAGAAAACATCTTTACATTAAATCGCATATGCAATAAAAGGATTTAAAAGCTTGCATGCTGCAATCAAAAGAATAGGAAATCAAACAAAAACTTAAAAAAAGTTCGAAAGAAATCAAAATTACTTAAAATCATAACTGGAGCTCAAGGAAATTACTGAAGCTATTGATACCAACTCATGCAATTTTTCAATAATTATTTATAAATATTTTCACACCGAAAAATTTTCGAACTAAAAGCCTCGCCACATATATCAAATATATGTAGAATTTTTTATCAATAAAAATTTATATCTATCTAATAACTTTAATTTCATTGACAGTTAGGCCAAGAATTCATAAAATTATCAAGGATAATTTTATTATATGCTCCATTAACATAAGTTATAACTTTAGAAGCAGCTTCAATGGCAAACAAATTAAACTTCAATCTAATGTTAAATATTAAAATATCCAGCAGCAAATATAAACTAGAAAAAAGTCTAATCCTTTAATGAATTTAAATCGAAACTAAAGTGAAATAAAGCTACTTGAAGTTTTTCAGAATTTAGGTAGAAATTCTTGAGCCTAAATTAAGAAGATAAAAACTGATTTAATTTTGGATCTTTTTTGTACCTGATCTGATTTTCTATATAGTTGCATATAAAGAATAGTGTTTTCTTAGCAAAATTAATTAGAGAATTCATTAGCATATTATTCACTCATGGAGTTTTTTCCTTAAAAAAAATTTACCAATAGTTTTGCTCGCTTACTGATGGGAGATTATTAACTTTTAATACATAAATATCTAAGCAATTTATAATTAATCAGCAAATATTAAACAAATGTAAGACAATTATTCAAGTACCCAAATCAATTATAATATCTATCAATTGATAACACTAATTGAAGATTTCGAGATTATAAATTATATATTCTAAGAAGGTTATAAACAATTTTGAATTATAAAAGCAGCTCGGATAGAATTTATTGAAAAAATTTACTTATTAGATAATTTCAATAGGCCTTTGAAATTTTAATTATATCTAAGCTCTATCATCTAACCATAAGATTACTTTAAAAATTGTATATATTTGCGCAGGTTTATTTAAGAGCAATCTTTATAATTCTAATAATGGGAAAAGATAAAATCTTTTTAGGTAGCTGGATCAAACTAATTTTACTGATATGCTGCACATACTTATCTGAGGCTGATTCATCGTGCGATCAAGATCTTTGCGCGGATTGTGTTGGTGCGACAGCATTTCAGTGCAAAACTTGCAAAACCACTCCAAGCAGAACAATCATTCTTAACAATGTGTGCTTGCCTAATTGTCCTTATGGGTTTCCTGCAAGTCCCTCTTGCACACTGAATCCAAATGCAGTTGTTGATGCTACTTTTGATCAAAGCACATTTAGCGGGTCATACGGCCCTTTTATAACAGGGACAAGCTCTTCAACTTATCACTTTTTTTGAAGCCCAGAAACTGTAGATCCAATCCCATCTTATCAGCAAGGATTATATTTTAGTGAAGGCAAGTATTTATCAACCTCAAGCAGCTTTTACCCAAATTATAATGTTGCATTTTGCTTATGATATAAACCAGTAAGTAGCTCCAATGATCTCTTATATATAAAGCCTGGAAGCGGTAGTGAAATTTTAAGAGTAAATAGCCAAGGTGGGCTAAGACTTGTTTTAGAGCAAAATAGTGGTATCCAAGGAAGCACAGTGAATACTGGCAATAATCCCAATACATCAAACAACTTATGATTTTTTCTTTCATACACAGTAACATATACTTCATCTAATGGAGATACCACAATGGTTCAATATTTGAACACTGCCATCGATCATACAACTACTGCAGATGATCAGCTACTCAGATGATATATGGCAGGAACGCAAACACTTATTATTGGAAAAAGTCCAAATGGAAACTTTAATGGGTGGGTCTATAATTTTAAATTTTGAAATACAAATTATTCAGGATGGGCTGAAGAATACAGCACTGTCTGTGGATCTGGAACGAATTCTTGCTTTGTTAACTGCGCTTTTAATAAATTTTGGGATGGGTCAAATTGCCAAAACTGCCCAATCCAATGCACGAATGGGTGTATTTCCAATAAACATTGTAATTGTCATGATTCTCTTTGTGGTGTTTGCACAGGATGGGGCTCAGGATTATGCAGCTCATGCCTTGAGCATGCTTCTGGAGGTGGAGCAATTCCATGCTCTTGCAATCTAGGATATTTCAACTCAGATGGTTTTACTTGCACAAGCTGCCCAACTGGGTGTGCTACCTGCAATGGGACTAATTATTATGAATGTAGTTCTTGCTTATCAGTTTACTACTTTTTAGCTTCAATGTGCCTCGGTTCATGCCCTTCAGGATACATCCAAGACCCTATCAACCATTTCTGCATTTTATCAACGAATAACCCGATCTCTCTTACTCTTCAAAATAAAATTATTCTTGATAATATTAGCGGATTTACTGTAGGAGAATCCAATACAAATTTATATCCAATTTGGGATCTATCTGACCCAGTTCCTTCAATTGGTAGAGGTTATCACTTTTCAAGTGGATCATATATGACATATCCTACATTGACAATATCCTCTTATTTCACTGTTAATATATGAATTATGCCTTCAGGGTCTGGAAATGTGGCAACAAAATTTAGCTCATCTGCTTATTTTCTCCTTTCTTTTACTTCAGAAGGGTATCCTTCTCTTCAGCTAAAACTCCAAGATACCTCTACAATTACTCTCATATATCCAGCTTACTATTTTAACCAGTGGCATAATATAGCTTTTACTGGATCAATAAGTTCAACTGGAAACACTATAATATCATTATATGCAGATGGATTATTTCAATCTTCAAAGACTTCAGATAATAAATCGCCATTTATAGATGAAGGAACTCTTTATATTGGAAATCAGGCAAGCTTGAATGGATTTACTGGGTTTTTGTGAAGCTTAAAAGCATATAATGCTGATTCTTTTTATTATGCTGAATGAAAAACAGATGGCTGTGTTGGCGGATGCCATATGTGTCCTACAGAACTGCTTTGTCCTGATACCTGTAGCTTTGGATCGTTTCGATATGATGGAAATTGTACTGAATGTAGTAGTGCTTGTGCGTCACATGGGTGTAGAAGTCAAGATACCTGCACTCTTTGCAAATATAAAGAATGCCTTGCTTGCACTTCATTTGATGGGGTTTGCACTAAATGTATAGAAAATGCTAGCTTATCAGAAGGTATTTGCTCGTGCAATTCTAATGCATTTTGAGATTCTTCATCTCGGTCGTGCCTTTTATGCGACTATTTATGCTCTGCATGCACTTCGAGGATTGCTTGCAACACCTGCAAAGGATCAGCAGTTCTTATTGGAGGTATGTGTTTGAATGCATGTCCTTATGGGTTTACTGCAAATCCATGCACGGCCGTCTCTTCGGAAGTCATAGATATAGGATTTGATACTAACTTTCAAGGCGCATACGGGATTTTCAATACGTCAAGCTCATCTCTAACTTTTCAATTTTGGGACAACCCTGATTCCTATGATCCTATTCCTGCTTATAAAAGAGGTCTCTATTTTTCAGACGGAAAGCATTTAGTTACAAGCAATAGCATTTATTTAAGCCACACTTTTTCTATGGGTTTATGGATTTATGTAATAACTTCAGGTGATATCCTTCAAAAGCAAAACAGCTTTTTATTTAATTCATCAGGCTCTTTAACAGCAACATTAGATAATTTTACTATGAGTGCAGTTACTGCATTAACTTTACCATTGTCTGAATTTTCAGGCTGGACCTATCTCTCTTTTACTATTCTTTTTGCTGAAGGAGTAACAACTATTACTGTTTATAAAAATGGTGCTACTGGACAAAAAGCTAATCCGGGAAACTATCTTTATAGAGAGCCAAGCTCTGATTTGTTATATATAGGCAAAAGTGCTTCGAACTCAACCTTTTCTGGATTTATTTATCAATTTAGCTTATGGAATATCGCGATCACAGATTTTTCAACAAAATTGTTAATTCCTTGTGGGACAAGTTTGGATACTTCTTGTCTATGAAGTTGCCCTATTTCCCACTATTACAATGAATCATCTTGCGTATTATGCCCTAGCACCTGTACTCATATCGGGTGCAGAACTGAAAATTCATGTAATCTTTGTGATGATCCATTTTGTTCAAAATGCTCAGGTTTTGGGCCTAATTTATGTACTTTGTGCGTGGCGCACGCTTCAAAAGGGCCAACAACTCCTTGTTCATGCGACATCAACTATATATTGTTTCCTTTCAATATGGCATATTTATGCATTTTGGCTTGCTCAGACATTATTGGATGTGCAGGGTGTTCTGGGTCTAGGTATTATCAGTGCTCTTCATGCTTGGAAAATTATTTTTATTTGAATGGATTATGTCTGAGCTATTGCCCAACAGGATACTCTCAGGATTTCATCAACCATCAATGCATTTTGTCATCAGTTACAGCACTTTCACTTTCCTTGCAAAGTTTAATTAAACTTAATACAGTAAGTGGCTTTACTGTCGGATCTTCAAGCTCCAACAATTATCCATTATGAACAGATTCAGCAGACCCTATACCCTGCATCAATAGAGGCTATTATTTTACCACTAAATCTTCAATGTCCCTCGACTCACTAATTATTTCTCCTTTCTATACAATTTCAATATGGGCTAAACCTGTGACTCAAGGAAATCTCTTTCTTAAACTTAATGGATCTGCTGAAGTATTCAAGATTAGTTTTACCGCTTCGCTCGGACCTAAAATTACTCTTGTTTTAAAAGACTTGTCAGAAATTTCTACAGAATTATCTAATTCTTATCAGAATAGTTGATACAATTATGCTTATAGAGGCAGTGTATATTACGGACTTTATAGAACATGGTTGAATATAAACAAGCAATTGAAATCAAATCACATCTCAAAAAGCATGTCTCCTTTCATTGACTCTGGGTCATTATATATTGGGTATTCAAATGGAGCTGATAGTTTTGTTGGATTTTTATGAGGCATAAAAGTATTTAATGGAAACACTCATTATAATGACGAATGAATAGAAACTGGCTGCTCTTGATCTTCTGAAGTAATTTGTCCTGATGATTGTGCTTTTGGCACTTTTAATTCATCTGGAATTTGCGTTGCTTGCCCTAATTCTTGCTCAACTCATGGGTGCAGGAGCTTGGAGACTTGCAGACTTTGCAAAGCCAAGGAATGTGTTTCATGTTCGTCCTTTGATGGAGATTGTACAGCTTGCATACCGAATGCTAACTTAATTAATGGGACCTGCTCTTGCAATTCCAATGCTTTTTGGGTTCAATCTTCAGAATCCTGTGAAGTTTGTGACGATCTTTGTACTACATGCTCCTCTACTATCTCTTTTGAATGCACTAATTGCACAAGCAATAAAGCATTAGCTGGTAATATTTGCTTGCACGAGAACCCCTACAAACCTAAGCTTTAATTAATTATAGTAAAATTTTGAAGTCCTAAAATAGCATTTCTTTTTCTCTATTACTTTTTTTTGCTTGATGACATTTTGAGAAGATTTGACTATTGTCTTAATTTAGGATATAGATGATGAATTCTGAGCACTCATAGGGTTTTTATATCCTCGTGGCAGAACATAGACTTTAATCTATTATCTGATGTACTTTAGGAAATAAAACTTCATTCCAGCTATATGTCTAAAAACTGCAAAGGCTGTTTAAGATAAGCATAATCTTTTTAAAGAATTCCAAAGCCCCGAAAAAGTTGTTAGCTACTAGCTACCTGACATAATATTTGCACTAAAAACCTACAGCAAGCTCATCTATAATTGATCAAAACTTTGATAATCAATTTTAAATGAAAGATTATCAAATTTTTAAGATCTCTTGGCCTTTTAATTCTTTATTATAGTCATATGGTTTCTTGCAAATAATAATCGCCAAAACTTATAGCAAAATAAGATCCCATTATTTCTCTTTAATATTGATATTAAAACTGTATACATTTGATCAAATAATAATGCCAAATTTCACAAAGAACAGATATTACTTTTAAATATTGGCTAAATTATCTGATATATATGATTAATCGGGTTACTAAAGGCACATAAATATCAGCTTCAAGACATCTAAAACTACATACTTATTTTCAAGGAACTTATGGGATTTTGCAAACCTCCAACTCCGCTTCTACATACCATTTCTTTTCAAATCCAGAATCTACTGATCCCATTCCTTCTTATTCTAGGGGCCTTTACTTTTCTGGAAACCAGCATTTACAATCAAACACCAAAATTTATCTAAACTACAAATTTTCAATTGGAATCTGGATCTACCCTATAGTTGATGGTGATATTATAGAAAAATCTCCAAGGCTTAAGCTAAATTCTAATGGAGCAGCTGAAATTATACTAGAAAATACCACCCAAGCTATTTCTATAGTCAATACTTTGCCAATAACCTTCAGGGGCTGGTCATATTTATCTATTGAAATTTCTTATTTACTCGGTTCAACTACAATAACAACCTATCTTGATGCTATACCTAAAGCTTCAATTATGTCTAAAAATTTATTATTTCGAGATGCATCATGTGAAACATTGTATATAGGAAAAAGCAGCTCTTCTGGATTTAATGGCTTTATATATTATTTTACCTTATGGGACATTGATAATGTTGACTTAGCAGCAAGACTATCAGATCCTTGTGGATCTAGTTTATCTACAAGCTGTCTTTGGTCATGTGATATAGGCCACTATTTTGATGGAATAACGTATCAGCCCTGCGATTCTTGTGATCTAGGATGTAGACGGCCTGGCACATGCAACATTTGTCAAGATCCTTTGTGTTCTGTTTGCATAGGGTTTGAGGAAGGGTCATGCATTCAATGTGTAATTCATGCCTGAGGAATGCCTTGCTCATGTGATGATAACTATATGAAAGCAGCAGATGGATTTTCTTGCATCTCGAAGTGCTATACAGGCTGTGCAAGCTGTGTTTCAGAATTGTGGTGTCAATGCTCTTCATGCTTAGCAGGATATTATTTGTTAGGTCAAGTTTGCACTCCATCATGCCCAACAGGATACACACAAGATTCTGTCAATAATCAGTGCATTTTAATTTCAGAAATGCCCTTTAATCTCCAACTTCAAAATCTAATTCAATTGGGCACAGTCAATGGAGTTCAAGTTGGATCATCCAGCTCAAATATTTATCCTACTTTTGACAATGCTGACCCTATCCCTTCCCTTAACCGCGGCTACTACTTTACCCCTAGCTCTTATATGGCCTCATCTTCTCTCATTATGAGCACATTTTTCACAGTAAGCATATGGGTTAAGCCCATCTCATTAGGAAATTTAATGCTTAAAGTCAATGGAAATACTGAGATTTTTAAAATTTCTTTCTCAAATGATGGCATGTTTTTATTGTTTTTAACTTTGCAGGATACATCAACTATTTCAATCAATGGATCCCAAAATTTATTCAATGCTTGGCACTATCTTGCAATTACAAGCGATACTTCGGATGGAAGAATGGTCTTTTATTTATATACTGACTACTCTATTATATTTATTAATAATCATCCTAACAACAATCCTTTTTTCGACTCAGGGGATTTAAAGATTGGAGCATCAAATGGCAGCAATGGATTTACTGGGTTTTTGTGGAGCTTAAAAGTATTTAATTCAAACTCACATCCTCTTGATGATTGAAAAACTCAGGGATGTGTCGGAGAATGCTCAAGCTGTCCTTATGATCTAATTTGCCCTGATAATTGTGACTTTGGATCTTATTATTCAAATGGTTGTGCAGCTTGCAGTCCAATCTGTAGCTCTTATGGATGTAGAAGCTTAGAAACTTGTAGATTGTGCCTCCAAAAGGAATGCTTAGAATGCGACTCATTTGATGGGTCTTGTACTACCTGCATTCCTAGAGCAACTCTGGTAAATGGGGAATGTACTTGCGATCCAAATTTTCCTTGGAATCAGTGATCTCAGTCCTGTGGACACTGTGATTCCTTATGCACTCAATGCAGTGGAGATACTGATTATTATCTATGCTCTGCTTGCTTGCCTGGCAAAGTATCGGTAGGAAATATTTGCTTGCATGAATGTCCTTATGGTTTTGGCCCTGGCTGTTCTAGTGTGACTGATAAAGTTATAAATCAGCGATTCAGTGGCAACTTCTCAGGCTCATATGGAATATTTACAACAGCAACTAGTTCTTCATCTTATCAATTTTGAAACAGCCCAGAAGATAGCGATCCTATCCCTGCAAAGAATAGAGGGCTCTATTTTTCAAATGGAAAATATTTAAAATCAGATATTGGGATTTATTTTTCTCACAGCTTTACTATTGGGTTTTGGTATTATCATGAACAAGAGGGTGATATTTTTGAAAAGGAAAATATATTAACTATATGGTCTGGTGGAAAAGCCGAAATTGCATTCGAAAACTTTGGTTACGTAACTACCACTAACTTAATTGACAACATAAGTACATGGACATATTTATCTTTTACAGTATTTTATGCTTGATGATTTACTTCTGCTACAATTTATTATAACAATGTTGTAGGAACTCCAAGTATAATAAATAACTACATTTATAGAGAGCCTTCAGCTAAGCTTATTATTCTTGGAAAGAGCTCTTCATCTAGTTTTAGAGGATTCATTTACAATTTTAATCTATGAAATAGCCTAATAAATGATTTTTATTATGAAATATGAGATGATGTTTGCGGATTAGGACTTAGAACTAGCTGCTTATGGAACTGTAACTTTGCTTATTATTTAATCAATCCAAGTGAATGCTATCATTGTGATGGCTGCCCTCTTGGATGCACCAGAGAGATTTCATGTAATATTTGTGACGATAGCCTTTGCAGCAAGTGCTCTGGCTTTGAGCCAGGTTTATGCGAATCTTGCATTTCCCATGCATCTGGATCTCCTTGTGCTTGCGATTTAGGATATTATTTATCACCGAATGGATTTTCTTGTGAAGCCAGCTGCCCTGCAGGATATTTGCCTGACACAAATTCGCTTTGTATCGCTTCAGCAATTGATAATTGTATTATCGTTGAAAATAATAATGGGCAAAACTGCAATAAATGTGCTAATGGCTATTTTCTTTCTGAAAATAGTGATTCTTGCCAAGTTTGTGATGCAAGATGCAGTACATGCTTAGGGACATCTACAAACTGCTTAACCTGCAAAGATCCGGTTCATATGAGTGGCTCTTTATTGCCGGGTCTTTGCAAATGTGATGACACTTACTATTGAGACATTTCAAAATCTTTTACTAGTTGCCAGCCTTGTGGCTCATCTTGTGCTTATTGCGAATCTTTCGATAATTGCCTCAGCTGCAAAGATCCAGCTAAAATGATTATTTCAAGCTGACCTGGAGCTTGCAAGTGTATTGACGAGTATTACTGAAATCCTGCAATTTCTGATACAGACTGTCAAGCCTGTGACCCAAAATGCAAAACTTGTGAAAATTCAAGTGGAAATTGCCTTTCCTGTAAAGATTTGGCTAATATGAATGAATCAATATTACCAGGACCTTGCCAATGCAATTCAGGATTTTATTGAAATCCCTCTGTCTCTACTACAAATTGTCAAGCTTGTGATTCAAAGTGCAAGTATTGTGCAACTTCTAGTGAAAATTGCATTATCTGCCCAGATTTGATTAATATGGGTTTTTCAGCTTTTTCTGGTGCTTGTAAGTGCAATCCTGGGTTTTATTGGGACTCTGAAGTTTCTACAACCAGCTGCCAGGTCTGCAATCCAAAATGCTATTCTTGTGAAAATTCAAGTACTAATTGTCTTGTTTGTAAAGATACAGAATATATGGATATTGAATTTGACTGTGAGTGCTTGCCTAATATGTTCTTTGATGGAATATCATGCATGCTATGTGATGTGAATTGTGCTACATGTTCTGGATCCAGTACGAATTGTCTTACATGCAAAAATCAATATTATCTGCTAATTTTCATATAGATTTAATGGCGAATGTAGCAACCTGCCCTTTTGGCACAACAGTTCAGACATTATGGCCACGGCAAAACTGTATTCTAAGTCAAGAATCAAGTGCAGGCTTAGGAAATTATATCTGGGTAGGTTTTGGCTGCTCTCCTGTGGTTGGAAATGGAGATGCCCAGCAAACATCCTTTAGATCCAAGGACTCATAAGTATTTTCTACGAGAAACTGGAATTTAGGCTAGATCATAGGGGAGTAGTCTTTTTCCCGTAGGTGTCGAAGAAATCCATTTCGGCATCCGATAGACTCCAAAGAGTTGATCAATGGATTCAAGCTACTCAAATCGACCGTCTCAGGGCCACAGAAGTCAATAAGCCGCCTTCTCAAGTCTTAAGCTGCAAGGCAAGAAGGAGACAGATGGTGCCGGAAATGGCACCTATTATTGGGTATAGACCCTCTGGGCTGAAGTCGATAAGAGGTTGAAGCCGCAAGGCAAGAAGGAAACTGAAGGTATTGGAAGTGGAGCCCGTTTTGGGGGAGAGACTCTCGGGATGGAGCCGAAAAACGGTTGAGCCTAGCGTATGGGAGGTCTTTGGTGACTGTATCACAATTATGCTAAGCCTGACTTTAATTAACCTAACCTAATCTGCTAATTCCCCAATTAATTAGCAAACAAAAACATTTTATAGGCCTATTGAGGGATTAAATTTTTAATAAATTTTATTAACAATTAGAGGAGGGAGTAAGTAATGGGAACTCTAATATTTGTGTTTGTAAGTAATATTTAGCTTGTGAAGATGATAGTCAAGGCCCACCTTCTGATGTTTTATGTGGAAGTCAGACTGAAAAATTGTGCAGCAACTCAAAAATTGGCTTTAATATAGAGTTCGACAATGGAACAATTATTATTAATTTTGCATCAAATTTAAAGAAAACTCTACAGAAAAAAAACTTCATTATCAAGCTTTCAAATGGGACGAATTATAACACAGAAAATTGCACTCTTCAGATGAAAAGCCTTTTTAGTTATGAAATCCATACAAATTTAACAGATTGCGATTTGCCTATTTTCGTCGAACTTAAGTTTGCTGCTCTGGGCTAATAGTTAAGAAATAATTTTATTATTAATCTCTTCTATCAAATCACTTGTTGAAAGTTCTAATATATATCGCATTAACCAATTTGGTTTTTAAAGTTGATTTCGGAATTGGCAACTGAGGGTTTATTTTATTCTTTTTTGATGAAAAGAGATAGAATTCTATGGAATAGTGAGTATTAAACTTATATTAAAATAAAGAAGCATAGCTAATGCATAACCTCTCAGTGAGCTAGCAAAAAAAATTAAATTGCTCACGCAGGAGGCTAATTTTTCTTTGATACGATATGTAGGAAAAAAGCGCGCTGCTTTTTTTCAGATCACCCGTAAATCGAATTTAACCTTTATAACTGATTTTATAAATAATCTTTTAAAAGCTTGAAATTTTACATATAATAGTTTAAAACATAATGGAATTTCTTTGGATTTTTATCTAGGTTCTCCTGCCACAATTAGGTGTATAGCTGAGCTGTTTCTTTTCCTCCGTCATAATGAGCATGCTGCTGGTGCACTCTGTTGTCCTGATCTTGCTCAAGCTCTGCTGTTGACTGTTAGTCACTATTTCCTTTGTCATTGAGGGAGTCCTCTATAATCGGCCTGAGACAAGACCTAACTATAAAATATGATTTTTATCGCAAAATTTTTGTTGGCATCAGCTTTATGTCCATATGGTGTTTCAGATACTCCGATTGCTGGAATTTATTACTGTCCTCATTCAAAAATGATTGATGACAAAATATGCTCAGGCTCAGACGCATGCCCTTCAAGGTTTACTTTTGGTAAGAAAAATGGTATGATTGCTTGATGCTTTCCAAATAGTAGAAATGATGCAGTTATTTTCGATTTACAGTTTTCAAGCATCAAGGATTTAACCGCTACATATATAGCAAGTTCAACCGATTCTACTACAATATTCCAAAATCCAGATTTCATTTCATATATGTCTCAGACTCAAAATTCCCCACTCCTAACTATTGACCGTAGCTTTTATTTTGCGACTACATCAAGTACTTCTAATAGCGAAGGCTTTATTCCTGGATGCTATTTTACGTTAAACACATGAATTAAGCCTCTTGAAAGTGGAGAAATTGTAAACATTATTTATAGTTCGACTTCATATATAAAATACAGGCAAATCTATCTATTATTGGCATGCCTGATCCCAAAGTCAAATTTTTCTATTTTAAATATGATTTTTATTAGCTGCCATGGCTTGAATATTATAAATATAGTATATAAGAATATGGGCCGATATCTCAGGCGTGTATAAATTTATCATGCTTGTCTATGATTCAAATAATAATCAAGTTACGCAAACTGCAGCATGCACTACAAGCTAACATCTTCATGGCATACTGTTTCAATGATTATTAATCAATCCACCTGTGATACAGTAAATATTTCTTTTTATATTAATGGAATTATTAAAGAAGCTAGGGTTCCTAATTTAGGCTATACATGAACAATTGGGAAAACAAGTAGTGGAAATTCTTTCAGGGGGGTTATTTATTGGCTTCAGACAAGAGCAGAATGTGCTCAGAGTACTGATGTCATGACTGTTAGTAATAATTGTGTTGATAACCAATATTTGGACGGATCTTCTTGCCAAAACTGTGGGAAAAATTGTTCTACTTGGCCTTGGTGTGCCAGAGGCACTGATTGTCTTACTTGTGAGGTTGCTGGGTGTATCACTTGTGAAGGATATCCTCCATTAAAGTGTATTAATTGTAAAAGAGGTGTAATTCCTGATTGTGACTGTCCAGAGCACTCTACGCTTGACACTGATACTAATACATGCGTTGCAGACGATGGGTTTTACTTTGATTCAGATACAACTTGTGCTAAATGTGACTCCCAATGCAAGAAATGTGAAACTTCTAGCACAAATTGTGCTATTTGCAAAGATTTTATCAATATGAGTTCCTCAACGTTGCCTGGAATATGCAAGTGCAACCCTGGATTTTACTGGAATACTATAATTTCTACAACAAACTGCCAAGTCTGTGATCCAAAATGTTTTACTTGTAAAAATTCAAGTGCAAATTGTCTAGCTTGCAAAGATTCAAACCATATGGATCTTGAATTTGGCTGCAGTTGTTCACCTAATATGTTCTTTGATGGAATTTCTTCTTGCATAGCTTGTGATATAAATTGTGCTACATGCTTTGGATCAAGCACGAATTGTCTTTCATGCAAAAGTCAATATTATCTGCGAAACAATGGAGACTCAAATATTTGTGTTTGTAAGCAATATTTAGCTTGTGAAAATCCTAGTCAAGGCTATCCTGAATTTTTATGTGGAAGTCAGACTGAAGGATCGTGCAGCAGCTCAAAGATAGGCTTCAATTTAGAATTTGACAATGGAGTAATAACTGTTAATTTTGCATATAATTTGACAAAGGTTATACAGAAAAAAAAAAATTTCACGCCACTACCCCTGGCCGTTACCAAGATATAATGAATATCCCATTCGATTAAATGGCTGATGAGCGATAAAATGGCAAACATAATCCATGAGCCCACGCAGGAAGAGCCTTCTAATGGCAACAATAGGCAGAATGAAGTATGATGGAGATAATGGAGGCATAACCAAACTGGGTTATTTGATAATCTTAATTGAATTTTATGCTAGCATACTCTAAAGATGAAAAGTTATTCAAGTTATGAAATCCATACCAATTTGCAAAGACGTGACTTGCCTATTTCTGTTGATCTTAGATTTACAGCTCTCAATTAATAGTTAAGAAATAAGTTTATTATTAATTTCTAACTTTTATTTTCTTGAACCTTTTAATATTAAAGGCACTAGCTCATCATAAAATTCAATTTTATTAATTTAATCTTCTTGATTTCTTCATTTTAAACTGTCTTAAGTTTTCTATATATAACGTGAAAAATAAGCTTACAGATTATTTAGGATTTAAAGAGAAATTTCTTAGCCTAAATAAATAAGACAAAATAAGTGTAATTTTTCTTTTGTTTTATCACCTGATTTGATTTTATATATGCGATTGCAGCTAAAATCTCGATTTCAAGAATAGACGCTAAAAGAAGGATTTTCCTTATAAATCGTGATTTATAATAAGGCTATATAATTAGAAATATAATAAATTTTGCTTATTTGCTTAAATCTAAGAGTAAAAAGAGCCTTAAATTCTTTAAATATTAAACGTCATGAGTTTTAGAAGACATTAAATGCAAATAAAATATGTTTCCGAATTCTTTTAATAGGATGAATCTCAAATAAATTATTTAAGAATTCATAATAAGCCAGATTTTTAGCTTGAGATTTAATTTAGATAAGCAGCTATAATTTTTTTAAAACATTTTTATCACGAAAACACAGGAAATTATACCTCAAATAGGAAAATAATTTATCTGATCTGATCTTTTGAGGTCGACAAATTTCCACTTTAATTCTAATTCTTTAGCTATTATATTAGCAAACAAAATTAAAATACTTTAAATTATAAACTGGTTTTTTTCTAATAAAATCGAACGGTGATTATAAAGATTATGATAAAAATTTTTTTTCCTTGATTATTTGCAGGATTTTTCTATCCGCAGGCTACTAAAATCGGTGAAGAAAATTTCCCTTATGATAAGATTGGCAACAGGGATACAAGCTTTTCATTGAAGTCAGGGCATTTAGATGAAGACCAAAAGCTTCTTAATGAGAAAACATTAGAGGCCGAAAAATCTTTAGAGTCAAGACGTGGAAGAATTCTACTCGCCACTCCCTGTTCACCTGGAAATTATCCTCAAGGCCTGAATTTAGCTTAACTAGGGTCCTAAGTTGTCTTCTAAATTTCAGAGTAGAACCAAATATTTGGTGAAAACTCTCAGAGCTAAAGGTAACTAGGACCCTAAGCCAAGCTAAGCATTAATAAGGATATATGACAATTCTGGAACTTGCTCACCTTGTGGGACAATGTGTGCTTATTGCGACGATAATGGAAACTGTTTGGGCTGCCAAAATAATTCTACAATGATTATCAGCTCAAATAAGAAAGACTGTGAATGTAAAGATGCTACAGCAACAGCTGGAACTTGCATTTGTCCACAAGCTAATCCTTGGTTTGATGGATCAACTTGCCAAACTTGCGAATCAGGCTCTTACTATGGGAACAGTGGGTGCACTGCTTGCTCCACATCAGGAAATATTAGAGTTAAATCAATAATCAAATCAAAGAAAGCTCCAAGTTGTTGTCCTGATGGCAAGTATTTAGATAGTTCAACTTCAAAATGCTCAGCTTTTGATGCAAATTGTGAATTATGCGAAGATGGAGCTGCTGGCCATTGTGATAAATGCTCTAGAAAATGACATTAGCCTATAAAGTAAAGATAAAGAAAGCTTCTTGTTGTATTGATGGGCAATTTAGAAGCAGCACTGTCAGCTCATGCACATCATGCCCAGATATAAATTGCAATAACTGCGAAGACAGCGGAAGTGGGAACACTTGCCTTGAATGCTCTAAAAAATTGAGATTAACCTCATCGTTAGAGATAAAGAAAACTTCTTGTTGTCGTGATGGGTATTTTATGAGCAGCACTGTCAGCCAATGCACATCATGCCCAGATATAGCTTATATCCCTTTATAGATTTCTTTATCGAGCGAAATGTACTGGATTATTGAACGACCAAGAGAGACTCTATTAAAGGAACGGGCTGGATATCTATATCAGGAAGTGCTAAAAAGTGACATGTCAAAAAATGGTGACAAGTCTGAAAAAAGTTGACAAGTAAACGCGCCAATTTTTAAAATGGATTTATTATTAAAATAATTTTTTAAACTTAAGATATTTTAATTTTAATCAAAATTTAATTAGGCTAAGTACACATCATATGAGTCGATAAGAACCATTTTTTGACATGCCACTTTTTAGCACTTCCTGATATAGATATCCAGCCCGTTCCTTTAATAGAGTTCTCTTGGTCGTTCACTAATCCAGTACATTTCGCTCGATAAAGAAATCTATAAAGGGGTATGAGCTATATAAATTGCAAAATTTGCGAAGACAGAGGAAGTGGGAACACTTGCCTTGGATGCTCTAAAGAATTGAGATTAATCTCTCCATTAAATATAAAGAAAACTTCTTGTTGTGGTGATGGAAAATATGTTAGCTCTACCCAGGTGGAATGCGCAAATTGCGCTGATCCGAATTGTAATTTTTGTGAAGACCGCGGAAGTGGGGATTATTGTCTCAAGTGCTATAATCTCTTTTCTATCACAACAATTGCCAAAATAAAGAAAACCTCTTGCTGCTCATCTAAGCTATACTGAAATAATTATAGCCATTCTTGCGAGGATTGTGATTCAAAATGCTCAGAATGCACTGACTCAAAAACTAATTGTCTTACATGTGTAGATCAAATCAATATGAGCAGCCCTCCAGCCTGTGAGTGTCCAAGCAATATGTATTTTGACGGAAGCTCCTCATGTAATCCTTGTGAACAAAATTCAGCTGATAATTCTTATTTTTGTGGAAATCAGACAGAAAAAACGTGCAAAAGTTCTAAGGTTGGCTTTAATTTGGGCTTTAATGACAATAAAATTATCGTTAATTTTGCATCAAAATTAAAGAGAGATTTACAGAAAAAATTTTTTATTGTTAAGTTTTTGAATGAAACTACTTATGATACAGAAAATTGTACTTTGATAAAAATAAATGAGACACGCTATGAAATCGAAACAAGCATTAAGGACTGCGACTTACCTATCTTTGTTAACCTGACTTTTGGATTTAGCTAAATTATTAATTAAATTAGAATTCTATCTTCTTCGAATTTTGAATTACATAATAAAAATTGCAAAAAAAGAAAATGGTGGAGAGATTATTAATTTCAATAGATAACATTTTATTTTATTTTGAGAATCAGAAGAAAATTACGCTTTTTCTTAAGTAAATAATAATTTATACGAAATAAAATAGCTTTTTTGGCCTATTTAAGCAGGTGTCTAGTTTTATTTGAAAGAGTAATAAATATGAGTTCCTCAGCTTTTTGGAGTTTGCAAGTGCAATCCTGAGGTTTACTAAAATTTTGCAGTTTCTGCCATCACTATCAGGTTTCTGATCCAAAATGCTATTAAATTGAAAATTCAAGGACTAGTTGTCTTACTTGTAAAGATCGAACCATATGAATATTGGATTTGGTTTTGATATTTTGCCTAATAAGTCTTTTAGGTATGATCATTGGACCTTTACCCAATATGCAAAAGTCAATATTATCTACTAAATAATATATTAGGATTATATTACGAAATCCATAACTATTTGATAGAATGCGGCCTCCTATTTCTGTTGGTCTTAGACTGATTTGACTCAATTAGCAGCTAAGAAATAAGCCTATCATTAATTTATGGGCTTTTATTATTGAATTCTTTAATAATCAATAAAGTAAAAATTCAAACTTTTAATAATTTGATAATGCTTCATTTCTTATTAATCTATTTTAAATCTTCTATAAAAAATGTAAAAATATATATAAATTATGGATTCAAAATAAGATATAGCAAGAACAAGGGTTCAGCTTTTCAGAGAAGTGAATTAGATGCAAAAGCTAAGCTTGCTAGCTAAAATAAAACGGAAAATTAATGGATAGTTTAATTTTTTGAAAAATATAGTAGCTCATCTAAATGAGAAAAACAATATATAGAGCAGTTTTCTAAATTCAATTTGCTCTTCGGAAAGACTAACAAATATCTATGTCTATTTTGATAATTATAAATCTAAATGGAAGACGGCAAAGCTTCATTTTTAAGAGGCTTGGAAATGATTTTATTATTACTCAGCTTTTCTCTCGTTAAAAGTCATACAGAGTGTGACAGAGCGCTTTGTGCTTCCTGCACAAACGCTACTCCTTTTATTTGCGATACATGTAGCAGTTCTTCAAGATCAATTGTTATGATAAATAGTGTTTGCTTGCCTAAATGTCCTTATGGGTTTGATACAAACCCTTGCACTCTGAATTCAAATGCAGTTATCGATGTCACTTTTGACCAAAGCACATTTAAAGGGATATGGTCCTCTAGTGACGGGGACAAGCCCTTTAACTTATAACTTTTTTTGGAACCTAGAAAGCGCTGATCCAATCCCGCCTTATCAACAGGGGCTATTTTTTGATAGTTCTCAATATTTGTCAATGCCAGACAATTTTTATACGAATTGCAGCATTGCTATATGCTTCTGAATAAAGCCAGTTCATCTTATCCCTGGCTCTAGTGAACAATTGCAAGGCAAAGCATTTTACTTACAAGGACAACTGCTATTGAGAATCGCCCTTATGGACGACTTTTTAATAAAATAGTAATAGTTAAAATTTGGTTGATATGTTGAGTTCTAAAAGCATAAACTATATGTTTTTCTGCCATTAAATAATTTGAAGTTTAGTATATTTATTATTAACAAGCAATATTTGCTAAGGCTCCTAATCAGATTTTTATTAATTATGCAAATGAGTTGATTTTATATATAAATAAATTAATTTAGAGTATAAATATCGAAAGGACTAGACACTGTAAGTGGCTTTATAATTTATCTATTGCATCCTTGATTAAACATAAATTGAAATGAATTCATGCATGCGATTTTTATTTAAATTTTGAAAAATATTATATCCTTATCATATAATTAAAAATAAAATGTTTAAATTAATAACAATTTCAGATGTATAAATTTATGAGTTAATCAGATACCATCTTTTATTTAAACTAAAGATTGAACCGGACGAACTTCAAAAGTTTACATATCTGGCCCCTACTTTTATACTAAACATCATTTTACTTCATCTCATGAAAAATATTAAGGCCCAATCATTCCTAAATCGATACCCATGCTTCAGGCCATACCTGAAAATCTTGAATTGAAATAAAGATGGAGCAAGCGAACTACGAAAAACTGTCTTGCCTGACACCTATTTTTATACTTTACTGCTCTTCATAGGTAGAAATTTAATGTGTATCGCCAAACAGAGAATTTGTTTATAGGGCTGAATGTTCTCTAACAAGACCATTTACCTACGATTTGGGCTGGTTAAAATATGCAGATAGATATCACTGATAGCGCACATTGATATAACTCGTCAAGCAAGCTGAAAGATTTAAAATTCCAATTAGAGAAACAGAGGACTTTTGAGCCCGAATGGAAAGGAAATGGAAGCGCTTCACTTAAATATTTAAATTACTTTTCAGTGCTTTTTATTTGCCTCGATAATTTAGCTCGTATAAAACCATAAAGCCAGCTGCTCAGCTGACAATAAATGAAATATTATATATAAAAAATAAGGAGGTTTAATCAAAAAAAGTAGCTCAACAAAAAACCCAAATTGATTATATGTTTACGCTGAATATAACTGGTTAAAACGAATAAATTCAAAGCGGTAACTTTACAGACAACTATTAAATTGGCAGACACTTAAGAGCATACTTTTAAATGTATTAATTTAAAAAATTATCATGATAAAATTTGTAATTATTCTAAATTTAGCTTGTAAATAATCAAAATTAAGCCTCATGATGCACATAGAGCTCTCAACACTATGGCAGAAATCTGTATCTCTATGACTGTATAAATCGCAATCAATAAATGCCTTTATAAGGATATTCCAGTTGTAGCAGGCATCATGCGTCTGCAACTCTATTAGTCGCAATATTCGTAGATACCAATCCCTTTATAAGGCTAATCGAGTTTGAGTAGAAATTAAAAGTGTTCTCTTCTTAATAAGAACTCAAACAGTTTAAGCATGATTATGATCAGCATTAAAATTTTAGATTTAATCCAGAATGTTTATAGCAGCTTACCAACACTTATCAAGTAATTCGAAAATTTCAAAACACATATTTTCATTAGAAGGAATTTTTCTGCTTCTGAGGTGATTCGGAGTAATTAGATAAAATAGTTAACGTTATGGTAAATGCTTTGGCCAATGGTGACTAAGGAGCAGTTTTGCTTATTTTCTCTTACGTAGCAAAGAAAACCATTGGAAAAATCCCTATTTTTTGGGTAAAAACCCAGCGAACAAAAATTTTTTTAATATAGAAAAATGTTTTGATATAAGTGATAATTAATATAATGAATTATCTAGATAATTCTGTATAATTTTAAAAAAATTGCATTTAAAGTATAATTAAATAAATATTTGCTTCAGATTAGATTTTGTTAAATTTCGAAAAAAAGTTACTGTAAAATTTTATAAAAAACATTAAAAAAAAAATCAACCCCTTTCTTGCTAATAAAGGTTGGAACTAGTCTAAAGAGTTATTCCTTTTTAATCTTTATCTAAAACCTTAGTTAATTTGCTTTTCATTTATTATTTATATTTGTAATAATTTTAGTACAATTTTTTATTTTCTCAGCTTTTACTTGAAACCTCCAATATTCGTCTTTTTTCCTTTAATATTGCAGCAAAAATACTTAATTGGCAAATCTTTGATATTTCTGCAATGTATTGTGCTTGAATTAGAATATAAATAATGATGTTATCAATTCTCTATATATACAATTCAGATAATTAAGATTTCAATACTAGCTTATTTATTAACTTCAATAATCTAACCATTGGATCTTGTTAATTCTACTCTGAATTATCTTAATATAAAGTTTCTGGAAGAATGCTTTCTTCTTTAGTATTTTTCACGTTTTTAATAATTTCGATTTCAATTCTGTAGTATTTTCTTATTTAACTTTTCTGTGTCCCATGGTTTTTTGCCCATAAACTGGTTGTTAAATTTTAAGGTTCTTGATATTCCATGACTTCAGAGATTATCTTGCCTTGCTGTGCTGAATTAAAAATTTCAAGGGTTGCTTAATTTATTAAAAAATGGTAATTTGATAGAAAAGTTCTAATAATGTGGAAGGCTTATTCTCGACATATATCTAAGGCTTAAGTAAAGGATTACCCTGACTGATAAGGATATCAATTATAATAAGCTGATGGCTGGGATACAATATCTCTCCTTGAACGAATTAGCATCCCGTGTAGAAAAATATAAATATTGCCATAAGCGGGATAATTAATTTCTTACTCGGAATGTTTTTTAACTTCGAAAAAATTGTATTAAAACAAAATTTTTTTGTTCGCTCACAAGAGGGGGGAGTTAGAGAAGAAGCTGCTTGATTGATAATTGGACTTAAAAGCTGTGCCTATAGAAAAATTTATCCATAATCTAATGCAATAGCAGTTTCTACATATAGACATTTGCCTAGAGTTGCCCGATAAGGGCGTAAAAATGGAGAGCTCACTCTCTAGTCTGCTAAGCAAGTCTGAGTTTGGCGATACCAACTGAAGAGATGAGCTTTCTATCTTCACGCTCTATCGGGCATTTCTAGGTAATAGTCTATATAAACAAAGAAACCATATTTTATAATTGATCCTTATTTTCTAAAATTCAAATCGAAATAAGTACTTAAATTTGCAAAATTCCTTTAATAGACAGGAAACTTCAAAATAAATAAATTTCAGCTAAATTAAAATGCAAATATGGATTTTTCTCTTTTAATGGCAATTCTTTTTAAAATAATTTTAATATATTGTCTTCTTTGACATAAATATTTCCAAAATAATTATAAATTTAAATGATTAATGCAGACAATAAAATTTAGCACAAATTAATATTAAAATTCAATAAAACTTTAGTGAGATATTCAACATTTAACTAATTATTTAATTTAATTCAGGAGTTTTTAAATGTTTATTATATTTTTGATTATAATTTCCTTATGTATATTTCTCTGACTCCACCCCCTTTAAATTGGAACAAAATATAGGTAAAATTTCCACTTTTTTTGGTAAATTATCCCCCTTTAAATTGGAACAAAAATTTTAATTTTATAAAAAAATTAGATATAATTTTTATCTAAAAAGTTTTGATATAAGTTAAATGTTTCTTCTTAACTAAAATTAAAAATTTAGTTATATCTTGCTCTTGTTTAAAGAAGAGAGTATAAGGAGCATCTTATTTAAATAAATTTATTATCCTTAATTGCTAAATTTAAAAAAAAAAATTAATTTTTTTTTTAAAAATGTTTTTATTTTTTTTGATAAAAATGATATTTTTTATTTAAATAGTTTTGATATAAATTCAATGATTTCTTTATAAAATTTCAAAATTTACTTATTTCTTGCTTTATTTTAAAGAACAGAGCATAAATAACATCTTATTTAAACAAAATTAACACTTTGATCGATAAATTTTCTAATTTTTTTTTTGTTTGATTTTTATATTTTTTATCAATAAAAATAATAATTTTTGTGTAAATAATTTTGATACCAATTAATAGTGGTGTATTAAACTAATAATGAAAATTTAGTTATATCTTGCTTTCTTTCAAAGGATAAAGAGTAAATAGCATTTTATTAAACAAATTTATTAATTAATCGATAAATTTTTGAATTTTTTTTTTTATGAAAAATTTTATATTGATATTTTTTTTTTAAAAAAAATTAACCCTCCCCTCCCTTTAAATTGGAACAAAATTTTTTGTTCGAATTTAAAGGGGGGGAGTGAGGCATAAAGAAAATTTCCGTGGACTTAGGACTCTCTTTGAGTAGCCAAAAATCTTGAGCAGTTTCCTCTCTTGAAATAGGACGCTTAAGGACTTATAGATCCTCTCGCTGGATCCAGTGTAGTGAGTTATTCCTAAATGACCCTGCCATTTAAAATTATGGACATTTTATTAAAATATCCTCTATGCTATGCAATCCTTTAGATTGTTGTGCTTTATTACATAAAAGTTTAGAAGAACTGGATAAATAATTCACTTATAACTGCTTAAACTTGCCTTTAGCAATCAGATATCATCATTTCTTGATTTTATTAACTTCAATGCATTTTAAAACCACAATATCTATTATTACTGGTTAAAATAGATGAGAATTGGCTTACCCTATTAAAATTTAATCTATTCGATAATCCCCTGTTTAGATCCAGTCAGCTTTCCCTCTTAAAATTTGATAACAACTAAAATAAAGTCTTAATCGTATGGCCATCAAAGCCATCATTTGGAGTACATTTATTTGGAATTAAATTCACTTGCCCTTAAAGAAAAATTTAATTTATTGGAAATGGAATTTAATTGTAAAACTCTAATATGCAAAAGGCTCATGCTCGGCGAAAATCAAATTTCCCATCTACTCATTATATTTTTTAAGGCTTAAGTTATGGTTTAATGAGAGCTGGGATAAAAGAATATCTCTACTTGAGATAATTAGCAAATCATACTAGACAAATATATATTGCCATATTAGCAGAAATACCAATTTCTTAGACAAAAAATTGCTTTTATATAATAGGATGCAGATAAATTGTTATAGAGCCTGATAATTAAAGAAATTTTGGCTGGCACAGGCAGAAAGAGTCTTTCGATTATGCAATGAAGCAGCTTTTCTTTTTCTTCTTAAAATTTAATAATTACGCAAATAAAGTATTACTCTTAAGTTCATATGTAGGTGCATTTATTTTGAGTTTAAATTAAAATCATTAACCAAACTAGTTTTCTGCTTAATATCAGCAGATTTTCATATGGTATCCACTATTATTCCAAGTATCTCAATTTAAATATAGTAACTTTGATATTTATAGATACCTTCATGTTATTTAGGCTCTTTTAGAGCTTCCTGAGTATTAAATTAACCACAAATTGCGGCTCGCCATTTCAGTAAAGATTTTATTATTAAGTTTTAACCTTTATTATTGTTTATTCCATCTTCTCCAGATTCTTTACAAATCCATCCACTTTGTCAATGATGTCAGCTGGGTCACTTTTAATAGGTGCAGTTTTTTTCTCAGGCTCTTGGGGTGCATTCTCAATAGCCTTTGGGCTCGCGACATCTTGCAAGTTATTTCTCGTATCCATTGTATTGTTGTTAGTAGAATTGCTCGTGGTAATGATCGTTGATTGAATCTTGGCAGCTCCAACTTCAGATACTCTCAGCTCATGCTTTTTTTCTTCTTCTTTATTTCTTTCTTCTTCTTCAAGACGCTTTTTTTCTCTTTCATAATCTTCAGAACCAATTTTTGCTTGTATAGTTAACTTTTCTTTCATTTTCCTTATCTTTTCTTCTAATAACTGGTCCAAGTTCCTGTCGAGCTGCCTTTTCTTTTGGACATTTTCTGCTTTCTTATTGATATCTCTTGATTTTTGCTCCTGATCACCATCTGCTTCAACACGCTGATGTGCTTTGATTGCGAAACAGTTTTGAATAGCAAGACAACATCCTGAATCGCCTAATTTAGGCCAAAATCTACAGAAATCGCAGCATAGGATTTTCCCCAAAGTGCTGTAATTTTGAAGAATATCTTTTTTACTGTTGCCCTCAATGCAGATATATTCGAGCTGTGAACAGCCAGCACAATTTAAAATTGCATTAAGTTCTTTCTGCACAATGTGAGTGTGGCTGATATTAAGCGAGGTAATTCCAGTTTTTCTTATCAAATTTTTTATACTTTCTTCACATTTGGCCCCAATTGGATTATGTGAAATATCAAGTCGTTTTAAGTACCTGCAATTCTCGAATTTATGAAGCAATTTCTTTAGGAACTCATCGTCAATATTGTTATTTCTTAGCTCTATTGACACAATTGCGCTCTCTGAAAACGAATTGGATAATATATCTAGTCCATTGTTTTCAAAAATGCAGTTATTTAACGCCAAGTGCTCAATAGTGGAATCTCTGATAACGGTGAGCAGTGCATTTAAAATTTCTGTGGAAATCAAGGTTTTTGAAAGGTCGAGGTACTTTAAATTGTACTTTAAGTTGTCATTTACTGCAATTTCTTGTAACATTTTTAGAACATTTTCAGCCTGCTCAGATTCATTACTATGTGATAGCTTGAGTTTTAGGCAGTTAATGCCTGCGCACATTTTAAAACCGTCGAATATGCCCTTAAAGAGATCGAGGTTATGATCAATCTGGTTAATGTAATCTTTATGCAGCTTTGTGAAAAAAGGCTTGAATGCAAACTCTCCTTTGATTTTCAATGATTTGATAACTTTAGTTCTCTCTTTTAAGCCTCGCCCAAAATCCAGAACATCGTTAAAATAGCCATTTTTTAAGTTGAGAGCTTGATTTTTGTATCTCTCGATATCCTCATTTAGTTCAACTCTACCTGACATATCTTTTGTTGATTTTTTCATTCTTAGCGTTTGCTGATTTTTTGATAACTGTTGTGTTCTACCTTTTTCTACTTTATCCCACGACAACGTATCAAATACAAAGTTGTCGTTTGAATCATCATTAAGCTTTAGTGACGGGTTTTTATCTAGCACAACAAAAGTTTTAGGGCTTCTATAATCTCTAAGAATTAGTTCATAACTTCTAGAAAGTTCTGTATCATCATACTTCTTGCCTAAGCCTTCTTCAGTTTCACCTCTTTCCTCAAGAAAGATGTAATTCCATTTGAAGATGTCGAATACACTTTTTCTTTGCTCTACGCCAAAATATGATGTATCCATATGCCACTGCTCATCAAGGTCATCCATCTCTTTGTTAATCCCCATATAGCTAACACACATCTTGTCCAAGTTTCACTTAAAAGAGTGGTTGCCGATGACTAATCTTGTTAATTCTAGACCGACTCTCTCCCAAATTTCATTAGGATCTGAAGCCTTATTGAAACTCTTAAGTGCACCAAGGATTCCTCTTGGCCATGTTTTTGAATAGCTGAACCCATTGCTCTCTTCTTCAGTTTCTACTTTTTTCATGGCAATAGTGCTGTCTTTTACGATTCTATTTGCGCTTATAGTAGTTTTAAGGTCCAAAGGTCTACCTCCGAAAAAGAGGGTGAATTGGCTTATTTGGACACCTTGGCTGCGGCTAATTCTTTCCTTCAGAACCTCAATTGTCTCTGCATCCTCACACTCAACAGCGCCAATGACTCCTTCAAGGTTTTTGATCAAAATTTGGATTTTCATCTTACAGCCGGTCAATTAAAAATTATAGATCAATTAGAATTAGTGGTGAATAAATGGCTTTATAAAGCATAATTAAAGCAAGCAGTTAAAACTTAAAACTAAAGGAGTTATAAAGACAAATTGAGTCTCTAATGAAGAAATCTATAAAATTCAAACGGTTTACTTCCCTAAACTTTAAGAAAAATTTTTAGCCTTTTCCTATGACCAAATGAAATTTACATTAGTAGCAGTTATTTTTTAAGTATTCGATTCCAAGCCGCTTTATTCCAATCTTCTTCTGTGCATTCTTCTAAAAATTCAACAGGCTCATTCGGCCTTTTGACTGGCTTTTTCTTCGGAGCTTCTTCATCTGACATTTTTCTTTTCGAATTATCCGTCATCTCTTCTTCGCTTAATTTTTCTTTGTTTTTCTTATTTTTTTCCTCAATAACTGGCAGCTTCTTTGTCTTTGAAGCATCACTCGTCTCCTCTTCGCTTAATTTTTCTTTATTTTTCTTAATTTTTATATCAGCAATTGGAGTTTTCTTTATCTTTGGCTTTTCCCTTTCAGGAGATTTTTCTCTTGGCTTTTTTTCAATTTCTTCATCGCTTGACGATTTTCCTGATAATCTTGGGAAATCTTCTTCGTCTGAGTCAAACTCTTTTGCTTTTGGTTTCTTAGCTTTAGGCTTAGCCCTAGATTTTTTAGCTTTTTCTCCTGGTGGCTTTCTTTTTCTTTTATTTTGTGGGGTTTCTTCAGAGGATTTTTTATTTTCCTCGCTTTCTGTATTTTTAGTAGATTTTTTGTCTTTTTCTGTAGAGGCTCCTTTTCTTGATAAAGAAATCTCTTCTTCAAGCATAGAAAGCCTTTCTTGTATGTCTTCATCTCTCTCAATAAGCCCTTCTTTAAACTGTTCTAGTAACGGGGCAATTTCTTCACCCTCATTTTTGTTGAGATCTTCGATTTTTTGGTTCATTTCAGAAACTTTGCTTTTCATTCATTTTTCTAATGAATCAATCCGTTTATGGCACTCTTCAAGCTCTGATTCTTTTTGGCTGATGATTTTCCTTAAGGAATCATTTTCTTCTGAGAGTTTTTGATATTTGAATAGTTCTGATTCTTCTTTGCTTGTGAAATCTCTTGGCCGTGTGGCACGTTTGTTATTGTCTGAGTTGGGGAAGCTATTTTCTTGCCAATCTTGGGATTCTACGAACTTGTTCATGAGAGAAGAAAATACACTAAGTGTTGACATATTTGTTTTCTATTTTTTGCAAAAAAAGATTGGATATTATCTAATAAAAAAAGCCTCCAAATTTTATATAGTGAAATTTAAATTTTTAAGTATTTATAAAAGATTATAAAAAAATTATTTTTAATTTAATTTTAAGGGGGTGCATATTTGATGGTTTTGTGTATATCAATTTCAACTTAGCGCTTTGTGATCCATTTTTGACAAAACGCGGTATTTTAGCTATAGATAAAAAGCTCAAAATTGATTTCAGAAAATTTTTTGTTAGGAAAAAAGTGATTATTTATTAAACTGTGCTGCTCTTGGCATTTAATTATAATGTGAATGTTCCAGTGTCTTTTATTGATTATTGTTCTATCACATTTAATTTTAGCCAAAATATGCGCAGAGTACCAAAACTCAAGGCTAACCAAAACGAGCAACTGCAAATTTTGGGTATGAGCAGAGAACGGTTATTCTACGGGTATCAGGCACCCCAAGAAGAATTGCCAAATATCAGCGAGATTAATCAAATTAGCAAAACATTAAAAATCTACCTTTCGAAATTTAACATTGAAGGTAGCCTAGAAGAAAAAAGAGAGCTATATGCTTCCTTTATTTTAGCATTGGAGAGAGCAACGAACGTGGGAGATGTGCTAAGATGCATCCAATTACCATCAGGAGACGCAATCACCACATATGCAAATAGCGAGAGAAGAGATGAAGAAGAGAGGAGGAATTCTGACAGCACACAGAGGCAAGAATATAGTCATACCCGTCGGGCCAGTTGTCGAGAAAGGAATCATAAACTATGCGAGATATAGAATTGGCTTTACATTTCCAGTCGGAATACCAATAGAAAAAGTAGTGGAAGTGGCAAGCACAAGATGCAGGGTTGTGGAGGTAATAGTGGACAATGCATTAAATTGTGGAGGAGACAGATATTCGGTACACTTCAGTCCACACTCGAGGTACATCATATACGGAGAATTTGGGAATGTTGAAGAAGCGCTTGACATGCCAGATGAATTATTCATTGATGGAAAAAGAGTAATTCTAAGGCACCCAGGATCACTGTTCTGTAAGATATGCAAACAACCTGGGCACAACGAAGAAGGTCACAAAAAAGTGGTGAAGAGGAAGAATGAGAAGATAAAGGCTGAAAGACTGAGGAAGGATAAAAGGGCACAGGAAAAGGTACTAGGCCTTAAAACACTAACAGAGGAACAGATGCAGCTGCAAGAAGACGATAAAATAAGTGGTTTTACCAGCGGGAGAATAAATAAAATAGGAGACGAGATAGCATCAGATGAAGGAAATTTAACGGCTGACATGAGGGAGGAAGCAATATCAAGGAAGAGGGCAATGACAAAAGCAGGGTTCGGTCTACCGGCGAAAATAGACAAGATGGACTGAAAAAAGAAAATTGATGAAGCAGCGGGGCAGCTTAGCCTGGATGAAGCTTTGATGAGGTTAAGAAACGAAACAGAAAAAACTACCAAACTCTATAGGGAATTAACCATAGGAAAGAGTAGCACAAACACGCCGACATTTATAAGACTAAATGCCTATGAAGAACAGAGTCTTAAGCTACAAAAAAGGCTAGAAGAACTCAAAATAGACTGAAGAGAAGTGGTGCTATACGGGGGAAAGTATGAAGCAAATTTGAAACTTTCGAAGATCAACTGCAGAGAAGATGTGATATGGTATGCTGATGCAACAGAAAAGAGATGTCACTGAAAAATACTTAGGGGCAAAGCATGGAGCTACATGGAGGCGAAAGAGACGAAGTATGGAACAAATAATAAAAGGCAAATGAGAACCACCGACTTGTTTTGAAAAAGCTCATAAGAGCTTAAACAATGCATACGCATTGTTATAAGTAATAAATAGATAGATAGATTATTGTTCTATCTTAATTAAAGATATCTTCATACCTTATAATATATAATTGTATTTGCTGAAGTTCTGCAACGAGCTCAAATTATTTTGAAAAAATAATTCAAAGTAAATCTTAAAAAACTATCATGCAAAACCCAATAGGTAAATTTCGAAAAAATAATGCGAAAAACAAGAGTTAAGTGCCAATGGAATTACAGAGTATTCTTTAACATTTATCCTGACTCCCCTTCCTTTAAATTGGAACTAAAAATTTTGTTCCAATTTAAAGGGGGGGTTAATTTTTTTTTTTTAAAAAAAAATATCAACATAAAATGTTTTATAAAAAATATAAAAATTTCAACAAAAAAAAATTTCAAAAACTTATCGAATTAGATTAATAAATTTGTTTAATAAAACGCTATTTACTCTTTATCCTTTAAAACAAAGCAAGATATAACTAAATTTTCATTATTAGTTAATACACCACTATTAATTGGTATCAAAATTATTTAAACAAAAATTTTTATTTTTATTGACAAAAAAAATTAAAAAAAAAAAAAAAATTTTGGAAAATTTATCGATCAAAGTGCTAATTTTGTTTTAAATAAGATGTTATTTATACTCTATTCTTTAAAATGAAGCAAGAAATAAGTAAATTTTGAAATTTTATAAAGAATTCCTATTGAATTTATATCAAAACTATCCAAATAAAAAATATCATTTTTATCAACAAAAAAAAAATGTTTTTTTGAAATTTTTTAAAAAAAAAAAAAAATTAATTTGTTTTTAAAAATTTAGCAATTAAGGATAATAAATTTATTTAAATAAGATGCTCTTTATATTTTTTTCTTTAAAAAAGAGCAAGATATAACTAAATTTTGAATTTTAGTTAAGAAGAAACATTTAACTTTATATCAAAACTTTTTAGATAAAAATTATATATAATTTTTTATTATAAAATTAAATTTTGTTCCAATTTAAAGGGGGGTTAATTTACCAAAAAAGTGGAAATTTTACCGATATTTTGTTCCAATTTAAAGGGGGGAGAGTGAGTAAAAAAGTAATTTTGTGATATTTAAAAAATTATAGTTATAATTGAGAAAATTAAAAACACTAAGGCTTGAAATATTAATAGCAATAAATAGCATCAGCTCAATCCTTTCATAAATTTGATGCTTCTGCTTGAATATCCCAGATTTTTGATTCAATTAACTTTAAAACTTTAAATTATTTAGAGTATTTAAATAAATTTTATATATTTACTTACCATTTATTCAAATTCATCGATAATTTACTTAAAGTGAGAATACAGATTTTAGTTGAAACTCCTTTAGAAATTGATTCTTTATAGGAGGTCCTAAGAAATGAAGCAGCATTCAGTGCTTAGAATTCAGATTATCGCCTAAGAGCAATAAAAAAATGTATGAGAAATTTTATTAGATTTTGCAATTTGAAGAAGCACTTGAGTTGTCAGGTATAAGCATTTCCTCTGAATGCTTAAATGCATTACTTTCTGTAATTCAAAATACATCTATTGAGCATATACGGTTAAATAATTGCAAGCTATCAACTTTTAAACTATAGAGGCTGCCTTTGAGTAGCGCTCTAAGCGCCCGAGACTTCCCGACGAAGTCTGGGCGGTGGTTTGACCAGCTGATGTTGGTCAAACCAACATCCAAAATGACAAATTCTTCTTATACAGAAGGTTTGTCAAATTGGATGCTGGTTCGACCAATATCAGCTGGTCAAACCACCGCCCAGACTTCGTCGGAAGTCTCGGGCGGGCGCTTAGAGCGCTACTCAAAGGCAGCCTCTATATATAAAACTGCATTGCAATATCAAAAACCAAGATAAAGTTAGTAGAGCTGCAAAGTAACAGGATTGAGGATCAAGACATGAAATAGTAATCAGCAGCCTTTAAAATTGCCAAAATTGAAAAGGCTTGGCATTTCTCACAATCCTTCGATTTAAGAGAAAAATTAAATCTTTAAACATAAGCTCTCCTTAGTGGATAGGGATAGGCTTAGCAAGATCCTTATATCAGTGTGGAAGGAAGCAGCCAGCAGTGGGCGGCTATAACATGAAGCCAATCTTAAACTCTGTGCTACAATTTCTGTCGCGTCTTGCCTAAAGGCAAAGACTCCAGCTTATGCAAAAATCGCTTCAATTGTTTAAAAAAAATACAGACAGAAAAGTCTTTGTTTTGAGCTAACGTCTAGAGAGTGCAAAGGAGATAAATGCCAAAGCAAAAAATATCTCAAAGAAAGCAACTTAATACAAATATTCAAACATTTTTGACCCATAAATATGAAATTAGCAAAGAAAATGAAGCCAGAAAACAAGCCAAGGTGCCTGCATTATTAGAGATGGAAAGGAGAAAGAAAAAAGAAGAAGACGGAAAACTGCAAGTAGACTGATAATTTCAGTTAAAAGCTGGGCTAAGGTCCTCAAAGTCTATTGCACTCACTTTTAATTTCAAAGTGGAAATAAAAATGACTAAACAAAATAATCTGTAGAATGTTATTCCTCTAATAGCTGCGACCAAGCCAAATCCAATTAAGAGAGGGGGATCTAGTGATAATGGAAATTCTGAAGAGAAGAAAAATGCTGAGGAGTTTGATAATCAAAGTTGAGGAAGAGCAAAAGGAAGATGAAAATCCTGCCCCTGAAGTAGCTAATTAAAATATCAAATAATGTTTAAAATTTATATTGGTATGAGAGGTAGCTATTTAAACAGACAACGCGATTCACAAATTGAATTAAAATAATTTTACCAGTTATGCAATCCATTTTCTGTAGTATTTATGATATTAGTCCAGAAAATAGTGATTATTTTGTAATTTTAGGTATTAATTAATAAATTGCTAGCAATTCAGGCTCAGCACTAATCCATAAAGAGATTTCAGACTAATTAGCTTCTATGAGATTATTATGCAATAAAGAACTAAGCTAATCAATGCTTATCCCAATACAAAATCTGATGAAGAGAAAAATCTTCATATGTGCTATGAGTTAGCATAAGCTTAAAGTGCTCCAACCTCTCAAGCTAGCATTGCATTTTTGGGCTAAGCTAAGCTGCGAAGCAATAGGAATAAAGTTTTAAATTAGTTCTACTGTAAGACCAAACTTTTATACGATTTCAGTCGCAGTTTAAATGTTTTCGTGTAAGTTAACACAGCTGATAAGTTTTTGATCTCACGTGAGATGCTAAATAAATTATATATAGCAGAGATTTGCTTTTCAGCATATTTTCTATTATTTCTGCAAGGACTTTACGGATACTTTCAAAGATTGAAGGAGCGCCTTGAAAAGAGTGATTGCTATTTTGGGGATTGATTTTTATTTGAAGCATCTAAGGGGCTCTAGCGTAAATCTAAAAGCTGTTATGCTTATTTATTCCCTAAATGATTTTTAAGGTTTCTTTGTGAAGTGAACTTACCCAATATAAAGGGTTAGGTTAGGTTATTAAAAGTCAGGAGTTAGCCATATCGATGACGTAGCCACCAAAATTGCCCTCTGAGAGGTTTTAGCACTTTTCGACTCTAGCCCAGAGGGTCTCTGCCACGTCTAGTACTTTCTGCCTCCTCCTTGCGGCTTTATCTTGAGTGAGCAACTTCCCTTTGACAGCTAAAGGAAAAAGACTGCTCCCCTGTGGCCTGGGCCAAACTCTCCCAGTTTCTGGTAGAGGAATGCCCATGGGTAAAGGACATTATTAAGCACCTCCATTTCCAATCACAGAAAGCAACCAAAACCTACCCGGATACGATCTCTCGAGCTTGCATTTGACTCTCGGCTCGAAGTCCGTTCCAGTTCGCCGTAGCCATAAGGTCTGCACTGTAGCGCCAAAAGGGCATGTGGCACGTGCCACCATTTTATGTATAGCAAATATAAGGGATTTATATCGGTGAGACTATTTAGCTGCATGGGAAATAAGGTAATTTGTTTAAGCTTTTTATTCATCCATAATTTCATTAAGTTTTGTCTTTAAAAGTCTTTTGGCCTTCTTGTTTTATTATACGATCATTGTTTTTCTATAATCCACGATTTTATATTGTATAATACTCAGGCGCGATAGGCTCACTCCTTCATTTGCAGTATGGGAGTCATTTTTCTGTTTTAGACGAGACTTTTGATAAACTTGAGAATAATTGCCTATTGTATTTAATTTTCATTGATGTTTCAAAGGCTTTTTTTGATGTTCCCAATAATATATCCCCTTTATTTTACCTATACTGTGTGTATACTCTTCTTACTCCAACAGCAATAATCAAGTTCTTGCTTCTTCGTGAGGGTTTTCGTACAAAGTTTAATATGATCAGATAGAAATTTGCTTATTATTGGTGGGATTTCAAATAAAATGTCAAAAATGCACTTGTGGTCATTTATAACCCAATAATAAGCAAATTTCGATCTATTTATAAAAACATTCTATTTGAAAATTTTGGTTAAAATCCTCATAGATAAATAGTAATTTGTTTATAACTGATGGGGGTTAGGTTTCATTTTATTCAAAACCTTCTTGAAATGTTAGAAATGCCAAAAAACAGCTTAGGATGCAATTTATTGTATAAAATATTTAGATTATAATATCTTTAATTACATAGGCTTATTCTTCTGCAGGATTTGCTCTAGATTTTTAAGGCTGAATAAACAAAAAATTGTCAATTAAGCAGCACGATAAAAAAGGGCATTCGGTGTGAGAGAAGCCCAATAATTTCTCTTCCTCATGAAATCTTATTTTTGAGGGTTTATTTTTACTGGCGAGCCTTTTATCTCAATGCTATGGCTACAATCGGATGAGGCGAGAGTCTAATCCGTATTAACTATAAAGTTTAGCCCTTCTAGATGAGCAAAAATATTTTTTTTGTTCGCTCACAGAGGAGAGGAGTAAGAAATTTAATTTTAATTTTAAGTCACTTAATAAATGCTATTCTAAGATAATTAGCTCTATAATCTACCATTAGATCGCTTAAACATTAGAAGAACTTTTTTTATATAGACCAAATTAAGCTCATTGATTTATTAGTCATTTTGCCTGGACTCTAATCTGGCATCAAATAATAGTCTTCGCCAAGCATAATGGAACTTCATATCGCAAATTAAGTCATCATAATAATTTTCTCTTGCTAAGCTTTTATTTAAATTCAAATTTCTCAAATCTTGTTTTAAAACTCCAGTAATTAAAAGAACTGGAGGTCTTTTTTTAAAATGGCAACAAATTTTTGAAGATTCTTATAAATGATGATTATTCAGTAAAAAGTGATATCCAGAAGGCTTATTTCATGCAAAATAGCAATCTTCAGATGCCTTTTTAATTAATTTTGATTCCCCAACACTGATTTTTATTTCTTTTAAAATTTTATTAAATATAACGCATTTGAATCATTGTCATTTTGATGCTTATATGAACCGAAAATTAAGACTTAAGCAAATTTATCGATTGTTTTTATAGCTTATGAACTGTAATAGATAGCTATGGTAAAGGGAAATACCGATCAGCAAAAATGTGTTCAAGGATAATTTTAGCATAACATAAATATATTAGGCATCTTAAAATTATAAACAAAAATTTGCCATTTTTTGTAAAAATAATTGAAGTATCCAAATTTATTTTAAAACTAAAATCGATAAATCAATAATGATCTATTTAAAGACACGAACTATATTATATTTTTGGTTATATTATTGATAAATTAGGAAGAATTCGGGTTATTTCTTATCATACTTGCATAAGCTTCCCTGATTTCTTTAGTCATCATGCTCGCCACTTCTTTATTACCTGATGTCAAAATGAGAAACACCTTATTCCCCCACCCCCAAAATTATGTTAACATATAATAAGCAAATTTTTCTTATTCGAGGGATTTTTTCATAAAATTTTCAAAATAGTAATAGAGATTTTCAGATAAAAAATTTAATAATACAAATTTGAGGTAAATGCCTAGCAAGGAAAAAAAATATATTTAAATAGTATTTGAAAATTTGGTTTAAAACAATCCACTCGCTCATAAATTACTGGAGGAGTTAGTAAAGCATGTAGGATTTTCCATATCCCCTCTTAAATCATTTAAAATGATTTTTCTTATCTTTTTCCAGCTCTCCCTTCTTTTCCTTTGCCTTTCTAATCTTTTATTATTTCTTTCTTCCGATTCTTTTGTTTGTTGAATCCTTCTGGCATCCCTGTTTTTGAAACTTTCTTCAGCCTCTGCAGCTTTTGCTTCCTAATTTTAGGTTACATTAATACAATAATTGGAGTGCCTATCCAGCAAGAAAAGCTTTGGGTTCCAAGATATCGCATAATCGGCAATTCCAAAGGCATCCTTAACAAATTTCCCCCCTCTGGTTGTCACCAAATTATGCTCCACTGCTGTAAAGTGCCGGACAATATCTTCTATTGAGCTTGGGCCGTTTTTTCTGAGATATTGGATCAAGCATCCAACAGCAGTGTTTTCAAATTTAATTGGAGATTTTTTTCTGCCTTGGGTGTATTCCCTTCCGGGGAGCACACTTTCAGGTGAAGAATGAACTCCAAGTAGTTCTTGAGAATGGTAGCTGAGCTCTTGAGGAGGCTCAATTGGAATTTCGAGATTTCTAGATGACTCAAGCTCTTGAGGTATATTTTTAACCATTTATTTATTTGTTTATTTTATAAAGGTTTACATAATCATGCATAATAAAAGGGATAGATCAATTTTTGATAATAATTTGAGTTTGAATCAAAAGAATAGGCATCGATATTATGGATAATTTAAAGAGTAAACAAGTAAAGCGGTTTAGTAGTCTTTGTGATTTTTTTGGAAATTTTTAGCTAGTAAAAGCACTTTTAATAAAATATAATAAGGTATGATTTTTATGGATTAAAACAGGTATGACTATGATTTATAATTAGTGTTTAAATATTGTAGTGATAAAATTGCTTAAATCTGCAGAATAATACATAGTAAAAAATTAATTTATAAAAAAATTGCCTAACAGATAAAGATTGAAATGAAATGGCCTAACCGATTCGCCAAGTTAAAGTCATCAAATTTTAGAATTTTCAAAATTTTTTATACTTATACACAAAGAACTTTTATTCGAAAAGCTATAGAAGTTTCCTATGTTTGGCGCTGTAAGGCCGATAAATTCTGATCGGAATTTATCGGTTGGTGGCACCAAATCAATGCCTTGGTCGGACCAAAAAGCGATTTGGTCGACGAACTTGGAAAGCTCCTGGGAAAATGTCTGCGCTTTCAGCGCTATATAGAGGAAACCTCTATATATAGATTTGCCATTTTATTCAAAACAAAAGGATATATTACTGAGCCTTTTTCCCTTTTAGAGATAGCTAATTTTTATTCTTAAATATGGAATTGCTAAAATTTTTAAAAATAATTTTATTAAAAGATCTATTTGAGAAGCTTTTTAAGCTAATTTACCTTTAATATCAATATTTTAATTGGCTTTTTAGTCAAGCTGCATTTCCTAAGTTTATCTGTGTTTGATAATTCAAAAATAAGGTTGATAGCAACATGAAATGGTCTTTAATTCAATTCAAATAGCATTAGCAGCATTATTTTAAAAATATTTTTGATGCCTTTTAAAAATTATATAAACTTCACTTTAAGCATTTTAATTTCAGATTGTTCTTAAGTAAAGCAAGATTTTTAATTAAAGTCTCATTAATTATTTAAAAGTCTATTTCTCAAACATTTTTCAGGACTTAACTTGATATGATTTTTACAACTCTATTATTTCGATATGCTTCATTTTCCATCCAGGAATGACTTTAATTCTAATCTGTCTAAAAAGCAGGCGTGGATAGGCAGGTGATGACTAAGTGCGAGCTAAACCGTATTAAGACATAATATAATCCATCATGCAAACTGATAAACGAAATAACCAGACTATAGTGATAAAAGTTGAAAAAATTAAAAAACAGCATCTCCTTTAATTTAAAACCAAATGAATTTTAGTAATCTATATTAACCTGGCTGGGATGTAATCATCTCCCCTAGGGTTATCTAAAACCGCTCATAGAATATTGCTAGAAAATCTGAAAGGAAAAGTTTAGGCTAAAAAGAGCTATGACAAATCACTGATTGAGCTTGATTTCATTACTGTCACCTTCTTAGTTTAGCTTGGCATTAGGATAAGTTATAAAACTTATATATAAAGACAAAATTAGTAAAAATGGGAAAATGATGAAATTACAAAAAGTTGAGCAATTTTATATACCGTGAAGATCGAAAAATAATTAAAAACCAAAGACTCATACTAAAAGTAGCTCCAAAGATAAAAGATAGATGAAGACTTGCTTTAATCATCAAGAAATAATTGGCCAGCTGAATATATTTGAGATATGAAAAGGAAATGAGCTAAAGCAAACTAAAAATCAAGAAGATGTCTGTTGATTTCGAATTATGATGGGCAGGGATCGTTCAAAATCTTAATTATTAGAAGCAAAAAGAAAATCAAACAATATTTTGATTAAATATTTTCCAGCAAAATGCTTAGCATGATTTTATTTTTACTCCCGCCTTCAACCTTGAACAAGATGTCGGAAATTAAAACCCTTTAAATTGTTAAATTTTTAATGGAAAATTTTATCAAATATTATTTTTTTTTTAATAAAAGCTTTAAAATTTATTTAATTGAGGGAGCGCAAGCATATTACTATTTAAACAGCTAGAACACTGGACCAATTAATTTTTTGAATTAATTCTTCTAAAAAATAAATTAAATCTAGAAATATTGCTTTGAATTTAGTTTTTTATTTTGAAGATTTTATAAAATTTTTTTAAGCAACTTAAATTGAGACACAAAAATTTGTTCCAAATTGGGGCGCGTTAGCTAGAATTTTAAAGAGTCCCTTTTGCAGGTCTAGATCTAGAAGGAAGTAGATAAAAGTAAAACCCTTTTAGGATGAAATCTGTTTGAAATTATTTATGCTATAATTTCGGAATGGCAAAGGGCAATATTTTAATTTTTAAAAAGTAGCACTATTTCTTGTTCTCTCCGTCAGAAAAACTAAACTTATGAGTATAGCTATTTAGCTAATATTTAGAAAGGTTTGGAAATTCAAATTCATTTAATAAGGGGAAGCACCTAGAATATAAGTTTAGTGCATAATAGTTGGACTATGAAAACGACACCCTGGATAAAATATGACTAAGACTATAAAAACGCCAAAGTAATATGAAAGCCATAGCATCCAAAAGCTAATATCAGTGAAATTTTGGACTGTAAAGCATGTATAAGGAGATTTGGAAGGATGCTGCTGTCAAGAACTTATAAAATGAATAATGAAGAATCAAGAAGAAAAGAAGAAAAGAAAAGGTGCAAGACGAACGTAAAAAAGGCAAATCTCTCAAAATCAGTTAAATTTTCCTTTGGGTGTACTAAATTAAGGGTAGAAGCAAAATGATGTATCAAAGAAAACCTTTCTTTATTGAAGCTATATAGAGCCAAAAAGCTATTGAGAGGAGTTTTTTATTAAAAATAACTAAATTTCATAAGAAATGCTTTTGAGAGTCTCGAACCTTTTCATCTAGTGCAAAATAATTAATTTTACTTCGGAATCGCTGAATCTATAAAAGTTCCTCAAAAAAGCATATGACGAGAGATGAGCTGTAACTTGACGATAAAAGGCAAATATTGATTAAAAAATGGGAAAATTGATAAAATTAAGAAGCAAATAGTGGCAGGATTACGAAGCAAAAATTAAGTAAGAAGCCAGAAAATGCTTAAAGAAAGGAAAAATACTGAGAAATGCCAAATTTCAGAAGCCTTACTGGATTTATCAAGATATCATCGATAGGATAAATATGCCAAGTAAAGATAAGAAGAAAATCTCATGAAATGCAAATGAAAAGATAAAGAAAGGTGCCTGATCAGAAATAGAATATACTTATTCAAATGTCGGCATCTGATAAGATGAATCTAAACTTATTTTTGATGTAATTTCTATCAGCTCTAGACTGAAAGATGAATTTTCCCAAATTAAAAAGGTGTTATCTAGAAGATTATTTTTTATTATTCTGCAGTTAGAAAAGAAAGCTTATCAGAGTGTGATTTAATTAAATTTCTTTGAGGATTTCGCCTATTAAAATAATACCTATAAAGAGTTTAATAAAGCAAAACCTTGCCCAGAAATCGAGGAGCTTTATGCTAAATCAAAGTGTTTTTGAGCTAAAAGTCAAATATATTATAAGAAATTCTAAAAAAGGGCAAAAAATAAGAGCTTATAAATAGCAGATAAAGATAACAGAGGAAGAGAAAAAGAAATAAGAAGCGGAGAGATAATAAATTAGGCCTTGAAAGGTAAAGACTCAAAAATTAGCCGATTCACTAAGGTTGAAAGCGAAGCAAAAAGAACTATAAGATGACTTGAAAATGCTTCTCTTATCGTTTAAGACACCATCTCTGCTAGCTGTTGAAAAGAAGTTTTTTATTTCAAAAAAGTAAAAATTATAGATGTCCCTTGAGAGTGGAAATTTTGTAAAAATGGGAAATTCAGAAAAAATAAATAAAGAGTTAAAGATCCACTGCCGCATTACGTAAGGTAGCAATAAAGAAAATGCGAAGGGTAGCCTATTACTGAAGATATTGTTTAATTAGCTTAAAGCCTTACATTTAAAAATTTAATACAATCTAGTTAATTTAGGATTATTCGGCGTCAAAGTGTTTGTGAGATTAAATCTCTGCAGTCAATCAATCCAAATGAAATTAGGAAGCAAATAATACATGATGAAGCTTTAAAAGCATATTTAAGTTTTCTAAGCCAAAATTATCTCTTAATTAGCAGAAATTCTGAGAATATCCTTATAGTCGTGAGGGATAATAAATAAATAATGCATATAGCTTTTTATTTCTTTCAGGGGATTAGGGATAGCTTAATCTAGTATCTATATGAGAAAAATAAAAAACACTCTAGAAAAACAAAAATTATATCAGCAGGAATTATCAATGATATTTTATATTTATAAATAAGCAATCAACAATTTAAATATCTTACTGATATTATCTAAACTGGAAGGAATGAATATTTTATATTTTCATAATAAAAGCGTAATATCTTAGCTGTAAGTTATTAAATGGCATATACCTTATATTAAGTGAAAACTCTATATTTATAGCTTATACTGTAAAAAATTTAAGATTAGATACAATATTTATTAATAATTATAATTTATTAACTCCCCCTCTCGTGAGCGAAAAAAAACCATTAGAAAAATCCCTATTTTTTGCCCAAAAATCCACCCTCCGTGAGCGAGCAAAAACATTAGAAAATCCCTTTTTTTGGTCCAAAAACCCACCCTCCGTGAGCAAACAAAAATTTTTTATAAAAAAAATTTTGATATATATAAGTTATAATTATTATTATAATCTCGAGTAATCCTGCTTAATTTTAAACAAATTGTATTTTAAAAAATAAATTTTACAAATTAAATTAATATTTACTTTCCAAATTTTTGTGAAGCGGGATTTTTTAAATTTCGAAAAAACAATTTTTTCTATAACATTTATTATAAATTTTTTAAAAAAAAAAATTTAACCCATCTCCGTGAGCAAACAAGATTTTTAGTTCGCCCAAAGTGGGGGGAGTAAGGCAAGATTTGAATAAAGTCTTAGTTAAAGATTAAGAAGAAAGCAGTCAAGAGACCAAGGTAAATTGCTGCATCATCTTTAGACCCTGTAGTCGTAATTGAAACACTCTTCAAAGGAGTGACTGTTGATCCACTGGTGCTGGCATCCATACAGTAAGTATGAGTTGGGTAGCTGTTGCAAGCAGTGAAATAGCAAGTGTAGGATGTGGCTTGGGTTAAACCTGAAACTGTAAGTGAGATAGCTGTTGCCGCTGTAGTAACATTGGCGCATGTTCCATGTGCTTCGTTAGATTCAGCATCTAATCCGTCAATAACTTGCCAAGCATAAGTAGTTTTAGTTGTAGTGATATCAGTGCAAGATACACAAGCAATACCAACTTGAGATGAGGTTACACTGAAAACAGCACTTGTGTCAGCAACTGAAGTCTTAGATGGGTCAACTGACCAGGTAGGGACTGTGCCAGTTGATACAGAAGTTGCGCTTCCAAAAGCGGCTGGGGCAGATCCAGCGATAGAAGTCAAATCAGTAGTAGCTCCAGTTTGGTCAAGTTGGGCGAGCATATAGGATGGGGAGTAGCCTGGCTTGCTTCTGTCATAAACCATTTGGTAGTTAAATCTTGAGTAGGTTGTAGTTGAGGTCTGGAGGAACCTTAAAGATCCGGTTGCTGATGATGGAGTTGTTCTTCCTGTAGAAATGAGCCAATCAGGGTTAACTCCCATATTCTTTGCCAAGCCTCTTCTGATACTGTCATCAAGACTTGCTGCGACATCTCCTGTGAAGGTTACTGAGGTGGAATAAACAGCCTGGGAGGAGGAGGTGGTAAAGTCAGTAGTTGCAGTAGGTTGAGTGCTGCTGATTTTATTGTCAGCATATGCATAGAAGGAATAGTGAGTGTTATCCATGAGCCAGTCAAAGGTGATTTGTACTTGCCCATTCTTAGATCTGTTTACTATAGCGCTGGACCATAGAGTGTTGCAGTGATTCTTGTGAATTCTCTTGAAGAAAGAAGTAATATCAGTGTCTTTAGTGTAGTCGATATGGGTCTCAGTAGCCAGATGGCCAAAAAAATTCATTATCACACCTTTAGTCATATTTTACTGCTTTCCACATCAAACTGAATTTAGCATATTAATTATAGCTTAAATTAGGCATTTTAGAGTATTTTAATCAATTAAATTTTATTATTAAAACGTATTCAAAAATTTAAATTTATAAATAAATGCCAAAAAAGCAAAATTCTTACCAAAGATATGCAGATAAAATGTAGGCTGAGGGGCTTATTTAATACTCACCAGCTGATACTCATCTGCAAGCTGCTTTTCAAGGCTGTCTATAGTAGATTCAGGAGATACGAGACTTTGGATTTGTGCCTTAAGCTCAGAGTAAGTAAGAGCTGCAGCACCATAGCAGGTAAGTCCCCAATAGATGACTGCATCTTGGCTGAATTTGGCTGTAATTGTCATTGAAGTACCTGTAGGAGTACCAGCGCTTAAAGTTAGGGAGGTTGATGATGTAGGGAGAGTTGCAGTAACTGTTGGAGATTGAGAAGCTGGGGCAGCATAGATAGCTGCATCAGTGCCAGTTACAGTGAAAGAAAGCTTAGGTGTCTGAGTTGTGGCATAAGTTGAAGCTACTACAAGCTCAAAGTAGAGAGTTTCGGTGTCTGGTGTAAATGTAAGGGTTGCAGGGTTGATGGTAATGCCAGTAGCTGTGGTACCGAATGATGGAGTAACAATTAATTGAGTAGCTGGAGCACTAGGAAGGGTTACAAAGATTGGAATGCTAGTATAGCCTACGTAAAGGGTTGGAAGAGTGTCAACAGTAGGTACGATTGTGCCAGTTGTTGGGGTGCTGCAAACTTCGACCATAACGCTGAGAGGAGCACTGTAAATGTTGTTAGCTACTCCATCTTGGCGAGTTTCTACGACAGTCCAGTCAATATAAACCTAGCTTTGCTAACTCCCCCCCTCCGTGAGTGAACAAAAACATTAGAAAAATCGCTATTTTTTTGCCCAAAAGCCCACCCTTCGTGAGTGAACAAAAATTTTTTTAATAGAAAAATTTTTTATTGAAAAAAATTTTGATATATAAGTGATAACTAGTATAATGAAATCTAGAGCTAATTCTGTTTAATTTTAAACAAATTGCTTTTTAAAACATAAATTTTATAAATTAAATTAATATTTGCTTTCCAATTTTTGCGAATTAGGATTTTTTTAAAATATTTTCTATATAATTTATATATAAATTTTGTTAAAAACAAAAAAATTAACCCCCTCCGTGAGTGAACAAAATTTTTTTGTTCACTCACGGAGGGGGGGGAGTAAGCTTGAGAATTTTAAACAAATTTACTGATAATAAAAATAAGGGCTTGATTTCAGCCATAAAATCAATCTTAACCTTTCGTAGCATAATAAATTCCGAGTGCAGTTCCAGTAGCAGCTGATACTCTGAACGCGATTTCACTATCCAATTGGAAAGCAGTGTATGAGTGGTAGAATGAAGTGAATTTAATATTGCTAGCTGTGTCTGGATAATTAGAGTTTGTCTTTGCAGTCAGTACCAATTTTTGTGATTTCAAGCCAAAGTTATTTGATCCTGAGACAACGCTGATTGAAATATCACCACTTTGTTGTCCAGGTAAGAGTTGGATGTGGTTAGCCTTGGTTGATCCTTTGTATGAATTAACATCAATTGATGAAGCAGTGCTCAGGGAGTATCCTAAATATCCAGAGTTAAGGACTCCATAAGTTCTTCCAGTAAGGACCTTGTTGGTGGAGTCTACAACGTATAAGTCAAATCTGTTTGACCAATAAGAATACGAAGATCCATAATTGCTTCCAGTATAGCCTAAACCCTTTATTACTCTGATTATGCCTGGTCTTGTACAATATGCATGGAAATTTGACTTCTAATTCCAGTGGCAAACTAACACTCTGAGTTGGCAGATCTATTATAGTCTAGATTTACTTACTTATATAGAGATATAGCTTGAACCCAGAACTGGCAATTCTAATTCTTAGTAATTATCTAGCAATAGCGTGTTCAGGCTATAACATCCCAACCTTTGGTTCTTGTTAAGCCATACTGTGGATTGTTAACGCTGGTCAATGAAATTCTGATTCTGTCAGTTGTTTTGACTGTAGGAGTTGAGCCGCTTGGAATGGCAAAAGAGACGACGTTTCCACTTACGCTGCAAGAGCTGGTGCTTACCCAACTGCTTCCAGTAGGAGATGTGGCTGAAGTTTCATCATAAGTTGATGCACTGCAGCTTAAAGAGCTGGTAGAGTATAGTTTGACGTTGAATTGTTGAGGGAAAACAATGTTGAATGTATTGGCTGAGCTGAAGGTGGTACTTGAACTTATGGCTGGGTAGAAATCGAAGTTATAGGTTGTGGAAGTGGTCAATGTGCGGTCTGTAGCTGATAGAGGCTTAAGGTTAATATTGCTAATTGAGGAAGTAGGGGTTACTGAAACAGATGAATAAAATGAAGCCTTTAGCTTTTGAGTTGAATCGTAATGCCAAATATTGAAATATCCAGTTGCAGAAGGTCCTGGATTTCTTACACCATAGACAACGAGGGATGCTGAAGCTCCAGCAGATTGTGCAGAAGCTCCTGATACAATAAGATACCAGTGATCTGCAGTGCAAGTAATGCCGGTGCCAAGAGCTGATGATGTGCAGGTGAGATACCAGTTATTTGGTAAACAGTCAGGGTAGGTGTTGTCAGCATCTCCAATGTAAGCGTCAAAGTCTCTTGGGAATTGAATGTATATTAGATCTCCGCTTGCAATTGCTGCTTCAGAACTGAAGGTAAATGTGTAAGCAGCCTTTTCTCCTGCAGTTGAGATGTCCATAGTAACTCCAAGGGTAAGTGCAGCAGAAACAGCAGATCCAACAGTAATTGCAGCTCCACCTGAGGTGACTGCTGAGTCATCAACAATTTTAGTTGGAGCTGATCCCCAATAGGCATAAATCAAGAAGTTTCCTGAGCTTCCTGCAGCTGAAAAAGTGGTTGCGCCATCCAAATAAACAACAATGCTGGTTCCAGAGGCAATGTCAGCAGATGGGTAAATGTTGATTGTAGTTGATGAAGCTATTTCACATCTGCTGTATACAAAGTTGGTCCAACAGTAGTTTTTAATGCTAGCTGTTGATGTGGAATAAGACCAAGTAAGAGAAGAAGGTGTCGATATCGTAATATAGCCAGTAGCAGGGATTTTTTTATTTAAAGAAAATGTAAGCAAGATATCAGCAAGCTTGCTTGGAACGTTAGGATAGGCATTGACAGTCAAAGTAGAAACACCAGTTGTCACAGAAGCAGAAGAAGCAATTGATGTTTGCAATGGGCTTCCTCCAGCTGTAGCCCAACTCTCAATTGTAAAACCAGCTGTCGAGGTTTTAAGTGCTGTGAAGCAATCCTTGTCAATGCTTGAAGCTCCGCTATTTGTTGGTGGTGCAACTCCAGCTGCGATCACAGTATATGAGCCTGCTTTAAGTTCAGCAGTCAACGTAGCTGTTAAAGTTGAGCCAGAAATGCCAAAAGTTGCTGAAATTGAAGATGAGTAGCTTGATGCTGTACTTGGCCAAGTCCATGAGCTATCCAAAGTGAAAGTAACTTTACCATCTTTAGGCACTGTAATGGTAGTGGTGAAGCCAAAAGTCATTGAAAGATTTACAGAGTCTGCACTTAGCCCTATAATAGAGCCAGAACTGCTAGTGCATGTCGGAGTGGCTAATGTGGTTTCATCTATTGTAACAGTAGAATCAGAGGAGCTAGAATAAGCTTCAGAATAAGAGCATGCGCCTCCTATTGCTGATGATGATGCTACCCACACACCCCACGTGCCTTCTCCAGCTATAAGAGAATGGTTTGGTGGTTGGAGAGCTGTAACTGCGAGGTCATAGGTTGATGCAGTAGAAGTAGGTGTTGCAGCACCCCATGTACCATAAGCCATAATAAACCCGCCGACTCCAGTATCACTTGAAGAGCCTAAATAATATGTTGTAGAAGCAGGAGAATTTGTAGTACTACCCGAACCAACTTTAACAGAGTATGTAGGAGTTCCTGAAAATATAAATCCTGGTGAGAGGCCAATTCCAATATATGGGGCTTTCCATTGAATAGCCCAATGACGGGATGAAGCCAGCCCGTTATCGGGCTATTCAAGGGAAAGCCCTATAATCATTATTGACTATTGAAGTTGCTCTATTATCGCTATCAAGAGTATTAGAAATAGTAACGCCTGCTGAAGATCCAATGGCCCATGCTGTGGCTGAAGTTTTTGTAGCACCTGTTGATGTAGCATCGAAATTTTTTACAGATGCGACGGTCCAGCTAAGTGAACCTTGGTAGAGAACTTGTCTAACTGAACTATCAGATGATTTTGGGAAGTAGAAATATGAATTAATGTTCAAGGATGCTTCTGCTAAGGTAGCGATTGCGCTTGGGAAATAAGTTAATACCTTTGTTGAAGATGAAATAGTAGTCGATCCAAGACCTTTGAGAGTAATTGTTAGCTTATTCGTTGAGACTTTAAAAGTAGCAGTAGCGCCAGAGGCACTAGATAAAAAGTTGGTATTAAGGGTAAGAGTTCCAGTATTATCGCTATTTGCCATGATGCCAGTACCCATGAATCCTGTCGTAGTGCTATATCCTACATCAATTTCAATGTCAATTGCGTATGATTGGGAGGAAAAGTCAAAGTCTACAGTTAATGGTTCATAGTGATTGACTATTGGGATTCCATCCAGGTTATCTATGCAAATAGGCACTGTAAAGAATTGAGAACTAGCGGTTTGAGGAAGTACAGAAATTACTGAGCTCCCAATTTCAGTTGTGGCTGTGGTAGTCACTGTATAGGATGCAATAGCCCAAATTTCGTAAAAGGTTCCTAGATTGGATGCTATAAAAGGTAAGCTTGTTTTGGTAGCATCAGAGTACTGTAAAAAGTAGTAAGAGCCACTTGCGAGACCATCGGTTGAGGAAGTGAATGATAAAGAAAGTTGATTGCTTGTTGAGACTCCAGGAGTAATACCATTAGTAGTTGCTGTCAAAGTGGCAGCTGCTGATGAAAATGAAGATGCAGTATCAATGTAATCAGCTTTTGAAGCAGTGCTCTCAAAATAAACTGAGCCAAAATTACTATATTCGAATGAAGTTGCTCTGTTGAAATATAAAACTACAGTTGTTGCATAACCAGACCCACCACCCCAAGTGTTTGAGCTGCCAGGAGTAATACGAATGAAAATATCTTTATTTTTGACACCTCCTTGGTTTTGCCCGTTAACAGAACCTGAGGCTCCTAGAGCATATGGAGCAGGGGCACTTTGAGAGGTCATTTTTGGATAGCTTGTAGTGCCGTGTGAAAGAGCATGCAAAGCAACATCAGGAATCTTATAATAAGTTGTTGAGGCTACTTTAACTGTAAATGTGCCTGGATTGCTTGCGCTTTGATCTACAACATTAGAGGTTGAGCCATAGTATGTAGTAATTTTAGTAACTGTTGGACTTGATCCAGATAAGTAGCTTAATAAAACAAAAGATACTGATCCTTTAGCTTGTGCTTTAGTAAATGTCACAGTTGCAGTTGTCGCATCAGATGCTGAACAGCTTGCGCCATCAATAGCTGGGGTAACGTAGCATAGTCCATCAGCAGATGCGCCAGTGGTGGTATCGAGATCTGACCACCAAATAGTATCATATATATTAACACCGCTGAAAGTGACAGTCAAAGTGCTTTCAGCAGGCAAAGGATTATTAGTGCCTACTGTAAGCTTAGTAAATATAACTTGATTTTGCATGACTGTGTTTGAAGGGAAGTTAACACTTTGCCAGCTTGTAAAAGTAGCTGATCCTGCAGTAGATGCTGGACCAGAGCTTGTGTAGTACTTACTCCCCCACTCCGCGAGCGAACAAAACCATTAGAAAAACACCTATTTTTTACCCAAAAACCCCACCTCCGTGAGCGAACAAAAATTTTTTATGGAAAAAAAATTATATATAAGTATAATTAGTATAATGAAATCTCTATTAATTTTAATGGAGTTGCGTTTTAAAACATAAACTTTACAAATTAAAATAATATTTGCTTTCCAATTTTTGCGAAGTGGGATATTTTTAAATTTCGAAAAAATAATTTTTCTATAAAAATTTATATATATATAATTTTATTTAAAAAAACTTAAACCCCCTACAAGATTTTTTGGTTCGCTCACGGAGGGGGGAGTTAGCAAGCAAGTTGTTGGTTCCGAATCTCCAAATGTAAACTGTCCAGGAGCTTGAGCTTGTGACCCATGCTGGTGAAGTAATAGAACTAACATCAAGCTTTATGGTATATGAATTTGAAGTCGATCCTTGAGAAACATAAGCGTCTGAAGCAATTCCATAAATATAAATGCTGTCTGAAGCAACAGTAGTATCAGCCCCAGTTGCCACTCCAGCAGTTGTTGAGCTTTTTAGTCCAAGTGAGCAAGGTAGGTTGCTGGTATTCGAGCTGTCTGGACCTAAGAGAGGGTTTGAGTCTCCGACTGATTTGCAAGTTGGGCCTGTTTTTAGGACCCAATTTGAATCTGGAGCAATCTCAATGATATCATGAGCCCAAAGACTGAAGGTCAGTGTGAACTGGAATTCAAGAGTATTGTCAGTGTTAATTGTAGTGGCAGTACTGCTTGTAGTTCTAGAAACAGTAAGAGAGCTTGATGATACTGAGCTAGTTACTGCGATGCAACCGAAATTGTAGTTTGCATCGACAATTTGCCCAGTTTCGCTGCGTCTAGTAACTATTCCAAATGGACCATATGAGCCTGCGCTAGGAAGAGTTGTAGAATAAGTAACACTTGTATCTTTGCCAGACTCTAAGTTGTAAGTAGTGGAAAGAGTAACAGTTTTGGTAGATTCTGTAGAATAAGTTGAAGGGAAAATGATCTGAACTGTTGCTCCAGTCAAAGTAGTAGTAGGTCTGAAGTTAACTGTCATGGTGACTGTTGATCCTGTATTAGTTTGGGCAAGCTCAATAGGGTTGTTAAACCAAGTATCTTTTGGCCAAACAATTCTGCCAGGGTCTAAATTTGAATCATATGATCCAAATGTCAAACAAGAAGCAAGTCCAATAAGGGCGATAAAGCTTATGAGACTTTTCATATTGTGACTTATTTAAATAATGTTTATTGTTAAAACCAATGGTGGATATTCATTTGAGAAAATTTTAAAAAATTCGATTTATGCGCGGACAGAGACTTTTTCAATTTGTAAATATGGAAACTGACTTTTGAAACACCCTTATAATAATAAAGATGACGGGTCGAAAATTTAGCTCCGTACCTGTTTTTTTGAACCCTGAGATGGGGAATAGGTTTTAAATAATTCCTTGCAGGCTCCAACGAGTTTTTGGCCTAGGAAGCTATGCAAAAGTTCAGAGTTAAGGGCCAAATACACAAAAATTTAGAGAGTCCAAATCCTTTTTAAGAAAAATCAGCTCAAACGCTTGGGATTTGAGATCAGCCAAGAAGAAAGCATAATTGAAAAGATCAAAATTTGCTGTTTCATAGCAAGCCGTTTGCTATTTTGAGATTTCAGATATTTGTTTTTTAATTCTTTGAAATTAATGAGAATTTAGGCTTTTAAGTGGATTTTTATTAATATTTGTGGATATTTGGAAGAGTTTTCCAAGAAATCCTTCGAAATGATTGAGTGTTGAAGAAATTCATTTTGGCTTGACAACCAAAATGGACAAAATGCTTATAAAGCAAAACGATAAAAGTACGAAAATAGGGTGGCTAAAGTCCAAATTTTACCGAAGTAAGGAGATTTTTACTCTTCTCTTTTAGATTGATAAAAAGCGATAAAGAATTTTTTGGTAAAATAAAATCATAGGTATCATGAATCGATCAGAACAACTAAAATTTTCAACAGAATTCGAAAAAAAGTAGTAATAAATATCACAGAAAAAATTTGGCTTTAAGATATAAGTTATAAAAATTTTTAAAATCATTTGCTTTAAAAAGACAAATTTTATTAAAGTCTCAAAGAAGATTTTAGAAGAAAAAAAATTAAGGTATTTTTATTCCCAGCATGGTATGCTTTAAGAAGAATTAGAATTTTTATTTTTTATCATGTTGAAATAAGCCAGCCTGATTTCTTTAGTCACCTTACTTGCGAGTTCTTTATTGCCTGATGTCAAAATGAGAAACACCTTCGTCAGATATGATGGGTCATCCATATCCCCGCTTAAATCATTCATGATGATTTTTCTTATCTTTTCCCAGCTTTTTCTTTTCTCTATTTGCAGTTGCAGTCTTTTATTGCTCCTTTCCTTTGACTCTCTTTCTTGCTGGGCTTTTCTTGCATCTCTATTTTTAAAATTTTCTTCGACTTCTGCAGCTTTTGTTTCCTAATTTTTGGTTACATTCAGACAATAATTGAAGTGTCTATCCAACAAAAATAGCTTTGGGTTCCATGATATAGCATGATCAGCGATTTTAAAGGCATTTAGTCTAAATTTTGTTCCACCAGTCGTTATCAAGCTGCTTTCGACTGATTTTACATGTCGGACAATATCTTCTAACTCCCTGTGAAAAACCCAAATATTTTCATAAGGCTGATAAATTCAATAATTAAATTAAGGCCCTTTTTAGTCTTTTAGATCAGAAAAAAAATAATCGATATTAAAATAAATTAACTCTTTTCGATCAAGGAAAAAACCTATTTCGCATACTAAGCGAGGAAGTAAGGAGCTTGGGCTGTTTTTCCTTACTCCTACCTTTAAACTGGAATAAAAATAATTCATTTCTAATTAATCTGATAATAAAGCTTAATAGAAATTATTAATCTCTATTAAAATTATAATTTTTTCTTTTAAAGGGCCTTAATTTTAGCAAAATAAAAAATTATCAATTTTTTTCAAATTTAAAGGGATGGTTAGATATTGAATCAAACATCCAACAGCAGTGTTCTCAAATTTTATTTGAGACTTTTTAGCTTTTGCCAAGCTCGGCTTTTTTGGATTGCAAGCATCTAATGAAGGGATAGGCTCATGCATTTCTTGAGAACTGGAATCAAATTCTTCAGGATTAAAGTTAGATGGTCTAGGATCCGTAGCAGTTTCGAGCTTAGCTACAGGCTTAAGTTCTTGAGGTATGTTTTTCACCATTTATTAATTTATTGGTTTTATGATTCTTTTTGTATTTTGCTATGTGTTATAAGAAACAATTTGTTTTCAGATCTTTTTGCGATTCCTTTGATATCTCAATGCCTAAGAAATTAAAATTATAATTTTAAATAAAATTCGTATATGGAATTAGAAAATATATGATAGGTGATAATTTTGAAATTCCGGACATAACTAGAATATTTATTTTAAAATTCAAAATATAAGAAATTTTTGAATTTCTGCATCTATTGATAAAAGAGAAGCTCTTAAAATTTGGTGATATCAGTTTTAGTAATTTTTTTCTCTTTAAAGTATTTATGCCTAAATATTCAAAATCAATAACTTCCTCTCCACTGTTAGCGACAAAAATAAAATGGCTATATCTCCGGCTAGTCCTCTCTTGGTCTTTTCAGAGTTTTGGACCTTGATGCCATGTGAAGCCAAGAAGAGCAGAAATAGAGCCTATGGATATAGGCATTTGTCCTCCTGCCTGGGTTTTGCTTTACATGTTTAGAAATGAAGACTTTTCTTCCTAGTAGGAATATATATAAAAAATTTAACCCAAGAAGCCACTAATATCAGCATTAACAACTGAGTTTATCCATAAATAAAGCTCTAAACTTTGAAGCAGCATAGAGACACTAATCTCTGCACTCTAAGGTTTCTAGATATCATCAAGAGCCAGGATGAAAGCTAGAAGAGAGTTATCTCTTGTAAAAATATCGGCATACCCAGAAGGCTCGCCCACATCTCATCGACTTCTTTCATCTGTAAGGCTTCGAAGAAATAAAACCTAATCTTTAATTAACTTAAAATTGGTTAGCGAGCAAACATATATATTAAAATGGTGTGGAGAACTAGCCCATTCTCTAACTTCTGTAGTTAGGTTTGTTTCCTAATTTTTGTTAAATTTTCAAAAGAGTTATTCTATTAAGGATAATAGGAGTAAGATGGTAAAGGAACTTTAAAGATGAATTTGCGGCTATGATTTTAAGTTAAGCAATTGATTTAAAACTCAAATTATGTGCTTATTTGCTCTAAATAGATTTAAAATACTAAAAATATTATCGATTATAACCTTATTATATTTTTATTTACTCCCCCTTTGTCAAGAACAAAAAATTTATCTCTCTAATAAAGCTATATATAAGAAATGATTTTGATTTTCAAAAAATCCAATTTATAAATATTTTAAATCAGAATTTATTTATAAAATTTATCTTTTGGATCGCAAGTTAAATATTTTGCCTTCTGAATCCAATATCTTGCTTTTATTGGATGAGTAATATAATTACTTCTCAGAATTCAAAATTTAATTAAAATATTTTATTTCTGGAATCTATTCCTTCAAGTCTTTTTAATTTGCAAGCTTTACTCGAAATTAATCATTTTCCTTTTATTTGGTTGCATTAATTTCATCTTTTAAGTGCTTTTTCTTATCCTGTTAATTATAAAATATGTCATCAATTGCCTTTATGTCAGCTTCATCATCATATAAGCTATTCAGAATTTTATAAATGATCTATATTAGATTAGGATTATTAAAGTCAGGTGTTAGCCAAATTAGTGACGCAATCAACAGAGACTCCCATTCGGGAGGTTCTATCACTTTTTGACTCCAGCCATGCCCATGGGTCCTCTGATCCAAAGGACGTTTTGAACACCTCCATTTCCAACCACAGGAAAGCAGCCAAAGCCTACCAAAGATGCACATCTATTGAGTCTGCACCTGATCCTCGGCTCGAAGTCCGTCTCAGTTCGCCGTAGCCATAAGGTCTTGACTATTACGTAAGGATGCAGGTAGACACGTGCCTCCATTTTAATGCATATTGATCTATATTAGATATAACTAGATCTTCAAAGGAGCAAGTGATAAAGCAGTTTACTATAAAATATTTTAACTTCAAAATGAGCAATTATCAAGTATAATTAAAAGTTAAAATATATTTAATAGAACTTTATCAAATATAATTAACAAAAATCAATTATCCAATAATATTTGATAGGCTTTCATAATTTTAATTGAAAAGCACAGTTTAAAAAACTATAAAATTATAAGAGAGGTCAAAAATGGCTCAAATAGTTATAAAAGCAATCATTTTTATTTATAGTTTGGTAATAAACTTAATTGGGAATTAGAAAATTACCAGAAATATTATCAATTGATTGAATAGGAAGATAAGTCTCTAAAAATATATCGAGATTAACAGCTTGGTAATTTAACCTCATTTAAATTGAAACAAACATTTAATTTTTAAATAATAATAATTTTATGCAAATACTGATAATCAAATCAGCATAAAATCACAAATTTACAAAATGTGAGTATAGCACCTATATACTTATTTTTCAAACACATAAAGTCTATTTCGCCGTCTAATTTGAAATCAAGTGGCTCAATTTCCGTGTAAGTTTTTCTGAAGGTACGCTATAAGTTTTTATATTATTGTGTGCTGATTCAGCATCTTTCCTTCATAAAATTTATAAGTTTTTAAATTTTTACATATTAAAATGAAAGAAGCTTGCCTAGTTTCTATGTCATTTAACTAATGAGAAAGCAGAGTGGCCTTTCTCAATCATCGAGAACTCTGTGCAATCATTGCAACTTCCAAGCACTTGAAGCAAGCTGCTGAATCAATTATAAAGAAAACAAAATTATACGAATCTGGCAATCATGAACTCATATATATAAAAGAAGATTCAGATGAGTTATTTAATTGAAATTTAGAAGAAAAAACCTTATCAATTGTATAGAACTTTCTCTTCAATAGCGCGAAAAGACGTGCATCTTAGTTTGACTAAAAGGTCTTTGGACCATGAAAATTAGCTTTTCCTTCTCCATAAGAGAGGCAAATAGTAAAAGTGAAAAGTTCTGCCCGATCCAGTCTAGAGAACTTGAAGGAATTTTTTTGGTCTGAATTATGAATACCTGAGCTATTGTGGAATTTTGATTTCTTGCAAATTTTTTAATTTCAATGTATTTTGGTTTGTCAAATAGTTTTGACGAGTCAATTCTGGTTAGTACTTGAAATAAATAATAAAAAATTGCCATTATTTTTTTAATTTTCTGATGTTAAGGATGATCAGAAAGTTGACAAAATCAAGATGGCGGATTAAACGAACAAAAAAATGTTCAAAAATAAATTTGTGCTCGAGTCCAGAAAGTGGAAAATAGAGGTGTCAAATAGCTTTTTTTGTTCTCAAATATCAAGTCTACAATAAAACCGCAAGTGGTGGCTTAAGAGAGTTTTAATTTTTTATTGAGCGTACACAAAATCAAGATGGCGGCTTAAACGAGCAAAAATTGTTCAAAATGAATTTGTGCTCGAGTCCAGAAAGCGGAAAATAAAGGCACCAAATAGCTGTTTTGACACTTTAAATACCAAGTTCTCAATGAAACCGCAAGTGGTGACTTAAGAGTTTTAATATTTTATATAGCGAGCAAAATCAAGATGGCAGCTTAAACGAACAAAAAATGTTCAAAAATGAATTTGTGCTCGAGTCCAGAAAGCGGAAAATAAAGGTGTCAAATAGTTGTTTTGATACTTTAAATACCAAGTTCTCAATGAAACCGCAAGTGGTGACTTAAGAGTTTTTAATATTTCTATAGCGAGCAAAATCAAGATGGCTGCTTAAACGAAAAAAAATTGTTCAAAAATGAATTTGTGCTCGAGTCCAAAAAGCGGAAAATAAAGGCATCAAATAACTTATTTTAGTTCTCAAATATCAAGTTTGGAATGAAACCGCAAGTGGTGACTTAAGAGTTTTAATTTTTTATATAGTGTACAAAATCAAGATGGCGGCTTAAACGAGCAAAAAATGCTAAACAATGAATTTGTGCTCAAGTCCATAAAGCGGAAAATAAAGGCATCAAATAGCTGTTTTGATACTTTAAATACCAAGTTCTCAATGAAACCGCAAGTGGTGACTTAAGAGTTTTAATATTTCTATAGCGAGTAAAATCAAGATGGCGGCTTTAACGAACAAAAAATATTCAAAAATGAATTTGTGCTCGAGTCCAAAAAGCGGAAAATAAAGGCACCAAATAGCTTATTTTAAATCTCAAATTTCATACTTTCAATGAACCCGCAAGTGGTGACTTAAGAGTTTTAATTTTTTTATATAGCGTACCAAATCAAGATGGCTGCTTAAACGAACAAAAAATGTTAAACAATGAATTTGTGCTCGAGTCCAGAAAGCGGAAATAGAGATGTCAACTAGCTTATTTTAAATCTCAAATATCAAGTCTACAATAAAACCGCAAGTGGTGACTTAAGAGTTTTAATATTTTATATAGCGTACAAAATCAAGATGGCGGCTTAAACGAACAAAAAATGTTCAAAAATGAATTTGTGCTCGAGTCCAAAAAGCGGAAAATAAAGGCACCAAATAGCTTATTTTAAATCTCAAATATCATACTATCAATGAAACCGCAAATGGTGACTTAAGAGTTTTAATTTTTTTATATAGCGTGCAAATCAAGATGGCACTTAAACGAACAAAAAATTGTTCAAAAATGAATTTGTGCTCGAGTCCAAGAAGCGGAAAATAAAGATACCAGAAGCTTATTTTAGTTTTCAAATATCAAGTTTTGAATGAAACCGCAAGTGGTGACTTAAGAGTTTGCATTTTTTTATATAGCGGTCAAATCAAGATGGCTGCTTAAACGAACAAAAATTTGTTCAAAAATAAATTTGTGCTCGAGTCCAGAAAGTGGAAAATAAAGGCACCAAATAGCTTATTTTAAATCTCAAATATCATACTTTCAATGAAACCGCAAGTGGTGACTTAAGAGTTTTAATTTTTTTATATAGCGTGCAAATCAAGATGGCGGCTTAAACGAACAAAAAGTGTTCAAAAATAAATTTGTGCTCGAGTCCAGAAAGCGGAAAATAAAGGTGTCAAAAATAGTTGTTTTGATACTTTAAATACCAAGTTCTCAATGAAACCGCAAGTGGTGACTTAAGAGTTTTAATATTTCTATAGCGAGCAAAATCAAGATGGCTGCTTAAACGAACAAAAAATGTTCAAAAATAAATTTGTGCTCGAGTCCAGAAAGCGGAAAATAAAGGCACCAAATAGCTTATTTTAAATCTCAAATATCATACTTTCAATGAAACCGCAAGTGGTGACTTAAGAGTTTTAATTTTTTTATATAGCGTGCAAATCAAGATGACACTTAAACGAACAAAAAATGTTCAAAAATGAATTTGGGTTCAAATTCAGAAAGAGAAAACAATGGCATCAAATAGCGAAATTTAAATAAAAAAATTAATTTGAGAAATATAAAAGTTATTTATTATAATTCTTATTATTTTATTAGCAAATATCTGGGCGTCTTATAGCTAGAAAATATATGCTTGCTTTCACTAATCTTTAATCTCGTTTTTTTGATCCTGTGCCATTTATTAAAATTTCTGATCATCCTTAAAATCAGAAAATTAAAACATTATGGCAATCAATTATTTTTTTTATTTCACGTGCCTGCCAGAATTAACTCGTCAAAACCATTTGACGAACCAAAATACATTAAAATTAAAAAATTTTGTAGGAAATCAAAATCCCACAATAACTCAGGTATTCTTAATTTAGGACAAAATAATCCCTTCCAGTTCTCGAAACTGGATCGGACAAAAATCTTCATTTTCACTATTTTCCTCTCTTATGGAGAAGGAATAGCAGATTTTCATTGTCCAAAGACCCTTTTAGTTAAACCAGGATGCACGTCTTTTCGCGCTATTGAAGAGAAAGTTCTATAACTAAACTTCCTCATATATTAAGAAGCTGTTCTTCTGGACTTATTCCAACTAATCGCTCAACTTTCTTTTATGGAGGTTTGACCCTGGAGTATATCGTCCTCCTATAGGTGAAGCCTTTATTATTGATTATAAGAAGTCCATAAAGCAGCTTGCATCAGGGATTCCGACACAAAAACCTTGTTTAGCTTATTATGATAACTATATATATGCATTTGGAGGTAATTTTGACTCAGTATCACTTAAATTTAATATAGAAACAGAAGAATGAGCAACCCTAACTCCTCTTCCCGTTGTGAGTTTCAATTATCCTCTCTATTTCTTTTCAAGGCTGTATATTAATAGTTCAAAATTTAATCAAACAGCTTTATTATTACGACATCACAAAAAATTGTTTTTATAAAAATTCAGGATTCTCAATGAATCATCAGAGTAAAATTATTTTTTCTGCTGACAATCGAGTATATTTTTTTTATTAATTAAAAATAAATCTTTTAATGACATAATTGCTCTACAAAGAGCGATTTAGGCCTAGAGTTATAGAGATGATATATTCTAATAGAAATTAGAATATATATTATTGAGCTATGGAAATATTTATCAAAGCGAAATCAATAGCATTAGATGATGGCAAAAAAAGTAGGAAAACTTCTGGAAGGCACATTGTGACGTTTCATGCAGTCAGATTTAAGGATAAGATTTATTTCACTTGAACACGGAATGAGCTGGTGGAATTTGATCTCAAAAATAAAGAATTGAGTGAGCGCTGTCCGATGTAAATATTTTCAATAGGAGATAAGAGATTTTTATATTATCTGGGGAATACAAACAAAATTATTTTTATTAGAATAAATATCTGTAGTTTTTTTGCGACTTTTAAAATCTTCAATTGTGTTATCAATACGTATTAATTTTATTTTATTAAGTCAAGCTGTAAGCTAAAAATCCTTACTAAAAACATTAGTTCTATTTGTAATTTCTTTTAATTATTTGAACTTGAAATAGTTCAAGATATTAAATTTCCTCTTAAATAGAGCAAAAAGCTTTCAAAATTAAGGAATCAAGCTGGAAACTACTTTTTCATATAATTAAATGCTGTAAAATCATTGTCCTCACAGTCTAAAACTTGCTATTGATCTTTAAAGGGATGATAAAAGTTTTGCCTGAACAACAAATCTTTGATCCTGTGAAGGAATTAGACTTTTTGCTGGTGGAGTGGTAGAAGTACAGAAATTGGTTTTAGATTTGTAATCTTGACTTATCTATAGGATTCTGCTGGTCATAAGGATGAGCTAAAACCTGGGTAAAATGGGAAAAATAGTGTATTAAAACATTGCGGAAGGATTATAAAGCCAAAAAATTAGAAAATACTGTGAAGAAGCTTTAAATTAGAAATACAGCTTAGAAATACCTGAATGAAAGAAGGTAAAAAAAGTTTACTAGGCTTATCAAAATACTAGAGAATTCTAGAGATATCAAGAAAAAGGCTTAGAGAAAAATCACATAAAAGTTAAAAAGACAAGATAAAGAAAATGACAGTTCACATCTGGATTATACTTGCTCAGGCTATTCAAAGCATCTGCGTTTGTTAAATATTAAAAGAAGTTGATATTAGGGCTTTGATTAAAATATAATTAATATTTTCAAGCTATTAAATAACTTGTTATCATGTTTCATGCTATAGAATATTTCAGTAGGTGTATATACATGTGATAAAGGATACAACCAAATATCAGCGCCTCATAAGATCAAATGAATTTGCACTGCAATCTCAATAGATATTATATTGAAGGATAAATTTCTAAGTTTTCGAAAGATATGCTCTAAAAGTATATTTCTACTAGAAAAAGTAAGCTTATTATAGTGATTTAGCTCAATTTCTTTGATGGATTAGCTAGCTAAACTCAGTTTATTATAGCAATCAGATGAGAATAAGCTAATTATATAATATTTGGGATTTTCAACCAATCCCTCAAATTTTATTTGATAAAGAGTATAAGAAAACAAAACTATCCTGATTTTCAAAAGCATAGTGTTGATGACATCAAAGTATCTTTAAGCAAAATTGAAATAAGCACTAAGAATTTCAGAAAATTTCATGAAGAGCTTATAAGGGACAGATAAAGAAAGCAAATGAAGAGAAAAAGATGAAAGGTATGAGAGAAATAAAATTCTATATGGGAAAGACAAAGATCCATAAGATTAGCTGAACTTGTATTTGATTTAGTGAGACTGAAAGGGAAAGGAAAATAAAATCGCAAGAAAAATTTTGAAAACTTTTCTTAACGCTTAAGATAGCATTTGAGTTGAAAAGCTATTGAGAGGGGATTAAATTAAAATAAATAAATATTTATTAAAATTATAACTATAATAAAAGGGATAGATCAATTTTGATAATATTTTGAGTTTGAATCAAAAGATTTGACATAGCTATTATGATAAATTAAAGTTTAAATAATTAAGGCGATTAGCTTTAATGATTTTTTTGGAAATTTTTAGCTCATAAAAGCACTTTTATTAAAATATAATAAGATATGATTTTTATTGTTTTAAGTCCTACATTTAAAATTTTAATAGATTCTAATTATATTTGGATTATTTTGCATCAGATTGTTTGGTATATGGCATCTCTAAGGTCAAGCAACCAAATGAAATTAGGAAGCAAATAATATTTGATAAATGCCTTATAAAATATTTAAGTTTTCAAAGTCAAATTTATCTCTTAATTAGCAGATAACATTAGTTCTATTTGTAATTTCTTTTAATTATTTGAACTTGAAATAGCTCAAGATATCAAATTTCCTCTTAAATAGAGCAAGGGATGATAAAAGTTTTGCCTGAACAATAAATCTTTGATCCTGTGAAGGAATTAGACTTTTTGCTGGCGGAGTGGTAGAAGTATTGAAATTGATTATAGAATGGTAATCTTGGCTAATCTATAAGATTCTGCTGGTCATAAGGATGAGCTAAAACCTGGGTAAAATGGGAAAAATCGTGCATTAAAATACTGCGGAAGGCTCATAAAGCCAAAAAATTAGAAAATGCTGGGAGGAAGCTTTAAATTAATAAAAAGAGCTTAGAAGTGTTTCAATGATAGAAGGTAAAAAAGGTTTACTAGGCTTATCAAGATACTAGAGAATTCTAGAGATGTCAAGAAAACGGCCCAGAGAAAAATCACACAAAAGTTAAAAGACAAGATAAAGAAAATGACAGTTCGCATTGGATTACAGCCAAATATCAGCACCTTGTAAGATAAAATGAATCTGAAATTATCTTTACTATAATCTCAATAGATATTATATTGAAGGATGAATTTCTAAGTTTTCGAAAAATATGCTGTAAAAGTATATCTCAACTAGAAAAAGTAGGCTTATTATGGTGATTTAGCTCAATTTCTTGATGAACTAGCAAGCAAAACTCAATTTATTATAGGGATCAGATGAGTATAAGCTAATTATGCAATATTTCGGATTTTCAACCAATCCCTCAAATTATATTTGATAAAGAGTATAGTGTTGATGATATCAAAGCATTTTTGAGCAAAAATTGAATTAAGCACTAAGAATTTCAGAAAATTTCATTAAGAGCTTATAAGGGACATATAAGGAAAGCAAATGAAGAAAAAAAGATGAAGGTATGAGAGGAAATAAATTCTATATGAAAGACAAAGACCCACAAGTTTAGCTGAACTTTTATTCGATTCAGTCAGACAAAAAACAAAAATCGCAAGAAAAATTGAAAACTATTTTTACTACTTAAAATAGCATATGAGTGGAAGAGCTATTGAGAGGGATTATAATAAAATAAATAAATATTTATTAAAATTAAAGCCATCTCTTAAGAGCGAGATTCGGAAAAATTTAAATTCAGAAATGCAAGAATAAAGACTAAGGATATGCTAATACATTGCAGAGGTAGAAAAATCCTTAAATTTTATATTCAGAAATTCAATGCAATCACTTAGCTTAAATAAAAATATAGATGAGAAATACTTTTGGCTTTCAAATATAATATATTGAATTAAACCTAATTTTCATTAATTATCTTAAATATTTACATCTAAAGAATCAAACTTGCTATTGTGGGAAATCTCATATATGATCTTCTCTTTCATGATTTCTGGAGTTGTATAAGCTGGTAGTTCAAGTCTGAATATGAAATTGTCCACAATAGTAATCAATGTATTCACAGCTCCAGATTTACTGTGCTTACTCCCCCCCCTCCGTGAGTGAACAAAACCATTGGAAAAATCCCTATTTTTTGCCCAAAAACCCACCTCCGTGAGTGAACAAAAATTTTTTAATAGAAAAGTTTTTTATGAAAAAAAAAAAATGATATATAAGTGATAATTAGTATAATGAAATCTCAAGCTAATTCTTTTAACTTTAAACAAATTGCTTTTTAAAGCATAAATTTTATAAATTAAATTAATATTTGCTTTCCAATTTTGGCGAATTAGGATTTTTTTAAAATATCTTTCTATTATAAATAAATTGTTTTAAAAAAAAATTAACTCCCCTTCGTGAGTAAACAAAAAATTTTTTTGTTCACTCACAGAGAGGGGGGAGTTAGCTATTGTAAATTTATGAGGCCAGTTCCACTCAATAAGCTTAGACCTTCTAGCTATATAGTCAATAAATTTAGAAAGCTCACTTTCTTTTAACGATTTAATTGCTCCCCAGAAGTTTTCAATGTGCGGATCTGTTCTTCTGCAATTCTCGTTTTCCGTGTTCTCTTCTAAGACTTCTAATTTGACTTCTTGATTCAGACATATGAGTTCACGTAGTTGAGCAGTTGTGAATAGGCTCAATTTATCAATAGAAACAACAGCAGCCATACCTTTTCTTATAGAATCATAAGCTTTAGGATTTTCAAATAATTTGTGTTTCTCTAATAGATCAGCATACTGACCAACATTTTCAAAAGTAACGTCAATTTTGGCTCCATCTTCACAAAATTCCACAACTTCTTCACCATATTTTACTATAAACTTCTCAGAAATGTGCTGGCCGAAGTTTTCCGCAGTAATTCCATAGGCTTCAAGGTTCCTTAATTTATGTAACAACTTGTAGAGTGGGAAGTCAAAGTCTCTTAAATCTTCAGTTGTGACGTTTTCGTGTAGAAGATGCTTAAATACAATAACAGGGAGTGAAAGTCTCAGTCTATTCTCGGTACGGATTGCAGAGCCGAAGAATTTTCCAAGAGTGGTGAATAGACACATATGAGCTGGAAGAGTGGACGTTGGATTGATCATTCAATTATCTCTCCCATTGCCTACATTAAGGACGTTATTTTGAGATGGGATCAAAAGTGGAAGTAATGGAGATTGAAGCTCTTTAGAAAGTTCTGTCAATAATTCATTATACTTGATTGCATCATCTTGGATTTCTTCTGGGTTGTATGCAAATTTGAGCATTCTTTCAGGATGTCTAAGAGTTTTATTTGCTGCTGTTTCCAAGTCTCTGCTTATTTGACTAAACATTGAAGCAGTTGAGGAATGATCAACTTCCCCTTTAGCTTTTAGTTCTTGTGATTTAGCTTTATCAATAGTAATGTCAATTCTGCAGTCAGTTTTAGACTAATAAAGATGGGTTTCAATTTTTTTTTCTTGAATTTTGATAATAAATAATACTTAGCCTTCTTAATAAACTTCATTAGAGAGTTTTCTGGCTCGTCTGCTTCAGTGTGCAAATCAAACAGATAGAAGTAATTTTGGAATCTTGAGCAGAAGTTAAACAAAATTTTTTTCAAGTTAAATAGCTCTGCCTCTGATAATGTTTGTAAGTCTGGATAAAAGATTAACTCTTCTGGAGAAATACTCAATGCAGTGTTGCTCAGCATACTATCGAAACTAATTGAATTGGCATCAAGGTATCTATCCATGAATTCAATAAACTGCTGCGCTATGCCATCTTTGAAAAACTTGGAATAAGTAGGCTTGTAGTTTTTTCTCCAATTTTCTCTGTCCCCAGCAGATGCAAAGGTCAAATAGGAATCAATGTGTTTGATGTTTCTTCCCTTGAAAATAGGTGTTAAGGTGAACTTATATCCCCAGAAATTATTTTCTTGCTCAGAGTCGATTATCATAAGATCAACACCAGCAGGGTATTTTCCTGTGTTACAGATTGATAAGTTTTGGTTTTCTTCTGTTAAGACAGCAATAAATTTGAAGCAATCTTCTGAGTCTTCGATATTAAGAGGAGTTTGAACAGTGTCTAGCAATTTTTCATTCTTATAAAAGGCAATTTCATTTTTATCAAAATCGATATAGCTACCAATGACGTCATTTTGGTCATAGCTGGCGCTGTCAGTGTTACCAATTTTTCCATTGCTATAATAAATTACAGTTTGTTCATTTCCTTCAATAGTATTCGCATTGATCAAGCTCTTCTTGGTAAATCCAACACCTACAGATCCTTTGGATTCAACAGAGACTTCGATATAGTATTTTCCGTGTCTCATTTCAGCTTCTGTTTCATGGTAAGTTTTATCACTTGTTGAATTTGTGACAGTCGTTTTATCCGCGTTGAGTGAAGCTCCATTCTGATTGCTCTCCCATAAATGCTTAATATTATACCATTTCAAGAAGATTTGCTATAAATGAAGACCATTATTTAAACTATTTCTAACGAACTATAAGCCTATAGAAGATATACCAGTTTTATGAACTGGGAACCAAAAATAGACTGAGTCTCCGATAATGTCCAAACTTCTTTCAGAAAGAGTTTTTGACCCAGCGAGTCTTTCAACACTGAGCACAGTAATGACTTGATTCAAAGCACCAAAGCAGACCACTGGGGTGACTGAAGAAGCAAGCCCTGTGAACTTGAAAACTTCAAAAGCTCCATTAAAGAAAGTCAGTTCTCTTAAGTTCATATCAATAAACATTGTGATTTCATCTCCCTTCTTAAATCCTTCGAACCCATCTTTGGACCATCCTTTCTTGTGAATTTCTCCACTTCTTTTCCAACTCCATACATCATGAGGACACTCGCACCCTATGTATTCATCTAGGTCATAATCATGGACATCCTTTTCAGTCCTATAAACTCCAATGTACCAATGCTCAGAGTTTCCATCAGATTCTATCTTGAATTTGATACTCACTGTACCATCAGAGTATTTTTAGTTAATATTATTAAGAAGTTCCCTATGATACCCCTAGGTATGTTTTTTAAACGCAGCCACTTGTCGCCATCTCTCCCAGTTCTACTCCTTTTTGGGTCGTTTATCTGCAGGTTTTAAGAGAATAGATTGGCTCAAACGCAATTTTAATGCATACCATCTGAGTAGTCTTCAGACCAAATTGCGTTGCCCCATCCACTTCCTTTTACTTTGGTAACTTGTGAAGCTTCTTCTGAAAAAGTGAATTTCCTACCACAAGGTTCTTCTCTCCATCTCGACATTGTGACTTCAATTTTCTTTTCTTCGACTAATTTCTTACCATATTCATCATAGCTGAAAAAGCTGCATCTCTTGGGTCAAGACTTGAATTTGAATCGAAGATGATACTAATAAAAGAAGCACCAGGAATTTGGATATATTCTTTTGTTGTTTGCCTAATATAAGGATGCTTGGACTCATAAGTTTTTCCGAGATTGCAAGTAACGTTCGTCTTGAAAGATTCGAATAAGAAAGTTTCTAAAAGTCCATCTTTTTCGCTTATCTAGCACAATTTGAATTATTTTATTACCGTCAATAAATAAATTGGGACATAGGAATTATATCAAAATATCTGAAAATGATAGTTTCAATATTAAAAAAAATTATGTTAGAATTTGGAGGCTGGCTAAGAAGCTTATGGGCCGTATCGCTAATAACTTGGGGATTTAGACCTTTAATATCTGAAACAAGCTCACAAAATTCAATAAACCAACGTTCTTCTCCAGTAAGTTGAAATTTATGTGAAGCATCTTCTAACAGCCTTGCAGTTGCTTGCATCAAACTATTTTCTACTTTATTAGAGCTCACAACGTTATGAAGCTCATTTGCTTGAGCAGTCAAGATGTTAAGAATATTTTTGAACAATAGGCCTTTCTGATCTCTTATGATCTTATTCAAAATTCTTATAGAGTCGAGCTTTAATTCCAAAGTTACTGCTGAAAGAGAATGCAAGAAAATAGGCTGGACATACCTAGGGTGCGTTATTTCTATAAATTCTTTAGGTATTGGGTTCATGCTTGAAATTTTATTTAGCATCCACACTGCAGGCCAAGCATTCTCTGTAATTACTAATTTTTTGTTGAGCGATAATCTGTAACATTTGCAGTGCATATTTTATTTTTTATTTAAAATGCTTCCATAATCAAATAAATTTGTGGAGATTTTTATAAAAATCTTATGAGCTAAAGGATCAGTATCATTTGTGGTATTAAGCAAGTTTATTGGAAATTCTAATAGAGTTTATAAAATTACTACTTATTATGGTTCAACTAGCAATGTTGTAGATCAAAGTTGAACGTATATCCTGGTGAATTTGTGATTACCTCAGCGTCATCAACTAATTATAGGATTCCTGATGTTGCTTTGCATGCTCTTCCTTCTTCAACTGCATCATACCCTCAACTTAATACTGGAAGTGGTTATAGTCCATATTCTCTATATAACTCCAATAATGTAAACCAAGGAGGACTAAATAGCCAATCTATCTTTATTCGCACAACTCCAGGCAGCATGAATTCATGGGGAGGAACTTCTGGTGTTGCAGCTAGTTTAACTTTTTATTTCAAATGGGCAACTTCAATTGAGTTCGATACTTTTAACTATGTCTATCTTGGGAGTACAATTAATGATTATATCAATACTGCTACTAGCTTAAAATCATCAACAGCTGGAGATCGCGTCTTAAAAGCAGCTAGCCCTCCCACTTCTCCCATATTATCAAGAAGAAACAAAATTTCTGTATCATTTTCAGCCTCTTCAAGTTCTCCATCTGTAGCATATGGCAGCTACTATATTTTAAGAATTTCGGACTCAGGTCTACCTTTCATAGCATCAAACAAGGCAACTTTTTATGAAATCTGGGTAATAGCAACCTATGAAGGCACGACTGAAATTGGCAGCTCAGTTATTTCAGTGCTTCCTCAGAAAACTTCATCAAAGCTCTATGCATTGCTAGCTTGCAATGACCAGCTTGATGGGATTCCGATCGTTGTCTACTTTGAGCCAATAAACACCAGTTTTGATTTTTCTTCCCATGCATACGCAATTGATATTGAAATAGGTAATGGATATGACTGATATAAAGGATTTATGGGTACTGGTATTAAGATAACAGATAATGGTGGAGCTTTGACTATCAATAGCCATTTTTTATCTTCTAGTTCTTCTGATACTGCTAGCTATGCATTTAAATTAAATTATTGAGAATTTTTCTGTTGAGCATGGGGACCTTTGTATCTATATTAACCCTTTCAGGCGGGGAAATTATTTTCTGGGACAACATTAACTATTACTCTTAAAAATCTTGGATTTACTTCTATAAATCCACCAACAAAGGTAACCACTTATTTTCCAAGTGCAGTTGCCTCGCTTGGCATAACTCATTTTTCAATAGGGCGGAAATTGTTAATAGAGACTGGGATCTATAATTAGCCAGCCATCTGATCCTTTGGCCAAACAAATTCTTTATAAATCTTCATATACATCTTGGGACATTCAAACAAGTCTTAAACCTTTTGAATCTTCTTCAGCAGGAGCAAAAACTTCAGATTCCTCCACCTGGTATATTGGAGCTTCAGAAGATATCACAATATCCAACAAACTTAAAAGCAGCACTTCAGCAGCTGCAATATCGTCTAACTATATGATTGGCATTGGTTTATCAGCAGGATTTACTTTTTCCTCAGTTCCTTCCTATTCTGTAGTAGTTGACACAGCAACAGCGGCAACTTCGCCTACCTCTACGACATATTATTTAAGCTCTTCAAGTGACTATGGAGTAGGCGGGTTTATTATGGCCTATGGATCATCATGGGGCGCTGCAGCACCTACTTCTGGTGGGATTGATTATAATCTAGCAGTTACCAATCTACAAAGTCCAAATCACTCTAGCTCAAGTACTTGGAATGTATGGGTGGCAGCCGATTCGCCAGGATTAGATTGCATATATTCAAAATCTTATTCTGGAAATATCATCATTAAAGAAGAAGCTTTGAACACACCTAAATGCTATTCTGATTCAGATACTATTATGGGAGCTAGTGCAGACTCTGTTAATCTGTCAATGAATTTTGAATTCACTACTAAAATTAAGGTGCCAAAAGGCGGTTTCCTTAAATTTGCTTTAGAAAATTCATGGTCATGGCCATCCTCAGGCTACTCCTCATCCTCAATACCAGCATCTTATTCAGTTTCTGGAAGTACCCTGACAGCTAGTCTTTATGCTGATCTTCAAATTGGGACATACACTATTGTGGTAAATGGAGTTCAACCTCCACCAAATAGTTGATCTTCTACCATTGAAAAAGACTGCTTTTATTCATTATCAACTCAAACCAGCCAAGGTGATAAAATCGAATTCTGGTATTCATCTGGAGCATCTCAAACACGAATTACCTCATCTGCTTCTGTAAAACCTGGAAATTCTTATGTAACTATCAATTCATATCCAAACTGCCGAAACGTGATAGTTGATATCTTACTTACTTTTTACTTCGACAAAAACGTTCCTGATGGCAGCTATCTTGAAATTTCAACCCCTATAGACATGCCTTGGTCTTATCCTGCATGATCAGCTACCATTAAAGACTACTGCTGGGCTAATGTTATATATAGCAGCTGCACAGTTACTGATAGTTCTACAATTATTATGTACCTAGCTGAGCCTATACTTTTAGGAACCACAATCAATATTTATCTCGATAGCGCAATAAAGTTTTCAAGTCTAAACGAAGAAGGAGACTTTTTAATTTCTGCTTATTGGGGACCTAACTCAATTCAAATTATAGATGGCTCATCTGGTATAGGTAAAAATTCAGTCAAATTTTTAGGATATAATACGGATACAATATACATAAGTGGCCAAAATGATATTAAAACTGCTGGAGAGCTCTCAACTTATACCTTCGAGCTTATATTGATGGAATTAAATAGAATTAACTTTGGCGATTATCTTTATATTCAATTTCCAAGGGACTTTGACCCTTATATTGGAGATTCTGAGCAGTCCTATCGTGACTATCCAAATAGCTGATTTATTGAATGCAGCTCAAGAGCACTTGGACAATCCTTAAATTGCACTGTAGACCATTGGTTCGTCATTGTGCAAAGTACAAAAAATGATGAATTACGGTATCTAGACTTATCTGTTAGAGGTGTAAGAAATCCAGGTCCTTTCAATATGGGCTATTTTAAAGCATGGCACTATAGCGCAACTGGTAATCTTAAAGGCCTATCTTCTTCTACAGATCTTAAGATAATCCCTACTATGCCAGTGAACAACATGAATCTTAAACCTATTTCTATTTCAAACAGTTCCTTAGCTGCTTCATCTGATTATAATTTTGATTTCTATTTAACTCAAAACTCAGCTTCAAGCTTTAGCTCTGCTAATACCTTCAACATTACATTCCCTCAGCAATTTAATTCCATATCATATACAATTTGCAAATTAATGGTATTTGACGAAACATCAGCCACAGTTATGACTGAAGCAAATTGGACAACTAATTGCACCTGCAAAGTAGTAAGAAATATGGTAAGTCTAACTCCATTAGGTGTCACCCCTTTAGTCAACACAACAGACAGAATTCGTATTTTGCTAACTAATGTCACTAACCCCTCTTCTAGCTTGACAAGAAATACGGGCTGGGATATCACTGGCTCCTCATTCGGGCCTTCATATATGTACTGATCTAACAGATTTGATATAATTGCAGTTGACTGAACCAACTACGTCCTTACAGGGAGGACTTATGGAAATCTTAACTCGGGATATTTAGGATACAGCAAGTACAATCATACTACCCCTAGTAATCCGACTGATCCTACAAATCCTACTGATCCTACTGATCCTACTGATCCTACTAATCCTACTGATCCTACTCACCCTTTTCCTTCAGTAGTAGACATTGGTGGAACTGAAAATAATCAAATTATCAAGCTAATTCCTGGCACAGAAAGTGACGATATTTCAATCAAGCTCACCTCTGGGTCATCGAATATTGGCTTAAGATCGCAAAAATTAACCCTTACGCCAAAAGTAAATTGTCTTGACCAAACCATAGCCAATGGTATAAAACTCACTTCACCCTATAACAATTGAATTGCGTTTCAATTGGATGAAGTAATATATTTCAGGGTGTCAGTAGCGACTGGAACTCCCGCTGGGACTTGCTCTATAGGATGGACTTCAATAGAAAATCTACAAGATGGAGTTAGTAATTCCATTTATAATCCTTCTCAGGTCGTTACTGTTAGAGTTAGTGCTGTTGAAAAAATTGCAATTATTGTTGATACTATTCCCACCCTTTATGCGGGCTACACAAGTATCCCAATTGGTGTAATACTTGCTTACGCTCCAGCATCTGATTTGAGTGTTACTCCATCATTTGGTACTACAGCTTCAGGGATTTTTATAAACCCTGTCACGCTTACATTTACATCTAACACCCAAACTCTTTACTTTGAACTAAAAATTAATGCTAGTTATGATTTCACCCAGAAACCTAAACTTGATTTCTACCTGACTGGAACTGATGCAAATTCTTTCATTGCGCCTACTTCTCAATCCCTATTTGTCACATCTTATTCCTCTTCGTCACCTGCAGATTTATTTCTTTTCTCTAGTATTATTACAGGTACTGAAATTAAAATAACAGCATACAGCAAAAATGCTGTTATCTATTTCGGAATTGCATGCCAAGGCGCTCCCATACTTAACTTTGCCGATCTTCAGGCACAGACACAAAGTCTTGTATCTCCAAGCTCTAGCCTGCTGAGTCTCTCAGAACAACTTGCAGCTGATTATCAAGCTACTGAGACCCATATTGACCATACGAAAGACACTGATACTCGTTCTTTCTTCAGGAGAATTCACAGGAACCACTGCCTAAACCTATGGACAGAAGCAGTTGTCAGTAAAGCTGCGAATGGGATATTCGTAATAATTTTAGACTGACTTATGGATGGCACTTCCTACCAGGTTTATGCATATGCTGACGATAAAATTAGCACCCCAGCATTTGCATCTTGCGAATTTACAACTTCAGTAACCCAGCCTGCATATTCTACATCAGTTACTTTTCCGGGAAGCATTTCTGGAAGTATGAGTGATAGCATTAGACGATCCTTGGCGAAGAACATGGGAGTTAACCCTGATTGGCTTATTTATGCAGGTATCACTAACCCATCATCACCTTCAGGATCTTGAAGACTTTTAGAAAGCTCAGAAACGACTATATATACAAGGTTCAGTTATTGAATCATTTATGATAGAAGTAAGCCAAAATACTCACCACAGTTTATTCTCAGCAATCTTGACAAAAATGGAGCCACTAGTGATCTGACTGCACTTTTCGGAGTTGCTCCAGCAGCTTTTGGAGTTCCTGTTTCTCTATCGAGTGGTACAGTACCGACCTGGGTAGCTGCCCCAGCTTATTCAACAGTAAATGATTCAGGGGCCACATTTGCTGCAACCTCCTCACAAGTAGGCCTTGTATGTGTATCTTGCTCTAATAACTATTCAAACAAAATTACTTATGCTTGGCAAGTTGTTGATGGGCTAGATCATGATTCTGAAGCTGCACATGGAACATGCGTCAATGTTACATCAGCAATTAGTACTCCGATTGCAGTTTCTGGCCTTGCCCCTGCTACAAAGTACTATTGCTTCTTCACTGCTTGCAATACCAACCCAATTAATCCTTCTTGTATTGATGCTGAACAAGGTAAGGGCTTGGTAAGCATAATAATTACGACAACTAGCAATATTGATGACAGAGCAGTGTTGATTGATCTTTTAACGGCTATCTTCTTGATCTATAGCTAATAATTAATTCAAAATATATAATAAATAAAGAATCTATTATTTGATATTGTGAATTACTAATAATTATAAGTCACACTAATAAAAATTTTTATTATCATATAAGTTCAAGATATTGTAAAGCATATTTTATATAGAGCACATAAAATATATTTCTTATGCGTGCATATTATTTTTATCAGAGTGACTATAAATTTTAATACAAAAGCTAAATAATTGGAATAATTCATATAAAAATACAATATAATTTAGGCTATAATAAAATATCAAAATTATTATTTAGATGAGAGTTATAATGAGCAGGTAAGAGTAGCTAATATTGATTGAAACTTGAAAAAAGCTTAAGGTAGGGGCAATCTTACTCCTCTCCGTGAACAAATAAAAGATTTTTTAATAGCCTATTTTTTCATGTATTTTTTCCCTATTTTTTGGTTTTCCTATTGAAACAAAAAATAATTCCAATTTAAAATTGAAAATTTTACCTATATTTTCGTCCAATTTAAAGGGGGGTAGTAAAAAGCTTTTTATGAAATGTACTTTAATTGGAATGTGGTAATAACTATTCCATTTAAATTGCAAACGTTCTAATTCCTTACTCCTCCACCCATCAGTGAGCAACTATTTTTTTGCTAACAAAGGAATTAATTAAGGGCAGAGTAAGAAAGAATGCTGCCTCCTGCACAGCAGTCATGGAGTGGAAATATTCAAATTTAATAAACTTTTAAAGCAATGTGTAGACTTATTTTTATTTGCTTGCATTAAATGTGGAATAATATAAAAATAATTTTATAGAGGTTTCCTCTATATAGCGCTAAAAGCGCAGACATTTTCCCAGGAGCTTTCCAAGTTCGTCGGACCAAATCGCTTTTTGGTCCGACCAAGGCATTGATTTGGTGCAACCTACCGATAAATTCCGATCAGAATTTATCGGCCTTACAGCGCCAAACATAGGAAACTTCTATATCTGATTTTTAGTACACAGACTCCTTCTTTGTTTTTATTTCTGATCTTGTCTTCTCTTCTTGCTGCTACCCTATATAGTTCATCAATCTTCTTTTTGAAATTCTCTGTCTCAATTTTTGAAAGATTTTGTTCCCAAGGGTTCAATTTTTAATAAAATTGAGAATTAATTTTAAGTAAAATGGATTCTCAAAAGACTTTTACCCGATAGAAGTATCAAGGGATTTCTTTTAAATCATTGTATATTGTTATATTGCTCTCACTTGCAACTTTAATTGTATTGATTGTGAGCTTAGCCAATTTATAGGACTTTTACCATTTTAAGCAAAAATTAATTTTTATTAAATTTTCCTTTCCTTTTTATCTTAAACCTTTATTTCCTTTCTATTATTCAACCTTAACGCTTGCATCTACTCATAAGGTTATTTATCAGTCTTCGCCTACAGATTAAAAGATCTTGACAATAGCTATTAGTGATGCTTCTATTCTATATTAGTTTTTCTCCCTTATAGTAATTATTTAAAATTATTTAAGGGTTGCAAGCGAATTTTTATACAATGAAGCTAATATATGCTTTTTCTTTAAAATAAATTTGATTTGCCAAATCCTCAAAAAAAATATTGAAAAGCTTACTGTTCCCATACTTATTAAAATGGCGACGGCGAACCAGCCCTTTTTCTCAACACCTGTAGCCGGGACCTTTTTAGGCTCGGGGACCTTGTGGAAGGGAGAAAGGCGCTCGGTAAAAGTATCCGGCTAGGTTTTTCCCTTGTGCAGTAGAGCGCAACGTCGAGTTTGGTCGACCGCAGCTCACTCTGTCATCAAGGGGTTTTTTACCTCAGAGGGAATGGGCTCCAAGGTTGGAAAGGGGAAGCTCAGCAGCACCAAGAAGGATCCTCTTGGTCCATCGGGCAACTCCCTAGCGTGAAACTGGGCGTTACGTCCCAGGCTTTGGAATTCCATTTTTGGCCGAGAGTTCGACCAGAAAAATTTGCCCTTCAAATTTTTCGGAAAGGACAACTCTGTTGGCGTACGGCATGGTGGCGCAACTCACCCAACTTCGGGTTGCGAGTGCACATCCTTGTCCAGAAGGAGCGACGCTTCCGTGGGTCACGTGTATGACTGGTGGTGAGCAGCCGGGCGAAGCGATACGGGTGGAGGTAGACCGGAGGGTATTACAGCGGACTTCTCTATATCTAAGTTAAGTGTAAGTAAGCTTACTGTTCCCAAAGTTGCATGAAGAGAAATAGTTTTTTGGCCTATGCTTCTTTTGAATTAGTCTAGCACTGAAAGAAATTGAATTGGTGGTTCTGATGAATTTTTTTCTAATTATTTGATGTTTTTGCTGCTCTCTTCTAAATTATTATATGCATATAGAGGTATTTTAAACTTTGATATGGGTACATAAATTATTATAAATCCTATGATAGCCTATTTTCTAGCCACTTTACATCAACAAATATGCCTTTTTATTGATTTCTTTTCTACTTGTAACAAATTGATGCTTTGGAGTGCTTGCATAAGTATAAACCAGATTCCATAAAACGATTTTTTGATATTTTGTATTACTTTTTAAATAGGCCGACTGATAATTTTCTGAATTATCGTCGTAGTCTTTTACGCATAACTAAACAAATTTAGGAAAAAACATAGACGTCGTGTGAAGGAGCACTAAAAGAATTCGATATCAACAAAAATTTCTACTCTTTTAATAAAAATTATTTAAATACGTCACAATATGGCAAATCTTGCAAGTTTTATCGCACTCATTCAGCTTGCTTCTTGTTTGACATTCGGGAAATACAATTCAAGCTTAGACCCTGGCAGAATTGCTTGGCCAAAACATACTTGGTTTAACAACCCTATTGAACTCACCCAAACTGATACTGGATCAACAGTCACCTTGACAGTTCACTTCAGACCTACTACTACTTTGACTGGAGCAACAGTTCAGATCATTTTCCCATCAACTTATTCTACAGAACCAGCCAAAACTGTTACTCTTTCTACTTCTTACAACTTAAAGTCTGGTAAAGATGCTAGTGCTACTTATTCTACAACTCTCCCTAGCGCAGGTCTTTATGGTCCATTTGGAATAGTTACTAGACACAGCCAAACTGGGCAAATCGTTGATGCAAACTACAATTTTGGATGCATTGTGGTTACCAATTCAGTATCAGCAAGTTTTCTTACTGTCTCTAGAGCTGCAAGCAGCACTATCACTACAATTAACACTGACAATACTCTTGAATTCTATTTCACACTGACCTTCAGTCTTTGGGCTCATGATATCATTGAAATTGTCCCAGATTCAAATTGGGTCCTAAAAACAGGCCCAATCTGCAAATCAATAGGAGATCAAAACCCTCTTATTGGCCCAGACAACACGAATATCAGTGATTTACCTTGTTCACTTGGACTAAAAAGTTCTGCATCTACTGGAGTCGCAACGGGAGTCGATAGCGATGTTGCTTCAGACAGCATTTATATTTATGGAATTGCATCAGACGCTTATGTGTCTTCGGGATCTAATTCGAATTCATATATCATAAAGCTTGAGGTTAGTTCTATTACTTCACCAGCGTTTGTCACAAGCTCAAGTAGTTGGATTGTTAATATTTGGAGATTCGGAACAAACAGATTGCTTGCTAACTCACAGAAAAATTCCTATTTTTGGGAAAATGAGTCCTTCCATTTTTATATAAAAATTGTTTTAAAAAAAATATTTGCTATATAATTAACGATGCTATGATGAAATCTCTGCAGAACTCAATTAATTTTAGCAATTTCCTTTCTAAAACATATTATGCTGTGTTAGATGATAAATATTTAGAGTCTTTGCTACCACGAGTGACATTCTTTTACTACTTTGTAAAACTATGTGGCGGCCCAAACGAACTGGGTGGACTTCTACCTCTGAGCCTAGGCTGAGATCTCTGGTTTCTTGGTAGCTAATACACTATTGGGTTCGCAGACCATTGGTGAGCTCAACAATTTCGAACTCAGTCCCTTCGTCCCTATTACGCCATCTCCTGTCTCCTGCTCCTGGCTCATTCGTCCCACTCAAGAGCACCTTTGCCAAAAGGACTGTCTTCAATTAGTCCAATTGGCCTCCTCTTTTTCAGGGCATCCCTGAAAAATAATCAATCGCTTTCGCAAAATGGGGCAAACTGCCCTGCTTCATTTCGGTACCCACTAGCGGTGGAATGTCATCTCCATATTACGTATATTCTCTTTCTAAAACATAATTTTTAACTTAAATAAGATTTTTCAAATCAATTATAAAAATATTTTTTAAAGATTATGCATACTCCTTGCTATAATTTATACAAGCTTCCTCATATGAAATTCCATTCAGATGTAAAACTTGCAAATTGGCTTGCCTTCAAATGTGAAAAAGTTTTCCACGTCTGGCATTTCATTACACATAGAAGGCTGTATAAATTCCGGAAAGGGGCTATTATCTATTAGTGGGGCAAAATAATTTTGCTCTTTCTTAAAGCGGGGAGAGTAAGTACGCCACAAGCTCTGGTCCAGGATCTACTGCAGGATCAGCATATTTTACAAGCTGGGAAAGTCAAAATTATCCTTCAAATTCTATTGTTGTAGGCCAGGTCTTATATACTAAAGTTAAAGTTGAAACTAGCAATCCATTGCCTACATACAGCATCCTGGTAGTTACTTTCAGCAGTGTCGATATATTCAATACCGCTTGATGGTCAGATCTTGATGGTTCCACTCTAAGAGCTAAAGGATTGTGCTACGTGACTCCATTTATTGATGGCGCAAGCTGTGTGGCAACTGATGCGACCACTGCAACTGTAACATTTATGAAAGCCCAAGCTAAAGGATCAGTATCATTTGTGGTATTAAGCTATTTCTCTGGATTAACTCCACAAGTTTCAAAAATCACTACCTATTATACTCCATCAGCTTCCATAATCGTAGATCAAAGTGCAAACAATCCAGGTTTATTTATAATTAAAGCAACTTCATCAACTGTGTACAAGATTCCTGATGTAGCTTTGCATGCCCTTGGTTATTGAACTGTTCAGTATCCTAAGCTTATTCCAGTGAATAATATTATTCCATATTATATATCAAGCTCAAATGACCAGAACCAAGCTGGAGTAAAAGGTAAAGATATCTTCATTCGTGTTACACCAGGCAGCTCAAATACATGGGGAGGAGCTAGCGGTGTTGCAGCAAGCTTAATTTTTTATTTCAACAGAGTATCCTCAGTTTCATTCAATAATTTCAACTCTGTTTATATTGACAGTTTTGGAGTCACAGCAAACTGCTATATCAACACTGCTACAGATTTAGAATCATCAACTGCGGCAGATCGAAATTTAGATGCTGCTAGCCCTACAATTACTCCTGGAACTTCTACTAGCAATCAAGTATTCATAGCTTTTTCATCCGACTCTGCAGCTGTTGCTCCTGGCAGCTACCTCATCGTAAGATTCACTGGGTTAGACAAAACAAGCTTACCTTATGTAGCCTCCAACAAAGGCACCTTTTATGAAATCTGGGCAAAAGCATTCTATTCGACTACAACTGAAATTGGTAGCTCAGTAATTTCTGTTCTTCCTCAAACACCATGAGCTGCTAGATTCTATACATTACCATTATGCAAAGATCAGCTAGATGGAATACCAATTGTAAACTATTTTCAACCAGTAAACTTTGATTATGATTTTTCTGCTCAATCATATGCAATTGACATTGAAATTGATCAAGGATACAGCTCCACAAGTGGATTTATGGGCACTGGCATTATGGCAACAAACGATGCTGGAACTTTGACTCTTGGCACTCACTTCTTATCAACTGCTTCTTCTCCTACTGCTACTTTTGCGGTCTCAGGGAACCAACTAACAATTACTCTTAAAGGCCTTGGGTCTACTTCTGTATCTGAATCATCAACGGTTAAAACTTACTTGCCAAGTGCCATTTCTACCTTAGGCCAAACAAATCTAAACCTTAATACATATTTCTACTACACGAAATCATCTGATCCATCACTTAGACAAGTTCTCTACCAAAATACATGAACAACGTGGACAATTAATACTATTCTGCAAAATTTTGATTCTGCGTCAATAGGAGCTGCGCAAACCTCAGGGTCATCTTGGAGTGTTGGCACTGTTCAAAGTGTAACCATTTCTCAATTAATTCAGATATCTGGCTATTCGATATTTAATGGTGATTATATTGGACTCAGCCTTCCAAAAGGATATACTTTTTCAACAGCTTCTATATTTTCTGCGGCAACTAATGGTGGAGCTTTTGAAAATTCCCCTCCTTCTTCAACTTACTATATTAATTCTTCAAGTGATACTGGCAATGGAGGATTCATTATGGCTTATGATACTCATAGCGCATGAGGTTCTTTAATGGCCAGTTCTTCAAGCACTATTGGTTTTAACCTAGCAGTTAGCAATGTTCAGCCTCCAAACTATTCTATTGAAAGTGGAAACAGTATATTTGGTGTATGGGTATCCTCAGATATTGGAGCAAATTGTAGATATAGTCAAGCTTATTCAGGCACTAAATCAACTGTCATAATATCTCCAATCGCCTCATTTTCCGCATTATATTCCCTTTCTGGCTCAATTTTAGTAGCCACACTGACTTCTGATCTTAAGGCAGGCTCATACAATGTGGTAGCAGCTGGAGTAATGCCACCAGTAAATCCAGGACCTGATAGTATTGATAAAGACTGCTTCACAGCACTTTCAACCAAGACAAGCAGTGGCAATGTAATCGAGACTTGAGATACATCTAATGAGGCCTCATATCAAACATCTATTGCTTCTTCATCTTCTGTGACTATTGGCACTTCCACTTTGATCGTTAATACATAATCTAAGGTTCCAAACATAACTTACCGATATTTTGCTTATATTTACTTTAAAGATAAAATTTGTATAAGCACTAGACTGCTTAAAGTTTATTATGCAGTTATATTATTTGATATAAATAATATTTCTGATAATAATTTGATATTTTGTTTCTGTTAAAGAAAACAAGCTAAGCCATAGCTGGTCAAATTATTCGAAATTGTAAAAGTATTTGCTAAGGAATTAGAACGTATGCAATTTAAATGGAATAGTTATTGCCACATTCCACTTAAAGGACATTTCATAAAAAGATTTTTACTAAGATTGCCCCTACCTTAAGCTTTTTTCAAATTTCAATCAATATTAACTACTCTTACCTGCTAATTATAACTCTCATCTAAATAATAATTGATATTTTATTATAGCCTAAATTATATTGAATTTTTATATGAATTATTCCAATTCTTAGCTTTTGTATTAAAATTTATAGGCATTCTGATAAAAATAATATGCAGGCATAAGAAATATATTTTATGTGCTCTATATAAAATATGCTTTGCAATATCTTGAACTTATAAGATAATAAAAATTTTTATTAGTGTGGATTATATCCCCAAAGACACTTAAAGTAGACAATTGTCCATGCTAAAATGTCTTAATTATTAGTAATTCACAATAACAAATAATAGATTCTTTATTTATTATATATTTTGAATTAATTATTAGTTATAGATCAAGAAGATAGCCGATAAAAGATCAATCAACACTGCTATGTCATTGCTAGTTGTCGTAATTGTTATACGTACCAAGCCCTTACCTTGTTCAGCATCAATGCAAGAAGGATTAATTGGGTAGGTATTGCAAGCAGTGAAGAAGCAATAGTACATAGTACCAGGGGCAAGGCCAGAAACTGCAAACGAAGTACTAATTGCTGATGTAACATTGACGCATGCTCCATACGCAGCGCTAGACTCACAATCTAGCCCATCAACAACTTGCCAAGCGTAAGCAGTTTTGTTTCAACAGTTATCAGAGCAAGATACACATACAAGGCCATCTTGTGAGGAGGTTGCAACAAATGTGGCCCCTGAATCATATACTGTTGTTTTAGCTGGGGCAGTTACCCAGGTCGGTGCTGTACCAATCGATAGAGAAACAGGAACTCCAAAAGCTGCTGGAGCAACTCCAATCAAATAGCTCAGATCACTAGTGGCTCCATTTTGGTCAAGACTATTGAGAATGAACTGCGGTGAGTATTTTGGCTTACTTCTATCATAAATGACTCAGTAATTGAACCTTGTATATGAAGTCGTTTCTGAACTCTTTAAAAGTCTTAAAGATCCTGAAGGTGATGATGGGTTAGTGACACCCGCAGAAATAAGCCAATCAGGGTTAACTCCCATATTCTTCGCCAAGAATCGTCTAATGTTATCACTCGTATTTTCCGCAATACTTCCCGGAAAAGTAACTGATGCAGAATATGCAGGCTGGGTTGCTGAAGTTTTAAATTCGCAAGATGCAAATGCTGGGGTGCTAATTTTATCGTCAGCATATGCATAAAACTGGTAGGAAGTGCCATCCATAAGCCAGTCTAAAGCAATTACTAATAGCCCAAATTTAGCTCTAATGGGAACTGCGCCAGTCCATATGTTTAGGCAGTGGCTCCTGTGAATTCTCCTAACTCCCCCCCTCCAGGAGTGAACAAAAACATTTTATTCACTCACGGAGGGTTAATTTTTTTTTAAAAAATTTATATATAAATTTTATAGAGATATTTTTTCTCGAAATTTAAAAAAAATCCTAATTCGCAAAAATTGAAAGCAAATATTAATTTAATTTATAAAATTTATGTTTTAAAAACGCAATTTGTTTAAAATTAAACAGAATTAGCTCTAGATTTCAATATACTAATTATCACTTATATATCAAATTTTTTTTTCCATAAAAATTTTTTTCTATTAAAAAAAAATTTTGTTCACTCACGGAGGGTGGGTTTTTTGGGCAAAAATAGCAATTTTTCTAATGGTTTTGTTCACTCACGGAGGGGGGGAGTAAGAGAAAGATTTAGTTAGAGGGTTAAACGGGGATTGTTTCAGCCTATAGCCAGTCAGTCAGTCAAGCTTTAGCTTCACTCTTCATATGGCTCTAAACACAAAAGCCATCTAACGCCCTTTCCTTCTGGGCCATCAAAAATTTTGACGTCGTCAGCCTAACGGGGAGACTCATCCGAACCTGCTTGAATCAAAATTGCAGCACAAGACTCTCTTAATCCCTGGTAGTTATCAAGTTATGAGGGAAGTGTACAGTACTTCCTTCTCGAACTGTCTCTGCCATTTGCAGGCAACATAATACTCTTGTCTCTTGGACAAAGGGAGGGCCAGTCTACTTTTTTGGCTTTGAATTTGGGGTTTTTTGTCATCAGCCATGATTGTAAATCAATTGAATTCTCCTGAAGAAAGAACCAATATCAGTGTCTTTCGTATAGTCAACATGGGTCTCAGTAGCTTGATAATCAGCTGCAAGTTGTTCTGAGAGACTTAGCAGGCTAGAGCTTGGAGATACAAGACTTTGTGTCTGTGCCTGAAGATCGGTAAAGTCAAGTATAGGAGCGCCTTGGCATGCAATTCCTCAATAGATAGCAGCATTTTTGCTGTAGCTTACAGTTATTGTAATTGAAGTACCTGTAAGAATATTAGGGGTAAGAATTAATCTTGCAGGTGACGAAGAGGAATAAGATGTGACAAATAGAGATTGAGAAGTAGGCGCAATGAAAGAATTTGCATCAGTTCCAGTCAGGTAGAAATCAAGTCTAGGTTTCTGGGTGAAATCGTAACTAGCATTAATTTTTAGTTCAAATCAAAGAAATTGGGTGTTAGGTCTAAATGTAAGTGTGACAGGGTTTATAAAAATTCCTGAAGCTGTAGCACCAAATGTTGGAGTAACACTCAAATCAGATGCTGGAGCGTGAGCAAGTATAACAGCAATTGGAATACTTGTGTAGCCTGCATAAAGGGTGGGAATAGTATCAACACCAATTGCAATTTTTTCAACAGCACTAACTCTAACAGTAACGACCTGAGAAGGATTATAAATGGAATCACTAACTCCATCTTGTAAATTTTCTATTGAAGTCCATCCTATATAGCAAGTCCCAGCGGGAGTTCCAGTCGCTAGTGACACCCTGAACTTTATAACTTCATCCAATTGAAACGCAATTCAATTGTTATAGGGTGAAGTGAGTTTTATACCATTGGCTATGGTTTGGTCAAGACAATTTACTTTTGGCGTAAGAGTTAATTTTTGCGATCTTAAGCCAATTTTCGATGACCCAGAGGTGAGCTTGATTAAAATATCGTCACTTTCTGTGCCAGGAATTAGCTTGATAATTTGATTGTCTTCAGTCCCACCAATGTTTACTTTTGAAGGATCAGGGTAATTAGGATCAGTAGGATTAGTAGGATTTGTAGGATTAGTAGGATCAGTAGGATCAGTAGGGTTTGTAGGATCAGTAGGATTACTAGGGGTAGTATGATTGTACTGGCCGTACCCTACATATCCCGAGTTAAGATTTCCATAAGTCCTCCCTGTAAGGACGTAGTTGGTTCAGTCAACTGCAATTATATCAAATCTGTTAGATCAGTACATATATGAAGGCCCGAATGAGGAGCCAGTGATATCCCAGCCTGTAGTTCTTGTCAAGCTAGAAGAGGGGTTGTTAACATTAGTTAGCGAAATACGAATTCTATCTGTTGTTTTGACTAAAGGGGTGACACCTAATGGAGTTAGACTTATAATATTTCTTACTGCTTTGCAGGTGCAATTAGCTGTCCAAGTTGCTTCAGTCATAACTGTGGCTGATGTTTCGTCAAATACCATTAATTTGCAAATTGTATATGATATGGAATTAAATTGCTGAGGGAACGTAATGTTGAAGGTATTAGCAGAGCTAAAGCTTGAAGCTGAGTTTTGAGTTAAATAGAAATCAAAATTATAATCAGATGAAGCAGCTAAGGAACTGTTTGAAATAGAAATAGGTTTAAGATTCATGTTGTTCACTGGCATAGTAGGGATTATCTTAAGATCTGTAGAAGAAGATAGGCCTTTAAGATTACCAGTTGCGCTATAGTGCCATGCTTTAAAATAGCCCATATTGAAAGGACCTGGATTTCTTACACCTCTAACAGATAAGTCTAATTGCAAATTTCCATAATTATTTGTACTTTGCACAATGACGAACCAATGATCTACAGTGCAATTTAAGGATTGTCCAAGTGTTTTTGAGCTGCATTCAATAAATCAGCTATGGATAGTCACGATAGGACTGCTCAGAATCTCCAATATAAGGGTCAAAGTCCCTTGGAAATTGAATATAAAGATAATCGCCAAAGTTAATTCTATTTCATCCCTTCAATTCAAGCTCGAAGGTATAAGTTGAGAGCTCTCCAGCAGTTTTAATATCATTTCAGCCACTTAAGTCTATTGAATACGTATCATATACTAAAAACTTGACTGAATTTTTACCTATACCAGATGAGCCATCTATAATTTGAATTGAGTTAGGCCCCCAATAAGCAGAAATTAAAAAGTCTCCTGCTTTGTTTGGATCTGAAAACTTTATTGCGCTATCGAGATAAATATTGATTGTGGTTCCTAAAAGTATAGGCTCAGCTAGGTACATAATAATTGTAGAACTATCAGTAACTGCGCAGCTGCTATATATAACATTAGCTCAGCAGTAGTCTTTAATGGTAGCTGATCATGCAGGATAAGACCAAGGCACATCTATAGGGGTGGAAATTTCAAGATAGCTGCCAGCAGGAACTTTTTTGTCGAAGTAAAAAGTAAGTAAGATATCAACTACCACGTATGGGGAGCTTGGATATGAATTGATAGTTACATAAGAATTTCCAGGTTCTACAGAAGCAGATGAGGTAATTCGTGTTTGAGATGCTCCAGATGAATACCAGAATTCGATTTTATCACCTTGGCTGGTTTGAGTTGATAATGAATAAAAGCAGTCTTTTTCAATGGTAGAAGATCAACTATTTGGTGGAGGTAGAACTCCATTTACCACAATAGTGTATGTCCCAATTTGAAGATCAGCATAAAGACTAGCTGTCAGGGTACTTCCGGAAACTGAATAAGATGCTGGCATTGAGGATGAGGAGTAGCCTGAGGATGGCCATGACCATGAATTTTCTAACTCCTATCTTTGATCAAGCAATCCCATTGAAGATTAAAACGGTTTAGGCATAAAACCAACTCCTCTCAATCTCTTAAAATCTAATTATTATCTTTTATAATAATTAGTCTTAGAAATAATACTGCATCGCTCTTGGAAAATTATAACGCGATCTCTTGATATTTGCTTACATGTTACACAAAATGTTTTATATAAAAAAATATTATAAAATTTTTACAATCCTTAGAATAATGATAATTTGTTTCGCTCAAGGATGGGCGAAAGTAAAGAAAATTTAAGGAAGCCGCCTTTTGGCACCTTAATTTTAGTAGAGAATTCAAAATTCATTGACAGATTAACAGAGTCTGCACTAGCTCCCATAATAGTATCTGAATCAGAATAGCATTTAGGTGTGTTCAAAGCTGCTTCTTTAATGATGATATTTTCAGAATAAGATTTTGAATATTTGCAATCTAATCCTGGCGAATCGGCTGCCACCCATACATTCCAAGTACTTGAGCTAGAGTGGTTTGGACTTTGTAGATTGGTAACTGCTAGATTATAATCAATCCCACCAGAAGTAGGTGCTGCAGAGCCCCATGATGATCCATAGGCCATAATAAACCCACCAGCTCCATAGTCACTTGAAGAGCTTAAATAATATGTCGTAGAGGTAGGCGAAGTTGCCGCTGTTGCTGTGTCAACTACTACAGAATAGGAAGGAACTGAGGAAAAAGTAAATCCTGCTGATAAACCAATCCCAATCATATAGTTAGACGATATTGCAGTTGCTGAAGTGCTGCTTTTAAGTTTGTTGGATATTGTGATACCTTCTGAAGCTCCAATATACCAGGTGGAGGAATCTGAAGTTTTTGCTCCTGCTGAAGAAGAGTCAAAAGGTTTAAGAGTTGTTTGAATATCCCAAGATGTATATGAAGATTTATAAAGAATTTGTTTGGCCAAAGGATCAGATGGCTTGACGACATAAAAATATGTGCTTACTGAAAAATGAGTTATGCCAAGCGAGGCAACTGCACTTGGAAAATAAGTGGTTACCTTTGTTGGTGTATTTATAGAAGTAAATCCAAGATTTTTAAGAGTAATAGTTAGTGTTGTCCCAGAAAATATATAGCTAGCAGTAGCAGAAGAACTAGAAGATAAAAAATGGCTATTGATAGTCAAAGTTCCACCATTATCCGTTATCTTAATACCAGTACCCATAAATCCTTTATATCAGTCATATCCATTACCTATTTCAATATCAATTGCGTATGCATGGGAAGAAAAATCAAAGCTGGTGTTTATTGGCTCAAAGTAGACAACGATCGGAATCCCATCAAGCTGGTCATTGCAAGCTAGCAATGCATAGAGCTTTGATGAAGTTTTCTGAGGAAGCACTGAAATAACTGAGCTGCCAATTTCAGTCGTGGCTGCATAGGTTGCTATTGCCCAGATTTCATAAAAAGTTGCCTTGTTGGATGCTATGAAAGGCAGACCTGAGTCCGAAATTCTTAAAATATAGTAGTTACCATATGCTACAGATGGAGAACTTGAAGAGGCTGAAAATGATACAGAAATTTTGTTTTTGCTTGATAATATAGGAGAAGTGGGAGGGCTTGCTGCTTCTAAGACACGATCTCCAGCTGTTGATGATCCTAAGCTAGTAGCAGTATTGATGTAATCATTAATTGTACTCCCAAGATAGACATAGTTAAAAGTATCAAACTCAATTGATGTTGCCCAGTTGAAATAAAAAGTTAAACTAGCTGCAGCACCAGAAGTTCCTCCCCATGAATTTGTGCTGCCTGGAGTTGTGCGAATAAAGATAGATTGGCTATTTAGTCCTCCTTGGTTTACATTATTGGAGTTATATAGAGAATATGGACTATAACCACTTCCAGTATTAAGTTGAGGATATGATGCAGTTGAAGAAGGAAGAGCATGCAAAGCAACATCAGGAATCCTATAATTAGTTGATGACGCTGAGGTAATCACAAATTCACCAGGATTGGTTTCACTTTGATCTACAATATTGCTAGTTGAACCATAATAAGTAGTAATTTTATAAACTTTTGGAGATTCTCCAATAAACTTGCTTAATACCACAAATGATACTGATCCTTTAGCTCATTCTTCTGCAAATGTTACAGTTGCAGTGGTCTCAGAGGTTGCTTCACAGCTCGCACCAGAAATAGCTGGAGTAACATGGCACAGGCCACTCGCTTTTTCAGTCGAGCCATCTAAATCTGACCACCAGGCTGTATTATATATATCAACATTGGTAAAAGCAACAGTCAAAGTACTTAAAGCTGGAAGGGGATTATTAGTACCAACTGTAACTTTAGTAAAAATAACTTGACTCTGCATAGCATTATTAGAAGGATAATTTTGATTTTCCCAATTTATAAAAGTAGCCAATCCTGCTGATGACCCAGGCCCTGTAGTTGTAGTATATTTAGCAAGCAAGTTATTGGTTCCCCATCGTCAAACATTAATAGTCCAGCTGCTTGAACTGGTTGCAAATGGTGGTGATACAAAATAATTTACATCAAGCTTAACAGTGTAAAAATTTGAACTTGATCCAGCAGACACATAAACATCTTTAGCAATCCCATAAATATAAATACTATCATTAGAAATATCGGTCGAATCAGCCCCAACTGCAACTCCAAGTGATGAAGAGCTTTTGACTGCGAGTGCACAAGGTAAAGAGTTTGAATTACTTGAGCTAAAGAGAAGATTTGGGCTTCCCACTGATTGGCAGGTAATCCCTGATTTTGGGGTCCAGTTAGAATCTGGGACGATTTCAATGATATCATGAGCCCAAAGGCTAAAAGTCAAGGTAAATGCAAACTCAAGGGCGTTATTAGTACTGATTTTACTTGAAGTACTGGCGGTAGTTCTAGAAACATCAAGATTTGCTTTGAGGGCTGAGCTAGTTATAGCAATAAACCCAAAATGGTAATTTGCATCTACAATTTGTCCATCAGCATTGTGCCTAGTGACAATTCCGATTGGCCCATAAACTCCTTCAGAGCTAGGAAGGATTGTAGAATAGGTAGCACTAATGTCTTTCCCAGCTTGCAAGTTATAATTACTAGGAAGAGTGGCTTCTTTATTTAGTTCTGTTGAATAGGTCTGCGGAAAAATGATTTGGACAGTTCCTGAAGTCAATGAGGTTGAAGGCCTGAAATGAATTGTCAAGGTGATGGACGAGCCAGCATTAGTTTGGCTGAGCTCTATAGGGTTATTAAACCAAGTGTCTTTTGGTCATAATATTCTCCCAGGATCGAGGTATGGATCATAAGTTCCAAATTTTATGCAATTAGCAAGTCCAATAAGAACAATCAAGCTTATAAGGCTTTTCATTGTTGATCCCTGTTTTAAAAAATTATAGAAGGAATAGGCATTTAATGCAAAAATTTCTAAAATTCTAGTTTATGGGTTTTAAAGAAGAATATATCTTGAAAGGTTATTATAAAAAGATATTTATCAAAGCAAAGCCAAAGAGCTGGCTATAAATTTTGATAATTAATATTATAATCATCCTTTTGAATAATTATTATTTTAATCAACTAAAGAAAATTTACAAACTATGCCTTAAAGATAAAATTTGTGTAAGCAATAGCCTATATAAAGTATATTATTCAGTTTGCTTTATATATATTTAATAAAAATAATATTGTTGATAATAATTTTATATTTTGTTTCTGTTAAAGAAAGCAAGTCAAGCCATAGCTGATCAATGTTTATTCTAAATATTAAAAGTATTTCTAACTTCATTTTATAGGTACTTAAAATTCGATCAAGGGATAGCTTAATATTTTAGTATATTACTTATTATCATATAATAAAATCTTTATCTAATAATTTTTTGAATAAAAATTTAATTCCATTAATCACTATCTTATACTGAATAAGCCTGAAATTAAGCCCAATTATTTATATTATATTTTTATATAGATATATAAACATAATTGTGATTGAAAATTCATAAAGAGACATATTTTAGACTTTTTAAAAAACTACATAAGAAATTTATAAAAATTGGAGTAAAATATTCCAAAATGCTTTTGACTATTGGAAGATTTTAAATAAAAAATAAAATATGCACTCCAGGCATGAATCTTTAAAATCTCTTGGCCAAAAACCTCAAAAGAAGATTATCGCTCCTTTTAAAATTATTCGTTATAGCCCAAGTCTGGAATCACAAGTTGTTGTCAGCAGCAGAATCGAGATTAAAAAGAAAATCGACATAAAAGGGAGCATGACGCATAGAAGAAAAGCTAATTTAAGCGACACACAAGTGCTAAAAGATCTTTCCTTTGAAAATTTTGTATATAAATCACCCACAAATGTATTTGAAAATACAAGCAATCAAAATAACTGGATAAGAATGAAACAACTTAGCTGAAAAAATTCATCCTTAAGACACACACAAATGGTAAATTCCCCAATCAGCCTCATTAAAATAAGAAAAAGCTCCTCAATCATAAGCAAAGACTCAATAAAACCCTCCAAAAAATTTTTGGTGCCTTTCCTAACTAAATTTATATCTACAGAGATTTCACACATCCCATACTTCAATATGAATTTAGCTAAAAAAGAAGAGCCAAATAAAGAAAGCCCACGACTAAATCAGTTCTCTAAGCCCAGCATTGCAATTTTTGACACAAAATGTACAGGAGGATCTATGCCTAATAGCCGAGAAGGGTGCCAAGTTGCAATTGTTGCAGAAAAGATGTATTTATATGCAGGAGAAAGCAGGATTTTGCATCCTGACGTAAGAGAGCTTGACTTGATTAGTTGGAAATGGAATATTTTGAATACTCAGTATTGCCCTCAAGGGAGAGCTGGGCATTCTATGGTAGTTTTTAAGAAGAAAATTGTGGTTTTTGGAGGTTATGCGTCGCATACACATGATGGGACAAGAAGATGCACAGCAAAGCTTAATATCCTTTCTCTCAAAGACCAAAAATGACAAATATTTACAGGCTCAGGCCAATTGCCCCAGGCATTAAGAAATCATGCTGCAAGCAAAGTAGGCCGATTTATGGTGGTCTATGGAGGAATGAATCAAAGAGGCCACACAACAAATTGTTTATATATATATGACTCCAAAGCTAAAGAATGGTCAATTCCAGAAATAAATGTCTTTGATGATCCTGGCTTTAGATCACATGCAACTCTGACAGGAATTTTTTCTAATGAGCAGCTTTTAGACTACCGAAGCAATTTATTTGAAATCCAAGCCAAAAACCCTTTTCAGATCTCAAATGTAGGCTTCTACTTATTTGGGGGCCTAAACTTTGAGTACAAGCCTTGCAACTGGTTCCACTGCCTTCATATCGTAAATGATAGCTTAAACTGAATAGAAATTAAATCTGAAAATGCTCCTTCACCAAGATATTCCCACTCTGCCTGCACAGCAAACTATAGACTTTACATTTTTGGAGGGAGGAATGACGACTTATATGGCCAAGGAGGGTCAGAACTAAATGATTTGCATATGTTTAATGTAGAAAACCTCAAGTGGGAAAGAGTTGATATTAAAGGAAGTGAGCCAGAAGGTAGATGAGGCCACTGTATGGCTTCATATGGATCAAAACTGCTAGTTTTAGGAGGAATGACCCATAAGAATTTCATATCTTCTCAGCTGTGCTATTTTGAGACTAATGCAGATGTAGTTGAAGAGGTACTTTCAAGGAATAAAAATGGGAAATAGATTACTTTTGAAGAAATTTTGTTTATTTTAATTCGTAAATTTTATACAATGAAAGCTTTATATTAAGAAGTTAAAAAATATCAATAAATTTTTCTCAATGCTAAATACTGCAAGCGTATATATTTATTCAGAGCTTTGGATTTAAAATTATTTTAATAGTAAAAAAATTATGCTTATGAATAGTGATAAGTTTTTTATTAGTTAAGAAAATAAGTCTTTTGAATAAGTCCTTCCATGCATTGAATTTCACTTTGTAGCATAAAATCATGCCAAGGTAAATTTAGCAAAATCCCATCTCCAAGTGTAATTGGGACACTTGTTAGCACAATTTCATCAATTAAACGCACTTGGGCAAAGGAAGCAGCCAAAGCAGCTCCTCCGAAAAGCCAAATATCTTTGCTTTTTCCTGCTCTTCTGAAATTTTCAATAAATTCTTGAGGTGACTGAGAAATGAACTCCACACATGTTAAATCTGTCCTTAAAGGCTTAGATGTAAAAACATAAGTATGCTTATCAGACCACTCCCACGGGCCAAATGTGAGTGCTTGCTGATAGCTTTTACTCCCCATCACAATTGTTCCGATCCTATTCTTTAATTTCCGATATCCTAAAATATCATCAGGATCATTTGGCATCCATAGTCAATCCACTTTACCATTAATATCAGCAATAAATCCATCTAATGACGCTGCAACATACAAAATTACTTTATTCATTTATTGCCATTTCTTCAGTTTTTGCATTTAAGTCTTCTATCTGCTTGATAGCTGGAATATTCTCTATCAATTAATTATAAAATGGAAAGGCGCGTTGAAGAGTTGCTCAGAGCATTACATGCCTTATCTTTTACAGATGCTGACAGCATCCTTGGCGAACTTCGTAGTTTGGTTTTAAATCCAAATCTCAGCTCAGCTCAAGTAGCTTTTTGCTCTTCCAAACTATTGAATTCCGATATTTCTCTATTAAACTTCATCAAAACCCATCGTGAAGAGCCTGACAGACTGATATGAAAAACTATGAGTAACTCTCTTGACTTAGTCTCAGACTATATAAAGACTCGGTCAAATACAATTAATGAATATATCCCCGAAATCAAAGAAGTCTGCATCCAATTGATGGCAAAATCAACCAAGTCCAGCATGGTTAAAGAAGCTGCCCTCAGGCCTCTAATTAAGCTCCTTGAGACTTTTGTAGCCACCAAGCTTAAAGATATCCTTGATCCTGAAGGCATGATCGCAATTTTGCTTGACAACAAGCTAAAAACAGAAGAAAAAACCATGGGATCGACACTCAGAGGCGCAATTTATAATATGCTTGGCCTACTAGTTTCCCATTTCGAAGGCGAGCTACAGCACCGTATCCCTGAAATCCAGCAGCTTATCCATATAAGAATAAGAACAGAAATCAATAAAGGCCAAAAGACAGAAGAACGTTCACTAGCAGGATGATAAATATAATGGCATTCGGTTTGAGAGAAATTAGCTCTGCTCCCTTATAGAATTTTATTTATGGGTTTGGCTTCTCTTGAGAATATCTGGACAGCAACAATGGTTTATCTTTGGGGATAACCAGGGGAACTGTTCCACAATGCAGCTAAATGGTTCAGGATTTTACCTTTCGCCACATTTGAGCCTGATGATAAAAACGCAAGGAGCTTAGTCAGACAAAGGTGAAGGCATCGCTCCTGGTAAAAATCGCTGGTAAGGATTGCAGGCAGTTTATTTGGGATGGTCCGATCTTTTTGATCAAAAATGCTTGTGGCTTCACCATTTTGGCTCTTCTATTTAGCAGGAGCGTGCAATAAGACACCTTAGCCACTTAAACTAACGTAATATGCATTAGCGGCGGGAATGATGAAAGGCTTGGCATATGGGCTAAAAAGCTTTAATTACCCACAAGAAATTCTCGCCGAGCTTTTTGGGTACGCGAAAGCCTTAATGCAGCCAATTGAGTCTAGATATATGATCCCTAAGGCAGCAATGAAAATAATTGCAATGAACTCGACTGTTTTTGCAGATCTTATAACAGAAAATGCTATACAACTGTTTAATACATTGAATGATTTAGCCAAAACAGGGGCTTACTCTATAAAATATCTAGCTCAAGACTGCTGCGAACAATGCTTGATGGTTTTAGCTGACACTTTGTCAAGAGAAGCCCAAGCCCATATGCACACTTTTGAATATATATTGAAAATTTTAAGAAAACAAATAGAAACTCCTCAAGGCACCCAAGGATATCCTAACACCTTAAGAGCCCTTGGTGTTTTTTCTCAAGCTATAGTAAAATTCAGAGGTGAGGACTATTTAAAAGACCTTTTAGACAAGCTTGTAGAGCTGAGTGAAAACTATTTGTTTTCCCAAGAAGAAATAGAAGAAGAAAGCTTCAAAGCTGTCATGCTAAAACAAAAGTCCTTAGCCTCATTTTTACTGTCCTATGCTGACATAGCAAGATCACTGACTGTCATCCCTGAACATATTTTGATGCATTTTTCCAAGGTAACCTTAGAGATTTTTAAGCGAAATATGACTCTAATAAAAAAATACAGGTTTTTGCTGTATCAGTCTATTGCCCAGCTTTTTTCGTCTTTATATCTGCAAGCAGGACAGTTTGGGCCTTGGATAAAAATTTTTGTAACAAGGGCGATGAATGAGCTTTTGACTATTCCTGAAGAAGTTGAAAACCCAGAAGAAAGGGTTAAGCTAGCAAGTCAGCTGTGGGCAGGAATTTTAAGCCAAGAATGCTTGACAGAAATATTGATCCAGCATATTGTTGATGAGATTGGCCAGTTTTTTTTAAATATTCTGCAGACTTTGGATTTACAGTACTCAATTAAAGGAAATTTGGCGGATACTGAAATTGTGGCAAATAGTCCTGAGGAGCAGCAGTTTTTTTATCAGGCCAGTGACTTTGCCAAGCATTTTTTTAAAGTTATGGCTCCAAGACTGACAGGGTGGGTAATGCCATATGTGGACTTACTCACTCCCCCCCCATCCTTGATCGAACGACTTGCCATCGTTCGATCAAGGATGGGGGTTAAAAAATATTTTTTGGGAAAAAAAATTTTATATATAAAATCAAATATATATATATATTTTTTTTTTATTTACTTTTAAAAAAGAGGGTTAAGAGTATTTAATAATTATTTTTACAGCAAACAATTGAATTAATTTTATAAAAATACCAATTTTTAATATTTTGATTTATTAGTTACCCCCCTTTAAAACTGTATAAATTTTAAATTTGTTCCTTATTAAATTAAATTTTTTTTTTTAAAAATTTTAAAGAATCTATATTTTATTAGATTATTAAGTTTTCAAGCCCAGGTTGATGACTAAACCACTTCGTATGGTTGATTCCAAAGCTTTTTTTCGTCTCAAAGTCTCTGAGAACAACTTCATTAGGTGCATCTTCCTAAGCTTTTGATAACTAAATATATTTTTATATATATATAAAAAATTTGCATGATATGAAAATCGTTCGATCAAGGATGGGGGTTAATTTCCCCAATTTTTAGGAATTTTTACAGTCAATCGTTCGATCAAGGATGGGGGGGAGTCAATAAAAAATCGTCTGAATTACCTTTATTGCCATCTTTATATAGTTTTTTAACAGTCATAATGACTGTGTGCAGCAAAACAGACTTTCTAGATACTTTACCACATGAAAGAAGGATTATTTCAGAAACAATTAAAAGCTTAATTAAGAGAATGCAAGGCTTCCATGACGCATTACTCGGTAGCTGTCTTGAGGTTTGTTTAGCTTGCCCTGTGAGCTTAATTTACTCCCCTGAAGAAAACAATTTGCCTACATGGGTTCCTGTTATAGTCCAAGCTTTATCATTAGGCTTAGCCCATTTGCCGCTAGCCCATAGCACAATTTCTGCTTTGAATGACTGGACTAAAAAAATCCCTATGAGTGCTCTAGAGCCATTTTTGCCTGAAATTTTACCATGTTTATCAAGCTATTTAACAGTTGATAAAATCAGCCAAGAAGTCCAAGGGGGGGATACAGAAGAAGCTTTGATTCGGAAAAAGCGAAAAACAGTCGCATTTAGGGTGGTCAAGCTATTAGGGTCTTTAGGTGGATTTTCTCATTATATTGTGCCTAAAAAAGTAGAGGATATTCATATAGCTTGGGACGCAGAGCCTAGGGTGAAATTTGCAATCCCTTTACACCAAATAAAGCTGGAAGTGTTTTTAGACCCGGCACTGCCTAGAATTCTGCATTTAGCAGAAAATGCTACAGATAGAAAAACAAGGGTCGCAGCTTGTGAGCTTTTGCACTCTATAATAATTTATATGCTTGGAAAAAACTCACAGATAGGAGCGAGATCTAAAGAGTCCAACCCTTTTGCTAAAGTTTATGAAAAGCTCTTTCCTGTTATTTATAACCTTGCTACTGATGTAGAAGCTGTGAGCCGACAAGTTTTTGAGCCACTAAGCAGACAGCTTGTCAGATGGTTTGCAAAGTCAAGGGGATATGAACACCCTGAGACTATGGCCCTTCTAGATGCCTTAATGCAAGCTGTCTCTAACCCTAATAATGCAGCCTTAAGAAATCTTGCAGGAAGCTGCATGGGAGAGTTTGCAAGCTCAGTCATTTCTCAGCCAGCATCCCCTGTAGCTTATTTCAAGTCAATTTTAAGAAGAATTGAAACCTATTCAAACCATCCAGACTCTACCAAAAGGCTTGGCGCAGTTCTTTGTATCGGAAATATCCTGACCCACATGGGGAATAATGATGAGCTTGTAGACAGATTTTTATTAGAAATCGGCCACGTAGTCATGATAACAATTCGCCTTTCTCATTATGATAAAGAATCACAAGAAATCATCAATTTATGTGAAGGAATTATATATGAATTTCTCAATATCTGTGCTTTAAAAATCAATATTCTCCTAAAAACTAACCCAAAAAGAGCCCATTCTTTAGAAATTACAAGTTTTCTTAAATGGATTTGGGAACAATGTTTACGGCCAGAAAGAGCCTGTAGAGAAAATTCTAAAAAAATTTGGTGAAGACTAGCAGAAATTGTAGGAATTGACAAACTAGCCTGAAGCAGACAAAATCAGCTGGATATAGGGAATCGTGACAATTATGAAGAATATGAAGGGATTATTGACTGTATTAGTTGGCTTTCTAAAGAAGGCTTAATAGAGCACAATCCAAGACTTATAGAGCAAAGTCTGACAGATTTCGCATTAGGAGAATGTGCAGAAGAAAATATCGTGAAAAAGCTGTATTCCTTAAAAGCTACGATGGATTATTGCAAACTTTACCCAAATGCAGGCATAAATTCAGAATTTCTAATAAAAATCGTAGTCAGTCCGAATCAGCTTGGGATTTTTCCACAGGTGGAGACTCCTGAAATCAGCAAATTATATGAAGAATTAAGGGAGTCAGCAATGGAAATTTTGAATATTAATGCGGTGACAGCTCAACAAATAATAGAAATCTGGAACAATTTCAGCATCTATACCTCAGAAAGACTATTAAAAGTATCTCTATATGGCTTCTCACGCATTATAAAGCTTCTTGGAAATAAAGGCCAAGCTATATACAAAGCAATCCAACAAACCATTTTTCCAGTCATGGTAGAATCCCTTTCCCAAGATACCCAATCTCAGCTACGCAAAGGAAAAGCTTTATTTAACTTTTTCAAAGAAACCAAACTGTCAGATGACGATTTCAGCATTCTTTTAACTACCCAAAAAGTCTTCCAAAACTGCAGCGAGCTTCTTCTTGACTATATTTCTTCTCATTGGGTCCCTGCTTTAAAACTTACCTTTAAAAGCCTCTCAGTCCGTGCTGATTTATTATTCCCTATTCTTATCCCAATCCTCCAAAAAGGAGCCTCTACAGTCAAAGACTCCAAAATTTTGCCTCTTAAAGACTTTATTAATGAATTTGTAGAGTGTGCTATGCCTTTAATGGGCATGATTTCTGTAATCCCCAGCATTGAGCACTGTCAGATCATCGTAAAAGTTTACTGTGTTTTCCTTGATTTTTGTAAAAATTTAGGGATTTTTGGAGAGGGTATAGAAATTGTGAAAAAAATGCCTCAGTTTTTGCAGCATATACAGGTGATAATAAAGAATTTATTGAGCCCTGATAGAGCGGCGTCTATTAAAAGAGAAGCAATTAATTTAATTGCTATGATGTGGGATTATAGAATGGTGATTCCTAATTACTGGAATGAAATAAAGCCTTTGCTTATGGAAGTCCAATCTCAGCATTTTTTGACTGGGACTCAAAATCTGCGCCCAGGGAAAGAAACTTATGAGTTTGAATCTTTAATAAAAGGATTTTTCGAGCTGATAAAGGCAACCCATCATATTGATGCTGTGACACTAATATTTTCTTTAATAAGAGAAGAAGATTCTGGATATGAAGCTGAACTTACCCATGTTTTGAATACTTTTATTGATGACCAAATCACAAAAGAGCCTTTAGGGACTTTTCAAGATAGTTTTAGGGACTTTTTAACCCATTTTTTTAATCCAAATATTGATAGAAATATCAAGCATAATTTGAGATGGGGATTGGCGAAAAGGATTCTTCTGCCTATGATGGATATTTGTGATGAAGAAATGCTGGAAAATCTTGTTATTGCCCATACACATCAGTTATTAGGAAAATTAAATGAAAAACCAGGGGATGCCCATGACGCTTTGGATTATTTTTTTAAACTGATGGAAAAACGCTTTGTTTTGCTGTTTTTTGAAAAAACTTATGCAAGATTGCCATCGCAGAGGCTGAAAGATAACACCCATAAAGCACTTTTTGGGGCTGGGTCGCAAGGAAATGAGCTGACTAAGCAGTTAATTAATTTTTGTGGAAAATACAGAAAAGAGAAACCTGAGAGATTTGAGCTTTTAGGGAATTTTGATAATGGAAACCAAGCGTTAAGGGAGTTCAGCTCAGCTTGTTATGCGTGTTTAATGACAACTATAAGGAAGACACAAAGCCAGGAAAAGATTTTCTTTAATTTTCTGTTTAAAGACCAAGTTTGGAACGCAGTTGTTGAGGAAAAAGAAAACTATGGGTTTACGCCGCAGACTGATTTTAGGACAAAAATTCAAGAAAAATCTAATAAAAAAGCACCAGAAAAAAAAGAAACGACTAGCATTGCGGCGGGATATATCACTTCTTCTTTATTTTCGCAATCCCAAGATATCAGTTATTTCTATCAAAATTGAATAAGCCTGGCAAAATTAATAAAAATTTTTATTCTAAAAATGAACAGATTTTTATACTAAAATATACTTAAAGCCACCTAAGAAAAAAATTATCGAAATCCCTGAAATTGAGCCAGAAGTCGACTTAGAACTCGACGAAATCAACTCATTGCCTATTATGAAGCCACTCCTCGAAGTCATTGAAAAGATGGAAATGCTCTTTAGTGAAACCTGAGGAAACGACATGCCTCAATGAATGCAATGCCTCCATGGCGACCTCTGCAACCCTAATAATTCTTTATCAGTCAAACTTTTCTTGATAAAAATCATCCTCAACAGACCTAAAACTTTTGAGAAATGGGGTGACCAGTGGTTTGAGCCTATCTGCAATACAATGACTCTCCCTAACAACGGTGGCACAGGTTTTCACTATTTCTTAAGAGATGTCGCTTGTCTTCTTCTATATGAATGGGAAAAACTAATCCCAGTCGGCAAAGAAAGATCAGCTACCAAATTTGTAAATTATTTAATCCGTGTAGCTGCAGATACCAGCAAATCTGTTTTAGAGTCAAATTTAGATATAACATTTTATCATAAATAAACCATTAAAATTTTATTTTTTTTTTTTTTTATATAATCTTTATAAGGTATATCATATATAACCTTATAAAAAAATGAAAAGCACAGGTGACCTTGGAGCATAAATATATAGACGGGATGATAAAAAAACAAATGAATAAAGATCCTCAGCCTGAGGAGGAAAAAAGAGTAATTGCATGGAAAATGGCAGGGATTTTGATATATGGATATGCTGTAGGTGAAAAAGTAGGAGTTTTAGATGGGCTTGAAAATAAAGAATTCATGATTGTAGAAGGCTTAATCAAATGCCTGGAATTTAATAGGAAGCAAATCATTCTGGCTGCTTCTGAAGTGATTGGGAAAAAGCTGGCAAATGGAAACGCAGGGGAGCTTGAAAATGAGCTTTTAGCCGTCTTAGCTAAAAAAGAAACCAAAGATATAGGACTTATGGTCGCGATTTTAGAAAAAGTTACTATAGGCTACCCACAAATTCTAAACCAAAAAAATCTAGCACGAAAACTTAGCGAGTTTTTCGGGACTTTATCAGGAAATTCCAGAGCTCAGCTGTTAAAATGTGTCTTAAAATACGCCGAACACATCAAAACTTCTCCAGATTTTATGAACCTCCCCGACCTTGCTGAATATTTATATAGAGATCGTGCCAAAATTTCTAACGACAATGAAGATTCCCATAGACTTGCCTTGCTTCAACTTTTGTCCTGCCTTATTGACCTCCATTTCAACCCAAGCGTAAAAAAGGCTGTGACTGGGTTTATCCCTTTGCTGAGCGCATATTCCGCTTCTCCTAATTTTGATATCCGTAAAGGACTTTACACGCTAATGAGAAAAGCATATGATGAAGCTCCAAACCTAGAAGACGCTGGAAGAATTCGTTTAAAAGCCAAAGAAATTTTGGTTCGGGCACTTGGGGAGCTTTCTCCAGAGCTTTCTGACTATATAGTAGAATTTTGGAACCAGCAAGAGAGGCTTGGCCTGGATTTATCAGTTAGAGTCACACAGTGCTTGTGGGATCTTTATAGCCCAAGCTATGAAGAGTTATGGCTGTTGGCGTCTTCTCATTTAGCCCTTAAGCTAAGCGAGCTAAGCACAGATTATGATAAAGTGCTGTTTGACCAGCCATTAGCGAATATTGATTTTGAAGACGCTGATATCAGGTCTGAAAGCCAAGCTTCTTTCCCTATGACTCCGATATTTTCTCCTAGTTATTTTCAATATGAAGAAGAAAGGAAATTTTCTCAAAAATTGCAGACTCAGTCAAGCCAAAGCACAGATTTCGCAGTCCCCAGGGCTATTCCAAGAAGAATCAGACACTTTATAGATGGCTCACAAGCGAGTCAAGAAGAGCTTAGGGTATCAATAAGGAAAAAACAAATGGAAAGGATTGAACAGCGCAGTAAAGAACAACGAGCAAGGGTAGTAAACACAATGAGAAAATATAGGACAGGCGATTTCCCTGATATACAGATCACAGCAAAAGATTTGATTTTACCATTAGTGACCTTATCAAGGCTAGATTCTGAGGTCGCTGGACATGTATGGACTGCTCTATGTGCAGGACTTTGTAATGAAGGAATCAGTAATGACTCAAAACACCGAATTGTCAGAGGCCTTGGCAGGGTCTTAGAATCCAGCGAAAAATTTGAGCCATCAGTGATATCTTGCGTCCACAGGACTTTAAGAGATATTGTATCAGTTAACGGCGAACTTGTTCAGGAATTAAACTCACAAAGCATTTCTAACAGTGGAATTAAAGGGTTCTGCTACCAAAGTGCTATAATGCTGCTACAGGAATGCATTTTGAGGAATGAAGAGCCAGTCCAGCCTAAAAGGAGAAAAGTGATACAAGCGATTAGTGGGACTGAAAAACCCGAAATTTCTCAGCAGAATAGAAGACTATGAATTGCCCTTACAAAAGTTTATGAGTCTATGGGAGATTTAGACGCAGTCAGAGGAATATGGCTACAAATTACCCAACAAGAAGGCTCTCAGCTATCAGCACTATTTAGAGACACTTTAGGCTTGAAAATCAGAGGCGAAATAAACCCTGCAGCTCGTGATTTTGCTAATATTTTAGCCCATGATGGAGGACTTGACGCCGATTTATTAGAAGAGGTCAAAAAAGAGTACTTAGACTCTTTAGCACTATTAGGAAAATGGGAAGAGCTTAAAAACAATGTCCCAGACGACGTATCAACCCTAAAAATAAGGTCTCTATTAAGACTAGACGAATTCGGAGAGCTCACTGATTTAATGAACAACGCCCCTCCAGCTTCCCTCTACAATGCTTATGCTTATGAAATGGCAGTTCTTAGTATCACCCAAGACGACGCTGATAGGACAAGGTATTATCTTGATGAAGAATTCTCTAGGTTTGTAGAAAGCTGACAAGGCTTAAATGCACTTTCTAGCTCTGCGAAGCATAAATTGATACAAAAAGTCCAGAAAATCTATGAGTGTTTTGAGTTTGTGCAGATTTTTGCAGAGAAAAAAGAAGAAACTGCTGATGAGTATGTGGAGAGGATACAAGCGACGTTTATGGGGTGGAAAGAAAGGAAGCCGTCTGTTTATTATGACGAATTAAGTGTGTGGGATGACGTTTTGTACTCAAGAGTGCTGTTTTATGATAAAATTAAGACTAAGCAGCAAATTGAAAATCAGGAGCTAAAAGAGTTTAAATCAGTTCTATACGCAGATACTGCTGAATGTCCTTTAAGGCTTGGCTGGTTTGACATTGCAGAGCGCTACCTCCGAGAAGGCATGAGAAAACGTGAAAACAAGCGAGTCACCGACCTTTCTCTATTCTCCCCAGTTCTCCGTCTCAAAGCCAAACAGCTTGAAAAATCTGCCTTTGCAATGGACGTCCCTTTCATTTCTGAAGAATTCAAAAAACTCATAAACACCGCTGACGCCCAACAAATCGACCAAGCTCAACAAGCCGCTTTTTCTTTCCTTAAAGGCCAGCTTTACCGTATCCAAACCCGTATTCTTCTCGAAAAAGGTTCCCCAGAAATCGCTACAACCCTCCCAGTTTCTGCAAAATCTGCCTACGATTTCTTATCTCAATCACAAAATACCATAAAAAATAAAATGAAATTCGCCCAATTTTGTGACATGTTATTGCGTGATTTTGAGCATGAAAATGATGAAAAAAGGAATATTTTGGGGGTTTGCTTTAATAGGATGGGGATACAGCCAGAAATGTTGGCAAGAAATATAGTGATTGCGGTGCTTGAAGCAATGGCGCTTGGGAGTTCTAGGGCTCATGACTTGTTTCCGAGGCTTTTGGAGCTGCTGAAGTATAGGAATTTGATGGAAGTTTTTAGTAATTTGATAGCCCAGGTACCTGCGTGGATGCTGATTAGGTGGATTTCACAGATTTTGGCAATTTTAGATAAGGAAGAATCAAGTGCCCTTGCAGAGGCTGTGCATAAGTTGGTGCAGCAGTATCCGCAGACTGTATTTTATCCTTTTAAGTGTTTTACCTCTGCTGATTGTGCAAGTCAGTTTGAGAAAAATAGGACAGTTAAGAAAAATGCGACTTATTTGTTACTAGAAGCAGCATATCAAAATTATAACCATTTAGAAGCCTTCATAGCTGCTTTAGAATGTCTTTCCCACCCTGAGCACCGTTATAAATATTTCTACGATAACATAAAAGAAGCCCTCGAAGACCCTGACCCTAACCGAGCTTACATTGAATATTTGTCCAGCCAGATGTTTGAATCCGTCTTTGACGAAGATCATCCTTTACTTGGCCGATCCCTTGGTGCCTACAACCGAAAATTCGCCAACGACTGGAGAAATGTCTTCTTAAAGTACTTCGGAAAATCAGGCACCAAAATATCTCAGATGAATTTCGACCAATTTAACGTGGTTATTGGGGCTTCCCACAAAAAAATTCTAGAAACTCAAAGACAGCTTAGCCACGGCAATGAAAAACTTAACGCCTTTTCTGAATGGCTTGCAGACTATGATATAACAGAACACAAAGGTCGTCCTATTTATATCCCAGGTCAGCATACAGGTCTTCATGAGCCTTATAAAGGAGGCGAAGTCAGCATTGTCTCATTTAACCAAAACTTGCTTATCCTAAATTCTCTCAGAAGGCCAAAAAGACTAGGAATGCATGGGTCAGACGAAAAAGAATATTTAGCCTTAGTAAAAGGAGGGGAAGATTTAAGGCTTGACCAAAGGATCGAGCAGCTTTTTTCATTGATGAACCAAATATTTAAAAATGACCCTGACTGTGCAAGGCTCGGAATTACTTTGAAAACCTTTAATGTCGTCCCTATGAATAAAAGGCTAGGGATCGTAGAATGGGTGCCTAATACAGACCCACTGAAAAAATGGATAAATAAAGAACTTGCGAGACATTATAGGATCAATGATTTAGACTCCTCAGATGCTAATAAAAATAGGCTGTCTTGGATCAGCTCATTGTCTTCTAATATACAAGGCACTGGAATTGTGGACAAGCACTTGATTTTGCTTGGGTCAAGTTCAGATGAAATCGTGAAAAATTTCAAAATCCAAGAAAGCTTGGTGCCGTGGGATTTAATAAGACAAGTGCTATTAGGCTTAAGCACGACCCCAGAGAGCTTTGTATATGTAAGAAAACAGTTCATACATTCCTTAGCGGCAATTAGTATTTGTGGGTATATTTTAGGGATCGGGGATCGACATTTAGAAAACTTTTTGCTTGATAGGTCTGATGGAGGGTTGTTAGCTATTGATTTTGGTATAGCATTTGGGAATGGGGTCTCTTTAGGGATTCCTGAGCTTGTTCCATTTAGATTAACAAGGCAGCTTATAGCTGTTTTAAGCCCTGAAGGCTTACAAGGAGAACTTAGACATGCTATGATATATGTCCTTAAGTCCCTTACTCCCCCCCCTCGAAGTTCGACCAAGATTTTTTTGGTCGAACTTCGAGGGAGGTTAAGAAAAATTTTTTTAAAACAAATATATATAGAATTTGTTTTATATAATTTAGTAGTGAAAAAATAAATATTTATCATATTCTTCTGGATATACATAAAATGGCGTATGGCGACCGACCCACCCTCTCAGTGGTGGTTACCCATGTATATCCGGGCATGGTTTTTGGAGCCAGGAATTAGCCCAACAACGTCTGGGACCTCGAGGCGAGAGGCCCAAGCGCGAGAACCGCTGTTTTTGCGACCAGACCCATGGGCAGTTATTCGTGACTTCTTTTTGCCAGCAGCGCTCAGCCCAGTGAGTGCCCGAAATGAGGCAGGGTGAATTACCTGCCTAAGCTGCTTTAGTGGCTCGCCCCGAATGGCGAAAGCTGTTGAGTTCTTTCTCGGGATGACCGGAAAAGAGGGGAGGCGAGTTAGACACCAAAACGGGGGTCTCTCCAGTTGAAAAGGTGCCCTTCAATGGGCAGATCTGGCGGACGACGAAGCGGAGTTGGCGTAAACTTAGGCGACGATCCAAGTTGGAAATGGAGGTGGTCAGCAAAGCCGGTATGAGACGGCCCTTGACAATACCTCTACCGAGAAACCGGGGGTTTCGGCCCGGGCTTGGTGAACGCTCTGCCACCACACGGGAGACCGTGGCATGCGACCTCGGACGTAGTAGGGACCTTAAATACCCAGCGTAATCTTAATCTTAATCTTAATCTTAATCATATTCTTCTGTATGGTTGAGAGGGTGTAAGGGTTAGAAAAAATAGTGCAAGATGGTTTTGTAACGCTTTTTTTAGAACTTGAATACAAAAATCGCAAGCTCACCCCCACATAGTTTAAAATTTTTGAAAAATTGCTTATTTTCCTAGTAAATTTATATAGGTCTTGGTCGAACTTTGAGGGGGGTTAATTTTTCCAAAAAAAATAGGAATTTTCCCTATATCTTGGTCGAACTTCGAGGGGGGCAGTTAGAAAACATAAAAATTTAATATTGGATTGTTGTGAAGTGTTTATAAAAGAGCCGCTTTTAGACTGGGTGAAGGCTGCAAAGACCAAAGAAATGAATGCAAGCCAAATCCAAGCATCAGGAAGCACAATTTTAAGCCAGGAAGAAGAAGCAGCTTGGTTTCCGAGAAAAAAGCTGGAGATTGTAAAGAAAAAATTGTCTGGGTATAACTCGGCTCATGTGATGTATGAGGAATTTGTGACGACGAAGCATGCGAAGACGAATTATGCGAAGAAATTAGTTGATGTCATTATGGGGCCTGAAGATAGTTTGAGAAGATCATGCGCGGAAAGTGGGCTAGGGGTTGATCAGCAAGTAGATATATTGATAGAGCATGCAACTGATCCTAATATACTTGGACGTGCCTGGATTGGCTGGTTACCTCACATTTAAGTATCTATAAATTTAATAGGTATTTTTACTATTTCTTTAGTATTTAGCTAGGCAAAATCACTTTTCTTTAATTATGACATTATTTTTTAATCAAAATTTATATAGAAACATAACAAAGAAAAAAATTATGTAATCCTCTATATAAATTAGGATTATTTAATATATTTTATTATGAAAATGCATTTTTATGTTTTTAACTCCCCCGCTTAGCTTGTGAATATCATTAAATAAATCCTTTTTTGAAAACTATTTTAGTGCAAATTCTTTGGTGTTAACTTTATTTTAATATATTATAATCATAAAATCTCAAGCAAATTATATTGATTTTTAGATATCATATTTCCACAAATTAATTTGACTTTCATGTCAAATTATTGCAATTTAGATTTTTTTAAAATTTAAACACAAAATTATAAGCAAATTTAAAAAGAATTAGCCTTTGGCAATGAGCAAAAATTATTTAAACAAAGAAGAGCAAGAGTTTTATTATAAATGCTATTTTTAATATGTAACTATCTATTTCTGAATACGTGTATTTTAATCAAAAATTTTAATTAATAGAATTTCAAAGCTATTTAAGCTATTTACAAGTTGTTTAAAAGCTATTCCATGTAAAATTTGCTTTGTGTTCCCTCCCTTCTTCTTATCAAAAATGATGTCAATCTGTCCTAATAGAATCAATAAAATGAAAGTCTACATCAAGAACCTTCGCGGGGATAAGCTAGAGGTTGAAGCCGACCAAAGTGAAACAGTGCTATCTCTCAAGCAGAAAATTCAGGCACTCCAAGGTCACGATCCTGAACTCCAGAAATTGATCTTGGCTGGAAAAATTCTTGAGGATGCTAAGCAACTATCAGAATATAATATTGTAGAAGGCGCAACCCTAGTGATCATGATTACTAAGCCAAAACCTCAAGCGAAGGCTCCTGAGCCTGCCCAGCCTGTCATTCCTCCTCAAAGAGCCCAGCAGCCACCTGCAGAGCCAATTCAGCCTCCAAGTCAGCCCAGTCAACCCAGCCAACCTAGTCAGCCAGCTTCCTTCTTTTCCCAAAGCGCTGGTGCTTTGGTCTCTGGTGAAGAGCTTGAAGGGACCATCAAAGGTATCGTCGACATGGGTTTTCCTCGAGAACAAGTAATAGTCGCCATGCGAGCAGCTTATAACAACCCAGACCGTGCTATCGACTATTTAATGAACGGAATCCCAGAGCAGCAAGAACAGCCCGCAGAACAAGCAAGACCAGGTGCTTCTCCTCAGCAGACTGGTGAAAATGCCTTAAGTTTCCTCTTACAGAACCCTATGTTCCTCCAATTAAGGTCTTTACTTCAGCAAAACCCTCAGATGTTAGGGCCTTTACTAGGGCAACTACAGCAAGGAAACCCTCAGCTTTTCCAAATGATCATGGCTCATCAAGAAGACTTTATGAGACTTATCCAAGACCCACTGCCTGAGTCTGCAAGACCACATATAGACCCAAGCTTGATTGCAGGACTTCCAAGACCTCCTCAAGGAGCCAGCACAGGGTCACAGAGCCATGCTCCTCAAGTTCCAGGCCATCAGCCACAGCCTGGAAGACAACCACATGCCCCAAGACATCAAATTCAGCTGACACCTGAAGAAGAGCAGCAAGTGAAAAACTTGTCTGAGTTGGGGTATCATCCTAGAGATGCTTTAGAAGCATATTTGAGCTGTGATAAGAATGAAACCATGGCAGCAAATCTGTTGTTTGATAACTATCAGCCGATGCCGCAGATGCCAGCTTTCCAGCAGATTCCTCAGCCTGCACAACATGTGGCACCACAGCCTCAAAATCAGCCAGCTCAAAATCAGCCTGCTCAAAACCAGCCACCACAAGACCAGCCTCTTCAAGATCAACCACCTCAAGATCAACCACCTCAAGATCAGCCACCTCAAGATCAGCCACCTCAAGACCCACCTCAATAATAAAACTTATTCAGTCGTAATTAATTGTGTCTCTATAAATTAAAGAATAGATACGAACTCCTTCTGAAGTTCAATAGATGCAGATGTTAGGTATTATGGATTTATAGAAATAGGCGATTTTTAATTTGAAAATGAAAAAGTATTTAAAATGGCTCATAAATTATATTAGAACTCCTATAATTATTCATTTGAAGATCTAACTCCTACCCTCCTCCGATATCGAACAATATCATTGGAAAAATCCCTATTTTTGAGATCCAAAGCCATTCTTTGTTAAGTGAACAAAAAAATGTTTTGAATATAAATTAGTCTATCTAATTCTGTTGAATTTTAAATAGATACAATTTAAAGCATAAATTTTACAAATTAAATTAATTTTTGCAGTTGGAATCTTTTAAATTTTTAAAAAATTGACTATAAAATTTTATATATAATTTATTGAAAAATAAACTCCTCTTTAATCGAAAAAAAAATTGTATCTTTCACAGAAGGAGGTAGTAAACAAAGATTTTTAGAATTAATATATGAAAAATATTTAATACTCAAAATGAAGTTGAACAATGAAAGAAAGAATAAAATTATTAAGGAAATAAAATAATATTTATTTGTATTTATCAAACGCCGCCTTTATCTGCTCCGCATCCAGCCCTTTTGTCTCTACAAACTCTATAAGGAAATATAGAATCCCAATACCACAAACAACTCCAAACACCCAAAAAGAAACCCCTATAGTCATTAATGCGACCATATGAGGAAAAGTAAAGATAACAAAAGCTATCATGAATCAATTAATCGCCATGCAAATGCTCATAGCTCGAGAAGTCAAAATCTCCCCACAATAAACATAAGTAATTGTACCGATGCCATTGCTGAATGCAAATACATATAAAAACATATTCTCGCTTATATGAATAAAAAATTTGGCACTATTTACCTTTTTCTATTTTATATAGTTAATAGAATAATCTATAAATAGTTCCAAAATTTCTATTGATATAAAAGGGTATAAAAAATAAAGGAGGGATTGGTCCTGCATCTGAAAGAATTGAGGCAAAAATGCCTAGAAAGGCCATAGCAATACCCATTCCTGCATTGCCGAAAATTAAAAGAGTTCTTCTTTTAAGTTTTTCTATGCTTTCCTATATAAATATTAACTAATTTATACAGCAATATTTTAAGCCTAATTTATAAATAAATGTATACAATATAAATCACAACTACAACAGACGCAAGATTGGCTAATCCAAATACCGCTGTATAAATTCTAGACTCAAATACCCCTCCTCCAAGCTCCCTAAAAATTTTGGCTGTATACGTAAAAAGCGCATCTACTCCTCCAGCAACTTGTAAAAAGCTTATAGCAATCCCAAGCCTGATTTTCTTTCTTATCGGCTTTACACAACAAATCAGTTCAGAATACGTAAAATCTTCATCATTTTTTAAGTTCTGGTCTTTTCCTGCTGTCTCTACACTATCCATTTCGCTTAATGTGCTTCTATCATTTCTGCTGAATTTCAATTTTTCTAATGTTTTATTAGCCTCTTCTTCTGTATAAACCTGCTGCAGACTTTCTAAGGCTTTTTCTTCTATATCTTTATGTAAATACCGTATAGGCGTATCCAGCCTATACACCTTCCATAATATAAATAGCTGAGTTAATGCAAAAAAGGCTTGAAAAACGAACATAAACATCCACCAGTAATTGAAGACGTCTGAGTTATAGTCTCCAGTAGGAAGGGGAAGTGCCAAGATAAATGCTACCAAGACACCTAAAGCTATAATCAGAGCTGTCAAACTCCCCATAGTTCCCATTACCTCTGGAGGAGAAATTTCTCCTATATACAAAGGACATAAAGTGCTAAAAGATCCAGAAGAGTATCCTGTCACAAGTCTTCCAATACCAAATGTAGCTGTGTATGGGATTAGAAAAAAAAGGCTTCCACAGATGTTTATGAAGTCAGTAATCATCAGGGCTTTACGGCAGCCTACTTTATTTGCTAAAGACCCTGCATATAAAGAGCCTACTAAGCCACCTAGTGGAAGAGTGGCCGCCATGGTGGAAATGTAAAGGTCTTTGTTGTCCCCTCAGCCTAATGTTGCGGCGATATTTTCTTGATTTGAGTTAAAAACACCGATATTGTAGCCGAAAAGGAAGGAACCGATGGTAGCGTTGAGCGTGAGCTTTCAGACGATTTTGGAGTTAAAAGATTTCGGAAGTAAATCCTCGTGACCCATAAATTATGTATAGTTCTGGTGAAGTAAATGGTGACTTAATGTTAAAAATGCGTATATTCAATTTACATTATAAAAAATCATAGATTTATATTTTGTGGTGATATGCAATATAATTGATGATTTTTTAGTAGATTTTAATAGATAGATGAATTGAAAAAGATTTAGATCTATTATACTCAGGTGTAAGTAATGAGATTGAGATTGAGATTTTTAGATTAGAGAGGGTTAAAGCGGGGATTATTTCAGCCCCTGATCCAATCGAGCTTCAGCTTCACGCTCGTGTGGCGCTAGTCACTAAAGCCACCTGCCGCCCTTTTCTGATGACGTCATCAAAAATGGTGACGTCAGCATCTTTCGGGGAGACTCACCCGAACCTGCTTGGACCAAAATGCTTCAGCAAAGGACTCTCTTAACCCCTGGTAGTGCTCAGGGTATGAGGGGATCGTCCGATGCCTCCTTCTGGAACTACCTCTGCCATTTGCAGGCAACATAATGCTCCTCCAGAAGTCCTCGATTGGTATTGCGCCGTCGGTCTTCTCGTCTGTGGGTCGAGGAGAGGCCCACTTAGCCCAGACCGCACCCACCCCGGAATTAAGCCACCTGCGACCTCGTAGCCTTTCCGCCAGCTTTTTTATTTTCTGGCAAAAATTCTGAGTTCATCTGTCGCTGCTAGGTATGCCATGATGGCATTAATTCCTGCAAGTAATGAAGAAGTTCAGTTTTATCTGATTAATGCTGGTAATATCCAATTTCAATACAATTTCCTTCTCAATTTGTTTCGTCGTCTTGCTATTGCTAATAGAGCTTTCTTAATCCCCTATTTATAATAGAATATCTATTAAAAATTCTAATTTAAAAGGATAAATCATCATTTGCAGTCTAAACTTAAATTTAATAAATTATTTTTGTTTCAAAATTTTGAAATCTGGAATATTTAAATACTAAATGATTCTTTAAAAATGCATTCTCTATATAATTTTTTAAAAAATTTAATCCATCAAATACAAAAAAGGCATCTTAAAATTGGTGAAGGAGAGTCAGTGCCTCTACTATTTCTTAAATTCGGTTCCCTACTGATCACTCTGCAAGATCTTATTGGGAAAACACCAGTCCATTTTTTGGCAGAAAAAGGTTTTTATGATATTAAGTCAAGCACTAAAAATTAAAAGCACTGAAGAATAAATATTATTGCTCAACTTGTAAAATATTGCATCATTGCCATACTGCTAGATCATTTAGATCTTTTAACAGTAAAAACTCATTTGAAAAATCTTTGATTTCTTTGTCCTTGTTTAGATGCTCAATTTATTATGGAAACTATGAAGCGTTTGAAAAAATAATTGGAAAAACAATAAATCTCATGTAAATACCAATGCCAATTTTATATTCAGTCAGATTTATTGGAAAGTTCTAATGTATAATGTTTTCTCGAAAATGAAGGCTCCGTTAATAACTGCATAACTCCTTTAATTCTGTTGCCTATTGCGAGCAAAGAAATTGCTGATTATGTATATCTAATGAGAAGAGGAGTTCCGGTTTCAGGTTATACAATTTAGTTGATTATATAAAAATAAATTGTTAAAAAATAAGGGAAATCGCGTAGAAACTTTTCGAAGTAGCAAGAGTAATTGTTAGTAATATTTGTGAAATTAATGCTATCTCCCTGATTTTATATATAAATTTGATAGTATTTTTTTTCAAAATTTAAAAAAATTTCAATTTGTAAAAATTAATTTAATTTGTAAAATTTATGTTTTAAAATGCAAGTTGTTTAAATTAAACAGAATGAACTAGAGATTTAATTATCACTTATATATCAAAATTTATTTTCATAAAAATTTTTTTTTTGCTGATTTAAGGGTGGATTTTTGGGCAAAAAATAGGGATTTTCCAATGTTTTGTTTACTTACGTAGGGGGAGTGAGAGATGATACTAATAATTATATATAGAGGTTTCCTCTATATAGCGCTAAAAGCGCAGACATTTTCCCAGGAGCTTTCCAAGTTCGTCGGACCAAATCGCTTTTTGGTCCGACCAAGGCATTGATTTGGTGCAACCTACCGATAAATTCCGATCAGAATTTATCGGCCTTACAGCGCCAAACATAGGAAACTTCTATATGAATATAATTTTTCTTTCAAATTATTTGGCCAGGCAAAAGTTAAACTCCTCTATTTATCTTTATATAAGCTATTGATATTTCTACAAGAATAAGCAGCGGAGCGTTTTTTCCGCCCTTATTTCTCTTATGTATTTTTTCATATAAAAATAGACCCTTATAAGTCTATAATGAATTTTTTTAGCGTTAAATTTTGAGTTTTTATTAATATCTTTGGGACTTAGAAGTCTGTATGAAGGCTCACTTTATTGTCATAAGATAATTAAAGATAAAATTTTATTTCTAGATCTAGCCATTCCTGCTTTATATATATGATTAATTGTAATAGCTACTGCAGGAGTTATCTAAAACTATTTCAAGGAAGAAAGAAAAATATATGCAAAAAAAAACATATGTACATTATAGAAGAAGGCATTATTTATGAATTTCACCAGGCAATATTTTCGAGTTAAAATTCTCTGAGTTTCAAATGTCCAAAATCTTGAATGTATATTTATAAATTTGACAAAAGTAGTGCCTGCTTTTCTATTGGCAATAAGATATTCTGATTTGATTTTAAAAAAAAGCCTTCAGCAAGAGTATAAGCTTAGAAATAAATTCATTTACCATAAAATTAATTAAATTATGAATTTTCAATATCAAGTTCTTCCTCCATCTATTCATAACCAAAAAATTCTTTAATAGATTTAAAAGAAACTCATTCGCAAAGCTATTGCCGTGGTCTAGCTGTTGTGCAAAGCTGCTAACTCCCTCCATGAGCGAACAAAATAATTTTGTCGCTTATGGAGGAGGGTTAATTTGTTTTTACAAATTTATATATTATTTTATAGTTAAATGTTTTTCGATATTCCAATTTGCAAAAACAAACATTGAGAAGTAAAAATAATTTAATTTGCAAAATTTATGTTTTAAAAATGCAAGCTGTTTAAAATTAAACAGAATTTGCTAGATATTTCATTAATTATCACTTATATATCCATCATACAATAATTTGTTCGCTTACAGAGTGTTTTTAGGTAGAAAATGAGGATTTTTCAATGATATTGTTAACTCACGGAGGGGTAGTAAGCATTCTTAGTTTTCAAATAGCTTGAGATAAATATTGAGTTCATTTTTTTCTTCTTGCGGCTTAATAGATGCTGTCTCTAAAATTCTTTTTGTAATTACTAACTCCCCCCCCCTCCGTGAGTGAACAAAAATTTTGTTCGCTCACGGAGGGGGGTTAATTTTGTTTTAAAAAAATTTTATATATAAATTTTATAAAAATATTTTTTTTCGAAATTTAAAAAAAAAATCCTAATTCGCAAAAATTGGAAAGCAAAAATTAATTTAATTTATAAAATTTATGTTTTAAAAAGCAATTCGTTCAAAATTAAACAGAATTAGCTCTAGATTTCATTATACTAATTATCATTTATATATCAAAATTTTTTTCCATAAAAAATTTTTCTATTAAAAAAATTTTTGTTCACTCACGGAGGGTGGGTTTTTGGTCAAAAAATGGCGATTTTTCTAATGGTTTTGTTCACTCACGGAGGGGGGGGGAGTAATAAATTTTTCAAAGTGCTTAGGTCGGTCTCTTTATCGAGATCTTTTTGTAAATAATTTAGATACCCATTCTTTTTTGAGACTAATAGTGCATTCTGAACTCCTCTAATATCTAGATTACTGAAAACCCAGCCAGATTCTACTCTAGAACCATGATCTTCATCTTTAAGACTTTCATTGATAGCTGGATCACTAAATGACGAGCGACTCTTTCTACATGTGCAGAAGGTCCAACTAAAAGTTGCTTAGAGTCCACTACACTTCTTTTCTGAACCAAGGATTTTATTTGCACTTCAAGAAACATTGCTAACTTCCCCCTTTCAATGAGCGTAAAAACCCTCTTAAGCCAACAAAAAATTATTTTAATATAAAAATTTTTTATGAAAAAAAATTTTTTTTATATTTTAGTGATAATTATAATGAAATCTCGAGCTAATTCTGTTTGATTTTAAACATCTTGCATTTTAAAATTTAAATTTTACAAATTAAACAAATATTTGCTTTCCAATATTTACGAATTAGAATTTTTTGATAAAATTTTACTAAAAAAATTTTTTTTTCGCTCACAGAGGGTGGGGGAAAGCATCCATATCAAGCCATTCACTTGTGGGTTGTTGTTAATCTTTACACTTATATTTTGTAGCACATCCATCAAAAATTCAAATGTTCCCTCAGAAATAATAATCTCTCTATATTTTCATTATTCCCAGCGATATTTCCTAAATATTATATACAATTTTTAGCGGCTTCATCATAGTCTCTACTGATTGCAAGTTGGAATTCTCTAATTGCTCCATTCTTCTCATAATTAAAATATGGCGTCTTCGTCTGGGCATGGCCTCCCGGCCATGCAGCCTCGACTCATATTTTAATTATATCCGGCAAGGTTTTACCATTTCAGAGATGGACAGCAATGCTAGGTAAGCAATTCTGGTAGCTTTCAGAGCCTAGCCCTAGTCTATTCTCAGGGGTGGATTTTTCCTCGTGGGGAAGGAGGGTGCAAGGTTGGAAAGGGGAAGCCCAGCAAAGTCCTCTGGACCATTCGGGCAACTCCCTAGCGTGAAACTGGGCGTTACGTCCCAGGCTTTGCATTTTTCCTTTTTGCCGATAGCCGACCAGAAAAATCCATTTTTTGGGTTTTTCGGAAAAGCAACCCATGTACAAGCAAGTAGCTCATCCATGAGCCGTCGAAGACGTGGACATTTGCCCCAGAAGCACCTTGGTGATCGAAGCGAGTTTGTCTCCAGCAGACTGGTGGGCCCGATGCGACGAAAGGCGAGTGATAAACCTGGAGTTGTAACCCCGTAGTGGACGTTAAGCGATATAAATTTCTAATGTAATGTAATGTAATGCTCCATTCTTCTCAGCATTTCCGCATATTTATGATCAAAAGTGTAAAATCAACACAAAGCAAAGGAAGATTCAAACTGAATTTCTTTAGGACATTCTTGACTTAAACAATGTATAAACACTGGGATGTAGTTTAATTCCACATAAACGTCGAGGTCTGAGTCTTCAGAAATCAATTCTAATAGTTTCCGAGTAATATAAAAGGCTTCTTTGATAATGCTTGATTTGGTGTTATTTCTTCAATGCAGAATTCAAGGATTATTTGCTTTTTGAAAGGAGTTTTTGAAGATAAGGACGGAATGAAATAAAATCGGAGAAAAATCAAAAGGAGAAAGTTTGGGAAGTAGCGAAGCGTCGTTTCTTGCTGAACTCGAAACACTTATTGCGGCGAAGCTAAATCTGATGCTCTCTTGCTTGAATTGGAGTTCTGGGTCTATTGATTGCTGGAAACCTTTGTTCCCATCACAAATCCTTTACCTAGTGCTCATTTTTAGAATTTATTTCTATTAAGGTTTTAGGTTATTATAACACGCAAATAAAAGTTGCTTCTAATTTCTCTATCTATTATAATATTTAGAAATAATTATAAAACTTAATAAAATTCTTTCTGAGAATTTAGATAAAAGTCTTAAAGTTTAAGTTGATTCATCAAAAATTCCCATCTACGAACTCAAATTCCAAGCAAACAATTTTATTGTATGTAAAACTTTGACATAAAGAACATAGGAGCAGCAGAGGGTTAATTTCGAATAAAGAAATGCTAAAATTTTAGCTAAAAATTTTTTTGCTTGAGTGGCTAAATAAAAATATGATAAAAACGTAAAATCTTATCATAGAAAATCATATAAGTAACAAATAAAATCCTCGAAAAATTCTTTTTAAAATTTTTAATTTTTATTAGGTATATATATTTTTAAAACATTTAATTCTCCTCTTCCCAATTATCAATATTTTTTTATTATGCATCTAAGCGGACTTAGAAAAGGATTTTATCATCAGCTAGGAAGAAAATGCAAATCCCATCAATTCAAGATCTTGGAAGTCATCCTTTATTTAGTTAATTTTACTTTTATTAGGAAAGGCATTATCATCACAGAGGTAAAGCCTTAAATCATAGCATATTCATTTATAAGTTACGAAGCATAGCCTATGGACAATGTTATCGTATTTCTTATAGCAAATATAGTATTAACTAGCATTTAAAAATCCAATATAAATAATTATATTATTCTGAATTATTTATACTTTTTTAAGTCTTTCCAAAGCAAATTTGTCAATTTTATAATTTATGGAAATCAAAATAGATTTTATTATAGCATACATCTTATCCATATTTCTCTTATGGATAATAATTTAAGATAGCGTAGCTACCACCTTTGTTGCAGGTGCGTCAGTCCTATCTCCTTAAGCCCAAGAAAAAGAGCTGGAAGGAGATTTAAAGATTTTACTTAAATAGACTTTAATAATTTTTTGCAGATTTTATTACCTATTGATATTTGGACCATTTTCAGTCATCAAAAATAATTAATGGGTAACGCAGCGACTAGCATAGCAACTCGTGTGTCAGGTTTAACTTCTGAAGCTCTAGAAAAAGAGTTGAAGGGAGATCTGAGCATTCTTGGCGACCAAAAACTGTTTTTCAATCATGGTGCTCTATTAAACGGGTGAGGAGGGTTAAGCCGACTGTTGCAGCTATGTCTACGCTGGTGTATTGATAGCTAGATCACTTCAAAATGGCGCGCATGGGTCTTGAAAATTTTTAAAAATTTCCAAGATTTTTATCAGAGCCAACCTATGTCGACAGGGAGGAATCGGGGGTATCGGTTAGGCGGATCATCCAAAAAATATAGAGATAGGCCGGATGCAAAAATTTGGTATAGTGTTAGGCCGAAAAAAAAAGTAAAAAAAATATTTAATGGGGTTAGGCCGATTTTATATATATTTTTTTCCTTACTTTTTTCAGCCTAACTCGCAACAAAATAAATAATTTTTTTTTCTAGGCCTAAATCTATTGCGAAAAAAAAAAACTTCTCGAAAATTTTGCATCCGCCCTATCTCTATTTTTTTTTTGTGATCCGGCCTAAGCCGATACCCCCGATTCCTCCCTGTTGACATAGGCCGGCTCTGATAAAAATATAGGAAAATTTTAAAAATTTTCAATATCTATGTCGCTAAATTTTATTAAAAAAAAGCAATCACTACAAAAAAATAGACATAACTTCGTAGGTCGGCCTATCTCCATCTTTATGTTAGGGTTAGGCCGACTTACAAAGTTATGTCTATTTTTTTATAGTGATAGCTTTTTTTGATTTAATTTAGCGACATAGGTATTGAAAATTTTTAAAATTTTCCTATATTTTTATCAGAGCCGGCTTATGTCGATAGGGAGGAATCGGGGAGTATCGGCTTAGGCCGGATCACAAAAAAAAAATTAGACATAGGCCAATATTTTTATTTTTTTTTTTCACTCCCCCCCCTTTAAATTGGAACAAAATATAGGTAAAATTTCCACTTTTTTGGTAAATTAACCCCTTTAAATTGGAACAAAATTTAATTTTATAATAAAAAATTTTTATATATATAAATCATAATTTTTATGTAAAGAGTTTTGATATAATTTAAATGTTTCTTCTTAACTAAAATTAAAAATTTAGATATATCCTGCTCTTGTTTAAAGAATAGAGTATAAAGAGCATCTTATTTAAATAAATTTATTATCCTTAATTGTAAATTTTTAAAACAATTTAATTTTTTTTGTTTTTAAAAAATTTTAAAAAAACCATTTTATTTTGTTTAATAAAATGATATTTTTTATTTAAATAGCTTTGATATAAATTCAATACGAATTCTTTACAAAAATTCAAAAATTTACTTATCTCTTGCTTTATTTTAAAGAATAGAGTATAAATAGCATCTTATTTAAACAAAATTAGCACTTTGATTAATAAATTTTCTAAAATTTGTTTTTTTTAATTTTTTTTTTTTTATCAATAAAAATAATAATTTTTGTGTAAATAGTTTTGATACCAATTAATAGTGGCGTATTAATTAATATTAAAATTTTAGTTATATCTTGCTTAGTTTTAAAGGATAAAGAGTAAATAGCATTTTATTAAACAAAATTTATTAATCTAATTCGATAAATTTTTGAAATTTTTTTTTTTTTAAATTTTTATATATATATTTTTATATATATATTTTTTTTTATAAAAAATTTTATAATGATGTTTTTTTTAAAAAAATTTTCTTAACCCCCCTTTAAATTGGAACAAAGTTTTTAGTTCCAATTTAAAGGGGGGGGGAGTTAGTAGTTTTATCGCGAAACCCAATAAACTAGGAAAAATTTCTGGAAGGTTTGGCAGAATGCTTAAGGTATAATCAGTTTATAGCAATTTTTTGCAGTGAAAAATTATTATTTTAAAGTTTATTCTGGACAATACCTCAAGACGATGGGTGCTTCCATCATTTGTAGATCAAGACTTGGATCATCTAATGGAATAATTTTATTTTATTAAGCGTAGCAATATTAATTTTAAACGAATTTTTTATCATATATAGATTAAAGGCTTAAGGGTTATTTCATATATTCTTACAATATTCTTACTGTCTTTTATTAAATTAATTTATAATTAACTACACTGACTGGCACGGGGTGCTTTTGGCTCGAAACTGAGCCAAAAGCACCCCGTGCCAGTCAGTGTAGTTCACTATATCTGAAAAATAACATATATAATCGGCATAACACGACTGTATTTTTTTTAAGGCCTAAGTCTAGTGCTAAAAATAATTTTTAAAAATACGGCCTAAATCTATTGCCAAAAAAACCAAAAAAATTTCTGGCCTAGCACTATACCAAATTTTTGTATCCGGCCTATCCCGATAATTTTTTGGTGAGTCGGGCTAAGTCGATACCCCCCTATTGGGATAGGCCGGCTCTATAAAGAGGTTGTGATTTAATTCGAAATTTTTAAAAAATTCCAATACCTATGTCGCGCCATTTTGAGGTGATCTAGCTATCACTACACCATCGTAGACATAGCTACAACAGTCGGCCTAACCCTCCTCACCCCTATTAAACCTAGATGACCTCAATAATTATAAGGTCCCAGGTTCATCATCATCTGCCTCAGCCAAGCTTGAAGACCTGAACTACATAAATGAAGAGCAAATGTTGTGCAGTATGGAAGATAAAAGCTTTATCAAAGAAAGGCACACAAAAGTCATTCAAGACTTACTGAATGAAATTGACCTACGTAGAGTGGAAGACTCAAGCTCAGTTGAGATGGTGAAAAAGCTACAATACCTGAGCAGAACTTATGAAGCTCTACTTAGAATGGATGAGCGTGAAAAAAGAAAATCAAAGCCAGGAGCTTCAAATACTAAAGAAACCCTCAGCCCAATTGCCATATCAGGGCTATCTTTTGGTCTGTCTTCTTTGTTTGGGATAATTAAGATTTTGGGCTCTGACAAGCCTGAACTTTATAAGATTATCATAGAATCTGCTTCAAGCATAGTTTCTGGTCTTAGCCCAATGACACTGAACGACAAAGATCCTTCGATCTCTCAAGTAGTTTCATCAGTTCTTGCATTTTTCAACTCAATGCTAAATCCCCCCTCTATGGGCGAACAAAAAAATCTATTTAGCTCAAGGAGAGGAGTGATTTTTGTTTTCAAACAATTTATATAGAAATTGCCCGAGGATGGCACTATATTGCGCCAGCCTCGGGCCATTTTTGGTGCGTGGAAGTCGATGTTCTACACTCACCAAAAATGGCCCCACACGTGGGTTCAATTCCCGGCGTCGGGCCATTTTTGAATTGCCCGAGGATGGCGCAAGATACGCCATTCTCGGGCAATTATTATATATAAATTTTTAGAAAATTATTTTCTAAATATAAAAAAATCCCACTTCTCAAATATTGGAAAGCAAATTAATTTAATTTGTAAAATTTATGTTTTAAAAGCAATTTTTTAAAATTAAATAATTTTCACTTAAATATCAAAGTTTTTTTTATAAAAAATGTTTGTTCGCTCACGAAGGGGGAGTAAGAAGAGAGCTGCCAAATATCCAAGAAGAAGACATAAATGCCTGCTATTCTATTCTTTTTGGGCTTTATGTTGCTACAGGAAATTTGTGTACCGCTTTAGTATTAGCTTTAACATTTGCCAATTTTGACCCAAGTCAAGATCATTCTCCAATTTATAAACAAATTTTTCCTATGCTAGTGAGCTTTAACGACCTTATGAAAAAAGCAAGTAATTCTTTTGCTTGGGAGACTGAAAAAAAAGGGAAAGGCATACTCCCAATCGGTTAGAAAGACAATTATAAAATAATTCCCCTTTATTTAGGGGGATAGAAATGCTTATAATTTTTTCCAAATTATATCTTGATGTATGACTAAGGATTAAAATAATAAAATCTCACAATATTATATAAATAGTGTTCTAAAACATAAATTTAATATAAATAAATTAGTCAAATAATTGTAAATTTAAATTTAAAAAAAAAATTATATAAGTTTTAAAAATTTTTGCTCATTATTAAAGTGGAGAAGTTGGAAATCAGTAGCGACGAGCCAGATGTATTAAGCAGAACAAATTATGATGGCTGGGGAGCCGTTCTTTCAACAGAAGCTTGGACAAAAGGGGTTCACTATTGTGAGATGATTTGGACTCAAGGTTCAACTAATAATATTTATTATGGAGCTTGTAATGGAAATTATCCTAACCTCGACACGACCCCTGAAGAACAGTCATTTGCTCTCTATTATAAAGCTGACGGAAGTATGTGCAAAGGTACTACTCAATTGTACACCTTCGAAAAATACGTAGTTGGTGACAAAATTGGACTTCTGCTGGATATGGATGAGCGCACAGTTCTTTTCTTTCACAACGGAAAAGAAGACCCCAAAGGAGCTATTAGAGATCTTCCTGAAAGTATGAAACTTTTTATGTGCCTTGGAGGAATTAGCAAACACAAAATTATTTATAATCCCTTAGATATGCCAGACATAGCTCGCATAAAAGTTGAAAACTATTGGAAAAAATTTAAGCTTGAAGATTTAAGCATTTACAGAGCTATCAAAACTGGAGAAATGGCTGATGATTATCTCCAAATGAAGCCTTTTGAGCTCACACACTATGTTCTTAAATCGTTTGACATCTTAAATGACGGTATCATAGAAAAATTAGAAAAGAAAAAGGTGAATGTTGAAAAAAGAATGGGGTTTACCCTAGACATCAAGAATGAAACTGTCGAAATTTTAGAAAAATTGGCTTTGACTTGCATTGAAAAGATTCACTCACTCCCCCTCAGTGAGCGGGCAAAACCATTGAAAATATCTCTATTTTTTGCCCAAAAACCCCCTCCATGAGGATTTTATTAAAATAAAAATTTTTTTTATGGAAAAAATATTTTGATATGCAAGTGATAATTATTATAATGAAATATCTAGCTAATTCTGTTTAAAAACATATTGGGAATTTTTTAAATTTCAACACATAAAATTTTATATAGTGAACTACACTCACTGGCACGGGGTGCTTTTGGCTCAGTTTCGAGCCAAAAGCACCCCGTGCCAGTCAGTGTAGTTAACTATAATTTTATTTTAAAAAAATTACTCTATAAACAAAGAAAAGTTTTTTGTTGGCTCGCGAAGGGGCGAGCCAGAAAATATTGAAAGAGAATCCAAAGAAATTTATTCAGAAATGCTAGTCTATGTGCTAAAACTCACCAGATCGCACTTAATTGGGTCGGATATGATTCCAAATGCAACTTTAGAAAGACAGCTAACTCCCCCCTCCGTGAGTGAACAAAACCATTGAAAAAATCCCTATTTTTTGCCCAAAAACCCACCCTCCGTGAGTGAGCAAAAATATATTTTTAATAGAAAATATTTTATGAAAAAAAATGATATATGAGTGATAATTATTATAATGAAATCTTGAGCTAATTCTGTTTAATTTTAAACAAATTGCTTTTTAAAACATAAATTTTATAAATCAAATTAATATTTGCTTTACAATTTTAGTAAATTAGGATTTTTTTAAAATTTGAAAAAAAAAATTTTATAAAAATTTATATATAAATTGTTTTAAAAAAAAAAGTAATCCCTCTCAGTGAGTGAAAAAAATTTTTTTTTCACTCAAGGAGGGAGGAGTAAGAACAAGAATTATGAAAATCGCTATGGATCTAATAACTAGTATGCCAGGATCCAAGGCTTCTGAGGAGGCCACAAAAATTGTGACATCGTGCTTTTCTGTCTTTTATAAGGACCCACAGGAGAAATTGTCTTATTTATTAGATAGACTTAAAGATCAAATGGACGGAGTTGAGATATCAGGTATCTTTAAAGAGCTTGAAGATAGAATTTTCTTAGAAATGGCTCGACCTGACAAACTTTTCCCAGCATTAGAACTTATTAATGACGAGTCTCAGCATTTAGTGGAAACTTATTTCAAGTACTTGATTGAGCTTTCTTCAGAAATTTCCAAGAAACTTGTGAAAGGAGAAGAGACCTCTGTTGGAATTTTGAAACTTCTTGAAACAAGTCAAATTGCTTTATTCGGCCAAGCTGCTAAGTCTAACTTCAAAGGAAAATGGCAAGAAATCTTAACGAATTACTCATTAAGTGTTTTCCAGAACTGTGAAAAAGTTCTTAGGGTTGTGAAAGCAAAAGAAAAAGGGTCTATATTGTCAGATGAACTCACAAACGCAATCAGCAAAACCATCCTCGCAGATTTATTAGAGACTCTTCTTTACATGTTGCCTTTAACCAGAATGAGCCTTGATTTCTTGGCAAAAATTTTACCAGTTTTGCAGAGCATCACAATATCTCTACAACACTTTGGCTCAAAGCCAAAAATCCTAAATAAAGGCTGGGTTACAGTTACAACAGATCCTTACGAAAGTAGTCACAATTACAATAACAATCTTGATATTACCCACACTGTAAAGATTCCTGGAGCAAGAAAATATTATTTGGTCTTTGACCCTCAATGCAAAACCGAGAAGATTGCTGATTGTTTAGAGCTTTGGAAAGACGATAAAAAAGCAGAAAAGCTCTTCATTTGAGACGGAGATGATTTCCCAAAGAATGGAGAAAGAATCGAAGTAAATGCTCCATATTTATTCTTCACATTCCACTCAGATCGCTCAGTCAACTATTGGGGCTGAAAAATTGATATTTTCAGTGAAATTCCAGCTGACTATTATGCTAACTCACCCCTTGAGCGAAAGAAACTATTGGAAAAATCCCGATATTTTAGATAAAACCCACCCTCCATGAGCGAACAAAAAATTTTTAATATATATAATTTATAACAAAATTGCATTTTAAAGCATATATTTAAATAAATATTTGATTTCCAGTTTTTGCGAATTGAGTTTTTTTAAATTTTGAAAAATAAAATTTTTCTAAAACTAATATTTCATTTTTTTACAAAAATTAATTATCCCCTCAGTGAGCGAACAAATCTTTTTTGTTCGCTCACGGAGAGGGAAACTAAACAATGGCCAGATACCACAAAAGATGCGGCAGGAATTATGGTTGGGTTTATCAGCGTAAAATTGATTTCAGGAGAATTTGAGACAACACCAGAAGATGAAAAAGTGAGAGCTTTGCTTCAAAACCCACTGCTTAAATACGGAATTTCTGATAAGACTTTGTCACTTGTTAAACCTCAAAACCCTATCCCAGAAAGTTTGATTAGCCTTACACAGGTGCCAGGAATTGGAGAAAAAGTTAAGCCTAAGATGTTAAACCAGTTTATTAGAAGCGATCCTACTAAAAAGCTTGTATGCAATAATAAATCAGAGCTGACCTTGCAAGAGTATATTGACTCTTTTGGAAAATGGGGAGATGTAAAGTACTCAGACAATCAGTTTGTCAACGATTTCATTGAAGGGAATAGCGAAATTGTAAGAGATTGGAACACCCTGAAAACTTTGAGCGGAGTTAGCGAAGAAGATTCAGCAATTGGAAGACCAGAATTTGATAAAGCAGAAAGAGCTATTTTCGCTGTTTATCTAATTTTCTTTGAATTTGCTGGGACTTTCAAAAACCTTCTTCAAGATCCTACAAGTGTTGAATCTACAGTCAAATACCTCGTAAAAGATGCAGTCAACTATAGAAAATGGGCTGATAAGTACATCCAAAAATTGAAGGAAACTGTTACCATGACCTTTGAAGAGGTTTCTAATTCTTCATCTACAGTTAGTAAAACCATCAGAATAAACCTGATTTTTAGGAAATTAGAAACCCTTATTATCAAGCAAAAATTTTAATAATTATTATAATAATAATGAGACATGCTAATTCTATAAATTTTTTTGATTAAAAAAAATTAACTTACATTAATAATGGAAAAAAATTCTTGCATGTGAAACAGGAGACAGAGTAAAGATGTTGTATTTAAATGCGCTTTATTAATCAATTCGGAGCATAATCAAGGATTAAATGAGCTTGGGATTACTAAAATAATGAAAAATTTTGTAGCAAATGTAGACCAAGAAGCCAGCATTCCTAAAATGAAAAGAAATGAAAGCAAATGGAAGGAAGCCAAAGAAGAAGTTGCAGTAACTTCACGTTTAGTTGCCATACTTGGAAGGAGTATAAGTGAAGAAGAAAGCCGCTCAAAGAACGTTAAAGAAATCAAAAAGATATCTGAATTTATTGTTTCTTTATTCGAAACTCCTGCCTCAGCTGAAAAAATTGTGGACACCATTGAGAAAAGAAGAGCGAAAGCTATTGCAAGAGCTCTTGGACTTTCCAGCTTACTCCCCCCTCCGTGAGCGAACAAAAAATTTTGTTTGTTGGGGTTAATTATCTTTTTAAAAAAAATTATATATAAAGCTTATAGAATTTTTTTATTCAAAATTTTAAAAAAACCTCTCTTCACAAAAATTGGAAAGCAAATATTAATTTAATTTGTAAAATTTATGTTTTAAAGCGCAATTTGTGCAAAATTAAACAGAATTAGCTAGAGATTTCATTATATTAATTATCACTTATATATCAATTTTTTTTTTCATAAAAATTTTTGTTCGCTCATGGAGGGCGAGTTTTTAGACAAAAAATAGGGATTTTTCTAATGGTTTTGTTCGCTCACAGAGGGGGAGCTAGGAAACTTAATGAGCTTATCATCTAAAAAAGAAACTTCACTAATAAGATTCTTTGTTGACTCTTTGAAGCAAAACAATGTAAAATTCCATTATTGGGAAAATGTGGAAGGAATTAATTCAAGCCTATTAAAGTGTGTCCAAAAGTCATTTTATAACATCTATGGATACTTGCAGAGGGAGCTGCTCAAATCCAAAACAGAAGCCATAGAAAAATCTTCATACTCTCATTACTTGACTGTTTTAGATGCGTTATGCTTTCCATTAAAAGAGCCTGATAATCTTATGATAGTAGAGCAACAGTTCCCACTTATCATTTCTCTTTTATTGAATTGGTCTAAAGGCTATATAGGAGAAGAAGTTGAGACTAAACCATTCCTTTTGGAGCAATGCATTACAGGATTCAAAATATTGAAAGAAGCTGATATATCTGACGATGTTGATAAAATTCTCTTAGAAACCAGAGAAGGAGAGAGCCAGAATCTTTATTTAATTATTGAGCGCAAAAGAGCACTTCCTGTTGTAGATTTCCAAATCACATCTGAAGAAATTGAAGGATATGAGAATTTAGGTCAGTTCACTCAGAATGGAGAATCCAAACATATTTTCATCAAAAAGAGCGAGCCAAGTGCAAAAGATCAATTTCTGGTCAATATCCAGGAGAGCCTTGAATTAGAGTACAGGACTTATTGTGATTTATTATGTGATGAATCAGAAGTTGAAAAGAAATTAAGAGAAAAACTTAAAGATAGATTATGCAGAGCAGCATGGGCTGTTTATAAGTTTTTAGTGTTTAGTGTAGTTGGCAATGTAAGCCAAAGTAATTCATTTGTCAAACAGACTGTCCAAGATTTGTTTTTGAATTCAGTTTTTAATGAATTAAAATGGGATCAATCGCTATTGGAGTTGGGCAACTCAGATCTAAATCTTAGTGCAACAGTTTCAGGGGAGTTATGGGTAAATAAAATGAACGCTATCAAAGCTTTTAAAAAGAATCCAATGCAAGAATGGATCAGGCAGTTTAATAAAGATACTGAAAAACTAGAAGAATCCTTGCTGAAGGAAACGATTAACGATTTAGTCGTTAAAGTTGATCCTGCAATGAAAGGAGTTTTAACTCCTGCTGAAATTTCGAAACTTGATCCGGAGTGCTCAGAACTCCTTTCAAGCCAAGATGCTTACAAAAATTCTAAAGGAAATTTCGATTTCTTTAAATATATTAATTCACTCTATGCTATGAAAGATGCACTTTCTAAAGAAGATCAGCATTATATTGGCCACTCCAAGATCTGGGCTCAAATCCCAGAAGATTTTGAGCAAGCAGCTTTATCTTATGATTTCTGTAATATTGAAACAATATATAAAAATATTGTTTCAAGTTTCAATTCTAAACATCAAGGAAAATCTTTCCAACAATTTATTGATCTTTTCGAGTTAACAGAAACCAAAGGTATCGTGCAAGGCTACAAAGTTCAAGAAGATTGCCCAGCAGAATTCAAAAACGAGGAAGGCAATTTAGATTTGTATGTAGCAATGCATGCAATAGCTAAAGACAAGAATAGGTTTTTCGATTATTATCATGAGCTAAAGTGGGCTCTTCTCCAGTATGATGATCTTCCTGATAGCTGTTTAGAAGTATATAAAGAAAAAAAATCTTCAAGTGAACATATGACTTCTCTATTGTGGACAATTTATGGGTGCTTCGGATCAAATACAATTTCCAGTCTCTTAGCTCGTGAAGAATATCTTGAAGAGCTCCTTAAAATTACTTTCCTGAGCAGCGCAGAAAGAAACATTGCCCTCGGCTCTCGCATCCTCAAAGCAGTTCTCCCATCCCAACACTCAGCTGAAACACTAGGTGCAATCTGGATTAGGCTTCCTCACTTTAACCCTGAAAGCACAAGCGCCCATTTTGTCCAATTTTTGCTTGCTCCCCTCCATTCTTGATCGAACGGCTCGCCATCGTTCGATCAAGGATGGGGGTTAAAAAAATTTTATATATAATATAAAATATATATATATATTATTTACTTATAAATAAGAGGGTTAAGAGTATTTAATAATTATTTTTACAGCAAATATTGAATTAATTTCATAAAATACCAATTTTTTAATATTTTGATTTATTAGTTACCCTTTTAAAACTGTATAAATTTTAATTTGTTCCTTATTGAATTAAAATTTTTATTTAAATTTTAAAAAAAAATCTCTAATTTTTTAGATTATTGAGTTTTTAAGCCTAGGTTGATGACTAAATCACTTCGGATGGTTGATTCCGTAGCTTTATGTCGTCTCAAAGTCTCTAAAAACAACTTCATTAGGTGCATCTTCCCAAGCTTTCGATAACTAATATATTTTTATAAATATAAAAACTTGCATGATATGAAAATCGTTTCGATCAAGGATGGGGGTTAATTTCCCCAATTTTTAGGAATTTTTACAGTCAATCGTTCGATCAAGGATCGGGGGGAGCTAAAAGAATTGGGAAAATGGCTTATTGGTATGGCTTTAGAGATCCAAAAAGCAAACTTTTCAGATGTGGCTATGAAGCAACTGTGCTTTTGAAAGAACTTATATACGTAGAAAAATGAAGAGACGAGGTGCTCACCACAATTATGGAATCCTTAAACGATGCTTGCCAAAACTTAAAAGACGGAAAAGCACTTCCTATGTATCAAGTTGGAGGAATCGAAGCTTTAGCAATTTTCTCGAAGCAGGTTGATATTTTCGGGAACGATCCAATTGAGCTGGCTGAAGCAAAACTAATTGATTCTAATATGAAAAGATGCATAATAAGAGCAATTGATGGGGACACAGTAGCGATTTATTCTCCTATTACTGATGAGACAGTGTCAGTTAATATAAAGTCCATTGCTTATTTAAGGACGATTAACAACTTTAATGCAATGAAAATACTTAACCAAGATGAACTGCAAAGCATTAAAGACTCAGTTATCAATTTGTGGTTTGCTTTAGTTGGCTCAGAATTTTTGTGCTTCGATATGAAATCTGAGAGAGCTGCTTCGTTCAGAACCCTTTATGCTCACTTAATTCCTCTGCTAAATAAATAATGTATTTTGATATTTCGAATAAATTTTTTAAATGACATTTCCATGTATTTTTAAAATTAATAATGCTGAAAAGTCATTGATCAGAGGGAGAAATAGAAAACGTTATTGTTCATATAATTACACTTATCTTAAAAAAGAAAGACATTAGCGACAATGAAGGGACAGACTTATTGAGATCCCTCATGAAGCATGCTAAAGCTGAAACTAAAATCTTAGAAAATAAAGAAAAGATGCTACTTATTAGACGAATACTATATGCAATCGAAGACGGATACATTTATGACGACTTTACAGATGAAGAAATAATGGAAAAGTTTTCGAATGCTAGCAATCAAACCAAATGCCTAATAGAAGAACTGACAAAAGAAAATATTCTGATAAAGATCATCGCTAAGTGCCTTGACAAAGGAATCAAGGATAAAAATGGGATTTTAGAATTTGTTGGAAAAATAGAAGAGCCAAAATCAAGCCTGCTATTCAAGCTTCAGCAAACTGAATCTTTAAACCTTGAAATATCTGATATCGCTGGATATGCAGATATTTACCAAAATTCAAATAGCCAATTCGTAATAGAAAATAACAATTTCGCAACAGCAAGAAAAGAAATAACTGTAGTTCCTGACTTGTCTGTATTCAGAAACGCTACACAGTTTGTAGAATCTTTGACTATTCTAGCACAGTTAGAAGGTATTCACTATCAAAATCAGTTGTCATATGGTCTCAAACTTGGAGGAGTAGATATAGGAGTTAGCACAAACTCTGGATCGCCAAGCTTTAAAGTCAATGGTATTGCTGTCGGCCCTGCTAAGCTTGGTGAAATATTGTCTGTTAGAATTTATTTAAATGCAAATGGAGAAATCAGAATAATTAATGAAAACACCAAAGAAAGCATTAATCTGCAGGATGCAACTGCATTTAATGGTCTTCAAATGGGAGCTTATGGACTTTATATGGAAGCTGGCACAAGAGCTTCATTGTTAACTTTTGAAGTATATGATGGTAAAAACACCAAGTCTGCACCAACCAAAGTTAATAAATCCAAAGATGCCGAGATTTATAAAACATTCAAAGTCATTCAAGCATCTGAAAATCATGATAGGCTAAGACTAAAGCTTTTAGGCTTGACTGAAGGCCAAATAACTCAAGCTCTATCATCAGACAGAGACTTAAGGTCTAGCTTAGACTACATTTCTCAGAATTTCTCGAACGATTTCCAAAATACCATTAGCTCTCTAAACCAAGATGCCATCACTGAGTTAAAACTAGTTAAAACAATTCGTGAAGTCCCTAATGGATTTACAGCAGTTCCGATCTATGAAGATGGCAAACAAAAAGAGTTCAATATTCCAAAGAGAATGATTTTATGCGCTAAAAAAGAGCAGGCGACTACTGGAAATGGTTACTCAAGCATTGCACTAGGCACAGAAGTTAAAGATCATACAGATTTAGGTAACTTTGACCCTGAAGACCAAGCCAGCGACTCTTTGACTCACATCTGGGTAAAGCAAGGAGAAATAGAAAAATTCTGCATAAAAGATGTCATTTACATCAAATCTTCTTCAATATACAAAATAAAAGTACCATTTGGCTATAAGATAATTAAAGATGGTGAAGGCAATGAAATAAATCTTGGCCATAACTTATGAAAGAAATCAGTCTTATTTTTAGCTGTAAAGATAAGTGATACTGCTTTGAATTGCGCGCTTACACCATTCAAGAGGATGAATTCAACTAAAATGCCACTATGCGGATTATTAGAAACTGCAGAAAATACCGAAAGAAAAGTTCAAGAAGACCAATTCAAGGATCTGTCTATTCAAGAGCTCTTCAGTCACTTTTATAAGCTTATGGATTCCTCAAAGCAAGCTTCATACAAAATTCTTGCTCTAATGCTCATCAAAAAATGTCCAACCTCTATTGCAACAATAGCTGAGGAATTCAGTATCACCAAATTATTCTATTTCTTAGGAAGTTCTGTGAATAAAATTGCTAAAACGATTGATACTTTACTTTCTCAAGACAATCCGAAATTCAAGGACACGCTTTTCAAGGACTGCCTAGAAAGGATTCTTAGATCCTTGATCAACACAGAAAAGCAAGAAGGACCTCTGGCTCCATTGACAATTGAAAGCCACCATCCATATGATGATAATATGAATTTAGATCAAGAAATCAGAATTCCTAGAGCTAAAAAGCTCAGTTTTGTGTTTGATCCACAATGTGACACCGAAACTGGTTGTGATCCTTTAAGATTTTTTAAGAATCCAGGATGAATTGATGAAATTAAACGTTATTCAGGATTAGGAGAAGCAAACTGGGCTCCATTTGAAGTAGAAGGAGAAGTTGTTTATTTATATTTTCACTCTGATGGATCAGGCAACTGTTGGGGATATAAGTTTGACGTGATTCCTGAAAGCCCAGTTTCTGCAACAGATAATCCTTGGCCTGCAATTTGGATGCTAAATAAGATTTCAAAAATGGACCCAATACCTAAAGAATTTATGGAACTAACGCATCCTAGATGTGTCCAGCCTATTTTCTTGCATTCTCTTTCAGCAAGCACTTTGGACTTGAAGCTTGACTCTGTAAGAATCTTGAATAAGATCATAAGAGATCAGAAAGGCCCACTGCTCAAAAATATTCTTAACATCTTGATTGCTCAAGCAAATGAGCTTAATAATGCTATGACCGAATATAAAGTAGATAATAGTTTAATGCAAGCAACTGCAAGGCTGTTAGAAGATGCTTCACATAAATTCCAACTTACTGGAGAGGAACTTTGGTTTATGGAATTTTGTGAACTAGTCTCTGACATTAAAGGTCTAAGCGAAAAGGATGAGCTGCTAGAAACTTTCTTATTCGAATCATTCAAGAAAAAGGTTACTTGCAACCTCGGAAGAATTTATGAGTCCAAGCATCCTTATATTAGGCAAACCACAAAAGAATTCATCCAAATTCCTGGTGCTTCTTTTATTAGTATTGTCTTCGATTCAAATTCAAGCCTCGACCCAAGAGACACAGCTATTTTCAGCTATGACGAATATGGTAAGAAATTAGTCGAGGAAAAGAAAATTGAAGCTATAAGCGATGCTAGATGGAGGGAAGAGCCTTGTGGCAGGAAAGTCACTTTTTCAGAAGGAACTTCACAAGTTACCAGAGCCAAAGGTTCTGGATGGGGCAACGCAATTTGGTCTGAAGACTACTCTGATGGTACAGTGAGTATCAAATTCAAGATAGAATCTGATGGAGGCTCTGATCATTGATACATTGGTGTTTATAGGACAGAAAAGGATGTCCAAGATTATGATCTAAATGAGTACATAGGATGCGACTGTCCTCATAATGTATGGAGTTGGAAAAGAACTGGAGAAGTTCACAAGAAAGAATGGTCCAAAGATGGGTTTGAAGGATTTAAGCAGGGAGATGTAATCACAATGTTTATTGATATGAACTTAAGAGAACTGACTTTCTTTAATGGAACTCTTGAAGTCTTCAAGTTCACGGGGATTGCTTCTTCTGTCACCCCAGTGGTCTGCTTTGGTGCTTTAAATCAAGTCATAACTGTGCTTAGCGTTGAAAGAATGGCTGGGTCAAAACCTCTTTCTGAAAGAAAATTTGATGTTATAGGAGACTCAGTCTATTTTTGGATCCCAGTTCATAAAACTGCTATATCTTCTATAAGTGTATAGCTCGCTAGAAATAGAATAGTTTAAATAATAGTCGTTCATGATTAGCAAATCTTCTTGAAATGGTATAACATTAAGCATTTATGGGACAGCAATCAGAATGGAGCTGTACTCAACGCGAATAAAACTACTGTCACAAAGTCAACAAGTGATAAAACTTGCCACGAAACTGAAGCTGAAATGAGATACGGCAAATACTACATCGAAGTCTCTGTAGAATCAAAAGGATCTGTAGGAGTTGGCTTTACCAAGAAGAGCTTGATTAATGCGAACACTATTGAAGGAAGTGAGCAAACTGTAATTTATTATAGTAATGGAAAAATTGGTAGCGCAGAGAGCGTGAGCTATGACCAGAACGACGTCATTGGGAGCTATATAGATTTTGATAAAAACGAAATTGCCTTTTATAAGAATGAAAAATTGCTAGACACTGTCAAAGTAGCTCTTAATATCGAAGACTCTGAAGACTGCTTCAAATTTATTGGTGTCTTATCAGAAGAAAACCAAGTCTTATCAATCGGTAATACAGGAAAATACCCTGCTGGTATTGATCTTATGAGAATTGACTCTGAACAAGAAACTGAATTCTGGGGCTATAAGTTCTCTTTAACACCTAATTTCAAAGGAAGAAATACCAAACTCATTGATTCCTATTTGAGCTTTGCATCAGCTGATGACAGAGAAAATTGGAGAGAAAACTACAAGCCTACCTATTCCAAGTTTTTCAAAAATGGCATAGCACAGCAGTTCATTGAATTCATGGATGGCTACCTGGATATCAATAATATTAGTTTCTATACTATACTGGAAAACACTTCATTGAATATTTCTCCAGAAGAGTTAATTTATTATCCAGACTTACAAAAATTATCAGAGGCAGAGCTGTATAATTTGAAAGAAATTTTGTTTAACTTCTGCTTAAGATTCCAAAATTACTTCTATCTGTTCGATTTGCACACTGAAGCAGACGAGCCAGAAAACTCTCTCATGAAGTTTATTAAGAAGGCCAAGAATTATTTATTATTACAATTCAAGAAGCAAAACTTGGAAAACCATCTTGATGAATCTAACACTGACTGCAGAATTGACATTACTATTGATAAAACTAAAGCACAAGAAATAAAAGCTAAAGGGGATGCTGATCATTCTGCAATTGCTTCAATGTTTAGTCAAATAAGCAGAGCCTTGGAAGCAGCAGCTAATAAAACTCTTAGACATCCTGAAAGAATGTTCAATTTTGCATACAAGCCAGAAGGAATCCAAGATGATGCAGGTAAGTATAATGAATTATTGATAGAACTTTCTAAAGAGCTTCAATCTCCATTACTTCCACTTTTGATCCCATCTCAAAATAACGTCCTTAATGTAGGCAATGGAAGAGATAATTGAATGATCAATCCAACGTCCACTCTCCCAGCTCATAAGCACCTATTCACCACTCTTGGAAAATTCTTCGGTTCTGCAATTCGTACCAAGCAAGGGCTGAGACTTTCACTCCCTATTATTGTATTTAAGCATCTTCTATACGAAAAAACACAAATAAAATGGTTGACTATCCAAACCGTCCTTTTCACACTCAGAGCGACGAAGTTCGGAAAAAGTGTCCGGGTGGGTTTTTTTACCCCTATCGGACTCCAGATAGGGTTTTTTTCCTGACTCAGAGACAAGGAGACTAAAGTCCATATGACAACCTCACACTTCTGGAAACGAAGGGTAATGGAGACCAGAAGGAGGGTGTGGAAACAGCCAGCCACTCCCATCTCCGGGTTAGGTCGAGCCCAGGCTGCTAGAAGTTATCCAAGGAAATATCTGGGTGAGTCTCCCCGAGAGCTGGCGATGTCACCATTTTTTGGTCGACAAAAAAGGGCATGAGTGCAACCCGATGCATAGGGCGCAAGCTTGAAGTCGGTGAAGGCGGAGAGGGGCTGAAATAAACCCCGAACACCCATTCTAACTAATTAATCTATACGAAAACGTCACAACTGAAGATTTAAGAGACTTTGACTTCCCACTCTACAAGTTTTTGCATAAATTAAGGAATCTTGAAGCATATGGAATTACTTCGGAAAACTTCGGCCAGCACATTTCTGAGAAGTTCATAGTAAAATACGGTGAAGAAGTTGTGGACCTTTGTGAAGACGGAGTCAATATTGACGTTACTTTTGAAAATGTTGGCCACTATGCTGATCTACTAGAGAAGCACAAATTATTTGAAAATCCTAAAGCTTACGATTCTATAAGGAAAGGTATGGCTGCTGTTGTTCCTATTGATAAATTGAACCTATTCACAGCTGCTCAACTACGTGATCTCATATGCCTAAATCAAGAAGTCAAATTAGAAGTCCTAGAAGAAAACACCGTTTACGAGAATTGCTGAAGAACAGATGCGCACATTGAATACTTCTGGGGAGCAATTAAATCATTAAAAGAAAGCGATCATGCCAAATTTATTGACTATATTGCTAGAAGGTCTAAGCTTATTGAGTGGGATTGGCCTCTTAAATTTACAATAGCCAAGCACAGTAAATCTGGAGCTGTGAATAAATTGGCTCCTATTGTCGACAATGCTATATTCAGACTTGAGCTACCAGCTTATACATCTCCAGAGATCATGAAAGAGAAGATCATATTTGCGATTGCCCACAATAACAAGTTTGATTCTTTAGACATTAATATTTAAGATAATCAAATTTAAAATCAAAATTAGGTTTAATTCACAATATTATATTTTAACGCCAAAATTATATCTAATCTATGCTTTTGTTTAGGAATGAGCTAAATTTGCTTTGACAATAAACTTCACTAATATTAAATTCCTTATTCTCTTAAGTAGCAATTAATGAGATGCATCATATCAAATTATTATTAAATTACATCAGACTTAATAAATCCTAAAATTTACTACTTATTTTTTCTGCTTATTCATGCATATTTTCCACTTATCAAATGTTACAGGCTTCACATCTCTTAAGGAAATTAGCCATAAACTATTAACATCGCCAACATTTTCAACAGCACAGTCTAAAAGAATTTCTAAATAACCGCATTTTACATTGGTAATTGTTGCTGGAATGCATCAACGCATGTTCAATTTAAATCTTGGTCTGGGCAATTTGAGTCAAAATCTTTTTTTCACTAGTTGATCATGAACAATTACTTTATCGCCTTGGTGAAAAGCTTTATTTAATGGCTCAAAAGTATTCTTTCTTTTATTTTCAACGTTTTCAGTGACAGATGCATAAATACTTTCGTCTTTTGCGAAAAATACATCAGTTGGTATAAAGGTTCCTTCACACTAGCAAATTAGTATTCTAAATGCTGAACGATCTGTGAAGACACGGGTATAAAGCCAGTTATTGTATGCTTCCTGCAGCGATTGTAATTCTGAATAATAGAGAAGATGGAACCATGTATGCTTCATTTATCTTTAAGCGTGCTATCAGCTCAGCTAAAGTATAAATGATGGAGATACTTGTTAAAATTTTCTACAGTGCCTTGGGCACGGGGATTGTAAGGAGAACTAGTGATGTGCCTAATGGAGTATCTTTCACAAAATCCATCAATAAGACTATTGCAAAATTCACCTCCATTATCACTCTGAATGATAAAAGGATTATCAGGTCATGAATTAATAATTGTTTCTAGGCTATTGATTACTTCTTCAGCAGATTTTGCAAACATAGTATGCGCAGCAGCATATTTCGAAAAATGATCAATGATTAATAAAATGTAATTATATAGGGTCTTTTAAGCAATAGAAGCATTGCTATTTGCTAGTCTTTCTTCTATTTCCTATATAAAGTAGTATAACCAATGCCAGTAAAAATCTTTGTATTCATTATAAATTCCTATATTTAGACGCATTGCTCAAATCTTCAGTAAGTTCAAACAAGTCTATACCAATTGCCCGAGGATGGCGCAAGATAGCGCCATCCTCGGGCAATTCCTATATTTGGACTCTTTCCAAAGGTCTAGTAGACTTAATTTGAATTTTAACATTATGCTTTACAATTTTTTTAAACTCAATCGAACATGCAAAGCAATTTCCAATGTAATCTTCGCAGAATCTGCGAATTCCTCTTCAATAGAGACCTTGTACTCATGAAATTTATTAAGAAGGCCAAGTATTATTTATTATCAAGATTTAAGAAGGAAAGATTGGAAATCCATCTTGGTATGTCTAAAACGGACTGCAGAATTGACATTACTATTGATAAAGCTAAAGCACAAGAAATAAAAGATAAAGGGGAAGTTGATCATTCCTCAACTGCTTCAATGTTTAGTCAAATAAGCAGAGCCTTGGAAGCAGCAGCAAATAAAACTCTTAGACATCCTGCAAGATTGTTCAAATTTGCATACAAGCCAGAAGGAATCCAAGATGATGCAGGCAAGTATAATGAATTATTGACAGAACTTTCTAAAGAGCTTCAATCTCCGATACTTCCTCTTATGATTTCATCTCAAAATAACGTCCTTAATGTAGGCAATGGAAGAGATAATTGAATGATAAATCCAACATCCACTCTCCCAGCTCACAAGCACCTATTCAGAACTCTTGGAAAATTTTCACAACCGAAGATTTAAGAGACTTTGACTTGCCACTCTACAAGTTTTTGCATAAATTAAGGAACCTTGAAGCCTATGGAATTACTTCGGAAAACTACGGTCAGCACATTTCTGAGAAGTTTATAGTAAAATACGGTGAAGAAATTGTGGACCTTTGTGAAGATGGAGCCAAAATTGACGTTACTTTTGAAAATGTTGACCACTATGCCGATCTATTAGAGAAGCACAAATTATTTGAAAATCCTAAAGCTTACGGTTCTATAAGGAAAGGTATGGCTGCTGTTATTCCTATTGATAAATTGAACCTATTCACAGCTGCTCAACTACGTGAACTCATATGCCTTAATCAAGAAATCAATTTAGAAGTCTTAGAAGAAAACACCGTTTACGAGAATTGCTTAAGAACAGACCTGCATATAGAAAACTTCTGGGGAGCAATAAAATCATTAAAAGAAAGTGAGCTTGCCAAATTTATTGACTATATTGCCAGAAGGTCTAAGCTTATTGAGTGGGATTGGCCTCATAAATTTACAATAGCCAAGCACAGTAAATCTGGAGCTGTGAATACATTGATTCCTATTATCGACAATGTTATATTCAGACTTGAGCTGCCAGCTTATACATCTCCAGAAATCATGAAAGAGAAGATCATATTTGCGATTGCCCACAATAGCAAGTTTGATTCTTTAGACATTAATATTTAAGATAATCGAAATTCAAAATTAAGCTAAGTTTCATTCGATATATTATATTTTTAACGCCAAAAGTATATCTCATCTATATTTTTGTTTAGAAAGAAGTGAAATTGCCTTGAAAATAAGCTTCAAGAGCATTAAATTTCTTATCTCTTAAATTATTTTATCCATACCAATTTATTGATACCTTTACGGACTGATTTAATAAGACAAATTAAATAAAAAGTTAAATATGGCCGGGAAGCACACACAAATAACGAAAATCAAGTTTAATTTATATTTTTAAAAACTATAACTAGGTTATTTATAGTATGTAAAGCTCTCAAATATGAAAGGAAATGCTTTTATCAAAATTAAAGCCTGTTGCTCAAAAAAAATTAAAACATACATTAAGCTAAAATTTTTAAGGCCTTTTGCTTAAGGCTTTTTCTTATATATTTTAATGTAAATACCATAGAGGCATAAATAACAGAATTAATAATGCGTTAAAAGATTGGAAAACGAACGTAAACATCCTAAGTTATATTCTCCAGTCGGAAGGGGAAGTGCCAAGATAAATGCTACCAAGGCACCTAAAGCTATAATCAGAGCTATCAAACTCCCTATAGTTCCCATTACCTCAGGAGGAGAAATTTCTCCTATATACAAAGGACATAAAGTGCTAAAAGATCCAGAAGTGTGTCCTGTCACAAGTCTTCCAATATCAAATGGATCTGTGTATGGGATTAGGAAAAAGAAGGCTTTCACAGATGTTTATGAAGCTAGTAATCATCAGAGCTTATGAAACCTACTTTATTTGCTAAAGACTCTGCATATAAAGAGCCTACTAAGCCACCTAATGGAAGACTAGCGGCCATATTGGAAATTTTAAAGGTCTTTTTATCCCTTCTGCCTAATGCTGCGGTGATTTTTTCTTGATTTGAATCAAGAACACCAAGGAACCGATAGTAGCGTTGAGTTTGAGCTTTCAAACGATTTTGGAGTTAAAAGATTTCGGAAGTAAGTCCTCGTGACCCATAAATTATATATAGTTTTAGAGAAGTAAATGGTGACTAAATGCTAAAAGTGCATATATTTAATTTGGCACATTATAAAAAATTATAAGATTTATATTTTGAGGTAATTGATAATTTTTTTAATAGGCCAGATTAGATATAAATGGAAAAAGCTTTAGATCTATTATACTCAGATGCAAGTAATGAAGAAGTTCAGTCTTTTTGCCTGATGAATGCTGATGATCTCCAATTTCAAGACAATTTACATCTAAATTTGTTTCATCATCTTGCTATTGCTAATAGAGCCTCCTTAATCCCATATCTACAATAGTTAAAAATCCTAATTTAAAAAAATTAAATTATCAGCAAGCAAGTAAGATATCTTATATAAATATTTTTTAGAAATAATTATTAATAATAAAACTAATGGTGATTTAATTAAATTTTCATTTTAGATATTTTGCACCCTAACTTAATTTAATTAATTACATTTTTGTTTTAAAGTTTTTGAAATCTGAAATATTTAAATACTAAATTAATCCTTTAAAGGTAATTTCTATATTTTTTAAAACAATTTAATCCATCAAAATTAAGGGGAAAAAAAGACATCTTAAAATTCGCGGAGAGAATCAGTGCCTCAACTATTACCTAAATTTAATTCCGTGCTGATCACTCAGCAAGACCTTTCTGGGAAAACACCAGCCCATTTTTTAGCAGAAAAAGGCTTTTATGAAATTTTAGACAATGTTTTGCAGAGGAATCAAAATATCATTAGCATTACTGATGACAGTGGCCGAACAATATGGCACTCCTGCTTCCGATATCCCAAAATTATAGATATACAAAAAATTATGATGAAATATGGCGGGAAAACCGATTTTTCGATAAAAAATAAATTTGGTGTTAGTTTAAAAGATATATGGAAAACATTTTATAAAGAATTTCAAGGCTTGATATGGAATAATGCTCTAAAAGGTAAAATGGAACTTTTAATTGATACAAGAAATTGGTTTTTAGATATGCTAGATGAGAATATAGAAATTATGAAGGAAATAAAGCATAGCTTATTAGCTGAAATAGCATTAAATGCTGATATTGAGTTATTTGAAAAATATATTGAAATTTCCAATGTTCCTTTAGATTTTACTGATGCGAGTGGCAGATGCATTTTAATGCATATTTTGTCTTCTAGTCAAAGAGATATTTACCAAAGAATTAGTCTTCTCTTAAAGCGCAAAAATTCTTTTTCTATTTGCGATTATGAGGCTTCAACTCCTTTGCATTTTTTAATAAAAAACCAAAATATCAAAATTTCAGAAAAATTAGAAATTATGGATTTATTCGATATTTATAATGCTGAAAAGCTCAAATTGATGCTATAGTGGTTGCCCGATAATAGCGCTCAATGCGCCATCATTGGGCAACACCAGAAAGGGCTTCACACGGGAAATGGGTTCCACGTGTGGAGCCCTTTTTGGCGCGTGGAAGTGAGGATTCTCCACGTGTCAAAAAGGGGCTCCATATGTGGAACCCATTTCCCGTGTGGAGCCCTTTTCGGAGTTGCCCGATGATGGCGCATTGAGCGCCATCATCGGGCAACCTCTATAAAAATTGTTGATTTTTCAGGAGATTGTGCGCTTACTCTTGCAATAAAATTAAAAGACGTCAGGTTTACTAAAACGGTTATTGCTTTTTACAGAAAATTATACGGATCTGTTGATATGTTTCCTAAGCATGGCTTGCCATATTTTTTCAGAGATAATGATTGAACTCCGTATTTTTATAAAGATGATGATTTCAATCAAATTTACAAGGATTGTAAGCTTTTACCTTTTAGAAATAGAATAGATAATAGTTCAATTTTTAAGAACTTGAGATGAAAATTTCCTACTCATCCACTTGAGATAGCTATTGAAGTAAATTCTGAAGAAATCTTTGATTTTTTATTAGAAAAAGGATTTCGAGTAAATTCATTTGGGAGAAAAGGACAAATGATTTTAGAAGACGCAATTAAATCTAATAATGTAGGGATTATTAAATCTGCAATTAGCAGAGGAATATTGCATTTTTATTATGCAGAAAAGGATGGAGAGGAAGGGAAAAAAACATTTGCTTATTATGATAATGAGTCTGAGTCTAGATATTCTGGCATAAAGTCTTGGCTTTTTAATATTTCCAGAACAACAGACCAAAAAATAGCAGAAATGCTGGCTAATTCTTTCATTTTATCAATAAATGAGCCTGCAGCAAATTGCATTGGATCCCTGGATAAAATTGAAGATTGATTAAGTAAAGCAATTAAAATTAAAAGCAAAAAAAAACTAAATATTATTGCTAAACTTGTAAAAAACGGCACCATTGCCTTATTGCTAGATCATTTAGATCCGATTATTAGTAAAGACTCATTTGAAAAAATTTTGATTTATAATTACTTGTTTAGATCAATTTATTATGGAAACTTTAAAGCATTTGAAAAAATAATTATTAGAGCGACAAATCTCGATATAAATATCAATGTAAACTTTATTTTCAGTAATGATTTATGAGATTTAATGAAAAGTTCTAATGTATGAGATTTTCTTGAAAATAAAAGCTTCGCTAATCGCTGCATAGCTGCTTTAATTATTTCACCTAGTCCTAACAAAGAAATCGCTGAGTTATTGATGAAAATGAATATCCAATGAGAAGGGGAATTCCCGCTTCAGCAGGTTTATACTTTTTTACACCCTAATGATATATATAAAGATAAATTTTTGAAAAATAAGGGGAATCGCATGGAAAAACTTTGCGAAATAATCAGAGTAATCGTTTGCAATATTTGTGAAATTAATGCCCCAAATCTCCCTAATTTTGATTTTTATGGAGCTATTAATTTGGCAATTTACCTTGACAATATGGAGCTCTTTTCTTACATTTTTGAAATTTCTTATAACAATTTAATCTCAAGAGAATATCTTAAAAGTCAAGATATATATGAAAGCTGACTTCAATTTATACTTAAGCATAATTTAGTGAACATTCTAGAAAAGATGCTTGAACTTATTATTAAAACCCCTTTTGATTTATATTTAAATGAGAGATTTCTTTCTGATGAAAACATTTTGACTATTTTACTGAAATATCTAGATTTACTCCATTTTATAAAATAAGCACTCTTAAAGATAAGCCAAATTCCTTATTTTCTTATCAAATAATGCTTTAACTGCCATAATTCAAATATTATATAAATAAAATATTATAAACCGCTTAGGGTGAAACATAGATTTTAACAATTTTCTTATCGAAAAATTCAGCTTACAAGGGCCTATGAAAATTCTTCATATTTTGAGAAGAATAGAAAAATGCACCCGAAAAAGCCTCCCATTTGTTCATTTATTATGTGATGATGAAATTTATTTACCGTTAATTCAAAAAATCTTCGAAAAACAATCCCCAAGAGTTAATTGAGCTGAAGAAAAATCAAATCCATTATTGAAAGCATGCAAATATGCACAGGTTAATATTGTGAGTTTATTATTAAAACAAATGCCTAGCATGCCTTCAAACATTCTTGCTAGCGCAATAAATAAGGTTTCTTTGTTTGGGTTTAATCATAGGCATCCAGTTAAAATTGATATATGAAAATATGATGGGGAAGAATTATACAATTTTAAATAAATCTGCATTATTATACAAAATATAAAGGAAATATATGTTTTACAATATTTATGAGATTTATATAAATTTATATATTAAATAGGCAAGCAATTATTAAAATATTAGTAAATTATTCCATTGAAAATGGATTAATCGATAGATCCCGGCCAAAATTTTTAGAATCTCGAATATATAATGGCGTTTTACTTTCTGCCTCTACCACTATGAATGCAAATACCGTCGAATTTCTGATTGAAAAAGGCTTTCATCCTAATGATTATTTTGATGCACAGGTGGATTGGAATTTAAAGATAAAGAAATCTTTTCCAAAAGAAAAAATATATAGGCAACATCCTATAAAAGAATGTCTTCTGCACAACATTTACGAAGATACAGCGATTACACTTATAAAACATCTCAATCTTAATGAGCTTGATTCAGATTTACTTCAAAATTGTTTATATATAGCAAGCAAAAGACTTTGGTGGGATGCATTTTCTTATCTTTTAGTCAATATTAAAAATTCAAGCTACTGAAGAACGACTATATGAAATATTATTAAGGGTAACCAAAAAAAGTACTTAAAGAAATTTATTGAGTTAAGAAAAGAACAAATTATGAAACAGCATATGAACAGTAAAAATTGATGAAATTTTATATGACCCTATAATTGAAAAAAAGCAAAGATCGCTAAAATGCTGATTTTGAATAAAAATATTTTTAGTATAAAATCTTCAGTAAGAATTTATAATGCACTAGAAAGAAAAGAGATAACACCAACGACTCTAAATATAGCTGCGTTTAAAGGTAATTACCAAATGATTTTTAGCTCTCTTGAAGATTTCATGAAGGTTGATTCCAAAGCGGTTCTTAGAGAGAACAAGCTTCAAATTGAGAAGTATATTGAAGCTTTAAGCAGCAATGAAAAGTGTATATACCAGACTGCAGCTTTTTATGCATTACTTGGGGTTTCTTTCAAACCTGAATATTTAAGAATGCCATTGCCTAACTTCTTACCATCTCAAATTCAAGAAGCAAAAAAAATTCCTTACAAAATCCTCATCCAGCATGTAGAAGGTCTCAAGAAAAATCTTTCAAAAACATTAAAAAATTTACTATACAATTATATTGAGCCAAATCTTGATGCATTGATAATTGGTGCTTTTTATGGCAGCAAAACAGTAATTTCTTATATAAAAGCACATCCAAGCCAAATTATAGAAAATTCAGTAAATATTTTTATTGCTGCAATAAATGGGTTTATTTATCAATTTTCTCCAAACTTTAATTCGTTCTATGGAACATCATCAAATATTATGATAACGAGGCATTCACAATATAAGCGAAAAGACAAAAAGATTCATCATGAATTTTTAATTTTCATTGTGGAGAATTTATTAGCTAAAAATATTGATCCTACACCTATAAATAAAATAAAGATCCTACATGTGCTCTATATCTGTTTACATTTTGAACTTTTAACGGTAGCTGTACTCATGTACAGTAAAATATATGACTTGGGTGTAACTTCTATAATATTTGGAGGAATTTTATCAGAGTGCGCTAGAAATGGTTATATAGCAGATGTAAAAAGACTATTGAGTATGGAAATTAATCCAAATCTATCTGTTGCTATTCCATCTTGGGAGCTTTTACCTAGATATGAAGATTATAATACTGGGGATGATGAAAAATTGAGAATATGGGAAATTGATACATCTTAATCTTAACTAGCAGGTGGGCTACCACATATTGATTATGCTGTCACCAAGCATCCTCTGGCGGATTCATTGTATCTGAGACATCTCTTCAAATGCTTGAACGATTGAAATGACTTCATTGGCAAGCTTTACCAATCTTGCTATTTCTTCAATTCATATTGCTATGGATACCTCAAAGTATCACATGGTTCGAGAGCAATCCTCTTGGGACTTCTGCTGTACTGTATTGGATGAATGGAAAGTAACTTAATCCAAAGAAGGGAACCCTGAAATATAGAGGGTGTCTAAGTCTCTTCCCTCAAAAGCTATAAGAAAAACTAATTTCTGTGGTCCGGACCAATAGCTCATGATTTCTAAGAGAGGATGACATTGATTCTAATTTCTAACCATAAGAACTAAGTCAAACTTAGCCCAGTTCGTCTTGGCCATAAAGTAGAAAAAATTGCATAGAGTTTAGGTGCGTCTAAGGTGTCGCCATTTTATGTATTAAGAATTGATACATGAAATGATTGCCAAGTGGCAGCTTATCCTTCAGCACTGCATTGGGCTGCAGAAAATAGAAATGAAAAGCTTGTTGATCTTTTGCTTTGCTATGGAAGTAATATATATATGCAAGCACCTTTGAAGTTTATTAAAAGTGAAATAAAGGATGAGTTTCTAGTTACCGCTTCAGATCTCGCAAGGCTAAACCAGTTTGGTTCTATATACCACAAAATTATTAAAAACTCTAATGATTATGTAAAAATCAGCAAAAGATATAAATATCCAAGCGAATTTAGAAAATACTTTAATATTGATCGGCAAGCTATTCCGAATTGGCTTTTGAGATTACTTACTATGCTTAACAGTAATTTTATCAATATATGCCATTTGTTTAAATATATAAAAGGGAAATAGGTTGTATTTATTAGAAATAGTTAGCGCGATTTGGACAGGCAATAATGAACTACTTATAAAAATTCTGAGTTTAGGGAATAGTAGTATGAACATCCATAACATAATATATAATTTTGAAAATAAGACACAACAAAATGGAAAGATAGTTGATGAAATGTATAAGGGATCTGTAGTATTGAATAATCTATATGGTGTCAGGATTCTAAAAGCGTGTAAGTTTATTCCTCCTTATGAATGCTTAAAATTTTCAGCTGAGCTAGGAAGAGATGAAATTACTATTGAACTTCTTGAAATTTTTGGAATAAGTATAAGTAAATAGAATAAATAAAAGCATTTATGCTGATAGCAATTATCCTATTTATTATATAAAATAGAAGAACTGCTACAGCAGGCATTTTTTATTTTTTATAATTAGGTATAATTTGCTATTAAAAGAAAAGTATGAGCAATCTTGTCAAAATTATGAAAAAGATTTCAATAGATTAGAGGAGCTATATAAAGATGACCAAAACTTTGCGTTAAATATTAGCCAAATTAGAGAAATAGCGCATCTTGCTCTTCTTACGCTTTCTAAATATACAGTAGAACTTCTTTTAGTAACTCATCCAGATTCATTTACAATAGAAGCATTTGAATCAATCTTTTCCAACAATTACTCAGAATTAAAATATGGCTCTCAGCCTGGGCATGGCCTCCGGCCATGCAGTTTCGAGCACATATTTTAATTATATTCGGCAAGGTTTTTGCCATTATGGAAATCAACAACAATGCTAGGTAAGCGATTCTGCAGGGCAGAGTCTGGCCCATGCTCAACCACTGGGATGGATTTTACCTCGTGGGAAAGGAAGGCATGGTGGTTTGAAAAGGGAAAGCTCAGCAAAGTCCTCTGAACCATTCGAGCAACTTCCTAGCATGAAACTGGGCGTACGTCCCAGGTCTCCCTTTTTGCCGAGAGTCAGCCAGAAAAATCCATTTTTTGGATTTATTGAGCAAGCAGCTCACGCTCTCAAGCGAAGTAGCTCAGTCATGAGCCGTCAAAGTCAGTGACATCGCTCGGAAGTGAGCTCTGGTAAAACAAAGCAGATCGAACCCAGAGGCCTGTGGGCCAACGCGTGGAAGAGTGGTGGTGAGCCTGGGAACGCCTACCCCGTAGGGGAGTTAAACATGATATAATTTAAGTAAATAAGCAACAATTACTCAGGGCTTGATATATGGGCTTTAACATTTTTAAATCATTGAAATTCAATTGATATATTAGACATAGAAAAGCTTTTAAGCAAACTCAAAACGAATATCTCTGGTGAAAAAATAATTCCTCTTCTCTTAGAATTTGGACAAAGAAAACTAATAAGAAAAATATTTTTAAGTGAATTTCATCATAATATTGACATTATTCCTGAAAGAATAATTGCATGTAAATGGTATAACATCCCAATCTCCTTAAAGCTTTCCTTGGAAATTTTAAATCTCAGAAACGAGACAAATAAGCTATTTAGTGAGCTTAGTTTAACCTTATTAAATGAAGAAGTCCCAGCTAGCTTTGAAAATACACTCGATGCTTATAATGATATTTATTATGCAAAAAGAGGGAGAGAAGTTATTATAAAGGAAATAGAAAAAGTTAATATAAATATAAACGTCGATCAGCTAGATTCAGGCTTTAAACAATTTTTATCATATATTGATAAACGATATCAAAAAATTCTCATAAAAGTGACGATGGACTATCAGAGTCTTCCTAAAAACATCTATCCTTTAATCATGAGAGCATTGAGAATTTCAGTTTTTCATGGACTCTATAATGTTGAATTATTTTCAAATGATAGCTACGAAGACGGTGTTTTTAGAGAAAGTTCATCATGATCACTTATAAATTTTTTGATTGAAATAAATGAATTGATAGATAATTCTGATGCCGAATTATCTCTCGTCTATGTAGATTACTCAGAATTTGAGTATCTGGAGCCAAGCCACAATAAGCTGTTTTTCACATTTAAAGATAGCTCAATGGTAACTTGTCCGCAAAAATGCCTCTTGTATAAGAACTTGAAATACAAAACCTTGGCTTGAAAGTCTATCAATTTTTTGCGGGGCTTTTATGACTTGAAAGGAATGATTAAGTTTGATATAGACTCACTGATCAATGAAATCATAACACCTTTGTCAGCTTTAAAACGTCGCCCGGATATCATAAATATGAGAAAGTTATTTGGAAATAGCTCATTGGCGTACTGAATCGCAAATCTAATAGCACTTCTTGATATTCATTCTGGTATTATTGAAAATATAGAAACAGTGTTAATTTTTTATATTATCTATAGCCCGTTTAGCGTCTACTACCAGGCTGCTCGGCCACAGCTACCCCCAACATCGCTTTGGGGTGAATTTTTCGCCATTTTCCTCAGAGCCCGCAAAAGGTGTGGCACCTCCGGCTTTGATCTCAAGTGAGGACTCCAATCTTGAAGTTTATGCTTAAAAGACTATTCTTTGAGCTCAGTCCATTTACTTGATTGAGATCGATACCCTAAAGGTCCCAGTTTCCAACGCCTAGGCTAAGGGGTGCCCTTTCTGGAAAACACCATTCCCTAAGGTCAGGATTCAGTAGGAAAAACTCTCAGCCTTTGCTTCCCTGACATAGCTGGGATAATTTAACCAGGGAAAACCCAAACCCTCATAACTAAAATATTATCGAGATGGAATTTCTATTGGGAGAGTTTCGCCATAATTTAATTATTTAACAGTGCTAATTACTTTTACAAAAAAATATGCTAATTATGGGAAAGGATTAGGATTATTAAAAGATTAGTATCTCCTTGTTAACTTCATAACTAAGGATGCTCAGTATATCCAGGGCGTCTTTTGGCTATACCCATAGATTTATTTCCTGTTCGTTTTGGCTATATACCGCGATATTGCCCAAAACTTTGAATAGATCCGGAAAATAGCAGCCAGCGGAGTCGCATTTTATTTATATGCTAATTATGATATAGCTTCTTGTGAAATTTTAATTATTATTCTAACAATACAAATTTTTTTGTTTATTAATATCATATATCTTTGCATTCCAAATGAAATTTCCCAATATGAAGCCATAAGTAATTAATGCAACACTCCATAATTCTAATATGTCTGGAATTGATAGAATTATAGTTACAAATGGTATTAGTTTTGAAAAAAGATCCGAATGCCTAATAGTTACTTTTGAAATGCTGATACATAATCTTTCCAAACAATTTGTTAAAATCTCAGACTGCCCACGTGCTTTTGAAGAGATAAGAGTGATATTTTTGACGTCGCTTATGACAAGCCCTCAATTAATTAAAGAATTCATAAATCTTTCTGCATTTGTTGACTATCAAGAGAATTTGAAAAATAAGGAGAAGCCAAACATTATTCTTGAATGAAATTTACAAAACTTTGAGGGAATAATTGAGAGATTTATTAACATATTATATAGTGACGATCAAAATTTAGCTACAAAAGTGGGCTTATTAAAGAATTTGGAATGGATTGGAAAACAGATTCATAGTAATTCAGTGCTTATAAATGTTAGCAATTTATTGTCATCAGCAATAAATTATAATGAAAAGCAAGCTGATTTACTTTCCAACGATTCTACCTTTATTCTAGGCTCTAAAATAAATGGACCTGAAGTTAGCTCAATAAAATGCCTATTTGAAGAAATAAAGAAAAAATACCTTTTAAACATTCCTCCATCAAAGATTCCTGAAATTTGCAAAAAAAATGATATATTACTCATTAATTGTTCAGAAGTTATTACCATTTCAGAAATATTACGTGGATATATTCATGGAAATAATAACAGCTATTTTATATGCTCAATAAGACAAGTATTTAAAGTTTTGCCAACATTCCCTACAGTCAAAGATCTAGCCTATTCAATTGGATCTTTGCTGTATTGTGCTGCAGATGGGTCAATTCTATATGATAAGCAAAACCATTACCCTAACTTTGAAAATTCATTAACCGATCTTGAAGATTTATGCGAAGTCAATTTTTCTGAATTATTAAGCACAGTTCCTCGAGTTATTTCCTTTGGGTGTTTAGATGATGATTTTTCCAACATAAATTTAAAGCTGTCAAAAGATTTATTTGTATCTCCTATTTTAAATAAGCCAAAATATTCAATTAAATCGCATATACTTGGATCTCGAGAGTATAAAGATTTAATAGGTGAGTTATATAGACATTTTGATATTTTAAGGAAAAAAGCAGAATTACCATCATGGATAATGCCAATTTATGTAGATTTTCAAGAAGCAAATAATAATGAATCTTTATCACAAGATAAGTTAAATGCTGATGCAATTTTTTATCTGCTTTCTGCAACTTTGAATGAATTATTAAAGAGCATGACTGATATTATTTCTTATGAAGACATTTCTTTCAGTTTTTATAGTTTTGAGCCTAAGTTACTATGAATTAAGAACCCAATAAGCCATCAACTTGCCAAGTTATTTAGCCAAAGTATAACAGAGGTTTCCCTAATTTTCACAAATGGTGATGATAGAGTTTGCATTGAAAATAAAAAATTAGCTATTTATATCCCAATAACCAAGCAGTTAAAAAATTGTGATCAAAATCTAATAAAAGATACTATTATAGCTTCACTTATAGAAGGAGCAATGAAAAATATCCCAAGAAATATTATTTTGCAAGAATCTCCATCGAAATTGCCAGCCTTGCTACTTCTATCACAAATTGATCGCATTTATAATCAATTCCACATCCTATCGTATTCAATATTAAATTTAGACTTTGAAATTGTGATAAGAACATATAATAAAGATAAGTTTTCTGAATCGTTTCAATACTCAATAGCTGATAAGATGAAAATAGAGCTCACGTCTTCAAAAAATATTAAAATTCCCTCAATTATTGAAATTTCTGAAGAAATTAGACGACAAAGAAAATTACCAATGGTAAACTTTAAGCTAATCCCTATAGATAATGATTCAATTTTATTTGCAGCTGGAAGAAAAGTAAGGTATATAAACCAATTTCAGAGCATTGATAATTTAGAAGCGAAAGTAGTTAATCTAACTCCCCCACCATTAGCAAGCAAAACCATTAAAAAAGTCCCTACTTTTGGAGAAAAATTCAATTTGCAAGAAAAAATATTCTTTTAATATATAATTAATAATTATTACAATGAAATCTCTTCTATTTAATTTTATTATAAATTTTGAGGTTTATATAATTTTAAAAATTTAATCCCCTAAGCGAGCGAGTAAATTTTTGAGCTCCCTTAAGGAGAGAGTAAGAACCCTGAAAACCCTATCAATTGATTTGATACAAGAAAGCAATTTTGTATATATCAATGACTTGGTATTTGAGAATGCTTGGGTTTTAATAATTTTCGAGCATAAAGGCCTTCCTATTGGATTTAAGATATTCTATTTCATGATAAATTGGTGGCCTTGATAGATAATATTTAAGATAAAATAAAATATTTTAAAATGAAAATTCATTGAAAACCTATATAGTAGCTGTCGGACCAAACATGCCTAAATGTTTATCGAAATTTTATAGCCTTGAAAAAAGAAAATCAAATGAATTTGGAATTATTATACTTGATACTGCAAAAACTCTTAATCCATCAATATTTCCTTCAGTATATCCAAGCAATCCATTATCAGAAAATGTAATATTCCTTAAGAAAAACTATATCATTTCTGGTGGTCTTTTAATGGATGCTCTCTCGCCATCCTCTAATTTCCCAGCCGTTTCATTTAAAAGCACTAAAATTTATGATGTTACTCTTTTAAACCTCAAGCTTAAAAGCAAAGGTAAAATGACTGTTTATTTTAAATCTTCAAGCCAAAGCACTATTAAACCCGCTTTAGATCTTTGTTTGAATTCTCAAGAATTATTAGAAAATTATCAATTACAACTGTTTTCAGATAGCAAAAGCTATATTCTTGAGAATTTTTATTGCAACTTAACTCTCCAAACCAAAGAAATTTCAAAAGAAACTGACTTTTGAATATCGTGCATCAATGAATATTTTTCAGGTGTTTTAGATTGGTACGAGAAGCCATATATCATTATCGAAATCATTAGAAAATTTACAGGCACAACCTGGGACAATTGATATAAAAAAAAATATTGCCAAACAATATACTTCATTGCAAAATTTTATCTTTATTCAAATCGAGAGTCAAATAAAATAATCCCTAAAGCATGAAAGGAATTTTATATAGCTACAAAAGATATAATAGAAAATTTGCCGTCTCTTAAAGATTGGATAAATTATTTTTTTGAATTGGAAAACTGCAAAGGTTTGGAAGACAAAGAAAAAATTACAAATAGATTTGATACAGTGAAAGAGGAGCTTAAAAAAATAGAAAAAAAATTCTCTGATGATTATAAGAAATTAATAGCTGAATAACAGGCATTATTATGCATTATATTAACTGCCTCCTTCCTTGAGCGAACAAAACCATTGAAAAAATCCTAACTTTTGCCCAAAAACCCACCCTCGGTGAGCGAACAAAAATTTATTTATGAAAGAAATCTTGATATATAAGTGATAATTATTATATTGAAATCTCTAGCTGATTTTGTTTAATTTTAAACAAATTGCATTTTAAAGCATAAATTTTATAAATTAAATTAATATATACTTTACAATTTTTGCTAATTGGATTTTTTAAATTTTTAACCTCCATCCGTGAGCGAACAAAATTTTTTTTGTTCGCTCACGGAGGAGGGATAAGCAAGTATTAAGGTTAAATAATTATAATCATATTATAAATATGGAAAAATTGAAAGCTAGATTGGAGAATGTTAAATATACAAATAAAGTACCTAAAAGGAAATTAGGCTTTTTTAATTTAGAAGCTCACAAAATATCTCATCAAAGCACATCAAAAACACTGCTTGGCTCTTACAAATTGCAATCGCCTTTTAAATCATTACATAAGTCTTCAGTGCATACTATATCTAGCATTCTTGCTAAAAAGATTTCACATGATATAATGTTTCGGCAATCTTAAAAAACATGATCCACTTATTGATTCGAACTCCATTTGGGAAAAAAGAATTCACATGCGAAGATTTCCTGGTTTTCCATATGAAATTCTTTTCCAAACTCGACGCACGAATCCACAAATGAGCCCTTTTTTTAAAATGGCCAAGTAATTATATCAATTTTTGGGAAAATCCTGAAAATATTAAAGTAAGCTATTTTAATCAAATTGACTTATCTAAAATGATAGATATTGTCAAATACACAATGTAAAATGGCAATTAGAGCAGAACTACGGCCCTATATCTGAGCTCTGTGAGAGGGGTTCTGTACTCCCTAAGAGACATAGCGGGAAGAGAGATATTCTACACAGAGGCTGGTGAAGATAGAAAGGTCCTTCAAGGCTTGGGGACATGAGCAGGCTGACAGTTAGGCTGATCTTAACTCCCGCTACTCTGAGCTGCCATCCAAGTTCAGGTCAACGAATGTGGCTTATGCAAGCGTATTCTTATTCTTATTAAGATTAGGATTGTCAAAGAATTTGAGCAGACTTTATCAGAGACTCAACAGAAAATTCTGGAGAGCATAGTTTTGTATTCTAAAGAAACTGATGAAATAGACATAGCGTCGAGCAATGCATTGACAATTTTGAATTTTTCTCAATTTCAGTTTAAAAATAAAAATTTCGAAAAAATAAGAGCTCCTTATGCTGATTTATCTAGAAGCGTTTTTATAAATACAAGCTTCGAAAACAGCGACTTATCTTATGCAAAATTAAGCCAGTGTTATTTTTATCAGTCTAATTTTAAGAATTGCGACCTTTCTCATGTAAAATTCTACGAGCTGCCGATATTCCAAAATGGGCTAGAAATTACATCATTTACTATTTCAGCTTCAGGAAAATATTTAGCCTGCCTTCCAACTGCAAAAATATGGGAAATAAATACGAATAGAGGGGTTGAAGAAATCCCTACATGGGCAAGTGACACAGCTCTTGCTTTTTCTCCATGTGAAAAATATATTGCAATAGCCACAAAGCGTTGTGAGGTTGAGTTATGGGAGATTGAAACTAAAAAATTGATTTGGAAAATTTTTGAGGGAAATGAAATCTTAGAAATTTCATATTCCCCTTGTGGAAGATTTCTAATGACTCAAGCTAAGAGCTTTATAAATATTTGGAGGATTAAAGATAGACTTCTAGTAAAGAATTTGTCAGGGGATTATAAATATATGAACAACACTATTTTGTTTTCTCCTTATGGAAGCTATTTTACATTTGGAGAGCGGAATAAAGGATTAGAGATATACAAAACAGAAGACTTAAGCTATATAAAAACATTTAATATATTAGGAAACTATCTGGTTTGCTTTTCTTGTGGGAATTGAGTATTTGCAGGTAATTTCCAAGGGGTTATTTATTTATTCGACTTAAAAAGTGAAAAAACTAAAAATTTTCGAGGGCACTTATCAGCTATTTCTTCAATTGATTCAATGAATTTTGAAGGTAAAACCATTATTGTAACATCTTGCAATAGAGAGTTATGAATAAAATTATGGGATGCTGAATCGTTTACTCTTCCTATATAAATTGGAAAATATGTCGATAACTTTTGATTTTGGATCATAATTCTACAAAGTTTAGTTTTTGTAGGTAAATAAGCACTTTTATGTAAGCATCTTTTATGCCCTATGTAAAATATACTTAAAATGGAGGTCAAGCATACCGATCTCTTAATGCAAGTTTTTTAACTTTATGACGAAGGCGAATTGGGCAAGAAACCAGCTGAGATTCAGTTCCGATATGTTTAACTTAGTATATGTGGTTAGAAAGGAGTAATCCGGCAATATCCTTCAGGATCCTTAGGTGGACGAATTCTTGATGACTGCGTAACCAATACGGCTTTTCCCCATCTGGCACTCAATATTAAGATTAATGCCCTATTTATGCTGGCTAACTAACGCCAAATTCGAAAATTTCAAAGTTTTTTCTATTTTAATAGTGGTAATGTAAACAGAATACGATTTGGTGAATAATTTATTGCAAAGAAAAATTTATTTAGAGAGGTTTTCTAAATTAAAGGGGAGATTTAGCCTTATTTGGAAACTGGCCTCCTGAAGTAGTGATCAAAATACTTTAAACTTTCCTTATTTAAAGTCCAAATTTTCTAATTCTTTATTATTTGTTAATTTTTGCACAAAAATCAAAGCCTTTGATATTAAAAATATTCTCAAATCAATAAGCAGCAAAGACTCTCAGAATACTGTATATAATATTTCAATTACAGATGATAACAAGTTTATTATTACTTTTGGAAAAAATCCAAAATTTAATATATGGGACACTCAAAACAACCGAAAATTATCATTTCTTGATAAAGAATTTGCATATTCTAATAATGTATCAACAGTCTCTTGCCTATATAATAAGTCATATCAAAAGCGTAAAGTAGTTATAGCAGACTTTTACAGTCAAAAAAGAAGATGCTCCATCATACCTTGCCCAAGACTTATAGATAATCTAAAAATCTCATCTTCTGGTAAGTATTTCGCATTTAATATAAATTTGAAAATTGAAATTTGAGATACAGATTTAAACGAATGCGTTCAAACGTGAAGCTGCAAAGATCAAATCTCAGACATTGCACTTTCCCCATGCGGAAAATACTTAATTTCTATGCATAGGACCATAAATTTGGCTTATTTATGGAAAATTGAGTCTCTTCAAAATTTGAAATCCGCCCCAATTTCGAAAAATTTTAAAGGCTTAGCTCTTTCCCATTCAGGTATGTATTTTGCATGGTGAAATAGCAAATCTGTGGAATTATGAGACTTTTCCAATTGAAATAAACTATCTTTTGACTATCTTGGAATCCAAATGTTAGTGTTTTCTGCACATAATAAATATATGGCAATTTGTGATATAGATGGGAAAATAATATTGTGGGAAATTGAATCTAGAAGTATTGTTTTTGAAAGAAAAAATTTTTCTTATCGAATTAAATTTCTTGTGTTTTCAGATGATGAAAGTCATATTGCTACTTATGGAAATGATGGGAATATTAAATTATGGAATATCGGAAAAGATTTAAGTCATTCATTGGAGTGGTCATCAAAGAATGACAGTGTCTGCAATTATGAATCGGATTTTTCTGGCTCTAAATTAAGTGTCAGAAATCAAGAAATCTTAAATTATAGAGAAAATTTTGATACCTTGGAAAATTTCTATTTAAAATATAGAGAATATTAAATAAAATTATTTTTATAGTCCTTACTGTAATTTCTTACAGCCTTCTGCATGTGAAAGGAATTTCACAGTGATAATTTTTTGCATTGTAAAGTTTGCATGCACATGCGAAAAGTTCCAAAATGAAACGGAATTCTGCACGTGGAAGACTTTAAGAAATTACACCAGGAGTATAAATTATTTAATGAGAAATAAGGTTTTTGGTTTAAATTCAGTAAAGATATGAAGTGTTTAGTTAAAATATCAGTAGCAATGATAATGGCAAAAAATAAAAATCTCCATTTTTATAAAGACGATACCAAAAAAATCAATATAATTCAAATGCATTAATTCATACCACAATTTTTATTTGCCTCATTAATTAATTTCTATAGAATTCATAATAAAATTTTCTAGAAAAAATGTCAATAAATCCAGCTTAAATGCTAAATATTCAATATAAAGCAGAATAAAATTGTAAAATGGAATGCTATTTCTCCAATTGTGTTAGAAAACCAATTTTGGTTTGTGAATGCAAATCAAAAAAGACCTTGATGTGTCAATTCCATAGATCAAACCATTTTGAAGATCTACCTAATTGCAAACACCACATAAATCACTTACAAGAAATTCAAAATCCTGCACCTTCTAAAAGTGAAGGATTAATCAAGGCAAATCCACTCAAAAGCTCTGCATTTCCTTCCCATAAAAGCCACAGAAATTCAAGCTCTGATCATAATGCTAATTTTAAGATCTTAAATAGTGAGCTTGAGGAAGTAAAAAGTATGATAAAAGCCACCAAGAAGGTATTATTAGCCCAAACTGAGAATGCAAAAACAGAGATAAGTAGCTATGCAAACTATTTATTAGCCTTGCTAAAAGGGATAAAAAAGAAATGCAAAAAGTTGTCCATGTCTTCAAAATGCCCATTTCAGCAGGCTCTAAAAAGCAAAAACAATAGTTATTTGAGCCAAAAGCAATCCAAAATCACTTCTGGAGCTTTGAAACTGAAGCTTCAGATTGAAATGATAAACTCAAAGTTTGTCCTAAACGCCATATTAGCTGATTTGGAGAAAAATTCGATAATTGATTTATCAGTCCAAAAAATTTCCCAAATGACTACGCCATTTGATATTCATAATTTATATGGCATATACCCAGATACCAAAAAACTATTCTCTTATAATCCAAATACGAATATAGTGACCTCATGTGAATTAAATTTACCAAATAATTTGTATGGGTATTCCCTATGCTATGCTGATGGGAACTTGTTCTGCTATGGAAATTGCCTTAATAAAGCTTATCAAGGGACAGCTTTTCTTATAAATAAAGAAGGTAAAATTAAATCCCTGAGAGATGGAATTCCTAGTATATATTCAGGCACTATATATAAAAAAGGATTTGTATATGTATTTGGAGGGTGGAGTAATGGGAAAATGCTAGCAAATGCTAGAAAATTTAATATCAAGAGCAATAAATGGCAAATTCTTGCTGATCTCCCAGTTCCAGGGTCTCTTTATTGCTGCGAGGCCATAAAAAATAAGATTTTGATTTCTGGATCCAGTCATTCTCGGCTTTTTATATATGATATATATAGCAACAGCTATAACAAATGCTCTCTAAAATTATGCCAAGGCAGAAAAAAGATAATCTGCAAGCATTATGAAAAGGTGTACATCATAGAAACAGAAGGCAGCATTTATGAATCTTTCGCGGGAAATATTTTTGAATGGGAAATCCTTTTTGCTTCAAATGTGCAAAATCGGGGCATGCTTATGTATAAATCATACAATTATAGAAGTGTATTCTTTTCAATTGACAATAAGGTATTCAGGTTTGATTTGAAAACAAAATCAGTTAAACAGGAATTAGAAGTTTAGAAACGAATAATTTAGGATTAAAAAATATTTTCTAGTAGATAAATAATTGACTATATTGTGATGTCTAATGAATAAATTTAGCACTTTGAACTAGAGCAAATGCGAATTTTCTTTGGTGGTTTCTATGGTATAAAACAGGAAGCCGCAATCTGCATTTGGCATCGTTATACATAGAATGCTTTAATAAATCCTATTAAAGCTTTCTTTTATGCTATCACCTTTTTCATCTCTAATTATAATTACAGAGTGCTTCATTTATTTACCGGGATATTTAGCATGTAAACAAATTACTTTATAAATTCATATAAATCATACATAAAAGCAGAGTATACTTTTCTATTGACAATAAGATATTCAGATTTGTTTCGAAAGCAAAGCCCTTCAGCAAGAGTATGAGCTAGAAATAAATTTATTACCATAAAATTAATTAAAATTATGAAAACTCAAATTTTGTGATTTTTGCATTTTCAATATCAAGTTCTTCCTCCGGCTCCTCATAATCAAAAAATTCTTTTAATAGCTTTAAAGCAAACTCATTCACAAAGCTGTTGCCATGATCTAGCTGTTTATGCAAAGCTGCTAACTCCCCCGTGAGTGAACAAAAAATTTTATCGCTCATGAGGTTAATTTATTTTTTTTGAAAAATTTATATATAAATTTTAAAAAAATCCAATTCGTAAAAATTGAGAATTAAAATTAATTTAATTTGTAAAATTCATGTTTTAAAAATCCAAGCTGCTTAGAGATTTCATTATATTAATCATCAATTATATATCAAAATAGTTTTTTTTTAAAAAATTTTGTTCGCCCCGGAGAAGGGGTGGTAAGCATCCTGAGCTTTCAAATAGCTTGAGACAAATATTGTTTTCTTTTTTCTCTTCCTGCGGTTTAATCGATGCAGCCTCTAATATTCTTTTTGTAATCACTAATAAATTTTTCAAAGTATTTGGGTCGGTCTCTTTATCAAGAGCTTGTTGTAAATAATTTAGAAACCCATTTTTTATGAGACTAATAGTGCACTCTGGACTTCCTCTAATACCGAAATTACTGAAAACCCAGCCAGCTTCTACTCTAACGCCATGATCTTCATCTGTAAGACCTTTCATTGCTAGCGGGATCACTAAATGCTGAGCGACTCTTTCTACATGTGCAGAAGACCCTCCTACAAAGTTGCTTAGAGCCCAGTACACTTCTTTTCTAATAACAGCTTGGCTTGATCTAATATGATTGAGAAGCTTTTCTAAGGCATTTAAATTTAGCATAAGCTCAGTCTGAGCATTATTTCCACTAGAAATATTTCCAAGGGTTTTTAGCGCAGGAAGTGCAATAGAATAATCATGGGAATCACAATAATTAATTATAATAGGAGCGTATTTAGCTTCCAGAATTCTTTCTATACAATATGAATCACCTTGTGTAGAATAATTTAAAATCCAGAATACTGATGCTATTATATCATTATCTTCCAAATCTAAACAAGGTCTAACTATATTCAACAATTTTCTCATAGTCAAATCAGGGATTTTATTTGCACTTCTAGAAATATTGCTAACTCAGCACCTCTGTGAGCGAATAAAACCATTGAAAAAAATCTCGATTTTTGCCTGATACCACCTTCTGTGAGCGGACAAATAATTATTTTAATATAAAAATTTTCTATGAAAATATTTTGATTTATAAGTAATTGTTAGTATAATGAATCTCTAGCGAATTCTATCTAATTTAAAAAACAAGCATTTTACAGCATAAATTCTACAAATTAAATAATATTTGCTTTCAATTTTTGCGAATTGTGATTTTTTAAATCGAAAAAAATTTTTTTTTAATAAAATTAATATAATGAAATAAAAAAATTAAACTCTCTCCGTGAGCGAAAAACAAATTTTTGGCTCGCCCATGGAGGGGTAGTAAGCACCCATACCAAGACATTCACCAATGGGCTTTTGTTATTTTGTACACTAATATTTTGTAGCGCATCCATCAAAAAATCAAAAATTCCTTCAGAAATAATAATCTCTCTATATTTTTCATTATCCCCAGCAATATTTCCTATACATCATATACAATTTTCAGCGATTTCATCATAGTCTCTACTGATCGCAAGTTGGCATTCTCTAATTGCTCCATTCTTTACCAGCATTTCCACATAATTATGATCAAAAGTAGCAAATGAACACAAGGCAAAGGAAGCTTCAAACTGAATTTCTTTAGGATAATCTTGGCTTAAATAATGTATAAACACTGGGATGTAGTTTAATTCCACATAAATGTCGAGGTCTGAGTCTTCAGAGATCGATTCTAATAGTTTCCGAGTAATATAAAGGGCTTCTTTGATAATGCTTGGCTGGTTATTATTTTTTAGAATTTCGATGCAGGATTCAAGGATTATTCGCTTATTTGAAATGAGATTTTGAAGATAAGGACGGAATGAGCTGAAATCGGAGGAAAATGAAAGGGTGGGAGTTTGGGAAGAAGCGAAGCGCCTTTTCTTGCTGAGCTCGAAACGCTTATTGCGACGAAGCTCAATGTGATGCTCTTCTCGCTTGATTTGGAGGAGTTCTGGATCTATTGATTGCTGGAAACCTTTGTTTCGATCACAAATCCTTTGCGCGGTGCTCATTTTTAGAATTTATTTCTAAACTCCCCCTCGTATTAGCAAACAATTTATAGAATTTTTTCAAAATTTAAAATTTGTAAAAAAAATTGAGAAGCAAAAATTATTTAATTTGCGGAATTTATATTTAAAATGCAAGTTGTTTAAAATTAAACAGAATTAGCTAGAGAATTCGTTATAATAATTATTATTTATATATCAATTTTTTTTTCATAAAAAATTGACATTAAAAAAATTTTTGTTCGCTCACGGAGAGCTAAATTTTGGGCAAAATAGGGATTTTTCTAATGGTTTTGTTCGCTCAGGGGAGAAGGATTTAATTCGAAATTAAGTTATTTAACACATAAATAGAGGTTTACTTCTATAATTATCTTAATCTTATCTAACTTACTTCTGATCTAATGCAGCACTTCTCTCATTTTCTTTTCAGATTCATCTAATACAGGCAATAATGTGAGTACTTATTTGAGCCTCCAATGTAGGCCCATCAATGACTAACTGCCTTCTTTCCCTGAATTATAAACTCTATTCTTCTAAAAAAAGCCTACTGCATCATCTCCATAATCTTCCATGAGCCCATCATATCTTTCTATCTTCATCCCTTCCTCAAATTCACAGATTTGACACAACATTCGCTATGTTTACATCAAGCTGCACCATTTCTACAATAACAGTGAGATATTTTGCAAAAAATACCAACTGGATAATATCTTATTGTTTGACGTGAAAGCGAAAGAAATTATTTCTAAAAATATAAAACTGAATAAAATTCATATTGAGGATTTTTTTTAAAAATAAAAGTCTGATGCTTATTCATCAAAAATTTTTATCTACAAAACTCAGCTTTCAGGCATCCAATCATTATTTCAATATCATACTTTTAAATAAAGAACATAGAAGCGGCAAATAGTTAATGTAGAATAAAGGAATGCTAATATTTTAGCTAGGAATAATTTTATTAGCTTAATGATTAAATAAAATGATAATTAAGATGGAGAATCTTATCTTTGTAAGGATGAGCACAAATTATCTCTTTATAAATAACAAAGCTATTTTCTGGAGCTATATTTATTCAAAAATTAACAATTAAGAAATTATTAGAATTCAGAAGGCAGCATTTCAATAAGATTTTAAATAATATTTTAAAAGATCATAGAAAAATCTATAAATACAAAAATATAAAATCCTCGAACAATTATTTCTTAAATTTGTATTTTTTATTTGGAATGCTATATATTTTTAACACATCTAATCATCCCCTTCCTCACTCCCCCCCCCCTTTAAATTGAAACAAAATATCGGTAAAATTCCTACTTTTTTGGGAAATTACCCCCCCTTTAAATTGAAACAAAATTTTATTATAATAGAAAATTTTATAGGTAAAAATCATTATTTTATATGTAAATACGTTAATACCCTATTTAATATGCTTCAAACATATAAGATTTAAAAATTAAACTCTATTTTGTCCATTGTTATGGGGAGAGTTAGAAGAATACCATTTCAGCAAGTTTACACTTTGAGATTGAGAAATTTATGAATTAATTTTTCATGAAATTAAAATTAAAAATCAAACACAGAATGAACCATAAAATTTTATCTCTGAAAAAATTTTTATATATAAAAATTTTTTTATAACAAAAATTTTCTTAACCCCCCTTAAATTGAAAACAAAATTTTTTGTTTCAATTAAAGGGGGGGGGAGTCAGTCTTTTTTATTATTATGCAAGCTAAGCGCTCTTAGAAAAAGATTTTTATAATTATTTAGTAATAAAATTGGATCAGTCTGCAACCTAAATGCTATGCTATACAAGATTTAAACCACTTCTGTTCTAAAGGATCGGGAAGTCATCCTTTATTAAGCTAATTTTAATTTTATTAGACATTATCGATCAGATTGCAGAATTAAATTCTCAAAGAATGGTGTATCCATTTATAAGTTACAGAAGTAGAGCCTATGAATAATATTATCTTATTTTTATAGCAAATACAGTATTAACTAGTTATAAAGAATCAAATTACAAGATATTATATTATTCTGAATTGTTTATACTTACCTACACTTTTAAGTCTTTCCAAAGCAAATTTTGTCATTTTTAAAATTTTATGGAATTAGAACAGATTTTATTATATTCATACATCCATTTTTCTCTTAAGGATAATAATTTATTGTAACGCAGCTACCATCTTTGCAGCTTGTTTTAGGCCTATCTCCTGAAGCCGTAGAAAAAGAGCTGAAAGGAGATTTAAATATTCTACTTAAAAGATTCTAAAAAAATTTAACAGATTTATTATCATCTATATTTGAACCATTTCAGTCACCAGTAATAATTAATGGGTAACGCAGCCACCAGCATAGCAACTCGTATATCAGGTTTAACTTCTGAAGCTCTAGAAAAAGAACTGAAGGGAGATCTTTGCATTCTCGGTGACCAAAAACTGTTTTTCAATTATAGTGCTCTGATAGCTCGAGGAGACCTCAATAAGTATCAGGTACCAGGCTCATCATCATCATCATCATCTGCTTCAGCCAATCTTGAAGACCTGAACTACATAAATGAAGAACAAATGCTGTGCAGCATGGAAGATAAAAGTTTTATCAAAGTAAGACATACAAAAGTCATCCAAGGCTTACTGAAAGAAATTGACTTACGCAGAGGGGAAGACTCAACCTCAGTTGAGATGACGAAAAAACTTCAATTCCTGAGCAGAACTTATGAAACTATACTTAGAATGGATGAGCGTGAAAAAAGAAAATCAAAGCCAGAAGCTTCAAAAATTAAGGAAACCCTCAAACCAATTGCCAAATCAGGAGTATCTTTTAATCTGTCTTCGCTATTTGGGATAATTAAGGTTTTAGGCCCTGATAAGCCTGAGCTTTATAAGATCATCATACAGGTTGCTTCAGGTACAGTTGTTGGGTTAAGCCCAATGGCACTGCATGATAATGACCCTTCGGTCTTTCAAGTAGTTTTATCAGTTCTTACATTTTTCAACTCAATGCTAAGAAGAGAGCTCCCAAATATCCAAGAAGAAGACATAAATGCCTGCTATTCAATTCTTTTTGGGTTTTATGTCGCTACAGGAAATTTGTGTACCGCTTTAGCATTAGCTTTAGCATTTGCCAATTTGGATCCAAATCAAGACTATTCTCCAATTTATAAACAACTTTTCCCTATGCTAACGAACTTTAAGATCCTTACAAAGTCAAAAATAAGTGATTTTTTTGCTTGAGATGCTCAAAAGAAAGGGAAAGGCTTACTCTACATCGGTTTAGTAAAAAAAAATCATTCTAAAAATTCATAATTTTAGGAAAATAATTCATTTGTTTAGTGAATAAAAATGTTTATTATAAATTTTTGTGTAAACTATATCTTGATGTATAACTAGGGATTAAAATAATAAAATCTCAAAAAATTATAATATAAATTAAATTAGTTATCATTTCAAATAATTAAAGTGTTTGTATAATCTTTTAAAAAATTAGCAAGCAAGCATTTTTGCTCATTTCCAAGTGGAGAAGTTAGAAATCAAAAGCGATGAGCCAAATATATTAATCAGAACAGCTACTGATGGCTGGGGAGCTATTCTTTCAGCAGAAGCTTGGACAGAAGGGGCTCACTATTTTGAGATGACTTGGATTGAAGGTGAAACTGACAAAGTTTTCTATGGAATTTGCGATGGATATTATCCTTACCTCGACTCGACCCCTGAAAACGAAATGATGACTTTCCATTATGAACCTACGGGAAGTATTTATAGAGTAGGATTTCAATTATATGCCTTCGAAAGATACGTAGTCGGTGACAAAATTGGACTTCTGCTGGATATGGATGAGCGCACAATTCTTTTCTTCCGCAACGGAAAAGAATACCCCAAACCTATTAGCGATCTTCCTGAATGTATTAAAAGTATGAAACTTTTTATGTGCCTTGGAGGAATCAGCAAATACAAAATCATCTATAATCCCCTAGATATGCCAGAAATCGCTCGCATAAAAGTTGAAAACTATAGAAAAAGGTCTAATGTAGAAGTGAAGCTTGAAGATTTAAGCATCATTGACAGAGCTATCACAACTGGAGAAATGACTGATGAGTATCTCCAAATGAAGCCTATTGAACTCACACATTATATTCTTAAATCATTTGACGTCTTAAATGATCATATCATAGAAAATTTAGAAAATAAAGAGAAGAAGGCGAATGTTGAAAAAATTATCGGGCTTTTCCTTGACATCAAGAATGAAACTGTCGAAATTTTAGAAAAATTGGCTTTGATTTGTATCGAAAACATTCACTCACTCCCCCCCTTTAAATTGGAACGAAAAATTTTGTTACAATTTAAAGGGGGATTAAGACATTTTTTTTAAAAAAAAAAAAGATCAATAAAATTTTTTTATAAAAAAAAAATTGCAAAATTTTATCGAATTAGATCAATAAAATTTGTTTAATAAAATGCTATTTACTCTTTATCCTTTAAAACAAAGCAAGATATAACTAAACTTTCATTATTAGTTAATACGCCACTATTAATTGGTATCAAAACTATTTACACAAAAATTATTATTTTTATTGATAAAAAAATTGAAACAAAAGTTTTAGAAAATTTATCGACCAAAGTGCTAATTTTGTTTAAAGAAGATGTTATTTATACTCAATTCTTTAAAAATAAAGAAAAAAATAATTAAATTTTGAAATTTTATAAAGAATTCGCTTTGAATTTATATCAAAATTATTTAAATAAAAATATCATTTTTATCAAAAAAAATAAAAATTTTTTTAAAAAATTTTAAAAATTAGCAATTAAGGATAATAAATTTATTTAAATAAGATGCTCTTTATACTCTATTCTTTAAACAAGAGAAAGATATAACTAAATTTTTAATTTTAGTTAAGAAGAAATATTTAACTTATATCAAAACTTTTTAGATAAAAATTATATATAATTTTTTATTATAAAATTTAAATTTTGTTCCAATTTAAAGGAGGCTTTAATTTACCAAAAAAGTGGAAATTTTAACTATATTTTGTTCCAATTTAAAGGGGGGGAGTCAGAAAATGTTGAAAGAGAATCGAAAGAAATTTATTCAGAAATGCTCGTTTATGTGCTAAAACTCACCAGATCGCACTTAATTGGGTCGAACATGATCCCAAATGCAACTTTAGAAAGGCGGCTAAGAACAAGAATTATGAAAATCGCTATTGATCTAATAAATAGCATGCCAGGGTCCAAGGCTTGTGAAGAAGCCACAAAAATTGTGACATCGTGCTTTTCTGTCTTTTATAAGGACCCACAGGAGAAATTGTCTTATTTATTAGATAGACTTAAAGATCAAATGGACGGAGTTGAGATATCAGGTATCCTTAAAGAGCTTGAAGATAGAATTTTCCTTGAAATGGCTCGACCTGACAAACTTTTCCCAGCTTTGGAACTTAATAATGACGAGTCTCAGCATTTAGTGGAAACTTATTTCAAGTACTTGATTGAGCTTTCTTCAGAAATTTCCAAGAAGTTTGTGAGGGGAGAAGAGACATCTGTTGGAATCTTGAAACTTCTTGAAATAAGCCAAATTGCTTTATTCGGTCAAGCTGCTAAGTCTAACTTCAAAGGAAAATGGCAAGAAATCTTAATGAACTACTCATTAAGTGTTTTCCAGAAATGTGAAGAGGTTCTTCATATTGTAAAAGCAAAAGAAAAAGGGTCTACATTGTCAGATAAACTCACAAGCACTTTAAGAAAAACCATCCTTGCAGATTTATTAGAAACTCTTCTTTACATGCTGTCTTTAACCAGAATGAGCCTTGATTTCTTAGCAAAAATTTTACCAGTTTTGCAGATCATCATATCATCTCTACAGTATTTCGATCCAAAGCCAAAAATCCTAAATAAAGAGTGGGTTCTAGCTACAACAGATGCTTACGAAAGTCAGCACAATTATGATAAAAATCTTAATATTACCCACACTGTAAAGATCCCTGGAGCAAGAAAATATTATTTGGTCTTTGACCCTCAATGCAAAACCAATAAGAATTACGATTATTTAGAGCTTTGGAAAGACAGCAAAAAAGAAGAAAAGCTCTTCAGATGGGACGGAGACGATTTCCCAAAGAATGGTGAAAGAATTGAAGTAAATGCCCCATATTTGTTCTTCACATTCCACTCAGATATCTATAGAGCCTATTGGGGCTGGAAAATTGATATTTTCGGTGAAGTCCAAGCTGAATATTATGCTAAACAATGACCAGATACCACAAAAGATGCAGCAGGGATTATGATTGGATTTATCAGCGCAAAATTGATTTCTGGAGAATTTGAGATAACTCCAGAAGATGAAAAAGTGAGAGCTTTGCTTCAAAATCCACTGCTTAAATACGGAATTTCTGATAAAACTTTATCACTTGTTAAATCTCAAAGCCCGATCCCAGAAAGTCTTATCACCCTAGCCCAAGTGCCAGGAATTGGAGAAAAAGTTAAGCATAAGATGCTAAATCAATTTATTAAAAGCGATCCTACTAAAAAGCTGGTATGCAATAATAAATCAGAGCTGACGATGCAAGAGTATATTGACTCTTTTGGAAAATGGGGAGATGCAAAGTATTCTGACAATCAGTTTATCAATGATTTCATTGAAGGGAATAGCGAAATTATAAGAGATTGGAATACCCTGAAAACTTTGAGCGGAGTTTGCGAAGAAGATTCAGCAGTTGGAGGACCAGATTTTGATAAAGCAGAAAGAGCCATTTTCGCTGTTTATGTAGCTATCTTTGAATTTGCTGAGACTTTCAAAAACCTTCTTCAAGATCCTACAATTGTTGGATCTACAGTAAAATACCTCATAAAAGATGCAGTAAAATATAGAAAATGGGCTGAAAAATACATCCAAAAATTAACGGAAACTGCATCTATGACCTTTGAAGAAGTTTCTAAAGATGTTGTATTTAAATGCGCTTTATTAATCAATTCACAGCATAGTCAAGGCTTAAATGAGCTTGGGATTACTAAAACAATGAAACATTTGGCAGCAAATGTAGTCCAAGAAGCCAGCATTCCTAAAAGTAAAAGAAATGAAAGCAAATGGAAGGAAGCCAAAAGAGGAGTTGCAAGAAATTCAAACTTAGTTGCTAAGCTAGAAAGCAATGAAAGTGAAGATGAAAGCCACTCAAAAGACGTTAAAGAAATCAAAAGAATATCTGAACTTATTCTTTCTTTATTCGAAGCTCCTGTCTCAGCTGAAAAAATTGTTGACACCATTGAGAAAAGAAGAGTGAAAGCTATTGCAAGAGCTCTTGGACTTTCCATCTTAGGCAACTCAATGAGCTTATCGTCTATAAAAGAAACTTCACTAATAAGATCCTTTGTTGACTCTTTAAAACAAAACAATGTAAAATTCCATTATTGGGAAAATGTGGAAGGAATTGATTTAAGCCTATTAAAGTGTGTCCAAAAGTCATTTTATAGGATCTATGGGTACTTACAGAGGGAGCTGCTCAAATCCAAAACAGAAGCCATAGAAAGATCTTCATATTTCCATTACTTGGCTGTTTTAGATGCGTTATGCTTCTCATTAAAAGAGCCTGATAATCTTATGATAGTCGAGCAACAGTTCCCACTTATCATTTCTCTTTTATTGAATTGGTCTAAAGGCTATATAGGAGAAGAAGTTGAGACCAAATCATTCCTTTTGGGCCAGTGCATTACAGGATTCAAAATCTTGATAGAAGCTGATATTTTTGATGATGTTGATAAAATTCTCTTAGAAACCAGGGAAGGAGAAGGTCAGAATCTCTACTTGATTATTGAGCACAAAGGAGCACTTCCTATTGCCGATTTCCAAATCAGATCTGAAGAAATTGAAGGATATGAGAATTTAGGTCAGTTCACTCGAAATGGAGAATCCAAACATATTTTCATCAAAAAGAGCGAACCAAGTGCAAAGAACCAATTTCTTGTCAGTATCCAGGAGAGCCTTGAATGTGAATACAAGCCTTATTATGATTTATTAGGTGATGAATCAGAAGAAGAAAAGAAATTAAGAGAAACCCTTAAAGATAGATTATGTAGAACAGCATGGGCTGCTTATAAGCTTTTAGTCTTTAGTGCAGTTGGAGATGTAAGCCAAAGCAATCCAGTTGTCAAACAGACTGTCCAAGATTTATTTTTGAATTCAATTTTTAATGAATTAAAGTGAGATCAATCGCTATTGGAGGTGGGCTACTCAGGTCTAAAACTCAATGAAGTAGTTTCAGGGGAGTTGTGGGTAAATAAAATGAACACTGTCAAAGCTTTTAAAAAGAATCCAATGCAAGAGTGGATGAGGCAGTTTAATAAAGAGACTAAAAATCTAGGAGAATCCTTGCTGAAGGAAACGATTAACGATTTAGTTGCCAAAGCTGACCCTGCAATGAAAGGGGTTTTAACTCCTGCTGAAATTTCGAAACTTGATCCTGAGTGCTCAGAACTCCTTTCAAGCCAAGATGCTTACAAAAATTCTAAAGGAAATTTCGATTTCTTTAAATATATCAACGCAGTCCATGCTATGAAAGATACACTTTCTAAAGAAGATCAGTATTATATTGACCACTCCAAGATCTGGACTGAAATACCAGAAGATTTTGAGCAAGCAGCTATATCTTATGATTTTTGCAATATTGATACCATATATAAAAATATTGTTTCAAGGTTCAATCCAAAACATCAAGGAAAATCTTTCCAACAATTTTTTGATCTTTTCGAGTTAGCAGAAATTAAAGGCATTGTGCAGGGTGACAAAGTTCAAGAAAATTGCCCATCAGAATTCAAAAACGAAGAAGGCAATTTAGATTTGTATGTAGCAATGCATGCAATAGCTAAAGACCAGAACAAGTTTTTCGATTATTATCATGAGCTAAAGTGGGCTCTTCTCAAGTATGATGATCTTCCTAATAGCTGTTTAGAAGTATATAAAGAAAGAAAATCTGCAAGTGAATATATGACTTCTCTATTGTGGACAATTTATGGGTGCTTCGGATCGAGTACAATAGTGAGCCTCTTAGCTCGTGAAGAATATCTTGCAGAGCTCCTTAAAATTACTTACCTGAGCAGCGCAGAAAGCAACTTTGCCCTTAGCTCTCGCATTCTCAAAGCAATTCTTCCATCCCAGCACTCACCTCAAACACTAGGTGCAATCTGGGCTGCGCTTCCTCACTTTAAAAGCACAAGTACCGACTTTATCCAATTTTTGCTTATAAGAATTGGGAAAATGACTTACTGGTATGGCTTCAGAGATACAAAAAGCAAACTTTTCAGATGTGGCTATGAAGCAATTGTGCTTTTGAAAGAACTTATATACGTAGAAAAATGAAGAGACGAGGTGCTCACCACAATTATGGAATCCTTAAACGATGCTTGCCAAAACTTAAAAGACGGAAAAGCACTTCCTATGTATCAAGTTGGAGCAATCGAAGCTTTAGCAATTTTATCGAAGCAGGTTGATATTTTCGGAAACGATCCAATTGAGCTGGCTGAAGCAAAACTAATTAACTCTAAGATGACAAGATGCATCATAAGAGCAATTGATGGGGACACAGTAGCGATTTATTCTCCTATTACTGATGAGACAGTGTCAGTTAATGTAGAGTCAATTGCTTATTTAAGGACGATTAGCAACTTTAATGCCATGAAAATACTTAGCCAAGATGAACTGCAGAGCATTAAAGACTCAGCCATCAAATTGTGGTTTGCTTTAATTGACTGAGAATTTTTGAACTTCAATATTAAATCTGAGAGAATTGCTTCATTCAGGACCCTTTATACTCACTTAGAAAATGTGATTGTTAATACAAATACACTTATCTTAAAAAATAAAGATATTAGCGACAATGAAGGGGCAGACTTGTTGAGATCTATCATGAAGCATGCTAAAGCTGAAACTAAGGTCTTAGGAAATAAAGAAAAGAAGTTGCTTATTAAAAAAATTATAAAGACTATCGCAGAAAAATGCATTTATGAGGACGTTACAGATGAAGAAATAATAGAAGTTTTTACGAATGCTAGCGATAAAACTAAACACCTAATTGAAGAGCTGACAAAAGAAAATATTAAGACAATGATCATTGCTAAATGCCTTGACAAAGGAATCAAGGATAAAAATGAAATTTTAGAATTTGCTGGAAAAATAGAAAAGCCAAAATCAAGCTTATTATTCAAGCTTCAGCCAATTGAATCTTTAAATCTTGAAGCATCTGATATCGTTGGATACGCAGATATTTACCAAAATTCAAACGGTCAATTCGTGATAGAAAATAACAATTTCCCAACAGAAGGAAAAGAAATAACCACAATTCCTGATTCATCTGCATTCAGAAATACTACAAAGTTTATAGAATCTTTGACTATTCTAGCGCAGTTAGAAGGCGTTCACTATCAAAATCAGTTGTCATATGGTCTCAAACTTGGAGGAGTGGATATAGGAATTAGCACAAACTCTGGATCGCCAAGCTTTGAAGTCAATGGTACTGTTGTCTGTCCTACCAAACTTGATGAAGTATTAGCTGTTAGGATTTATTTAAATCCAAATGGAGAAATTAGAATAATTAATGAAAACACCAAAGAAAGCATTGATCTACAGGATACAACTGCATTTAACGGTCTTCAAATGGGAGCTTACGGACTTTATATGGAAGCTGGCACAAGAGCTTCATTGTTAACTTTTGAAGTATATGACGGTAAAAACAGCAAAACTGCACCAACTAAAGTTAATAAATTCAAAGATACTGAGACTTATAAGACAATTAAAGTCATTCAAACATCTGAAAACTATGATAGACTAAGACTAAAACTTTTAGGCTTGACTGAAGACCAAATAACTCAAGCGCTATCATCAGATAGAGACTTAAGGTCTAGCTTAGACTACATTTCTCAGAATTTCCCGAACGCTTTCCATAATATCCTTATCTCTCTAAATCAAGAAGTCATAACTGAGTTAAAACTAGTTAAAACAATTCGTGAAGTTCCTTATGGATTTAGAGCAGTTCCGATCTATGAAGATGGCAAACAAAAAGAGTTCAATATTCCAAGGAGAATGATTTTATGCGCTAAAACTGAGCAGTTCACGACTGGAAATGGGTGTTCAAGCATTGCTCTAGGCACAGAAGCTAAAGGCCATAAAGATTTAGGGAACTTTGACCCTGAAGACTATGCCAGTGACTCTTTGACTCACATCTGGGCAAGGCAAGGAAATATAGAAAAATCCTGCATAAAAGATGTCATTTTCATCAAATCTTCTTCAATGTACAACGTAAAAGTGCCATTTGGGTATAATATAATTAAAGATGACAAAGGCAATGCGATAAATCTTGGCCATAACTTAGGGAAGAAATCAGTCTTATTTTTAGCTGTAAAGATAAGTGATACTGCTTTGAATTGTGCGCTTACACCATTCAAGAAGATGATTTCATCTGGAAAGCCACTATGCGGATTATTAGAAACTGCAGAAAATACTGAAAGAAAAGTTAAAGAAGACTTTTTCGAAGCTCTCTCTATTCAAGAGCTCTTCAGCCACTTTTATGAGCTTATGGATTCCTCAAAGCAAGCCTCATACAAAAAACTTGCTCTAATGCTCATAAAAAAATGCCCAGCCTCTATTGCAACAATAACTGAAGAATTTAGCATCATTAAATTATTCGATTTCTTAGGAAGCTCTGTAAATAAAATTTCTAAAAAGATTGATAATTTACTGTCCCAAGACAATCCGAAATTCAAGGGCAAACTTTTCAAGGACTGCCTAGAAAGTATGCTTAGATGCCTGATCTATAGAGAAAAGCAAGAAGAATCATTGACTCCATTAACAGTTGAAAGCCCAAGCCACCCATATAAAAATTTCATGGATATAGATCAAGAAATCAGAATTCCTGGAGCTAAAAGTCTCAGTATTGTGTTTGATCCACAATGTGAGACTTGTCCTAATCAAGACCGTTTAACATTCTATAAGACTCCAGGCAAATATGATACGATCAAAATCATTTCAGGAAGAGGAGGAGAAACAAACTGGGCTCCATTTGAAGTAGAAGGAGAAGTTGTTTGTTTATTTTTCCGCCCTAATAGTGAATCAGCTAACTATTGGGGATATAAGTTTTATGTGATCCCTGAAAACCCACCTTCTGCAATTACATGAAATCCTTGGCCTGCAATGTGGGTGCTAAATAAGATTTCAAGCATGAGTCCAATGCCTAAAGAATTAATGGAAATAACGCACCCTAGATGTGTCCAGCCTATTTTCTTGCATTCTCTATCAGCAAGCACATTGGAATTGAAGCTTGACTCTGTAAGAATTTTGAATAAGATCATAAGAGATCAGAAAGGCCCATTGTTCAAAAATATTCTTAGCATCTTGGTTGCTCAAGCAAATGAGCTTCATAATGCTGTGAGCTCTAAAAAAGTAGAAAATAGTTTGATGCAAGCTACTGCAATGTTACTAGAAGATGCTTCACATAAATTCAAACTTACTGGAGAGGAGCCTTGATTTATGGAATTTTGTGAACTTGTTTCTGATATTAAAGGTCTAAGCGAAAAAGATGATTTGTTAGAAACTTTCTTATTCGAATCATTTAAGAAGAATCTTACTTGCAACCTCGGAAGCACTTATGAGTCCAAACATCCTTATGCTAGACAAACCACAAAAAAATTCATGCAAATTCCTGGTGCTTCTTTTATTAACATCGTCTTCGATTCAAATTCAAGTCTTGATCGAAGAGACACAGTTATTTTCAGCTATGATGAATATGGTAAGAAATTAGTCAAAGAAAATAAAATTGAAGCATCAACCACGAGATGGAGAAAAGAACCTTGTGGAAGGAAAGTCACTTTTTCAGAAGGAAGTGCGCAAGTTACCAGACTCAAAAGAACTGGATGGAGCAACGCAATTTGGTCTGAAGACTACTCGGACGGCACAGTTAGTATCAGATTCAAGATAACATCTGATGGAGGCTCTGAACATTGGTACATTGGAGTTTATAGGACTGAAAAGGATGTCTATGATTATGACCTAGATGAGTACATAGGATGCGACTGTCATCATGATGTATGGAGTTGGAAAAGAACTGGAGAATTTCACAAGAATGGATGGTCCAAAGATGGGTTCGAAGGATTTAAGGAGGGAGATGAAGTCACAATGTTTATTGATATGAACTTAAGAGAGCTGACTTTCTTTAATGGAACTATCGAAGTTTTCAAATTCACAGGGATTGCTTCTTCAGTCACCCCAGTGGTCTGCTTTGGCGCTTTGAATCAAGTCATTACTGTGCTCAGTGTTGAAAGAGTCGCTGGGTCCAAACCTCTTTCTGAAAGAAGTTTGGATATTATCGGAGACTCAGTCTATTTTTGGTTCCCAGTTCATAAAACTGGTATATCTTCTATAGGTGTATGACACAATTAAAATGGCGAGCCATCCGACCCGTCCTTCTCCTGTATCCTCAGGGACTACGGGGTTAAGAAGTAAACGGGGCCTGGATATTGTGTCCAGGGTGGGTTTTTTTACCTTGGTCGGGACACCACGACAAGGTTTTTTACCTCTCACAAAGACAAGAAGACCAGAGCCGCAGAATCAGGAGTCAAACTTCAGGACTAGAAGGAAAGTGAGGAAGCTTGTAGTGGAGCTTAGGGGACCTGAAGGAGATTCCGGGGGCTACTTTTCACCCTCCCCAGAAAGGACGGCGCCGGGTCACTAGACCCTGATCAAGGAGTACCTGGGTGAGTCTCCCTGTTAGATGGCGACGTCACCATTTTTTGGTGACGTCGACAGAAAATGGAGTGAGCTACAGAGCCGGTGCATAGGGCGCAAGCCTGAAGCTGGCAGCGCTGGGTAGAGGCTGAAATAAACCTCCATGACCCGCTAAACTAATTAATCTAATTAATCTAATCTATAGGTGTATAGTTTGCAAGAAATAGAATAGTTTAAATAATAGTCGTTCATTATTAGCAAATCTTCTTGAAATGGTATAATATTAAGCACGCATGGGAAAGCAATCAGAATGGAGCTGCACTCAACGCGGATAAAATGACTGTCACAAAGTCAACAAGTGATAAAACTTACCATGGAACTGAAGCTGAAATGAGACACGGCAAATACTACATCGAAGTCTCTGTTGAATCCAAAGGATCTGTAGGCGTTGGCTTTACTAACTCCTCCCCCTCCATGAGCGAACAAAAAACATAATCTTGTTCGCTTACGGAGAGGGGTTAAATTTTTAAAAATTTAAAAAATACCATTCGCAAAAATTGGAAATCAAATATTATTTTTTAATTTGTAAAATTTCTTTTTTAAAATGCAAGAAATTTAAAATTAAACAGAATTAGCTAAAGATTCATTATACTAATTATCACTTATAAACCAAAATTGTTTTTCAACAAAAAAACATTAAAAAATTTTTGTTAGTCCCGGGGTGACTTTGGGCAAAAAAGGGATTTCCTAATGCTTTTTTCGCTTACAGAGCGAGGGGAGTAAGAAGAGCTTGATCAATGCGAATACTATTGAAGAAAATGAGCAAACTATAATTTATTATAATAATGGAAAAATTAATAACGCTGACAGCGAGAGCTATGACCAAAACGACGTTATTGGGAGTTATATCGATTTTGATAAAAACCAAATTGCCTTTTATAAGAATGAAAAATTGTTAGACACTGTCCAAGTGGCTCTTAATATCGAAGACTCTGAAGACTGCTTCAAATTTATTGGTGTCTTATCAGAAGAAAACCAAAACTTATCAATCTGTAATACAGGAAAATACCCTGCTGGTGTTGATCTTATGAGAATTGACTTTGAACAAGAAAATAAATTTTGGGGCTATAAGTTCACTTTAACACCTAATTTCAAAGGAAGAAACACAAAACTTATTGATTCTTATTTGAGCTTTGCATCAGCTAGCGAAAGAGGAAATTGGAGAGAAAACTACAAGCCTACTTATTCAAAATTTTTCAAAGATGGAATAGCACAGCAGTTTATTGAATTTATGGATGGCTACCTGGATGTCAATTCAATTAGCTTCGATAGTATGCTGAACAACACTTCATTAAGCATTTCTACAGAAGAGTTAAGCTATTATCCAGACTTACAAAAATTATCAAAAGCAAAACTGTTTAATTTGAAAGAAATTTTGTTTAGCTTCTGCTCAAGATTCCAAAATTACTTTTATCTGTTCGATTTGCACACTGAAGCAGATGAGACAGAAAACTCTCTCATGAAGTTTATTAAGAAGGCTAAGTATTATTTATTGTCAAGATTCAAGAGGGAAAAACTGGAAAGTCATCTTGATGAGTCTAAAACTGACTGTAAAGTTGTAATTACTATCGATAAAGCTAAAGCACAAGAAATAAAAGCTAAAGGCGATGCTGATCATTCTGCAACTGCTTCAATATTTAGTCAAATAAGCAGAGCCTTGGGAGCATCAGCAAATAAAACTCTTAGACATCCTGCAAGAATGTTCAAATTTGCATACAAGCCAGAAGGAATCCAAGATGATGCAGGTAAGTATAATGAATTATTGATAGAACTTTCTAAAGAGCTTCAATCTCCAATACTTCCGCTTTTGATCCCATCTCAAAATAACGTCCTTAACGTAGGCAATGGAAGAGATAATTGAATTATCAATCCAACCTCCACTCTCCCAGCTCATATGCACCTATTCAATACTCTTGGAAAATTCTTCGGTTCTGCAATCCGTACCAAGCAAAGGCTGAGACTTTCGCTCCCTATTATTGTATTTAAGCATCTTCTATACGAAAGCAATTCATGACATCATGAAACGCCAGTAGCGACAAGATAACTCAAAATTTTTGCCGGAAAAATAAAAAACTAGCAGAAAGGCCACGGGGTTGCAGGTGACAGAATTCCGGGTGGGTGTGGTCTGGGCTAACTGAACCTCCCTCAACCCACAGACAAGAAGGCCAGCGGCGCAACACCATTTGGTGACATCGACAGAAAAGGGCGTTAGGTGGCTTTAGTGATGATCGCCAAATGAGCGTAAAGCTTAAGCTCAACTGGATCAGGGGCTGAAATAAACCCCGTTTAACCCTCTCTAATCTAGTCTCTCTCTATACGAAGACGTCACAACTGAAGATTTAAGAGACTTTGATTTCCCACTCTACAAGTTTTTGCATAAATTAAGGAACCTTGAAGCCTGTGGAATTACTTCGGAAAACTTCGGCCAGCACATTTCTGAGAAGTTTATAGTAAAATAAGGAGAAGAAGTTGTGGAACTTTGTGAAGACGGAGCCAATATTGACGTTACTTTTGAAAATGTTGGCCACTATGCTGATCTATTAGAGAAGCACAAATTATTTGAAAATCCTAAAGCTTATGATTCTATAAGGAAAGGTATGGCTGCTGTTATTCCTATTGATAAATTGAACCTATTCACAGCTGCTCAACTACGTGAACTCATATGCCTGAATCAAGAAGTTTATTTAGAAGTCTTAGAAGAAAACACCGTTTATGAGAACTGCAGAAGAACAGACCCGCACATTGAAAACTTCTGGGGAGCAATTAAATCATTAAAAGAAAGTGAGCGTGCCAGATTTATTGATTATATTGCTCGAAGGTCTAAGATTAATGAGTGGGATTGGCCTCTTAAGTTTACAATAGCCAAGCACAGTAAATCCGGAGCAGTGAATACATTGGTTCCTATTGTCGACAATACTATATTCAGACTTGAGCTGCCAGCTTATACATCTCTAGAAGTCATGAAAGAGAAGATCATATATGCGATTGTCCACAATAACAAGTTTGATGATTTAGACATTAATATTTAAGATAATCAGCATTCAAATTAAAATTAGGTTTAATTAAATATATTATATTTTAACGCATAATATTAAATTTATATTTTTTATTTGGAATGTATATATTTTTAAAACATTTAATCATCCCCTTCCTCTCTTTTTTATTATGCAATCTAAGTGCTTTTAGAAAAGGATTTTTATAATTATTTAGGAACAAAATGCACATCCCATCAGTTCCAGATCTTTTAATATTTGGATGGATGAATATTGGATTAGTCTGCAACCTAAATGCTTTACAAGATTTAAGCCACTTTCTGTTCTAAAGGATTTGGATGTCATCCTTTATTTGGTTAATTTTACTTTTATTAGAAAAGATAATATCATTCAGATTGCAGAATTAAATTCTCAAAAGATAGTGTATCCATTTATAAGATGCAGAAGTATGGCCTATGGATAATATTATCTTATTTTTATAGTAAATACAGTATTAGCGAGCATTTAAAGAATTAAAATTACAAGATATTATATTATTTTGAATTCTTTTTACTTACTCTGTCATTTTTAAAATTTTATGGAAATCAGAACAGATTTTATTATATGCATACATCATCCATTTTTCTCTTAAGGATAATAATTTATTGTAACGCAGCTATCACCTTTGCAGCCGTATATCAGACCTATCTCCTGAAGCCCTAGAAAAAGAGCTGAAAGGAGATTTAAATATTCTGCTTAAAAGACTTTAAAAACATTTAACAGATTTATTATCATCTATATTTAGACCATTTTCAGTCATCACTAATAATTAATGGGTAACGCAGCCACCAGCATAGCAACTCGTGTATCAGGTTTAACTTCTGAAGCTCTAGAAAATGAGCTGAAGGGAGATCTGAGCATTCTTGGTGACCAAAAACTTTTTTCGATTATAGTTATCTATTTGCTCGAGAGGACCTCAATAATTATCATCTCCCAAGTTCATCATCATCTGCCTTAGCCAATCTTGAAGACCTGAACTGCATAAATGAAGAGCAAATGATGTGCAGCATGGAAGATAAAAGCTTTATCAACGAAAGGCACACAAAAGTCATCCAAGGCTTACTGAATGAAATTGACGTACGTAGAGGGGAAGACTCAAGCTCAGCTGAGGTGACGAAAAAACTTCAATTCCTGAGCAGAACTTATGAAGCTCTACTTAGAATGGATGAGCGCGAAAAAAGAAAATCAAAGCCATTAGCTTCAAAAACTAAAGAAATCCTCAACCCAATTGCCAAATTAGAGCTATTTTTTGGCCTGCCTTCATTGCTTGGGATAATTAAGGTTTTAGGCTCTGATAAACCTGGACTTTATAAGACTGTTATAGAAGCTGCTTCAGGTATAGTTCTTGGTTTAAGCCCAATGGCACTATATGATAAAGACCCTTCTATCTCTCAAGCAGTTTTATCAGTTCTTACATTTGTCAACTCAATGATAAGAAGAGAGCTCCCAAATATCCAAGAGGAAGACATAAATGCCTGCTATTCAATTCTTTTTGGGCTTTATATAGCTACAGGGAATGTGTGTACCGCTTTAGCATTAGCTTTAGCATTTGCCAATTTGGACCCAAGTCAAGACTATTCTCCAATTTATAAACAAATTTTCCCTATGCTAACAAACTTTAAGTTCTTAAAAATAAGTGATTCTTTTGCTTGGGATACTCAAAAGAAAGCGAAAGAATTACTCCCTATTGGTTAGCAAAAAAGGATTCTAAAAAATTCATAATTTTAAAGAAATAATTCATTTATTTAACTCCCCCACTTTGTGAACGAACAAAACCATTAGAAAAATCCAAAACTCCACTTTTCATGAGTGAATAAAATTGTTTTAATAGAAAATTTTTTTTTATGGCAAAAATTTAATATGCAAGTGATAATTATTATAATGAAATATCTAGGCAATTCTGTCTAATTTAAACAAATTATGTTTTAAAACATAAATTTTACAATTTAATTTAAATATTTGCTTTCCAATTTTTGCGAATTGGTAATTTTTTAAAAAAAAATTACTATAAATTTATGTATGGATTTTTAAAAGAAAATTAACCCTCCATGAGCGAACAAAAAACTTTTTGTACTCTCACTAAGAGGGAGTAAGAATAAAAATGTTTATTATATCTTTTTGTCCAAACTATATCTTGATATATAAAAAGGGATTAAAATAATAAAATCTCAAGCAAGTTATATAAATAGCTAAAACATAAATCTAATTAAATTAGATATTTACTTCAAATAATTATCAGAATTATCAAGCAAAGAATTTTTGCTCATTAGCCAAGTAGAGAAGTTAGAAATCAAAAGCGATGAGCCAGATTTTTTAATCAGTACAACTTTAGGTCAATGGGCAACTGTTCTTTCAGCAGAAGCTTGGACAAAAGGGGCTCACTATTTTGAGATGATTTGGATTGAAGGTGAAGATGACAGAGTTTACTATGGAGTTTGTAATAGATATTATTCTGACCTCAACAGACCACCTATAAAAAAAAAATCGTGTGCTCTCTATTATCAGCCTAACGGAAGTATAGGCAAAGTTAGAATGGAATTGTACACCTTCGAAAGATATGTAGTCGGGGACAAGATTGGACTTTTGCTGGATATGGAAGAGCGCACTGTTCTTTTCTTCCATAATGGAAAAGAAGACCCCAATGGACCTATTAAAGATCTCCCTGAAATTATGAAACTTTTTATGAGCGTTAGTGAAAACGGCAAATACAAAATCATCTATAATCCCCTAGATATGCCAAAAATTGCTCGCATAAAAGTTGAAAACTATAGAAAAAGGTCTAATGTAGAAGTGAAGCTTGAAGATTTAAGCATCATTGACAGAGCTATCACAACTGGAGAAATGGCTGATGAGTATCTCGAAATGAAGCCTATTGAGCTCACGCACTATATTCTTAAATCGCTTGACGTCTCAAATTCCGATATCATAGAAAAATTAGAAAATATAGAGAAAAAGGCGAATGTTGAAAAAATTTGGCTTTTCCTTGACATCAAGAATGAAACTGTCGAAATTTTAGAAAAATTGGCTTTGATTTGTATTGAAAAAATTCACTCAGAAAATGTCGAAAGAGAATCGAAAGAAATTTATTTAGAAATGCTCGTTTATGTCCTAAAACTCACCAGATCGCACTTAATTGGGTCGAGCATGATCCCAAATGTAACTTTAGAAAGACAGCTAAGAACAAGAATTATGAAAATCGCTATTGATCTAATAACTAGCATGCCAGGGTCCAAGGCTTGTGAAGAAGCCACAAAAATTGTGACATCGTGCTTTTCTGTCTTTTATAAGGACCCAAAGGAGAAATTGTCTTACTTACTAGATAGACTTAAAGATCAAATGGACGGAGTTGAGATATCAGGTATCCTTAAAGAGCTTGAAGATAGAATTTTCCTTGAAATGGCTCAACCAGAAAAACTTTTCCCAGCCTTAGAGCTTATTAATGACGAGTCTCAGCATTTAGTGGAAACTTATTTCAAGTACTTGATTGAGCTTTCTTCAGAAATTTCCAAGAAACTTGTAAGAGGAGAAGAGACATCTATTGGAGTTTTGAAACTTCTTGAAACAAGTCAAATTGTTTTGTTCGGTCAAGCTGCTAAGTCTAACTTCAAAGGAAAATGGCAAGAAATCTTAATGAACTACTCATTAAGTGTTTTCCAGAAGTGTGAAGAAGTTTTTCATATTGTAAAAGCAAAAGAAAAAGGGTCTACATTGTCAGATGAACTCACAAACACTTTAAGAAAAACTATACTTGCAGATTTATTAGAAACTCTTCTTTACATGTTGGTTTTAACCAGAATGAGCCTTGATTTCTTACTCCCCCTCCGTGAGCAAACAAAACCATTAGAAAAATCCATATTTTTTGACCAAAAACCCGCCCTCCATGATCGAACAAAAATATTTTATGGGAAAAAAATGATATATAAGTGATAATTAGTATTACGAAATCTATGGCTAATTTTGTTTAATTTTAAACAAATTGCGTTTTAAAACATATTTTACAAAATAAATTAATATTTGCTTTCCAATTAAGATTTTTTAAAATTTCATAAATTTATATATAAATTATTTTAAAAAAGAAATTAACCCCTCTCCATGAGCGAACAAGATTTTTTTGTTCGCTCATGAGGGAAAGGAGGTAGCAAAAATTTTGCTAGTTTTGCAGAGCATCACAACATCTCTACAACACTTTGACCCAAAGCCAAAAATCCTAAATAAATGCTGAACTCTAGCTGTAGGAGATGCTTTTGAAAGTAGTCACAAATACCAAACAGATTATTTTATTACCCACAAGGTAAAGATCCCTGGAGCAAGAAAATATTATTTGGTCTTTGATCCTAAATGCAAAACCGAAAGATATCAAGATTATTTAGAGCTTTGGGAAGACGATAATAAAAAAGGAAACCTCTTTAGATGGGATTAGGATTAGGATTAGGATTATTAAAGTCAGGCAATAGCCATATTCGCGGTACAGTCGCCAAAGAACTCCTGTACGGGAGGTTCTACCGCTTTTCGGCTCCAGCCAGAGGGTCTATCCCTCTTGTGAGTGCCCTCAGCACCTTCTGTATCTCCTTGCCTTGAGAATTCAGTCTTGAGTGGGCGGCTTATGGATTTCTACGGCCCTGCTACAGGCGATTGGAGTAGCTTGATTCCAAGGATCATTGGAGTCTGTCGGGTGCCGAATAACTTCCTTCAGCAGCTACAGGAAAAAGACTGTTCCCCTATGGCCTGGGCCGAAACCCCAGCTTCTCGTTAGAGGAGTGCCAATGAGTCTTTGGATCCAAAGGGCATTGCTGAGCGCCTCCATTTCCAACCACAGTAAAGCAGCAAAAACCTACCCGGATACACACCTCTTGAGCCTGCACTTAGTTCTCGGCTCGGAGTCCTTCCGAATTCACAGTAGCCATAAGGTCTGGACTGCTGCGCCAAGAGGGCAGGTTTACACGTGTCACCATTTTAATGTATGTGCTCTTCAGCTGGGAAGGAGAAAATTTCCCAAAGAATGGAAAAAGAATTGAAGTAAATATCCCTTATTTGTTCTTCACATTCTACTCAAGATACTTTTCCACGTGGGGCTGGAAAATTGATATTTTCGGTGAAGTGCAAGCTGAATATTATACTAACTCCCCCTCCATGTGCAAAAGAAACCATTGGAAAAATTATTTTACCCAAAAATCCATCTTCCGTAAGCAAACAGAAATATTTTGCTAAACTTTTTTATGAAAAAAAAACATTTATAAGTGATAATAAATATCATCAAATCTCTTGCTAATATTGTCTATTTTAAACATTTTGTTTTTACAATTTTTACGAATTGGTTTTTTAAATTTGAAAAAAAAGATTTACTAAAATTTTTACATATAAATTTTAAAACAAAAAATTAACCATAAGCGAGCAAAATTTTTTGATTGCTCAAAGAGAGGGGAAGTAAAGAATGGCCAGATACCATAAAAGATGCAGCAGGGTTTTTGGTTAGATTTATCTACGTAAAATTGGTTTCTGGAGAATTTGAGGCAACACCAGAAGATGAAGAAGCGAGAGATTTACTTCAAAACCCATTGCTTAAATACGGAATTTCTGATAAGACTTTATCACTTTTTAAGTCTCAAAATCCTATCCCAGATAGTCTTATCACCCTTGCCCAAGTGCCTGGAATTGGAGAAAAAATTAAGCCTAAGATGCTAAATCAGTTTATTAGAAGCGATCCTACTAAAAAGCTGGTATGCAATAATAAATCAGAGCTGACGTTGCAAGAGTATATTGACTCTTTTGGAAAATGGGGAGATGCAAAGTATTCTGACAATCAGTTTATCAATGATTTCATTGAAGGGGATAGCAAAATTGGAAGAGATTGGAATGCCCTGAAAACTTTGAGCGGAATTAGCGAAGAAGATTCAGCACTTGGAGGATCTGAATTTGATAAAGCAGAAAGAGCCATTTTCGCTGTTTATCTAGCTATCTTCGAATTCGCTGAGACTTTTAAAAACCTTCTTCAAGATCCTATAAGTGTTGGATCTACAGTAAAATACCTCGTAAAAGATGCAGTCAAATATAGAAAGTGGGCTGAGAAATACATCCAAAAATTGAAAGAAACTGTATCTATGACCTTTGAAGAAGTCTCTAATTCTCCGTATAGTTAGTAAAGCCATCAGAAAAAACCTGATTTTAGAAAAATTAGAATTCCTAATTATCAAGCAAAATTTATATAAAATTTATATAAAAATTTTGAATAGATATTTTGATATATAATTAATTATTATTTTAATAATCAGATATGCTAATTCTATAAATTTTTAAAAAATTGCATTATAAAATATAAAATTTTTTAATTAAATTAATTTTTCAAACAATCTTTCAAATTAATCTTAAAAGCAAATTAATGAGTAAAAATTCTTGCATGCAAAGCTGGAGGTAGAGTAAAGATGTTGTATTTAAATGCGCTTTATTAATCAATTCACAGCATACTCAAGGCTTAAATGAGCTTGGGATTACTAAAACAATGAAATATTTGGTAGTAAATGTAGTCCAAGAAGCCAGTACTTCTAAAATGAAAAGAAATGAAAGCAAATGGAAGGAAGTCAAAGAAGGAGTTGCAGTAGATTCAAGCTTAGTTGTTAAGCTAGGAAGGAATGAAAGCGAAGACGAAAGCCACTCAGAAGACGTTAAAGGAATCAAAAAAATATCTGAGCTTATTTTTTCGTTATTCGAAACTCCTGTCTCAGCTGAAAAAATTGTGGACACCATTGAGAAAAGAAGAGTGAAAGCTATTGCAAGAGCTCTTGGACTTTCCAGCTTAGGAAACTCAATGAACTTATCGTCTAGAAAAGAAACTTCACTAATAAGATCCTTTATTGACTCTTTAAAACAAAACAATATAAAATTCCATTATTGGGAAAATGTGGAAGGAATTGATTTAAGCCTATTAAAGTGTGTCCAAAAGTCATTTTATACCATCTATGGATACTTGCAGAAAGAGCTACTCAAATCAAAAACAGAAGTCATAGAAAGACCTTTATACTCCCATTACTTGACTATTTTAGATGCGTTATGCTTCCCATTAAAAGAGTCTGATAATCTTATGATAGTCGAGCAACAGTTCCCACTTATCATTTCTCTTTTATTGAATTGGTCTAAAGGTTATATAGGAGAAGAAGTTGATACCAAATCATTCCTTTTGGATCAGTGCATTACAGGATTTAAAATCTTGGTAGAAGCTGATATCTCTAAAGATGTTGATAAAATTCTCTTAGAAGCCAGAGAAGGAGAAGGCCAGAATCTCTATTTAATTATTGAGCACAATGGAGCAATTCCTGTAGTCGATTTCCAAATCGCATCTGAAGAAATTGAAGGATATAACAATTTAGGCCAGTTCACTCGGAATGGAGAATCCAAACATATTTTCATCAAAAAGAGCGAACCAAGTGCAAAGAACCAATTTCTTGTCAGTATTCAGGAGAGCCTTGAATGTGAATACAAGCCTTATTATGATTTATTAGGTGATGAATCAGAAGATGAAAAGAAATTAAGAGAAACCCTTAAAGATAGGTTATGCAGAACAGTATGGGCCGCTTATAAGCTTTTAGTCTTTAGTGCAGCTGGAAATGTAAGTCAAATTAATTCAGTTGTCAAACAGACTGTCCAAGATCTGTTTTTAAATTCGATTTTTAATGAATTAAAGTGGGATCAATCGCTATTGGAGCTGGGCTACTCAGGTCTAAAGCTCAGCGAAGTAGTTTCAGGGCAGTTGTGGGTAAATAAAATGAACACTGTCAAAGCTTTTAAAAAGAATCCAATGCAAGAATGGGTGAGGCAGTTTAATAAAGAGACTGAAAAACTAGGAGAATCCTAGCTGAAGGAAACGATTAACGATTTAGTTGCCAAAGCTGACCCTGCAATGAAAGGGGTTTTAATTCCTGCTGAAATTTCGAAACTTGATCCTGAGTGCTCAGAACTCCTTTCAAGCCAAGATGCTTACAAAAATTCTAAAGGAAATTTCGATTTCTTTAAATATATCAACGCAATCTATGCTACGAAAGATACACTTTCTAAAGAAGATCAGTATTATATTGACCACTCCAAGATCTGGACTGAAATACCAGAAGATTTTGAGCAAGCAGCTTTATCTTATGATTTTTGCAATATTGATACCATATATAAAAATATTGTTTCAAGGTTCAATCCAAAACATCAAGGAAAATCTTTTCAACAATTTATCGATCTTTTCGAGTTAGCAGAAATTAAAGGCATTGTGCAGAGCGATAAAGTTCAAGAAAATTGCCCATCAGAATTCAAAAACGAAGAAGGCAATTTAGATTTGTATGTAGCAATGCATGCAATAGCTAAAGATCATAATAGGTTTTTCGATTATTATCATGAGCTGAAGTGGGCTCTTCTCCAGTATGATGATCTTCCTAATAGCTGTTTAGAAGTATATAAAGAAAGAAAATCTGCAAGTGAATATATGACTTCTCTATTGTGGACAATTTATGGGTGCTTCGGATCGAGTACAATAGTGAGCCTCTTAGCTCGTGAAGAATATCTTGCAGAGCTCCTTAAAATTACTTTCCTGAGCAGCGCAGAAAGCAACTTTGCCCTTGGGTCTAGCATCCTCAAAGCAATTCTCCCATCCCAGCACTCACCTCAAACACTAGGTGCAATCTGGACTACGCTTCCTGACTCTGAAAGCACAAGCACCGACTTTTTCCAATCTTTGCTTAAAAGAATTGGAAAAATGACTTACTGGTATGGCTTCAGAGATACAAAAAGCAAACTTTTCAGATGTGGCTATGAAGCAATTGTGCTTTTGAAAGAATTCATGAACATAGAAAGATGGAGAGGCGAGATACTCACCACAATTATGAAATCATTAAACGATGCTTGCCAAAACTTAAAGGACGGAAAAGCACTTCCTATGTATCAAGTTGGAGCAATCGAAACTTTAACAATTTTATCGAAGGAAATTGATATTTTTGGAAACGATCCAATTGAGCTGGCTGAAGCTAAACTGATTGATTCTAGGATGACAAGATGTATTATAAGAGCAATTGATGGGGACACAGTAGCGATTTATTCTCCTGCCACTGATGAGACGGTGTCAGTTAATGCAGAGTCCATTGCTTATTTAAAGACGATCAATAACTTTAATGCCATGGAAATGCTTTGCCAAGATGAACTGCAGAACATTAAAGACTCAGCTATCAATTTGTGGTTTGCTTTAATAGACTCAGAATTTTTGCGCTTCAATATTAAATCTGAGAGAATTGTTTCATTCAGAACTCTTTATGTTCACTTAGAAAACATTATTGTTAATATAATTACACTTATCTTAAAAAATAAAGATATTAGTGACAATGAAGGAGCAGACCTATTAAGATCCATCATGAAGCATGCTAAAGCTGAAACTAAAGTCATCGGAAATAAAGAAAAGCAGTTACTTATTAAACAAATTGTAAAGACAATCGCAGAAAAATATATTTATGACGACTTTACAGATGAAGAAATAATGGAAATGTTTTCGAATGCTAGCGATAAAACCAAACGCCTAATTGAAGAATTGACAAAAGAAAATATTCTGACAATGATCATCGCTAAGTGTCTTGACAAAGGAATCAAGGATAAAAATGGGATTTTAGAATTTGCTGGAAAAATAGAAGAGCCAAAATCAAGCCTACTATTCAAGCTTCAGCCAATTAAATCTTGAAGCCTTGAAGCATTCGATATCGCTGGATACGCAGATATTTACCAAAATTTAAATGGCCAATTCGTGATAGAAAATAACAATTTCCCAACAGCAAGAAAAGAAATAAGGACAGTTCCAGACTTATCTGTATTCAGAAATACTACAAAATTTGTAGAATCTTTGACTATTCTAGCGCAGTTAGAAGGCATTCACTATCAAAATCAGTTGTCATATGGTCTCAAACTTGGAGAAGTGGATATAGGAATTAGCACAAACTCTGGACTCCCAAGCTTTGAAGTCAATGGTAGTGTTGTCTATCCTGCCAGGCTTGATGAAGTATTGGCTGTTAGGATTTATTTAAATCCAAATGGAGAAATTAAAATAATTAATGATAACACCGGAGAAACTACTGATCTGCAGAATATAACTGCATTTGACGGTCTTCAAATGGGAGCTTATGGACTTTATATGGAAGCTGGCACAAGAGCTTCATTGTTAACTTTTGAAGTGTATAACGATAAAAACACCAAATCTGCACCAGCTAAAGTTGATAAACCTAAAGATGCTGAGACATATAAAACAATCAAAGTCATTCAAAAATCTGACAACTATGATCGGCTAAGACTAAAACTTTTAGGCTTGACTGAAGACCAAATAACTCAAGCTCTATCATCAGACAGAGACTTAAGGTCTAGCTTAGACTACATTTCTCAGAATTTCCCGAACTCTTTCCATAATACCCTTATCTCTCTAAATCAAGAAGTCATCACTGAGTTAAAACTGGTTAAAACAATTCGTGAAGTCCCTAATGGATTTGCAGTAGTTCCGATCTATGAAGATGGCAAGCAGAAAGAGTTCAATATTCCAAATAGAATGATTTTATGCGCTAAAAAAGAGCAGGTGACTACTGGAAATGGGTACTCAAGCATTGCTCTAGGCACAGAAGTTAAATACTATACAGATTTAGGGAACTTTGATCCTGAAGACCAAGCAAGTGACTCTTTAACTCATATCTGGGTAAAGCAAGTGGAAATAAAAAATTCATGCATAAAAGATATCATTTTCATCAAATCTTCTTCAATGTACAATGTAAAAGTGCCATTTGGCTATAAGATAATTCAAGATGGAGATGGCAATGCGATAAATCTTGGCCATAACTTATGAAAGAAATCAGTTTTATTTTTAGCTGTAAAGATAAGTGATACTGCTTTGAACTGCGCGCTTACACCATTTAAGAAGATGAATTCATCTAAAATGCCACTATGCGGATTATTAGAAACTGCAGAAAATACCGAAAGAAAATTTAAAGAAGCCTTTTCGAAGCTCTCTCTATTCAAGAGCTCTTCAGCCACTTTTATAAGCTTATGGAATCCTCAAAGCAAGCCTCATACAAAAAACTTGCTCTAATGCTCATCAAAAAATACCCAACCTCTATTGTAACAATAGCTGAGGAATTCAGCATCATCAAATTATTCTATTTCTTAGGAAGTTCTGTAAATAAAATTTCTAAAAAAATTGATACTTTACTGTTCCAAGACAATCCGAAATTCAAGGACAAGCTTTTTAAGGACTGCCTAGAAAGGATGCTTAGATGCTTGATCTATGCAGAAAAGCAAAGAGGATTATTGGCTCCATTAACAGTTGAAAGCCCAAGCCACCCATATGATACTAACATGAATTTAGATCAAGAAATCAGAATTCCTGGAGCTAAAAAGCTCTTTTTTGTGTTTGATCCACAATGTAAGACTAAAAATTATGGAGAACCTTTAACATTCTATATGAGCCCAGGAAGAGTTGATGAAATCAGAAGCTTTTCAGGAGGAGATAAAAGGCTCTGGACTCCATTCGAAGTTGAAGGAGAAGTTGTTTATTTACATTTCCAGTCTGCTAAATCAGGTAGCTTATGGGGATATAAGTTTGATGTGATTCCTGAAAACCCAGTTTCTCTAGTTACAGAAAATCCTTGGCCTGCAATGTGGTTGCTAAATAAGATTTCAAGCATGAATCCAGTACCTATGGAATTTATGGAAATAACTCACCCTAGATTTGTTCAGCCTATATTCTTGCATTCTCTATCAGCAAACACATTGGAATTGAAGCTTGACTCTATAAGAATTTTGAATAAGATTATAAGAGATCAGAAAGGCCCATTGCTCAAAAATATTCTTAAGATCTTGGTTGCTCAAGCAAATGAGCTTCATAATGCTGTGAGCTCTAAAAAAGTAGAAAATAGTTTGATGCAAGCAACTGCAAGGCTGTTAGAAGATGCTTCACATAAATTCCAACTTACTGGAGAGGAGCCTTGGTTTATGGAATTTTGTGAACTTGTTTCTGATATTAAAGGTCTAAGCGAAAAAGATGGACTGCTAGAAACTTTCTTATTCGAATCATTTAAGAAGAGCGTTACTTGCAACATCGGAAGAACTTATGAGTCCAAACACCCTTATATCAGACAAACCACAAAAGAATTCATCCAAATTCCTGGTGCTTCCTTTATTAGTATAGTCTTCAATTCAAATTCAAGTTTTGACCCAAGAGACACAGTTATTTTCAGCTATGATGAATATGGTAAGAAATTAGTCGAAGAAAATAAATTTGAAACAACAACTACGAGATGGAGAAAAGAACCTTGTGGAAAGAAAGTCTCTTTTTCAGAAGGAACTTCCAAAGTTACCAGAGTCAAAGGAAGCGGATGGGGCAACGCAATTTGGTCTGAAAATTACTCTGAAGGCACAGTGAGTATCAAATTCAAGATAGAATCTGATGGAGACTCTGAGTATTGGTACATTGGAGTTTATAGGACTGCAAAAGATGCCGAATATTATGACCTAAATGAGTACATAGGATGCTACTGTCCTCATGATGTATGGAGTTGGAAAAGAACTGGTGAATTTCACAAGAAAGGGTGGTTCAAAGATGGGTTCGAAGGATTTAAGGAGGGAGATGAAATCACAATGTTTATTGATATGAGCTTAAGAGAACTGACTTTCTTCAATGGAACTCTTGAAGTCTTCAAGTTCACGGGGATTGCTTCTTCAGTCACTCCAGTGGTCTCCTTTGGTGCTTTAAATCAAGTCATTACTGTGCTCAGTGTTGAAAGAACGTCTGGGTCAAAACCTCTTTCTGAAAGAAACTTAGATATTATAGGAGACTCAGTCTATTATTGGATTCCAGTTCATAAAACTGCTATATCGTCAATAGGTGTATAGTTTGCAAGAAATAGAATAGTTTAAATAATAGTCGTTCATTATTAGCAAATCTTCTTGAAATGGTATAGTATCAAGCACGCATGGGACAGCAACCAGAAAGGAGCTGCACTCAACGCGGATAAAACAACTGTCACAAAGTCAACAAGTGATAAAAGTTACCATGAAACTGAAGCTGAAATGAGACACGGCAAATACTATATCGAAGTCTCTGTTGAATCCAAAGGATCTGTAGGTGTTGGCTTTACCAAGAAGAGCTTAATCAATGCGAACACTATTGAAGGAAATGAGCAAACAATAATTTATTATAATAATGGAAAAATTAATAACGCAGACAGCGTGAGCTATGACCAAAACGACATCATTGGGAGCTATATCGACTTTGATAAAAACGAAATTGCCTTTTATAAAAATGATGAATTGCTAAACACTGTCCAAGTGGCTCTTAATATCGAAGACTCTGAAGACTGCTTCAAATTTATTGCTGCTTTATCGGAACAAAACCAAAACTTATCAATCTGTAATACAGGAAAATACCCTGCTGGTGTTGATCTTATGAGAATTGACTCTGAAGAAGAAACTGAATTCTGGGGCTATCAGTTCTCCTTAACACCTAATTTCAAAGGAAGAAACACCAAATTTATTGATTCCTATTTGAGCTTTGCATCAGCTGTAGACAGAGAAAATTGAAGAGAAAACTACAAGCCTACTTATTCAAAATTTTTCAAAGATGGCATAGCACAGCAGTTTATTGAATTCATGGATGGCTACCTAGACGCTAATTCAATTAGTTTCGACAGTATGTTGAGCAACACTTCATTGAGTATTTCTCCAGAAGAGTTAATATATTATCCAGACTTACAAAAATTATCAAAAGCAAAGCTGTTTAATTTGAAAGAAATTTTGTTTAGCTTCTGCTCAAGATTCCAAAATTACTTTTATCTGTTCGATTTGCACACTGAAGCGGACGAGCTAGAAAACTCTCTCATGAAGTTTATTAAGAAGGCCAAGTATTATTTATTATCAAGATTCAAGAAGGATAAATTGAAAAACCATCTTGATGAGTCTAAAACTTTCTGCAGAATTGAAATTACTATCGATAAAGCTAAAGCACAAAAAATAAAAGCTAAAGGGGATTCTGATCATTTCGCAACTTCTTCAATGTTTGGTCAAATAAGCAGAGCCTTGGAAGCAGCACCAAATAAAACTCTTTGAAATTATCAAAAAATGTTTAATTTTGCATATAAGCTAGAAGGAATTCAAGAATTTGATAGCATGTATAATGAATTATTGACAGAACTTTCTAAAGAGCTTCAATCTTTATTACTTCCACTTTTGATCCCATCTCAAAATAACGTCCTTAATGTTGGCAATGGAAGAGATAATTGAATGATAAATCCAACCTCCACTCTCCCAGCTCATATGCACCTATTCGCCACTCTTGGAAAATTCTTCGGTTCTACAATCCGTACAGGAAAAAGGCTGAGACTTTCACTCCCTATTATTTTATTTAAACATCTTCTATACGAAAACGTCACAACTGAAGATTTAAGAGACTTTGACTTTCCACTCTACAAGTTTTTGCATAAATTAAGAAACCTTGAAGCCTATGGAATTACTTCTGAAAACTTCGGTCAGCATATTTCTGAGAAGTTTATAGTAAAATATGGTGAAGAAATTGTGGAACTTTTTGAAGACGGAGCCAATATTGACGTAACTTTTGAAAATGTTGGCTACTATGCTGATCTATTAGAGAAGCACAAATTATTTGAAAATCCTAAAGCTTATGATTCTATAAGGAAAGGTATGGCTGCTGTTATTCCTATTGATAAATTGAACCTATTCACAGCTGCTCAACTACGTGAACTCATATGCCTGAATCAAGAAGTCAAATTAGAAGTCTTAGAAGAAAACACTGTTTACGAGAATTGCTTAAGAACAGATCCGCATATTGAAAACTTCTGGGGAGCAATTAAATCATTAAAAGATAATGAGCGTGCCAAATTTATTGACTATATTGCTAGAAGGTCTAAGCTTGTTGAGTGGGATTGGCCCCTTAAATTCACAATAGCCAAGCACAGTAAATCCGGAGCTGTTAATGCATTGGTTCCTATTATCAACAATGTTATATTCAGACTTGAGCTGCCAGCTTATACATCTCCAGAAATCATGAAAGAGAAGATCGTATTTGCGATTTCCCACAATAGCAAGTTTGATTCTTTAGACATTAACATTTAAGATCATGGACATTCAAATTAAAATTAGATTTAATTCAACTAATTATATTTTAACGGCAAAATTATGTCTCATTTATCTTTTTATTTAGGGATGAGCTAAATTGTTGGATAATAAACTTCACTAGCATTCAATTTCTTATTCGCTAAAATAATTTTTCTCCATATCATTCTATTGAGACCTTTGTGATCTGATTTATTAGACAATCAAAAGTTAAACGTTATCGGAAAGCGCACACAAATGACGAAAATCAGGTTTAATTTATTTTTTAAAGTCTAGAACTAGCTTATTTATAGTATGTAAAACTCTCAAATATTTGGGAAATTTTTGATCAACAGGTTTTAATTAATTAAAACCTGTTGATCAAAAATTATAGCATGCATTAAGCTAAAATTATTAAGGCCTTACTTGCCCATTCACTAAAATAGGTTAAAAAAAAGTTAAAATATTAGTTTTGTATCTTAAAATGTCCATCTTATTTCATAACTTAAAATTGCGCTCAAAGTATTCATCTATAATCCTCTTTGCTTATCTCGATTGGCCCATATATTAATTGGCGCAAATATAATCTATCGTCAGCATATAACAGTAGGGAAGTTAAGGGAGCATTGAAGGAAGGAAAAAGGACAGAAACAATTGTTGCAAGGACCAGTAAAGCCAGCACTGCAGGCACGGCTAGAGAGAATGCTAATCTTCGAGAACCTGGTAAATCAGCAAAAACTACACCAACAAGAATTGTGCCAGCACATGAAATTTCAGCACAAATTGATGCATCAGCACAAGTTACACCGAGGCAAATTATACCGTCACTACAAGATGAGCCAGCAATTCAGCTATGCCATCATTAGAAAATCCATCACTACAGGTTATGCCACTGTTACAGGCAAAATCGTCATTTCAAGTCATGCTGTCATTACAGGCCACGTCGTCACCACAAGTACATGACGTATGATCACTAAAAAGCATCCCAACAATACTACTCAAGCCATCACTACAGGCCAGACCATCGCTACAACATGAGCCAGCGCAACAAGTTGCGCCATCATTAAATGACATGCTAAATACCTCATCAATGCCAAAAAAAAGAACGATGACTGAAGCAGGCTACTCTAGGCAAGAAAATAAGAGGCCCAAATGTGAAGTACATAGCAGACTGAAGACTATCAGTCACATAAACATACAAGGGATCAAGACGAAAGGCTATCAAGTAGAAGAATTTATCAAAGACATCAATCCGGACATAATAGGTTTCTGCGAACTATATTGTGAGAAGGAGGAGGAACTGCCACAAATAAGGGGTTACAGGTGAGTGATGAGTTCAGGGACAAATAGAAAGGCAGGGTTGGAATACTGATAAAAAAGGATATAGAGATAGAGACAGGTGAAACACGCGAATTTATGCCTGGGAGGATTTTGGGGCAGACATTTGGTAAAATGGCATTCATAGAAGCATATGCCCCCGTGGAAGGAGCCAATGAAGGAGAGATAGAGACCTTCTATGAAAGAATATATGAAGCGATAGATTGGTGTAGACTAGAAAATAGGAAGGAGGTAATGATGGGGGATTTCAACGGCCATATCAAAGGATGGTGGTCAAACGAAACGAACAATAATGGAACAAAGCTCAAGACGATGTGTAGGGAATGGGATCAAGAACTTTTGCAACTTGACAAACCAACGCATCTACACTCTATGTGGAATACCTTTTACCTAGACTATGCAGTTCTCTCGAGGGACCTAGTGGAAAGTGTCATTGACTTTGACACAAATGAAACAACCCGATAAAAAGTGATCACATTCCAATAACACTAAAACTATGAGACTGAAATTCAAGAAATAATAAATCGCAGTTTAGAAGAATACGCATAGATCGACTGCAGAATCCCACTTTCCGCAAACTTTATCAAGAAGAACTCATTAAAGAGTTAGTTGAGTTACGGAAGAGAGAGCAGGAGGGAATAGAACGAAGATATGAGGAAATAAGTTGAAGACATGTAGGGAAAGGAAGATAGAGCAAGCAATAGCGAGCGCAAGCGATATGTGGGAGATAGCAAGACGGATAAAGCGAGCAATGAGAAGCAAACCAGTGAGCTTCACAAAAGGGGAAGAGGAGGAGATGATAAAGTGGTGGAAACTGCAATATGACGACAGGGAATGAGACTGGGGGAAAGAAGGAGATCCTAAAATACCAACGAGACCAGAGGTTGAGAATGCGATTGGGTCGCTGAGCAACAGGAAAGCAGTAGGACCGGATGGTGTATCATCTGAACTAATTAAATATGGTGGTGAAGCAGCAACGGAAATGTATTGAGGAATAATAATGGAAATATGACAAAAGAGAACGCTTCCAAAAACGATGAAGTGTGCGCTAGTGGTTTACAAAAAAACTAGGCTCAAAGAAACCGGAAGACTACAGACCGATAACACTACTTAATTCCATATATAAGGTTATTGATAAAATAGTAGCAAACAGGCTAGCACAAGATGTAATGAGCAAACACATAATGCGCCCAGTGCAGGCGGGATATATGGCGGGAATGTCTACCTCGGGCCAGATTTATAGGCTTGAATCAGTGATAGAACACTGCAGGCTTAGGAAAGAAGGAATCGTGTGCGCCTTTCTTGACATAAGCAAAGCATTCGACACAGTCAAGCATTCAGACTTATATAAGACAATGGTTGAAAGAGGAATTGAGAAAGATATTGTCAGCATTGTCGGGGCAATGTACACAGGGTGCGAGGGCAAGATAATTATTAACGAGAGGTTATCATAGCCGATTAACATTAGAAGAGGTGTTAGGCAAGGTGGAAGCTCATCACCCATGTGCTTTAATCTAATACCGAATGAGCTAGCATGAGCCATAGAAGGCACAGATTTAGGAATACAGCTAGGACCTGATGGAAGCAGATTGGGATTTCTGCTCTATGCCGACGATATTGCACTGTTGGCAAACAATGAACTTCAACTACAGCAAATAGCAGATATATGTAGTGACTGGGCACGCAAATATTCACTAAAGATAAATCAGCAGAAATCAGGTGTGGTGGATTATGCTGTTAGGCCTACAAAATTGAAATTAGTCATCGATGGGCAACAACTGAGGCAGGTGAAGCAATATAAATATTTAGGGAAAAATATAGGGAGTACCAGAGCAAGCACCACTGATGCCAAAGCAATAATTGAAAAAATAAGATCAGCAAGTAGAGCAACTAAAATCCTACTTGGGTGCATGAATAACCTATCGATCACCAAAAAATTGATTATAGCAGAAGCATGTGTAACTCCCGTGGCTACATATGCCATAGAATGTGCACAGCGTGAACTGAGTGGTGCAGTATTGAAGTGCGCTGAGAATGAGAGGATGAGACTAGCTAGGATGCTGCTATAAACAATCATTGGGACAGCAAGAGAGACCTCTCTGCTGGATTTGGGGTGGATAGCACTTGTGAATCATATCAGGGCATACACGCTCAGATTCAGGAAAAGAATATATGATAGAGATGCAGATTGTCAGTAATAGTGAGAACAATAAATTCTGAAGAAGAATTACCGTGGGAGCTCAGATGCAGGGAGATTATGCAGCTGCTAGGACTGGAGGAGTTTCGACTATATGACAAATTCAGAGAAATTGAAGATGGTGATTGAAGGCTAAAGATAGCAGAAGCTGTGAGAAAAGCAAACATGATGGAGTCCATGCACAGGCTACAAGAAGAAACTGAGAAAACGACCAAATTATATAGATGGCTACGGGAAGACAGCGATACCACAAACAGGTCATCATATATCAAAATAAATTCATATGATGGATAATATTAAGCATGAATGGGACATCAAATAGAGCGGAGCTGCACTTAACTCTAATAAAACAACTGTCACAAAGTTAACAAGTGATAAAACTTATCATGAAACAGAAGCTGAAATGAGACACGGCAAATACTACATCGAAGTCTCTGTTGAATCCAAAGGATCTGTAGGGGTTGGCTTTACCAAGAAGAATTTGATCCATTCGAACACTATTGAAGGAAATGAGCAAACTGTAATATATTATAGTAATGGGAAAATCGGTAAAGCTGACAGCGAGAGCTATAGGATTTTCCCCTATACAGCCTTGTAAGGGTTGTGGATTCTATCCGGAATCCTTTGGTTGGCGGAAACAACTCAGTCCGTTGGACGGACCAACTAACTTGTTGGTTCCACCAACCAAGGATTCCGGACAGAATCCATAACCCTTACAGGGCTATATAGGTGAAAACCCTATATAACCAAAACGACGTCATTGGGAGCTATATCGATTTTGATAAAAACGAAATTGCCTTCTATAAGAATTACAAATTTTTAGACACTGTCCAAGTAGCTCTTAATATCGAAGACTCTGAAGACTGCTTCAAATTTATTGCTGTCTTATCAGAAGAAAATCAAAATTTATCAATCTGTAATACAGGAAAATACCCTGCCGATGTTGATCTTATGAAAATTGACTCTGAAGAAGAAACTGAATTCTGGGGCTATAAGTTCACCTTAACACCTATTTTCAAAGGAAGAAGCACCAAACTCATTGATTCCTATTTGAGCTTTGCATCAGCTAGCGACAGAGAAAATTGGAGAGAAAACTACAAGCCTACCTATTCCAAATTTTTTAAAGATGGCATAGCACGGCAGCTTAGTGAATTTATGGGTGGATACATGATTGAAAATTGTTTTAGAATGCATCATTTCGATGAGGTCGAAGAGTATTTGAGTATTCTTCCAGAGTGGTTAATTTATTATCCAGACTTACAAAAATTATCAGAGGCAGAGCTGCTTAATTTGAACGAAATTCTCCTTGACTTCGGCTTAAGATTCCAAAAATACTTCTATCTGTTCGATTTGCACACTGAAGCAGACGAACCAGAAAACTCTCTCATGAAGTCTATTAAGAAGGCCAAGTATTATTTATTTTCAGAACTCAAACTAGAATTATTTTTTAATCAGAGTCTTTGAAATTATCAAACTAACTGCAGAATTGGCATTATTATCGATAAAGTTAAAGCACAAGAAATAAAAGCTAAAGGGGATGCAGATCATTCTGCAACTGCTTCAATGTTTGGTCAAATAAGCAGAGCTTTGATAGCAGCACCAAATAAAGCTCTTAGACATGATAAAATAATGTTCAAATTTGCCTACAAACCAGAAGGAATCCAAGATAATGTCTGAATGTATAATGAATTATTGAGGAAAATTTCTAAAGAGCTTCAATCTCAATTACTTCCACTATTAATCCCATCTCAAAATAATGTCCTTAACGTAGGAAATGGAAGAGATAATTGAATGATCAATCCAACCTCCACTCTCTCAAGTCATATGCACCTATTCAACACTCTTGGAAAATTCTTCAGTTCTGCAATCCGTACTTATCAGCAAAAGCTGAGACTTTCACTCCCTGTTATTGTATTTAAGCATCTTCTATACGAAGACGTCACAACCGAAGATTTAAGAGACTTTGACTTCCCAATCTACAAGTTTTTGCATAAATTAAGGAACCTTGAAGCCTATGGAATTACTGCGGAAAACTTCGGCCAGCATATTTCTGAGAAGTTCATAGTGAAATATGGTGAAGAAGTTGTGGAGCTTTGTGAAGACGGAGCTAATATTGAAGTTACTTTTGAAAATGTTGGCCACTATGCTGATCTATTAGAGAAGCACAAATTATTTGAAAATCCTAAAGCTTACGATTCTATAAGGAAAGGTATGGCTGCTGTTGTTCCTATTGATAAATTGAACCTATTCACAGCTGCTCAACTACGTGAACTCATAGGCCTGAATCAAGAAGTCAAATTAGAAGTCTTAGAAGAAAACACCGTTTATGAAAATTGTAGAAGAACAGATCCGCACATTGAAAACTTCTGGGAAGCAATTAAATCATTAAAAGAAAGTGAGCGTGCCAGATTTATTGACTATATTGCTAGAAGGTCTAAGCTTATTGAGTGGGATTGGCCTCTTAAATTTACAATAGCCAAGCACAGTAAATCCGGGGCAGAGAATGCATTGGTTCCTATTGTCGACAATGCTACATTCAGACTTGAGCTACCAGCTTATACATCTCCAGAAATCATGAAAGAGAAGATCATATTTGCGATTGCCCACAATAACAAGTTTGATTCTTTAGATATTAATACTTAAGATAATGGACATTCAAATTAAAATTAGGTTTAATTCAATATATTATATTTAATGGGAAAAGTATATTCAGGGCATCCTTAAATCTAAAATACTTAAAGTTTGAACTTTAAAGATTAGTTTGACAGCATTAATTAATTACTTGGAATATAATAATTCTCTAGCTTGTCAATTAAAATTTTCCAGTTTGCATAATCATCATCTTTTTTTAAATCTATAAAAAGAAGAAAGACATACCCACTTTGTTGATGTTAAACTTGATAAACTCCTGATAAATCCATGAGTTTAGTATTTCATGTTGTATTTTAGCTAATTTTTTCTCTAAAAATTCTAATTGATAGCTTTTAATATTTTGTGATAGCATTCTTCTATATTTACTGAATATATTTGTTTCATATAATTTTACTAAAACGTTTATTAGTATAATTGGCTTGTAGTTTTCTGCTAAATTTTTATCTCCGTTTTTATAGATAGGAGCAATTATACACCAATTTTATTCTCCAATGCTTTGCTTTATTATCAATCCTTAAAAATATTAAATATTATATGGTTAAATCTTCCCAGAAATGAGATTGCAAAACCATCTAATCCTTTTTTTTTGAATTAATGTTCCTCCTGTCTTCTTGAATTTCATCTGGATTAGGAATATAATTTTTCTCTTCGAAAACATAAACAGATGTTTATTACTCTCATATAATCTACTTTAAAAATCCTTTTATATATAATCCATATCATTATTGCAGCGAATGCAATTTCTCTTTCGCAAATTTAAATTTTCAGTTGAGTAATAAGCAATCATTCTTTATGCTAATAATATCTAAAAATTTATTTGTATGTAATCCAACAAGTTCATTTTTATTCAAAATTTTGATATTTCTAATTATCATTGTTTCTTCCATATGCACTTCGTAATTAATTTTGAAATGCCTATATTCAATTAGTAATATCTATTTCTGCAAGCTTACAAAAGTGATTTTCATATTCTCATATGTATTATATAAATTTTAATACTCTTATTAATCTGAAAATCTAAATATCTTTTTTTTTCTGCTCAGCTTGAAAAATTTAATCATATTGAAGTTTTTCCTGTTTTAAAAAGGAAGAGATCCAAAGGAAATTTGCGTAGGTGTGAATTAATAATATTTTTCAGTTTATCGTCTTAAAAGTAGCATTGCTCATAAAATTTCTAATTTTATACTTATGCTCCTCCAGAAAGATCAGAATAATTAACTTATTTTATCATTTTTATTTGATAAATAGCCCTTGATATGTAAATTAAAGTTCCAATTATTATATCACATTGATATTTCTTAATATATTTTCAAAAGCAAAATTCTTGCACTGCATTTTGGCTACGCAAAAAAGCATGCTTGAAAGTCTAGACCTTCAATAATTGAGAATTCGCACTATTACTATCTTTCTCAAAAATTCTCCAATTATCAGCATCTAAAGAATGAATTTTTAAGCCCCAATTATCCAATTTTAAGATCTAAATAAATTCTTGCTAATTCCCACCCTCCATGAGGGCTATTTTTTGCCCAAAAACCCGCCCTCCGTGAGCGAAAAAAATTATGAAAAAAAAAACTTTTATATATAAGTGATTATTAGTATAATTCTGTTTAGCTTTAAACAGCTTGCATTTTAAAACATAAATTTTTGCAAATTAAATTAATTTTTTACTTCTCAATTTTTACAAATTGGAATGTTTTTAAATTTGAAAAAATGAACCCCCTGTGAGCGAACAAAATTTTTTGTTTGCTCACGGTAGCAATTCTCCAAATCCGCTTTCTAAAATTCCTATGAGATCACAATTTGATTACCTAATTTCATTTATTGTATAATTTTTAATACCTAATTTATTATTCTGAATGTTCACACATGCAACTTTGATAGATCTTTATCTGGTTTAAATATATTTTTATTTCCTTTCATTTCTTGATATAAATTCTTATCGATCAATTCATTCACATTATAACTTACCAGTGATTAAATTTTCCATTTAAAAGTCCATTTGTTTAAATATCGAAGCAAATGCAAGTTCATTTTCTTTCCTTACAAAAATTATGGATTAAATGTTTACTTGATCACATTACAGAAGTTAGTGACAATGGTCTTTCTTTTATACCTTTTCAAATAAAACTTCCTCTAAGAATGCAATTGCTTATTATTGATTAAATACTTTCTATCTTTCTAGAGTATTAGAAACAAAGCGATTAAAGCATCAAATCAATCTCTATTAAATGAAATAATAATATTTTGTTTGCTTTTCAAGCATATATAGATTACACATTTTAAACTTTTCGCTAGTAATCTTTAATGAGTTTATCTGATAAAGAAATTTTGTCTTTAAAATATTTCACTTCACATGAAATCAGATTTGGCTAGGCCTGACATTTTTATCGGATAATTAGTTTTTATGGTATGGCTCAATGATAGACTCGACTCATGTGACCAAATTCTTCTCACATCTAATAATATCTTACTCCCCCCCCTCCGTGAGTGAACAAAACCATTAGAAAAATCGCTATTTTTTGCCAAAAAACCCACCCCTCTGTGAGTGAACAAAAATTTTTTTAATAGAAAAATTTTTTATGGAAAAAAAAATTTTGATATATAAATGATAATTAGTATAATGAAATATAGAGCTAATTCTGTTTAATTTTAAACGAATTGCTTTTTAAAACATAAATTTTGCAAATTGAATTAATATTTGCTTTCCAATTTTTGCGAATTAGGATTTTTTAAATTTCGAAGAAAAATAGTTCTATAAAATTTATACATAAATTTTTTTAAAAAAAAAAAAAATTAACCCCCCTCTGTGAGTGAACAAAATTTTTTTATTCACTCACGGAGGGGGGGGGAATTAGGAATGCAGATATTGCAGTAGTTATTTACAATTTCTTTCTTAAAGAAAAGAGATTATGCACAATTGGATTTTTTAAGAGATTTTATTATATTCAATAAAAATACAATTTTTTGGCTTTCTTTGGATTCTTGAAAGCATCTCTAATTAAATAAACTTTAATAAATTTTTGACAGATTTTATTACCATCGATATTTGGACCATTTTCAGTCATTAGTATAATTAATGGGTAACGCAGCCACCAGCATAGCAACTCGTGTGTCAGGTCTAACTTCTGAAGCTCTAGAAAAAGAGCTCAAGGGAGATCTGAGCATTCTTGGTGACCAAAAACTGTTTTTCAATCATAGCGCTCTATTAACTCGAGGAGACCTCAATAATTATCAGGTCCCAGGCTCATCATCATCTGCCTCAGCCAAGCTTGAAGACCTGAACTACATAAATGAAGAGCAAATGCTGTGCAGCATGGAAGACAAAAGCTTTATAAAAGAAAGGCACACAAAAGTCGTCCAAGGTTTACTGAATGAAATCGACTTACGTAAAGGGGAAGACTCAAGCTCAGTTGAGATGACAAAAAAACTTCAATACCTGAGCAAAACTTATGAAGCTCTTCTTAGAATGGATGAGCGTGAAAAAAGAAAATCAAAGCCAGGAGCTTCAAAAACTAAAGAAACCCTCAACCCAATTGCCAAATCAGGGTTATCTTTTGGTCTGTCTTCATTGTTTGGGATAATTAAGGTTTTAGGCTCTGATAAGCCTGAGCTTTATAAGATTATCATAGAAGCTGCTTCAAGTATATAGCGCTTTCCCGAGGATGGCGCGGAATGGCGCCATCCCTCGGGAAAGCAGGAAGGCATCCACACGGGAACTGGGAGTTCCACGTGTGGATGCCATTTTGACATGTGGAAGTTTTGGATCCCACATGTCAAAAATGGCATCCACACGTGGAACTCCCAGTTCCCGTGTGGATGCTTAGTTGACTTTCTCGAGGATGGCGCCATTCCGCGCCATCCTCGGGAAAGCGCTATAGTTTCTGACTTAAGCCCAATGGCACTTAATGATAACGACCCTTCGATCTCTCAAGTAGTTTCATCAGTTCTTGCATTTTTCAACTCAATGCTAAGAAGAGAGCTCCCAAATATCCAAGAAGAAGACATAAATGCCTGCTATTCAATTCTTTTTGGGCTTTATGTCGCTACAGGGAATTTGTGTACAGCCTTAGCATTAGCTTTAACATTTGCCAATTTTGACCCAAGTCAAGATCATTCTCCAATTTATAAACAAATTTTCCCTATGCTAGCGAACTTTAAGGACCTTACGAAGCTAAAAATAAGTGGCTCTTTTGCTTGGGAGACTGAAAAGAAAGGGAAAGGCTTACTCCCCATCGGCTGTTAGCAAAAACATAATTCGAAAATTCGCATTTTTTATGAGCATAATACCCCTTTATTTAATGAATAAAAAAGTTTATTATAATTTTTGTCCAAGCTATATCGTGAATATATAATTAGGATTAAAATAAAATCTCAAACAAATTATATGAATACACCACCACCGTAAAACATAAATTTAATATCAAATAATTACAAATTTAAATCTTTAAAAAACAAATTTAATATTTTTTCAAATTAGCAAGCTGGAATTTTTGGACATTAGCCAAGTGGAAAAAGTTAGAAATCAGAAGCGACGAGCCAGATGTATTAGTCAGAACAATCACTGATGGCTGGGGAGCTAATCTTTCAGCAGAAGCTTGGACAGAAGGGGTTCACTATGTTGAGATGCTTTGGACTGAAGGTCAAACTGACTATGTTTACTATGGAGTTTGTAATGGAAATTATCCAAACCTTGACACGACCCCTGAAGAGCAATCGTTTGCTCTCTCTTATAAACCTGCCGGAGGTATCTTTAAAGCTGGAAATGAATTGTACGCCTTCGAAAAATATCAAGTCGGTGAAAAAGTTGGACTTCTGCTAGATATGGATGAGCGCTCAGTTCTTTTCTTCCATAACGGAAAAGAAGATCCCAAAGGACCTATTCGAGAACTTCCTGAAAGTATGAAACTATTTATGTGTCTTGGAGGAATCAGCAAACACAAAATCGTCTATAATCCCGAAGATATGCCTGCAATGGCTCGCATAAAAGTTGATAATTATTTGAAAAAATTTAAAGTAGAAGTGAATCTTGAAGATTTAAACGTGATTGAAAGGGCTATCACAACTGGAGAAATGGCTGATGACTATCTCCAAATGAAGCCTATTGAGCTCACACACTATATTCTTAAATCATTTGATGCCTTAAATGACGGTATCATAGAAAAATTAGAAAATAAAGAGAAAAAGGTGAATGTTGAAAAAAGAATGGGGCTTTCCCTTGACATCAAGAATGAAACTGTCGAAATTTTAGAAAAACTGGCTTTGACTTGCATTGAAAAAATTCACTCAGAAAATGTTGAAAGAGAATCGAAAGAAATTTATTCAGAAATGCTCGTTTATGTGCTAAAACTCACCAGATCTCACTTAATTGGGTCGGACATGATCCCAAATGCAACTTTAGAAAGACAGCTAAGGACAAGAATTATGAAAAACACTATGGATCTAATAAATAGCATGCCAGGGTCCAAGGCTTGTGAAGAAGCCACCAAAATTGTGACATCATGCTTTTCTGTCTTTTATAAGGATCCGCAGGAGAAATTGTCCTATTTATTAGATAGACTTAAAGATCAAATGGACGGAGTTGAGATATCAGGTATCTTTAAAGAGCTTGAAGATAGAATTTTCCTTGAAATGGCTCGACCTGACAAACTTTTCCCAGCCTTAGAGCTTATTAATGACGAGTCTCAGCATTTAGTTGAAACTTATTTCAAGTACTTGATTGAGCTTTCTTCAGAAATTTCCAAGAAGCTTGTGAGGGGAGAAGAGACATCTGTTGGAATCTTGAAACTTCTTGAAACAAGTCAAATTGCTTTATTCGGTCAAGCTGCTAAATCTAACTTCAAAGGAAAATGGCAAGAAATCTTAATGAACTACTCATTAAGTGTTTTCCAGAACTGTGAAGAAGTCCTTCATATTGTGAAAGCAAAAGAAAAAGGGTCTTCATTGTCAGATGCACTCACAAACACTATACGAAAAACCATCCTTGCAGATTTATTAGAAACTCTTCTTTACATGTTGTCTTTAACCAGAATGAGCCTTGATTTCTTGGCAAAAATTTTGCCAGTTTTGCAGAGCATCACAACATCTCTACAACACTTTGACCCAAAGCCAAAAATCTTAAATAAAGGTTGGGCTCTAGCTGCAGGAGATGCTTATGAAAGTAGTCACAATTACGATAACAGTCTTGATATTACCCACACTGTAAAGATCAATGGAGCAAGAAAATATTATTTGGTCTTTGACCCTCAATGCAAAACCGAGAAGAATTGCGATTATTTAGAGCTTTGGAAAGATGATAAAAAAGAAGAAAAGCTCTTCAGATGGGACGGAGACGATTTTCCAAAGAATGGGGAAAGAGTTGAAGTAAATACCCCATATTTGTTCTTCACATTCCACTCTGATGGTTCAGTCAACTATTGGGGCTGGAAAATTGATATTTTCGGAGAAATTCAGGCTGATTATTATGCTAAACAATGGCCAGATACCACAAAAGACGCAGCAGGGATTATGGTTGGGTTTATCAGCGTAAAATTGATTTCAGGAGAATTTGAGACAACACCAGAAGATGAAAAAGTGAAAGCTTTGCTTCAAAACCCTCTGCTTAAATACGGAATTTCTGATAAGACTTTGTCACTTGTTAAACCTCAAAACCCTATCCCAGAAAGTCTGATCACCCTTACCCAAGTGCCAGGAATTGGAGAAAAAGTTAAGCCTAAGATGTTGAATCAGTTTATTAGAAGCGATCCTACTAAAAAGCTGGTATGCAATAATAAATCAGAGCTGACATTGCAAGAGTATATTGACTCTTTTGGAAAATGGGGAGATGCAAAGTATTCTGACAATCAGTTTATCAACGATTTCATTGAAGGGAATAGCGAAATTGTAAGAGATTGGAATACCCTGAAAAGTTTGAGCGGAGTTAGCGAAGAAGATTCAGCAATTGGAGGACCAGATTTTGATAAAGCAGAAAGAGCCATTTTCGCTGTTTATGTAGCTTTCTTTGAATTTGCTGAGACTTTCAAAAACCTTCTTCAAGATCCTACAAGTGTTGGATCTACAGTCAAATACCTCGTAAAAGATGCAGTCAAATATAGAAAATGGGCTGATAAGTACATCCAAAAATCGAAAGAAACTGTATCCATGACCTTTGAAGAAGTTTCTAATCTCCTCCTAATAGTTAGAAAAAACCTGATTTTTATGAAAATTAGAATCCCTCATTATCAAGCAAAGAATTTTAATTTAAAATATTGTTAAGATATATTGATGTATAATTAATTATTATTATTATTATTATTATTATTGTTATTATTATTATAATATAATAATAATAATGAGATATGCTAATTCTATAAATTTTAAAAAATGCATTATAAAATATAACAGTTTTAATTATTCTAGTCAATCTTTAAAATTAAATAAATTATAATGAGAAAAAATTCTTACTCCCTATCCGTGAGTTAACAAAAAAATTTTTTCACTCACGTAAGGGGTTAATTTTTTTTTTAATATAAATTTTATAGAAAGTTTTTTCAAAAAAAATCCTAATTTACGGAAATTGGAAGCAAATATTAATTTAATTTGTAAAATTTATCTTTTAAAACGCAATTTGTTTAAAAGTAAACAGAACTAGTTCGAGATTTCATTATATTAATTATCACTTATATATGAATTTTTGCTCACTATTTTTTGGGCAAAAGAATAGGGATTTTTCCAATGGTTTTGTTCACTCACGGAGGGGGGGAGCTAGATGCGAGACTGGAGACAGAGTAAAAGATGTTGTAGTTAAATGCGCTCTGTTAATCAATTCGCAGCATAATCAAGGATTAAATGAGCTTGGGATTACTAAAATAATGAAACATTTGGTAACAACTGTAGTCGGAGAAGCCAGCATTCCTAAAATGAAAAAAAAAGAAAGCAAATGGAAGCAAGTCAAAGGAGGAGTTTCAGCAGCTTCAAGCTTAGTTGCTATGCTAGGAAGGACTGAAAGTGAAGACGAAAGCCACTCAGAAGACGTTAAAGAAATCAAAAAAATATCTGAACTTATTCTTTCTTTACTCGAAACTCCAGCTTCAGCTGAAAAAATTGTAGACACCATTGAGAAAAGAAGAGTGAAAGCTATGGCAAGAGCTCTTGGACTTTCTAGCTTAGGAAACTTAATGAGCTTATCATTTAGAAAAGAAACTTCACTAATAAGATCCTTTGTTGACTCTTTGAAGCAAAACAATGTAAAATTCCATTATTGGGATAGTGTTGAAGGAATTGATTCAAACCTATTAAAGTGCATCCAAAAGTCATTTTATAACATCTATGGATACTTGCAGAGGGAGCTGCTCAAATCAAAAACAGAAGCCATCGAAAGACCTTTCTTCTCCCATTACTTGACTGTTTTAGATGCATTATGCTTCCCATTAAAAGAGTCTGATAATCTTATGATAGTAGAACAACAATTCCCACTTATCATTTCTCTTTTATTGAATTGGTCTAAAGGCTATATAGGAGAAGAAGTTGAGACCAAATCATTCCTTTTGGATCAGTGCATTACAGGATTCAAAATCTTGGTAGAAGCTGATATCTCTGACGATGTTGATAAAATTCTCTTAGAAGCCAGAGAAGGAGAAGGCCAGAATCTCTATTTAATTATTGAGCATAAAGGAGCACTTCCTGTTGTCGATTTCCAAGTCACATCTGAAGAAATTGAAGGATATGAAAATTTAGGCCAGTTCACTCAGAATGGAGAATCCAAACATATTTTCATCAAAAAGAGCGAACCAAGTGCAAAGAGCCAATTTCTGGTCAGTATCCAGGAGAACCTTGAATGTGAGTACAGGCCTTATTGTGATCTATTAGGTGAGGAATCAGAAGATGAAAAGCAATTAAGAGAAAGCCTTAAAGATAGATTATGCAGAACAGCATGGGCTGCTTATAAGCTTTTAGTATTTAGTGCAGTGGGAAATGTAAGCCAAAGTAATTCAGTTGTCAAACAGACTGTCCAAGATCTGTTTTTGAATTCAATTTTTAATGAATTAAAGTGGGATCAATCGCTATTGGAATTGGGCTACTCAGGTCTAAAACTTAATGTAGCAGTTTCAGGGGAGTTGTGGGTAAATAAAATGAACGCTATCAAAGCTTTTAAAAAGAATCCAATGCAAGAATGGGTCAGGCAGTTTAATAAAGAGACTGAAAAACTAGGAGAATCCATGTTGAAGGAAACGATTAACGATTTAATCGCCAAAGCTGATCCTGCAATGAAAGGAGTTTTAACTCCTGCTGAAATTTCGAAACTTGATCCTGAGATCTCAGAACTCCTTTCAAGCCAAGATGCTTACAAAAATTCTAAAGGAAATTTCGATTTCTTTAAATATATCAACTCGGTCTATGCTATTAAAAATACACTTTCTAAAGAAGATCAGTATTATATTGAACATTCTAAGATCTGGACTCAAATACCAGAAGATTTCGAGCAAGCAGCTTTATCTTATGATTTCTGTAATCTTGAAACCATATATAAAAATATTGTTTCAAGGTTCAATCCTAAACATCAAGGAAAATCTTTCCAACAATTAATTGATCTTTTCGAGTTAACAGAAACAAAAGGCATCGTGCAAAGTGACAAAGTTCAAGAAGATTGCCCAGCAGAATTCAAAAACGAAGAAGGCAATTTAGATTTGTATGTAGCAATGCATGCAATAGCCAAAGACCAGAACAAGTTTTTCGATTATTATCATGAGCTGAAGTGGGCTCTTCTCCAGTATGATGATCTTCCTAATAGCTGTTTAGAAGTATATAAAGAAAAAAAATCTGCAAGTGAATATATGACTTCTCTATTGTGGACAATTTATGGGTGCCTCGGATCGAGTACAATAGTGAGCCTCTTAGCTCGTGAAGAATATCTTGCAGAGCTCCTTAAAATTACTTTCCTGAGCAGCGCAGAAAGCAACTTTGCCCTTGGGTCTCGCATCCTCAAAGCAATTCTCCCATCTCAGCACTCACCCCAAACACTAGGTGCAATCTGGACTACTCTTCCTCACTTTAACTCTGAAAGCACAAGCACTGACTTTGTCCAATTTTTGCTTAAAAGAATTGGGAAAATGACTTATTGGTATGGCTTCAGAGATGCAAAAAGCAAACTTTTCAGATGTGGCTATGAAGCACTTGTGCTTTTGAAAGAACTCATGAACATAGAAAGATGGAGAGGCGAGGTACTCACCACAATTATGAAATCTTTGAACGATGCTTGCCAAAACTTAAGGGATGGAAAAGCACTTCCTATGTATCAAGTTGGAGCAATCGAAGCTTTAGCAATTTTATCGAAGCAGGTTGATATTTTTGGAAATGATCCAATTGAGTTGGCTGAAGCAAAACTAATTAATTCTAAGATGACAAGATGCATCATAAGAGCAATTGATGGGGACACAGTAAATATTTATTCTCCTGTCACTGATGAGACAGTGTCAGTTAATACAGAGTCCATTGCTTATTTAAGGACGATCAACAACTTTAATGCCATGAAAATACTTAGCCAAGATGAACTGCAGAGCATTAAAGACTCGGCTATCAATTTGTGGTTTGCTCTAATTGAATCAGAATTTTTGCGTTTCAATATGAAATCTGAGAGAACTGCTTCGTTCAGAACCCTTTATGCTCACTTAATTCCTCATTTAAATAAATAATTTATTTTGCTATTTGTAGTAAATTTTTTTAGTGACATCTCAAAGCATTTTAAAATTAATAATACTGAAAAGTCATTGATCAGAGGGAGAAATAGAAAACGTTATTGTCAATGCAATTACACTTATCTTAAAAAAGAAAGAGATTAGCGACGAAGAAGGGGCAGACTTATTAAGATCTATCATGAAGCATGCTAAAGCTGAAACTAGAGTCTTAGGAAATAAAGAAAAGCAGCTGCTTATTAAACAAATTCTAACTCCCTAGTGGGAGAGCGAAAAAATTTGCTTGGGGGTAAAATGTTTTAAAAATTTATAGTAAAATATAAACTTTAAAAGTAAATTTATTTGTAAAATTTATGCTTAGAATGCAAGCTGTTTAAAATCTAAGAAGTAATTTGATATTTATCATAATTTATCACTTCTATATTTACAAAACATTATATTATAAAAATTTGTTGTTCTCTCTAACTCCCCCCCCTCCATCCTTGATCGAACGACTCGCCATCGTTTGATCAAGGATGGGGGTTAAAAAAATTGTTGGGGAAAAAAATGATATATATAGAAAATAAAAAAAATATTTTATTTTAATACTTTTAGATAAGAGGGTTAAGAGTATTTAATAATTATTTTTACAACAAAAAATCGAATTAATTTCATAAGAATATCAACTTTTAATATTTTGATTTATTAGTTACCCTTTTAAACTGTATAAATTTTGATTGTTCTTTATTGAATTAAATTTTTTTTGTTTTTTTAATTTTAGAAAATCTCTATTTTTTAGATTATTGAGTTTTTAAGCCTAGATTGATGACTAAATCACTTCGAATGGTTGATTTCGTAGCCTTCTGTCGTCTCAAAGCTTCTGAAAACAACTTCATTAGGCAAATTTCCCAAGCTTTGATAACTAATATATTTTTATATATATAAAAATTTGCATGATATGAAAATCGTTCGATCAAGGATGGGGGTTAATTTCCCCAATTTTTAGGAATTTTTACAGTCAATCGTTCGATCAGTATTGGGGGGGAGTAAGAATTATTTTCGTTCCACAAAATATAGGGATTTTAATGTTTTTAGGAGAGAGTAAAGACAATCGCAGAAAAATACATTTATGACGACTTTACAGATGAAGAAATAATGGAAATGTTTTCGAATGCTAGCGATAAAACCAAATACCTAATTGAAGAACTGACAAAAGAAAATATTCTGACAATGATCATCGCTAAGTGTCTTGACAAAGGAATCAAGGATAAAAATGGGATTTTAGAATTTGCTGGAAAAGTAGAAGAGCCAAAATCAACCCTATTATTCAAGCTTCAGCAAATTGAATCTATAGAACTTGAAACATCTGATATCGCTGGATATGCTGATATTTACCAAAATTCAAGTAGCCAATTCGTGATAGAAAATAGTAACTTCACAACATCAAGAAAAGAAATAACGACAGTTCCTGACTTGTCTGTATTCAGAAACACAACACAGTTTGTAGAGTCTTTGACTATTCTAGCGCAGTTAGAAGGTATTCACTATCAAAATCAGTTGTCATATGGTCTCAAGCTTGGAGGAGTGGATATAGGAATTAGCACAAGCTCTGGATCGCCAAGCTTTGAAGTCAATGGCAGTGTTGTCTGTCCTGCCAAACTTGGTGAGGTATTAGCTGTTAGGGTTTATTTAAATCCAAATGGAGAAATCAGAATAATTAATGAAAACACCAAAGAAACCATTGATCTCCAGGATACAACTACATTTAATGGCCTTCAAATGGGAGCTTATGGACTTTATATGGAAGCTGGCACAAGAGCTTCATTGTTAACTTTCGAAGTATATGACGGTAAAAATACAAAGGCTACACCAACAAAAGTTAATAAATCCAAAGAAGCTGAGACTTATAAAACAATCAAAGTCACTCAAAAATCTGACAACTATGATAGGCTAAGACTAAAACTTTTAGGCTTGACTGAAGACCAAATAACTCAAGCACTATCATCAGACAGAGACTTAAGGTCTAGCTTAGACTACGTTTCTCAGAATTTCCCGAACGCTTTCCAAAATACCATTAGCTCTCTAAACCAAGATGTTATCACTGAGCTAAAACTGGTTAAAACAATTCGTGAAGTCCCTAATGGATTTACAGCAGTTCCTATCTATGAAGATGGCAAGCAGAAAGAGTTCAATATTCCAAAGAGAATGATTTTATGTGCTAAAAAAGAGCAGGTTACTACTGGAAGTGGGTACTCAAGCATTGCTCTAGGCACAGAAGCTAAAGACCATATAGATTTAGGGAACTTTGACCCTGAAGACCAAGCAAGTGACTCTTTAACTCACATCTGGGTAAAGCAAGGAGAAATAGAAAAATCCTGTATAAAAGATATCATTTTCATCAAATCTTCTTCAATGTACAACGTAAAAGTGCCATTTGGCTATAAGATAATTAAAGATGAGGAAGGCAACGCGATAAATCTTGGCCATAACTTAGGAAAGAAATCAGTCTTATTTTTAGCTGCAAAGATAAGTGATACTGCTTTGAACTGCGCGCTTACACCATTCAAGAAGATGATCTTAGCTAAAATGCCACTATGCGGATTACTAGAAACTGCAGAAAACAACGAAACAAAAGTTAAAGACGACGCTTTTGATGCTCTGTCTATTCAAGAGCTCTTCAGTCACTATTATAAGTTTATGGATTCCTCAAAGCAAGTTTCATATAAAAATCTTGCTCTAATGCTCATCAAAAAATGCCCAACCTCTATTGTAACAATAATATGCAAAAATTGTGGTAGGCATTGTAGCATGAGTCTTTATGTATACCTGGCTTATTTTTAGTCATAAATTAGCCCATCTATAATCAATAGTTTCAAAGTGACTGATTTTCGCTGACATTAGTCTTAAAAAATATGGAAGAGCAATTTTTATTTGGCGTTAATTATCAATAGCGTGAGTTAGAAATAGAGGAGGCCAGCTTATTCAAAATTTGACTTACGACATTCATCTACCAAGAAACTGGGTTTTGGTCTGGTCTCGAGACGATATGGTCTGCCGACTTGTGGGCTATGCATTAGAGGAAAAGGGACTATAGATTTCACTAATAATCTAATCTAAACTATTGCAACAATAGCTCTGGAATTCAGTATCACCAAATTATTCGATTTCTTACTCTAAATAGATCTGCGAAATCATTGAAGATATTATATATCCTGGGAATATAAAATAAATTGTTTATTATAATTTTATATCAAATCATGAGTATTATGAAAATCTCGAGCCAATTATTATATTTTAAATAGCTCAAAATCCAAAAATAATTTTTACTTTAACTTTAAAATTTAGTATTTTGAAAAAAATTTATATAAAATATAAAATTAAAAAAATCGTTTCTTTAACAGTAAAATCGCTTGCTTACTTTTGTAGGAGGAATTTAGGAAGCTCTATCAATAAAATTGCTAAAAAGATTGATACTTTACTATCCCAGGACAATCCGAAATTCAAGGACAAGCTTTTCAAGGACTGTCTAGAAAGGATGCTTACTCCTTTTGCAAGCCATCAAAAAAAATCTATATTTTAGGAGACAGACTGCATAGCAAAAATATTTGATATAAATAATAATTAACGATTACAATAATGAGAATCACTATGTATTTCTTTTAAACTTAAACAGCTTGTGTCCTAAAACATTAATATTATGAATTAAATAAGATTTTATTTCGATTTGGCTATTTTTATTTTAATAGAAAAAATTAAATCACTGGTTAGCAGCAAGTTTTTTGGCTTACTAATTAAGGATGGAAATTAGATGTTTGATATATACAGAAAAATCAGGAGCATCATTGTCTTCTTTGACAATTGAAAGTCCAACCCACCCATATGATAATAACATGGATTTAGATCAAGAAATCAGAATTCCTGGAGCTAAAAAACTCAAATTTGTGTTTGATCCACAATGTAAGACTGAAAGTGGTTGTGATCCTTTAAGATTCTACAAGAATCCAGGCAGAGTTGATGAAATCAAATGCATTTCAGGAGAAGGAGAAACAAACTGGGCTCAATTTGAAGTAGATGGAGAAGTTGTTTATACATATTTCCACTCTGATGGATCAGTTAACTATTGGGGATATAAGTTTGAAGTGATTCCTGAAGGCTCAAGTTCTGTAGTCGCAGAACATCCTTGGCCTGCTATGTGGGTGCTAAATAAGATTTCAAGCATGAACCCAATACCTAAAGAATTTATGGAAATAACGCACCCTAGGTGTGTCCAGCCTATTTTCTTGCATTCTCTTTCAGCAAACAATTTAGAATTGAAGCTTGACTCTGTAAGAATTTTGAATAAGATCATAAGAGATCAGAAAGGCCCATTGTTCAAAAATATACTTAACATCTTGATTGCTCAAGCAAATGAGCTTCATAATGTTGTGAGCTCTAATAAAGCAGAAAATAGTTTGATGCAAGCAACTGCAAGGCTCTTAGAAGATGCTTCACATAAATTCCAACTTACTGGAGAGGAGCTTTGGTTTATGGAATTTTGTGAGCTTGTTTCTGATATTAAAGGTCTAACTCCCCAAGCTATTAGCGATATGCCCATAAACTTCTTACTCTCTCTTTAAATTGGAATACATATTAGTAAAATTAAACATGTTCATAATTTATATAATAACTTTGATACCCAATGTAAATTTACCTATAATGTGATCAATTTTAACAAATAAGAATAATATGTAAACCAAGCTACTATAGTTGTTGAGGCTTAGAGCACCAGTACACTAGTATTTATTTGTAACTGATAGCCTTTTACTATTCAGAAGACTACCAGAATAAATATGGGATTTTCCCATGTTTTGGCCTTGATTTCCCACTAGTAAAATTTTTTGGCTTGATATAACCATATGGTACTGGTCGAACCAAAAATTTTTCCAGTGGGAAAATCAAGGCTAAAACAGCGCCATCCACAGGAAATTGCAATAATTAATCAGTGCATTTATGCATAAAAAATTACAACAGATTGCGCTTTAAATTGAAATAATTTTTATAAAAAATTTTATTAAAACACTAAAGTTATTTATATAATTTTTATTGTTCAAAAACAATTTAATTTTATATATTTTGTTTAACTTTAAAGGAGGAAGTTAGCCAGCCTCCAATACTGAAATAATATTTTTTAAAATTGAAACTATAATTGATCAGCATTTTCAGCAATTTTAAAAAAAAATATTGTGATATAGTTCCTATGTCCCCAACTTATTTAAAAATATTTAAATAAGTTATATCCTTATTGATGGCAATAAAAATAATTCAAATTGTGTTGGATAAGCGAAAAAGATGGACTGTTAGAAACTTTCTTATTCGAATCATTCAAGAAGAACGTTACTTGTAATCTCGGAAGAACTTATGAGTCCAAACATCCTTATATTAGACAAACCACAAAAGAATTCATCCAAATTCCTGGTGCTTCTTTTATTAGTATCGTCTTCGATTCAAATTCAAATCTTGACCCAAGAGATACAGCTGTTTTCAGCTATGATGAATTTGGTAAGAAATTAGTTGAAGAAAAGAAAATTGAAGCTATAATCAGCGAAGCGAGATGGAGAGAAGAACCTTGTGGAAGCAAAGTCACTTTTTCAGAAGAAAATTCACAAGTTACCAGAGTCAAGGGAAGTGGATGGGGCAACGCAATTTGGTCTGAAGACTACTCAGATGGTAGAAATTAAAATTACGTTGAGCCAATCTATCCTCTTAAAACCTGCAGATAAACGACTCAAAGAGGAGTAGAACTGAGAGAGACGGAGGTAAGTGGCTGAATTAAAAAATACCTTGAGGTACCATAGGAAATTGTTTATAATTAACTAAAAATACTCTGACGGTACAGTTAGTATCAAATTCAAGATAGAATCTGATGGAGACTCTGATTATTGGTACATTGGAGTTTATAGGACTGCAAAGGATGTCCAAAACTATGACCTAAATGAGTACATAGGATGCGACTGTCCTCATGATGTCTGGAGTTGGAAAAAAACTGGAGAAGTTCACAAGAAAGGATGGTTCAAAGGTGGGTTCGAAGGATTTAAGGAGGGAGATGAAATCACAATGTTTATTGATATGAACTTAAGAGAACTGACTTTCTTTAATGGAGCTCTTGAGGTCTTCAAGTTCACGGGGATTGCTTCTTCAGTCACCCCAGTGATCTGCTTTGGCTCTTTAAATCAAGTCATTACTGTGCTCAGTGTTGAAAGAATGGCTGGGTCCAAACCTCTTTCTGAAAGAAACTTGGATATTATAGGAGACTCAGTCTATTATTGGATCCCAGTTCATAAAACTGCTATATCTTCTATACGTGTATAGTTCGCTGAAAATAGAATAGTTTAAATAATAGTCTTTCATTATTATCAAATCTTCTTGAAATGGTATAATATTAAGCATGTATGGGACAGCAATCAGAACGGAGCTGCACTCAACGCGAATAAAACGACTGTCACAAAGTCAACAAGTGATAAAACTTACCATGAAACTGAAGCTGAAATGAGAAACGGCAAATACTACATCGAAGTCTCTGTTGAATCCAAAGGATATGTAGGCGTTGGCTTTACCAAGAAGAGCTTGATCAATGAGAACACTATTGAAGGAAGTGAGCAAACTGTAATTTATTATAGTAATGGAAAACTTGGCACTGCTGACAGTGCCAGCTATGACCAAAACGACGTCATTGGGAGCTATATCGATTTTGATAAAAACGAAATCGCGTTTTATAAGAATGAAAAATTGCTAGACACTGTCCAAGTGGCTCTTAATATCGAAGACTCAGAAGATTGTTTCAAATTCATTGCTGTCTTATCAGAAGAAAACCAAAGCTTAGCAATCAATAATTCAGGAAAATATCCTGCAGGTGTTGATCTCATGAAAATCGACTCTGAACAAGAAACTGAATTATGGGGCTATCAATTCTCCTTAACACCTAATTTCAAAGGAAGAAACACTAAACTCATTGATTCCTATTTGAGTTTTGCATCAGCTGGCGACAGAGAAAATTGGAGAGAAAACTATAAGCCTACCTATTCCAAATTTTTCAAAGATGGCATAGCACAGCAATTTATTGAATTCATGAATGGCTACCTAGACGCCAATTCAATCAAGTACATAAATAAATTTAATCGTTTATGTCTTCTGTTTAACGTCCGCTACCACATCGCTACACAGGCTTCCATCCCTGCTTTGAAGTTCCCAATATATCATAGCGTCGTGTATCACCTTCTTCATCTCTGGATAGTCACTCGATATCCGAGCGTTCGGATTTCTGACGCCTCTCTTCCAGCTCTCAGGCTTGAACATAGTCTCATGCACAGAAATTTCAAGAAATGAAATTTCTGGCTGACTGTCGGCAAAGTGTCCAACTAAGAGCCAAAAACATAACTCTTGGTTTCAGCCTAGGTAGTTACCTGAATGGTCAAAAGATACTGCTGGGCTGCCCATTCCAAACTCTAAGCCTTTCCTTTACCACAAGGTAAAATTCAAACTGGAAAAAGACTTGGATTAGGCTCCGTTCACTGCCTGAATTACTCATCAGATACTGTTGCCCATTTCTGAATTCAAGATATAATTAGATATGTGCTTGAGGCTGTATGGCTGGGAGCCCATTCCTTGAGACGCCAATTTCAATTAGTTTCGATAGTATGCTGAGCAATAATGCATTGTGTATTTCTCCAGAAGAGTTAATCTATTATCCAGACTTACAAAAATTATCAGAGGCAGAGCTATTTAACTTGAAAGAAATTTTGTTTAACTTCTGCTCAAGATTCCAAAATTACTTCTATCTGTTTGATTTGCACACTGAAGCAGATGAGCCAGAAAACTCTCTCATGAAATTTATTAAGAAGGCCAAGTATTATTTGTTATCAAGATTCAAGAAGGAAAGATTGGAAAACCATCTTGATGGGACTAAAACTGAATGCAGAATTGACATTACTATCGATAAAGCTAAAGCACAAGAAATAAAAGCTAAAGGGGAAGTTGATCATTCTGCAACTGCTTCAATGTTTAGTCAAATAAGCAGAGCCTTGGGAGCGGCAGCAAATAAAACTCTTACTCCCCACCCCTTTAAATTGGAACAAAATATAGGTAAAATTTCCCACTTTTTTGGTAATTAATCCCCTTTAAATTGGAACAAAATTTAATTTTATAATAAACAATTTTTATAAATCATAATTTTTATGTAAAAAGATTTGATATAATTTAAATGTTTCTTCTTAACTAAAATTAAAAATTTAGTTGTACCCTGCTCTTGTTTAAAGAATAGAGTATAAAGAGTATCTTATTTAAATAAATTTATTATCCTTAATTGTAAATTTTTAAAAAATTTTATTTTTTTTTGATAAAAATGATATTTTTTATTTAAATAGCTTTGATATAAATTCAATGCGAAATTCTTTACAAAAATTCGAAATTTACTTATCTCTTGCTTTATTTTAAAGAATAGAGTATAAATAACATCTTATTTAAACAAAATTAGCACTTTGGTTAATAAATTTTCTAAAATTTTTTTTTTTATCAATAAAAATAATAATTTTTGTGTAAATAGTTTTGATACCATTTAATAGTGGCGTATTAATTAATAATAAAATTTTAGTTATATCTTGCTTTGTTTTAAAAGATAAAGAGTAAATAGCATTTTATTAAACGAATTTATTAATCTAATTCGATAAATTTTTGAAATTTTTTTTTTTTTAAATTTTATATAGATTTTTTTTTTATAAAAAAATTTTATAATGATTTTTTTTTTAAAACAATTTTCTTAACCCCCCTTTAAATTGGAACAAAATTTTTAGTTCCAATTTAAAGGGGGGGAGTTAGACATCCTGAAAGAATGTTCAAATTTGCATACAAGCCAGAAGGAATCCAAGATGATGCTGGCAAGTATAATGAATTATTAACAGAACTTTCTAAAGAGCTTCAATCTCCATTACTTCCACTTTTGATCCCATCTCAAAATAACGTCCTTAACGTAGGCAATGGAAGAGATAATTGGATGATAAATCCAACCTCCACTCTCCCAGCTCATATGCACCTATTCACCACTCTTGGAAAATTCTTCGGTTCTGCAATCCGTACCAAGCTGAGGCTGAGACTTTCACTCCCTGTTATTGTATTTAAGCATCTTCTATACGAAAACGTTACAACCGAAGATTTAAGAGACTTTGATTTCCCACTCTACAAGTTTTTGCATAAATTAAGGAACCTTGAAGCCTATGGAATTACTGCGGACAACTTTGGCCAGCAAATTTCTGAGAAGTTCATAGTGAAATATGGAGAAGAAGTTGTGGAACTTTGTGAAGGCGGAGCCAATATTGACGTTACTTTTGAAAATGCTGCCCACTATGCTGATCTATTAGAGAAGCACAAATTATTTGAAAATCCTAACTGGCCCCCCCATCCTTGATCGAACGACTCGCCATCGTTCGATCAAGGATGGGGTTAAAAAATTTTTTTTTGAGAAAACAAATTTATATATAAAATAAAAAAATACATATATATTTTTTTATTTACTTTAAATAAGAGGGTTAAGAGTATTTAATAATTATTTTTACAGCAAAAAATTGAATTAATTTCAAAAAATACCAATGTTAATATTTTGATTTATTAGTTACCCTTTTAAACTGTATAAATTTTTATTTGTTCCTTATTGAATTAAAATTTATTTTTTTTAATCTCTATTTTTTAGATTATTGAATTTTTAAGCCTAGGTTGATGGCTAAATCACTTCGGATGGTTGATTCCGCAGCTTTCTGTCGTCTCAATGCTCTGAAAACAACTTCATTAGGTACATCTTCCTAAGCTTTTGATAACTAATATATTTTTATATATATACAAATTTGCATGATATGAAAATCGTTCGATCAAGGATGGGGGTAATTTCCCCAATTTTTAGGAATTTTTACAGTCAATCGTTCGATCAAGGATAGGGGGGAGTAAAGCTTACGATTCTATAAGGAAAGGTGTGGCTGCTGTTGTTCCTATTGATAAATTGAACCTATTCACAGCTGCTCAACTACGTGAACTCATATGCCTGAATCAAGAAGTCAAATTAGAAGTCTTAGAAGAAAACACCGTTTACGAAAATTGCAGAAGAACAGATCCGCACATTGAAAACTTCTGGGAAGCAATTAAATCATTAAAAGAAAGTGAGCTTGCCAAATTTATTGACTATATTGCTAGAAGGTCTAAGATTACTGAGTGGGATTGGCCTCTTAAATTTACAATAGCCAAGCACAGTAAATCCGGAGCAGTAAATACATTGGTTCCTATTATCGACAATACTATATTCAGACTTGAGCTGCCAGCTTATACATCTCCAGAAATCATGAAAGAGAAGATCATATTTGCGATTTCCCACAATAGCAAGTTTGATTCTTTAGACATTAATATTTAAGATAATGGACATTCAAATTAAAATTAGGTTTAATTCAATATATTATATTTTAAAATCTAAAGTATATCTCATTTATGTTTAAGTATATTCTTACTCCCTCTCTTTAAATTGGATAAGATATTTTTTTTTAAAAAAGAATTTTAAAAATATTTTACAAAAAAAAATAGAATACAATATTTTGGATTTTAGCTTATTTTATAAAGAATTAATAGGAAAATTTAATCGATTTAGTATGAAAAACTGTTTAAAAGATACTACTTGAATTTTTGCATTAATTAGGTCATAACTAATTAAAAAAATAAATATTTTTACCTATTTTTCCTATTAAATAAATTTTGCTCCAATTTAAAGGGGATAAAGTACCCAAAAATAGAAATTTTACCATTATTTTATTCCAATTTAAAGAAGAGGTTAGAATAAAATTTTATTCTCTATGTAAAGCCTTTATATTATTAGCTGATAAATAGAATAAAGTTCACTTGTGGATTGAAATGAAATAAAATAAAAACTATACTCTAGGAGTCCTTATGATTCCTCAGCGGATTTATCCAATTAGTTTAATTAGTAAAATCCCAGTTAGCAGGAGAAATATTCCCCAAAAAAATTATAAGAAGAAGAAAAAATTTACTTACCCTACCCTACACCAAAAGCAGCACCAAAAAAAAAATTTATAAGGATTAGTAGGGTAGGGTATACGAATATTTTAAGAAAATAATTTTAATAAATAGCCAATAAATGTCTGATTCATATCTATTCAACATTAAGGATGAAACCGAAGAATTGAGCTCTTATCTGAGAAAAATCAAAGCCCCAAAGTTTTTTCAAAAATTATTATGAGCCCTGTTCGAGCTTTACCGTATTTCTTACTATAATCAAAATCCAAGAGAAAAATCTGAATTTTTCCAAAAGTCAAAATTTATAGTAATTAATTTGATTTTTTGTTTTCAAACAATCAGTTTACTATGAATTCCAGACTTATCTATTACAAACTGGAAAGAAAATTTAAGGTTTTGGCAATATCTAGGCTATTTAAGAATTGATAATTGATGTGCTGCTTTAGGAGTAATGGATTACTGTATTTATATTTCGATTATTATAGTTCTAGTAAATACCGCATATCTTTTGATTTTAGTGCTTCTAGTATAGTAATTTTTATTAGCTTGAGAACCAAAAAATACTATGTAAGTAAGTTTAGCTCTGATTTAAAAATATATATATTTCTCCATAAAAATTACAAGAATATTTTTGGCAATTTTCAAAAAGATAAATTTCATTTGGCTTCATTTTTTCCAAATTCCAATTATTACTTTACTGATTTTAATATTGAAATATCGAATTTTCCCTGAAAAATATGTTTCAGAATATAGCAATAGTTATGAGCAAGGTAATTTTCAAGCAAATTTTATTGCTTCAATCTTTGCTCTGCCTCTATTGGCTTTGTCTTTTGTTTTTGGATTGTTTGATGCTGGGTTTACCGGAGAAATAAGACATTCAATTGCTTATAAAGACTTTAAATCAAAAGCACACTCAAAAATAGACTGTTATTCAGTCTTATTTTCTTTTATTTTGTCAATTTTATATGCTATTATGGCTTTACACAAAACTATTTATTTTCAAATTATTGTCATGATCTACTCTGCAATTATGCTAATTGAGTCAATTAAATACTTCCCATACTTCTCGCTATTTGCTAATTGTGTGATTATAGTTCGTTATTGAATTATTACAGCTATATCATTCTTATTCTTATTTGGGGAAATGCTAGATAAGTCTATGGTAATTGTGATGCTAACAATCACAATCGTTCCCTTATCAAGTTTAATTCTAATTCATGCAATTATTAATTTCAAAATGAAAACAGCACAGAAGTTACCTACGAATATTAAGCTATTAAAAAATGCATATGAGTTGGAAATCAATCTGAGATATTTTTTATGCTTGGATCCTACAGAAATTAATGAAACACTAATATAGTTTGGGCTCATTATTAGCGTGCCTCAGAGCTGGCTTGGAGCAAACTAAGCTCATTGGATTTTCTGCCGCATTCTGATGAGCCAATCTCGATTTGGTAAAATCAAACCATTGTGGCTATATTTGCCTTTCATAGTAAGGCAGAAAATCTAACAGGCTCTATTTCTGTTTCTTTTGAGCTCTGAGGGCATGCTAGTAGCGTACATAAGTTATAAATATTTTCTCTAAATGCTATCTAGAAACAAAGCTTTATAGAAATAAGCTACTGGCAGTATGAGAAGCCAATTATTGCACATTTTCTTTGAACGACGAGATTTTAGGAAAAATCAAGCTGGGAAAGGCTAAAATGTCTGATTTCGATTTGGAAGGCTCCTATCAAGAATATGTTTGCTCAAAAGCATATTTAGGATATAATATAGATGAAAATGCAAAGTTTTTGCATTATATTCATAAAATCCAAGTAACAAAAGCAGCTGATGAAAGCTTATGCATGGTCTTGAAATCATTCTGAAGGGAATTAGTTTCTACTAAGCCAGAGCTTAAAAAATTGAATAATATGATGAGATCTATCTCAAAAAATTTGAAACTTCTTCATATTGAGTATACATTTCTTATAAATAATTACCCAAAAAGCAAAGAAACTCTATTGCTATATTCAACCTTGCTCCAAAGCATTATCCTGGACTTTGATAAAGCAATGATTCTCAATAATAAAAGAAATTCATTGGAAAAATCATTAGAAATATCCCTAAAAGACCAAAAACGGCTAAACTTTTTTGATGACAATAATGGAATCATTTTAGCTTCCTGAGAAAAAAATACCCTTGGAAAAATTCAATATGCAAATCAAAAAGCAGCTGCTATTCTTAAGCAGTCTTCTGATACAATTATCGGAAATAGCATTTCAATGTATATTCCTCCGCCATTAGATAAAGATTTTAATGAAAGCATGTACAAATACCTACATCATTGCTCTAAATCAGAATTGAAACTTCCTTCTAGCATTTGTTTACAATTATCAAATAGAAATATTGTAGAATGCAATGTTCGTGCTTCTATAACCTCTTTATCTGATTTGTCTACTCTTGTGATTATATTTCGAGAAAGGCCTGTGGATCATCAAGTTGCTTTACTTTCAGAATCAGGCGAAATTGTGGCGCACTCACGTCTTTTTACAAAGCTTGCAGGAAAAAGAATGAGCAGCTTACAAGGCGTCGAACTCTCTGCACTCTTTCCTGTCTTAAAGAAAATGGTTTTGCTCCCTTTTATACCATATAAACTAAGCAATATAGAAACGGAAACGTATTTAGTATTGTGCTACAAGGTTATAAACTCAATCAGAATAAATTATGTTGTTTTGGTAAATGACCCTATTGAAATTGAAAAGTGAAAACACAGAGACACAGAAGAAATTCAAGAATCTGATCAAATTGAAGACTATGAATTAGACACCCCACCTTTATTAAGAATAAGTAGCTCAATAAAAACTGACAACCGCTCTGATTATTTCAGAAATGTCTTTTTTCAACTAAGCTAGCGCTATTTTTGTAAATATTAAAGCCATTTTTTTCTATAAAATAAATTTGGCAAGCAATAAATTGCGCATATTTTAGGCTATCCAATATAAATCAACTCGAGAAACCTTAAGACTAAAATCATTATCAAGAAACGATATTACACAGACTGGAGAAACAACTGAATTTACTGAGAATCTCAACACAGAAAAAAATGAAGATATTCTTTCAAATGTTTGCTCTCAAAGCTCAATAATTTTTACTAATTCAAAGGTCCTAAAAAGTCTTATGGAAAAGACTGTTAAATCATTGAAAATTTTCCAGATTATTTTAATTATCTCTATGCTTGTTGTTTTATTGACTAATGGAGCAGTTTTATTTTATGCAGTGGACGAAGTAAATTCTTCAAGTAGTTTACTCCCCCATCTGTGAGCGAGCAAAACCATTGGAAAATCCCTATTTTTGCCCAAAAAAAACTCCGTGAGAGAACAAAAATTTGATATATAAGTACAATTTTTGTATATTGGGGATATTTTTAAATTTCGAAAAAAAATGTACTATAAATTTATATATAAATTTTTTAAAAAAAAAATTAAGAAACAAACAAATTTTTTTGTTCGCTCACTGGGGGAGTTAGAGGTCCAAAATACATTAGGGAATATTGCAAAATCCTTTCTTTCTGTTTCTCATTTTGCAAGAATAATTTTTTTTGCAAGAGATTCTGCGAGTAAAGAACTTTTTAATGAATTTTTAAATGGCTTTTATGGTGAAATGAAAAATTTGAAAAATATCCATCAAGACATTTTAGCGAATCTATCAAGCTGAACTCAATGCTCAGCTCAAAAAATATTTTCTAGGTCTGAAGTTGATTTATGAAAAATTGATAACGATAAAATTGTTTTAGACAAAACGAACCTTGTATCTGCTTTGGAAGAATTTATAACAAAAAATTTTACTTATAATGCTTTAGGTCCGCTACGAAGTTTCCTTCCACCGGGCTTTCATCTTCCTTGCACATTTCAGGCCTATATGCGACCAGAAAAACAAGCATTGACCACCACAGCACGCTTGGGGGCGATGTTGCTGATTTCACCAGCTTATGAAAAGAGCTATTAGTCTGCCATAAAGAAATGCCTTTTTAAAACATCCAAAAAGTTGATCTTCTGATGACTTTCTGTATAAAGGAAAACTTAAAACCTAGGGCCTAGCTCCTGATTTCAAGCTGAAGAGTTGCCCAATTAGAAATTGGTATCTATACGATCATAGGATTTACCCTTTCAAACTCCATTCTTCACATTCCCCATAAGGTAAAATCAAACTTGGAAAAAGGACTCGGGCTAGCTTCACTTACTGCTAGAATTGCTTGTCTAGCATAAATGCTCATTTTTGGCGAAAAAAGCCTACAGGAGACGTTCTCAGTTGCATTGTCTTCCGGCCATGCCCTGGCTGAGACACCACATTTAATTGTATAGAAGATTTATAATAAATGTATATATTATGTAGGGAAACGATTTTATCAATAAATATAACAGCAACAAAACTGTGTATGAAGAAATCACATTTTTTACCTTAAATGGTTACGGAAGGACATTTGAATATTGCAATGCTTCATTATATGATTTAGTAGATTGCCAAATAAATCATGTTGACAACTTATCAGGTGACATCAATACGCTTTTAATTGCGGGTTTTGCAATTCTTTGCATTTGCGTTGGAGTTATGATTATTTTTTATTTAGCAGCTGACATTATGAAAAATACTTTTTGAAATCACATAAAAAGTCAAGCCTACGAATTTTATTATGATCTCAAACAATCTTGTCTAGATCGACTTATAAGTATTCATGGGCAAACAGATAATAATTCAGATGCTATAAGTGGACGGACAAGCAAAAATGGCGATTTTAAGGATCGCTGAATCTATAGTTGAAGAGTCATTGTTTATTTTCTATTTTCTTTATTTTTCTTCTTATTGGAATATACTTACTTATACCAAAACTGTGCTTATTTGTTGAAACTAAGGCCAGAGTTTATGAGAGAGTTGATAGATATTCAGTTACAATATAAAAGCTTGTCCATTTGGTCTGGCGAAACTTTAGCAAGATATTCACCAGCTTCTTTAAGTGCATTAACACCTCAGCAATACTTATTCAGTGACTATTATTATTATTATTTAGACGGTTATCGCCCTTCTACAGGACCAATAGTTTTCAAATTCATTTTTCTTTTTTCTTCCTCTTCAGCTCCAACTATTTCCATTTTCACCAATATATTCCTTGTTTTTTGTTTCACCCATCTCCAACTTCCTTCAATTTAGTATATCAGTTTCTCTTAATTTCAATATTTCCTGCTTCACTGTAGTGCTTTTTTCTAAATTCCAGTTTATAAACTTTTTAATTTTTTTCTTCGCATGTCTCGAAATTATGCAGATGTAGGTTCACTTATTTCTAGTGCAGTTTATCATGTTCTGAGTTTCTTTCTTGCATTTGAATGAAAAACTTTCAAGGTGTTTAAATTCTTCGCCTTCTTCCATTTTTAATTTTTCGCGGTTAATGGAGTGTGCTGGTTTCCTTATTTTCCCGCCAGTCTTGGCCTCAACATTTCTTATGCTATCACCATCACAACTTGCTTTTTCCGTTTTGATCACGCTGCATAGTTCCTCTCCAGCTTCGTCTAAACCATATAATGCTCCAATTATAATTTCTTTTTCGTCTATTTTATGCTCAACTTGAATCAGTTCTGTTTCCCCCAATAAGATCCCTTCACATCTTGCTAGATCTGTCACAATCAGTTCTTTATAAAAATGCTCCTCAATCATTAGCTCATCGTTCGTCTCCTCAACGTTTTCAAATTCATAAATTGTAATATTCATCATCGAAAAATTCTTCAGCGTCCATAACATAATTTTCTCTGTAGTTGCCAAGATACTCATAGTCTTCCCCTTCGTCTGACCAGGCTTCATTAGGACCAAATGGGTTTAAATAAGCCATCTTTTAAAAAGTATTCAGTGACTATAATATTATTATTAACAGAGAAATATCAAAAATAAACTGCTCAAAACAGCTAATAAGGAAAAATAAATATTTGGATTTTTTATCTTCAGATTTTCTTGTGCAGTTTTATGAAACATTAAGCCTCTCAAATCCTATATTGTCTTATGGAACCTATGCAGCAGGAAATTTAGTTATTTTTGAGACTTATTATCTAGATTATTCTGGAGATCTTGATGCGTTTAATATATTTATTAATTTGATGCTGACTTTAGAAGATATTAATAATGAGCATGATACTTTAATTAGCTTAGCTGATCAAGAATCTTACGACAGCATACAAAATGAGGTAAGAATGATTATTATTGCTTTAGTTTTTTATGCATTGGGGTCAGTTTTCCTTTATGCTGGATTTTATGTTCCTTTTTTGAAAGGAGAACGAAAAAAAATGAATAAAATGCAAAAAATTTCAAACATGATTCCAGGGAAAATTGTAAGTAAACCATCTGAACCAGATAATCAGCTGTTAAAAGGAAATAAATTACACATTTAATAAGAATTTATTATAAACGCAATTTTTAGAGTTATAACATGGAAATAAATATACTATTAAAATTTAATAAAAAATAGCTTAATTAATAAGATAGTCAATAAATCAATTAAGGATATAGACTTCCATATGTCAAATAAAATTAGTTAACTTCTCGAAAGTTGTGGACACCATTTTATTTAATTAAAAGGAGTAACAGGTCTGATCCTTAATTTTTTTCTATTTTGCTAGTGCTTTAGAAGTGAATTATCTTAGAATGCCTAAAGCTCTAATTTTATTCTCAACTTGGCTTGATTCTGCTGCTCCAAAATAGCAGTGCTTATGTCGAAATTTTTTATACACGCCAATCTAGTTCAAGCTGCAAAAGTTTGCTAAAATTGGCGCTAAGCTTTTGAGAATTCTCCTCGACTTTTCTTTTGTTTTCATGTGGGCTGATTATTTTGAAATTAAATTTAATTAGTCTAGATATGATTACTCAAATCAGAGTAGCATCTATATTTAAAATTTTATTTTTAGTTTTAAATAATCGACTTATTTTGATATAATATCTTTCTCGCAATCTATTAAATTATAGTAATATTAGCTATTAAAATTAAATTATTGTCTCTTTGCAGATTTGCTTAATCATAATATGATCTTTTAAACAAAAAAATGCCTCAACTCTGTTTATATGTTTCTCAAATTCAATTTTGATATGTCCTTTCCTGTGTTTAATATTATAAAATGGACGAAGAAACTACTCCTATAACTACAAATACCCCAAAAACTCAATCCCCTCTATATTTTCAAAGCATTTTTATTGCTTGTATTGAATTCGGATATGCCTTAGAAAATGTGTTCATTTCTCCTTATTTCTTGAGGCTTGGCACTAATTCCTATCTAAGCGCTATGATTTGGCTATTTCCTTCATTTTTTAGGTTATTATTAAATCCTATCCGCTCTCAATATATTTATTCAAACAAGCAAAAGTTTGAGCAACGAAGGAACCGAATTCTATCTTATCTTTGCTTACAAAGTTTGCTCGGGACACTAATTTTTATATTTGCTGGGTCATTAAGTCAATGATATTTCGAAGAAGATGTCGAAACTAATAAAAATGCAAAAAATTTAGCTCTAATACTAGGGCTTATTGGCTTTATCTTTATGGATTTAGGGTATTTAATGATAAATGATTTATTGATTGAAATTATTCATCATTCTAACTCAGAAGTAAATGATATTGATTTTTGGATTTTTAATTGGAAAAAAGATATACATTAATATGGCGGAGGCGGCTGCACGACCTCTTAACGCAATTTCTCAGGATCTTCAGGCAATGCATAGGAGGAGGAATCAAATCAAGAAATAGATACGGAATCCCTTTATGTATTTGGGCAGAGGTTTTTCTCGTGCCCAACCTATGATACCTGGGATATGGGATGCCTCCTCCTAAAATGAAGTCGGAAAGAGCACAGTCGGCCATCGTCCCCAAGATTAGATCCTATCCCTACTAGAATTAGGGACAATGAAGACAATAGATCCTCATAGTTAAGCTAGCCTTGGCGAATGAACACCTCGGGAACAAGTCAGGTATGACACAGCCTAAATCAAGGCAATCGGTGTCAGCCTGCTCCTTATAACAGCTGATGAGTTTAGAGAAGCGAATATCCTTTGCCGATTTCAACAACACCAATTTAATTTAATTGGAAAAAAGGTGGAAGGATAATAGGGTTTTTGTTTGCATCGCTAGATATTTTCGAAACTTATAGTCTGTATACCTATTATGCTGTAGGTGACAATTTAGCATTTTCTTTTGGATTTTCAGCTTTTATTTATATGGTAATTTTCTGCTTGATTTTGCCAGGAATTATGAATATTCCATATAACTACCGATATAACCCTGAAAAATGCTCGATTACTTCACTTAGCTTATTTTTTATGTCTCCTCTCAAAATAAAACTTTTCCTACTTGCCTATTATTTTTCTTATGGAAGCTATTTCTTAATTTCAATTTACACAACTTCATGGGTAACAATATCACTTTTAAACGAAAATTCAAGAGGTGCAAAGTATTTGATTCACCATAGAGAATTTGAAATCGGTGTTTCATGGGGTGCATCTGATATGCTCCTTTTGAGTTTTTTTGCATTAATATTTTCGCAGCTCATTAAATACATCAGGCATAGTTCGCTTATTTCAGAAAGTCTTATTTGATCTATATCTTGCATTGTATGCACTGCTTCTCTAACACTAGGTTTACTGCTTAACAGCAATATTTATCTATATGCTTTGATTCCATTCTGCAGCTTGATTTTTGCTACTATCCAAGTGATTCCTCAACATCTTTCTCCTCTACTCGACAAAACCTATTCAAAACTATGCCCAATAATATCATTTCCTCATCTTTCCAAAGACTGCCCAAGCCAAAAAAACCAAAAAAGCAATGCTTTGCATCTTCCTCCTGAATACATCCCACAATGGGAAAAGCTTTTACTCTGAAGTGGCTCCCTCAGCGAAATCACAGTTCTCTGTATCGTCCCCACAATTTTAGCTTTTTTCCCTGAAGTTGACGATAACATATGGGCTTTAAAAGTGTCTGCTTTCTGATGCTCAATAAGTGCCATCCTTTGTTTATTTTTAAAATAGCCTTAGTCTAATTAAATGGAGTCTCGCATTCATATCAAAGAAGAAGAAGAAATCCCTTACGAGGTCTTGTATTCAAGAGCTAATGAGCTTATTACATCCTCTGAGGACGAAAAATATCTAGATCCTGAAGCTTTGATACGGTTTTTGAGGGCAAGGGAAATGAAAGTTGACAACGCCTTAGAAATGTGGAGACATTGAATGGAATGGAGAAAATCATATAGAGCGGACGAAATCACTGAACTTGAAGTCATGCCTCAGATTGAAACGGGACAAGCTTTCTGGCATGGCCATGACAATCAAGGCAGACCATGCTTGATTGTTAGGACTAGATTTCACTGGCCTGGTCAGTTTCCAATGGATAACATGATCAGATATTGCATTTATTTGGTAGAAATTGGGATTAGGCTTGCTGACGAATCAGGGAATGGGCAAATTTGTGTGATTTATGATAGAGGGCAGATGACAGAAGCCAACAGAGACCCAGAACTGATAGGGACTATGAAAAGGCTTTCGGGGATGCTACAAGACTATTATGCTGAGAGATTAGGGGCTTTGTATGTTTTGCATGTGAATTGGATATATTGGTTAATGTATCAAGCTGTTAAGCCAATGCTTCAAAAGAAAACGAGAAATAAAGTCCATGTATTAAGAAATATCAACGGCTTAAGGGATCATTTTTCTCCAGACCAACTTTTGATGGAGTATGGGGGGACTAATGATTATGAGCATCCTTATCCCAGGAAATAGATGAATATTAAGTAATTTAGAATTATTTGGTGAGAGTTAAACAAATAAAGAATAAAAGGGATGGAATTTAAGTTTATAAAAAACAGCCCCCACCCGGGTTTGAACCGGAGACCTTTAGTTTACGAAACTAATGCTCTGCCAACTGAGCTATAGAGGCATAACTATCCGATTTTTAGGTGGGGAGATATATATAGAGATCAAAGTCAAAAAGCACTAATATTGCTATGCTTAATTTGATTTACTTCAATTTTTATTTATTTTATTTTGCTATCCCTATAATCTGCTGCTTTATTTTGATTTTCACCTCCATTTGCATTTCATTTTTTTCTTATTTCCTTGTGAAGATAAGATATAGTGCTTTTCTTTTTCACATAAATATTTGCAAACTTTATTTATATAAAGAAATTCATCTTTCATTTTATCTTTCTCAGTATCTTTCACAATGCACCCTTTATAAAAACATTTAAGCTAAAAGTCATTTTATTATCACTTTCCTCCTTTTCCTCATTTATTATCAAAAATTTTCATATTTAATAAATTATTATAATAATAAATGTCTGAAGACCCCAATAGCACTCGTAATAGACGCTTCGAGATCTTAAGAGAAAAACTAAAAGCAGCAACAGGATCAGACATCCCTGAAATAGTCAACGAAATAAAAGACTTTCTCGAGAGATGCGTGTATTACGCAAACGAGCAGCCAAACTATCTGGCGCAACTAATTCCTGAACTTCTTGAAGTTTTGCATAAAATCCCGCCTCAATTTAACGAAGGCGCAGAAAACACAGCAAGACAAAACATTTTGGAAATTGTCGTAAAGTGCCCTAATTTGGAATCAATTCGCAATTATTACAATCAGCTTTTCAAGATCGCTGAAGAAGTCATGAACCAGGACAACGAAGACAATGCTTGCATTGCAATCAAGCTGTTCATAGACCTCACTCGAACTTTCAAAGACATCGTCAGTGAGGCCTACATTTCCAAATTTATCAAGTATGCCGAAAAAATGTTCAAAGAGTCTGCTGATATCTGTACTAGAGCGCTTGACAAAAAATACCAAGCTGGGTCATTGCTAGCGAGAAACCAGTCGTTAAAAGTGCTGATAGAGTGTGGGAATGGAATTACATCGCTGTATCATCACTTTCAAAGGCTTGTGAATATATAGATTATTTAGATGAATGGCAGCGTAATTATTTATAATAAATATGGACAGGGTAAGTCAAATTAAGTGGATATTGATGTAAATGAGCATAAAAGATTTCATTACTTATGCTTTTGAAATCGTGTGCAGGGATGAGCCTGAAAATCTCAACAGAAACGTGAAAGTCTATAATGACTACATCTTATGCAAAACAAAAATATTGATTTTTGTAGCTCAATTTTCCAGATCTGAGAGATTTTATGAAGAATTCAAACAATATGATGACAGGCTGCCTCAGTCAATTATAAAAATGATGAGGACATTGCCGTCAGATTCTTATAATATTAAAAAAGACCTTTTCCAAGGCTTTTCTGAAATAATTAAATCAAATCACAGAAAAGGCTTCTCAAGGCATATCGACAGTATGCTCGAAGACAATGAACCAAACGCAACAGCAAATAGCATCAGATCAGCTTGATACGGGGCAATGCTCGAATTTTTAGAAATTTTCAAACAAGAAATGACCTCAGAGCAGCTCTCGAAAGCGACAGCACTTATATGTAGAAATATCCATATGTTTCCACTATTGGTGGTACAGTCATTAAATGTGCTGAAAAGCTTTTTGGACAGCATCAGAGCTTTGAAAGACAGCCAGCGAGTAGGAAGGGATAGAAATTTGCAAATCGTAGATTCCATGTACCAAATGATTTTGCTGACAGTGAGCAAAAGGCTAGGATACTGCAGAGGAGTCATTGAAGAAAATATGCCACAAATCAAAGAAAACAGACTAAATAACACCCGAACTAATCAAATTGTCCATGAAGTCTGTGGGATTCTAAAAAGACTGTCAGATTTAGCAAGAAGTGTCATCAATGAAAAGCTTTATATGCCAGCAGCAGGCAGCGGCCAAGTCTCAATCCTCCAAGACTACCCGACTGTGCGCTTAATCACCAAAATCTTTAAAAACCTTATCATTTCTTCTAAAATTTATTCAGAAATGAGAGCTGACCGAGAAGAATATAACATCTACGAAACCATATCCCAGCTCTTCAGCAGCTTCCATCCAATAGCTCTTCAAGATATTTTACAAGCCTTAACACCAATTCTTTTCTTAAAATATGTAGAATCTGCACAAATAGATTAGATTAGATTACGATGGGTATTTATGGTCCCAACTTCCAAAGCACTGTGCATTCCGCAAGCGAACGCTTGTGGGGTGGATTCCCTCAAGGCAGCTTGAGCTCGGGCAGAAGCCCCCAGTTTCTGGTAGAGACATTTTCCCTCCTGATCTGTTCAAGCTATATTTGCAGGAAACTCCATTTCCAACTCAAGTGCCAAAATTGCCAAATCGTAGTTAGGCAGATTGCCCCATTAAGGGACCCTTTTAGACTGAAGAGACTAGCCCTGAGATCTTTGTCTTACCTGTCTTCATCTATTTCTCCGGATCATCTCCGGAGAAAAAACTTATTGTGTTTGTGAAGATATTGGCAGGCCACAAAAACAGCCTTGAAAAGTTGCCCTGCCTCTTTCAGGCACCCACTCTGGGTCTGGGCACTGCTGGCAAAAAAGATGCAAAAAGCTGCCGTTCGAGCCTTAGTCTTAGTCTTAGTTAAATTTATAGAGTAGCTCCCGGCCAGGACCGAAGGTCCTTTTCTTCCGCCTTTTGGATGCCTCGCTTGCTTTCCTTGCCCTGCTCCCAGTGTGCACCTAAGTGCCACATGCTACCACTCAGCTCCTTCCGGTCATGGGGGCTGCCGTTCGAGCAAGACCACTAATCAGTGGAAATGCTCTGGGCCTCTTGGTTCGGTGCTAACCTAATCCTTGCAAAACACGTCTGCATATACATAAGGATACTGTTACAGGGAGGACTGATCGCTCGCTACCAGCCATTTTATATATATAAACTCTACAAATAATTACAAAATTCTTTGACAGCATAAAAAGAAGCTCCCGCGACTCTATGAGAGCAATGGGAGATGTTCTTATGCCTTTCGTTATTGATAACCTTGATATTTTAGAGCCAAACTCTCCTATGGGTGAAGCGAAGCTATTCCACCTCTATTGGCTTGCAAAGACAGAAATGCCTCCAAATATTGATAAAAATGCTATAAGAAAACGTTTATGGAGCTTTTTGGAGCTGACCTTAAATTACGAAGTACTCGAAATGCATGGCAAAAAACTCGTCCAGAAGTGCGAAGATTTATGCAAAACAGAAACTATTTCGAAGTTTGTGGTTCTAGCAAGAAACTGCATTACTATCGTATTTAAGAACAAAGAGTTGAGGTATGAGCTTTCAACACCATGGATACAGCAGCAAGATCCTTTATTACTTCCATTTCCTCCTTCCCATGTGATTTTCCAGGGGCTATTCAGCTCAAGTTCAGAAAAAATCACACAAGCTTGCTTATTAATTGACGAAAATCTTGGCAGGATCCAAATTACCCCAGAGCTGTTAAAAAGACTATATGAGCTGCTGCACAAGTCACATGTAAGCTACAATCTTGAAATTATGAAAATTCTTGGAAAACTGGGAAGAAGCGTCAGAGAATGCCGCCAAGCGATCACTTTTAAAAGCTGGAGCGCTCCATTATCTCCTCTTTCCCCTGGGAACTCTTCAGTCTATACTTTCCACTTTTCTATTTATTACGATCAAAATGCGTCTGCACTCAAAATTCCTCTTGACTATATAATTTTGAAAATCGCCAAAGCATTCAAAGCGAAAACCAATGTGGACGAAAACCAAAAGAAAACAGTTTTAGCCGCAAGTAAGCTAATTTCAGTTGCCATTTTGTCACTATTATCCAAATTCAGAATTGATCACAAGCTTCTAGCTATGAAAGTAGCTTACGTGATGAGCGGAAAAATTGAAGAAATTGCCCAAGTTGTAGATGGACAGCCTAAATTGCATAAAATCGCATTTCAAGAGACCTTGAGGAATTCAATAGAAGCTTTGATTTCTTTATTAGCGTTTTCAGAGACTAGTGAAGAGCTTGGTGAGCTTTATGAAAGAGTTTGCATACATTTTGGGATGCTAATTTTTATCAGTGTTGAAGGCGAGCCTGTTGAAATTGGAATGAATCCTTTAGATATCCTAGAAATTCTTTGTGAAAAATTAGCATACTTAGAAAAAGGCGATGAAAGATTTTTGGCATCACTGAGAGGACTGACAAATATTTTAAACACAATTGGAAAATTACTGCATAAAGATGAAGCAGCACTGAGCAGAAGTGAGTCTGTAAAACAAGTTCTGCTTGTTCTCATAAGGACTTGTTATAAGCAGGAGTGAACCATGCAAGTTGGAGCTTGTGGAGGACTTTGTAGGCTGTTTTCTAAGTTCCCTCATCAGCTGATTCAAGCACACGCAACTTTAATACTGAAGACTTCTTTACATATTTTGCAGAGCTTCCCCTCAAACTTCAAGTCACAAATCACTGATGAATCCGTCAAACTTTTCAATTTGGCATCAACTCATTGCTCAAAAGAAACAATAGTCACAGAACTTGTATCAGCTTTGCTCTCAAGATCCCCAATTCTAAGGCAAATCGCAAGGCAGCTTATTGATGATAACAATTATGTCGAAGACATTGGAAAAATCCATAACGCATTATCGTCAAACTTATGCCCTTATAAGCCTGAAATTTCTCTACAACAGCAATTAATTGATGTGATTTTCCTGCAAAACATAAAAACTGCTCATGTGAGTGTAAGAACTCTTATATTAGAAGCCTTTACATTCTGCTTGAAAAAAGGAATTATTAAGATATCGCAAGATGGGAACCAAGTCATTTACAATTTCATCCTTACACTCGTTGAAAGAGCGGACGATTTCTTAGAAAAAGAGCCGAAAAAGGACAAAACTAAAGATGAAAGCCCAGATTTGGTGTTAAATGAAAAGATTGCTGCGTATGAATGCATGAAAACTATATTGAAAAATGAAGAAATGTGGGCCTTCATCAGGCAAAAAGATGAAAAATATGAAAAAATGAGGTATAAGATAACTTTTAAGTTTTTGAGAGCTATGAGTCAGCATAATGACCAAAGAGTGATTGATATAGTCAAAGAAGGGATTATCAGCTTGCTGGAAAGGGAAGAAAATAGTAGGCATATCCTTCCACAAGATGAACTAAAAGCTTGTTTGAGGTCCTAAACTTAAACTTATTGCAGACTTGGATGCTGCCTATTGTTAATGCAGTCACCAAAGATCCCCTCTTTGCTACATCGACAGGGATAACTTCTTCGAGTTAGATGTCTACCGGGTGAGCTACAGCTTTAGGCAATACTTTCCTCTTCTCCACATTCTGACGTTATGACACCTGTGAAGCAGGGTTCTGTGTCTCCGTCTGCTTCTTGCTTTGTCAACTTCAGTGTTGAGTGGAAAGGCTATGGACTTCTGCAGCATGCTGCTTGGGTTAAATAAAGGTTGACCACACAAAAATCCCAAAAAAATGGGACTATCAGAAGAGAGGAAAAAATTAAAAACCTGGAGCTTAACTCCCATTTTCACGATAGAAGCTGCTCGATTATTCTAGGAATTACCTATAGACTTTATTGGGCTTTCCCTTTTAAACTCAGAACTCTCGCTTTCCCTGGAGGTAGGTAAAATAAAAACCTGAAAGCAGACTAGGGCAAGGCTCTGTACATTGCCAGAATTGCTTACCTAGTATTGCTATCCATTTCTATGCTGGCAAAACCTTGCGGAATATAATTAAATACGTGCTCGACAGAAGTCGGCGAAGCACTGATACGCCATATTTATTGCTTGCTTGAGGCCAATTTTACTAGATTTAGCGAAAAATTCCAACTTGCCTAGCTTGCCCCGATTACAGAATTTTTCAAGACTTTTAGAAGTAATTTCTAATTGTTTCAATACGAACTTAGGTGACAGGCTTCTCCATCATTTGACAGATATTTGCAGTGACCACAACGCTCGTCCTTTAATTCCTTTGGTACCAGCTATCGCAAATCTTTTCCATTTAATGCCCAGCTGTGCAGTTGAAATACTTACTCCAGTTATTACAGGCTTTATTAAATCAGAAGAAAGTCTTCAGAAAAACTCTTTACAAGGATTTTTAAATTCTTATTTCACAGTTCCATTAATCAGGTACCTATCAAGATTCCCTAATGAAACACTGAAATTTTTCTTTGAGGATAAATTCACAGAAAAAAGACTTCTCAACTATTTCATTGGGCTTCTAGGACATCCAGCTGGATACCCTCTACGTGAATGCATAGCACAAAGGTATCAGGCCACTTTAAGAGACAAATTTTTCAGTACTGGGAGTCCTGAATTTCTGTCTGAAGGGCTGAAAATGCTTAATTGTCTTGTGAAGTATATGCCGAGATGAATAAGCTCAAAGCAAGATTTAATTGATGCTTTGTATAAAGTATGGAAATCAATGATAGACCAAGAAATCCAAAACGAGGCACTAATTATTGAAAAAGGCTACATTGAGAAATACATGATAAAAGCCTTTGTTAGCTTTATCAGATATAACCACAAAGACGGAATCAAGCAGATTCTATTTGAAATCCCATTAGCTTTTGGCAGAAAACAAATATGGAATACCGACTTCCTGTCTGATTTCTTGCAAAAGGAACTCCCATCTATATTAACTTTAGAAGAAAAATATAAAACCTTGAAAAAGCTGATGCAGTTTTTGCATGACCCCCAAGTCCATTCTCAGCAAAAGTCAAAAGTCCTTGAATTCTTCACAATTCCTTTCTTGTCTGAAACTTTTAAGCAGGAAAATGGAAAAACTATTTTAACAAAATCTCTGCAAGTCTCAACAATAAAACTTATAAGAAAACACCTAAATGATATTTCAAATACCTGCTGTGTCCAATTGATGAATTTAGGGTCACTCTTTATAGAAAACCTAAACCAAGAATTTTTCCCACATAGAAAAGAGCTTATAAAATTCTGCTGGGGAATGATAAAATCTGAAAACCCGTTTATCAAAGGAAGTGCTTATGTAAATGTTGCAAGATTTATTAATATTTATAATCTTCCGGATACTTTGACAGTTCAGCTTTTAGGTGCTCTATTAAAAGCTCACCATAGCGAGCTAGCTCAGTCTTCTCAGCAAGCATTCACTTATCTTTCAGAAAAGCTTATAAACCTATTTAAAGAGTCCCGTCTTCGTGAATATCTTACAGAATTTGTAACTTAGCTTAAAGGGCTTAAAGTCTTCCAGATTTGATGGCTTCGCAAGCTTATGGCAACCGGAATCTGCTTTGCGAATGAGTCCAGCTGTCTCAGCAGCGGTCTACTCCGGAATCTAGCCTTGCATCGATATCCCTGAGTCTTGACAAATTAGGGGACTTCTCTTCTTGTTCACGTCTTTGAGTGCCTATGGAGACAAAGGCTAGCCCGATGCCTTCTGTAGGCCACCTTGAGGGAATTGACACCCAAAGAAAAAGAACGACAGCCCTCCGGAGCCAGCAGGGAAAAGAAATCCGTGACCCAAAAACCCATCCGAATAGCTAATATCTGGACTGAAATAGCCATCTGCTTACTACTAAAGTTTACTCACCCCATACAGCCGCTCTAAGCAAGCTACAGATTAGGATTAAAGGGTCTGAACCTTGCTATAAAGGCATTTTGGCGTCCAAAGTGGTGGGTCGTCGGCAAGGACATGCTTTGCTACAACCCCATATTAATAATTTTAGAATTTGTAAGGAAAAATTTGCTGCAAGAAACTCGACAATTTCAATCTATGATGCATGTGATTGATATTATAATAAAAAATGCCCATGTCTTTTATTATATTAGAGAAGGCCTTACAAGCCATTTTTTGAACTGAATCAATCACTTAGGCCTACTTCTCCTCTTGGTTAACAACCCAAAACAATTAGAAAGATCCTATTTTGGGACAATTAATCCTTGACTATGAAGGAAAAGATTTTTAATAAAATATTTTGATAAAATTAATGGTTATAATAATTAGATCTCCAGCTCTATTAAATTTAATCTGCTTATATCCTTAAATATTAACAATAAATTAAATTAGATTTTCCTTTAAAATTCGATGAAAGTTTTTATTTTTATAGAATTTTATTTAAACTCAGAAGAAAAATAATTTATCTAATTGATTAGCTAGCAAGGTTGTTTTGCCCACTAGCCAAATGGGAAAGTTAGGGCTTCACTCAAATTATAACGCGAAAAAGACACTACTAGATTTAACTGCAGTCATGATTGATTGGTCTGATAGACACGCTAAGGAAATAGGAGATTCTTATATAACTGCTCCACATAAAGAAATGCTTATCAACTTTTTCGCAAGATTTGGCCAAGCTCCAGCATTGTATATAAGCAGAACTCCACAAAGAACATTTGAGCAAATGAACTTTTTAAGTGTAAGATGCATCAATAACATGAAAAATGCTTTGAGGCTCTGGGGAGAGGTTACATTTAAAGCTAAAAACTGGACAGAAGCTCTGAAGAAATGTGTGAATTTAGTACAGCAGCATCAACAAAGAGGGTCTTCTGCTGATGCATTGAAGAAATTATTAGAGAGAAGCTTAAATATTGTCAAAATATTATCAGAACATAACACAAGGATGGCTATTGTGCAGTACCCAGAATTAACAAAATATCTAGCTTTACAAGTAAAAATTACAGAAAGTCCACCACTTATAAAAACACTTTGCGATATTATTGAATTGCTACTAAACTCAAGAGCTTCAGACTTAAAAGGACAACTAAATGAAATTTTAGAAGCTTCTTTCGCAGATACTTCCCAACAAAATTACTTGTGGACCGTAAAGCTACTCGCAGTAGTTGCAGACTTTTCTCCAAAAGATGTGACGAACCATATGAAAGGTCTATTGCAGATGACAACAACCCTCGTAAAAGAGCTTTTCCAAGACACAATTGGCAAGGAAAATAAATTTGATGCCCTTCTTACATCCCTCAAAATAATTCAAAACAATATTACTCTTCTTGCAGACGAGAACAAGCGTGCACTAAAAAATATTATAATTATCATATTTGAAGGCAGCACTGACCCCAAAATCATGCTTGAAGCTTGCAGCCTTATGGAAGTCTGGATAACTCAATGCCCTGAAGATTCTCAACTAACTATAAAAGACCAATGCTCAATGCTTTTGAAGCTTTTCTCATCTCCTAAGCTAGAAATCCAGAACGCTTCAGCGCCTCTCCAGCTAAGTCTTCGTGTTTTATCTGCAGAATCCTCTGTATATGAGCCTCGTATAGCGCTTTGTAAAGCAGTTTTGCAGTATCTCTTAAAAGATCCAAGTCATGAGATGAAGTCAGCCTTCAACAATTTATTAAAGCAGATGATTGGGACTTCTATATGGAGGCGCTTACAGTTTGCATTTGAGCAGCAAGACTGCAGTGAGTCGAAGGCATGGACCAAAGCTTCAATTGACATCATTTTGGGAGCACTTGAAGAAAGTGTGGTAGTAGAAGATGACGAAATGGAAGAAGAAGCCGACTGGGGGATGGACAGAGATATTGCGGAGTTTTTGAGGCAGCATGTATGGTACATTACTCATAAAAAAGTGAAATATGCTAAAGACTTGATTGCGCCGCTGCGACAGCTATTGAATTTACCGATTTCTCATTATTTGTTTACTTATCTGTTCCCACAGTTATGGGAGTCTTTCAATAAAACCCAACAAACAGCTCTGACATATTCAATAGAAAATTTATTAACTAACAGGCTGGCTCCAGAACCAGTATACCACAACTCTGCTAAAACAATTCTTACAGCTGTCTCATCATGCTACCCACTCCCCATAATCAGGCCAGAAATTATTCACTTCTTAGCAACTGCCCACAACTCATGGAACATTGCTATTCCTTTGCTTCAGGCTTATACAAAGTATCTCCCAGAGTCCGATAAATACATCTATTTACTTGAAAATCTCTACCATAGACTCAGTGAAAGGGAGCTTGAAATCGGCTGGAAAATGATCCGAGCAGGCAATGAGACCACAAAATTATCATTAAACACCTTTTTAGTTGCAGACTGGGACAAAGCTCGTACGGAGTTTGAAAGAATTTTGGGATCAGGCGAGACTGAAGATGTTGATATTTTGGAAAATTCCTGAAGGGAAAGTGTAGAAAGGCTTGGCGATTGGACCACACTTGTAGAGTATGGAGAGCCTAGGCAGGATTTGTCACTGGTTGAAAGCTATTGGCAGAGTGACGAGTTTGGCAAGATGAAATCGCTTTGCCATAAACTCAATATTTCGTTCCATCCTACATGCATCTACTATTTCTGTGTAGCTGATTTAGCTCAAAGCTCAGATGATAATAATTCTATCAGAGAATTAGAAAAGAAAAATGAATTCGGAACTATGGGGCTGTTGCAAGAATGGGCAGCTATACCAAAGTACCCATCCGCAGCGCATATACCAATAATGCAACAATTAGAGCTAAAATATGAATTCTATGAAGGATTGGTTATGCTAAAAGCCATGGAAGACCATTTGTCAGCTAATAAAACACCAATTGACTTGGTAGAAAGCATCAATAAGTGAAGAAGGAGAAAAATCAGCCCTCAAGACGGCCCAAGAATGTGGGGTTCAATATTAAAAACAAGAAAAGTGTTTTTCAAACACATGGGAATTATTGCACAAAAAAATCCTAACTACATAAGTGCTTCAGAAATTGGCAATTTGCAAGACTCAACCTGGACTGATGTGACACACGCAAAGCTGTGCAGAAAGGCTGGAATCTATAGTAAAGCAGCCAGCATCCTCGAAAATTTAACAAATGAAGAATCCCAATCAGAGATGTTCCTTATTGCTAAAGAAAAAATAAAACTCTGTATGTCAACTGAGTATTATGAAGGAGCTCTTAATTTAGCAAGATTTTACTCACAGGAAAATACCAATATCGACCCAACTAAAATAAGTGAGTTTAAGAGGCTAAAAGGAATCATATATTCAAGGATTAATGATGAAGAAAAATCAAAGAACTGCTTTAGCAATGCAGCAGCCACGAGTCCAAAAATTATGAAAAATTGGCTCAGCTGGGCACATTTAATATCCAAGGACTATGAAGAGAATAGATCACCAGAAATGGCGACTCAAGCAATGGTAGCTTATTTATTAGGAATACAGTCAAATTTGCAGAAATATCGTCTTTATATTCCAAAAATACTGCTTTTATTAGAAAATTGTGACAGTCCTAGCTCATTTGAAGAGTTTTCAGACAGGATTTCTTTAAGTCTTATGGCTAATTGGATTCCTCAACTATTATCCAGCCTCGGTAGGCCTAATTCTGACGCTATTTACAAGCTGCTCATTAAGATTGCAACTCAAAAGCCTCAATCGCTCTTCTATCACCTCAGAAGTCTCATTTTAGAAATTAACGACCAATATGCGAGCTCCCCTACAGAAGTTCTCAATGAAAAACTCCGCTATCCTCAGCTGCTTATGGGAGAGCTTCGCAAGAAGCATCCTATCCTAATCCAAACCTTAGAAATCCTCTGTCAAAACTTATCACAAAACCTAAAAGTTTCTATAGAAGAAGATTTCTACAACACCATTTCCAATCTTCTTCAGCTTACCTTTATCACCAACGAAGAAATCACTGAGGAGCACGTCCAAGAAACTTTTGAGTCAATTGATGACAAGTTTTTCAATAGAGATGATAATGTCGAATTTATTGAAAAATACCATGAAGACTTCATGAATGATTTCAATGAAAATATCTATGGAAATCTCAGACAAATCCAGCTAAACCTGAAAAAATGGAAAGACAGGCTATCACAAGAAATTAAACTAAATGATCTGAAATATTTGGACCAAGAGTGCATAGACCTCAGCACATTTTATTCAAAAGAAATAGAAATCCCTGGGACTGAAAAAGTCATTTTGGAAAGATTTTTGCCAAAAATAGTCCCTATTAGAGGAAAAAACAGCAACAGAGCTTTGACTATAAGAGGGTCTAATGGAAAAGATTATACTTTTATGGTTGCTGTAAATGCACCGTTTTCACATAGTTCTTATAGGCTGACACAAATAATGAAAAATTTAAATCACTGCTTTATTGTGCATGGACATAAAATTAGTCACAGGATACAGGGGTCAAACTTTGACATACAAGAGCAAGTCCCAATAGACTCAAGGCATTCGCTAGTAGAAATGAGGTCAGGCTCTATATCTTTGAATGAAATTTATAATTTAACGGTAGATGAAACAGGAAACGACCCTGATTTTTGGATATTTGAAGATAATGATGAAATTGTGCCTGAACATTTGTTTAGCTCATATATACAAAGGTGCTTGCAGTCTCCTGACAGGTTTGCAGTCTTTTCAAAACAATTTACTGCACAATGGGGATTATTTTATGTTCTAGCTGAGCTTTTAGAAATCCCAATAAATCAGCAGCTATTGACTAGGCTCTGGATCTCTAAGACATCTGGTACTTTAGAGCTAGGGTTTTCTGATCTTCCTTTAATTTCAAACTATGAAGGTACTATTGGAGTCCGCCTAACGCCGAATATCAAATATTTAATTGGTGAAGCTGGAATCAAAGGTTTGATGCCTGCAGTGATTTCCAATTCAATGAAGCTGATACTTAAGCAAAAATCTCAAATAGAGCCATTGCTATACTATATACTAATTCCACCACTCTTATCAAGCAAACCTACTAGAAAACCCCTATATGGAAAAATAGCCATTTGATTAGCGAGCAAAAATTTTTTAATATGACTTTTTTCCGAAATATATAAAATATGTACTTTTAGATAGTGCAAAAACATTTATACTGGTCGACCAGTATAAAGGTTTTTGCACTATATTAAAGTGCATATATAAATTAATGGTATAATGATAAACTCAAGCAAATTATATTTAAAATTTTAAACCATAAATTTTATAAATTAAATTGATTTTTTATTTAGATATTTACAAATTTAGCTTATTTAATAACAACAAAACTAACTACCCTTTGCGAATAAACAAGAATTTTTGCTTGCTAATCTAGTGAGGGATAAGAGATGAAGGAGAAGCCGATATGACTAAAATAATGTCAATAATCGAAGAAAATATTGATGTACAAAATATCCATCAAAAATTAGAAATGTCAATACAAGAACCAATCAGTGCTTCGTCACTTAAATGGTTTTAGAATAAATTAATACAAGTGCTGATCTAGCTTTTTATATAAAAAATAATCTATTTAAAATATTATAATTTCACGGGTTATAATCTCCTTAAAGCTTGTCTACCATTTGCTGTTGCAAAAGTCGCGCCCCTATTCCCCATTGGTGATCCTCGAATTGGTGACTTTTGTATTTGGTTTCTAGCCTCCTGTCCCTCCTGTCCTTCCGGTGATTTTTGTGTTTCTTGTTTTCTTTTCACCAGCTGTCAATCAAACAGAAAATCCTGTTGATAATTTTGCCTCATAAATTCATCTTTAAATAGCCTTTTTAAATACCCATAATCTGGCCTTTCGTCAAACCTCAAAGCCCTCGCATAATTGATAAAGTTCACAAACTCAACAGGGAAGCCTTCACAAAGGACTTCTACAGGTGTATTTATTTTCCTATCCATAATATTTCTGTATTTTTCTTTTCTATTGTTCCCTTGGAGCCCTTGCCATGGCAGACTTCCTCTTAAAAAATACATCAAAACATACCCGAGTCCTTCAAGATCATCTCTTCTTGACTGTTCTATGCCCATATGAGTAAAAATAGACGCATATCGGGCTGTCCCAGTTAAGCTTTTCCCTTCTTTGTACGGAATATGCTGATTCGTTCTGGGATCCCGATACTGTTTTGCGAGGCCAAAATCAATTGCATAAATTTGGCTTTCATTTCTCCGCAACCCGATCAAAAAGTTGTCAGGCTTGACGTCACGGTGGATTAGATTTTTTTCGTGCATGAATTCAAGTCTGGAAATGATCTGTTCTGCCAAGACAAGGGTTGTTTTAACAGAAAACCTTTGTCCACAAAATTTGAGGAGATCTTCTAGCGAAGGTCCTAGTAAATCCATCACCAGCACGTTATAATCGCCTTCTACTCCATATCAATGGATCATAGGGATTCCTTGCCCGCCTTGCAAGATTCTATAGATGCGAGATTCGAATTGGAGTTGGGGATGTCTGGTATTATTTTTCTCTAGCTTTATCGCGATTTCTTCGTTTGTTTGGATATTTGCGCCCAAATAAATTTGACCGAATGAGCCACTGCCAATTTTCCTGCCAACTCGGTATTTGCCTCCGACTCGTAGTTCCATATGTTAGAAATTAATAATGATCAAGGAAATGGATTTTTTTTATGGTCTTATTAGGAGTTTAGACGTAAATATTTTAAGAAAATTGCAGGATACTGGGATTAAAAATACCTGGAAATGCGCTTATGTTTTGAGAAGAAAATAACTGCTATTTTTAAATATGAAAGGATCTTTAATCAAGGGAGGAAACAATCCCCAGTTTTTGAGCCAATTTAATAGAACTAGGTCTAATAAACCGCCGCTGGGGAGAACTTTAATTATTACAGAAAGTTTGCCTAAAAATCATTATCTTTTATAGATAATGCACATTAATATGGCGGAGACGATCTCCCGACATCTTGGCACAATTATCTCAAATTGCTGGGAACACCCAGGAGGAGAAACCAAACTGAGAAATAGATATGGTACCCTTCATGCATATCGGGTGCAGGCTTTTCTTTGCCTCAGGGTATTCAACCCTGGGACATATGAGTTTTTAGCTCAGGTGATTCTTGGAAAGGGTATGGTTAGTGAGAGACCTAGAGAGCAGAGCAGTGTAGACTCCTCATAGGCCTGCAAGACGACATATACAAGCCTGATACTGGAAGTTGCATCCCGGGGAACTAGTCAGAAGAATTTTAGAGCCAGAAAGTCAATCCTTGTGCAAGGTCTAAGGGTGAATAGACCTGGCAGCAAGTAGAGAAAGCTGGAGAAGAAGGAGTAACGGAAGACTTTAGACAAGCAATGATTATGGAGCAGATCGCCAAAGAAATCGAGTAGTAGATTGCTGAAAAGGAGAAAAGGAGCTTCTTCTGGAGAAAGGAGCTTCTTTTGGAGGAAGAAGCTTGGCGCATAGCAGCGATGGCTCTTGAATCGTCTAACTGCCAAGGACCCGCAGGACTCCCTGCGTGGCAGGCCAGTAGAGGTCATTGCAGCGGAATTTGGTTTCTTGAAGGAGTGATTTGCTGCCTTGACACCGCAAGCGACGAACGGCGGATTCTAATCTTTATAGCTCAAATTCTAGCAAGACAGATTTTAACGGAACAGCTGAAAACTCTTCACTCAAAACTCTAACAGACGCAGATAATTTTTCAGAAGTTCTAAACATCAAAAAATGCTCTTCAAGCTGCAGCACCATAAATTTCAACTCAAAAGTGGCTCATATCCCAAAAATCAATAAACCAAAATTGTTATTTAAGCACTTGGTCCCAATCAGAGCTCTATCAATTTCTCCAAAATCCAAAGAAAATAAAGAAAATAATAAAATTCCTAACATAAAAAATTCAAAATCTACAAGACCTATAACGCATTTATGGGATAAATGGGAATATGGAGAAAATGACAAAGATTATGATTTAAAGGAATATGTTAATAGGATGTTAAATTAAGCGAAAAATATTTACAAACATTTTAAATCAATAATACTTGGTTTTTTCTTGATGCTCGATGACTCTTGGCTTAAGGAAAGCTTGATGGCAGCATTAGATTTTACAAGAGATTTTAACGCTGGAGTCGTGAATAAAATATTTTCTCTGCTAACAGCAGATTTTGGTCTTGTAAAATTTCCTTGCAATGCTATTCTAGGCTGAGAAGTTTGAGGTCTTGCAAGCTGAGGCTTCAATATAACTCCTGGTGGAGCTTGCTGCGGATGAGGAGAGCTTGGCTTAATAGTACCAACTGACGTTGGCGTAGCTCTTATTATAACAGGAGCTTGGTCAAGCCTTTTGTCAATAATATTTGATATTGATGTCTGAGATGACGATAATAATGGAATAACTGGAATTGACGATTTCCTTGGGAAAATTGGTATCGGATCTTTTCTCAGTTTTTTATTTATGCCTTCAGAATCGCAATGTCTCAAATTATTCGAAAAGCTTACCTTCTCCACATAATAGCTTCCTTGTGAAGCCTGAGGTGAAATATATGGGTTTATTGACGCAATTTCTCTCCTCGCTAAAAGCTTTTCAAGCCCAGCCGTTCTTGGTCTCCCAGGCTGCGTTGAAGGTCTTTTGATGATTTTTTCTTCTTCTCGGTCATCATAAAACCTTGCTTTTTCTGGGACGTTACAAATAGTAAACGGTTTGCAAGAAGTCGGATTTGGTATTTTTGATACTGAAGGATAGTAAGGTTCAATACTTTTATTTAGTGTACACATCGTGCTCATTTCGTCGATTTCTACACTATTAAAATTAGTCAGTTCATTCTGTAGAAACTGCATAGTCTCTTGCATGCTTGGTCTCTCTATGGGTTTTTTCTCTAAAAGCTTCATTATTAACTCAGAAAGCCTTTTAGAGTATCCAGATGGAAGTGGCTTTGGTATTTTGTTTACTATAGAAATACCAAGAGTTATTAAATTTCTCCCTACAAATGGAGACTCTAATGAGGCTAAGTTATATAAAACACAGCCTATTGCCCATACATCGACCTTAAAGTCATAGGGCTGCTGCTTGACCATTTCTGGGGCTAAATATAAAGGAGTCCCTACTCTTGTAGCCTGCATTTCTGCACTGACCATTTTTGAAGCTCCTAAATCGCCCAACTTTACTGAGTGGTCTTTAGTTAAGAATACATTATGACACTTAATATCCCTATGTATGATTTTTCTGCTATGCAAGTAGCTCACGGCTGAACATAATTCATTTGCAAATCTCCATAGTTCTTTTTCGTTGAAATTTTTCTTTCTTAGTCTGTGTTTAAGCAGCAACTGTTGCAGATCTCCACCTTCTGCATAGTCCATAATCAATGAGAGGTCATTATCTTCTAGAAAGGATGCATGATATTTAATATGCTTTTTCCTTTGGATTACCTAATATAAATATATATGGATTGCTTTCAGGATAATTCTGGGGGGAGCATGGTAATATGTGGATGGTCTAATTGTTTCAAAATTTCTGCTTCTCTGAGTGCTGCTTTCTTTTGCTTTATGGTTAAAAGGCCTAAGTTGATGCGCTTTAGCACATAAAATTTGCGGTTTCTTGTATTTTGTACTAAAAATACAATTCCAAAGCTTCCGCGGCCAAGTTCTTTTTGAATTACGAAATCTGTAAGTTTATGATTGTTTTCCATTTACCATTATAAGACAGAAATTTAACTCATCTCCTCAAATTTCAAAATCAAATAATTCAAAAAATAAAAGTAAATGGCTCTTTACCATAGAGAAAATGAAAAATCAGCTGAACGCAGCAGAATTTCAGATACTCCAGGACCAGCTGACTTTTATAATGCATCACCCAACAATAATCCATCAAAATTTATTGTCAATGACTTTGATTCAATTCGAGCTATTGAAATGAGGGAAATGCAAGAAGAGGAAAGGTATATACAAGGGCTTAAAATGCAGAGAGAAAAAATTGAACAGTTTAGAAGGGAAGTGTTAAAGAAAGATCAAAGGATTTTGGAGCTGGAAGAAGAAATAAGAAATTCAAGAGGGAAAAGAAGCGAAATTGGAAACCTTGAGAAGCAAATATATGATCTAAGTGAACAAATAAAAGATAGAGATAGAGAAAATGATGAACTGAGAGAAAGTATGAGGAAACAAGTTGAGGAGTATGAGAGATCGTTGAGGGAAATGCAGATAATTGTAATGAAAGAAAGAGATGAAAAAAATAAAGAAATCAAAGCCTTAAGAGAACAGTTTAAAGAAAAAAACGAAGAAACAACATTTTTGCTTGCAGAAGTGGAGAAATATAAGAAAATAAATAAGCAGGCTGAAGATAGACTTGATGAAGAGATTTCGATGGCGAAAGAAAGAGATAAGCACGCAAATGAACAGTTGAGAACTTGGAAGAACTTTGAGAAAGTCTTGAAAGATCAAATATCTGAGCTTTCACAAGAAAAAAATATTCTAGCAAGCAATATAAGAGAGCTTAAAGAAAATAATGAAAAGTTATACTACAGTTCCCAAAAAGTTCAAGATCTTGAAAACAATCTGCAAAAGGAAAGGAAAAAAAACGAAGAGTTGAGAAGAATCCAAGAAATCAGTGAAAAAGAGATAAAAGATCTAAAATCATTCACCTCAAATTATAAGGAAAATATCTCTGAAGAATTTCAGTCACTCAATAGTGAACTCAATAGGGCAATTGAATTGATTTCTCGTCAGGAAAATACTATCATGGATCTTCGTATGAAATCAAAAGAAGATGAATCCTTAATATCATCTTTACAAGCATCTTTATCAAAGCAAGATGAAGAAAAAAATCGTTTACATATATTCTCTCTTAACAAAAATTTCACTCATAATTTACAAAACCAATTTACTATTTCTATAAAAAACAATATTTAATAAATTTGTAAAATTGACTATTTTTAATCGAAAATATAAAAATTCAAAAACTCCAACAAGAACTTGAAGAAAATTCTAAAAAAAATACTGATTTTGACACTTTTATGGTGCAAGTTAAAGGAGAAAATTTCGAGCTGAAAAAGCAGTTAGAAGCTTTTAGAGAAAAAGAAAGGCAGGAAAAACTGGAGCGAAAACAATTTGCAAAAATGAAAATGGAGCTTTTAAACCAACGAACTGCTGAAGTCAATAAACTTACTGAAGCGATTGATTCTTTTACAAATTACCCTAGTTACTAATAATAATTCTTAAATATGAAAGCAAACGATCAAATAACTCAAAAAAATAAGGCAAAAAAACAATTGTTGGAGCAAAGAATTAGAGAACACCTGGCACATAAAGAACTGTTTAAACGTCCAGATATAGTCCCAGAGCAGAGATACTCTGAAAAATCTTCGTCATTTTTGCAGATTTCAGAAAATGAATTGGATATGGAGCCAGAAGTTCTGACTTCCCAAATCCTATTTTGGCAAATTAATACCGCATGCACTTTTAATATAAAATATTTTGATGTAAATAGTGAGTTAATTCTATAATAATTTAGCCAGCTTGCATTTTAATCGTGTAGATTTATGATATACAAGTTGCCCGATGATGGCGCTCAATGTGCTATCATCGGACAACTACAGTTCAGGATCCACACTGGAAACGGGTTCAAGTGTGGAGCCCTTTTTGGCACGTGAAAGTGAGGATTCTCCACGTCTCAAAAGGGCTCCACACGTGGAACCCATTTCCCAGTGTGGACCCTGAACTGTAGGTGCCCGATGATGGCACATTGAGCGCCATCATCGGGAATTTCCTATATTTTCCATTTTAATAATTAGAAATCGATCTTTTTAAGTCAAAACCTGTTTTGTATACAATTCATATAAAAATTTAGTAACAGGAAAAAAACTTGTGCTCTCTCACGTTGGAAGATTAAGTACAAAAGGTGAAAGTCCGAAAGCAGATGAAGAAAATCTACTAACAATCCAATCTTTGACTAATAAGCTTCATCAAGAAGAAAACGCGCGCCAAGATGTAGAACTAAAATACCAAGAAATTAAAGAAAATAATTTAAAAAATACAGAGAAAATTGAAAAGCTTACAGAAGAAATAGAGATCCTGAGTAGGGAAATTTTAGCGGAAAGAGAGATATACAGAGGAGAAGCTGAAAAATTTAAAACTGCTTTATCAGAAAAAGACGAAATCATAGATAGACTGAAAAAAGATTTATCACAATGCGATTTCACAATAGCAGAATTAGAAGCAAGGCTACAATCATCAAATACTTCGAATGATCTCCAAATACATGAAATTTATAAAATATTAGAAAAAGAAAGAAAAAAGCATTCACAAGAACTTATGAAAATAAGCAAAATGCTGGAGCTAGAAAGGGAACAAAAGTTTCAAGCTCTTCAATCATTAGAAGAATTAAAAAGTAAAGCAAACTCAACTAATGATTTTGAAAATTATCAAAATGAGCTTAAAGAAGCCAAAGATTACATTAAAAATCTTCAACTAGAGTACCAAAAATACTTCAAAAAATTGAATAAAGAGATAGAAGAAATAAAGTTCCAAAATAAACTTTTATTAGGAGAAATAAAATTTGATGATCCTGTAAGAGAAGAAAACTTAAGGCTACAAAAAAGATGCATAGACTTAGAAGAAAACTTAAAAGCAAATAACCAACTTATTGAAAACGCAGTAAATAAAAGCAATAAAGAGAAATCAATTCAAATCTTCAAAGAAAAGCGAGACCTTAAAAGAATCATTCAAGACCAAATCGCCCATAACGCAGATATTGTAAATCAAATTGAAAATAAGCTAACTCCCCCCCATCCTTGATCAAACGACTCGCCATCGTTCGATCAAGGATGGGGGTTAAAAAAATTTTTTTTGGGAAAAAAAATTTATATATATTTTTTTTATATTTACTTTAAATAAGAGGGTTAAGAGTATTTAATAATTATTTTTACAGCAAAAAATTGAATTAATTTCATAAAATACCAATTTTTAATATTTTTGATTTATTAGTCACCCCTTTAAACTGTATAAATTTTAATTTGTTCCTTATTGAATTAAAATTTTTTTTTTAAATTTTAAAGAATCTCTATTTTTTTAGATTATTGAGTTTTTTAAGCCTAGATTGATGACTAAATCACTTCGGATGGTTGATTCCGCAGCTTTCTGTCGTCTCAAAGCTCTGAAAACAACTTCATTAGGTACATCTTCCTAAGCTTTGATAACTAATATATTTTTATATTTATAAAAATTTGCATGATATGAAAATCGTTCGATCAAGGATGGGGGGGGTTAATTTCCCCAATTTTTAGGAATTTTACAGTCAATCGTTCGATCAAGGATGGGGGGGGGGGAATAAGTTCAGGAGAAAAGCCTCCAAAACACAAATTAATTATTTCCAGCCGCAGTGAGAGAAAATTTTTTAACGAGAACTCCGCTGACTCTTTAAAGATTGATATCTTTGACCTTGCTCAAGAGCCTCGAAAAGAGTTCGGCGGAAGTCAATATTCTACTCCAAAAAATTTTAGAAATAATCCAAGCACCCCATCATCCAAAAATTTAAAAGATCGCTGCGACGTGTGCTTCCGAAAGCCTCATCCCAATTTTGAGCATACTCTTAAAAAATAATAAAACTGTCTTAATCTAATAAATATATAAATGTGCAAGCATATACTGAATGCCCAAGTACAAGTGAGAGCTCCATGCTGCAAGCAATGGTTTGATTGCCCAGAATGCCACTCTGAAGCTGCTGATCATCCTTTAGTCAAAACCACTGAACTTGTATTTGGCTGCAAAAAATGCCGCAAAGTATTTCGAAAGAGCGCTGAAGATTTCGATGAATCTGATGAGTACTGTCCACGATGTGACAATCATTTTGTACGCCCTGCAGTAACTCCAGAGAACAAAGAAATCATTCAAACAATGACAAGATCGTAAAAGAATTAATTTTTATTTAGCTTTACAACTCTTTCTACTTATATAGGATTAATGATCTTTTTAATATTGTTTTGTTAGAAATATAAGTTTTGGGTATCTTTTATGAATATTTTAGTAATTTAAATTAATTTATCGTAATTCCAGAAAAGGACCTTCAGGGTTTCTGATGATGATATCAACCATTTTGTCAGTGACTTGATTGACATGGTCTGGGTATCATTTAATTTCATCCTCTCCTTTTTCTATTAGCTTCTTAACCCCATGTTGATTTTTTTAACTTTTAAAATCCAGTAGAAATTAATTTAATTTATTAAATTTATGCTTTAATGCAAGCATTCTAAATCTGATAGACTTAATCAGATATTGTACTAAAAATTAAGATTCTTCCATTTTTTTACACTTATAGACAGAATGATTTAGTAACAGCTGTCTTATAGTTATAGCTTCTCCTGTATCCGAGCTGTACTTCTATATTATAATCATGCTCCAACGCTTCTTTATAATTCATATCCAACCCAAGCTTAAATGATTTGAATGCAACCTTCACAGAAAGTGGGCAGTTTTTGCAGATATTAAGAAGTACCATTTCTTTAAAAGGTGTAGGCTTTGCACATAATTTCATCAAAATTTCTTCAACTGTGTTAACTTCTCCAAAAACTTGCTCTATTTCGTATAAATTTCTTATAAGATTTGATTGTTCTCTAGGTGGAAATTGATGATATTTGTCTAAAACTTCAATAAGACTATTCGAGAGTTTTAGGTCATTAAGAAGGTTTGTAATTTGAGATTCTGGGACATAGTGTGTTGAAATTCCACCCCAAAATAAATCATTCCCGTCTAATTCTTTTCCCGAAAGCATTAGAAATAATCCTAATGGCTTATTGTGCAAGTGTGTGAGAAAATAAGAAGCTCCTGCACAAGGGACTTTGCCGATCGAATTTTCTGGCATTGAAAATCGAGTAGTTTCTGTGCTTATTCTATATTTGCAAGCCATCGCTATGCCATTTCCTGCACTAATTGATAACCCTCTTAAAATTGCAAGAGTTTCGGTAGGCTGCTTATAGATTTGATAAATAGTGCAAAGCTCAGTTCTGTAGAACTCAGAAACCATTGCTTGGTTTTCAATAATAGCCTTATCATCTCTTCCAGACGAAAAACAATTTGAATCGCAGCCTTGAAAAATAAGATTTTTATTTGGGACTTGATCATTACATTACATTAAAATTTATATCGCTTAACGTCCACTACGGGGTTACAACTCCAGGTTTATCACTCGCCTTTCGTCGCATCGGGCCCACCAGTCTGCTGGAGACAAACTCGCTTTGATCACCAGGGTGATTCCAGGGCAAATGTCCACGTCTTCGACGGCTCATGGATGAGCTACTTGCTTGTACATGGGTTGCTTTTCCGAAAAACCCAAAAAATGGATTTTTCTGGTCGGCTATCGGCAAAAAGGAAAAATGCAAAGCCTGGGACGTAACGCCCAGTTTCACGCTAGGGAGTTGCCCGAATGGTCCAGAGGACTTTGCTGGGCTTCCCCTTTCCAACCTTGCACCCTCCTTCCCCACGAGGAAAAATCCACCCCTGAGAATAGACTTGGGCTAGGCTCTGAAAGCTACCAGAATTGCTTACCTAGCATTGCTGTCCATCTCTGAAATGGTAAAACCTTGCCGGATATAATTAAAATATGAGTCGAGGCTGCATGGCCGGGAGGCCATGCCCAGACGAAGACGCCATATTTTAATTATATTTGGGACTTGATCAATCAGTAAAGATAGAGTTTGAAGCATGTCATAATCTAATGAGTTTGAGCTTTCTGGACTATTTAGAGTCAAAATGCGAGTGCATGGGAAATCTTCAAATGATATTTTAGGACTTAGGTGTCTTTTCAAGATCATAAGTCTTTCCATATTTTATGTTATAAAATAAGTTAACTTTTAATACTGAATTAATAAGGATAGTTATGTCTAATAAATTCTTGGATATGATCAATGCTCTTATATCATCAATCTCAAGCAACAGTAAAAATGAAGGAAGAGCTGGAAATCCAAATTGCAATAGAGGAAGCGGCCTTCCATATAGAAGCTCGCTTGTAATCGGGACATAGCATAACGATAATGAGAGCATTACACCAAGTAAAATGCTCCAAAAAGCCACCTTTTTGCTTAATCTATGATAGTGATGCCCAAGGTTAATAGCTTTAGGTATCAAAAAGTTCAATAATTTTGCAATTATAACTGAAACAAATCACGCATGTTGTGCGTAATATAAAGCCTCTCCAGAATAGCAAATAATTTCTTCAGTAAATGGAGAATCAAGTTCAGGGAAATAACAAGATGACCACGTTTCTGGAGATAACTCATGGAACCAAACTCTTAAATCATATGAATCGTATGCTTTGGCTGTATAATCGAATAAGATATTTTCATATTCAGCTAATCCATAGTGACTATTTCCTTTAGTCTGAATATTTGGGTCATAAATATCATTTATGCCTGGCATTGTTCCTGATTTTGAATTATTCATAAGTCATAAAGTTTGATAGTTGAAGCCAAAATTTTCCATAACAATAAAATAAGCCATAAACCCAGCCAAAGCTTCTCGTAATCCTGGCTGGACAATTGAAAAAAATCGAGATTTGTTATGCTTCAACTGCGTTTCAATTAAATCTTTTGGCTTGCGACTATTAATATCAAGATTAAAATTATAGTTCATAGCAATGGATGGAGTAATATCTATTCCAAAATCAATCAAAAATATCAATATAACTGTAAATGCTGATGGCAGCTCCAAAAAAACGAAAATAAAGAAGGGAATTAGCTCTGGTAGGTTTGATGCTAATATATGTTGAGCCGATTTTTTAAGATTATCAAAAACGGCTTCGAAAATCTTAAACGCATCAGAAATTGAGCTAAAATTATCATCCAATAGGATGACATCACAATTATCCAGAACAGTTGAGCAACCAGTTTTTTTCATAGAAATACTTACATCAGATCTTTTCATTGCAGGTAGATCATTCATTCCATCTCCTACGAAAATTACTTTTTCCCCCATTTCTTGATATTTTTCTACGATTAAAAGTTTCATTTCAGGTGTCATTCTTCCAAACACAATTTCTTTTTTGTTCAATATAGCCTATACCCTATATAGATTTCTTTATAGAAGGAATGCAATGGACGGTTGAATGAGCAAGTCAAACTCCATAAAAGGCACGAGCTGGATCCCTATAACAGGAAGGGATAAAAAGTGGCATGCCAAAAAGTGTTAGACAGGACAAAGTTGAAAAGCAAATGCGCTAATTTTTAAAATGGTTTAATTATAAAAATAAGTTTTAAGCTAAAGATACCTTTTAGATTGACACTGATAAGTATCTTGCCTATTTTCCCCTATTTTCTATCGAATAAATAGTATTATGAATTATAGAAAATTATATATCGATAAGTTAATTTCCTAGTCTAATTCCAGAGACACTCGACCTGCAAAGGCTATAGAGATAGTTAATAGAGAGATACTTATGCTTGAATTATGATTGAAAACTATCTATTAAGAGTTATTTTTGAAGTACAATACTAAAGCCATATAAAGATGGCATTGCATCAAAAGGAATTTTATGCCAATAAAAATGAATAAAGCAGGAGTTACCTTATAAAAGAAATTTTATGCCAATGAAAATTAAGAGTCGCCATGACTCTTTAAACCCCTTAGAAAGCTATAAGACTAATAATTATTTTTAATTGAAATTGAAAACCATCTTATTTTTTAAAATTCCATAGGAAAGTAATATAATGTTGGAGTTATATGTTGCTTAAGATAGGGATTATAATTTTATTTTAATGTTTAAAAAAGGGAAAAATATGTAAGATACTTATCAGTGTCAGTCTAAAAGGTATCTTTTATTTTAAATTAATATAATAATAATAAAAACCCTTTTAAAATTTGGTGCGTTTACTTGACAACTTTGCTCTGTCAACCTTTTTCTGGCATGCAAATTTTATCCTACCTGGTATAGATATCCAGGTGCAGATTCAATGATCGTGCATTTTTGATAGTGTGCATTTCATCGAAGTACTTTTGGTTGAAAATTTTCGATAGTGAGACATTTAACCGAAAAAACCGCTAAATTTTGACCAAAAGCCACACTATTAAAGTTTTCGACTAAATGTATTTCTATAAAATCTACAGTATCAAAAATCCACTGTTATTTGACATGGAGCCTTGATACCCAGCTTGTCCCTGTTATGGAGTTTGACTTGATCTTTCAACCGTCCATTGCATTTCCTTCGACAGAGAAATCTATATAGAGGTATGGGCTATATCTTATATAGTTTTTCTTTGGCTACTTCATCATTAGGTATAAGGTTCCTCAATTCATTTAAATAAAAGCCTAATCAATTAAATAAATATTAGTTTTCAATTTATAAATTACAAATTCAATCAAATTCAATATATTAAATTCCCATTAACAATCACAGAATCTGTTAATTCAAGAGATTCATAGAAGTTTATGTTTTCCTCTTCAAAATCACTTGTTATTTTTGGGTTACTAATAATGCAAGTTTGCTTTGAAACATCTGAGGCCAAGAGAAGCATATCGCCGGTGGCCATAATACACTTCATGTGGAGGCTCCTTAGGCTTAATATAGATTCTTTAACATTTTTTTTAGGAGGATCACTCAATACAATTAATCCTGCAAAAACTAAACCCTCTTTCAAAAACTCTGGCACGCTTTCAGGGTTAGGTTGAAAATCTTTAGGGATATCAGATTCTCTTAACCATTTATAAGCGCATGCAATTACTCTCAACCCTTTTTTGCTGCAGTCTTTGCAAGCTTGAGTTATTTTTTCTTTTGAATTATTTTTGCATTCTAGCTCATGATCTTCGCATGCAATCTTGGTTGACATTTCTAATAGAACTTCTACAGCACCTTTATAGAAGGCAATGTACTTTTGAGAAATATCCTCAAATCCAAATTCGTATCCATTATAAACTGCAGTTGCGTATTTGTAGGAAGACCTGAAAGGTATTTTAAATTCACTCCCTTCTATTGCTATAGGTTTGTGAGCGTCTCTAAAATCCTCAATATTCTCGAGTTCTTGGAAAAATTTTATCATGGCAATATCTGGTGGAGAGCCTTTAGCAGCCCATTCGATTATTGGTTTCGAATATATTTCATCTGAAGATTGAGGATCATGGTCAAATTTTGCATCATTGATAAGAATTGCTGAACGCATTGTCATAGCAAATGACAGAGTTTTATTGGAAGTGTGATCTATTAAAATATTTTCTGGGCTTTTAAATTCATAATTATCCCAAAACTGAACGATTTTTAATCTATTTTCTGTGATTACTCCTGTTTTATCTATAATGATAATAGGATTTTCTCCAAAATTTCTTATCCTTTCAGGTTGTTTTGTTAAAACATTTTTCTTTACAAGCACTTTTGATGTAAAATAAGTTGCTATTTCCTTTATTGGCTGGTGAGGAATAATGCCAACTATTGTTAAATCAATTGCAAAAATAAAACCAAGCAATGTAAAATTAAACCTGAATCCTAATAAAAACCCCAATAATCTGAACGCTATTGGAAAAATGAGTATAATAATCAATCATTTATGACATTTTTTATAAGAAATGCCCTCAGCAATCGGGGAAGGTGCTTCGGCTGACATCATAACAATCCTGCTAAATGCTGTATTTAATCCTGTTTCAACAACTACACCTTTTCCACTCCCACTAAGACAGTAAGTCTGCGCAAATACTATATTTTGGGCCTCAAACATAGAATCTATCTTTGATTCATTGCTAGTTTTTCCAACAGGCATTCCTTCTCCAGTTAAAACTGATTCATCAATTGTCAAATTATTTGCCTCTAAAATTCTTATATCGGCAGGTATTTTTTCACCTTGATGAAAAAGTACAATATCTCCAGGCACGAGGTATAGCGCTTTCCCGAGGATGGCGCGGAATGGCGCCATCCTCGGGAAAGTCAACTAAGCATCCACACGGGAACTGGGAGTTCCACGTGTGGATGCCATTTTTGGCATGTGGGATCCAAACTTCCACATGTCAAAATGGCATCCACACGTGGAACTCCAATTCCCGTGTGGATGCCTTCCTGGCTTTCCCGAGGATGGCGCCATTCCGCGCCATCCTCGGGAAAGCGCTATAAACAGAATCTATTAATTTCATCGCTCCTTCTCTTTTAACAATACATCTTGACAAAAGCAATCTTTGATGAGCCAAAAAATTTTTATAATCTTTAACTTCCAGATAGTATTTATCGAGACTCCATATTATCAAAGCACACAAAACTGATGTTCCAAGATATAGATCAATGGAATCATTTTTGTCTATAATGTAAAAGATAATACATCATAATGAGAAAGTAAATAAGAGTAAAAAAGGAAAAGTTCTTAGTTGACCAAAAAATATTTTTCATGCTTTTGGAGGCTCTCCAGTCTCACCCGAAAAATTTTCCCCGTATATTTTTAGCACTAGCTCAGCCCTAGTGTCTGTTAAGCCATTAGTGAGATTAGTTTCTAATCGAGATTCTAATTCATCTAGAGATAACAAGTGCCACTTTAAGGGTCCGAGGCCCGAAGTTCCCTCATCAGATCGCTCATAATTAGAATCAATTTTTGACATTGTTTATAACTCCTGATTATTAAACGAAAATTTTGGGCCATTATAATAATAGATATGACATATTAAACTCTTGGCTGCTTCTCAAAGCATGTTTTATACTCTAATAAAGCGGAATGTGAAAAAAAAATATATAATTACATAATTTTGATGTATATAAATTAATTATATATACTATTAAATACGTTTAATATAAATCCAAAATAATAATATTAACGTTTTATAAAAATTATATTAAATCTCTTCATAAATTTATTTAGAGTGTACTAGTCTTGATAATAAAGTTTTTTGTCCTGTGGTAATGGCAACTCCTTTGCATTCCCCTTGAACGCAAAGTGATCCAAAGTATGAGATATTTTGTGATTGAAGAAACTCTTGGCTTGTGCACTTTTCTGATCTCTCTAAAATTGTTTCAGAGTCTGTTAAGCATTGAATATTGATTTTGCAGTCATTTGCAGATAAAATTCTAATATCTGCTGGAACAGTTTCTCCTATTTTCACTAAAATAATGTCTCCTGGAACTATTTCATATCTTGAAATTATCATTTCCTTTTTTTCTCTTATGACTGTACATTTTTGAGGTATTTGGTTCTCTACAAGCTTTATCTCTTTTGCTGCATTTTCACTCTTTATTATAGTGATGACCGAAATAACAAATGCGATTAATGGCAATGAGCGATATAAAAAAGAATTGATCAACCCTTCCCTATAAGCAAGGTAGAATAAGAAAGCTAGTATATATAGAGGAACTGTGATACGAGAAAACAAATGCTTTAGAATTTTATAAAAAGCAGACTGGTCTTCATATAAGCAGTTTCTACCTGTACTTTTTAGCTTTTGTTGTGCCTTTTCTTGAGTAAGCCCTTCATTTAAGTCGCTCTGGAGATTTTTTGAGAGCTCCTCAGGTGTCATTTTATGCCAGGTTAGATTTGCTATATCTTCACGGACAGGAGAATATCCTTCTTCAGACATTAAAAACAATGACTTTGGAAAGTTTTAATAAAATAATCCCAAAATCTTCATAATGAAAATATTAATCAAAGGCTCAAACATTGAGTTAATTAATAGGCGGTAGAGCATTAAATTAACAGCAAAAATTATTTAATTCGAACATTTTTAAATTTTCATAATTCAAATGTATACTTTAGGTCGAGAAGCAAAAATTCCTTGGGACTCAGAAGAGCCTTTTCCTCCAAAGAAGCTAATTACAACCCATTTTGATAAAGATATCGCAGAACCTTGCCCATTTCCACTTAAAGAAATTTCCACAAATGTTATCCACAATCATGAAAAGAATAATTACCTCCCCAAGCCTTTCAATATCCCACAAAACTTTAAAGTTGATGATGGAACAAGAGCAAGTTCTCCTATTTCTTATACTCGTCTTTCACCTTCTCCTTTAATTCCTTCCAAGCAAGCACAAGCTTTCGACTCTTTTGATGAGGAATCAAATTCTACCTACAACCGAAAAGTAGACTCAATAAAATCTCAATTGGAACAGTTATATTTAGTGAGAGACCGTCATATAGGTATCAAACTCTATATCAATTCCATTAAAGAGCAGCTTCAAAATAATTTAAAACTTGGCGTTGCTGAGCTGCAAAGTAAAAGAAATGCATATGTCGCTCAAATTGACGAGCAATATGATTTGTCATTTAACCAACTCTGTATCAACCATAAAGAAAAAGAGCTTAAAATTAAAATAAAAGACCAGGAATTGGAATGTGTTTTATGTCAAATTAAAAACACCATTTCAACGATAGAATTAAAATTGCGGGCTGAGCCAAAACAAAGATTTATGGACCACTTCGATAAAATTTATAGAGAAAGTGAAGAAACTTTGAAGGTTTGGGCCCCTGAATGTGATTTATCGCCTGAATGGACACATTTAGATACTCCTAGCTTTGACTTGCATATTAAGCCTAGGGATGTAGAATTGCCTAACTCCCCCCCCTTTAAATTGGAACAAAAAATTTTGTTCCAATTTAAAGGGGGTCAATTTTTTTTTTATAAAAAAATATCAATATAAAATTTTTTATAAAAAAAAAAAAAATTATATAAAAAATTTAAAAAACTTATCGAATTAGATCAATAAATTTATTTAATAAAATGCTATTTACTCTTTATCCTTTAAAACAAAGAAATATATAACTAAATTTTCATTATTAGTTAATACGCCACTATTAATTGGTATCAAAATTACTTACAAAAAGTTATTATTTTTATTGATAAAAAAAATTAAATAGAAAATTTATCGATCAAAGTGCTAATTTTGTTTAAATAAGATGTTATTTATACTCTATTCTTTAAAATAAAGCAAGAAATAAGTAAATTTTGAAATTTTATAAAGAATTCCTATTTGAATTTATATCCAAACTATTTAAATAAAAAATATCATTTTTATCAAAAAAAATAAAAATTTTTTAGGAAATTTTTAAAAAAAAAAATTAATTTTTTTTTAAAATTTAGCAATTAAGGATAATAAATTTATTTTAAATAAGATGCTCTTTATACTCTCTTCTTTAAACAAGAGCAAGATATAACTAAATTTTTAATTTTAGTTAAGAAGAAACATTTAACTTATATCAAAATGTTTTAGATAAAAATTATATATAATTTTTTATTATAAAATTAAATTTGTTCCAATTTAAAGGGTGGTTAATTTACCAAAAAAGTGGAAATTTTACCTATATTTTGTTCCAATTTAAAGGGGGGGGTAAGGAAAATAAATTGTTAAACGATATAAATTTGTCTGAAATAAGCAAAACAAGTGATGCTTTGACTTTAAGAACAGAAAATTCGCATAAAGAGCTAATGAGTGATGAAATCCCAATTCAAGACGAAAAGAAAAATTTTAATTTACCTTGTGGGTCACATAGATGCTCGTTAAGAAGAAGGGGACAATCAACTGATAAATCCAAAAAAGATAAAAACTATGAGGAATTGGCCAAAAAGAACTTAGAAATGGCCCAAAGAATCAGTAAAATTGAAAAATCGATAGCAGACAAAAGTATCCATATTTCCAGAAAGCCAAGTGTCGAGCTTGCTACTGAAGCGACATCAAGATCAAACTCTGACATTTTGTCAACATTTGAAGAATCTGAATCTCTAATATCAATTTCTACGCTTTTTACTGAAGACTCTGACCATTTCAAACTTAATCCGAGTTTAAACAGGCTAAAAATTTACATTCCTCAGGGCTATCCCGCTTATTCTAATTATTACTATGTGAAATATTATTCCGAAAGTAAGATTGAAGATATTTTAAATTCATTGTGTGAAACCATGAAGATAAATAAAGATGAATATGTATTAAAAGTTAAAGAAAAAGAAGGGAAAAGCCGAAGTTTAGGTGTAAATGAAAAAGTAAATGACTTATATAAAATAGATAAAAGAAACTGGCCTAAAGTGTTTTTACAAAAGATAAAGGTATAATTATAAAGACATTTTATTTAAACGATTTTCAATAATCTGCTCATCTAGGTTGCATATTATATTTTCCCCTTCTTCAATTATTTTATCTAAAATCTCTGAGCTAAGATGCTGATAAGCTTCAGGGAGATTTATTTCATCCATACGTGGTTTTAGTGATTTAAAAAAAATTAATTTTTCCTCCATCTCTTCAGTTGAACCATTTAGCATTTTGTCTTCCATATTCTTTAAAGCCCCAAATATTTATATATATTTCTAAAATTTAAATTAGAGTTTTAATCTCAGAAAATTGAATAATGCCATCAACATTATTATATTTAAGTTCTAGGAATGATATATAAAATTCTTAACTTAATAAAATGTATTAGCTTCTATCCATCCCTTTATACCCCTTCCTTTGTTTTTTATCATCTCTTTTCTTAACAAATATTTTCGAATTTCGTCATATAACACAAGAATGATAAACGCAGGAGCTGCAGGGAATCCATAATGCAAGGTTAACAAAGGTCTTCCTCCCAATGCCTCATTTAGCCCAGGGACATAGCAAATTAGCAACGTGAACAAAGTTTCGAACGCAAGTGAAAAGTTAAGCACCCAGTTTGAGAATCCTCTATCAATTATACTTTTTTCTCTTGTCCTGACTATTTGTAAATTTGCATATTGGCCGCAAACCAGCCCCACAAACCAGCCACATTGTGCATAATGCACAGCTTCACTAGTGTAGCAAACTTCATGGTTAGTTATAGGAGATGTCCAGCCTGGATACTTGCAATCAGACCAGCTATCATGGCCGTAATTATAAAACCAAATTCTCAAATCATATTTTCCATCACTATTTGTTAGATAATTCACCGTGTCGCCACAGTAGCTATCATCTCCTATATGAGAGTTTCCTTTTGAATGGATATCTGGATCATAAATATCATGCTCGTCAGGTCTGCAGCCTGAATCAGCAATATAAAAGAACCATAAGACTTGTGGCTTGAATCCAAAGTCATAGAGAATTACTAAATATTCCATCATTCCTCCTAATGTTAATATTTCTCCAATTTGCATATAAGCAAAGAAAAGGAGCTGAAACGACATTAAATGATCAGTTTCAGCGTTTCTTGGCTTTCTCTTCATGATATCAAGCTCAGGCTCTTCATAAGCTAGAGCAACAGCTGGAACAACGTCGGTTCCAATACAAACGCAAAGCATCAAAATAGTGGTTAAAGGCAAAGGTAACTGGAAAATAACTGCGGCCAAAAACGGAATAATTTCAGGGATATTTGAAGCTAAAACGTATGCGATAGTTCTTTTAAGATTATCAAAAATGACACGGCCCTGCTCAATTCCTTGAATAATGGACGCAAAGTTGTCATCAATAAGTAGCATATCGGCAGCATCTTTTGCAGCGTCACTTCCTACAATTCCCATAGCAATTCCAATGTCAGCCTTTTTAATGGCTGGACTATCATTTACACCATCACCAGTAACAGCAACAATTTGTTTGAGTTTCTGATTGGCGTCAACAATTAAATATTTTTGAGCAGGAGAAGTCCTTGCAAAAACGATTTCTTTTTTACTCAACCATTTTGCAATTCTTTGCTCATTGAAAGGGAGTTCAGCATCTTCTGCATGGGCTTTTGTGAGCATATCTCCGTGGATCACAATAGCGTCGCTTAATTCCAAAGCTTTTTCCCAATCCATACCTTCTTCAACATAGTCATTTACAGTTTTGGCTTGCGTAATGATGTGTACTTGTCTTGCAATTGCTGCGGCTGTAAGAGGTTGATCTCCAGTAACCATAATAACTTTGACCCCTGCTTCATGAGCTGAAATGACGGCTTCTTTTACACCTTTTCTTGGTGGATCCATCAAAGCAGTCAAACCGATAAAAGTAAGTCCGCGAAGAGGGAAATTCGGTCCCTCTTTCTTATTTGGATCTTATTTACCTTAATTGCTTAGTGTTTTACGTGCTGTCTTCGGGTCTAAGCCCGTCCCTTTAACTACAGCTTTGATATAGCCATTTTTTATGCTATGGGATAAAAATCCTATCTATCCTAAAACAAGGATCAGGCACTCCAGCCTATACACTGAGCTGTTCTGATGTTGCTTAGTTAAGGTGCACCAGGAAAACCAAATCGCCAAAGGAGCAATTTTTCGGAGAAAATTTATTTTGAGTACCATTTTATTCATATCTTTTCTTATTTGGATCAAAAACATAATCTTTAGGGTACTCATTATGGTCAAGCCACATATAAGCAAATCCTAAAACTCTTTGACCTCTGCTTCCAAAGTGCTTGTTTGCTGCTGCAAACTGTGCTTTCACGTCTTCAGTAATAGGAGATGCAGTTCCATTAGAATAAATAGTTGAGCATCTTTCCCATAATTGCTCAGGGGCCCCCTTCATAAATAATATGCAATCTTTTTTGTGATCTTTAGGATTCCAATCAGCTGGCTCGTGAAGTGTTACTGCATATTTATTGGCTGAGTTGAATGGGATTTCACCTTTTACGCCATCTCTTACTAGAACAGGATAGGTTTTCCTCATTTCTACAATATTCTGTATAGGGTGGAAAAATTTAATAAGTGCAATTTCTGACGCATCTCCTCCAAATGTTGGCCATACTTGAATTGATTTTTGAGCTAGCTCAGTCCTATACTTTTCTTTAGCTGCTTCGATTTCGTTTTGGGGCAGCGGATTTCCTTTTTTATCAGTCAAAACTTCTTCTGGAGGTTCAGTCGAAAACTGGGCTTTGCTATTCAAAATGGCGCATCTCTGCATCATTTCAAAAGCTGGATCTTCAATGTTATAGCCTAAAGTAACCCCAGTATTTTTTTCTTCATAGTTATTCACATCTCTAATTTTATTATCATACCAAATACTGACAACTCTCATTTTGTTTTCAGTCAAAGTTCCCGTTTTATCAGAGCATACACATGTGACTGATCCTAAAGTTTCAACGCATTCAAGATTTTTCACGAGGACATTTTTTTCTGACATCCTTTTGGCGGTTAGTGAAAGAGCTACAGTAACTTCTGCTAAAAGTCCTTCAGGAACATTTGCAACGATAACACCAATTGCATTGATGACATTAGTTACTATGTCATATCCAAAGCTGAAGCCTAATGCAAAGAAAATGACTCCCATAGAAAGTGATATAACGCTTATTACTTTCACGAAAAATTCAATTTCTCTACCTAGAGTTGTTTGCTCATTTTCTGTTGAAAAAGCTAGCTTGGCAATTCTTCCCATCACAGTTTTATCACCAGTGTTAACTACTACTCCTTTTGCTTCTCCTGAGCTGCACATTGTTCCAAAAAATGCTAATTCCCTCAAGGGGGTTAAAATTTATATATAAATTTTATAAGTGAATGGTTTTTAAAATTTTAAAAAATCCCAACTCGCAAAAATTAGTAAAATTTATGTTTTAAAACGCAAGTTAAACAAAATTAGCTAGAGATTTCATTATAATAGTTATCCTTATATATATTATCGTTATTTGCAGATTTTTGAACTTTACCACCTAAGTGTGGAATTTTTTCCGCGTGTGAAAAGAGGATTCCACATGTGAAATCACCTTTTCACACGCGAAAAAAATTCCACACTTAGGTGGTAAAGTTCAATATCTGCAAATAACGATAAAATATATTTTTTTTGTTAGCTCAAGAAGGTTTTTATCAAAAAAAATAGGGGATTTTTCCAATGTTTTTGCTTGCTCATAGAGGGAGTAAGTTTTCAGTTTCAAGTGGATTTTTTTCATTAGTGCATTTATCAGTTCTTGCTAAAGGCTCACTCTCACCAGTTAAAGAAGAGTTATCAACTTTCATATTATTAGCTGTCAAAATTCTGATATCTGCTGGAATTTTATTGCCTTGCTTTACAAATACTATATCTCCTGGGACAAGTTTCTGTGACTCCATTTCTCTTTGACTGCCATCTCTTATAGCTAAGCATTTAGGAGGAATCATATTTTTAAAGCCTGCCATAATTGCCGCTGACTTGGATTCTTGATAAAAGCCAAAACAGCCAGTAACAAGAACCACAACAACAAGAGCAATAGCCAAATATAAGTTAGATGGATCAGCTTGAGAAATGCCATAAGTAATAAAACACAAAATGGCTCCAGCCCATAGTAGAAGTGAGAAAAATCCAGTTAGACACTTTATAAAATGTATATACCATGGCATTCCTACCTTTTCTGTTAGCTTATTTTCACCAAAGACTTTGAGCTTATTACGAGCTATTTCTTCTGGTAGGCCACGGTCAAGATCGGTTTCTAGGTTCCTTGAAAGCTCTTCTAGGGGTATTTTGTGCTCAACCATATCACGAAAAGCTTCAGTATTTTTTATTGCGTCGTCTTGCTTGTCTTTTCCTTTGGTCTCTTTGGGTTTCTTTGTAATGCCTTTTTTAAGGTTCTCTTCATTAGCGATTCTTTCAGCGTGCTCTTTTATCTCGATTTGGTCCTTGAGTTGTTGGAACCCGATGATAAACGAGGAGCTTGTTCTTCTAGTTCTCCTTAATAATTAATAAATTAATCGAATATAACTTGATTCTCCTTTTGACTCGGACTATACCAATGTCTCCTGACATTGAAGAGTGTTGTTTTACCAGCATTTATTGGTAAAACCCAGATAGGAAATCTAATATACGGTGGTTTATTATCTGGGGAGTTAGAAGACGTTGGTATAGCCCGAGCCAAAAGGAGGTTTTGGCTATACTATTGAAAAATAAATATAAACAATTTTAATTAAAATATTTTCCAATATGTTCAATAGTATAATTATAAAACGAAATTAATTTGAGAGAAAGGAGTAAGAGGTTGTGACATATTATTATAACATTTAATAAAGTCTTTTACCAAAGTGTTTGTAAGCTTCCAGTGAAAAAATGAACTGTAAATTTTGAAAAATGGCAATTAAGTTATAGGATTTTTCAATATTTTGTCAGAATCCAAATTTTAAGTATAGTTTTTGCAAGATTTAAACTTTTATAAGAAGAAACTAAGCTCATTCAATTTCAATCAAATGGAAACTCATATACAAAAAATTTGGATTTTCAGCTTCAGAAAATAAAAAAAAATACCAATAACTAATAATAAGGCAAAAAAGTCAATATTTTGGATGCTAATTTTAAAATTTAACTAAATCTACTTAATTTAGATTTATATTGTTGTTATGATTTAGTTATTTTTTGAGCAGCGATTTAGATAGAGTAAAATTCCAAAAAATTAAAAGAAAGTAGGATAGTGGTAATATTGATAAATGAAAATTTGTTTGAATGCATTCAGAGCTAAAGAATTGTTATAGGGCATTCTAATTTTATTCATAATCAAGAATTAGAACATTTGCAAAATTCATTTTAGATAATCTGAAGTTTTATCAAGAATGCATTTATTGTAATATCATGCTTTGTGAATAAGTAACTTAGAAGCAAAAATCTATTTGCATTTTCTTCATTCTATACAATTATCTTATCAAAATCTTTTTCAGAATTGCTGAATAGCTTGCTTTGATGAAATGAAATTATCTATCTAGCTTGCGATTTTTGCTTAATCTGTCTTTTAATCGTGTTTCATCTGGATTGAAAGACTTTATAAAAAATTCCAGTAAAAATGGAACGGAAAATAGTGAAATTGACAAAAATGTACCCTTTTGAAAATCTATATAATTTAAAAAATACTTAGATAAAGAAGAATTTAAAACAATAAAACTTTAAAGAAAGTCACTTAAAATCAAAACGATTTATTTTTATACTTCTCCAAGAAAAAAAATTTGCAAAAATTTTTAGGTAAACCTTATAGATATAAAGCAAGCTATCAAAGTGTACATCAATGCAAATAATTTGATATTTTTATTTGGATTGCTAATCTATTGAAATTTTGAAGAGAATTATTTTAAGTTGCTTTAGCTTGTTTTCAATTAAAATTTATTTAATAAATTTATTGCTCAATAAGCTAAAATTCACAAGATTTTTTACTTCATTCAAAATGCATAAAATTTGCAATTCATTTATTTTTAATTATATCTATCATTCCTTAGTTTCTAAAGGTAATGCTTTAAAGAAAAATTGTTTTTCTGTGCATTAATTTTGCTGTTGAAGAATAAAATTAAAAGTATAAGTTTAATTTTGCAGCGAATATGCGTATTAAAGCCAACTTTGAAAATAAAATGTACTTATATTTAATTTGAAAATTAATTTTAAAGCTAAATTAAAGATTTTCTTAAGTTATGTTTACAAAAATACTCATTATGCATTTATTATAGCAAATAAAACTAACGACGAATGAATAAATATTTTTAGCATTGACTTTTTCTTTGTAAAGCTGTCAATAAAATTAATGATTAGAGAATTATAGATGTGCAGGATATTATTTCTCCTGGACAAATATTTGATTATATTTTGGTTTAAATAAAAACTTATAAAAATTAAATTAACTTAACCACAATTCTACTTTCAGGGCTTATAAAGATTTAATTATACAAAATTCTATTAAATTAATCCATTATACTCACAAATAATATAAATAGTATAGGAGAAGCTATTTACTGATGGAAAGACAGCACACAGAGCCGGGACTTAAAGCCCATCATCATTCTATTATTACTAGAAGACGTAGTAATTACTATACAATAACACCTTATGTAGATAAGTTAGCTTATAAAGACGACAAATCTTGTGTAGTTTGTGGTAATTTTTTTAATCTTTTAAGGAAAAGATATTGCTGTACAGTATGCTATCGAGGATGCTGTCTTAAGTGCATCACTGAGCCTCCATCAATTCCAGGAATAAAATTCCGATTGAGGATTTGCAATAACTGCACTAATAATTCCATACAAAGCTCAGTAAGAAAGAACTTCAAAACATCACTTAAAAATGTCAACAAAGAGCTCAAGGGTTTAGAAAAAAACATTGATCAATATAAAAGACAGTCTATAACTGAAAATATAAAAATTGAGCAACTCCAAATAAAAATAGCCGAAGCACAAGAGACTAAAAATAGGCAAAATATTGAGTATTTGGGATTAATTGATACCTTAAAGAAAGACAACCAAAAATTAGAGGGCGAAATTGCAGAGTTTAAAGCCAGGGCAAAAGAATTGACTGTAGAAAATAAAGGGAAAAAGAGGAAAATCAAAAAAATTAAACATGAACTATTATTTTATGAAAATAATTTAGATGCCAAAAATGAAAAATTAAAATCTGTGCTTCATGGGATAGTTGAAGAAAATGAAGAAATTGATAAAAAAATTAAAGATTTAGGCAGCAGATCAGAGCCAGATAGCTTTGAAAAATGATCAAATGAGGCTGAACTAGAAATAATCATTGATTGCATGAAAAAACAATTAGAAGGAGATAAAGCTCATATAGAAGCTATCCAAAATTTGCATACTGAAATGGGTGAGAAAATAGAGAAAAAAGACAAAGAAATTTTAAATTTGACTCAAAACATTTTCTTATTCACCCAGAAAGATGAAAAAAGAACGTCCCAAAATACTACAATGACTAGCACTATTACAGAAGATCGTTTTTCTTTTCTTAATTCAAAAATCGCTAACTCCCCCCACTCTCCGTAAGTGAACAAAACCATTAGAAAAATCGTTATTTTTTGGAGTAAACAAAAATTTTTTTAATAGAAAAATTTTATGAAAAAAATTTTGATATATATGTGATAATTAGTATAATGAAATCTCGAGCTAATTCTGTTTAATTTTAAACAAATTGCTTTTTATAACATAAATTTTATAAATTAAATTAATATTTACTTTCTTATTTTTATGAATTTGGATTTTTTAAATTTTCGAAAAAAAATATTTTCTATAAAATTTTGTCACTCACGGAGAGGGGAAGAGTAAGCAAAAAAGAGCAATTAAAACTTTAGAAGCTACAATAATTGATCTAAAATCACCTGAAGAGCTAATTAGAAGAGATTCTATAAAAAATGATGTGTGCAATTGCAATATTATATAGTTAAAGTAGATTATATTATATAATTAAAAGACAAAATTAATTCAACTCATTTTGTTTTGTTTATTCAAACCCAGGAACATTTGCAGAGAGATTCTTAACTTTTATATAAATTATACATTGAACGCATTTGGCTGACATTAATAAATTTATTGCTTAATAATAATTTTACATTATTTTAAAAATGCTTACCATCACAATATTTATTAAAAATCTCTGAATAATTCATTAACTGATGCTGATGCTGGCTGAAAAAATGTGTCGTCATCTGGATAATTTGCAAAAGATGAAGTGTCCCCAGGCCCGCTTAAGTTAGGTATCCAAGGTGCCCTAATTTCTCTTTGGCAAACCATTCCTCAGTCAACTCCTCTAAATCATTTAGCTGCTTTAATATCAATACTCCCCCTTACACTTCCTAAACGATTTTCCTGCTCTATTACTAAAAGTCTTGAAATTAATTTTGCTGCTGCATGTGGAACCTCTTCTGGCATTTCAAACTCTCCTTTTACGATTTTTTTGTAAATTTTATAAGGATTATTATCAAAAAACGGTGGATGCCCTACAAGCATTTCATAAACCAAAATCCCAAACGCCCATCAATCGACTGGCTTTGAATGGCCAATTGATTTTATTATTTCTGGTGCTAGGTATTCTGGTGTTCCGCATAGTGTAAAAGTCCTTTCTCCTTGTGAAATATGTTTGCAGAATCCGAAATCTGCAATTTTTATGTGTCCTGTATGATCGATCAGCAGGTTTTCAGGCTTTAAATCTCGGTAAATAATGTTGTTCGAGTGAATGTATAGAAATTTCCCATAGATGGCGCTGTTTGCCCTTGATTTTGCCCATGGGAAAATTTTTTTGGTTTGACCAAACCATATGGTGCTGGTGGAACCAAAAAATTTCCCCAGTGGGCAAATCAAAGGCAAGCAGCGCCATCTATAGGAAATTCTATACTCAATTGCAAGCAAAATTTCAGTAGCATAAAATAAAGCGACATCATTTGGGAAATGATGTCATAATCTTAAACGCGTAAAGAGCTCTCCTCCTGCAATATATTCCATCACTAAATACAGGCATGCATTGTCTTGGAATGAGCTGAATCTGAATTTTTTTTACACTTTAAGAATAAAAGGGTTATCAAGAGACATGAGCACCCGTTTTTCGCACTTTGCATGCTCAACTTGTTTCAATTTTGCTAAAACTTCTTTGTTTATCATTTTAATTGCATAGTAGGTCCCTTGCTTTTGGTTTTTTAATCTAGCTATTACTACTCTTGCAAAAGTGCCAGTTCCTAATTGGGAAATACCTATTGTTTTGAGAATTTGGAAATCACGAATATGATGACTTTGCATTTTTTTGAATTTATTATTAACTGGGATTCTACATTGAAATCTATTAAGATATAAAAAAGATTAGTTAAAAGATATGAACTTCTCATTGTAAAATAACCGAAATGAGCAAAAATTAACTGCATGAGTTTTACTATGCCAATTATTAAGAAAGCCATAATTATATTGTGGAGTTATATATCTACTTATTAAATATATTTCTTGAATAGTTAAGTTATTTTAACTTCATTTGTATGCTAAATTAAAATAATCAGTTTAGACATCATTTTGCAACTTTTAAATTAAATGAGATTTTAATAATTTGAATTATAATATTGCATTATAATATAATTGCTATTCGTTTTCTAATACCCCCTCTGCAAGCGAACAAAACCATTGGTAAAATCCCTATTTTTTGCCCAAAATCACCCTCCGTGAGCGAACAAAATTCTTTTTTATGAAAAAATTGATTTATAAGTGATAATTATTAAAATGAAATCTTGAGCTAATTCTACTTAATTTTAAGCAACTTCCATTCTAAAATATAAATTTAACAAATAAATAAATATTTGCTTTCCAATTTTTGCATTTTGGGATTTTTCAAATTTTGAAAAAAAAAATTAACCTCCTCCGTAAGCGAACAAAATTTTTTTGTTCGTTGGGGGAGTAAGTGATATTAATCGCCTTTAAATTGAATTTATTTAAATCTTTATATTTTAATCATTTCTTTATTTAATACTAAAATTTTCAAAATATTGTTCTTAAGCAAAACTAAACTCTGCTCCGATTTTGGCTTACATAAATATCTGTACATAGTCTTTATTTCTTAAATTATAAAATCTTTTATTTTTGGAAATTTAAAAAGGACTCTCATTACCGTTCCATTTTGGACTGGAAAATTTTTGGATAAAATCTTATTACTGGATAAAAAAAGATAGAGATAGAAGGGGAAAAAGATATAAATCATATTGTCTTGCTCTTTATTAGACTACAAAAATATGAATTAAACAGCTATACGTGCCAGCCTGCCTCTTGATGTAACAGTCCTGAACTTATGGCTATGGCGAACTGGGACGGAGTCCGAGCCAAGAAATCAAATGCAGGCTCGAGAAATGCGCGCATGAGTAAGTGCTGACTGCTTTCCTGTAGTTGGAAATGGAGGTACTCGACAACGTTCGTTGGATCTGAGGGCCCATGGGTATTCCCCTACTGAGAAACTGGGGTTTCAACCAGGCCACAGTAGTCTTTTTTCAGTAGCTGTTGAAGAAAGGCACTTCAACACTTGATAGACTCGAATGAACTGATCCATGGAATCAAGCTACTCGAATCGCCCGCAGTATCAGAAATCCATAAGCATTCAAGACTGAAGCCGCAAGGAAAGGAGGAGACAGAAAGCACAGGAAGTGGCATCCACCTTCGGGTAAAGACCCTCTGGGGTGGAGTTGAAAAGTGGTTGCATCTCCCATTCTAGAGATCTTTGGCAGCTGCCTCACCAATATGACTAGCACCTAACTTTCATAGCCAAGCCTAATAGACTGCAAAAAGAAATAAAATGTTGCAGAAAAGAGTTGTATGTTAAATCTGTTTCAGATTTTTTAAAATGCCTTGTTATATGCAGATTCTATTATAAGCTGCTCCAATATCTATAATTATTTTTCAAAGTGTTTAATCTAAGTTGCATCACTCTCTAGTAGTCATGCTATAATCAATCACCAATAAATATTTAAAAACAATACATAAATCTCTTATCAATGAAGTGTTTATTGCGATTTCCTATTTCGCCATTTTTCTGAAAATTTCAGCTCACTTTTCACTGGATAATCAAGCAGAAATTAATCACAAATGTGCGAATTATAAATGTTAGAACCGATTAGAAGAACAAGCTCTTCATTCATTATCGGGCTGCAACAAATAAAACATCAAATCGAGATAAAAGAGCATGCTGAAAGACTAGCTGAAGAAGAAAGCAAAAAACATGGAGCCACAAAAAAGTCTGTAGCAAAGCCTAAAGGAAGGGATAAGCAAGATGATGCTATTAAGAGCTCGGAAGCTTTTAGAGACATGATTGAGCATAAAATCTCATTAGATGAGCTAGCAAGAAACTTAGAAACAGATTTCGACCGTGGCTTATCAGACGAAAAAGCACATAATAAACTTAAAGTTTTTGGAGAAAATAAACTGACTGAGAAGGCCGGACTCCCATGGTACTTGCATTTTATTAAGTGTCTAACTGGCTTTTTCTCATTGATGCTATGGGCAGGGGCTATTTTATGTTTCATCACATATGGTATTGATCAAACTGATCCATCCAATGTTTACCTTGCTATAGCGATAGTTGTTGTCGTCGTAATCACAGGTACATTTGGCTTTTATCAAGAAGAAAAGTCAGCAGCCATCATGGCAGGGTTCAAGAACATGATTCCTCCTAAATGCTCAGTAATCAGAGATGGAAATGCAAGAGAGATGGAGTCATCTAAGCTTGTTCCTGGAGACATTGTGTTTGTTAAGGAAGGTAAAAAAATTCCTGCAGACATTAGGATTTTATCATCTAATAATATGAAAGTTGATAACTCGTCCTTAACTGGAGAAAGTGATCCTCTTCCAAGAACAGAAAAATGTACTAATGAAAAAAATCCGCTTGAAACTGAAAATATGGCATTTTTTGGGACTATGTGCAGCACTGGGGAAGCGAAAGGTGTGGTGATTAATACAGGTGACAAGACTGTAATGGGAAGGATTGCAAACTTAGCCTTCACTACTAAGAATGAACAAACGACACTGGGAAGAGAAATTGACTTTTTTGTGAAGGTAATCACTATTATATCAGTCACAATGGGAATCATCTTCTTTGCTTTAGGCTTTAGCTTTGGGTTTACTATTACGGTAAATGTAATTAATGCTATTGGATGCATTATTGCTAATGTTCCTGAAGGACTACTTGGAGAAGTAACAGTTGCTCTTGCTCTTACTGCAAAAAGAATGGCTGAAAAAAATGTCCTTGTAAAAAACTTAGAATGTGTCGAAACTTTAGGATCTGTCACATGTGTTTGCTCAGACAAGACTGGGACTTTAACTGAAAACAAAATGAGAGTCGTTAGTATTTGGTATGACAGTAAAATTAGAGATGTAAATAATTATGAAGAAAAGAATACTGGAGTAACTTTAGGCTATAATATTGAAGAGCCCACTTTTGAAATGCTGCTTAGATGTGCTATTCTAAATAGCAAAGCCCAATTTTCAACCGAGCCACCTGAAGATCTTTTATCTGATAAGCATGGAAACAGGCTTTCTGAAAATGAAATTGCAGAAGTTAAAGAAAAATTTAAAAGTGGCTTACTCCCCTCTTCATAAGCAAACAAAACCATTGGAAAAATCCCTAATTTGCTCAGAAACCCACCCGTGAGCGAGCACATATTTTTTATGAAAAAAAATTGATATATAAGTTTAGCTATCTCTATTTAATTTTAAACTTTAAAGCATAAATCTTATAAATTAATTTTTAGCGAATTGGAGTTTTTTTTAAATTTTGAAGAATATAAATTTTTAAAAAAAAATTATCCCTTAATGAGTGAACAAAATTTTTTGTTGCTCATGCGGAGAGTTAGCAGCCAAATCCATACAAACTTGGCCAACATTCGGAGGTGATGCATCAGAAATTGCTTTAATTAAATTCTTCCATCCCATCAAAAATATCACAGATATGAGGCAAACATATCCTATTCTAATAAGAGGAGGGATTAAAGGTGAAATCCCATTTACTTCGGCTAATAAATATGCAGTAACAATTCATGAGCCAACAGATTGGAATCCTGAAGACCACAAGAAAGATTGCATACTATTTATGAAGGGCGCTCCTGAGCAGCTATGGGAGAGATGCTCAACTATTCTTTCAGAAGGAAATGCTATTCCTATAACTGAGGAGAAAAGAATTCAATTTGCAACCGCAAATAAATGCTTTGGAGGTAAAGGTCAGCGAGTCTTAGGATTTGCTTACACATGGCTCGATCACAATGAGTATCCTAAAGATTATGTCTTTGAACCAAATAAAAAAGAAGGGCCAAATTTCCCTCTTCGAGGGCTCACTTTTATTGGCTTAACTGCACTAATGGACCCACCAAGAAAAGGAGTGAAAGAAGCTGTTATTTCAGCTCATGATGCAGGGGTCAAAGTAATAATGGTTACTGGAGATCAGCCTCTTACCGCTGCAGCAATTGCAAGACAAGTGCAAATTATTACTGTAGACAAGACTGTGAATGACTATGTTGAAGAAGGCTTGGATTGGGAAAAGGCTATAGACTTAAGTGACGCTATTGTGATTCACGGAGATATGCTCACAAAAGCTCACACAGAAGATTCCGATCTTCCATTTAGAGAGCAAAGAATTGCCAAGTGGCTAACCCATGGTAATTAAATAAAATTTATAGTAAGTTTAATGTTTAATGATTAAAGTTTTATATTTAGCAAGGATAATATTTAATGCAATCTATATGATTAGCTCAATAAATCTTAAAATAATTGATATGAAAATTTAAGTTTAAGTTTAATTGAATTATTCTTGGATGCTGTCTCCTTGCTTGAGATCCAACTTGATTAACAGCTCTGAACAACGGTAGGTGGACCGGCCTAACCGTCGAACCGTTAATGTTTGCAAGTCCGTTAAGACTTCTCTGATCAGTGTCAGACTCAGCACTAGCCTCTCCACTCTCTTTCGAGACTCTCAAGAGTCAAGACCTCTCTCACTAAGCTCGAAAAGAGGACCCTGACCTGCGGAGCAGGAGTTTAAGACCTATCTCTAATTGACATTTTTAATATTGTGATATGAAAGTAAGTAAAAAAGAAATCGTGTTTGCAAGGACTTCTCCTGCTCAAAAATATATGATTGTTGACGCCAATCAGCAACTTAACTCCCCATTCATGAACGAACAAATAATTTTGAGAGGGACTAATTTTTTTTTATAATTTAAAAAAATCCAAAAATGCACAAATTGGAAAGAAAAATTAAATTTAATTTGCGATATTTATGTTTTAAAATGTAAGCTATTATATATTTAACAGAATTAGCTCAAGATTTCAGTATAATATTTATCACTAATATTTCAAAATATTTTTTTTATTCGCTTACAGGGAGCGGGTTTCTACCCAAAAAATAGGATTCTTCTCATGGGCTTGCTCGCTTGCAGAAGGAGGAAGTAAACAAATTGTTGCTGTTACTGGTGATGGCGTAAATGACAGCCCGGCCATTAAAAAAGCTGACATTGGAATTGCTATGGGAATTGTAGGAAGCGATGCAGCTAAAGACGCTGCCGATATGCTGCTGATCGATGACAATTTTGCATCTATTATTCAAGGTGTAGAGCAAGGCCGTGTCATTTTCGATAATCTTAAAAGAACTATCGCCTACGTTTTAGCATCAAACATGGCAGAGATCATCCCTTACTTAATAACAGTTATATTCCAGCTACCCTTACCTTTATCAACTGTTTTAATGCTTGCAATCAGTGTTGGAACTGATGTTATCCCAGCTGTTGGGCTTGCTTATGAAGAGTCCGAGCTTGATATTATGAAAAGAAAACCACGAGATGCAGAAAAAGATCATTTGATGTCCTATCAACTTCTATTTTTTGCTTATATGCAAACAGGCGAAATAATCACAATGGGTGGAATGTTGGCTTATTTCACGATTTTTTATGATTTCGGATTCAAACCACAAGTTTTGTGGTTCTTTTACGTAGCACAATCTGGGTATAAGCCCGGAAAGGATGATGTTTATGACCCTGATCTCAATTCAAAAGGAAATTCTCACATAGGAGACTCAAATTATGAAAACGAGGCTGTTGATTTTATCACAAATGGAGATGCACATCTTGACTTAAGAATATGGTTCCATAATTATGGAAAGGATAATTGGTCTGATTGCAAATATCCTGGGTGGACATCACCAATATCTAATCATGAAATCTGCTATACCACAGAAGCTTTTAAATACGCACAATGTGGTTACTTCGTAGGAGTTGTTTGCTGCCAATACGCAAATATAATGATTGTCAGGACAAGAGAAAAAAGTATAATTGATAGAGGTTTCACAAACTGGTTTGTGAACTTTGCGCTTTGTTTTGAAACTTTGTTTACATTGATAATTTGCTATGTTCCTGGGCTGAATAGTGCTTTAGGAGGTAGACCCTTGCTTACTTTGCACTATGGATTTCCTGCTGTTCCTGCATTTATTTTACTAGTATGCTATGATGAGTGTAGAAAATTTTTGATGAGAATAGAAATGGCAAAAAATAAAGGCAGTGGGAAAAAAGGGTGGATAGAAGCTAATACATTTTATTAATAAAATATTTTTTAAACTCACTCAATATAAGTTTCCTAAACTAAAATTTCAAAATTAAAACTCTATAATATGCCATCAACAATTCAAACATAATTTAAAATTATTTAAAATATTAAATATTTTCTTACTTAATTACTTTTTTAGCATGCTTTCCGATAAAATGAAACTAATTAAGCATTTTTTACTATTATTTTTTATTATGTCTTTATTCATTAAAGATGAGGATCACTGTGTTGTAATTTAACAATCAATTTCCCTTGATTTTCTCCTGTCATCAGTAGCCTTAAAGCTTCAGGCACTTTTTTAATTCCTTCTAGTATGTGCTCTTTATATATTAATTGTTTCTCTTGTACAAGCCTGCTCAACTGTCTAGTAGCCAATTGAAATCTATTTTTATAGTCCCATACAATAAAGCCTTCTACTGTTAGTGATAATGCAATAATTAAAGGATAGTTATAAATTGGCTTTGGCTTTTTTGAATTGTAGGAGGCTATTGCTCCACATGCGATAATTTTGCCATGCTTTTTTATATTCAAAAGTACTGCATCTAATATTTCTCCACCCACATTATCAAGATATATATCAATTCCATCAGGACAGAGTTCGCGTAAGGCACTATTCATGCTTCTTGCTGTTTTGTAATTAATCGCTGCATCAATTTTTAATTCATTCCTGAGATAGTCACATTTATCTTCACTTCCTGCAATGCCAATCACCTTTGCACCTCTTAGTTTGGCTAATTGGCAAGCAATAGATCCAGTAGCTCCAGCAGCAGTTGAAATAACTATTGTGTCTCTTCTATTAGGTTTTGCAAGTTCTTCAATTGCAAAAAAAGCAGATAAGCCAGTTATGCCTAAAACTCCTAGCTCTATCCATCTTTGTGAGCAATAGTTTTGCTTCTCATCTATATTTTATTTAAAATTTTACATATAATATTTAAAAATCCAATCTGGAACGAAAAATTGGTTTAATTTTATAAACTTATACTTTTCATAAGCATATAAATAGAATTAGATATTTTATTATAGTAATTATCAATTGTATATCTAAAATCATATGCAAATATTTTATATAAAAATATTTTACTTCCTTAGAGAGAATTATTTTACAGCAAGCAATTTTTATAAGGGTTCGATCGATTAATGATAAGGAGAATAAGTAAAGTTGAGGATTTTCATATGAAGGTAGCTTTCACAATTCAGACGCGTTAATTTTACAAAATTCTTGGCAGTGTAAAAATCCAGCAACATAATTTCCTCTTTTCAGAAGAGGGGTTTTTGAGATAATAACTTGCCCCACGCCTAATCCTTTAACAACTGATCCTATAGAGACTGGATCAATATATGACCGAGATCCTGCTATTCAGACCCGCTGGGCTGCATCAATTGAAATTCATTTTACTTTAACTAAAACTTCACCATCATTGAAATTAGCTTTTATGGGCTCTTCTATTATAGCAAAGTCATCCTCTTGAGGGATCCCTTTTGGTCTTTTTAGGAGAATAACCTTTTTGTTCATGACGTATGCAAATGGTGATATATAGGTAAATTAGACAAAACTTAAAAATAAGTAAACGCCTAAGTCAGAAATAATCAAAAAGATAAAAGTGGACAGAAAAGTTGAAGAAATTTTTTATTGAAGTCCTCAAACAATTTTTGAAATGCTATGCAAAACTTTAAATTTTTACAAAGCAAAATAGCTCGGCAATATAATAAAAATATCTTTTGCTTCTTTTAAAATCTTAAGGTAATACTCGTTATGCAGATCAACCAATATGGATTGTCGATAATAAAAATGCTAAGGAAATTTGCCTCCCAAGTTAGTCTTAACCAGTTGAAAGAATTAAAATCGCTTCTTCCTTCTTGGAGTGTATCACATGACTCTTCGGAATTAAGAAAAACGTTCTACTTTAATAATTCGCAAGAAGCTTGGGATTTTGTCGAAACAGTTGGCAAAATAGCAGCCAAGAATCAATGCCCACCCGCCTGGTCATTGAGCCATAATAGTGTTGCAATTAAATTCCCACCTGAATCAAAACAAGAATTAACGAATGGGCAGGTGTGACTTGCATCATTCATGGACAAAGCTGGAGCACACATTAAGCAAGACGAAAGCATGGCAGATTAGAATTAATTTCCGTAGTTAAAGCGTTTAGGTTTTAATTGCATAGCTGTGATTTAACGGTTGTGGTTGCTAGTTTATAGATATATTGAGATTATTCAAAATAAAATATTTTATATAATCTTTTCAAAGTTATTTGGTGTCTATTAGATTATACTTATATCACTATCTATTATTCTCTAAATATATTTGGATTGTTCGTAGCTAATTTTCGTTTTCTCTAATTAATCATTTTAATTCTAAATAAATAATTTATATCTAACTCTCTATTCTATTAAATAACAAAAATTCCTATTCGAAAAAAGGCATTAATTATTTTAATAAGTTTTCTATAAAAAAGATTTTCTCAAATTTTTAAAAAATTAAAAAAATCTAAATTAAACACAGTATTTTTAAAAAACAATTTACTTTATGAAGAATTTTTAAAAAATAATCGATCCAGCGTGAAAACTATTTAAATTGTATTAAAATTTGTTTTTAAAAACAAAAAAATTCTCAAAATTTAGAAATCAAAAATAATTTAATTTTGCGAATTTATGTTTAATGCAAGCTGTTTAAAAATTCAAGCGCTAGAGATTTCTATATATAAATTATACAGGTTTGCCCGATGATGGCACATTGAGCGCCATCATCGGGCATTTATTATATCACTTATATATAAAAATTTTTTCATAAAAATTTTTGTGAGCCAAAGGAGGATGGTTTTTCTCCCAAAAATTGGAAATTTGTCCAATGGTTTTTCTTCTCTCACTGAGAGAGTAATGATTTTCAACTATAAAATTAACTAGAATAATAAGCTAATTAAAATTTATAAAAAACTCAAAAGAGGAATGCTTATATTTCCTGAGCTGTTTATTTGCTATAATCTTTAATTCAATCAAATTTTATAAGACAATCGCTCTCATTTTTTAACTTAAGTTACATATTTTAATGTAATTTGTATTTAATGCTTAAATGGGCTATCTGTTACATTAGATTTTAAGAATAAAAATATAAATAAAGGCGATATCTGATTTTAATTTCTTAAGTCGCATTTAGCATACAAAGAAAAAGCGGCCTTCGCAATAATTGCTTACAGGAAATAAAAAATATAATAATTTAGACCGTGAAAGCCAAAACAATTGCAAGGAAACAGAATATATATAAGAAAATATGCTGCCTATTTGTTGGGCTGAATATAATTTAACATTCATTTGTTATCATAGAAAATTCCTTTTGGAGAATATGGTATAAAAATATGTTAAACTTTTTAACAGGGTCTCTTTTGGTTTTATCTTTTTATTATGGCTGGCTCATTGTCTATTCTCATGCATCAAAGCGAACAACTTTTTGTGTAGGATTTATTGTGTTTATTAGCTATTTTCTTGGGTTTACCATTATCACACTAATTCCTTATGATATTTATTTGGTATTTTCCTAAATCTCCTCCGTTAGTGAGAATTACGTTGTTAAAATCCTGCTTATGGGGAAATTAACTATATAGGCAAAGCAAAATGTTTGCAATATAAATATTTTAATTATATATAAATAATAATTAATAAAATATTCAATTAAATAAATTTAATTTTATTTACTCCAACTCCTTTTAATATTAATAAAACATAATATTTTAAGTAAATTAGCCGCCCTTTAAATTAGAACAAAAAGTTTTTTTAATGGAAAATTTTACAGGTAAAAATTATAGCTTAGACATAATTTTATTAAGGAATAGCTGTTAAAATACTGTTTAAATACTTGGCATGCTGATTTGATTAACTCTTTAAAAATAAATTAATTTAAAAATATGCATTCAATTTATAAAATTTTATTTTTATAATGAAAAATTTTATACTATCATCTCTTGGTTAAATTTTTTATGGCCGTTATACGCGCCATTTTCATATGAAATTTATTTTCCGCACTAAAATCTGCGTTTTGAAACGTATATTTGGTTTCCACATACCAAATTCAAAATGGCTTGCATATTCATGATATGAATAAATGCAACGCATTATATTTTTTATCCAAAAAAATTTAAACCCTTTTGATATCCAACAGAATTTTTGTTCCAATTTAAATTAGGGAAGAGTTAATTTTTTAATAGGGCGCTTTTCGCGCCAAAAGTGTGAAGGCGAAGGACAAGTGTGGTGCTCCAGGGGTATGTATGCAGCAAGTAGGAAGTTGATGGAGGACTACAGTTGATGATTGCTGGAAGATGCTGGAGTTTTTTGTTGCAGCGAAAGCGGACATGAATTGATTAAGTTATAATTGGCCGATTTCGGATGAGTAATGTGCGAATCGGTGATTCAATTATAGCTTAAATTACGAAGATGGGCAAAAAGTGAGGATAAGCGACTGAACTTTGGAGGTTTAAAATTTTTTGGTTTATTTGACGATTTTTTTGGGATTTTTTGGGATTTATTGGGAATTTTTCAGATTTTTTTTTGAGTAAAAACGAGAGAAATGCGGTACATCCGCGATAAAATTTAAGTTATAAGTTATAAGTTATAAATTAGGGAAAGAGTGTCATTCTATAGTATAAATCAATAATCTAATTTGAATTTTTTTTCTCAAACATTTGTTTTAGGACTTTTTCAAATTCAAAAAAAAATATAAAAAATTGGAGTAGTGGAGTAAGCAGAGATATACAAGAAATAAAGTTGGATCTCCCCATGATGACATTGCAGTAATGAGACCCCTATGGGTATGGCTGTATTGAATTTCTTTTGCACTTGGCTGGTACCGATTATATTAGACTTGTCCTTCCTCTTATAAAAGAATATATAGACTCAGGCGATTTTTCTTTTTCCTCCAAACTAAGAACAGCTTTTTATAGACTGACAAAAAGTATGATTTTAGTATTCGGATTAGGGCTAGCATTAGTTATTTATTTACTTATGCAAAATCATTTTATATTGTAAGATATATTTAGTGAGACTTTATCAATTTTTTTCATTATTTTGAATAACTGCACAGGCTTATTTATGATAATTATTTTATTAGGTTTTGGCTTGGTAAATGTTCCACAATTATTTTGAAAGTTAGGGAATACTGAAAAATACTTGAAGGATTTGTATTCACAGGCTACAATACTTGAACAGCAATTATTGCAATCAAATAAAAATTTAGATGAAACTTTAAAGCTTATGATTGCGGCTTCTCATCAAATCCCTGATGCTTCCCCACTCAAGCCGTGTCTTGATATGATTTTATCAAGATGCCCAGAAGAAAAGATTGAGGAAAACCGATCCTTTGTATCAGAAGAGACCAGAAATCAGTTCGGAAACTTACCAGAGAAAAGATTATCAGAGATTAATTATGATATCAAAAAAGAAATAGATGAATTGGAAAGGGTAAAATATAAATACAACAGTTTAATTGAAAAAGCGATGTTTTTAGAGGACATAACAAATTCTTATAATAGCACACAAAAAAAGGTGATTTCATATATGATACCACAAAGAGGAGGAAGCTACATAAAGGTAAAAGAATTTTTCGAATGGATTTGACTCACAAGATTTCGACCTATTGTCTATAGACTTTTAGGAATTTTATTCGCTATAATGAGTGTATGCGTAGTTTTAGAAGAAATCACTATATGACATAATAAGCCTATATTGATTTTCCGATTCCCAATGGAAAGAGACCTAGGAGTTTATTGGATACAAGCAATAATTTTCATTCCGCTTATATATATCATTGCATGTACATACTTTGCTTTTTCAAATATTAAGCTTGAGAATTTTTATGGCCTTTACGCACATAATAATACAGACCCTAGTAATCTCATATGAAATGCTTCCATGATGCTAAAACTAGTAACTCCTTTGTCCTATAACTTTTACATGTTTATGAAATTCAAAAAATGCGAATTTTTCCAGATCATGAGAGCAGCTAATTTCGTTCCAATTTTAGGGAAGGATTTTGGGATGTATTTCCCATCTTTATTGCTTATACTTTGCCTTTTGAATTATTTCAATTTATATGAAAAAATGATAGTTGCATTAAGGATAAGGCAACTTAGCTTTACTGATAAATATTCTGCGGATAGAATACTAGAAGGAGCATCAATAATACAAAATGAAAGAGAAGCAAGAGAAAAAGATTTTGGATTAAGCAGTTCATCAGCAATCGAAATAGTTAATAATGACATGCAAAAGACAGAAGGGTTTGATGAAAATCCCAAGAAATTTGATAGGCTTTACGATTAAATTTATTCTCCTTTTAAAATTTTTAGCTTTTCTTCAGCAGCTGCAACCATACCTTTCAGTGCTTCACAGCTGATCTGATGAGAAATATTTGCTGATTGCCCATAAATCAATTTTCTTGCAACCTGAACAATTTTTTCCATCCTAATAATTGATTTCTGCTCAGTGACTGGATATTCAGCATAAAGATTAAGATTAAGATTAAGATTACGCTGGGTATTTAAAGTCCCCACTTCGTCCGAGGAAGCATTCTACGGTTTCCCGTATGGTGGCAGAGCGTTCACCAAGCCCGGGCCGAAACCCCCGGCTTCTCGGTAGAGGTAAAGGTCAAGGGACGTGTCATACCGTCTTTGCTGACCGCCTCCATTTCCAACTTGGATCGTCGCCTAAGTTTACGCCAACACTGCCGCGTCGTCCGCCAGATCTGCCCATTGAAGGGCACCTTTTAACTGGAGAGACTCCCGTTTTGTTGTCTAGCTTGCCTTCCCCTCTTTTCCGGTCATCCCGAGAAAGAACTCAACAGCTTTCGCCATTCGGGGCAAGCCACAAAAGCAGCTTAGGCAGGTAAGTCGCCCTGCCTGATTTCGGGCTCTCACTGGGCTGAGCGCTGCTGGCAAAAAGAAGTCGCGAGTAACTGCCCATGGGTTTTGTCACAGAAACAGCGGTCTCCGTGCTTAGACCTCTCGCCTCGAGGTCCAAAACATTGTTGGGCCAGCTCCCGGCTCCAAAAACCATGCCCGGATATACATGGGTAAACCACCACTGAGAGGGTGGGTCGGCCGCCGTCAGCCATTTTATGTATATGATATTCAGCATAAAAATGCTTTAAAATTTCATACACTTTTTTTGCCAAATTATTCGCTGATACATCATCTTGAAGATTTTCTTCGCTATCAATTGTTAATTGATGGAAAATTTGTTTCATTGCTTCTCCACATTCCATAATGCTTGGAAATACAGTTTTTATGTCAGCACTTGTCGTGAAGTTCCTAATTTCTTGTAGCCAACTTGACTGATCTGGAGTTGGCGCATCCAATTGCATGTCGCTTAATTTTCGTTTAGGAATTTTAAATTCTTTTTTTTCTGTAGTACGATATTCTGATGGAAAGTTACATGATTTTACTGTAAATGCTGAGTGCTGATTTATATGTTGAATTATTTGAGAGGCAACTGCATTTTGAGAGCCAACAGACCTGTAATTTCCGTAATTAGAGGGTAATGAATCGTCGATAAATTGTAATGGACATTCAGGAATATAATCTGATGTGAGTTCTAATGAATCTGCCATAGCAGCTCCAAGCTCAAGCTGCTTTTCCCAAAAATGTCTCCAAAAATCTTTTTCGCTCTTTTTATGAGGAACATTTTGGATGAAACTTTGCCTTATATCAGGAAGTTGCCGAAAAATTAATTCTTTGTGTTTATTAGCTCACCCCCTTTTAAATTGGAACAAAATATCCTCTTCCTATGTTTTGTTCCAATTAAAAAGGCTAGGGAGTAAGCAAATCTACTGCAATTTGGTTTTGTTGTATAACTCTGTGAGGGATTCTAACAACGCTGCTTAGTTTTCCCATTATTTGCTCATTATGCCTTTTTTCTAATAGATATTCTTGAAATGATGAGCTTGCTTGCCAAAATTCTTCTTCAGAAACGTCTCCTTCTCTTACTATTCTATCTATACTAACTCTTAATAAATGATTTCTAATATAAATGATTATTAATTTACTATAAAATGCATAAAACTCTATGAATTTCAGCTAAATCTGAGTCATTTTTCAAAATTTTTATTTTTTGCTGTGTATCTTTGCTTAAAAAATAAATCTCGTCAACTTTTTGGTTTTTTGTACGATAGCTGAAAATATAATCTTTACAAGTTTGCAGATCGTCTTGGTGTGTTGGTGAAATAAATGCAAAATGGACTTCAATTCGTTTTTGGCTCGGATCTTTCCCAGCTACTTTTAAAATTGACTTTGTTTTAGCTTCATCCATGACATGATCCACTATTTCTATGCTATGATAGGCTAATTGGATGACTGGGACTGAAGAATCCATGGCGCTTCATATTAATCGGAGATTTGTAAGTCCTAACGTGCCTGGTTTATTCTTATGAAAGGTTTCTTTTCTTATCAAGTACTCTTCATTAGGAAGTAAATCCATTAGTAATTATATGTCATATTTATTAAGGATTAAATAAGAAATTAGCATAGATTGCAATCTTCATCTTCACAGAAAAATTCAAGATTAAAAAGCAAAGCACCAAGTGTAGAGAAGTAAAGAACAAGTCCAAAGCCACTGAAAAATCGGATATAAGTCCATGTTTTAGAGTTTTCTTCACGAGGCAATAAGAGAAATCCAATCATCCCGCCAACTAAAAATCCACCAATGTGCCCTGATATGTCTATATTTGGGATGGAAAATCCAGCCATAAAGTTAATGATGACAAAGAATAAATATACGAGTAAATTGAAATTTCGCCCTGGCCCGAAGGTATACCAGTTATAAGCATAATAGCAGCCAAATGTAGCAAAGATCCCAAAGAGTGATGTTGAAGCTCCAATTGAGATGCCGTCTTTTCGAGTGTATGCACTAACACATCCCCTTTTAAATTGGAATAAAAATTTTGTTAAAATTTAAAAGGGGTAAAAAAACACATTATTATTTATTATTATTATTAAAAAATGTTATAAAATTTTTTAAAATTAAAAAATAATGCATTTTATGAAGAAATAATTCAAGAAATTAATCGATTTAATGTGAAAACTTTTTAAATAATATCCTACTTGCACCTTTTCAATTAAATTAGGTCAAAATAATTTTATAAATATTACTCACCCCTCTGTGAGCGAAAAACCATTTGAAAAATCCCTATATATTTACTCTCTATAAATAAGCAAACAAATTTTTTTGTCCGCTCAATGATGAGGGAGTTGGTGTTTTCGCCTAAAAATTTTCATATTAAAAAAATATTTAAAGGGGGTTAAATATGGAAATTTTACCTATATTTTTGCTCTAATTTAAAGGGGGAGTAAGGATATTACCCCCAATCCCTGAAATTAAATAAATCAAGATAAATCTTGGAGTTTGATAGTATTTTTCGACTGCGAAACCAATTCTTAATTGAAAAAATAAGTTTAGCTAAATAAAAAGTACGATAATGTGAAATAAGCTTCCATGAAGCATAATTGGCATTAAAAGCCTTCAGATTTCGCCACCAACAACAATAGACGGTGCGTACTAAATATATATTACGTTTGCACCTAATTTGTATAAAACACAGGTAGATGGCTGATAGCTTTGACTCATAATGACAGAGATCAGAAAATAAATAACCTGAATTATAGTGATCGTAAAAGTAAATGATTTCAGGGCAAAGTTTGGGAATATTTTAGTAATTTGATTGCCTTCTGAATGCTGAATTGGCTGCTCAAGTTCTAGTCGATGTATATTTGACATTTATATAGCTTTTGATTTATGTCAATATATCTTTACAATGCTGATATTTTTTACTTATCTGTGTAAACTATATAATTATACTACATAAAATTATTTACAAAATTTTATTTATTTACAATTTAACTTATTGTGCTTCTGCAAACCGGACAGCTATTTTTAAATGTAACCCATGTGTTCATGCAAATATAATGAAAATTATGTTTGCATGGCAAAGCAACCCTTCTTTCATCAGTTTTTTGATCGTCTAAGCAAATTGTACAAAAACTGTCACTTACATCAGATTTGATATATGGGTCCAAATTTATTTGTGGGAGCATTGTTGCGTCATCAAAGTAATCATAAGATGTAGCTGCCATCACTTCATTCACAAAATTGTGTGCTGGCTTTATCAGGAATAAAACTTTGATAATTTCGCTACACACCAAAATTCCAGCAAGAATTTCAATTGCTCCATGTAAGCAATCCATTTCTTTGACTAGATCAATAGAGGTTACGACTAATATCATAATTCGGAATCTACATAAACATTACGTTTCCATGCTCAGTTGTATTGAAAAAATAAACATTTTTGGAGGCTGCTCTAGGTGAAATAATTTTCTTATTAAAATTGTTAATAATAGAAATGCGTCAAAAATTTCGATCGTCGTATATAAAATTAAATATACGCTAACTCATTCTGATTTCTGTGAGAAAGCCAAACTATTGGAAAAATCACTATGCTTTTTGGAAAAAAACAACCCTTCGTGCTGAGCAAATAATTTGTTTAATATGTGAACTTATAAATATGAGTGATAATCATTATAATGAAATCTCGAGCTAATTGATTGATTGGTTTACAATTTACATTAAATTATATTTTACTTGCCAATTTTGCAAATTCGGATTTTTTAAATTTAAAAAAATTCAACATAAAATTTGGCTAATTCATAGAGCGATGAGTAAGGTCCAGTACACAACGGGAACTATATGTATCTTGAAGTATCAAGATTGCAGCTATTTTTGTTACTGTATATAGGATATAGATCGAAAGTACGCTATATTTATCGTATCCTGTGATTCCTGGGACGAATGTGGATCTTGTCTCGCTCATTTTATGTTTTATAAGCATTACTGATAAAAAAATGACAGTTTTGATATATAGGAAAATGGCTTTATTTACTGCAAAACTAGATCAGAAATTAGAATTTTCAGAAAAGATTCTTTAATATCTTAGCTATAGCCCAGGAACCGATATTGATCTGTCTGGGCTAGGAGAATGCATAGAAACTTCCCCAGTTGGTTCTCCAACCCAAGTTGATGAGCCAACTCGAGAGTTGGCAAATAGGCCGATATAAAACATATCCGAGTTGGTTCGTCAACTTGGGCTGGAGAACCAACTCGGGAAGTTTCTAGGCATTTCCCCAGCCCAGGCAGATCAATATCGGCTCCTGGGCTATAATTATCTCATATAATTATACATTAATATAAAATAAAATTAAGAGAAAATAGTTATTTATTATTATAATTGAGTTGTTTTTTTAAGAGTAGAAATCATGCAACCATTAAGCTCGATAGGAGAATTACTCAATTTATGTAGTTCAACTACTGATGAATTAGGACAATTTAGTAAATTGTATGCAGATTTGATTTTAACAAGCAATTTAGAAAGTTTTTCTGATAAAGAATTATTTCAACTAAGCGATTTGCTTATCAGTATATTGATAAAACTAAAAGAGAGAGGATTACTTGAAAATTACGTAAGGAGTTGCTTTTGCCATAATCAAAATATTTTTTCTTCCTTATTTATTTTGTCAGAATTTGCTTTAATTGATTGAAGTTTGCCTATAAGTATATTTCCAGTCCAGAATTTAGTTGAATTTTTAATTTCAAGTGATATGAAACTCTGCAAACAATCTTTAAAACTATTAATAAATTTAGCATCTCATAAAGAACCTCGATTTCAAATATCAGCTATTTTAGCCAATTTAAATGAAGAAATATTAAAATCTCTTAATCCTGACATAGAACCTTTGTTGATTCTGCTTCTTGCAAAGCTTTCAACCACATCAATTTTGAACAGGACTTCAAGTTTAATAGATTTTGCAAACATATCAAAATACCTTCTAGATGGAAACCAAAATAGAAAAATTATTTTAGAGTCACTCTGCTATTTGACATTTCACTTTGAATTTAAAATTAAGTGCCTTAGTTATATTGATTTAATTCTAGAAACAAAGAAATTTTCTTATTTGCCAACAATTATGAAAAATTTAGTTATAAGCAAAGAAGATGAATGAATTTTCCATGATAAAAGAAAAGAAATTACACATGAAGAGACTAAGCTAATCCACAATACCTTGAAAAATTTTGTTTTATTGAATGATGATTATGATTCTGGGCCTAAAGATGAAATCTTAAGGATAAGAAGTTTATTAAACTCAAAAAATTCTCAGGCAGCTTTATTAGGGCTGTTTATAACAGCAAATAAAAAAAATATTTCAAACTTTTCTAAAATTGACCTTATTTATTTTTTATTTGTCATGAGTGAAAATAGAGAAATGAGGATTCCTATATTACAATATGGAGGTATTAATTTTCTAATAAAAGGCAGCGCTTTAAAGCCTGTAATTGCTGGGCACACTATAGCTAGGCTTTTGATCTTTACAAATCCATCAAGCCTTAATTACGAAGTATTGATTGATTCTATTCCTTTGCTCCTTAAGTCTCTTGAAAATGCATGGCATCAACTCACTGAATTTGAAGTTTTATTAGCTCTTACGAATTTAGCAAGTTTTAATGAAAATATTAGGGAGGCTTTATTGAGTCATGGAGGTTGAGAAATTGCTTTTAATATGATTAATAGCGAAAACGTTATGATTCAAAGAAGCTCTTGTGAATTGATTTCAAATCTAGTCATGAGTGAAAAGGTTATTAATGATTTATTAGCAAGAAAGAAAAATAAGAATATTGAAGCATTAGTTTTATTATTAGATTCAGGTGATATACAAATTATTTCAGCAATTTTAGGAACTTTAGCAAATATATCAAGATTCGATGGGCTGCATTATATTTTTAAAGAAAATTTGACACAGACACTTGAGAAATTCCTAGAGAATATTACAGATATCCCAGTTATCGCAAGAATTTTGTCGATTATTTCTCATGTTCCTTCAATTTATAACACAAAACTAGAAAACCATATAAGAAGCATAACAGAACCATCACTCCAAAAGTATACTGAATTTATACCTCATTTAAATGAAATAAGAAACCAATAATTAGACAAGAAAAATAAAATTACCATCCTACATTCTTGCTTAATTCATCCAAAAAATATATTATAAACATTCATAAAACTTATTAAAAAAATTTACCTTGATTAAAAAATTTTACGTTAAATTAATTCCCACAAAGAGATGACTCGAATTTGATCATTAACTCGTCTTCTTTCAGCCCATCAATTACTTCATTAGGACTTATAAGAAATTTCACAACATCCTCCTCTTTTGCAATGATTTTAAAAGCTGCCAGTCTTCCAGCAATTTCTTCAACTTCCACTAATTTCAGTCTTTCTTTTCCTAAAAAGTCACAACTTTGAGCAATCCTAAATTTTAATTTCCCCACCGTAGAAGTTTCTTGTAAATTTACTTTTAGATCTATGCAAAGAGTGATTAAAAAGAGTTTCAAATAAAATGGCAATTGGCTTATCATTTGTGAAATAGGTGATGCTAGCAGTTGTTTAGAAGCTATTTGGATGTGCTCCATTTTTACAATAGGTTGCTTTTGCTCATTTGCTATGAATGCAGCTCTTTTGCATACTTGAAATATTTTTCTTGCATCACCTGAGTATGAAGCTACTTTGGCAGCTGCAAAAAGAATTGCTTCTTTGCTGAAAACTTCAGTGTCCACAAGTCTCTTTTTTACAATACTGTCTAGCTCATTTCTTGTATATGGGGCAAAAACTAGTTGCTTTTGTCCCATTCTACTCTTTATCTTGTGGAAAAATTCATCTGCTAAGTTCATTGTATTAGCTATGCTTGCTGTAATTAAATTTGAATTTCTTAGGGTTGACCAGTTGAGAATATTATAAATCACATCTTGTTTTCTATTAAGCAGCGCATCAATTTCATCTAGCAAAAGCACAATAAGATGCTCTTTTTTTTCATTCTTAAAATAATCAGAAAGCTTCTCAATAGATTTTTTATTTGATCTTTGAGACCCAAAAATTTCATGGCAAAGCACTGTATAAATTTCTTTCGGACTTTTGAGCTTCATGCAATTTATATAAACAAATTGAAATTTTTCGGAATATTCTGGATTATTCTCTAAAAAGTTTATCACATATAGAAATGTTGCGGTTTTTCCAGTCCCAGGAGCTCCACATATATATAGTGAATTTTTTGAGCCAAAAAGTTTAATTGAAGTTGTAATAAATTCTGTGATTTCCTCAACTTCTTTTTCCCTTCCTACAAGCTTTGAAGGAACTGACGAAAGCGTTAGTAAAGCAATTGCATGGAGTAAAGGATTTTTATTTTGATAGAGCTCTGAATAGAGTTTTGAATAGTTCAATGACCTTTCTCTTCTTTCGTTTGGATTCACATTCTTTATTGATCCTTCAAATGTTTTTATGGTGTTGCATAAATAGCCATTTTCAGGGGTGAATTCTACTTTTTGGTAAAATTTTGTGATTTGAATGATAATACACTCATAAGATTCAACCAGTGAATTTTTTGGGCCATGAATTAGACGGACTTCTGCTTTTTGTTCTCCGCTGTCATCAAATAGAAATATGATATCCGCATGTATAGGATTTTGGCTGTCAACAGGATAAATCTCAATAATGTCTCCTTGGCTGAATTCTTCTTGTGATAAGTTATTTCTTATTTTCTCGTAAAAAATTAGGTCTTTTCCTCCTCTTGTGTATTTTACCTCTGGATTTCCAATTCATTCTAAATTGCTGATCTCTATGTAATCTCTAAACTTGTACGAGTTTTCTTTGATTTTAGAAACTCTTTTAATAGTTTGCAAAGGTCTTTGTTTTTGCCTGAGTTTATATGATCCGCTTTCTAATAGCTGAATCATTTTTTTAGTAGGTTTTCTATTTCTAGGTGGGTATCTGCTTTCAGAATTAGCATCTGAGCTGCTTTCTTCAAGCCTTTTTGGCGGAACACTTTTTGACACTGGCTTATCTGAGTTATTAAAAAGCCTTTGGTTTTTGTTCACTTTTGGTGTTTGATAAGCATTATCTGTATCATTGTCATCGTCAATTGTGTATTTTATTTTATTTGATTTTTTGGTAATTTTTATATCAATATTGATTTCATCTGTGTTGGGGTTTTGCCTTGGATCGTCGGCTGTAAGCATTAGTGATTCTTTAACTTTCTTTATAGCAGTTCCTGGACTTAAATTTTTCCTTTTTGCTGCACTACCTCTAGTGATAACCATTATGAGATAAATATTATGGATTTGGGAAAAATAATTATTTATTAATTAGTAATTTACAATTTTGTTGCTTTTTCGATAAGTTTTATCAATTCTTCGGTTGATGGGAGATATTTGAAATCTGGGGCAAAAGTTATATATGCTGGGCTATCTTCGTTTCCCTTAGTAATTGCCATTCTAAATGCTTTGACTCCTCTTCTAACTGATTCTTTAGTATTAGCAATATAGTCTCGAAGCTGAATATGAAAATTTCTTTTGCAGTTCCTAAAATACTCTGTTAAAACTTGATTTCTTGATATTAAGGTAATTTTGGCGTATTTATTACTATCTAATAGCTTTTTCTTTTTGCGAATTGCTTTATTGCTCGATTCTTTTATGAGGATCTCAAGCATTTCGTTTCAGAATCTAATCAAGCTTTCCCATCGCTTTTTCCTTTTCGCGTTATACATATGCCAAGCTCGTTGAATGTTGACGATTCTTTTATACAGTCGTGTAAATCCATATGGTAAAATATGATGTTTGGCGCTTTCTTTAATACATTTTACAATTTGAGATTTCAATGGTATATTAATTAAAGGTTTTGTATGGTTGAAATAATATTTCAAAATTGATGATGCTCGAAGAGTGTTTAGTGTTTTTATGTCTAAGTTGTTAGTATAGGATCTATATGCACGCTGAATACTTCGAATTGAGCGAGTTTTGGATAATTTCAAAAATGCGCTCGCTCTGCATGCAACTCTTAATTCTTTGAATTTATTTAAAGAAATACTAAAATAAATCAAAGAAAATCAAGATTTTTGGTTTTCTAGCAACGCGTTTTTAATTTCATTTAGGCGTTTTTCTTCTTTTTCTCTCTCCATTCTTATGGCTTGCCTATTTAACACTTTAATAGTTCTGTCTTTTTTTTCTTTAAAAATTTGCTCTTTATTTTTGAGGACTTTGAGTCTCTTTTCTTCCCAAGTGATTTTATCTTTTTTTTCGTCTTTTGGGGAAATGAGCATATTGTTTTTAACAAAATCCTTTTCTTTTGACAAGGATAAAGCAGTTCTTCTCCTTTTGCAAAGCACTTTTTCTACTCTTTCAGCAAGCTGATACTTTGACTCATCTTTTTGAATCTCATTGATAGGAGTTTCCGATTCAAATTTTTCAATTGGACTGCTGACCAAGCTTTGCTGTCTTTTAAGGCCAAATCCAACAGTTATCGAGAAATTAGAATATTCAATTGCTTGAATAGCTAAATAAATATTGTCACAGCGAAACCTAAGGCCAGCATCACTTATCTCAAAGTTGTCAAATTTCGATAATTGGTCACATAAATGCTCGCTTGGTTCAGGTATAGTTCTCGATACAAAAGTTATCAGTTTTCCTTTAGTCTTTTTAATTGAGACTCACAAAGGCGATTTTCTTCCTTTAGAGCGGACTCTAAAATATTGAATTGTTCCTTCATCTAATAACAAATCAACAGGGACACCTTCTCGTAACGGGACTTTTTGGTTTACTAGATTTTTATTTGAAATTACCATTTCAAGCTTGTCCAAAATCTTCGTAAATTGGTCTTCTGAAGGCATTCTTCTATGCCCCACAACATTAAACTCCATTGGCTCGCCATCTAAAAAGCTGAACATTGAGCATGATCTCATATGATTTTTTTGATTTTCTTTCAAAGTTAGCCCACTTAATTGAGATGTTGTTGGGCGGATTGGAAAATTAATAGGGAGAGCATATCTTGATGTGTTAGGGTCAGCTGAATCTGGAAGTTCAAATTCAGGCCATTGTGCATCAATTGATTGTTGATGAGAAAAAGAAGTAGTTTCTTCAGGAAAATGAAAAGGCTTGCTCATAAAAGTTTTGGCAGTTGTTGATATAGAAGATGTAGGGCGGGAGCAGGGAGGACTGAAAATTCTGCTGCTTTGTGCACTTTTTGGGCTGATTAAAAAGCCAGAATATTTATTCATAAGTTGATTAATAATTAAAAGCATTTTGAAAATATTACTATTTAGAATTTTTATATCAGAAAATAATAGCTAAACTAAAATAAAACACAACAACTTGGAGGAGAAAAATTAAATTTATTTCAAATTAGCTCATACAAAATGGCCTGATAAGTTTCATAATACAATTAAACTAGAAATTATATATAAAATATAATTACTCGTTATTTCTAGCTTTATAAAACAAAATATAAGATGAAACTCCTGATATATCAGCTGGCCCAGAAACCAAAGAGTCATTAAATTCCAGCCACTTTTCCTGAGGTTTACTATAACAGGTCGCTGTATAATGTCCTCCTCCAAGCCCTCCAAAATGATTTGAAACCGCATATAAATCATATAAAGGTGGCTTTTCATCTCCAATTACATATTGACTTATATCAAGCTCATTAATCGGGAATACTATTGGAGCTGCAATTTTTTCTCTATAATATCCGTGAGTTCTAAATCGTTTTAGATGAATTATCAGTATAGACGGCGCTTTGTATATTTCCATTTGTTTCCTCGCGAGCACATGGGCTTTGCATGATGGACAATACCATGCGTTTTCCTTTTCTAGCTCTTCTGGGATACTGAAAGCTTGGAAGCATTCATGAAGATTAATCCCTCGGTTTTGTTGTTTATTTTCTCCATTTGCCACAGGCAGCTCTGTGCACTTATTCATATCTTGCTGATTAACCCCAAGCTCTACAAAATTATGCTTAAAGCGTAGCTCGATTGAAGGCTTTTTTTTAAAATATTCTGAAAATGGTTCGTCTGAGTAAGGAATTTGACAGCCTGTACAGTTTTGGCCCCTACATAATGGGCAGCTGCTTGTCTTAGTTGCACGCAGATAAATGTTATATGTAGGATTATTTAGATGGTCTTCATATAGCTGCTTGATATTATTCCCTTGCCTATTTTTATATTTATCCATATATTGCTTCATTTTTCTGAAAATTTCATAGTGGATTTGTTTGAAATTAGAATCCTTATATAAAGAAATAACCCTTGGGAAGGCGATAAGATTATTTTTCATTCGGTTATCTCTTGTTTTTTCTTGCGAAACTTGCACTTCAAACAGATCCCGATCATCCCCAGTCTCAACTTCATAAGCAAATAAAGTAATATTTTTCAGACTATCAATTTTTTCTTCATCTGCTGGGAAATCTCTGATGACATCATTTACAATAGAAATAAAAATAAAAGAATTCGGATTAATTTTAACAGCCTCGCTCACTTTTTGACGTAAATATGATATGGAATGAGAGCTGCTATAGTCAAAAGTCAAACTTGAAGGCACTTGGTTTCCAGCATATATAAAATACTTACTTACTTACTTATACATTAATAGGCGTCTGCCATATTGTTAACGCAGTCACCAAGGACCTCGGTATCTTGAGGTTCACCTGCTTTGCGACGCATTCCTAGCAAACCATTAAGGTTTGCCAAAAGGAAATACGTCTACTCCTTCCCACAGCGTGCTGCGGCTTAAGTCTTGAGTGGGCGGGCTATGGATTTCTGCGGCTGCTGCTTGAGTGGACGAGAGTTGGCTTTCCGAAATTCCAAAAGATGGAATTTCTGGTTACCTTACGGCAAAAAGGGAAATTCCAAGTCCTGGGACGTAACGCCCAGTTTCACGCTAGGTAGTTGCCCGATTGGTCTAGGCATTGCCTGTAGACTTTACTGGGCTTACCCTTTCCAAACTTGGACACCTTTTCCTCTCGAGGAGAAAATCCATTCTGGTCGTTGAGCATGGGCCAGGCTCTGCTCTGCAGAATTGCTTACCGTGGCATTGTACCCATTTCCGGAATGGCAAAACCTTGCCGGATATAATTAAAATATAAGTCGAGTATGTATGGCCGAGAGGCCATACCCAGACGATGACGCCATATTTTAATTATCCATATATAAAATACAGTCTATACTTTTTATTCACTGGGATTGGGATTGGCAAAGATAAAGAGCTGAAAGGATCAAACGTGTAAGAATAGTTTTTACACTGTGGACAATACAGAGTCGACTTATATTGTCCATGCATAAAATCAACAATAATGCTTTGGTTTCTCGCTATGTGCCGATTTCAGCTTTCTTTTGCAATATCTTTATGTGTTTTATTTTTTACATCAATATCTTCAAAGTATGGTTTTTTCTTGACCTTATTTAAATCTTCGTGAAGCCCATCGAGGATATAGCAAAGCAATTCATGAGCATCATGCTGCTGGTAGCCTAGAAACTGAGGAGCAAATTGAGATAAAGTTTTCTTGAACTTCCAAGGCGCATAAGAAGATGATGCAGCGTTTCATAAATTTTCTAAAAGTTCAGCATATGCTGTTGCTAGCTTGCCTTTTGTGCCTAGAGGATTAACTTTATTGATGTCTTTTAAGTAAGAGTTGGATAGGAAAAATGTTGTTAACTCTTCAGTGTGGAATAAGCATTGTAATGATGAGTTCATAAAGCAGGTATTTCCAAGGTTTTGAAGCCCAACAGAGCGCATTTTAGGCTTATCAATTGGTTTTCTGTTTATCACTATAACTGTATCTTCATCGCTGTCATCTTGGTGGTTTGAAGGACGACAAAAGCAAGCAAAAAGACCTGATGACGATCTTTTGCATTTTGACTTGTGCTCTTTTAAGTGCTTTTTCCTGCATAGCTCACTGCAATACTTGACTTTTCTACATGTCTTGCATTTTATAATAGTTTCAATGTTTTTTTGGCAAAAAGCACAGCGGTCCTGTGCAATCGTTCGATCGTCATAAAAATAAAACAGTCCATTTCTAGTTGGCTCTATTAAAATTATACTTTTCTACAATAAATATAAGTACTAAGACTTTAAATTTATTATTATCTGAATTAACTATAAATGAAAATAAGTCTTCTTCTCCAATTTCTGCATCGTCAATTAGTAGATTTTCTTTTAGCTGCGACCCACCCTCTATATACACTTTTGATTCTCTTCCGTTCGAATTGATAATTGATTGTAGTCTTTCAAGCGAAATAATGGTTAAACTCACTTTTCATATCCTCACTTGAGACATAATATCTTTAGCTATAGTAAATTTATTTTTTAGATCTCCGATTGTGTCTTTCCTGCTCATATTAATCAGCTCAACCTCTAAAGATCCTTGCATTGGGCAGCCTATTTTAATTGTTTTCAAATAAACCTCAACTTGGTATATAGAATCGTTAACTTCTATTGCATGCCTTTTAATATCTTTTGAGCATCCATACTTTTCATGTAAAATTCGAAAAGCACTTTGTGGTAATAATACATAATTTATATTTTCACTCAGGCCGTTTTTTATACAAATTTGGTAGGATGGCCTAATTCGGTCTTCTAATAAAACATTTGTGTGCTCTTCATCTATGATATCACTATTATTTATAGGGCCAGGATTGGTGGCTTCTTCAAATTCTATATCAAAGCTAAAAGGCAAATCTTCATATCCTTCTCTTGAAGTCAGCCCAACAAATTTCTGCCATTTTTGAAACCAAAGATTGCTTACAACGTGCCATTCAGCCCCTGGATAGACCGCCATATGCTCCCTGAAAAGGCTCACAAAATGTTCTCTTTCATTGATTTTATTTAAATTTTCTCTGACTTCTTCCCTCTTCGCTAAAGCTTTATCTAAGTGTATTTTTGCATTATCCACGACAGTTCGATTCGAACTTTTTGAGTAGACAGTTCTGAAGTCTTCAATAGCTTCATTAAGTTTCATCTGTTTTTTATAAAGATTTCCTCTCCGGAACAGTATCTCATAGAAATCATCTTCTGATTTAATGCTGGAAATCGTTAAGGATTTTAATAATTCTGTTAGGCAAACTTCAGCGTTTTCCAATTGGTCCGTTTTTTCATAGCAGGATGCCAAGTTCATATAAACGTTCATTGACCTTTGAAAGGAAAGCGCTTCTTTGTATTTTTCAATGGCTTTTTCGTACAAACCTTGAGTTTTGTAATAGTCGCCTTGACTCTCAAGATTTTCCATAATTATTATGAATTTTCTTACGAGGACTATTAGCTGTAATTACTAATCTATATAGTTATCCGCACTTCTCAATTGCAGAAATTTGGCCTAGTATGATAGTTTTATTGGTTTCGAGGATGCAGCCATTCATTACCATTTCGTCAAGGACAAAATGAGCTTTCTCTATATTGAACATGATATCGAGTTCGCAAACATTTTCAAAGTATTTGTCTAGTGTCTCGACTAAGTTGTGAATGAATTCTAAGTAAGCAAGCTCGTTGACATTTTCTTCTTCGATGCCAATTATGAAATATAGAGAAGCATATCTTCTATAGATGACCTTCCACTGCTGGTGCTCCAAGAAATTGCATTGGCCTTCACCCCTGCTTAAGCATTTTCTGACCAATTCTCCTTCAAGTGTGGCTCTCTCGCTGATCGTCATGTAGTTGTAGTATTGGGCTAGCCTTGTCTGACCTTGCTTATTGACAAGAAGAATAAAACTTATCATATTTATAATAAATTTTGCTTGGGATCATATATTTCTCTTGCCAGAAAAGTTCTTGAATTACAGTAAATTAATATAATTTTGCAATGGATTTCTTTTATTCGGTATTTCAAAGAGAACTTGAGTTTGTTGACAAACTTATGGGGATGGCTTCAGAGTCCTCCCACCCATATGAACACAAATATAAAGCAAGAGAAATTTTGAACTCACTCCTACAAGAAGAAAGGGTTAAAAAATCTGACGAAATAGCTCGCACAGCAGAAGCAATCATAGAATATATGCTAGGTGTTAATCACTTCGAAACAGAAGAAATCACTGAAAGTGATAAACATTATCAAAAGTCATTAGATTTATTTAGCACTATTTCTTTTCAAGAGCAAGGCCGCTTTATTAACATTTTTCAAGATTTATTAAATTCTTTAGGTGTATTGTGCTGCAATCGTGGAGAAAACGAAAAAGGGCTTATAGTTAATGAGCCTTTATGGATCGACCTCATTGAAAATGTAACCGCTCTAATGGACTTCCTATCTTGTACATCTTAGAATAGACCCCTCACTATTTAGAGAAATATTTAGACTATTATAAAAAAAACCCTAGTTTTAAACTAGTTCCATATAGTTTTTATATTATTGTTTTTTTAATAATTTGAAAAATGTTTTAAAAATCAGCATAAGATTTGGCAAAAAGAAGCCAAATCATATTTTACAATTAAAATAGTTATTATCTCTTGATATTTGAAAAATACGATTTTCGCGGTAAAATGATTTGGCCCAAACAAAGATTGGAAATTAAAAATAGCGAGCCAAAAAATTTTTGACAAGTGTGAACCATTTTGACAATTAAACGATCCAATTTTAAAAATATATTTATATTTTTTAAAATTAATTTTTAATAAGATATGACTTTGAAAAAAATGGCTGTTCCATTTAATTTTAACTTAAAATTAATTTAATTAATAAAAATAATATTTAAATTTAAAGAATATTAATAAAAATTTGAATATGAGCACATCATCTCCAAGTTGATATTGAGAAAAATAAAAGCTCTTTAATAAAAATAATAATTCAGCTTAAACAATTAGGCTTTGTATTTATTTCATATTATTCCTTATAGGAACATCACTATGAGGGGTTACATTTTTTTTCCGATACTTACTATAAGATTCTGCCATTTTTTTTTAAAGTCAAAAATACCATAAAAAAATTCTAACGCGAACACGAGATCTCCAAGGCTAAATCGAAGCAAAAAAAGTTCATTGGGCAAAATAAAATTTATATTAAATGATTAAGCTTTGCAGTTGAACCTGACCTTAACTCTATATAGGAGCTTGCTCCATGAGGGGTAACATTTTTTCCTATAGTCACGATAAGTCTGCCATTTTTTTTTCTAAAGTCAAAAGTAAGCAAAACAAAATCAAACGCGAACACGAGATCTCCAAAGACTAAATCGAAGCAAAAAAAGTTCATTGGGCAAAATAAAATTCATATTAAATGATTAAGCTTTGCAGTTGAACCTGACCTTAACTCTACATAGGAGCTTGCTCCATGAGGGGTAACATTTTTTCCTATAGCCACTATAAGTCTGCCATTTTTTTTTAAAGTCAAAAATGCCTAAAAAAAATTCAAACGCGAACACGAGACCTCCAAGACTAAATTGAAGTGAAAAAAGTTCATTGGGCAAAATAAAATTCATATTAAATGATTAAACTTTGCAGTTGAACCAGACCTTAACTCTACATAGGAGCTTGCTCCATGAGGGGTAACATTTTTTTCTATAGCCACTATAAGTCTGCCATTTTTTTCTAAAGTCAAAAATACCATAAAAACAATCAAACTCGAACACAAGATCTCCAAGACTAAACTGAAGCAAAAAAAGTTCATTGGGTAAAATAAAATTTATATTAAATGATTAAGCTTTGCATTTGAACCAGACCTTAACTTTTCATAGGAGCTTGCTCAATGAGGGGTAACATTTTTTCTATAGCCACTATAAGTCTGCCATTTTTTTTTAAAGTCAAAAATACCATAAAAACAATCAAACGTGAACACGAGATCTCCAAGACTAAATCGAAGCAAAAAAAGTTCATTGGGTAAAATAAAAATTATATTAAATGATTAAGCTTTGCATTTGAACCAGACCTTAACTCTTCATAGGAGCTTGCTCCATGAGGGGTAACATTTTTTCCTATAGTCACTATAAGTCTGCAATTTTTTTTTCTAAAGTCAAGAATACCTAAAAAAAATTCAAACTCGAACATGAGATCTCCAAGACTAAATCGAAGCAAAAAAAGTTCATTGGGCAAATTAAAATTCTTTTTAAATGATGAAGCTTTGCATTGGTTTTATTAGGAAACTTTCCATCGGAGCTTACTCCATGAGGGGTGACATTTTTCCCTATAGTCACTATAAATCTGCCATTTTTTTTATTTAAAATCATATCTTAAATTAAAAATTAATATTTATAATAAAGATATTTTAAAAATTGGCTCGTTTAATTGCCAAAATGGTTCACACTTGTCAAAAATTTTTTTGACTAGCCATTTTTAGCTCCCATATTTGGCCAAAACATTTTTACCGCGAAATTTTTATTTTTTCAAGCATCAAGAAAGAAGAACTATTTTAAGTGTAAAATATGATTTGGCTTCTTTTTGCCAAATCTTATGCTGATTTTTAAAACATTTTTCAAATTATTAAAAAAACAATAATATAAAAAACTATATGGAACTAGTTTAAAACTAGGGATTTTTTTATAATAGTCTAAATATTTCTCTAAATAGTGAGGGGTCTATTCTAATGTACAGGATAGGAAGTCCATTAGAGTGGTTACATTTTCAATGAGGTCGATCCATAAAGGTGCATGAGCTTATCATATTTCATAAAGTCTCAAGAACTTTATTTAATAACCAAAATTTTCAATACACAGACTTTTTCCCACAATTTTCATGATTTTTTGACAGGAACTTCTGGTTTTCATTTTATTATTGACGGAGGTGTTAATAGATGCAAAATTGAGCAAAACTATACTTTGACTCTATTTTATATGGCCCAGGAGTTTGCAAAGCTTGGTGAAAAAGAAAAATCAGCTATGTATTGTGCTGAAACTATGAAGCGGCAAATAGAAAGTGGGGACTATGACATCAAAGATTGAGCAATAAATTCTATAAATTTAGCTGAGTATTATGTGGAAAATGGCTACTTAAATCAAGCTTTGTATACTTTGCAGTGTGGGATGTCAATTATTCTTCAGAATAAAAGGAAACTAAAAAGCACAATTCATATGCAAATAGGAAGATGCTTTTTAGCCTTTTTAGAAATGGGAGCAACCCTGCATAAGGATAAATTATCAATTCCAGATCGCATTTATTCTCAATGTGTAGCATTCAGAGGGCTAAGAGTGCAATTTCCAAGAATATCTCCTGCAGGGAATTTAGAAGAAGCAAAGGAATTGTTTAAATTAGCAAATACAAGCTTGAAGCAAGCTTTAGAATATTTTATTATAGACGGATATGTGACAGAGCATATAGAGATGAAACGAAATATCAGCAGCTTATACAAATATTTATGCTATTTTGATGAAAATGAAGGGAGGGTTATAGCAATGCTACAAAGAAGAATTGAAATTCTTGAAGAATACACCAAAGATTTAAACCGACAGGCTTATTCTCAGCTTTGGCAGCATCTAATGAATGAAATTTCATCAGTCTACCTTGACATCTACGACATAAAAAGTTCCCAATTACGAGGAAAAAACAAAAAGAATCAAGAAATATACACAAAAACAAACATAAGCGCCTTAACTTCTATCGAAAAGCAGGTCGAGTTATTAGAGTTTGTACAGAAATTTGAATTAAATGATGAATCTGCCAAAGATGTGATTCAATCTTCTCTAAATTTGATGTTTGGAATAGCAAGAACTTACACAAAACTAGATCACCCTGAGATTGAAATAAAAATCAGCTACATGGAAAGCTGCTATAGATGATATGAGAGGATTCAAAATTACTTAACAGAAGTCAGTGAAGGAAAATATGGAGAAGAAATCAAAGACATTGAAGAACAGATGAATATTTGTAAAGAAATGTGCGAGCTTATGCCCATAAGGATCAGCCAAATTTCTGCAGAGCTAAATTCTATTTAATTATAATTATATATTATTAGGATCAATTGGCACCTCTTCGTGCTCCTCTTCCATGAAAAGTGGCGCCTCAGACTCTTCTTGTTCATCTAATATTTTTTGTAACTCTTTTTTTGATACTCATGTGATGTATATACACGTTGCAATTATAAGCACCCCGCCAATGGCAATTAGATATCAATATCAGTCACTGCTTGTTTGGTTGCTTAGGGCTTCTTGAACAGAGCCCATGGTTACTGCAATATAGACATATAGTGAAAATCCAGGGATGAGTCCAAGATTGCCAATAAAAAAATGCTGAAAGGGGATGCTTGAAGCTCCTACAATATAATTTAAAATCCCATAAGGTATTACAGGGGATAGTCTACATAAGAAAACGACTTTTATTCCTTTGGTTTCAAGAGCTTTTAAAACGGCTCTGGTCTTCACTCATTCTTCTTTAATATTATTTATCACCATGTCGCGAAATAGGTATCGTGCTAAGAAAAATGATAGCACAGCTGCAACCTGACTTGTGACAGAAATAAGAAGAATACCTAAAATAAACCCAAAAATTTCGCCACATAGCATTCCACATATATAGCCTATCGTCAGGGCAAATAAAGTTGAAGGAATCATGATGATCAGTCCGATTATGCAAACAACTTGTATAAGTAACAGTCCATATACAGGGTTCTCTTTTGTCCAGTTTGAATAATCAATGAAAATTTTAAATATAACATCTATTTCTATAATGCAAACAATAAAAACTGCAAACTAAATAGCGATCACTAATAAAATTGCGATTGTAATAGACATGCTCTGCTTAATGAACTTTATACGATTTCTGGGATCATCCATGGATTTTTATTTGTCATTTAAATCACAATATCTCATATTGGAGATTTTAAATTTATATTAAGGCTATTAAAGATAATCAGAACTGTGGCTCATACTATTCAAGCATTCTTCTAAGCTGAGATTTGGATTGCGTAGCTGGCTATTTAAATTTCTTTTTATTCGCTGTGAGCTATCCATAAAGAACATTTCTTCCAGTTTTTGGTTGCTGTCTGGTGATAATGAAAATGAGACATGCTTTGACGAAGGAGTATCTCTATTCATGCTCCTTATAGTATTTTCTTTATAAACCTCTATTTCTTTATCGTCAAATTCTAGTATTTTTGAACTATCGATTTTGATTCTTGTTTCATCTCGAGATTGGATTTCATAAGACAGCATTTTCTTTAAATTTTGGTTTTCTTCTTTCAATTTTCTTATGACTTCTTGCTGCTCTTTTATTTTTCTCTCTTTTTCCTGAATTAGATTTACCTTTAATTTTTGTTTTAAATTGGGTTTATCATCTTCACTTATGGATCTGCTCGGCGATTCAACGGATTTAAATGCCATTTGAATTTTATTTCCTTTTAGTTTTTGCTTTACTATGTTTAGATCTGCTCTTGAATTTCATCGATGCTCAGGAACCTTGTGTGTAGGAGTTAGCTGAATAATTTTTACCAAAAATTTGTTGAAAAGAGGCAATGGACCTTCAGGTGGAGCAGACTTAAACGGAGCTATTAGATTTTTGATTAAAATTTGTTCTTTTAAAGCTTGTGCATATTCATTGCGATTCTTTTTCCATGCATGGTTAGTTGTAACTTCTGAAAGCTTTGTTTTCTTAATGGAGGGTTACTCATTGTTCAACTCGAATTTTTTGATGCTTGTCCAATAAATAAGAGGCATGCTCGATTTCTGTCTTCGTAAAAAATACCTAACAGAATGTTATTGAATTTTTCATCAAGTTTAGTATCTTTCATTTAACTATTAAAATACTCATATATATATCAATTTCTAAAAGATTATATTAACAATTCGCAGCATTATTTAAGATATAAATGTTAGCTTACAGAATTATACTAAGTATTGAGAATTTATGTTTGTAGTCAAAAATCCAATAGGTTTATATGATTTAAAAGAGATTTCTTACTCTCTCTTTGTGAGTGAGCAAGACTTTTTGCGACTCAAGTACTATAATCATTTTTTCTTCAAAATTTTATATAACCTTGACACTGGCTACTTTTTTCTATTTTATATAGTGAATAGGAAAACGCATTATAAATGATTATATAAAATTTCTATTCATTTTTTTTTAATTCCAATTTACAACAATTTGAAAGTAATCGTAAAATTCATTTATAAAATATATGACCTGCTCAAAAAGGAAGGAATTAGCATGATTGCTTTAAAATGAGCATTAAGCTATATTTGATTTACGAAATCTATATAACTGAGTTTTATCCTAACTCCTCATCGTGAGCTTGCAAACATATTGGAAAATCTATATATAAAATCTTATAAAAAAAATTAGTAAACAAAATGTAATTTTCGCTCACAGTGGGAGGAGTAAGTAAGACATAAAGCCATAATTAATTCAGAAAATAAGAGCTAATTTTTTTTCTTATTGTTATTTTTCTCAATTTATTTATTTGTTGATTCAATATAATGTCTAAATTCACATAATAAATAATTATCATAAGCAGCCTTATTTCAAAAAATTTTCGATTTATAGTTTTCTCTAAATTATTTCCAGTTACAATTAACAGGGATATAATAAAAAAAAATAATTGACAGCTATTTGCTTTATTTATAACCTTATGTGAAACTTTTCATATTTCTTATTTAAAGTAATTATTTAATGCTCCAGCCAACTCCTTCAAAAAAAATCAAAGTTTCATCCTCGAATACAGCACGTTCAAGATCTAGCAAAAAGACACCTTGGGATGACCGATTTTGGCTTGGTTCTTTACCCCTAAATTCTTCAACTTTAGATACCTCTAATATCCATGAAGACAATGACAAATATTTTAAAGATAAATCAAAGAACAAAATTAAGCTACCACAAATCAGCTCAAGACCAGGCTCAGGAAGAGCCAAAAGCTTGGAAAGGTCTTCCAATGCCAGTCTAGCTATAACTGAAGAAATGCTAAATGCACTTAAAGGTGAAATAGAGGCTGAGTGGGAAATTCGAGCAATCCCAGAGGCCCAGCGAGAAGTATTCAAATCATGCGTCTTCGATTTGCCAAGAAATAAAGGCGCAGCTATTATTTCTCGAGAAATCGAGGATTTAAGAAAAAATCGATCCTTAGTGCAGATTGCTTTAAGGGCAGTTTCAGCTCGAGAAGAAAGCTTAAAAAGCATCAAAGAAATGAACGAATATCTAATAAAATCGCCAGATTGAGAAAAGCTCAAAGATGTTCAGCTTGAATGTGCCGAGCTTTTGCATGCCCATAGAATCTTAACACTAAATGTAGTAGAAAGCATTGTAAGGTGGCGCGAGCAGCTTGTTTATGCAATGCTGCTAAATCAAAACGATTCTTATGCAAAAACAAAACTAGTTCCATTTATGCATGACGGTGTAAACTATATGGCGAAAATGAAGCACGATTTAAACTTCCTCTCAAATTCGGATTTTTCTAAAATTTTTACATTCAGCGAAGAACCTGATCCTTTACTAGTGGCTCCGTCTAAAGCAGCACCGAATAGATCAAAACAGCAAAATCGAAAAAAGGAAAATTATTTTATTGAGAGCGGCCAAGTTTTAATTCCATTGCCAGGAGTTCTTTTAAAACGAGTAAGATTGGCAGAGATGGTAATTATGGAAGATTCCAATAATGAATGGGAGCCTAATCACAAATCAAAGCCTAGCGGAAAATTTAGTTCACTTATAGGGACTCCTTTGCATAGCACGAGAAAACAAAGAAGATATGACGACGAAAATAGAATTTCCCTCTATGTCATTGAAGATATCATTGAAGAAGAAGTCGAAAATGAATTAACCGAAATCGTCAGTGTTACAAAAAAACATGAAACTCAAAGACAAAATGATGCAGCTGCTAAATATTTAACCGATGAAATCCTAGGGAAAGAACTTTTAGACACTATCAGAAAACTCGCAAATGAATTCTTAGGACAAGCTGCTAATGGGGCTCTTGATAAGCATTTTGACAACTACGCACAAAAACTTATAGATAGCGAAGTCAATAAAATAGTCGACTTATTAGCAAGAGATGAGTTGAAATTCGCTAAAGATGAATATAAAAGAATAAAAGAAGAAGAAAGAAAAAAGAGAGATGAAATTGGGTATTTGGGAAAAAACATTTTTGAAGATTTATTAACCGAAGTTGTGAGGAAAATGATTGAAGAAGAATTAAATTACGCTCAAGAAGCTATGCTGAAAAAACAGAAACAGATGAAAGAAGCTGCTGAGAAAAAACAGCTGGAAGAAGATAATAATGCTATTAAAAAACAAATCGCTCAGGAATTATTTGATGAAGCTGTAGTAATTATGATAAATGAAGAACTAAAAATACAAGAAGCAGAAAAAAGATTAAAAGATGAGCAAGAGTTAATTGAAAAAGAAAAGAAAAGATTGCAGGAAATTGAAAGACAAAAGCAAAAAGAACTAGAAGAGCAAGAAAGAAAAAGACAGGAAGAGTTAGAAGAAGCTAATAGAATTGCAGCAGAAAATGAAAGGAAAAGACTGCAAGAAATAGAGGAGGCTAATAGAATCGCAGCAGAAAATGAAAGAAAAAGACTTCAAGAAATAGAAGAGGCTAATAGAATCGCTGCAGAAAATGAAAAGAAAAGATTGCAAGAAATTGAAGAGGCAAATAGATTAGCTGAGAGAAAAAAACAGCAGGAATTAGAAGAAGCTAATAGAATTGCAGCAGAAAATGAAAGAAAAAAGCAACACGATTTAGAAGAAGCTAAAAAAATTGCAGAAGAAAACGAAAGAAAAAGGCTTCAAGAAATAGAAGAGGCTAATAGAACTGTTGCAGAAAATGAAAGAAAAAGATTGCAAGATTTGGAAAAGAAAAAGCAGGAAGAAAATGCTGTTTTAATAGATTTCTTCAATATGAATATAACAGATACTGCTATAAGCAGCTTATTGAAAGAAATAGTGGAAAGTGAATTTATTTATGCTAGAAATGAGCAGGAAACTATTGAAGCTAGCAAGAAAGCTGAAGAAGACCGCAAACGCAAAGCCTTAGAAACAGAAGAGCTCTCTAAATTAATTTCAGAAGATTTAATGAATTCAGCAATTTCATCGTTTATATCTGCACAATTTGAAGAAGAGCAGCGAATATTTATTGCAGAAAAAGAGAAATTTGAAAAAATAAAAGAAGAAAATGATAAAATTTCCAAGCAGCTTTCTGATCAATTTTTTGATGAAGCTGTGACTCAAATGATTGGGATAACTCTATCAGAATTAGACGCAAAAGCACGTGAAAAGGTTGCAAAAGCAAATCTTGAAGCTGCAGCTAAAAAGGAAAGAGATTTAATCAACTTAAAACTTACAGACGAAGTCTTCAATAGCATTTTAAATTTAATTGACTCTGAACTCCCACAAATTGCTACCAGTGAAATTGAAGAGTTCAAAAGAGCAAGAACACATGAAGAAGAAGCTCAGCTTCAAAGACAAATTACGCTAAATTCCATTAATGGCCAAATTTCAAACCAAATCCAAAGGATTCTTATTGAAGAAACGATAAATTCGTTAAAACTTGAAAGTATTGCGGAATCTTTAATTAATGAAGCCATAGACCAGAAAAAGCAGCAAGTTAAAAGTGGAGAAGAAAGGAAAAAAATTGAGGAAAGAGAAAGAAAACTTCTTACTTAACTTACTTAATTATCTGGTGTTTAAGGTGTCTAGTGCCGCAGCCCAAAGGGGCTATGGCAAAAAACTGATGACGTAGGCGAGCCATCTTGGCACAGGTCAGCCCCGTCCAAGCCTTCTATCAACTCCTGCTTCACCAGCCCTGCTGCACGTCTCACCGGCGCGTTGCCGTCGCCCTTGTCGCTCGACTCAGCTCCTGCGCGTGTTCCGCCTAAGGGTCATCCTCCCGTGGGGATGTGCTGAGAGGTAAAAGCCCGAAATTTTGAGTGGACTGAGGAGTGGTTCCTCTGGTTATCCCCAGAGTTAAACCGCTATTGCTGTCCAGAAATTCCCGAGTAAAAACCTAACCCTATAAATAAAATTCCATGAGGGAGAGAAAATTAGCAAAGCTAATTTCTCTCGAACCGAATGCCATTTTATTTATATGAAAGAAAACTTCTCAATGAAAAACTTACAGATATGGTTTATAATGAAATATTCGATGAATTTTCCAATGATTCTTGGATAATTCAAGTAGCTGAATCTATGATTAACTCAGCTTATGACCAAGAAAAAAGGAGAACTTTAGCAGCGCCACAGATTATTATGACTAATTCTGCTGGAATGGGAATTGAAGTAAATGAAGCTGAAGATTATGCAATAGAAAACTTTACACCAGGGGCTCATAGTCCAAACCATTACTCACTCCCCCCTTTAAATTGGAATAAAATATCTATAGCGCTTTCCCGAGGATGGCGCGGAATGGCGCCATCCTCGGGAAAGTCAACTAAGCATCCACACGGGAACTGGAGTTTCCACGTGTGGATGCCATTTTTGACATGTGGGATCCAAACTTCCACATGTCAAAATGGCATCCACACGTGGAACTCCCAGTTCCCGTGTGGATGCCTTCCTGGCTTTCCCGAGGATGGCGCCATTCCGCGCCATCCTCGGGAAAGCGCTATATTTTTTGGGAAATTAACCTCTTTAAATTAGATAGAAATTTAATTTTATCGGCAAAATAAAAAATTTATGTAAATAGCTTTGATAGCAAATTTAATATGCCAAAATTGAAAATTTACCTATTGCATTTTCTATTTTAAAGAGAGAGTGAATTAGTGTGGCATTTAAAAAAACCTTAAATTTATGTTAATAACACAAATTTATTTTCAAAAACAATCGCAAAATCTTTCAATTGGAGCAAGATTTTTTGCTCCAATTTAAAGGCAGGAGTTAGCAGAAAGTTCTATGAGAAATGAAGAAATTGCAGTCTCATCTGAAATGACTGATCCTCATGAAGGGATGGGTCTTGATTTCGCTGGGATGGCTGATTTTAAAGATTTATCCAATCTTTTGTTTAAGCCTTTAGGCTTATCAGAAAAAGCAGCATTATATGCTTTGAACGAATATTATAATTATATTCCTACTGCTTTAAAGATGATTTTGCCAAGCATAGATCAGCTACTCATAGAAGTTACATCAGGAGTAGATCCATGCTGGTACTGGGCTATGAAAAATGAAAAAATCATGGGATTATTAATATACTCCTTAGACTGCTCATCTCCAAATGGAAGAAATTTAATAATTCACCACATTTCATGCTTGCACGAAAAATCTTATCAAAATATCATTGATTTAGCCGGGAATTTCTTATGAAAAATAGACACTTGTGATGAAGTCAGAATTAATTTATTTACCGAAATAGGAAGAGAAGTCCCACAAGATATAAAAAAGATTTATACAAATTTGAAGTACAAATGGAAAACACAAGCACATTTGAGACAATATAATGTAGATGTAACTGTTATGGGGAAAGCAAGAACTAATATACAGCCAAATAGAGATGCAAGAACGCAAGCGGAATTTCCTTTTACATTGAAAGCATTATGCATTGTTGAAGCTAATTATGAAGAAGTGAGAGCGAGGGACATTATAAGTCCAGAAATGGTGAAAATAGGCAATAGGCAATGCTTGCTAAATGCTGTTTTGAATTTATTTGGGAAGCTTGATAAAAGTGGGATAAGCTTAACTGGCTATCCAAAAACAAGACTGCAAGGTGACGTTTCTGATATTCTTGAAATTATAAACTCAACTGACTCTTTTAACTTCCCTTTTATAAAGGCACATGTTTTTGACAGTCAACCACAGGCAGCCCATTTCTTGCAAGAAAATCATTATACCCCAGCTCTAGCTCCAGCTAGTAAATCTTCAATATCCATACTTGATATTTCATTCAAATGGGTTTCATGCACAAATATCATAAAAACAGTAAATGAACAAAATTACAAATTTATGAGATTTAAAACTAAAGAAATAAAACACAGCAAAAATCAAGATAATGGCGATATTTATACCGTGCCTACTGGACAACAAGGAATAAGTGCCTTTTTTATGAAATATGAAGGCTTAAAAGAAGAATTATCCTCAGAAATGAAGAGATTTAAAACTGATTTATCTTATAAAATAGAAGACTTGCTTAGAAGTATGGAAAATGAAGAAAATGATTGTGATGAAATTTGTGTACCAGCGTTTAATAAAGGGGTAAATTGGAATATTCCTTGAATAGAAGGGTATGAAATTCCTCCACAGCAAGATGAAAATGAGTCTCAATATGTTAGAAAGTGCTTGGAAGATGTAAGTTTGGAAAATAACATTCCAGGACCTGCTCCAGGGATTCTTGAACTTAATACAAGAAAAATGCAAATTTTGACTAAGGATTTCGTCTTTGGGCTGGTAAATACAAAAGCTGACAAAGTTATTGATATTCCTCTCTTTATGTGCTTAGTCGAGCAAAACGATTGGATTTTGGCTTAATTGTTTTAATTATTTTTAATTTAAAATCTATATTAAATTCAAGATTATATAAGCAGTTCAAATTCTATTTTAGAGAGCATTTGCTTAATGGTGGAACGGAATGGTAACTAAATCAAGTAATTTAATATTACTAAATCATAAGACACATATAAAGGATTTATATTCATTTAAAATCATATATTTAAACTGCTAAAATAATTCATCAGGTATAATATAAAATGATACCTAACTACAATGGTGATTCTCGTGAAAGAGAAGTTCAAACTTATAAAGGCCAAGTTCGTTGTGATTCAATTCTTTTTCATTGCTTTTTTGGAATTCCTTTTATGATTATGTATTTTTATGGAACATGGGATGTATGGTTTTTGTACATTACTATTTTCTTCCCATATGCAATGATTGGACAAATAGGCTTGTGCGTTGCAGGCTGAAAGAGCGGTATTAAAACAGTCTCAACTTATTCTTCTTTGCTAAGGTCCACTAAAATCGTTTTCTGGGTACTTCTAGTAGGGGTTGGATTGGGCTTCATAGCATCATTTTTATCTAATTGAACGATTTCTTGTGATGAAGAAGAATTCGACAGTAATTGTGAAAATGATGAAAATATAGCTGAAGGACTTACAGTAATTACTGGGATACTGTGCTTCATTTTTGGTATAACTTTAGTGCTTTTGCATTACTCATTTCGCCACGCAAAAAAGCTACTAAAAGCAATGAAAAATGCATCACAGCCTTTAAATTCATCTCAGCCTTTAAATGCACCGCTAATCATGAATCAAGAACCATTTGTTTATCCTCAAGCGAATCTTATAATTCCTCAAAGTCAGCAAAATTATTATCAAAATAATCCTCAGTTTGGATATCCTCCTGTTCCTCCCAGCGGGTATCCATATGTTCAGCCAGTTGCTGCATCCCCATTACCCCCTGCAGTATACCAAAAGCTTTAAAATTAGTAACTTAAGAATAATAATCGTATAATGGTAGCTGAATTAAGTAATTTCATTCAAAATAAATAATTTATCGCAATGAACTGATAGATTATTCGCAATTCAAAACTTGGAATGTGTTTTTAGGTTAATTTTCAACATTTTTATTTAAACTCCTACTTACTTATTAAGCTTTATTCATGCTGCGGAAACCCAACCTCCTGCTTTTAGATCAAGTATTAGTTTGTGCTTACTAATATTAATTGACTAACAGCTTTATATATTTATTAGATTGGATTTCTATTTAAGGTTTTAATAGATCTTATTGCTTCAAAAGACAGGCAAAATTGCATTATAAATCTGGTCAAAAAAATTTTATCTATAGATATAAAATGTGACTAGCCTTAATAAAAAGTGTTTTACTCTCCCCCCATCCTTGATCGAATGACCCTCCATCGTTCGATCAAGGATGGGGGTTAAAAAAAATTGTTTTGGGAAAAAAATTTTTATATATATATATTTTTTTTATATTTACTTTTAAATAAGAGGGTTTAAGAGTATTTAATAATTATTTTTTACAGCAAAAAATTGAATTAATTTAATAAAAAAAAATACAAATTTTTAATATTTTGATTTATTAGTCACACCTTTTAAACTGTATAAATTTTAATTTGTTCCTTATTAAACTAATTTTTTTTTTTAAAATTTAAAGAATCTCTATTTTTTAGATTATTGAGTTTTTAAGCCTAGGCTGATGACTAAATCACTTCGGATGGTTAATTTCGAAGCTTTCTGTCGTCTCAAAGTCTCTGAAAACAACTTAATTATGTACATCTTCCCAAGCTTTTGATAACTATTATATTTTTATATATATAAAAAAATTTGCACGATATGAAAATCGTTCGATCAAGGATGGGGGTTAATTTCCCAAATTTTTAGGAATTTTTACAGTCAATCGTTCGATCAAGGATGGGGGTTAATTTCCCAAATTTTTAGGAATTTTTACAGTCAATCGTTCGATCAAGGATGGGGGGGGAGTTAGATTTTATAAATAGCTTAAATTGCTTTTATTCCTGCTAATTAATAGCATTGCATTCATAAATTAAATTATTAAAAATCCAACACTCCAAATTACTTTTAAAATGGCAATATTGTAAAAATATAAATGATCACTGAGTTTCCCTGGAATGAACGTTGGCTGAATGGCTCTGAATATGAATTTATAATTCGAAACTACGAAAAATACTCCGAAAACTTTGGATTCCAGATTCTCACAGATCATCCAAGTTTCATCTACACAGCTCCATCCCATGGATTGTTATACTTTCTTAAAGAAAACTCACTCCGTGGTCTTGGATTCCCAAGAGTAAAAGGACTTAGAAAACGCTACAAATGAAAGAAAATGAACTTTGTTACAGCACTGCCTAAGCAGAAGCCTAAAGTTCAATACTTAGTTGCTACTGGAAGATTAGCTTCAGTATGCTATAGAATGCACATAGTAACTTTGGATAAAAAATCACCTCTACTTTGTCATATGCTAAGAATTCAGAGTCATTTTAAATCTGGAATCGGCATCCCATCTCGTAGGCATTTTAAAGAAAATGTACTACCGCCATTTTTAGAAGGTGAACAAAATAATGAAAATTCTGAAAATCCAGAGCTGAAATATCATAAAGTCCCAAGAACAATTCATCCTTTAACACATGAAGCAATAATGTACACTTTAGCACCCTTTCGGATGCCTCTTCGAGATGCTAGTATATTTCTAAATAATTGCCAATATGAGCAATTATTATAGATGCCAAATTTTAATAAATTTTTAGCCTAATGATTTACTTCTGAATTAAAAGAAACTTTTAATCTTTATCATGATAACTTTACAAAAAGGAAGCATGCAACAAAAAACGCCCACTGGGGGGCTCGAACCCCCGACCACCAGCTTAAGAGGCTGGCGCTCTACCGACTGAGCTAAACGGGCTGAAATCTTTATTACTCATGGCTATTTATACAAAATTTATGTATCTTGTCTTACTTATCAATTTTATTTATATTAAATTGACATTCACCTAAAAAATGAAGTAAATTCAATACAATTATCATATGCTCCATTGTTATCTCACTTTTCCTCAAATCTAAAAATTATTACATCTGTACTCTACATTCAATTTACAAATATACGTATATTGTTTGCGACTTATAATAATGGAAAACTACCAAGCTACTATAGATCAAATTATTTCATTTTTAACACAATACAGATTTCTCATTGATTCTCAACTCACAGCTACTTTTATTCCAGACTACTTTTCTGAAATTCCTGAAGAATGAATTAACTATCTCCTTTCGTTTGACTATCATCAATTAATTCAATTACCAAAAATCCTGGATCAAGTAAATGATATTTAGATAACTCTCCCATCCCTTCACCGATTTATTAGTGACATTATATCACTCAGTCCTAACTATCCTCATTACAGCGACCAATTCGAGACTTCGAAGTTTGAGTGCTATTTTATGAACCCTAAAAAGGTCCACGAATGCAAAAAATTAGCAAGATTTATCTTTGAAAAGTCTATTAATTTAGGCTTAGATAGAATTATTGATATAGGGGCTGGGCAAGGATATCTTTCTCATCTGTTAGTAACCAAAGGAAATTTAAAAGTGACAGCAATTGAAGCAAAAGATCATAATAGTCATCAATCAGAGAAAAGAGGAAAGTTCATCAGAAGAAAAATGAAAAAAGAAGAAGCTGATTATAACACAATTTCGTTATTTGTAACACCAGATAACCTTATCAATTATACACAAGATCCTTGCATTTTGACAGGACTTCATACATGTGGAGATCTATCAGCAACCTGTATAAAAGCTTTTTTAAGCGATACAAATATAAAAGGAATGATAAATGTAGGGTGCTGCTATGAACATATAACAGAATATATAAATCCTTGTGCACAAGAACTTGTTGAAAAATATCTTGAACATATAGGAAAATCTTATACTGGGAGAAATTTAGATGAAAGCTTAAATAAAAGCGATGAAAAAGCTGGGTTTCCTTTGAGTAATTATATTAAAATTACTTATCCTTGCTTCTTTCTTGGAAGAATTGCAAAAAAACTAGCCATGAGCGAAGTTTCTTTAATTGAAAACCCTGAGAAAACATTTAAACTTAACTTAACTTAATTATCTGGTGTTTAAGGTGTCTAGTGCCCGCAGCCCAAAAAGGGCCTATGGCAAAACTAGTGACGTAGGCGAGCCATCTTGGAACAGGTCAGCCCTGGTCAAGCCTTCTATCAACTCCTGCTTCACCAGTGTTGCTGCACGTCTCACCCGGCGCGATGCCGTCGCCCTTGTCTCTCGACTCAGCTCCTGCGCGTGTTCCGCCTAAGGGTCATCCTCCCGTGGGGATGTGCTGAGAGGTAAAAGCCCGAAATCTTGAGAGGACTGAGGAGCGGTTCCTCTGGTTATCCCCAGAGTTAAACCGTTATTGCTGTCCAGAAGTTCTCGAGTGAAAACCTAACCCTATAAATAAAAATTCCATGAGGGAGAGAAAATTAGCAAAGCTAATTTCTCTCGAACCGAATGCCATTTTATTTATGAGAAAACATTTAAACAGTTGGATTTTAGAGCAGCATTTCAAGTTTTATTAGGAGAGGCTTACCCAGAAAAATCAAATGTATTTTGTATAGGGCAAGGGGTAAAGAAATATACAGATTTCAGAGACTTTGTTAGCAAGTCATTTTTAAAGATTGGATTAGAGAATCCATATAGGGATGATAATTTAAATGAGATGTATGAAATAAGATTTAGAGATCAGGAAAAGAAAGCTGCTATTATATGGTCACTGAGGAGTTTAATGGGCGGTTTGATTGAAAATCTAATTTTACTTGACAGAGCAAAATATTTAAGTGAAAATTCTGTAAATACAGAAATCTTTTCAATATTTGACAAAACACTTTCTCCAAGAAACCTTGCATTATATTCCTGGAAGAATTAATAAACTTTTAATCTCTAAAGATGCTCATATTCATTTTTGTATTTTAAAAAGTCAGTAATTTTATTGCTTTAATAATTTCTATTCCTTATTGACTTTAATAATTGAACTAATCACTGTAACTTTCTATTTTATCTTCTATATTAAATATGCATTTACATCTCTAAACAATTACTATCCAACATGACAGCTTCTCTATATTTCACAATAGTTGATTTCTAAACAAATATTCTTATTAAGAGGCTTGATTATTGCAATATTCTAAAGCTTATTTGAAATTATGGTTTTATTTTACTTGCAATCAGTTTGACTAAATCAGCTACGCCTTTAACATTTTCGCTTTCACGTTCACTCAATTTTACTTTGAATTTTTTTTCAATAGTGGAGAATACTTCTACCTGAGCAAGAGAATCTAATTCAATATCTTCAAATTTGCAGGCAGCGTTGACTTTTTCTTTGACTACACCATCTGTTTTGTTAAGCTTTTCGAGAATAGCTTTCTCGATGTCAGTGTTACTTACAGCGAAAAACCGAGCAGGCATTAGGAGACTTGAGGTAAATGGCTGAGGCTGCCATAGGCTTCTAAGATTGTTTTGAGCAAATTTACTGACTCCCCCCCCATCGAAGTTCGACCAAGATATAGGGAAAATTCCTATTTTTTTGGAAAAATAAACCCCCCTCAAAGTTCGACCGACCAAGACCTATATAAATTTACTAGGAAAATAAGCAATTTTTTCAAAAATTTTAAACTATGTGGGGTGAGCTTGCGATTTTTGTATTCAAGTTCTAAAAAAGCGTTACAAAACCATCTTGCACTATTTTTTCTAACCCTTACACCCTCTCAACCATACAGAAGAATATGATAAACTTTTTTTTTTTAACTACTAAATTATATAAAAAAAATTCTATATAATTTTTTTTAAAAAAATTTTTCTCGAAGTTCGACCAAAAAAATCTTGGTCGAACTTCGAGGGGGGGGAGTGAGTCCTCTCCACATCATTTTTATTATTAAATCCCATTTCATATCCGTTTTGTGTGATTTCAGATTTTAGCTAGCATTTCATCCTTAATTTTATGAGATAAATTTATTCAAAACAGAAAAGTCTCAATGTTGCAAAAAAAAAGGCATGATAAATATTATTTGATTATACTAGTTTTGAATGATATATCGTGTAAAGCATAATAAAACTTATTTCAGCAATTATATTAGCTGAAGAGCATTATCAGGTAGCCCAACAATTTAATTAAGCAATAAGTAAGCTCAATTAATAAACTATTAAATTTAATGAAATTTTTTCTTGATCACATATTCAATAGCCTTTATCAAAAGCTAATGCTCATTTTTATTCAATTGAGTTGCACCTATTCTTTGCAATCTCTATTTCTAAAAATATAACTTACTCCCCCCCCTTTAAATTGGAACAAAATATCGGTAAAATTTCCACTTTTTTGGTAAATTAACCCCCTTTAAATTGGAACAAAATTTATTTTTATAATAAAAAAATTATATATAATTTTTATCTAAAAAGTTTTGATATAAGTTAAATGTTTCTTCTTAACTAAAATTAAAAATTTTTTATATCTTGCTCTTTTTTAAAGAAAAAAAAGTATAAAGAGCATCTTATTTAAATAAATTTATTATCCTTAATTGGTAAATTTTAAAAAAATTTTCAAAAAAATTTTTGTTTTTTTTGATAAAAATGATATTTTTTATTTGGATAGTTTTGATATAAATTCAATAGGAATTCTTTATAGAATTTCAAAATTTACTTATTTCTTGCTTTATTTTAAAGAATATAGTATAAATAGCATCTTATTTAAACAAAATTAGCACTTTGATCGATAAATTTTCCAAAATTTTTTTTTTTTTAATTGTTTTTATCAATAAAAATAATAATTTTTGTGTAAATAATTTTGATGCCAATTAATAGTGTCGTATGAACTAATATGAAAATTTAGTTATATCTTGCTTTGTTTTAAAGGATAAAGAGTAAATAGCATTTTATTAAACAAATTTATTGAACTAATTCGATAAGTTTTTGAATTTTTTTTTTTTTTAAATTTTTTAAAATTTTTATATTTTTTATAAAAAATTTTATATTGATATTTTTTTTTAAAAAAAAAATTAACCCCCCTTTAAATTGGAACAAAATTTTTAGTTTCAATTTAAAGGGGGGGAGGAGTTAGATTTTCAGCTTATTTAATATTTCATTATTATTAATATTGCTAATAAATGACGCTTTTATTTCTTTTTCTATGCTCTCGATCATTTGAAAGATCTTTAATATATGATAAATTTTTAATGTGTTTCTGATCAGCAGTCAAGATATTATTCCTTTAAGTTAAATGGCAATAAGATGGAGTTATTGTGAGCGAAGAGTCAAGATGGTCAGAAGTGGTAAGGTTTAGTGAACTGGGAGTCTGGGATGTAAGTGAATCTAAAAAGATTATTATGGACCGGATGAAGACTTACGCTTGAAATACATATTTGATGAGGATAGAAAGACAAGTTCAGGCAACTAAAAGGCTATTCGTGGCGCTAATGAAGAAAGAACGTCTTAAATAGAAGTGCATACACATATTTAAACTCTCATAGGTGCAGGCAATAGCTTACATCTTAGCTTAGGGCTGGCTTTAACATAATTGCGAGTTCACAGAATACAAGGCATTTGAAACAAACTAATATATGTGAGGGTGTGGATGAATAAAGGAGTATAATGTTCGTCTAATAGATAAGAGTTATTTGCACGATAATTATAGAGCGGAATTATTATTGGGAGCGGAATACTAACTCCCCCCTCCGTGCTATTTTTTGCCTAAAAACTGTTGACAAACAAAATTTTTAATCAAAAAAAAATTGATATATAAGTGATAATTATTATAAGGTAATCTCTTGCTAATTCTGTTTAATTTTAAAACAGCTTTCATTTTAAAACATAAATTTTATAAATTTTTGCGAGTCATCTTTTAAATCTCGACCAAAAAATTACTATAAAATTTATATAGAATTTTTTTTAAAAAAAAATTAACCCCTTCATGATCGAGTAATTTTTTTGTTCGCGCAAGGAGGGGAGCAAGAGAAATTAAAAGAGAAAATATAAAATACATGAAATTGTGTTGCATTCAGATAGATTTGTTAAGTGAAAAGTGAATTGAAGAGAAACACAAATAAAAGTTCATAGAAATAGACGACAAGATCAAAACATTTATATCTGGATAATGAAGATGAGAGAGGGCAATGCTGAGAATTAGCATTGAAGTAATAAATAATAATTAATTCCTATAAGTTGTTTTTGGCCTATGCTTCATGCTTATTTCTGAAAATCTAGACTGTGCTTCTCTAACCAAATAGCTTCTTTCAAAGTCAACAGATTTTCTATTTTCATGATTCGGCCTAATTTTTTTCGAGCTCAAGCTATATCTCCAGGCTTTCAATTTCTCTTCTGCATCACTTAAACTGGAATTTTCATTCTCTAACACTAAGTTTTCTCTCTTAAATTCAACCTCCCCATTTGTAAAAAAGTTTTGATATTGTTGTTGCTTTAATTTATAAATATTTTGATATTTATGTCTTCGCCGTTTCTTTTTAGCTGAGGATCTTTTAAATTGATCTTGGATCATGCTTTCGAAAAACGACGTGTCTGGGATGAGATTATCGATATTTCTCTTATGAATATCTAATCTCACAGCCAGAAATCTTCTGTCAGGCAAATCTTTTTTTAAATAATATGGAATTCTGCTAAATCTAGACGGTCTCGAGCCTGACTTTAATGGACTTTGTGCTCTAGTTTTACTCTGTTGGGCATCTAATAATTTATCCAATAATTCGGCTTTAACAGACATTTATGACAGTGATTTATTGATATTTTCAAAGGATAACTAAAATTAGAAGGTCTTAGTTTGAAGGCTGCTCTAGGTCCTTGATACGATACCGGCTCATAAAATGCTTTATAATTTTTTCAAATCGAGTATAAAATAAAATCTTGTGCTAAATAATGAAAATAAGAAAATCATAATGCAGAGCAATTCAGTTCATATAGACAATTTAGGCGATACAAGTGATTAATATTTAGAATCTGAATGAACACTAAGACTAAGGTCACTACAATACCTCCAAGAAAGCTTGACAAATGGCGAATCTTCATATGCAGATTTCATTGAAGAATATAAATCATTTATCCCGCATCTGATAATTCAGCTGAAAGACATAAGATCAGCTATTGTAAAAGAGTCAATAAAAGTCCTTGAAATAGCTTCTTACAGATTTAAAAGCACTTTTGAGCCAGCAGCTTTTCAGTTTGTGGATGTTCTGTTTCAAATGATAAATTCCTCCACAAACCTTATTTCTAAGTCAGGCTACGAAGGCTTAAAGCACATTATTGAAAACGTTTATTCATGGAAAATAGTCCTAAAGATTGCTGAAAATTGCAAAAACAAAAGTCAAGCAATCAGACAAGTCGGAGCCGAATGCTTGGAATTTATTTTGCGAGAATATCCCAAATATTTATTAGACCAAGGAGAACAAAGCACCCACAATTTAATTGAAACAGTTGTGTCAGCTGTCAAAGGGATCTTACAAGATTCAGCTCCAAGAATAAGGGATACTGGGAAAAATGCGTATTGTGCTTTGCTTGAAAAATATCCTGAAAAGGCTAGTCAACTGCTAAATTCTTTACCAACCCCTTTGAGAAAAGCAATTGAAGAAGTCCAAGCCCGGAAAAATCCAAATTTTCTTGTAGACAAGTCTATGGATTTTCCAGTTGACCCAAAAATACTAGCTGAAGACATTTCTGAGTATGAAAACATGGATATCTACACTGCGGTGAGAATGGCTATAACTGGTGGAATTATCAAGCAAAATAACGAAGTTAACATTGACCTTCTAATAAAGAAAACTCATCAAAATAATTGATCGGCAAGAGAATCTGCATTTCAAAACCTAGCTGAAGTGCTGACCAAGACTAAAAAAGAAGAAGATGTAGATAAGGCTATTCCGACAGTTCTTTCCCATCTGCAAGATAAACATATTAAGGTGGTCTATGGAAGCTTAGACTGCTTATCAGTAATTATCCAGCATACAAGAAATAAACTTACTGCAAACCTTCCACAAATAATGAAAGATGTGCTGGAATGGTCAGTTCATAAGAAGGAATCAGTCAGTTCTAAAGCAAATTCAATTTTGGCACAGCTTCTTGAAACTTTTACAGCTGATGAGCTTCTTAATCATTTGTTAGGAGTTTCTTTAAGTCGGCCTAATGTGAAATTAGCTATGATTGAAACAGCGCGTGCTTTTTGATCGGGACATTTTGATATTGTAGATTTCCTCATCTTTTTTCCTTTGGATGATATTCGGTTGAACTTTAACAGTTTTTTCCTCAATACCAAAAAATTGGACCAAATTTCTCTAAAATGTCACAATATCAAAACATCCCGATAAAATAGCATTGCCGATTGAAATCATGAGCTATTTAATCGAAACTTCAGAAACTTTTTGTTTTAACCAATACAGCATGTCAAATTTTGTCAAAAAGTTATCCCAGCTCACCCAAGATTCCTCAACACCATTAATCCAAGCAATTATCAAAACTTTAGAAGCAGCCTGTGATAAAAATGTTTTCTGGACTCTGCAAGGAATTTTGGAGCTTCCATTTGATGAGCAGCAAGTAGTAATCGTTATTTAGTTCAAAAAACTCTGCCAAGAACACTCACCAATGCTCGAAGAAATGCTCAGAGGGTACTCCAAAAACCGATATGTGCCCACTATCGATGTAATTGAAGAGGTCGAAGAAGAGGAGATGTCAGGAAGTGTAAGAGAAATTGATTTTAACGAAGTTTTGCAAGAATGCAGAGCGAAAGGGCCAAGAGAGTATATAGGGTATTTACAATATTTGATAGGGTAAACAATATGCAGAAAAGGAGAGCTTCCTTATGACTCAGTGAAAGAAGTTGTAGAGGTGCTTATTAATAGTCTTGATGAACAGTATGAAGAGGAATTCAAAAAAACTTTGAGAGGTCTTGGGCTAATTGCAAAAACTTATAATATTGATAGAGTCGGAGGGAAAATCATAATTGGGTTAAGGGAAGTTTTTACCTGGCAGAAACATAGTCTAATTGAAGATGCCAATGGCGTGCTAAAGATTATAATTGAAAAAATGAGCACTTGTAATGCTGTTAAAGCATTACTGGAATCAATTGATGGAGCTGAAAGTGTTGTGCTTGAGAAATATTTGGACTTCTTAAAAGACATTGTTAAAGAAAGAACAGATATCAAGTTCTTTGGAAAAGAAATAGCTGTGAAGCTTAGAGATTTGTTTGGAAATACTAGCCCAGAAGTCAGGAAAAATGCAGTTTTGACGTTGGCTGAACTTAGAGAAATGATGGGAAAAGATTTTGATAATTTATATGAACTATTTTCACTCAGCCAAAAAAAGCTTATAGAAATTTATCACCAAAAAATCAGTTCAGAAGAACCTTAATGTAAAAAAAGCAATTAGTACTACAATATTATTTAATCAATCCATTTAACTCTATTTCCATCTTGCCAAATACCTTTTCTAGTTTCCCCATTTTCAAATAAATGCATTCCTTCTCCATGTTGTTTCCCATTTCTCCAGCTTCCTACATACTTTTTTCCATCAGCCCAAGTATAGATTCCATATCCATGCTTTTTATCAAATAAATACTCTCCATCATACTTTCTCCCATCCTTCCACGAATAAACCCCATGCCCATGCATATTGTTATTTAGCCATTCCCCTTCATATCTTCTGCCATCCAGTCAAGTGTACACACCTCTTCCATTTATTCTATTGTCGACCCAATTTCCTACATAAATACTTCCATCACTCCAATGATAAATTCCAAAACCATGCTTTTTCCCATTCTTATAAAATCCTTGATACTTGCTGCCATCAGCCCAAATTTCCACCCCAAAGCCTTCTTGGATATCATTTCTTCAGTCTCCTTCATAAACAGCTCCATTAGTATGGGTATATACACCTTTTCCATGAGCTTTCTCGTCAATTCAGTTTCCTTCGAACATATCTCCATCAATATGCCAAAATTTTCCATGCCCATTTGCTTTGTTCCCTTTTCATTGACCTTCATATTTTGCTCCATCAGGCCATGTCTGGACTCCGTATCCTTCTCTATCATTTCCTTGGTAATCGCCTACATAAGTTGGCCCTGATTTATTTGCGTATGACTGTCTCTCTTTTTCAATTGAATTCCTTTTTAATCCAAAATTTTCCTTTTCTGAGTTTGGAAGATATTTTCTTTGCTTATTTGATTTTATGATATGTGAGTATAGTTTCCTGGTTTGGTGGCCACGTCAATAAGACTGGATCCTAATGACTTTAGGGACTATGAGCTTTAAATTTTCTCTATATACAGGAATGGGAGGCTGCTGTTGTTGAAAATGACTTTCTCGGGTCAGTCTGGAGCCAAGCTCAACAACAGGTGGCTCACTGATGAGCTCTTTTGAGGTATTATGAGAATGAGAGACTTCTTTTAAATTAAATTCAACTCTTCCTTCGTTTTCTCGCATGTTTCATGAACAGTTTGAGCAATTGATCTGGGCAAGAAGATTAGTAAAAAATCCTTTCATATTGAATTAAATATGAAATACATAAACTTTAAATCAAAAAAATAATAAGCCAGTAGAGAAATTATTAGTTTTTAAGATAAGTTTGTTATCTTCAGCTACTTTAAACTTAAGTTATAATCAAATATAATCTTTAATACAATAACTAGCCAGGCTTTCTTTCTAATTGGGTATGAATTTAATTTTTATCAGCAAGCTGCATTTTAATGCATATTTCGTTGACTTTCTCATTTTATCGCCTATATTTTTTTAAGTTCTTTTAGCATCTCTGCTTATCATTATACGCCAGATATATACTTTTCCAAATCTTTTTTACTTCCTAATTCAAAAAAACTTGTTTTGCTGATTAGAAAATAGCTCGATCTAACCATTTTAGTAATATCATAAAATGGCCCGCAAAAAGCCAATCGACTTCCCCGAAATCGGAAATCTTTCAAACCTTGAGTACTTCAAGCTCATTGAATCTGGTAAAAAACCCACTAGAAATGCCACAAGAATTGCCAGCATGCAGACAGCAGCCCAAGTCCTTCCAGTTCCAAAAAATCCAATAATAAAGCCCAAAAAAAGACCCAACAAACTAAAAAAATCAGAGCCATCGCCCACAAAAAAGCAGAAGCAAGAAGACATCGTTTTGCCCACCCCGCCAGACGATGAGTTAAAAATCAGATTTTTAGAAGGTTGTGTTTATGGAGCCCAAGCTATGCATAGGAAGCTGTGGATACAAGCAGGAGATGAGTGAATAAGTGGTACAATTGAGGAATTTGAAGAAGTCTCAGGGGAAGATATCATTCCTGCAAGATATCGAATTGGTGAGTCTTGGATTGATTTGCGAGATAAAAAGGTCTATTTAACTGGAGCTGTTGTAGAGCATCAAGATATCGCTTGAGAAGTCATTTGGAATTTCCCTGGGGCTCAGAGCTATCCACAAATCAATATCAGAAACTTTGAAGGGAAGACTGATGTGGTGCATTCAATTGAGCTAAAAGATTATGAAAAAAGAGATAATCAAAATGCGGTTATTGCAAAGAAACAGTACCAAGCTTGGCTAGATAATAATTTGAATTTGGAAATCCCTGATGAGGTCATTGAAAATTATTATCTAATTTCTCCTTTCTGTGAGTGAGCAAACAATAGAAAAATCTTGATTTTTAGGCAATTAACAAATTTTTAATTTAATTTCTTTTTATCAAATATTTGAATATGAGTAACAGCTATTATAATGAAATTTCAAGTAAGCCTTATTTTATTTTAAACAAAACATAAATTTATAAATTAATCTGTATTTTTATTTTAAATTTTAGAAAATAACTATGATATAAAATTTATATTTATATATTTAACGCTTTAATGAGCAGAAAAAATTGCTCCCTTAAGGAGGGAGGATTATCTCTTCCATATCTTGATTGAACTATTATTCACTTGAAATCTCCTAAAATTGGTAAAAAATAATCCCGATATGAAATTTTGAGATAATATTATTCTTCAGAAATATTTTTAACCCCATTCTTGATTGAGCAATGACGATCGGTTCGATAAATATGGGTGAGTAAGATTTATTTCACTGAAACAATACAAAAACAAAGTCCTTTTGCTAAGAAAGCATAACGTAACTGGAAAACTTTTTGTGTATAAAGACAAGCAATTTAGATGGATCCCTTATGATAAATCTCCTATCACATGCCGCTTAACTGAGCCTCCAGTCCCTGCCTCTTTGCTATCAAAATTTTCTCCAGGCTCAAATCTTCGGAAGCAATACAAAGAATTTTTTTTGCAAAATTCCCTTTCATTTCCCACCCCAAAGCCCGATGATAAAACCTTCCGAAAAGAAAATCGATGCAAAACCTGTGGGTATATTTTGGACCAATTAGATTATCGTCAATGTACAAGCTGTGGGGTTTGCTATCATGCTCAGTGTTTAGAAGACGCTTTATCAAAGCCTGGAGTACGTGGAACATGGCGATGCCCAGACTGTCCTAGATGCGAGAATTGTCTAGGGACTGTTGGGAAGCTTGTAAGATGTTCTGACTGCAACAGCGCTTTTCATGAGAGATGTCTCGACCCTGTTGTGTCTCCATTGCCTGGCAAAGCATGAAAATGTGAGCTATGTGCTGTTTGTCAGCATTGTGGGATTAAAGCTATTGAAGGAAATGTGAAATGAAATGAATACGTAACTAAATGGGTTCTGTGCCATTTGATCGGAACATTTTTGTAGTGTGACATTTCCTCTGTATTTTTGGTTGAATTTTTTCCATAGTGATAAATTTGATAAAATTGTAGCACACATAAAATGACGTGGAGAATCAACCTACCCTCTTAGCACATGTAGCCAGACGGGAGTTTGGGGGCCTTGTGGAAGGGAGAGCAGCGTGCATTAGGTGTGTCCAGCTGGGTTTTACTAGGTCTGTGGAGCTCCATATCGGGCTGACCGACCTCAGGTTCACATATGGGGCAAAGTTTTACCCCAAAGGAGGATGGAACTTGGAAGTTGGAAAGGTATAACCCAGCAAGGCCAGAGGGCGCTCGCTTTGCCAATCGGGCATTTTCCCCAGCGCGATATCGGGGAGTTGTACCCTGGCTAAAAGTTTCATCTTAGTCGATAGCCTGACCAGAAAATTCACGCTTTGAATTTTCGGGGTGACCCAGCGTCTTTGCTTCCAGGTTAAGCGTGCACGCCCTCGTCTAGAGGGAGTAATACAACCTTAGTCTGCGTAATCCGGCAGACAAACATGAGGGTGGCGCAAACGAGAGACACAAAAAGTCTATAATAACTTAATGAATAATAACATTTTGCCGGCTTTGCCGAGGAATATTATACGAGGAAAAATTTACAACCAAAAGTCCCTTAATAGTAAAAATTCCTATCAAATTACTGTCAACGAACAAAATGCACTTCTTGCGATTTGAAGTGAAGGAGAGGGGAATATTGCTCTATCTGTGAAAAATTCTGGTTTTCAAAAAAAGGTAGACATAGCAGGACTGAACAAAGATTAAGTACAAACGACTACCCAGACATGATTGAGTGCGAAAAATGTCAAAAATGGGTACATTTACTATGTGATTCTTCAATGACTATAGATTTATGGATGCTCTTTTCATCAAATGATAATATGAAGTATTATTGCCCAAGGTGCAAAGAAGCCAATTTAAATGAAGAAATGAATCAAGTTATTAATGATCTTATGAATTTAGAAAAAAACAATTTTTTCGTTAAAAAGGTTGATGATCCTTTTTACTTAAAAGTAATTAAAAATCAAATGTGCTTTGAAATCATGATAGAAAACTGCCAAAAAGGGCTGTATTCAAATAACATCGAGCTGTTAAGAGATCATTTCAAGCAGATATGTGAAAATGCTATGTGCTTTTATAAAGCAAATACAATTGGCTATCAAACTGCTGAGCAGCTTTTGCAAGAGGGATTAGCACTGCTGGACTCGAAAATGCCTCAAAAAAGAAAACACTCAGACTCATCTAGAGCTCCAACTAAAAAATCCAAAACTGAGCCTCCTGCAGATGTCTCTCTTAACCTTCCTCTCCCTACCTCTCTTGACCCTCCAGTGAAATATGACTTTTCTGCAATCGCCACTCAAGATTTGCCCTCACTTTCCTATAAATCCCCTCCAAATGACATATTAAACATAATAATCAACAAAAAAGACATTTTACCTTATTTAGCAGCAGCTCCTCAGCTATCCTTTTATCCAACTCCAAAAGCTGTAATTTACATTGACCCTTTGCTCTGTTTCGAAGAATTATGCTATTTATGTGGAAGCTTTATAAGAAATGAGAATATATGGGCTTGCCATACATGTGGCCGAGCATTCCATAACTTTTGCTTAGATACCAGCTCAAGCCAATCTCCAAGCGATTGGAAATGCAAAGACTGTCGTGTTTGTGAAATTTGCCATAATACACAAGATGCTTTGCATATGATTTATTGTAAGACTTGTGAGAGAGCATATGATGTTTCATGCTTATGGCCAAGCGTTAAAGGCCCATTGCAGCTACAAGGTTGGATTTGTGATAAATGCTTCAATTGTAGACGATGTGGGGCAGATTCGTATCATGAGCCTGGGTTTATCCCCACCCAAGAGCATTTTTATAAAGACCTTGATATTTGCTATAAATGCGCATGGGTGATTGCAAACAAGGAATACTGCCCAGAGTGTGAGAGGGATTGGTCTTCTCCATATGAAGAAAAGAAAATTACCTCAGAGCGGTATTACTGCAAGCCATGTGAGTTTTATTTTCACCAAAGCTGTGCTAAGGACTGAAAAGGGGTCTGCCAAAAATGCTATTATAATAATATGGATTATACGCAAGCTGAACAGCAGACTTTAGAAAAAGTCCAAGTACTGATGAGCTTAATTAGCCAGACAAATATATATAAATCTATAGCAAAAGACTGCATTGAAAATAGGTTCCATTTAGAGACTAATTTTGCAAAATTGCTTGCTAATGCCTTTTTGATTGACAATGCTGACTTTATGGCAAATTCAAAAGAAATGAAAGAATTGTTTATGGGAAGAGGCGTTGATATAGTGAAAACTAAATGTCATAGAGAATCAAGCTATAGGCTAACAACTGTCCCTTCAATTGATGGGCTTCGGATAAGTGACATTCCTAATATTCAAATAATAATAAAATGAGATTTATTTTATTAGCTCATTTATATATTAGTCTAAAAATTTTTACCTTAAAAATTTTATATGCAGTAGGGATATGAAATAGAGTATTGAATAAATTTATAAACGTGGGATGTAAGGGGAGTCGGATTATGCTTGACCAAACTTTTATACACAATGCCAAATATGGCTTATCACATAAGCTAAGTCACTTGACCCAGGAGTTTCAGACATAGGAGTAACCGTTTGGCACACCTGGGGAGGGGCGACCATTAGGTGAACAAGCGCTGGAGTAAAGTATAGAGCGATGCCAACGCAACCAGTGAAGACTTTCTGACCCTTTTGGTGGGATCTTCTGGAATGCTTAAGAGGCAAGATGGCTGCTGAAGTCATCGACTGGGCATTAAAAATTAAGCTTTGATACTATTCCCTAACGAAGAGAGTATCACTTTAAAAATCTAAATAAATAATGTAATGTAATAGCATTCCTAATATTCAGGTGCCTATTGTTAAAATACATAGACCAAGGGATTCATTACCAATTTGGAGCTTAGAGTGGGACACTTCTAATCTGATGGGATCAATAGACCAAATTTATTCCCCTCTGATGAGCATCGAAATTGTTGAAATTTTACTTGCGCCAATGCCAAGCATTGGATCAATTTTTGTATACTTCCCTATTTATATTTGGAATTTCGATGAAATCACCCATTTCATGCCACTTCCAAGAGACCCAGACCAATACCTCTATGAGCGCTGCGAATGGACTATTTTAGCTACCAGCAATACAATTGACCTTCCTTTGAACCAGCAGAATTCATCACATAATGATCATGACTCCTTAAAGCCTCACGAAATCACTCAAGAGGTCTTATCAAGTGAGCTCGACTCTGAAGAGCTTGCCCACCTCTATATAAATCAAGAACTCCCTGCAGCAATAGCATTTGCCAAAAGATTTGAAGAATGGATAAGGGAAAATCTAATAAAAATCACTTTGCACTTAAACATAACAAAATTAAATAGACAAAATTCGCTATATTATAAATTATTACAGAACAATTCATCATATTTAATTTCAGAAAGCATAATTAACAGCAATAATTCAACTTCTGACGAAAGTGAAAATTTCAGATCAGAAAAAATGTTCCATGAAGAATTGCTGCATAGAGAAGTTTTTTATGGAATCAGAAGTGACGACCAAGTAGAAGGAGACAGAACTTTCTCATTAAATTGTGTACTTTGTAAGCAAAATGGAGAAAGAAAGATGTCAGGAAGACTGCTGCCAACTGATGAAGGAGTATGGGTGCATGCTAATTGTGCATATTGGAGCACAGAGGTTAAAACTGAAGAAGCAGGAGGGATCATGAATTTAAATGCAGCATTAATCAAAGCAAAAAAGACAAAATGTAAAGAATGCGGGCTTAATGGGGCAAGTTTGTGCTGTATCTCGAAAAAGTGCCATAATTCTTATCATTTTCCTTGCGCTTTGTTAGGAAGAGTCCAGTTATTAGAAAACAAAGGAGTTTTATGCATTTCCTGCCCTATGCCTAGAGAAGTATCTTCAAAGCCGATTTCTATTGAATCATTGATGAATTCTACACATAAAAAAATGTATGTAACAAGAGGGAAAAAATTCAATAAAAAGCCTTATTTTATTCGAAAAGTTTTTAATAGAATTGGTTCACTCATTATCACTGAAATTCCTGAAGAAAATGAACAGATACTTGTTTCTTATAGGAGATTTTGAATCGATGGATGCAGGCAGCTCTTAAAATGTGAATATGTTGATGAAGTTTATAGAGTCTCTGTTGTGATTGATAATGAATTTAACAGCAAAGAAATAATGTGCTCAGTAAATATTGAAGATTTATGGCCAAAACTTAAAGTTGGGGAAAGCTTTTTAATGAAAAATGCGTCAGACTTTTTTGGCTACTCGGCAATTTCTCATTTTTTGCCACCATTGCCTGAAACAAGTCATTATAAAACAATTAAAGAAACAAAGCCAAGGTCTTTAACTGACATAATAAGCCATCTCAAGCCATCTCCTTATGGATCAAGCTCACTGGCACCTTTCGAAAAGCATAAAAAGCCTCCCCCAGAAATGCCAAAATCAAGCATTAACCATAAGTCTGTAAACTACGAAGAATCAAATTTAAGCGAAGCTAAAAGAGAGACCTCATTAGTCCCTGAATACAGGAAATATAGGAAAAATCCTAATAGAGATAAATCTGTAGAAGTTTTACAATGCTTAAGATTAATTAATATTTGAGGTGTATGGTACCATTCCCTAGCAAAAGAGACTAAGCTTAAAACGAGTGAAGTTGTGGGCACTCTTCACTCAAAATGAAAACCATTCGGGTAGACCTTCCTAAGCAATGAACCGCCAGCTGGCTGCACTTCTCACCAGCGCGTTCCTTACTAAGCTCCTGCGCATATTAATTATAAGGGTCACTTTCCTGGGATGTGCAAAGTAGTAAAATCTAGACCCTTTGATTGCACTGAGGAGCAGATCATCCTGCCTTATCTGACCAGAGTTAAACCGCTGCTACTGTTCAGAAATTCCCAAGAGAAAGCCAAACCCCATAAATAATTTCTATGAAGAAGACATTGCTAATTTTTCTCGAACTGAACGCCATTTTGTTTATCCTGTAGAAGTTTTACAGTCCAATATTCATGGGTTAGGACTTTTTACAAATGCTGATATCAATCCAGGACAAATCGTTATTGAATATATTGGAGAAGTCGTTAGGAATAGAATTGCTGATTTAAGAGAAAAAGAATATGAAGAAAAAGGAATCGGTGAAGGAAGCTGCTATTTATTTAGACTAGATGAAGACTATGTTTTAGATGCCACAGTCAAAGGAGGCAAAGCAAGATTCATCAACCATTCTTGCCAACCCAATTGTGAAGCCACAACGTGTGAAATCGAAGGAGAAAAGCACATTCTTTTATTTGCAAAAAGACTGATACATAAAGGAGAAGAAATTACTTATGATTATAATTTTGATGTTGAGTCTGAAAAAATCTATTGCCACTGTGGAGCAAAGGATTGCCAAGGAAAACTTAACTAAATTAGATTTACAAGAGGTATATAATTGCTAACTTATTATTATGAGGTAACTTAAAGTACATTCTTTTGTAGTATATGAAATAAATTTATATCTCCTTATAGAGTATATTAGTATTCCAGCTAGTTTCTGTAATTCTATTTTTATATAGAATTATTAGCTATTAGGAATTTCCAATATATGGTAGATAAGTATATATGATCATAATCTTAATGGTGGCCTTGAACTGTTTATGGAAAGTTAGAAAATCGCGTTAAATGTGTATATATAAATTTTGTGACTAATTTCAGTTGAATTCTATGTTTTCTTCAGAAAATGATAACTCAGTTGGGACTGTTTGGGCTTCTTCAGCGAAAACATCATCGCTCCCACCTGTGCTTTCAAATTTAATTTCGATTTTTTTGGACTGGAAACTTGGTGTAATTGGCTGTTTTGCGTTTGATTTTTGGCATTTTCAATCACTAGTGTCAATTGCCAAAGGTCGGTTTTCAGTAGATGCCGAAACACTTGCTCGCTTTAGATTTTGAACTCTTTTTACCTTTCAGTCATAGCATTTATTGTTAAGTAAAAGCCGATCTTCTTTATTAAACATCTTGAGTTTATTATCCATCGGCATCCCAGAGCTTATTTTCTCAATATTTTCCAGTTGCTTTTGTATTTGCAAGATTTTTTTATCAAATTCAAATGGATTTGGGGGCTCCAGTGAGAGTGGTGAATTATGGGGACAGGCATTTTGTGAGATAAGTAGGGTAACCCTTTCAGAAACTGCATTACTTTAGGAAAATAAAAACTAACATGCTTGATGGTTTAGTAAATTAATTTTTGGAATTTTCCATTCAACTTAACAGTAATTTTTTTGAAAAAACACCTCACCTTAATAAACTATGTAAATACGACCTCTGTAAATTAGTATAGGTAGATACTGTCTAATGAACGCTTACAAAATACCATTTTAAAACTGTTTATGGTATTACCTTTTAAAAAACTGTGATGGTTAGACTGTGTTTTTAAATAAACAGGTACAATCGAATAATACGAATTAAGGGCACTAGCATTATGCAAATAAACATAGTGAACGCTTTGCTAATTATTTTTATTTTAACGATCAACCCCACTGTTCATTAAAAAAAATTTAAATTTCAGAAAACGCTTTTTGCTAGCACAGATTTTGGCTCACGCATAATATAATTAAACGTGCAGAGTTAATATAATTTAAACACAAGTTTCGCGCGACTTTAATGTACTTCTTTGCACTCTTCTTATTCTTATAAACTGAAAAAATTCCTGGATAGATTATAGGGAGGGGAATTTTGTAAATTACCTTCACAGGCATTTAGCAAATTACCAACGTCAGCCATAAAACATTTTTTTTGACTGTAAGTGCCCTAAAATAATTACTTTTGTAAATTATACATTTAATTTAGTGCAAGCAATATTAATAAAATGGCATATAAATTTAATAAATGAAAGTTACGCACACTAAATTGTCCATATTTTTGTGTAATTTCGCGGGTTATATTAAAATGTCGGCTGTTCATTCAATTTATGGCAACTTTAGCGCAATTACTTCTTCCGAAAGAGACGCAATCGATTGATGCCAAGAGATGGGACTATTAAAAAGCAAAAATTGCGACCTTTGCAATAGAGAATGTGGTGTTTATTTAACACCAAATAGAGAAGCTGAGTTTTTAAGATGCCATTTTTTGTCAGATAAGCTTATCACCAAGGCGCTCGTCCATATTTCCGACTGTCAAGACTTCCAATTGCAAAAATTGTCAGGATTATTTTCTACCATGTAGCAAGAGAGCACACCATGGTGCAGATAGCTCAAGATGTTGAAGTTACGCCAAAGGCAATATCAAAGCTTCTAAAGCACTTGCGAGCACATATTGCAAAGCTTGTACTTAAGTCCTATATAGAAGATGAGCCATTGGGAATAGTAAATGAGCCTGGACGGGTTCATCCATGTGTAGAGATGGATGAAACCAAAATTATCAATTGACAAGGAGAGAGACTAGGTGGGCTTTCGGTATTTTTGATAGGGGGACGGAAAGATTCAGGATTTTTTATTGCTCAAACAACAGGCAATATGAAGAACTTACTTCCTCTTAAAGAATAAATACTTTTCGCATTAGAATATAAATATTTTGAAAAATTTAGGAATTTTTACTATAGAATATTTCAAGTAATATAGAAGTTAGCAATTTTATTTATTTATCGGTGATGACAGATGAGGACAATCCAACTGAAGTGTGAACAGATGGATGAAAGGCATACAATAAGTTAGAAAATGATGGGTTTCGTCATAGAGTCGTTTTTCATAATCGATCATTTGGCAGCGGGAGGGAGACTACTAATCATATCGAAAACTTGTGGAGCAGATTGAAGAAGTTGAGAGCATTTTCGAATGGGTTTAAGGCCAACAATGAAGAGGATTTGGACGATTACGTAATGTATTTTCAATTTCTTTTAACCCATAAAGGTTTGGGTAGAATTCCTGCCTTTATTGAAGCATTAATGACCTCAAACTTCTAATTTAATCTAATTTGGATTATCTGGAGTATACCTAAATTAGTTAAATTCAATTAAAATGCGATTAAAATATATCATATAATTTACAAAAGTAATTATTTTAGGGCACTTACAGTCAAAAATGTTTTATGGCCGACGTTGGTAATTTGCTAAATGCCTGTGAAGGTAATTTACAAAATTCCCCTCCCTATAATCTATTCAGGGAATTTTTTCAGTTTATAAGAATAAGAAGTCTGCAAAGAAGTACATTAAAGTCGCGCGAAACTTGTGTTTAAATTATGTTAAACTCTGCACGTTTAATTATATTATGCGTGAGCCAAAATCTGTGCTAGCAAAAAGCGTTTTCTGAAATTTAAATTTTTTTTAATGAACAGTGGGGTTGATCGTTAAAATTAAAAATAATTAGCAAAGCGTTCACTATGTTTATTTGCATAATGCTAGTGCCCTTAATTCGTATTATTCGATTGTACCTGTTTATTTAAAAACACAGTCTAAACCATCACAGTTTTTAAAAAGGTAATACCATAACAATTTAAAATGGTATTTTGTAAGCGTTCATTAGACAGTATCTACCTATACTAATTTACAGAGGTCGTATTTACATAGTTTATTAAGGTGAGGTGTTTTTTCAAAAAAATTACTGTTAAGTTGAATGGAAAATTCCAAAAATTAATTTACTAAACCATCAAGCATGTTAGTTTTTATTTTCCTAAAGTAATGCAGTTTCTGAAAGGGTTACCCTACTTATCTCATAAAATGCCTGTCCCCATAATTCACCACTCTCATTGGAGCCGGATTTGGGTCTAAAACTGGAGTATATGATCTGCAGGTTAAGCAGTCATCTTCTTTGCGTTTCAGTCTAAATTGTCTAGCCCTGATTTTCTTAATTCCCAAATGCATTAAAATGGCGTGGCAAACCAGCTTTTCCTCCTAATACCTGCAGCCGGATTTTATGGAAGGGATAATGGCGTCTCATAATGTGTATCAGGCCAGGCTTTATTTGACTTGATGGGGCGCTATGACGGATAACGATCTCATACTCATATGCAGGTCAAGTTTTTACCTTTGGGGAAGATAGTCAGTCGAAACTATAAAGGGAAAGACCAGCAGAGTCCTAAGGACCAATCGGGCAATTTTCAAGCCCAATAGTGGGATTATGACCTAAGCTTCAAGCAGATCTTGGACAGCAGTCTGACCAGAAATTTGTTTTTCGAATGATCTGGAAGGGGTAAGCCATGAACTATGCAGACACGGTGGCACAACCCACTACACACAGAGTTTGAGTGCGAGCTCTTATTCCGGATGAGTGGTAGCCGATAGGTAGACGCAGGCAGTCAAGCTAGACAATTGGAGAAAACACTTCGTGTATACGGGAGCTTCTCTTTATAATCTTAATTAAGTAAAGCTAAGATTCTCTTGATTCCGCCTGGCATTTTTCTTTCATCATCTTTAGGAATATTCCAACAATTCATAGGATCTAGGATTTTGCTTTTATTATTTTCATTCATAGTCGAGCTTTTAACTCCCTCTTGGCTAAGTTCTTTTAAAAATTAATCCTCCGTTCAGTATAAAAATTTTATACAAATAACAAATTTGATATGTATTTAGTGATAATTAATAATGGCATCTCTGCTTATTTAATAAAATTTAAGTCTGCTTACATCTTAAAATAAACTTTTATTCAATTTTTAAAAAAAAAGAAAAAATATCTCCAGTGACCAAGAATTTTTTACTGCTTAACCAAAAAGGGGTAAGTGATTTTGAGCTAATTATTCTAGGCATATCAAGATTTTTTTGATTTTTATTCAGCCACGCTCCTAGATTTTCAATTTGATAATTTGGAGAAAAATTTCAGCTATTTTCAATGTCTACATCTGAAAATGACATTTCAGTAGGCACAGTTTGTGCTTCTTCATTTAAAATGTCATCACTCCCTCCTGTGCTTTCAAATATCATTTCAACCTTTTTTGATTGAAAACTTGGTGTAATTTGCTCTTTAGGCTGAGATTTCTCCGAAACCCAACCATGGTTCGTATTTATTGACAATGGCCTATCTTCTAATATTAACGATTTTTTTGTGTTTTTTGGTTTTTGAGATTGCCAATCATTAAAAGTATCAATTATTAAAGGCCGATCTTCATTTAACAATGACATATAGTTATTTTTTGAGCAGGCTTGCGTGTTTATCTTATCAATACTTTTTAGTTGTTCTTGTATATGAGTTAATTTTTTATCAAATTCAAAAGGGTTCGATAAAGATTCTGGGGTTGCGTTGTGTGAACGAGAAGTTTTGGAAAAATCTTCTTTCCTTTTAATTCTAAATTGTTTTGCTCTAATTCTTTTAATGACGCCTGGGATTTTTCGACCTTCACCTCTCGGGAGATTTCAACAGTTGACGGGGTCTAATGCTAACTTTTTGGAAGATTCTGATGTGGAGGGGGGTTTTCATATTCTTCGCCCAATAATAAGAGGCATATCGAAATATTTTTTATGCTCTTCCATAATTTAATTATTTAAAGTTGAGTTCAAAAAGCATATGAAAAATAGTTTGTAAATATTCTTGAAAAATGTGTAGTTTATAATTATTGTAAAATTTATTTGTATTATTTAGCTCGGCCACAATTGTGCCTTGATACTGGGAATTTCTTCTCAACTACAATTAATAACTGAAATAAATGAATTAAAACATGTGGGTCTACTAATATTTTTGGTATAAATACTATGAGGAAGGGAGCCTAGGCCCCAGCAATATGTATGCACTTATCATATCACAATTTTTAAATAAGATTAGTTTTTGGCTTTCTAAGTTATAATCGTTGGTTGCATAAATTGCTATTTGAATCTTGAAAAGCCTCAAAAACTGCAAATTTTAAAATAAATCGATGCATTTACATAAATTTATCATTAAAAGCCATTCAAACACAAATAATTCATTTATTAATGATATTAATGTTCTTTATATCATAAGATAATAATGGAAACAAAAAATAAGTACTCAAAGAAGGACTTCGAATTTCTTGGAACAGTCGGCAAAAGTATATATGGCCGAGTAGAGCGTGCAAAACATATAGAGCAAGGCAAAGAGTATGCTATCAAAATCATCGAAAAAATTCACCTAAAAAAAGATGAAAATTCAGAACAAAAAGAAAGAGAAAGCGAATTGCTGTCAAAGAATCAAGAACACATCGGCATTCTCAAGCTCTACGCTTCATTTGAAGATAACGAATTTCATTATTATGTTATGGAATATTGTCCAAATGGCGATATGGCACATTTTATCGATAGGTTCGCAGGACCATTACCGTTCGAGCTTGCTAGATTTTATGCAGGCGAGTTAGTAAATATTTTAGAATTCATGCGATCAAAGTCAATTATACATCGAGATATCAAGCCTAAAAATATTCTCCTCGCTGCAGACAGCCATTTAAGATTATCAGAGTTTGGCAGCGCAAAACTCTGTGATGACTTGGAGACTGCAGCAAGCCAAACATTTGTTGGGACTGCAGATTATATCGCTCCAGAAGTTTTAGATGAAGGGGAGATTACCTATTCCATAGACTTATGAGCATTAGGATGCATTATCTACCAAATGCTTGTAGGAAAACCTCCATTTTCAGCAGCGACCCAATACATGACTTTTGATAAAATCAGAAACGGGGCTATAGAATTTCCTCCTCATTTGCCTCCTTTTGCAATTGATTTAATTCAATCTTTGCTGCTGCCTGATCCGTCTATAAGAATTGGTGGGAACGATATTGTCGACTTAAAATCTCATATATTTTTCCAAGGATTGGATATCGACTGCATATTTTCATTGACAGTTCCAGACTATTCTCATCATATTAGGCAAATTGTTATGCCAAGAGTCATTTTGCAAGGAATCGTCAGGAAAAAGGCAGGATGGATCTATAAGAAAAGATTATTAATTATTTCTGAAGAGCCAAGAATTTCTTATTATGAGCCTAACGGGGAAGAGTATAGAGGAGATATTGCAATTTCGCCGGAACTCAAAGCAGAAGTCAAAGGAAGAAGCGAGTTTCATATCATTACACCTAATCGAACATATTACTTCAAAGAGTTAAATGATCAGCCTGAAAAGTGGGTCCAAGCAGTGTCTGAGTTGGTAAGTAAAATTTATGAATAATTTTATTAGGCATTTAATTATCGTTAACTTATTTTCACATCAATGTTCTTGCTTCTTAACATGTTGTTCAATTTCTCAATTTTTGCTGGAGTGAAACTTGGTCTTATTTTTGGAATTAGTGCAAGTGCTGACTGATGGTCATTTAAATGCAAAAACAAAAATACTTTCCAGTATAGAGCTTTTGATTTTCTTTTTTCATAAAAGACTGGATCTCTTTCGTATACTAACAGTAAAATATAGTCATGGATAGCAAATAGCCCATCTTCAATCATTACCCCAAAGCTTGCAGCTATTTTTCCAATTTTATATAAAAAAGTTGGTTCGGAACAAATTGAGAAGCCAACATAAGCTCCTTCTCCTGTAGGTAGAGGGGCGTTTAAGTTTTTTATATTTCCTTTATTGTTCAATATCATTTCCATTTCCTCATCCTCAAACTCAGTCATAATTGATAAAGAGTTGAATTTCTTGATGTTTCTTGTTCTTAAGCTAAAGGATCTTCTCTCATTAACTTCTACTATGGGAAGCTCTATTTCTTCACCAGCTTTTTCTTCATTTTCTTCATCCATTGCTTGATCAGTAAGAAGTCGCCTTTCTCTTACTCCCCCCTCCGTGAGTGAACAAAAACCATTGGAAAAACAACTAATTTTTAAGTAAAATCCACAATTTATAACTAATAAAAATTTTTTTAATGCAGAAATTTCTGATTAAAAAATATTTTGATATATAAGTAATAATAATTATTATAATGAAATCTCTTGCGAATTCTGTTTAATTTTAAACAGCTTGCATTTTTAAGCATAAATTTTTCAAATCTAATTTATGTTTGCTTTAAAATTATTTCGAATTGGGATTTTTTTAAATTTTACAAAAAATTTTCGCTATAAAATTTCTATATAAATTTTTTTAAAAAAAAATTATCCTTATGAGCAAACAGAATTTTTTTATTCGCTCACGGATGGGGTAGAGTTAGGGGTCTTGGCGATTCAGATTTAGTGAGGGACTCTAGATATTCGCTGATTTCATTTGAGGGTCCTTCTTTTTGGATGTTACTTACTCTTCTCTTGCTTAGTGAGCAAACCATTATAAATTTCCCATTGGTTAGCGTATGAGAAAAAATCTTTTTATTAAATTTTATCTTTAAATTTTTAAAAAAAAATAGTCCCTTATATAGCGAGCAAATTTTTTTTGAGTTTAAACAAAGAAGAGTTAAATCTTGAAGGTCTTTTATAGATGTCGCTTTTTGAAGATGCTTTGTATATTGGACACTAGAAAAAGGTAAAGGAGGAAAAACTTTTGCTAAACACTTTAATAATAAAATTGCTTTAGCTGGATTAGAATTCTTGACAAGGACTTTTGAATACAAGATATGAGCTTTCATCCATTCCTTTGTCGGGATTTGATGATTTTTGCATTTTTTAATCATGTCTTTACAGAGCTGCTTCAAAGTGTTGTAATCTTTGTTTATCCATAAATATTCATAAAGCTGAAAATATGCAGCTAATCTTCCTCCAGATGCTGCAGCAGTTTTAGTTAAAACAGATAGCGCTTCTTCTTGGTGGCCTTCTGCCCATAAAATTTTTGCAAGTAATATATCCCCGCTGAATCTATGAAGATCTTTGACTTTTTTAGAAAGTAATTTATATCTCTCAATTCCTTCTATTGTAATTATTCTACCTTTTAAAAAGTTTTCTACTGATTCTAAAGCTTCAATTTGTTCTTTGAAATTTTTCATTTCATGGTTCATCTCATCAATTTTCTTTTGCTCAGAAAGTTCCAAACATTCAAGAGCACTTTCCATTGAGTAATAAGCATCTATTGGATGTCTGCCTAGTAAGAAAGCTTTTGCAAGCCAATAGTGTATAACTCCATATCTTCCTTTGTCACAGATTCTTAAGCATTCTTGTAAAGCTCCTATAGCTGAGCCGTTAAATGAATAGTCTTCTGACTTAGTGCAAAGTTTTCCATACTGGTATAAGAAAACAGTATAGGTAGGATGCTCAAGAAATTTTTGCTGCAAAAGCTCAAAGCAGTTTCTGTATTTTCCGTTTTTAAATAAAGATTTTGCGTACTTAATGCAAGATAATACGTTGTAGCATTCATATTCAGTTATTTTGAGAAATGCTTCTGTCGATACATCTTCTGCAGCTGAATAGTCTTGAATTTTATGATAATAGTAATCCCATAAAAACAAATGAGCTTCTGGCTTAGTTGGGTTTAATCTGGCGAGTTCTTTTATGATGTCTAAAGATTTCTGCTCTTTTCCTTCACTAGAAAAAATTGCACTCCAAGCCAAATAACCATAGTAATTGTCAATATCTTTGATTTTTGTCGCATAATGCTGGGGAACTTCGATTTCTACTCTATGGGCCAGCAAACCTGATAAAGAAAGTTCCATTAGTCCTCATAATAGTTCTATTTCATTTGGGTAATTTCTTAAAAGACTCTCAAATAAAGCTTTATTTTTAAGGGCTTCAGATTTTGTTTTGCGGGCATTTTTCATTTGTAGAAAGGCATATCATGTTTGAAAAAGCTGGTCATTAGGCTTTAATTTTAGAGCATCCTTAACTAGTTGAATTGATTCATCATATTTGCTTTCATGCGCTAACAGTTTGGCTAAGCCAAAAATAGCTTCATAGCACGCTTGGTTGCTTTTGAGTAAATTGTTGAAAATTGCGCGGCAGTGGAACAACTCATAATCTGGGATTATATCTCTAATGCATTTTCCTTTAATTACAAATCAGCTAAAACAGCTTCCAGGCTCAAATATATTTTTTTGAGATATCAGAGGAGGAGGTGGCTTAGGACGATTATTGTTTAGAGTCGATCTCCGTCTATTTTTTACCTCAATATTATCTATAGAAAATTCCTGGGGATAGCGCGGAATACGCTATCCCCAGGACCAACCGGGATCGGATCCCACATGGAACGAGGGTTTCCATGTGTGGATCCATTTTTGGCACGTGAAAGTAAATATCTCACATGTCAAAAATGGATCCACACATGGAACCCCCGTTCCATGTGTGGATCCGATCCCGGTTGGTCCTGGGGATAGCGTATTCCGCGCTATCCCCAGGAATTTAGTATAGTTGCTTTTGAATAACATCATCGATGCTTTCTTCTTTATCGAAAGTTGCGATATTAAACGGGTCTTTGGATTTTACTTGTTTTTCTTGTTGTAATACGGATGAAGTGTTTTTTGTGCTGATTCTGATTTTCGACAGACACTCGGAGTAAAAATCCTTATTTGGTACATTATTAATTTCTTCAGTTCTAACGTCAAAAAGCTCTAAATTAGCATCTGGGATGTTTTCATTTATTATTACCTCTGGAAAACTATGAATAGATGAGTCAGAATTCTCTTCTTCAGCCATGATTAATAAATTTGTTGAAAAATTCTAATTTTTTATTGCTGCATATTAGTTTTTGCTAATAGTCTAGTAAAGTGAGTATAAATTAAATTAAGAATCTTAACTTCTTCCATACACTTTAGACCAATGCCAAGCTACTTGTCGGGCTGAAATTCAGCTGCTATTTGTAGTAGTGATCTTCTCTAGTAGCAGGGCTTCACTGTGATCCACAAGAATCTCAACGGGCTAGGAAGACGCCCTGCCAGTACGCCATTGGTTACTATGGAGATAAAGTTTAGCCCAATACCTCTTTCCGGCCACCTTTGGGAGATGTGACGCCAGGAAAAAAGAACCACAGCTTTCAGAGCAGGGAAAGAACCTGCTGCTCAAAAATCATTCGGATAACTAATACTTAGACTGGAATAACCACAGGCTGACTCTCAAGGTTAGTCATCCATAATTCCGCCATATAGAGTGCTTAGGATAAAATCAAAGGGCCTGAACCTCGGTTTAGGCTATAAAGCCATTTCGGCACCCAAAGTGGTGCTTCATCAGCAATGACATATTTTGTCGCCACAGCCATATTAATCATAAGCGACTATAAGACAAACTTATAGTCACACCATAGCTATTATTTTTAAGATTAAAATTAATTCATCTTATAATTTCCTAGGTGTACTAAAATATGTTTGCCTTACACTTACCCCTCTTATAGATTGATATAATTGAAATCCACAAATATATTTTAAAAAATTAAAAAAAAACCCAAAACATATAAAAAACTTAGAGATGGAGCTAGAAGGAAAAGGATGCATGGCATGGGAAGACCAAAACTTGCTTGCAACTGGAGCCGATCATTTAGAGCTCCATTACTTAGACAGAAACGAGTTCAAATATATCTACACCCTTCAGCCTCGCTCTCCAATTTCATGTTTAGAATGGTCCAAGCATGGTGACGGATTTCTTGCGGGCGGCTCAAAACGAGGGACTCTATCATTCTGGAAGAAAAATGAGCTACTATCCGACCCAAGCCGCAGCTTTATTAAAGAAGAAAAGATCCTCGAAAGCGTTCCAGTCACCACAATCCAATTCTGTCCCAGCAAGCAAAACTTGTTAGCAGTCGGAGCATCTGATGTGTTTATTCTGAATGTTGATGGTCTTAATAAGCAAGACCCTTCTCAATATATTTATAAGCTTGGAAGCTCAAACGAAGGTGTAGCATTAGCTGCCTTTTCATGGAATCCTCAAGTCCAGCACATTTTGGCAGCAGCTTCTATGAATGGAATGGCAACTGTATGGGATTTAAGGCAAAATAGAACCCTTTTCAACGTATGTGACCAAGCTTATCTGAATAAGGCTGCCTGCTCTTCACTGATGTGGAATCCAGAAATTCCAACCCAATTTATAATGGCTTATGACGATGCCAAAATCCCAGCTTTACAAATATGGGACTTAAGAAAAAGCGATGTGCCTGTAAAAGAATTCAAAAAAAACCACAAAAACGGAATCACTTCTATGGCTTGGTGTCCTCATGATTCAGGAATTTTTGCATCAAGCGACAGGGCTGGATTTTCGGTGATTTGGGATTTTAAGAGGGGTGAAAATCTGTCAATTGTGGAGCATCATGTTAACTCTGACGTTGTCTCATTGAAATGGGTGCCTGGAAAGTATGGAGTTTTAGCTGCTGGTGGAGAAGACGGGAGCATTGAGGTTAGAAGCATTTATGACACTGGCGTTAAAGAGCCAAATGAAAAAGTGCATACAACTAGTGATGATCCAAAGACTGAGACCAAAAAACCTGGAACTAATCATACTCCAAAATGGCTTTTAAGAAAGGTTGGGTCCGCTATTGGCTTTAAAGATAAAATTGCAGTTTACAACCAAAATTCCAACTCTGTGCATTTATCAGCTTTAAGCATAAAGAACAAAGAATTAGAAGAAAGCTGCTCAGTCCTTCACAAGCTTTATTTGCAGGACAATTGGAAAGAAATCAGCAAATATTACATTGAAAATCACCACATGCCAGCTGAAGAGAAACTGCAATGGGAAATAATTTCATCCAAATTCTCAAAAGACCAGTCTTCATTATTAGCATCTCTAGATCTAAATAAAAAAGATATCATCCAAGAAACTGAAATTTTCACAGGAAAAAAGAGAGAAACTGAAGAAACCACCACAAATAGGAAACAAAGCTTCCAGGACTCAGTCTCCTTTGCAGAACTAAGCGCTTTAGATGCACAAAATTTCTTTGACAAGGTAGTAGCTACTCATGCCCCTGAAAAAGTCTCGTCACCTCAGAAGCGCACACAAGAAATCGATTATTCCAGAGTGATCAATGAAACAATTTCAAGAAACATCAACTGGAATGAAGCTGGAGAAAAATTAATCAAGGACAATTTGATTATTAAAAACTTAGAAAGCGCTATTGATTGTGCTTTAATGTGCGGAAGAAGTGCAGAAGCACTGATTATTGCTGAACATGGTGGCCCAGAACTGTTTAAAAGAACAAAAAATGCAGTCATTTCAAGCTCAAAAGACCTTTTCTTGAAGACGACCTTTTTAGCTTTGCTTAATGGAAAAATTGAAGAAATTATACCAACTTTTGAAATTGGGCGATGGAAAGAAATTCTTGCAATCATAATTTCCCATGGAGAAAATAATGTTAATGAATTAGCGTTATCATTAGCAGCTAGGCTTGAGGAAGAAAATATGCTTGAAGCTGCTTATGCTTGTATGGCTGTTGCTGGAAATTTCAATAAACTTGTGGAGTCTTGGATATCACAAACAAGCAGAGTCATTGCTGGGGATAGAAAAAAATACGCAAGCCAAGTTCAATATTTGTTCTTCAAAGCTTCAGCATTAGCAGCATCAAATAGAAGCTTATCTGATAATAAGCTACTTGAAAATATTGAGTATGAATACTTGCAGTTGCTTTAATCTTCATGATAATAGTAATGGCTTCGGACAAAAAGTTAATTTACTCTGTGAATTCCATTCAACTTTTATTATTATAGGGTTAGGTTTTTAAAACATGTCCTTTTGCACAAGAGGAGAAAATAGCGAGAAATTTTACTCTACGGCCACCTAAGGATCGTGTTTAGCTTTTTAATTGAATTTCAAAAAGCAAATTTTTAATTGATGAATTTCGGTGAAAATTGCAACATAAGAATTTCGCTGCTAGTTATTCTTACTGTCTTTAAGGTCATAGCGACTCTTAATTTCATTAACATAAAATTCCTTATATAAGGTAACTCCATCTTTAATATGGATTTTGTATTGAATTTAAAAAGTCAGATGTTTTCAGTGATAACTAAAGTAAAAGCATTACTTTATTAGTTCTCTATACTGCCTTTATAGGTCTTATCAATTTTTAATTTCATTGACATAAGAGATTTCTTATATAAGGTAATTCCATCGTTATAATGGATTTTTGTATAGAATTTCTAATAAGCAAATTTTTAATAGACAATTTATTGATAAGAATAGCACATAATTATTACTCTTCAGACCTCTTTACTGTCTTTAAAGGTTGTAGCGACTCTTAATTTTATTGAAATAAAATTCCTTATGATGTAATACCATCTTTATATGGCTTTTGTATTGTATTCAAAAATTAATTTTTTAATAGATAATTTTCAATCATAATTGAAAGATAAGTATCTCTCTATTAGCTATATCTATAGCCTTTAAAGGTCATAGCGACTCTGGAATTATACTAGGAAGTTAACTTATCGTCATAATTCATAATAATATTTAATTTTTCAATAGAAAATAGGAAAAATAGGAAAGATACTTATCAGTGTCAGTCTAAAAGATATCTTTAATTTAAAATTAATTTTTTATAATAAGCTTTAAGTTTAAGTTTAAGTTTAAGTTTATGTTTTTGATAACTCTTAAGACTGCACTTCTGGCCTCCGCAAAGACACAACTCTGAATAATTGTAGGTGGGTCGGCCTAAGCGTCGACCTATTTCTGTCCCCAAGCCCATTAGAGCCTCTCTGATCTACAGCAGAGTCAGTTTAGGTTCATTCTCTTAGCCGAGACTTTCAAAAATTCGTGGACTTCTCTCACTGAGCCTACTCCTAACTGACATTTTTAATTGTGATAATAAAGCCATTTTAAAAATTTGCGCGTTTGTATGTAAACTTTGTTCACATTTGTCAACATTTTTTGACATATTATTTTTTATCCCTTCATGGCATAGAGACCCAGTTTGCAACTGTATGGGCTATAATTATATGTTTCTAAATGGCTTCACAGGACGAGAAGGAGCAACCAGACTGCGAAACCAACATGAGTTAAAGAGTAGCGACAAGATGGAGAAAAAAAGAATCGAGCGACTCTTCGCAACTAGATGAAGCCCAACAAAAAGTTAGTTAAAAAATTAGTTAATTGATTGATTGCTTTATTCTTCAGGGCTTTATCAAGAAGCTGATGAAATTATTAAAAAATTACCATCAGTAAAGCCATAGCATTAACATTAACCTTATTATTAAGAGGCCCATCGTAATAGTTAGGGTTTCCCCCGCTCTACCTTCACCCTTCTCGCTTCACCCGGTTGCTCACCACCAATCGATAGCGACCTTCAAGGCTTGCTCCTACTGGGCGAGCATGTTCACTCGCTACCCGTAGTTGGATGAGTTACACCACCTAGCAGTACGTCAAAAAGAGGTTTCCCATTCCGAAAATTTGAAAAACAAACTTTCTGGTAGGACTGTCGGCCAAAATGGAAATCCAAAGCCTGGGACGTTACTCCCAGTTTCAAGCTAGGGAGTTGCCCGATTGATCAGGAGGTACCTTCCTGATGCTGCTGAGCTTCCCCTTTCCAACCTAGGAAACCATTTCCCCTGAGGCAAAAACCCTGGTGTCAGAATGAGCTTCGGTCGGCCTAGTCCGACGTTGCGCTCTACTGTGCCAAGGAAAAATTTAGCCGGATACACATCCCGAGCGCCTTTCTCCCTTCCACAAGGTTCCCCACAAACGCAGGCTACAGGTGTTGAGAAAAAGGGCTGGATCACTGTCGCTATTTTAATGTATATACTGCCAGTAAAGCATTGTATGAATTTGTTAGTTTTACTTGATAGAGTTACAAAAAATGCCACAGGAAATTCAAGAGCTCCATGGCAAGTGGCAAATGTTGTTCCCGTCACTCAAAAAAGAAAAACAATTGAGCAGTCAATTCCAAAGACAAAAGAAACTAACTTCCCTCCCCATTTAATTGAAATAAAAAACTCCTTTCTAATATAAATTTTTTTGGAAAAAAAAATTATTATGTAATTTTCATAATAAAATAATAAATATTTTTATAAATAAAAAAATAAATAATTTTAAATAAAAAATCTCAATTGAATCAATATTTTAATTGATTTTTTTGAAAAATTTTCATTAAAAATTTTAAATTTTTAGAGTGTCAACTGTTTATATAGCATTCTATTTGAAATCTCTCATTAAATAAGGTCAAATCTGATTATATAAAAATTATAATTTCCATCTATAAAATTTTCCATTGAAAAATTAAATTAAAACGATATTTATTTACCCAAAAATATCAATTTTACGATATGCTGTTCCAATTTAAAGGGAGAAAGGGGAGTAAGCATGATCCATTCCCTGTTCCTGTTTCTAGGACTTCTCCTCCATATAGCGAAGCTCCTATTAGGAAAGGGTCAATTCCAGATCCTCCCCATCCAAAAGTTGTTAATGCTCCTATTCACCCTCCTCCACCTCAGCCAGTCAAAAATCAAGCGTTTCAGGGTAGTATGGTTCCTCCACCTCCAATTGAGCCTAAAACTTCACCTTTTGGAAAAACTCATGCATCTCCATTCCCAGTAACTAGAGAAGAAGTCCCTCCACCTCCAGTTGGCATAATGACTTCTCCATTTGGAAATCAAGGAAATGTGCATAGTGATACTCACTCAGGAGAAACCATTGCCCCACCTCCTCCTCCACCTGTTATAAAACAAACAATTCCTCCACCGCCTATAGCCAGGCCAAATCCTCCGCCACCTCCAGTTATTAATACACCAGTAAAAGAGCCTGAAGTAATCCCTAGACCTCCAGTATTCCAGCCTGTTCTTACTCAACAAGAAGTTCCTGTCAAAACTCCAAATTTCCAACAAATGGGACAGCAATATGAAGCTGCAAAAGAGCCTCCACCTATTGTAAAAGCTCAAGCCCCAATACCACACGCTGTTAGTGTACCTAGGCCTCCAGTAAGAACTCCAGGAGCTTTTAAGCCACCAGAGAGAAAAGTTGAAACAAAACAAGCAGAAGGAATCGATTTAAGCGGAATTCCTAATAATTTAATGCCAATTGCAAGATTTTGGGCAGATGCAATTCAGCAGCCTTCAATTACCCAAACTAGTAGGTTATACAAAGATGTGGAAAGCCGCATGCAAGATTTCTTTAATAAGTTGAAGAATCAAGAATTTAATGAGTCTATCATGCAGCTTATCCAACAAATGACAACTGCTTTTGAGTCAGGAGATATAAAGACAGCAATGGGAGCACATTTATCACTAACAAATGCGTCGTGGAATGAAAACTCGAACTGGCTTATGGGGGCGAAAAGGATTATGCAAGCTACACAGCCAAAGCAATAATCTATTAAAACTTTCAGAATAGCATTCTTTATTATATAATAGTCATAAAAATACGAAAATTTAAGCATGATGGAAAAGGTTTTTTAAGAGCAAACAAATGAGTAGAAATCCGCCCCGTCTTGAAAAAGTCAATGGCCAATTGCAGGCAGCAAATCTTGATGATCGAAAAATTTTAGATCTTCTAAGAAACAAAGTTAATGAAATGAAAGAAATGCTCAGAGATCGAGATATAAAAATATCAAATCTTCAGTCAAATCTTGCAGAAATTGCTAAGCTATGAAAATTGGGCGCATGATATTTGCTCTGCACTTTTTTACAGTCATAAACATGCTCAGCGACTTTATACCGAAAATTTTAATAATCAAAGTATTTCGATCAATTTTTGGCTGAAAAAAAAATTCATGTTACTATGAAAATTAGAAAGAGATGAACTGAATAAATTAAGGAGTATTGAAGAGCAAGCCATTATGTATAAAAATCATATAGGGTTGGTTGAAACGAAGATGAATGAAGAAATACTGAAACGAGACATGGAAATTCAAAAACTGCAAGAATTAAGGATTCAAGGATTTGATGAAGAAAAAAAAGAAATTGAAATAGCAAACCTCCAAGCAAAAATACAAGAAAATAACGAAATAATTGAAAAAGCTAAAATAAGCAAAAATCAAATAAAGCAGAAAGTGGAAGAAAAAGAGAAAGTTATTAAGAAATTGGAAGGAGATATAATAAATAGAAACTCTTATATTGAAGAACTGGAAAAGAAAATTAAAATAATTGAAAGCGCTTCTGGTCAAGAATCAAATGATTTCAGAAGGCTAAACAAAGAACTTAAAAAATTAGCGCATGAAAATAGTGTGCTTAAGTCTTAACTTAACTTATTAGGTTCTGTGTTTAACGCCATTCACGGAGTAACCCCTCCCAGAGCAGCCCGCTGCTTCTTCGCCGCATAGGGCCCGCCGACCGTCTGGGGCCAGTCAGCCTCGATCTCCAGTACGCGCCTCCGGAGCAGTGTTGCCCGACTAAGGCGGCTCATGCCTGAGCTACTTCGCTTGAGGACATGGGTTGCCATTCCGAAAATCCATAAAAAATGGATTTTCTGGTAGGCTTTCGGCAAAAAGGAAAAACACGAAGCCTGGGACGTAACGCCCAGTTTCACGCTAGGGAGTTGCCCGATTGGTCCTAACGGACTTGGCTGAGCTTCCCCTTTCCAACTTGCGTGCCTCCTTTCCCATGAGGAAAAAACATTCCCGAAAGTAGACTTTGGGCTAGGCTCTGAGCACAACCAGAATTGCTTACCTAGCATTGCCGTCCGTTTCTGAAATTCAAAACCTTGCCGGATATAATTAAAATATGAGTCGAGTATGCATGGCCGGGAGGCCATGCCCAGACGAAGAGCCATATTTTAATTATAGTGTGCTTAAGTCAGAAAAAGAGTAAATATAATATAGGAAGATAGCAGAGGAGAAATTTAGCCTACAAAATGAGCTTCAAAGCGTAAAAGAAATTCAATCCAAAGCAAAACATAGCTTACTATCCCAGCTCTTTTTATTAATTAAAACTTCTAACTTCTAATAAAAACTGTTTGTTTTAATAATAATCTTTTTATTTTAGGTATATAAGGTGAGCCAACAGTAGCAGCGGCTAAAAAAATAATGAAATTATTTTAATTATCCATATCAAAAATTTTAAAAATATATATCGGGTAATTATATTATTTATAAAATATTAATTGAATTTTTGAATTAGATTTTTTCTTTATTAAATCAATCTAAGTTAGAAAACAATGAATATATGATTGAAAATGAGCAATTAAAGTCTAAAATAAAAGAGCTCCAAGACAAAATAGAAGAGCACATCTTTGAAAAAGAAAAATCAGAGTGTATCAGCAAAGAGATACTAACTCCCCCCCCCCCCCCCCCCTCCGTGAGCGAACAAAACCATTAGAAAAATCGCCATTTTTTGACCAAAAACCCACCCTCCGTGAGTGAACAAAAATATTTTTAATAGAAAAAATTTTAATAGAAAAAAATTTTGCTATATAAGTGATAATTAGTATAATGAAATCTAGAGCTAATTCTGTTTAATTTTAAACAAATTGCGTTTTAAAACATAAATTTTGCAAATTAAAATTAGTATTTGCTTCCCAAATTTTTGCAAATTAGGATTTTTTTTAAATTTCGAAAAAAATATTGTTTATAAAATTTATATATAAATTTTTTTAAAAAAAAAAAATTAACCCCCCTCCGTGAGTGAACAAAATTTTTTTGTTCGCTCACGGAGGGGGGGGGGGAGTAAAGAAAACTGAAGCTCAGGATACCCAAATTTCAGATTTAGAGTCAGAGAATAGTAAAATTACCGAAGAAAATATAAACCTCAACAAATATTTAGATCAAGCAAAATCAAAATCTTTAGCTTTAGAGTCAGAAAACTTAAGGCTTTGCAGTGAGATCTCTCAATTAACTGAAATTTCTAGCAAATATACCAATGGCTGAAACTCTGAATTAAATAAAATAAAAGACGATTATAATGCAATCATAAATGACTTAGAAGAAAAAGTGAAGTTTTACGAAAAAGTAAATAAAGACCTTCAAGGTAACTAATAAATAGAATCATGCCAACAATATCAGGGCGAAGCACAAAGATTCTGCTCAAAGCTAAAAAATACTGAAGAAGCTCTTGAGCAAAGCGTGAGGATAAAAGACTCAATGAAAAAATTCAATAATGCAATTGACATGATAGAGCGATCAATTCTGTGCATGAGCTGTTTGGAGCCTCTTTCAGAAGCCAAAATTATAATCCCATGTGGTCATTTTTTGTGTAGATTTTGCAAAAAATCACAATGTGTTGAATGCTTGACTACGGTTGAAGCTACTATTCCAACCAATTTTTTCATTCAACTTTGTGAAAGAGTTAACTATTCAAAAACCCTCATTTATGAATTATCTGGCATAACTCGCTAATTTCTTTAATTTATATCATTATTCTATCCATTAATTCAAGTATTTTTAACATATATCTTCAAATATATTTTAATAGTTTAATTACTGAATAACTTCTAAATTAAAGAGTCAAGCTTTTCCTAACCACTTCTGCAGTTTCCGATGAAGTCCTTTCCATCATTTTTACGAAATCATCATAGCTGATTTCTTCATCTCCATCAGCATCCACTTCTTGTACGATTTCTTGCCAAATCTCTGGGTTTGGAATTAAGTGCTCTTGATCCATGACTTCTCTGAGCTCATGTGCAGTTATTTTCCCACTCCCATTGATATCAAATCTCTTAAAAGCATTCCATAATTTTTCTTGGCTTAAATATACCCTTTTGTCCATCATGGCCGCTAAGAACTCAGTTAAATCTATAGTTCCTGACCCATCAGTATCAATAGAAATAATTAATTCTTCAAGCTCAGGTATGCTTACATCAGATGAGAGAATCGAGTTTTGCAGTTCTAATAATGTTAATTTTCCATCATGGTTTGTATCTAGTTGCCTGAATACATCAATCATCCCTTCTAGTTCTCTTGGTGAGCATTGAGTAGCAATATAATTAAGAACAGTTTTTTTGAACTTATTTGAGTTGCGGTAGCTTCTTAACTGATGGATGTCAAGTGACAGAGGCTGATAAGGGCACTCTTCATTTTGTAGTAGCCAAGTGTGTCCTAATGCTTCTTGAGCAGTTATTCTTGTCTCTATATTTCTATCAAGTAGCTTTGTTATCAAATCTTTTGCTGCTGGAGAAACATCGTCCCATACAGCTCCGTCAAATTCCAATTGATTATGTCTCACGCTATGAAGCACTTCACTATCACTTTCTCCATCAAATGGAGGATACCCAGAAAGCATCATATATAAAATGACTCCTAAGCTCCATTCGTCACATTTTTCATTATAATGCCCAGATAATGTTTCAGGAGACACATAGTAGCATGTTCCAGTTTTTGTTGTGAGATCCTTGTTTTTTCCAGTCATTTTTGATAGCCCAAAGTCTATAAGTTTTAACTTTGAATCTGGGTCTTTCGTTTCATACAAGAAGTTTTCTGGTTTAAGATCTCTGTGAACTATGTCTCTGCTATGCAAATAAGCTACAGCTGAAAGCATAAACAGAAATGTAAACGAAGCCTTTTTTTCTGAAAAGTGGCCTTCATTAATGATTCGGTCAAAGAGCTCGCCTCCTTCACATAGTTCCATTGGGAGATAAATAAACCTGGAATCTTCAAATGTTTCAAATAGTTTGACTATATTTGGATGATCCACCGTCTTCATTATCTCAATTTCACGTGTAAGCAATTCTGGTCTTTTAATTTTCTTTTTAGGAATAATTTTTACAGCAACTTTAGAGCTGTCTGTTATTCTTGTAGCAATCTTCACAAACCCATACGACCCTTCTCCAAGTGTTGTGCTTGTGAATTTATAATGATCCCTGATTTCATCTGATTGTGAGCTAATCAATCACTCCCTTTTCACTGGAAAACTCATTTTTGTCTCTGAATTATAACACAAATGATTTGTTAGTAGTTATCTATAGAATCTGACAAAACAGCAAAACTAAAAATAGTTGAAAATATAATTAAATATGGGACTCAATTATTCAAAAGAATTACAATTAACTGATGAAATCAAAGCGAAGGATTTTCATGGCCAATTTTATAGATGCACGATGAAACAAGGCCAGACAAGTCCTTACTGATTTTGGCAGCCAATTAAATTAAAATTAAGCCAAGGGATTTTACAATGCTACAACAATGAAAAAATTGATTCATCAATTAATATGAGCCAGCATACTTTTGTATCAGTTCAGGATCCTCAGCTAAGAGAATTTATTATTATAATTATTAGGGATAGTGCTATCACATTTTGGAGAATAAGAGCTCAGAAGCTGTGCGACATGGCAGAGTGAGTTTATGCGTTAAGAGTTTCGAAAAGGCCCAACGTAAAAATATTAGAAAAGTGCCAAATTTGTTCTCAGAAGATACAAAATGATAGAAGATCGAGCTATTGCAGATTTTGTGGAAATATTTTGTGTAAAAAATGCACTCACTATAAAGCCAATCTTGAAATAATGGGCTATAAATCCAAACAAATTATTTGTAAAAATTGCATAACTGAAGTCAGATCTGTAAAAAAGCTTGAAGCTTTTGCGAGACTTAAAATTAAAGAACAAAATGAAACAAAGCTGGAAAGGAGCATGTCATTCCAAGGAGACATGAATCATGCTGGAAACCGTCCCGACCGCTCATATAGTGTTGATTTCACGTAATTTTGTGCATGTTAATGTTAATGCTGAGTATTTAAAGTCTCTACTTCCAGTGGCGTGTTGACAAAAGCGAATTGGGTGGACTTCCACCTCTGGTAACTCTGAGCCCAGGCCGAAGCCCCTGGTTTCTCGTAGTGGGTTGCCCTTTTTGTGTCCGCAGACATCTGCCGGGCACCACCATTTCCAACTCAGTCCCTTCGCCCTTCGAGGCCAACTGTACCTACCCTGGCCTGTGTCGTCCATTTATTGGACCCTTTAACCGGAGGGACCGCCTTGATTCCACGTCTAGCCTGCCTCCCCTTTTACCAGGTCATCCCTGAATAAAAACTCAACCACTTCCGTGATTCGGGGCAAAGCCATCGAGAGCAGCCTGAGCAGGGAAATCACCCTGCTCCATTTCGGGCACCCACTGGCTAGGGCGCTGCTGGGAAAAGATTTCACGATTAACTGCCCAAGGATCAGGCCACAAATCAGCGGGTCTGTGCTTAAGCCCATCGCTTCTGGGCTCCTGATGTTGCTGGGCTATATCATTCCTCCTGAAAACCATGCCCGGATATATATGAGTTACCGTCACACGAGAGGACGGGTCGGACGTCATTCGCCATTTTATGTATATGTAATTTTGTGCATAATGCACCTATAAAAAATATCAAATAAGTTTAACAACTATTTTTTAATAAATTAAACTTTAATGCTTTGCACAGTACTCTCTAACTCCTCTATTCTGAGAGCAAGCTAGATATATTGAAGAATCTTAGCTGTTGATGAAATAAATTATTTAGAAAAAGTACAAATTTTTTATAATATAACATTTTTAGTTTATACTATTTTTAATATAATTAATAAATTTAAAAAATTTAAGCTCAAAAATTTTAATTATTGTTTCCTTAAGTAGGTAATTTTGAATATCTAAAATTTAAATTAAAATTAAGCCCCCCAATAAGTACTAAATCCTGACTTATCTTTGAGGGAGAGTAAGATTTGCTTGATCTACTGCAATTGGCTGAAATTATATTTAATTAATCAAAATTAAGAATTTATAGTAAAAATGTTTAATAGAGGAACTATAACAGATGCAATGATCTCATTGAGCACCGGCCAGCTGTTTATATACGGAGAGAATAGGAATGTAAACATAGAAGATGCAGTCAATATTTATGTGCAAATTCTCCAGCAAGACCAAAGACGAGAAGCAAATCATGGGATCACGTCAGAACAATTAAATTCTCTCGCAGAATTGAAATGGCCAGGGTTTCTGTACCAACTTGAAAAATCAACTCCAGGTTCCTTGCAATTCCGAAGGACTAAGAAAGAGTGTGCAATTTGTTTACATGAACTAGAGCAAGATGAAATTGTTAGGGAGCTGCCTTGCAAGCACCTCTTTCATAAGACTTGTATTGATAAATGACTCAAGAGTAAGTGCTTGTGCCCTTTAGATAAGAAGCCAGTGGTAAGATAATCAATACAATAAAAATTTTAGATGAAATAGTTTTTAATGGAGAAATCTTATGACCATTATTAGTTATTAATTAATAGAAAATAAACGATAAAATCAGAATTAAATGGAAGTTTAATGGCTAAAACCTTTTTGGGAATCGGAAATTGGGAAAAATTAGGCCTGATAGAATGCAGTTCGAAATAGATAGAAAAGAGCATAATAGATATGCTTGGGATAACGTAAAAATATAGAAAATTAAAAAATATAAATAAGAAGATGGCGCATTTTAACAACAAATTTCCATTTTTATATCATAATTAATTTAAATGAAAATTAAATTGCTATCATTTTATCTTTTTAGGAAATAAATAGTTTAATTTTTCTGATAAACTATAATATAAATAATAATTTTAGCTTCTTTTTATAATCAATCAAAATTTCTCTGCTTTTAATGGGTGAATAATTTTTGTGTTTTAAAAAGTTTATATTATGATATTTTAGTGATTTTAAAAATAAACACAAAATTCATATAGTTGAAAAGGAAAATTTAATTTAATTTGTAAGATGCCTAGAATTTTATAGAGCTCAAGATCTCGCTATAATAATTATTAATTATCTATATAAAGCATTCTATATTAAAATATTATTTTTCTCGCTCATCAAGGAGTGATTAATTTTCCAAAAATAACCATTTTCCATTGAATAATAAAAAAGAATTTGAATCAGCTTGTTGTAATAAAAATATTTCTGAGTAAGACTGTAATTCATTGCTCTCTGCTAAAAACACTTATATTAATTTTATTTATTAAAGCTTAGTTAAAATAAATGAAAGGAGTGATTATCTTTACAACTAACATAATGAGAAGCACTGGATTCTATACAGATGCCCTTGGGCTGAAATGTCAGCATCTTTCTGAAGTATTTGCAGAATTTCATGATGAAAAAGGAAATATGATCATGCTTAGACACACAGATTCAATAGCCTACTGCAACTCAGGATTTAATCCAGTACTTCTATTTGAAAAAAGAAATTTTGACGAAACACTTGCCAATGCAATCAAATACGGGGCAATAAAGGATGGCGAGCCTGTAAATTCTGAAAGCGGAAAAGTTGTATATTTAAAATCACCTGATGGGTACTCTTTTGCATTAAAAGAGTTCCAGGAAGAAATCCAAGAAGAAAAACCTCAAAAAACTGATACAAGTCCAGTCACGGAAGAACTTCAAAAGCTATTCCAAAAATTAAAAATTTAAAACTTTTTTTCACATATCTCATCTTACCAAAATCCTCTATTCAAAATCTCAAACCATGACTTATAAATTTTTTAAAATCTTTCTATAACTTTTTTTAACAATCATAATAAATGGACCCAGAGTTAGACAACATCATAAGTATTTTAAATCCAAAAACAACCCCAGTCTCATCCACTCAAGCTCGATTTCGAATTCGAAACTCCAAACCTTCCCCAAACAATATTCGAAGCCGTCAGTCTCATTCATTACCTCCACAAAAATCCCAGGTGCAAGTAAAAACTGAAAAATCAATTGATGTGAAACTTGATGAAGAGGAAGAAGAGCTCCCTGACTCCGTCATCCAAAATATCAATGAATTTTATAAAGTTGAAGACGAAGAATTCAAAAAAACAGTCACAACTGGGAAAACTGGAGCTCCTATATTATGAATGAGGCATTTTACTAAAAGAGAGGAAAATGATATCAAAAATGAAACAGGTGTGGCTACTTGAATTAAAGGGAAAAGATTTTTGGTGTTTAGGCCTTATATTGATCCTATGAATATCCAGCCAAAATTGAACCTCGAAACGAATTATTTTTTCAGAATGATGCATTCAGATGTCAAACTTATTAGGTATACGTTGGAAGATAATGGATTTATAGAAGCTCCACCGAATAAAAATAATTGAACTATTATGTGGCATGGAGGGCCGATTAAAATGAATGTTTATCAAGCACTATCGAAATATCAAAAAGTAAATCACTTCCCAAGAAGTTATGAAATCACGAGAAAAGACTTGATGTATAAAAATTTAGCAAAAATGCAAGTTCTTTATGGGACAAAAGCTTATGATTTTGTACCCAAAACGTTTATTGTACCTCAAGATGCAGGACAGCTTGAATTTGAAATGGCAAATGAAGATACAGTCTGGATTGTAAAGCCAAGCGCCAGCAGTCAAGGAAAAGGAATATTTTTAGCTACAAAATTCAGTGAAATCCCAAAATCAGGACATGTGATATCACAATATATTGATAACCCTTTATTAATTCAAGGGTTGAAATTTGACTTGAGGGTTTATATTGCTATCACATGCTTCAATCCTTTAAGAATTTATATATACAAAGATGGCTTGGTTCGGTTTGCTACACAAAAATATCAAGGGACTGGCAAAGGAAGCAGGTTTATGTATTTGACAAACTACTCAGTCAACAAATTTTCTACGAATTTTGTAGAAAATACTAATGCTTTAGAAGATGGAAAAGGCAGCAAATGAAGCCACACAGCCTTGAGAAAGCTTTTCAAACAAGAAGGCATTGATGATACCAAAATCTGGGAAAAAATAAAAGATATTGCAATCAAAACAATTCTTTCAATAGAAGGAATTGTATTTTCAGCCTGCGAAATGCATCTCCCATACAGAAATAATTGTATAGAGCTCCTAGGATTTGACATATTAATTGATGATAATTTAAATCCTTGGCTTTTAGAAGTAAATTTATCACCTTCACTTAACTGTGATGCACCTATAGATCAAAAAATCAAAGGCGAATTAATTGCTGATTTATTTACTTTAGCTGGAGTAGTACCAACAGATCAAAGAAATGGTGGGGACAAAGCAAACGAAAATAAAGCTTTAAACTATGCTGCTTATATGGAACAATTTATGACATTGTCAAATAAGAAAAAGAATAAAAAAGCAGGCTGGAATTTTGATAATAAGCCATACTCAAGTGAAAGCTTAAAAGATATTGATAGCCGAGAAGAAAAAGGGATTATAAAGGAAACAAATTATGAGTATAAAAGAAGAGGGGGTTTCGAGAGAATTTTCCCTTCAGAAATATCGATAAATTATAAAAATTTCTTTGAAAGAGAAAGGCCATATAATGCATTGCTTTGCAATAAATTTGGAAAAATACATAGAAAAGGGCAAGGGGGCTCAGCAGTTATATATAGGAAGCCACCTAGAAATCCAAGTAAGACTCAAATTGAATAATTATGTTAATTTTATTTTGTTAAGCTTGTCATTGCTTTTAAATATGTATAATTAGAACCTTAAACGAATCGATTATAAACAAATAATTCTATTTTTTACGGAAAGCATTTATTCCACAAAAGAGCTAATCTTAAAAATGATCAATCTCTTTCTATTTTAATGTCCCATAAACAAAGTTTCAAAAAAAATAGCTATATTTGAAAAATAAAAGCTATAAATGTTGGCTCTAAGCTAAAGAGATACTTCAATCACGCAGAACCAGTAAATGGGATTTCATGCCATAAGGTTTAAACAATATGCCTTAAGGTTAAAAATACTCTCTTGGCGCAGTGGCCTTTTTGATTTGCTAATAAAATTATGTATACATTTTAAATAACTTATTCAAATTGATGCTTAAGAATCTGCTTGAAATTTAAAGGAAGTCCTATGCTTTAGGTATGCTATAGATCATTAGGCAAAAAAACTTCTTTGTGCAGTGACTCTTTTGAAAAAGAATAAAACAAAACTATCAAGCTAAGTGAATTCAGTAGTTTAAATCCATAATTGTAGAAACAAATTTTTTGAAAAAAAAAAGTCAATTATAAATTTAGTAACAAAACATTTATGAATCAACATTTATAAAATCATATTTAAAATTATTAATTTTCTGCTTCTTCTTCAATGGTTTTCAGTTTCTTTTCCTTTCTCCTCTGGTCAAACCATACCTCCTTCATAGCAGCTATATCTCTATTTAGTCTCTCTATTTCAAATCTATGTCTATTAACTTGTGCATGGGCATTATTGAGCTCATTGATCATATTTTTCATCTGCTTTGTCTTTTCCTTCAGATTTTCTTGATAAACTCCAAGCTGCTCTGCAACTGCAGGCTTTGGCTGTCGAGCTAAAATATTTTTCAGTTCTATATAAAGTTTTTCTTTTTCTTGTATCAAGAAGTCTTTTTCCGCGACTTCTTCAGTTTTTGCAATTAGCCTCCTCTGAAGAGTTTGAATTTTCGTTATCATCTCATATGTTTCAGGGTTAGTTCCTTCAAGCTTACGATATCTATGAACATTCATAGGATTTTGGAGCTCTTCAGAAAGGGCTTTAATTTTTGTCCTAACAATCATTAAGTCTTTTTGAAGACGATATACTTCTTTTTTCAGTTCTGAGGTGCTTGAGACCTGGTTTTTCGCAATTAAATATTCACGCTTAAGCCCTGCAATTTGATTTTTAAGTAAAGTTGCTTCAATCACTCTTTCTTGATATTGAACCTCACCTTTAGCTAGTGTTGACTGCTGAATTTTGATTTTTTCATATAAGCTTGCTAACTCTTCATTTCTCTTGATAAGCTGGGTACCTAAAATGTCTCTATCATTAATAACCATTTCATACTCCTTTTTTTGCTTCATTTTTTCTTGCTCAGCTTCAGCAATATAATATTTAAGTTTTGAGATTTGGTTTTCATAATTTCTTATGTACCCTTCTTTTTCCTTTTTCTTTTCTTCAAGCCTTTTCTGCTTTTGCTCATTTGTTTTGTTTTCCTCTTCTAGGTTACTGTGGCTTTGACGCTGCTCTCTAATGAGATTATTTTTTGAAGAAATTTCTTCTCTCAGTTTTGTTATTTGGTGCTGCAAAATTTTATATTTTCTTCTGAGCTCATCAATTTCTTCATTGGACTCCAAAAGAGTTTTTGAATAAATATTTCTATCACTTCTTACAGCTTCATATAAATTTTGTTGCTGTTTTAGCTTAGCTTCAGCATCAAGATTATCCCTTTGGAGCTGCGATATCATGGAATTCTTATATTTTACTTGCTCTAAGGTCTGAATGTACTTTGAATAAGCATTTGAAGCTTCTAAAGAGTATTTATCTTCATCTCTTTTAAGCTGGTAAATCAAAGCTTTGAGTTTTGCAATTTCTTTTTTGCTTGCTTTTACTTCGTTGCTGATTTTCCTGAACTCATTATTTTTCATAATAATTTCATCAGACTGAAGCCTTGCAAGACCTTCCATGTCAATGCAGTCTTTATTCATTTTGTTGATTTCTCTCATCATTGCTTCAATAGCTTTTTTATCCACGTCATTTTCTCTTCTAAGTTCTGTATTCCTATTTGTTAGATCTTGGAGTTTATTTTTTGCGAAATCTTTTTGATATTCCACTTCAGTTTTTTCTTGGGTAACTGTTTTTATCTTCTTCTGCATCACGATTATTTCTTTGTGTGCTCTTTGGTTGTCAGCCTGCTTTCTATTTAATTCTTCTTGGATTCTTTTTATTTCAGTCTCTTTTGCTTGAGCCTCGCCTATCAAATTTTGGTTGGTTTCTTCTGTATTCCTAAGTCCTTCTGTTAGCTTGTCATTATAGTTTTCTGCTGTTTTTATTTTATCTTGTATTTTTTGTTTTTCATCTTTCAAATCCTGTATATTCGCCCTTAAATTATCAATTTCTCTATTAATCTGCACCTTTTGTTCCTCCTTGTTTTTCACTTCATCTTGGATTTGCTCATAAGTTTTTTTTGTCCCTTCAAGGTTTTTTTCCATGTCTCTTTTCCTTTTTTCTTCAGTTTCCGCATCTGTGTTTGCTTTATCAATACCTTCTTTTACCTCATTAATGTCATTCAAAAAGTTCCTTTTACAATCTTCAAGATCTGTCTTCTTCTTTAAGCATTCTGCATTTAAATTTCTTAAATCTTTCAAAGTTTGGATTCTCAAGCTGTTTACTTCTAAGGCTTCATCTTTTTGTTTTTTTAAATCTTCAAGCAAAGCTTGCTGCTCAACTGGGGCTGTTTCATCAGCGTCAATTCTGCGAGTTAATTCAGCAAGTTCAAATCGTAAATCAGAGAGGCGAGACTTGAGCGTTTCTTCTCTTTCTCGCGTTTGGTCTACAAGTTTCCATGTTCTTTCAACGTCTTGTTTGACTTGATCCATTGCGTTGTTGTCTTCTTGACTTAGCTTGAGGGCAATTTGAACTTTAACAGCATGGGCTGAAATTTCGCTGTTAAGCTCTTTGCATCTTTTTATGAGTTTTTTCTCTGTTTCATGAGAAGTTTTTAGAGCCTTGTGGAGTTTCTCGTATTCTAATCGAAACCGTTCCAAAGTTTTGTCTCCTGCGATGTCTTGCAAGACAGTTTGGAAGTCGTTTTCAAGGCTATCGAACTCTCCTTGCGTAATCCCAAGTTGCTCTATTTCTTTTTCAGCAATTCGCATGCGCCTATCTGCGCTTTCTAAATCGTCTTGTGCTTCGTGAGGTTCCATGAATAATTATAATGATTAGCCATAAAATCAAATAATTCTTAAAAAAGAAATCATTCATATAGATATATTTATTTAAATATTAATTTATTCAATTTATAATTATTTGGATTTTGGTTTTAAATGGTTACTTTGTGCTGGCTTCGGCTGAAATTGGTCAATCAAAAGTCTGGTTAGCTTAAAGCAATGGATTTTAGGCAGTGCAAAAGCTGCTAGTCTTTTAACGCCTGCAATGTCTCTTAGTTTTTCTATACCTAGCTCATAGCTGGCTGAAATTGCTTTTACTCCTTTATTCTTGCACAAAATTAGCAATGGCTCAAGAATAGACTCATTTGCATCACTCCTCATCATTATCACACAGTCAACCTTATCAATATTTTCCACAATTTTATTGATCCCTAAAATCAATTGGTTTTTACTATAATTTATCATATTCGCATTTTCAATCTTTTGCCTTTTCACCTCCACTCTTATTTCTGGCATTGCGTTTTCTTGGAATTCTTTTCAAAGTGCGTTCATCAGCTGCATAGTTTGCTCTCCACCTATCTCAGGCCATGTTATCTGCCACGGATTGGTAAAAATTGCTTTAAGTTTATATGACTTTGACCTATCCATTGTAATAATCCATATTTATGGTTAAGAAAGAGGCTAAGAAGGTCCCTGAAGCACTTCAGAAGCTCAGAAGCAGAATTGCTGCTAATGAAGCTGCAAAATCTGAAGCCAAGGCTCAAGCTGAGCAATATCGTGCAGCAGCAACTCAAGAAGCTCTTGAAAGATCTGAAAAGCACCTTAAAGATTATGTTGCATCTCAGGTCCTTAACCAAGATAACCAACAAACAGCCAGCGAAAGCAGAGATTTCTGGGTCGAACCTGAGCCAAAAGTGATTCTTGCAATCAGAATCAAAGGTATCAACAGATGCCCTCCTAAGGTCAGATCAATTCTTAAGCTGTTTAGACTTATTCAACTCCACAGTGCAGTTTTGATTAAGAACAACAAAGCCACCAAAAACATGCTCAAGCTTGTGGAACCTTGGATTACCTATGGCTACCCATCAAGGGAAACCATCCAGAAGCTTGTTTATAAGAGAGGATACTTGAAGATCAATAAAAGCAGAATCCCTCTCTATGACAATGCTCAGATTGAAAAAGAATTAGGAAAATTCAAAATTGTTTGTGCTGAAGATGTCGTGACTGAGTTAGCTACCTGTGGACCACACTTCAAAGAAGTCAATAGCCTCTTATGGAGATACAAACTTTCATCACCAAAAGGAGGATTCAGCCACAAGAGGACTTCTTATATTCAAGGAGGAGATTGGGGAAACAGAGAAAAGAAGATTAACAATTTGGTTTTAAGAATGCTCTAACCTAACAATCTTTTTTAAATTTTAGAAAAATTAAAGATGATCTTTGAAATATAAACACAGTTATTTAAAGCATTAGTGATGGGCTATACTAAATAATAATTTTGCGAATTAGCATAAGTTAGCATTAGATATTATAAAAATAGAATATTGTTTAGTTATTAGTATATGCGATGCTCGAGAACACTGAATTCTAAAGAGGCCTTCGGTTATAAGCAAATAATTTGGAAATTAATGGTACTATTTTTACGATATTGTTATAAAATTCATAGTCAATGATCTTTTTATTATATTACAGTGATCCTCTTAAAAAAATAAAAATAATTCAATTTAATAATTTCGATGGCAATATCTAAAATTTGTATTTGAAGAGGTATCCTTTTTCAGTATAAAAGGACCGATTAAAATATTTGCTAAGCATTTATTATTTTTGCTTTGTTAAAATGCCATTAAATTTTTTTCTGCATTAGTTCAAGCATAATTTTTCCATAGTATTGTTAAACTAATTATTTAAAATATAAATATGCAACAATAAATTTTATTAATTGATATAGGAAGTCAGTAGTTAAAAAATACTTGCCATTAGTTTCAAGTTTTAGCTTCTAAATAAAGCGTCATAAGTGTCTATTAAAAGATGGAAAATTCTATTCAAATAAAATCTCCTGCTTTCATATCCCGCGTCCATTTATTTCAAAGATGGAAAATGATGGCCAATTGTAAATGCTGCATTAAGGAATGGAACTGATTAATGGAGAATTGTGATAGCGATTATAACGCTACTGAAATTGTAGGACTATAGCTCAAGCTCAATCAAAATTGTGCCCTATATAATTTTAGTATTAAAAGCCCCCAACAAAGTTTCGACCTTCTCCAAGAATTGTGATCTCCCAACAATCAATACTAGAAATGCTTTTCCATGCTTATTAATTCCCATCACAAGCAGCGATACATTTTCCTCAGCTCCTTTGATTATAGCAGTGAAAAAGATACCCTAGCTGATAAAAAGGGATAATTCTCTCAAAGAAGCAGTAAAAAAGTTAAAAATTCAATTCAGAAGTCATCTCAATTGCCAAAATAAAAGAAAAAACTGTGCTGGCCAAGAGTTGATTATAATTTAAACGCTACCCTAAAGTGCATGCACATATAGCAATATCCTTGAACTGAGGCCAATAAAAAAGGGGCTATATAAATTCTAAGAGTAATTATAGCTTGTCAGTGAGATGGGATGCACTATGTTTCGCTTCCTTTTATTAAGTATAGCTTAAAACAGCAATTTTTTTGCTTCAATTTCATGCAAATTTTAATTAAATAATCTAAATTTATTATAATCTATAGTAAAGAAAGTTTATAAGCTCAAAAAAAGCACAACACAAAGATTTAATTGTGGCATTTACTTATTTATATTTAGATAGTAAATTTTATTATTTTAATATAAAAATTTTTTACTATTTTTTCATATAAATTATTATTAAAGGACAAAACAAATTTTATATACATTTCCAATATCATTGAATAATTTTTATATTAAAATTAATCGGTTTGTTTTGCATATTTTGATAAATATTTTAAAGAAGCATCTAAATTGAAAGCAAAATTTCTCATTCTTGTTGTTAATATCTTATTAATTGATGGAGCTTCATAGATTTTCCCAGCCACAACATAATAGAGAGCTAGAGTAGTAACTCTTCTGTCATTGTGTCTATACTGCTTTTTAATATGGTAAATTCCTAATTCAGGGATCGAGTGGTCTAATATATATTCTAGACCGACTAAGTTCTTTAATCTTGCTAAGTCTTCTATGCATTTTTCATTATTTGCTGCTTTATCATAAAAGATAGAAAGATAAAAGTAGTTCATAATGGTTTTGTTATCTAAAATATGTTCTTTAAGCCACTTTTCATCATACCAATTCACAGTTGTTTGCTCTTCATGCCTAATCCCTCTGAGTCTAAGTGTTTCTTCTATTGATTCCATTTTATTATTCCAAATTCATAATTTGCATTATATCATATAAAATTTATCAAATGGTATTATAGCCTTAGTTCATTAAGTAATAATTAATTAAAAACTTAATAAATCATGTCAATTGATCTTTAACTAATAATTACAAAAATCTAGTTAAGTGTAATCATAGTAAGCACTTGCTAGGGATAACAAAATAAGAAAATTTAATTACATATCGCTTAAATATCTTATCTTGAAAATATTTAATTGAAGGATAATCAATAAAATGGTTTATTGGCATACTCTTTATAAGAAGCATCACTCTTGGATGATTAGGAAGACCAGAGGGTACAACTTCTTCCTCCTCTTTTTGTGCTTTTACAGCGTCTATTGGTACAATCGTAGCAGCGCGCAACGTACCTTGGCATTCTTGGACAGAGTCCGACCAGATGAGAAAAAAGCAAGAGAAGATATTAAAATGTGGGGATATAGACGCCACTATCAACCCCTTATAGCTAGATCAAGAAAGAATGCTCTTATTGCTAAAGGGGACTATCAAATGCGCATTCCATACGAAGATCAGATCAAAGCTGACGAAGTCCTCAAACAGCAAGGCTATAAACTCTAAAGTTAAGTCTTTTAACTTGAAGCAATCCAATTTAATTTGATGAGATTGCATTGTATGAATGAATATCAAGAAATCTTTATCAATAAAATCCTAGTCGTGAATAGTTTTAGTTTTAAATTATAGATTTCAGGATCATAGCTCATCCATAGATAGATGACTTATGGCTAATTTGTATAACGGTCAAAAAGGCATGACTCAAGACACTTGAGATATTGTCTAACTCCCCCCCCCTCCGTGAGTGAACACAAAACCATTAGAAAATCCCTATTTTTTGCCCAAAAACCCAATCCCTCCGTGAGTGAACAACACATTTTTTTATATAGAAATTTTTTTATGGAAAAAAAAATTGATATATAAATGATAATTAATATATGAAATTTAGAGCTAATTCTGTTTAATTTTAAACGAATTGCTATTTAAAACATAAATTTTATAAATTAAATTAGTATTTGCGTTCCAATTTTTGTGAATTAGGATTTTTTTAAATTTCGAAAAAATTATTTTTAAAAAATTTAAATATAAATTTTTTTAAAAAAACAAATTAACCCCCATCCGTGAATAACAAAATTTTTTTGTTCACTCACGGAGGGGGGGGGGAGTAAGCAAAACCAAAAACTGGCATTTGCTATTTTTCATAAAGAAATTAGTAAAGGCAAATATAGTTTAAGCTGATAGACGATGATGCATAAAATTGCAAGACATTTTGAAGCATGGAGATAGTACTTAATTTCTTGTAGGATTAGATATTCAATTTAAATTATAAAATTTAATGCAATAATCTAAATATGTCATCAGGGTTTAGAGTTAAGCACAAATTAGATCATCTTGATGAAGGTGAAGAAATGGAGCTGGTGCTTGCTGATTCTTCCATTACAGATGAAAACGAAGAACTCTTGATAAATCCTCATCTGGAAGCTCTGAATCGGGCAAAAACTAATCAAAAAATAAAGCAAATCGCAAATACCAAAGGAATTAACCATTCATATGATGATTCTGAGTCTAAAACACTTCTTTCAAAATATGATGACCCCTCAATTAAAGAAGAAGGCTTTTTTCTTGACCAATCTGGGAATTTTAAGCCTCCTTCTCATGAAGAATCCAAAATTCAAGGCACTACTTCATTAGATGTCAAAAAAAGTGTTGCCAAAGAATACCAGGACTTTAAGCCTCCTAAAAAGCGGGCAAGAGCTATGGACTTTTTAGAAGGTTCACGCACAGAGAGACAGGAAAAATATATGGAAGCAAGAAAACAAATGAAGCTTTCGAGCATAATTGGTGAAGATGAAGACGAAGACTTGCATAAAAGTTTGCAAAAATCACTAAATAAAGCAAACCGAATAAATGCCACTCGTATTGAAACCCCAATTACTCAAGAAGGCGAAGAATACACAGATACTTCGCAATTTTTAAGCTCAGTTCAACCAATCCAGCCTAGGAATTTAAATTTGACACTTAAAGATGCAAGGGATGGGACAGTCTCAGTGTCAAATATAACTCTTCCTACTGAAAGAATCAAAGGAAACTCTTCATCAACTATTCAAACTAGCAATCCTGAAATCTATGATAAAGCAAAAGAAGAAAATAAAACAGCTGAGCCAGTAATTAAAGAAGAGCCAAAAATTGACCGAGGACTAGCTGGCTGTTTAGCTTTATTAAGAGAAAGAGGAGAATTAAATAAAAAGTTTTATTTTGGAAGATCAAAGGATAAAGTTAGCGAAGAAGAGGAAGATAGGGCTTATAGAGATGATAAAGGAAGACTTCTCACTAAAAAGCAAGCGTTCAGAAACCAATGCTATGCTTTCCACAACCAAAAACCAGGTAAAAATAAACAGAAAAAACTTAATGAAAAAGAAAAGATCCAAATGAAGCAAGAAAAGCTGGACCCTTCCAAAGGCTCTGCGACGTTTATGGCTGCGAAGTCTATAATGACCAAGAAAGAAACTCCTTATGTTATCATTTCCAAGAATTAACAAAAGACTTATTCATGCATACCATTAATTTTAGAAATAATTATGTCTCTTACATATCAATCTGAGCATCTTGCTTGGCAGCAGAGAGTGAAACAAGAACAGTCAAGGTCTTATCAATTTTATAATACCTTGGGAACTTTCTCTACAAGAGATTTTGATCTTTATAGACCCTTATTTCCAAACGGAAATGATTACTCAAATTCCAATATTTATAAAACATTTAATGAAAAGAACAAAAGCATAAACCATGCATTGACTGATCGCACTTTAAATCGTACTCCCAGCTTTAGTCCACAGAAATCATTAGTGAGAATCAGAAAAAGTGTGTCATCTTCACCTAAAAAAATGAGGCGTAATTTAAGTTCGCCAATAAAACCAAAAGATATAAAAAAAGTTATTGGAGAAAATCAAAGCCATGGCGATTTAAATAAATTATTAATCAATAATAAAGCCAAGGCGAAGAAATCTGATCTAGCTGCTCAGATTTATATTAAAGAGCTTGAAGAAAGGTTAAAAAAAGAGAGAATGAAAAGAATTAATACTGAAATCAAATTAACTCGAATGAAAAGTAATTAATGAATTTATTTGCATAAAAAATGATTTTTTCATTTCTTTTTATCGCATTTTATGCTTGAATAGCTCTTTAAAGGGTGAATTTAGTATTAAAATAATTAAAATATTATCATAAAAATTCATTTAATAACAAAAATGCTTACTCCCCCCCCTCCGTGAGAGTGAACAAAACCATTAGAAAAATCGCTATTTTTTGCCCAAAAACCCACCTACGTGAGTGAACAAAAATTTTTTTATAGCTTATACCCCTTTATAGATTTCTTTATCGAGCAAAATGTACTGGATTATTGAACGACCAAGAGAGACTCTATTAAAGGAACGGGCTGGATATCTATATCAGGAAGTGCTAAAAAGTGATATGTCAAAAAATGGTGACAAGTCTGAAAAAAGTTGACAAGTGAACGCGCCAATTTTTAAAATGGATTTATTATTAAAATAATTTAAAACTTAAGATATTTTAATTTTAATCAATATTTAATTAGGCTAAGTACACATCATATGAGTCGATAAGAACTTTGCATATATTTAAAATCACAAGACACGCACTTTGCAAATTATAGTTTTAGTCTTCATAAATAAATTAGCATAAAATAAAGAAATTCTATCGAGCCGGAAAAATGCACATTGAGTTGCAAATTTTTGATTTTCACTTACTAGCCATAATACTTCTCATATAAATCGATAAGAACTTTTTATATATTGATAATCACAAGCCACGCACTTTGCAAATTATAGCTCTAGTCTTCATAAATTAATTAGCATAAAAATAAAGAAATTCTATCGAGCCCGAAAAATGCACATTGAGTTGCAAATTTTTGATTTTCACTTACGAGCCATATTGATTTTTGCTAAATACTTCTCATATGAGTCGATAAGAACTTTGCATATATTGAGAATCACAAGCTACGCACTTTGCAAATTGTAGCTCTAGTCTTCATAAATAAATTAGCATAAAATAAAGAAATTCTATCGAGTCCGAAAAATGCACATTGAGTTGCAAGTTTTTGATTTTCACTTATAAGCCATATTTAAATTTTGCTAAGTACTTCTCATATGAGTCGATAAGAACTTTGTATATATTTGAGAATCACAAGCCACGCACTTTGCAAATTATAGCTCTCATCTTCATATATAAATTAGTATAAAAAATAAAGAAATTCTATCGAGCCGGAAAAATGCACATTGAGTTGCAAATTTTTGATTTTCACTTATAAGCCATATTTAAATTTTTGCTAATTCTCATCTTAGTCGATAAGAACTTCTTATATATTGAGAATCACAAGACACGCACTTTGCAAATTATAGATCTAGTCTTCGTATATAAATTAGCATAAAATAAAAAAATTCTATCGAGCCGGAAAAATGCACATTGAGTTGCAAGTTTTTGATTTTCACTTATAAGCCATATTGATTTTTGCTAAATACTTCTCATATTAGTCGATAGAACTTCTTATATATTGAGATACGCAAGCCACGCACTTTGCAAATGATAGCTCGAGTCTTCATAAATAAATTAGCATAAAATAAAGAAATTCTATCGAGCCGGAAAATGCACATTGAGTTGCAAGTTTTTGATTTTCACAGCTAGTATTAAATTTAAAATATATATAAATAAAAATATTTAAAGCCAATATATAATGTGTAATTATATCTTCTGTCTAATTGAGTATCTTAAGTTTTAAATTATTTTTAATAATAAATCCATTTTAAAAAATTGGCGCGTTCACTTGTCAACTTTTTTCAGACTTGTCACCATTTTTTGACATGTCACTTTTAGCACTTCCTGATATAGATATCCAGCCCGTTCCTTTAATAGAGTCTCTCTTGGTCGTTCAATAATCCAGTACATTTCGCTCGATAAAGAAATCTGTAAAGGGATATAAGCTATATAGAAAAATTTTTTATGGAAAAAAAAATTTGATATATAAATGATAATTAGTATAATGAAATCTAGAGCTAATTCTGTTTAATTTTAAACGAATTGTTTTTTTAAAACATAAATTTTATAAATTAAATTAATATTTGCTTTCCAATTTTTTGTCAATTAGGATTTTTTTAAATTTCGAAAAAAAAATATTTTTTATAAAATTTATATATAAATTTTTTTAAAAAAAAAAATTAACCCCCCTCCGTGAGTGAACAAAAATTTTTTGTTTCACTCACGGAGGGGGGGGGGAGTTAATTGTTTATTTATTGTCAGGTATATACCAATTATAAAAGATTTATTTAATTAATCAATATATTTAATACATAAGAATGATATATCGGATTTACGTCTGGAGTCCTAACGATTTTGTTCCAGGATCGGGTAAATAAGGAATGCAAGTGATATGCGATGTCGGAGTAAATATTCTATGATACACCTTTCTTCGTTTTGCACTTGAAGTTCCAGCTCGCTGAGGAGACTGAAACGTATAAGTAATATAATCAAAGCACCCTAAATCTTCCAAAGCATTTGGATCAGCAGAGCTTGCTCTAGTATGTGCTTTTGCCGGAGGTGATGGAGAGTACGCAACGCTTTTTCTCCTTAAATTAAAGTGTATAGATCCAATTGCCTGAGGAGTATTGCTTTTTCAATCATCTTTAATAATCGATTTCAATTTATGTCCTCTGATGTTTCAGTTTCCATGCACATATGTCTGAAGGACTTCGTTGTTATATTGCATCTTAGTTCGTTTATGGGTCGCATCTAAAAAGAATTTATATTCCTTTTTTTTCGGATTTCAAGATGTATTGGGAGAGAAATACGGTGAATCTTTTAGATATTCTTGTCTCAATGTAAAGGATTTTTCTGGTGTTCGGTTAAGTTTTTGTCCTCTCATAGTTAAAAAAATTATTCAAATATTTATGGAGTTTTATGAACTTAACTTTTATTAATCTTATGAGCCTAAATTAACATAATAAATTGGGATCAATATGAAAGAAAATAGATTCCGATTCAAGAGCAGGACAAAACAAATTAACCAAGCAGATGTTAGCGTCTTTAATAATTTATCACAAGAAAACCCAGTTCCTCTTAGTGAGTATCTTGGCAGAGAGTATGACCAGTCATCAGCATTCCAGACAATCCGTAAATCCATTCAGCCATTGGCCAATTCGCTGCCATTGCTCATCTATAATCTCCCTAAAGTCATAAAAGTCATAGAAGAAAATATTGATGGCTGCCCAAACTCTGGTCTCCAAGTAATCAAAGCTTTGGCTCGAGAAATTAGATTTGAGCTAGCCCAATTTTTTGATAATTTGCTTGCAATATTCATTAAGTTATGCGAAAGAATTGACTTACTAGAAGAAATATTCAATTGTCTTTCCATATGCATGAAATATTCGGTTAAAGAACTCAATCCAAGAGATGTTCTCTTTAAGGCAATTCCTATGATTAACCATAAAAATGAAGGGATAAGGCATTTAGCAGCCCAAAGCTTTGCATTTTTGGTGAAAAAAGCTGGGCCAGTTGTGCTTGGAGATTTACTAAAAGATTGTGGTCCAAACATATGGGAAATCATCAAGTACTCAGCCACTGAATTTCATTGTAAAGAAATTCTTGAAATCAGCTGGGAATGCTATGAAGCTGCCAAATTTGCTCATCTTGCACTTGCTTTGGAGCAAAAGCACATTGACTCTTTATATGATAGCATCACGAAAGCAAGCTCATTTGAAGTTTTAAGAGATTGGGCAATTTTGTGCAATGGAAATCGCTTTCCAAAATCATTTCATGAAAAATCCATACAATTCTGTAAAGACAGTAAGAAATTTGACACCCTTGCTTATATCATAAAATATCACACATTTTTAATTGATGAAATTTCATTCATATTGCAACAAGACACAGAGCAAGCTATAGTGGCTTTCGGTATTCTGGTCGACTTCAATGACCCTCATCCAGAAAGAGAAATCCATGAATCAATATTAAAAAAGAAATACGCAAATCACAACCCTCAGCTTGACTTATTAAAATTTTCAAATGAAATTTACCAACTTATAGATAAAGCTTTGCTGACTGACAAAGCAGTTTTTGCCCTTGAAATCTTGTTAAAAGTTTTCAAGAATCATCATATATCGTCAGGGAATCTTCATAATTTAAAGAATTGGATAAGTCTTCAAAATGATGAAGATTTGATTTGGCTTGGATTAAGAGTGGCAAGATTAACAGAAACAGATTTTGATACACAAGCATTTTCTAATACAAAAAATCAATTTCTTCTACCTCTTCCCCCCGTGAGCGAACAAAACCATTGGAAAATTAATAGCCATCCTTGATCGAATTATTTTCATATATTGCAAATTTTTATCTGCAATAAATCAATGATTAGGCAATTTTATTATATTTATGAAAATTAATAGTTTGCATGGTAAATTAAGAGTAATTTACGTATTTTTTAATAAATTGCATAGAATTAATCATCCGAAGCGCTAGCCATCAGCCTGGCATCAGAAGCTTAATTAGTTTTTAGAGTGAAAGGTTTAACTAAAATTTTTAAATTAACACAATTTTTCATTTTAATAGTTTTAATATTTGCTATTTTAACCCCTCTTAATTAAAAATTACACCAAAACAATAAATATAATATATAGAAATCTCCCATAGATGGCACTGTTTGCCCTTGATTTGCCCACTGAAAATTTATTTTGGTTTGACCAAACCATATGGTACTGATCGAACAAAAAATTTTTTCAGTGGGCAAATCAAGGGCAAACTGCGCCATTTAAGGGAAATTTCTATATATTATTTTCTATATATTTTTTTCAAAAAAATTTTTAATCTCTCCATCCTTGATCGAGCGACGGGGGTCGTTTGATCAAGGATGGAGGGTAAGAGAAATATTTTCAATCAATAAGAGTATCTCTGATGATGAAATATACGGAGAGATATTATGGGCTGCATCTGAACTCAATAAAGAAGTTAAAGATGTGAAGCCTATTTATAAATATCTTACACACCCTACGTTAAGAATTCCAGCTGCCCAGCTACTCTGCCACACCAGCCAAGCTATGAATTTAGCTTGGCTAATTACCCAAGACAGCCCTACAATTGAGACAGAAAAAGGAAAAGTTACAAATTTAAAAAGAATCGAGCATTTAATTTCTGAGGACCCTGAAGGAGTCTGTCTATTCCTATTAGGCATGTTTTGGGATCGATACTCTCCATTATGGACTCACATCACTCATTCGCTATCGGTTTTAGGAAAATCCTATCCAGATTTGCTTTGGGGGAATTTATATCCTTTATTACTCACATTGCCTGAGAGAAGTGAATACCCTCCATACTATGAAAAATATAACTCATTTCGAGACTCAACTCCCAACACACATTATTTTATTAACCTTTGTGAAGTTTTAGCAGCCTGTCCTAAAGCTCTTCATTCTAATCTGAATGAATTTATAGATGTATTTTTAAAATTCATAAATGAGGACTATGCAAAAATAAGTTGGATACCTGGATATATGGCTCCAAAAGCTCCTGAACAAGGATCAGAAGCGAAGAGAAAGCTGCCATGCTTTTTGAAAGCTTTGAAAGAACAAAGAAATGCAATAAACCTTTCGCATGCAGAAGACATTGAAAAAATTCTTATTGGCTTATGCACGAAAAAGAAAGAAAATATAAGAGTTTTAGCAGTAGAATGCTTGATTTCTTTGTTTCCAGCATTAAGAACAGACTCTGAGCTTTTAAGAAATCTAGCAAAAGATGCAACCTTTAGAGACGCAGCACTCATAAAGCCAATTGCTGCCTCAAACATATGCATTGCTCTGTGTGCAGGAAGAGGATTTTCGACAAGCCAATACAATAAGTCTGCATTTATCTATATCTCTGGGCTCCCTACATTTGGGTACTTGCTGGAGCTTTTGCCTTTTAAATTGAAAACAAGCCACTTCAATGTTTTGGAAATTCTTCCTCATAAGCTTATCCTGAATGTCTTTAAAAGCTACAAAAAAATAATAAATTACGTCTCAGAGTGTATTGATGATAAAGAAGACGCTGTTTTATTTTTAATTCAAACCTGTAATTGGGCAAGAACAGAGGACAAAAGAGAAGTGCTGACTAAATCATTGGGGTGCTTAAATTTGATTATTTCTAAATATGTGTGCTCTGAAAACTGCTTGGAGAGGACTATTGAACTTATTTCACCTGCTTTGGATACATTTGCTCATGACTTGAGACCGAAATATATAGAAACACTTCATATATTATTGAACAATTATCCACAAACACGGACAAATCAAGTTTTGATTACTGCTTGCACGAATTTGTTGACGAACCCAAAAGCTGAAGCCCAGCATATTCACAAAACTCTTGAAGTTTTAGCTTCTCTTATTACTCCAGAAATAGAAATCGACCCACATTCGTTGATCTCTGCCTTGGAGCGAGTAGGCTTAACTGGAAATCTATCTTTGATTTTCCACAAAATCACTCCATCATCTAAGGTTTCTCCATTGATTGAAAAATTGATCCCTTTTTGTTTCAAAAAGCCTGAATTAGTCAATTTATTATCACAATGAATTCCATATGCTGAAGCATTGCCAACAAAACTATTAACTGAGTTAGTCCTGAAGCGGCCTGAATTGACTAGTTTACTAGGTCAATGCATTTCAGGAGTCGCTGGAGAGATTTTAAAAGATTTAAGTGCAACAAAAAGAAAAGGACTCGAAGAAGAAGCTGAATATGAAACCCAGCTTAATGGGATTTTCAAAATTTCTGAATGTGAAATTGAAGAGGAGTTTTTGCCAGCTGTCATTAATACTCTTGGGCAGTTTCTCATTGTGGGCGACTTAGGTCTGAGATCTGCATGCATAAAAGCATTTATTCATTTAGGGAAAACAAAAATCAAGCAGGTAGAGTCATGTTTATCGATTTATCTGAAGAAAGCTAAAGATGAAGAGCATGTTAGAGGAATTTTACAAGTATGGAACTCTATAGACTCTGATATAAAATCACTGTCTCATACTAAGGATGAAGAAAGAAGCTTATTACTAAGCTTAGGGCATCTTCAAATACACAGAAGAGCTCGAGCACTCAGCGCAATTTTAACTATGGAATTTCCGAAGCAATACATCACAAAACTTTTTATCCCTCTCATAAATTTCTATCTTTTATACTCTTCCAGCAAAAGTAACTATAGCTCGTGAACCTTTATGGACCGACTTCATTGAAAATGTAAACATCCTAATGGACTTCATATCTTGCATATCTTAGACCAGACCTCTCACATTAGAGAAATATTCAGATTATAATAAAAATTCGCTAACTAAATATAGTTTTATATAATCGCTTTTTAATAATTTTGAAAATTTTTCTAATAATTAGTATAAAGCTCGGCGAATTAAAAGCCCAAGGCATATTTTGCTAGAAAAACAGCTCTACTCTCTTCATGCTTGAAAAGTAGTAATTTTGCGGAAAAATGATTTTAGCTCGATTATGGAAAATAAAAGTGGCATTTCAGAAATGTTTGATAAGCGTCAACCATTCTGACAATTCAAAGAGACAATTTATAAAATATCTTTATTATATAATAGAAAACCCCTTTTATAATGATAATGCATTAAGAATTTAATTTTCTATGCTCTCTTGGATCTGTATTCTATAGAAAACAAAAAGAATGGGTAGTAAGCTCTTAATTTACAGTTTAAAAGGTTATCTTAAATTAAAAAATTAATCATTTATAATAAAGATATCTTATAAATTGGCTCATTTAATTGTCAAAATGGTTCACACTTGCCAAACATTTGGAATGTCACTTTTATTTCCATATGGGCTAAAAGCCATTTTGCCGTAAAATTACTACTTTTCAAGCATGAAGAGAGAAGTTGTTTTAATTTTAAAAATATACTTTGGCTTTATTTGCCGACATTTATGCTAATTATTAGAAATATTTCCAAAATTATTAAAAAGCAAATATATAAAATTAGTTTAAACTAGAGAGTTTTTTATTATAATCTGAACATTTCTCTAATGTGAGAGGTCCGGTCTAAGATATGCAAGATATGAAGTCCATTAGTTCGGTACATTTTAAATGAGGTCGATCCTATAACGGTTCATGAGTTATACCAATCTAATTTTATTTATCAGTTAATACAGTCTCTTGCAGCGTTTGCCAAGCAGATATCATGAAGAGAATACCACAAACTGCTTAAAGTTTACGATAAATAAAATGGGCATTCGGTTCGAGAGAAAATAGCTTTGCTAATTTTCTCTCCCTCATGGAATTTTATTTATAGGGTTAGGTTTTCACTCGAAAACTTCTGGACAGCAATAGCGGTTTAACTTTGGGGATAACCAAAGGAACTGCTCCTTAGTCCTCTCAAAATTTCGGGCTTTTACCTCTCAGCAACATCCCCACGGGAGTAGTATGACCCTTAGGCGGAACACGCGCAGGAGCTGAGTCGAGCGACAGCATCGCGCCGGGTGAGACGTGCAGCAAGGCTGGTGAAGCAGGAGTTGATAGAAGGCTTGGCCAGGGCTGACCTGTTCCAAGATGGCTCGCCTGCGTCACTAGTTTTGCCATAGGTCCTTTTTGGGCTGCGGCACTAGACACCTTAAACACCTGATAATTAAGTTAAGTTAAGTTAAGCTTAAAGTTTACTTGAAAAAGCTTGAAGAAGAAGAAAAACTTGCAACTAAGGCGATCGCAGGAATTTTAGCAAATATCCCAGACGATCTTGATGAATCTGCTTATAATACCCTGAAGTCGAAAGTTTTGCCAGTGTTAAAAATGCATATGTGTGATCAGAAAGACTCATGAAGACCAAAAGTCAGGAAATATGTCGTTTGCGCGATGTATTCTATTATTTCTACTCAGAGCAAAGATGAAGGCAATTCAGAATTCTATAGACTGCTGTCTATGCTAGCTAGACATTATAAAAATAAAGATGATGGAACTAAAGAGTCCGTAATCAGCAGTGTCTTGGAGCTTTTAAAAACTAAAAGCACACATAATAAAATTGTCAAAGAATTCAACCAATTTTTAGAGGCAGAGTTATTTGCTCACTTTTTAACTAAAATTCTTCCATCAGGACTGCTTGAAATTTCTGACAAATACCTTGATAAAGCTGTGAAGACTTTATTAGAGTATGAGCAATATCAGACTTTTTATTATTTAGGGAAATTCATTAAGCCTGAACATTTAGGGCAAATATTGGCATCAACAAAGCCTCTTCAATATATAGCTCAAGGTCTTGCCGAAAACGAAAAAATAACCCCAGAAGATTTGATTTCGTTAGCTTTGATTCTTTTAAATCGAAATATCCAAGCAAAACAAGAAGAAAATCCTAAGATTTCAAGGAAGCTTCAAACCTTTGCAGTTCAAGATGGAGCTGCGAAAGGCAGCAGACCTGTAAATGAGGTCAAAAAAGTGAATGTTGGAGCTGACAAAGTATTTGGGATGAGGCTGCTGAAATTAGGAATAAAAAGATCTAAAGAAGGCATTGATGAAGAATTGGCAAAACAATGCAAAGAAACTGCAATTAATAACTTGTCTGTTAAGAAAGATGAAGTAGTTGCTGGAGCTTTAGAAATACTCAAAATGTTTGCGGATTCTTCTGTCATTGAGAAAATTCTTGAAATCTCTGAAAGAGCTGGGGAACAAGTGACTATCCAAGCTATGAAAACGATTTCTTCATTAATTAAATCTCGGGCAGATATTGAAAGCCTTGCACCTTTACTTTTGCCACAAGTGTTATTGGCTCTTCATTCTTATGAGGTGCAAAGTTCAGCTTTAAAGCTCCTCAGAGTTTTTGTATTGAAAAGAATTATGGATCCTTCTGTTTACGATTGTTTTGAAGAAGTCCCACAGATTTTACTCAGTAATCCTAAGCTATCTACCCAGGCTACAAGTTTATATGTAGACTTCTTGCTAAACTATCCTTTATCAGACAAAAGGAAGCAGTATCATTTGGATTTCTTAATAAAGAACCTCGGAACAACAATCCACAATGCAAATAAAAGCATAATGACTGCCATCGATACAATTCTTGAGAAGCTTCCATATGAAGAACTTAAAGAGCATTTTGACTTTTTATTGCTAGCAATATTTACAGCAATTTCTAATGAAGACTCTGACGATATGAAGAAATCTTATTTCACCTTGCTCTCAAAAACAGCTAAAAAGAACCAAAATTCCCCAATTATTAAACAAATCGCATCATGGGTCACTCACAAAAATGAATCAGTCAGAAAAACAGCTATCAATTTTGTAATAATGTGTGTAAATGAAAAGATTATTTCTGATGATTTCATTAAAAATGATATACTTTCTAAAGTATTGGAATCAGAAGACAATTGGGTAGAGAACCTTGAATTTTTGAATTGCTGGCTAGGCAAATATAAATCGAAAAAGTATTTAGCAAGATATAGAGAAATGATAGTTAAGCATCTAGAATTAGGGGTAGATTTAAAGCCTGAGCTTTTTGAGCCTCTGAATGAGTGCGATACGGAGCTACTTAAAATTGGGACGAGTGGAATAATAAATGGAACCTTCAAACAAGGGATTTTTGCACTTTTCTCGAAAGCCAACCCATTATTAGCATCTAAGAAATTATCAACAATAGTAAGAAAATTAATTGGCAGAAATATTGAAGATTCCAGAGTTGAATCGCTACTGAGATGCTTACTATTCTATATTTCATCTAACTCCCCCCCTTCGTGAGCGAACAAAAATCCATATTTTTTACCAAAACCCACCCTCCACGAACAAAAATTTTGACATATAAGTGATAATTAATATAATGAAATCTCTAGAAAACTCTGTTTAATTTTGAACAAATTGCATTTTAAAAATAAATTTTGCAAATAAATAAATATATTTGCTTTCCAATTTTTGCGAATTGTGATTTTTTTTAAATTTCGAAAACCAATTTTACCATAAAATTTATATATATAAATATTTTAAAAAAAAATACCCTCCATGAGCGAACAAAATTTTTTTTTTCGCCCTCTGAAGGAGGAAGTAAGCAATATGACCAAACATCTCTATTCAAAGCCTTGATAATTGCCTCTGAACGCTCTCCTTCTACCACAATCAAAGACTTAGCAAATGAAATTTTCCAAACTCTCCATAAAGAGCTCTCTCAAGAAGAATTCGTTGACGCCTACACAAACACAAGAAACCTCCTAAACACTCTCAGAGAAGAGCGCAAATCAAAATCCAAGCTAATGGCAGTCACAAACCCTGAAGTAGCTGCAAAACTCAAAGAAAAACGCAAGATCAAAACCAAACTGCTCAAAAAACACAAAATTTTTAAATTTGCTCCACATAAGAAACTAAAAACAGACTTATCCGAGTAAATAATTACCTAATTAATAGTCCAGCTATCAATTTCATAAGCATCTTCTAACATATTATCCCTAATGCTTTCAATAAATAGTGCTCCACATAAATAACAGTGAGGTGCAAGCATCTGATCTAGTCTTTCATTTAAATCTTTAAGATTATTATGCTGATCTTTTTGCTCTTCTGACCTTTTTAGTTTGCTTGGTCTTGATGACTGGCTTAAAGTTCCTTCTATATCGCTTATGCTTTCAAGAATTGTTTGAATTCTGTTAGCTCTAATATAGTCTTTAATTTTTAATATTGGCAGCAATGTGTCGAGCAAACAGTCTTTATGAAACGCATGGGCACAAGGGTAGATGTAAAAATTCCTCTTCATTGCAGCTTTGCCACAGATATCACAAGGTTGAAGTCCTTCTATTTCAATAAACCTTTGTTTAACCATATGCAGCTCCTTTTTGATTTGCTGTGAAGAGCTGCTTGACTCGTCCAGCTCTGTTTTCAATTCGTCAATTTTTTCTTTGTATCCTTCTAAAGCTTTACAAATATCTTCTTTAAAGTTAGAAATGCTGACTGATTCGTCAAAATATGGCAATAAATCTTCCATCTTTATGAGTTTGCTTTCATGCATCACTTCTAATGCAGCTTTCACATCAGAAATCTTGATTAAATGGATTGCAATTTGAAGCCACAGTCTCCTAGACAAATCTTCGTCCTGTCGTTCAGGTTTTTGAGCGTTTTCTTTGGCAAGCTGCAATTTATTGTTTTCTAAAGCAATAGAAACCGCTTCACTATACATCTTGAGCAGACTGTACAAGAAAATTAAAGCTTCAATCCTACTACTTTGTTTGCATACTGATAGCGCATATTCAGGGTCAAAGTCAAGCTCACTTTGTTCTTCTTGTTTCTGGAAATACTCCAACAATGCTTCTTCATCACTTTCAGCTAAATGGAAAATCAGCAAATTGTGTAGGGATTTTTCTCTGACTTGTAATTCATTAATGCAAAAAACTTCAAAACGAATAGCTTGCTCTCTATATAGCTTTTCTACATTCATCAAGGCAGGCAGTAGTTTTTTAGCCTCAAAAGCTTTGCCTCTTTCTCTTGCTAACTCTATTAAGAGATCTACTGTTTTTTTGGGCTCGTTTTTCATGAATACTGGCGAGTATCGGTATAATAATGGCTCTTTAAAGGTTGGCTCAGCATGCTCAAGCTTCATTAAAGCTTTTTTAAATTCTTGCTGATTCATATGATGAAGCATGACAAGCTCAAAGTTTCCTTTTAGCTCAGCGAAATAAACCCAGTCTTCAATTCGTCCATGGCTTTGCAATAAATCATAAGTGGTTGTTGCATCTAAATCTTGATGGTGTAATGACAAAAATGTTCTGAGGTCCTCTTGAGCATTTTTAGAAGAGTCCTCTTCTATCATAAGCAGTGCATTTATGTTATGTAAATGGATTTCCACAAGCCAAGTGCTCAACAAAGTCCTCTGTGCCTTCATATCACTCCCCATACGATTCAGTTTAGCTTCTAAAAATCTTTGCAAAGCAGGGGTATCGCTCATCAATTTTAATGCGATTTCTTCAAAAGTCCTATCACTTTGTGCATAAGAATCAGCGGCCAAAAGTGTTTTTCCTTCATGGAATAAAAAGTCTGCATAAAGGCCTTTAACTTTTGGTAAAAATGGTGAGTCAGTCCTCTCACAGAATTTTACAGCTTCCTCATGTCGGTTTTGCTCAATATAATATTTCCAGACATCTCTGTCTTCATTATCAATTAGGATTTGGTAAATAAATTTATTACTCCAAGCAAATAATGAGTGAGTTTGTGCGTCAAACATGATCCCTTGCATTTCGTAGCCTGGCCTCATTTCAAAATCAATTGTATGGACTACTTGCTGGTTTAGCTTAGAAACACATAGCAGAGCATTGCTGAATAAGAAATAAACATGATAAGCAGTCATGCCGATGCCTATAACTTTGTCATTACCTCTGGCTGGGAATGGGACAGGCTTCATTGTAGTCACGAAAATTTCTTCACTTGTGTTTGTGGCGAGTTTCCCATACATCAGCCCTGACCCAGACATCCAGGCAAAACCATCAGCTCTCCCTCTTGTATAATAGTACTGCAGCTGGCTTTTTTTAAGAGAGCCTCCTACTTCATGCGTGCAGGACTGAAGCAAGGTTGGGTTCGTTCTATATTTTTCAAATAATTTTGGAAAATCTGGCCTTCTTTGTTCATTGGCATCTCCTATAAACTGAAACAAGCAATTCACCGTTGCAGCCATCACGCTATATTTAGCAGGCATTCCTGGAATCATTTCATATAATATCCCACTTATACAAGGACCTCCAGGCAGCTCAATGACCCTTGAAAACTGATGCTGCTTAATAGTTTCAGTTGTCTGGTCAAATTCCAAGCTCATTTCTAAAATAACTCCATTGCGAGTGCCGAGCAGGATTTCTCGAGTTTGATAATACTCAGTTTGTCCACTCCAAGCAACACTTTCAATATTAAAGCTATGAAGCTTGTGTATAAATACAGAAGAAGTCGAGGTCAAGTGGAAATAATGGGTGTCGCCACTACTCATAGTCACCAAACAATGCCATCCAGTCGGGTCGCAAAAAACATTTTCCAATTGTAAATTCGTCACCCTGATAATTAATTCGGTCATGCTGTCACGATTGGCTTCTTTTAAGCGTTCCTCTTCTTGGAAAGTCCACCTGAGGGCTTGCTTGTCTGTTGTTATCACGTATATTGCTTTCATTGAAATGGCGACCGCTTTGACTTCAGCTGTTCTTATGCGAATTGAGGAAAGCATCACATTTCTAAAGGTGTCTGATTTAGCGTCTTCGTCGTGAATAGTGTCAAAGCCAAGTTCGTCGGCTATCTGTTTAGATTGTTACGAATTCGTCTTCGTGAAGCTTATCTTCTCTGTCATTAAGCCACTCGATTGACATTTTTAGAGATTATAAAATTATCACAATAGATCGGATAACTGAGATAATGCAGCAAGTTCTTTATAGTTAGGTAAGCTTGGCCTTTATTACGTGTTTTATGAAAAAAATTGGCTCTGCTTATAAACAAATTATATAGTGAATTATTTTTTATGAGATATTAATCTATGAAAGAATTGAATCAAAAGCAGAAATTGATATTTTATAAGACCTTAATAGTAAAGCAAGGCTAAAAATGAAATAGATATATGATTAATATATCACAAATCTCATTCTTGATTATTTAACTAATGCTACCAATTTAGATGTGAAAAATGAATTTATCTTTCAAATAGCTGAATGAAACTTCTCTTTATTTCATTTTGCGAAATTCTAATATTTAATAAACTTATATAATGAACTCTTTAAAAGATATATAATTGAAAAGTGGTAAATCATCTGAAATTAATTACTAATTATTCGTTTTTTAACATTAAAAGATTTATAAAATATGGAACGAGTTGATCCTGAAAATTGTGAGAAAAAGGTCGAAGTCATGCTAAGATCAATTCATCCCAATTTAAATCCTCCTGAGCAAGAAGGCCCACAATACAGTATGTTTTACTTAGACATGCTTACTTATGTCGAAGATTTCAACGTCAGAGTTAAAGCTAAAATACTTGCTAGAAGCAATTTTTTCAAAGAAATATTGATAAAAGATAAAAATATTTTACAAAGAAATAAAGCGATAGAAGTAAAGATTATCTAGATAAAACTGACGTCAAGAAAAAACCAAGTAAGCATTGAGTCTACTTTAACCTGCCTGGATTATTTAGACCATCAGAACTTCAATCTTTTCGACATCCAGCCTAAAACGATGCTTTCTTTAGTCGTTACAGCAAGCTTTATTAAAGTTCAACAACTTGAAGATCAGATAGTTGAATATATATCAAAATATCTCAATCCTTCCAATCTTGTCGAAGTAATATCAATTGCCTCTCAAATAAAAAATGAAATTTTGCTTGAAAAATGCTATATTTATACTCGAATTTTATTACTTGCTAGATTTGGAGAAATGTCTCTGCCAAAAGCTTTCAAAGACGACAAAAATTTAACATATGAGTCTCCTTTTTTAATCTATACCAAAGATGGAAAGAATCAAAAAGTATCGCTTGAAATTTTTTCTTATAAAGCTCAGGAAAGTCTAAGCAATAGGCATGTTTTTCATACTGTTCAAAATATGTACAATCTGATGAGGATCGAAAGAACTCGCTCAGAAGAGGGCTTCACAGGTAGTGATTATCCACACACATTTAGACTAGTTAGAGAACACGATAATGCATTAATGCTTTACGCTGACTCCCCCCCTTTAAACTGGAACAAAATATAGGTAAAATTTCCACTTTTTAGGTAAATTAACCCCCTTTAAAAATTGGAACAAAATTTAATTTTATAATAAAAAATTTTATATATAAAAATCAGGTATAAATAACATCTTATTTAAACAAAATTAGCATTTTGATCGATAAATTTTCTAAAATTGTTTTTTTTTATCAATAAAAATAATAATTTTTGTGTAAATAGTTTTAATACCAATTAATAGTGGCGTATTAACTAATAATGAAAATTTAGTTATATCATGCTTTGTTTTAAAGGATAAAGAGTAAATAGCATTTTATTAAACAAATTTATTAATATAGTTCGATAAATTTTTGAAATTTTTATAAAAAAATTTCTTAAACCCCCTTTAAATTGGAACAAAATTTTTTGTTCCAATTTAAAGGGGGGGAGCGAGCGAGAGGCATAGCGACTCAGGAGATATCATAATCTGCAAATCACCATCTGAGCAATTCAGCGACGAATATATTGGAATTATGGTAAACAATTTTTGAGGAAACGATTTCACACTCTTTGACCATGGAGTCAAAGATAAAATTGCCAATAGATTTCCTCAAGGATTCATCAAACTGCGAGAAGAAAAATTAAAAGTCAAATACGAATCAAATATATTGGGAGATACACCAAGAAGTTTAGAAGTCAAACTATGAGATGAAGAAAACAAAGAAGAAGTGACACTAAATAATGTGCCTCCAAGATGGAATGAAAGAGCTGAATGCTACACACTTAATTTTTATGGAAGAGTCTCAAGGGCTAGTGCTAAAAATTTTCAGCTCGTTATGCCAGACGACCCAGACACAATTTATTTTATGTTTGGGAAAATTTCCACAGAAAATTTCCATTTGGATTATCGATCCCCTCTTTCGATGTTCCAGGCTTTTGCAATTGGCCTTGCTAGCTTGTCAAGAAAAAGAATTGTAGCTTAATTTCTATTTATTTGCAAAATTAATTATGTAAGACATGGCTTCCATAATGAGCCAGATATCCACTGCGGCCAGGTGTTGCGCTCCTTTCAGTCGAAAAGGAGTAATTTGAGGCAGGATTGTACCGAAAGCTATCGTTGATTCCTTTGATTGGCGAATAATGATTGTTCACTTGACTGATATCTTTTACTATAGGATTTAGGTTCCTGATCCCGATTTCTGGGTTAGACATATGAACTTTTCTAAGTTCCTCTTTCAAAGCATCAAATTTTTTTTTCTCTATTTCTTTGTTATCGACTTGATTTTTTAACGCAACATAATATTCTCGTTGTTTCTCTCTATTTCTCATCTTGTCATACATTTGGTTCAGCTCTCCTCGCTTCTTTCGTTCCGCAAGAGACATTCCATATATTTTATCTTCTTCCATTTGTTTATTCATCATTTCTTGTTTTTCTCTCATCTGCTTCAGCAGTGCCTCTCTGTTTTCTGTGAGAACTTGTTTATGATGCATTTTGTCATAAATTTCTTTTTCTTTATAAAACGCTTGGCCTATTTTCATAGCTTCGAGAGCTTTAAGCTCGTCTTGCTTAGCTTTGTATTCAAATGGAGAAACAGCAGGAACAATTTTTTTCTGTATTTCTTCGAAATTTTTAGAAACTCCTTTAAATTCTAGCTCAAATCTGCTTCGCATTTCGTCGTATTCGTCCCATTCACTTAAAGACCGTTCAGAGCTTTGTTTATCAAAATTATTTCTTCCTCTAGGGAGGACAAAAGAGTTATTGCTAGCGAGCTCCTGATTCTGTTGGTGATTGAAGTAGGATTTATTGATGGGTGGATAATCGTTATGGATTTTTCTTTCATCATTATAAACCCGTTGCTGCTGGTTATACACTGAAGCTCTATTTTCAGCTGGGAATTTTTGTGGAGAATTGGAAGTTTCTTGATTGATTTTGTTTTGCAATTGATGAAGGATTTCTGTAAATGAGAGGCCTTGGTCGAAAAGCTGATCTACATTAGCCATTGCTTTTTCGATTATGAGGATTTTCTAATTTAAAAGTACCTCTTCGCCATACTGATGTTCAAGGACTTGTCTTAGCTTATCTTTTCTTCGTTGGCCAAGCTGCAAAAATCGTCTTTGATTTTCCATTTTAGAATTCCACAATAAAAGTCTCGACCTTTAGTAAATTCTTGAAATAATTAATTCAGATCAGTAAAGAACTATAATATAAAATGAAAAAGAGAAATGCACCACATTCCGGACCTCCTGATAAAGGCTCTTTCCCTCTAGATCATTTTCAAGAATGTGAAGAAGAAGCTGAAGCCTATAGAATCTGTTTAAATAAAGAACTAGGGATTCCAAAAAAATGCAAAGAAGAAGCAAAAAGCTACCTAGTTTGCAGAATGGACAAAGGCTTGATGGCTCCACATACGATGCAAGAGCTTGGCTTTGTTGAAGAAAGCACGTGAGAATATGAACAAAAAGCAAGGGAAGATCTAGTCAGAGATATAGAGAATTTGACTAGAGCTTCCAAAGAAAGGGTAAGAAAAGAGTTTGCTAAAGAGCATTCTAAAACAAATAATTAGAATAAATAAGCTTCACATTAAAATCTGAATTACATTTATATACCTACTACAAAGCAGCAATTACTCTTTTAATTATTGATGCCTTATTTTCGAATATTTTCAATTGATAATGTATTTTACTCTTTTTGGCTCGTTCAGTTACTGCTATTGATTTTGGTCGCTTTTCAGGCTGAGTGAACATAAAAATGTTGCTACTAGCATTATGCCTAGATCCTGATTCTCTGCTCTGTTTAGCTATTTCATCAAGAAAGAAGTTATTTTGCAGTGGAAGTTTTGCGCTTCTTTCCATTCATTTTTTTACTGTACTATTAATTGAGGGGAATTCTCTTAATTTTTCTTCAGTCTCTAAGTTTTGCTTTTTCCTTCGATAAGTAAGCAGGCAAGTCGGAACTCTAATTTTCCGAGCTTTGAATTCTTTGGCTTTTATTTTAAGCTGGCCTATGTTATTTTTACTGCTTTCAAACCCACGAAGTGATAGTTTTAGTTTGGGAGTAAAATCTGCAAAACTAGAAGTTTCGTCTTCTTTGATTCCTGGAAGCATTATTATCTAACCATTTTTACCTTATTTGGCTGTTTATTGCTGCTAATGAAAGCACATGTTTGCTTACATGAGCTAAGAGTTTTTATTAAGAAAATAGCAACTATACCGTTAAATATAGATTTCAGTGTTCTAAGCTTAGAAAAAATAGGAAAATCTCCCATTGAAATTTATTATGTACTTATATTAAAAGCGATTCTTAGACGAATTATACAATTTGAAATCTAATGGGACTACTCTTTGCTGTCTTTAATAAAAGACAGTAAATCTTTTGAATCGTTTTCTTCAGTCTTCGGCCTGATTACAGCTTCATTGACAGAAGCTCTATCATTTTTCATTTGCATTTTCTTTTGTTTTCTTTCATCTCTTCGCTTTTGTCTTGCTTCTTGGGCCATATATACTTTTTGTATATCAAGCTTCAGCATTTCTTTGTTTCTTGGCCTATCACTAGTTTCAGGAAGAGGGGATGGTTCTCTAGGCTCAATAAATTCGAAATGCTCTCTGGGCTCTCTTGATTCGAGATGCTCTTTAGGCTGACTAGTTCCTCTTGGCTGGCTTGGTTGATTGGGGTAAGACTCTAAAGGCTTTCCTTTAAGATTTTCAATGATTTTTCTGAGTGATGATTTTACATCATTGAGATTTTTTTCATAGCTTTGAATGAGCTTTGATTGCTGTAAAATTCGTTTTTCAAGCGAGTTATACTGCTTTACAATATTCCCACCTGGCTGAGTGATCGAATCCAGGATTTCTTTAAAGGCAAGCATAATTGGGTGGCTTCTAGGTAATGTTGAGTTTATACTGGAATTGATTGCGGCTGGGTCTAATGTTCCGTCTTCTAAAATATAATGTGGTGGGATATCGCCTCTTGCTACTTTTTCAGCAAGATCAAAATTATTTGCCTCTTCACAAGCTATAATGGCTTTTAGCTTTGAAGTGATTTGTAGTAATAATGCAACTCCCCCTCTACGTTCTTGCCTGAGAGTGCTGATTACTCTTAGTATTGCTGAAACCCAAAGTCTTCTCACTTTCTGCGAGCTTGAAGACTCAGGCTCAGTGACATCCACAATTTCAGGGAATTTCTTCCCTTTTATGTCTTCTTTAATTATTTTTATTTCTCCTTTAAAATCAGAATGACTATGTGAGAGTTCCTTGATAATGTTTATTTTCAATGCATACACAGTTACTGCATTTAGTGCTTTGCATTGAAAAAGATAAGGGATATTTGCATGTATGAATTTTGAAGAGATAAGGGCGCCTTGAGAAACATGTCCTATGACGATTTCTTGAGGGTAATCCCCTATTAAAGAAGTTTGTTCAGGAAGCTCTTCATCAAGCCGAATGGAGCCTACTATGCCTTTTTGATTCGTTATTGGGACAATTTCTGCCTTTTTCTTCAAGCATTCAGCTTTGAATATATCAAAAAAGTAAGGCTTATAGTCTTCCAAAGTTGTGTGTTTTTTAGGAATTCTAGGATCACTTTCAATTTCTGGGAATCTCTCATGCACTTTTAATAAATGCAAATGCTTTTCATTAATTGTCGCAGAAATTTCTAAGTCTCCAAATGCAACTATATATATGTATTTTGGAATGTCTCCAGGCTTAAAGAGATAAGAACCCTTTTCAAGCTTCAGAGTTTCCATGCGATAAGCAAGCTCACTAAAAACGTGTTTAGGCAAAGCTTCGAAATATTCAGCTTGTGAGAGAGAATCCAATAAAAACTTTTTCCATGGATCATCATATACCTCGCTTGCTCTAATAAGCTTGTTTTCGAGGGTTGGAAATGATAGAACTAATGACTGGAAATTTTTCTTACTGAGTTCTGCAACAGTGCAGTATCCATAGCCGATTACTGAAGCTGTTCTATGAATATTATAAATCAAGCCAAGCTCTCCAAACTGAGCCCCAGGACTTAAAAAGCAGACTGAATTTTTTTTCAAATTTTTATCAGTCACAAAAACTTGAACTTCTCCATTAACTAAAAAATACATATTGTCGGGTTCAGCGCCTTCAGTAATAATTTCATCTTCAGGCTTAGTAAATCGATTGCTAAGCCTGTGGACTAGCATATAAAACATTCTTTCTTCATTTTGTAAGACATGGTTTTTTGAAATAATTGGGTCATAAATGCAAGCTGATACTTCTTGCTGCAATGATGGAGAAATAAATTTCTTGAAAGTTTCGTATTCTTCTTGAGAGCTTGAAGACATATGTGTTACAGCTATATAGTCTAAAATTTTGCTTTCTTAACTTAACTTAATTGTTCGGTCTTTAAGGTGTCTAGTGCCGCAGTCCCAAAATGGAACTTTTAGCTAACTAGTGACGTCACGGAGCCATCTTGGATCACGGTGGTCAGCCCAACCCGCCAAGCTTTCTATCAACGCTTCACCCCTAGCCGCCGCACATCTCACCCGGCGCGTTGCCGTCGCTTTGCCTTGACTCAGCTTCTGCGCGTGCTCCGCCTGAGGGTCTTCTTCCCGTGGAGAAATGCTGAGGGGTAAAACCCCGAGATCTTGAACGCACTAGGAGCTGTTCCTTTGGTTATCCTCAAAGTTAAGCAGCTACTGCTGTGCAGAAGTTCTCGAGAGAAAACCCATCCCCATAAATAAAATTCCATGAGGGAGAGAAAATTACAGAGCTAATTTCTCTCGAACCGAATGCCATTTTATTTATTAAAATTTTGCCTTTCAGTCTGTCAGGGAGTTTCATGCTGCTCATCGTTGTCATAGCTCCATCAAGAAGTTCTTGAAATTGATCTTGCTTTCTGCTCAGGTTTGACATGAGGACGACCATTTCTCCGAAGAGGACTGCAGTAATTATGCTTCCAATGAGAATCAAAAATGATCCAAGACAAGCTTGCGTCGCATCTCTTGGGACAACATCATTTCCAACTAATAACCAAACAGCATGATAAATTACAACTACATACTTTTTAACAGTGTCTGAAGTATAAAGATGTGTGATACCCGTTAAGAAGTCTGGAGTCGGGATCCATTCTTCATCATCTCGTATCACATAAAACCACACACAAGCAGTGAGGTGAACCCACATCATTAAATACAAAGTCAACTGTGCAAGTCTCATAAGTACTTTAACGTAATCTTTAGTTCTAGCAAATCTAAGCATCCTCCCAAGCCTTGTTAATATCTTATTTACTTTAAGCATATTTAAAGCAAGCCAGAGTTTTTTTCTTTCTGAAATATCATTATCTGAAAGGATCATAAGCTCTCCAACAGGCAGCGCTGATAGTAAATCATAAAAAAACAGCCTTGTCAGATAATGCCAAATTATTTTTTTGTGCTCAAAAATTTCATCATCCTTGGAGTCTATATAAGTGGTAAAGAAATTAAACCCAATATCAATGTAATACAAACAGTTAAGCCCAATATTCAGCTCCAAAAACCACGGGTCTATAGCATTGAAAAAAGCGATCACAAAAGGGGTAGTGATCGTATTGTACAAGGCTACAAGAATCATAAATAAATCCCAGCGCAGTCTAAACGGTCGACTTATTCGGATAAGGTTTGTGGTGACTTTTGGTAGGGCTCCAGCGTAGACTTCATTGAGCTCTTCTGCAATATAAGACTGATAGTTTGAATAATCATCTTCAGGGTTTCCTGTGCTGTCTGGCGATCTGAATTTGGACACATTGGAATAGGGGCTTGAATGAAAGTTTTTCATTGCGTCATTTCTGTTTTGGTTCCTTGATATATCAAGGGTTGAGTCTGCAGGAGTTATTTTCATTTCCTAAAATTATGAAATATTATATGCTTTTATAGGAAAGAAGGCAGCTAGAAAGCTAAAAAGATCTAAAAATTAAATTTAAAGAAACGCATAAAATGAAGCTATTTGATCAAATAAAATTGAAACGATTTTATTTTATTTTATTCAATTTATGAAAGGGCTAATTAAAAAAAGCAATTCAAGCTTATATTTGAGGACAAAATTTTTACCATTAGATAAATTCAAATTGATCAGCCATTTTGTTGCTGATTGGGTGATTGGTAGAAATAATTGAAACTAATGCATAATCATAAATCCTATTTATTCTATCCTATTTTTGCTATTTGCTTAAAAAGTATTTTGAAATGATCTCAACCTGTATATTTATTGTATTTTCACAAATATTTATGCTTATCTAAATCAATCAAAACAGCATAATTTAGTTTTCGATTCCAATTGCGCCTCCAGCTCAGCAATTCTTTGCTGCTGTCTCTTGATTAGAGCTCTTGCTTCATTTAACTCTTTTTCATACTCATTAACACTTTTATGGCCTTGCTGAGCATGCATTTGAGGAGTAGCTTGTATATGCAATTCAGCATGCGCAGAAGAATTCTCAATCTGCTTTATAGGTGCTCTTTTTGGCTCTCGATCCGCTCCGCCAAGCCATTCAGTTGTACTCATTGAAGGTTCTCCACAAACACAGTCAGGGTATATATCATCTTGGAAAGTTTCGCTTCTTCTTGGGACTTTAAAGCTTACCAAATCAATAGTGTTGTTGGTCAGCTTTACAGCTTTCATAATTTCGCAAGAATCTGTATTGACTTTTCTCTTTGGGATAAAGCTAACTCCTCTGCAAGGTACATTTGACCTGAAAGCTTCAATGTAATACATATATTGGTTATCTCCGACTACTTCGTAATATCGAATGTTCCCGTCACCTTTTCCAGCTACAAACAAAATTTTGGTATCAGGATCATAAAATGGGTACAAAACTCCTGATCCTTGATCAACGTTGACAAGTTTGATTGGTGCTGAGTGGTTTCTTAAATCCCATACTGAGACTTGTCTATCATTCATTTTGGAAAAACCACAAGTTACTATGGTGTCTTCTGCTATCCAGCCCATTTTGCTTGGCTTTGAGCCATCATGTGCTAGGGTCTCAAACACATTTCTCCCAGTTCTTGGGTCAGACACTCTGACGTACTTATCCCTTGTTGTGTATCCAATAGATCTTCCAATAGGACTCCATTGTAAAGAAAGAATCACATCATTAATATTTGAAATTTCGAGGGCTGGGCTTCCATTTTCAATATTCCAGACTTTAATTGACTTGTCAAATGATGCACTAGCACATAGAAAAGCTGCTGAAGGATGGAAATTTAGAAGAGTGACCTTTTTCCCATGGCCGTGTAAAGTGACTCGTGGAATTGTGAGATCTGAGGTTAATCCGCCTTCAGGAATATCCCAGAGCTTCAAAGTCGAATCATCACCACAGCTTAATAATTGGAAGTCATTAAAAGGATTGAATTCGTAATCTAAAATATTTCCTGCATGACCTTTTATGAAAGGGTGGCTTGGAGCAATTCGGCCTATTTCGGACATTGCAAATACGGCTAATACACCTGCACCACCGGATTCCCATGGAAATACAATATTAGTCCCATTAGATTTGATTAGGGTGCTTTCTGAGGAAAGAGTGCTTGGTCTCAGGTCTTCAAATTTTTCTTGCAATTCTTCACCGAAGACGTGTCTGAACTTCGATACCCTTACCACTGACACCATATTTTAATCAAGGGTGAATTTTCTCTCTTTTCAAATTAAATTACATTATGCTTGAAAAATCCAGTAATCATCTTTTAAAGGCCTGGAGATATTTTTGGTAACAGCATAAAAACAGTGGAGCAGCCTACCTTTAACTCTAATCCTAATCTTAATTAAAGGCTGTTAGATATATTGATGGACTATTCTAATAAATTTTATATTATGAAGAGGCAGATATTATTACTTATTTTCAAAGTTAAGCAAAGAAAATGGCTAAATTCTCTCTCGTCAGTGGCAAAAACTCTGATAAATGCTTATTTTATGAAAAATTAACCCCCTTTGTCAAGTAAAATATTTTGTAAATATATATATTCTTTATATAAAATAATTATAAGAATGAAACCGAAAGCTAATTATATTAAATTTTAGACAGATTGGATTCCTTTACAAATTTAAAATCAAAAAAAATCATAGCAAAAAACCCTTCATTAGCGAGCAAACAATTTTGTACGCTGGCCAAGGGAATAAGTGAATTTACTCAAATTAGCAATTAAATATTTAAGCTTGTTTTTGAAGAGGTAAAAACAATTTAAACTCTGGCGGCAGCTCCTCTTCTGAATAAAGTCTATCAGAGAAATAAATTCTTCTCATTCTGCAATTGGCATGTATTTGGACTCTTAAAGTCTCAATATAGTTGGTCCCATACGCTCTTCTCGTGAAATCTGACAAGTTAAACTGAATTTGGTTCCATCCTTCATCTAACCTCATCGGCATTGTGCATATGAACGGTTTTACTCTCGTTGTACTCTGATAATTCGACGCCCTAAATCTTCTTCGTATGTTTTTATCGTCAAGCACCTGCACTTCGAACGTAAAATATTTTTTGAGATTTTTTATGATCATAACTAAGAAGGGCAGCTTTATCCCTAAGGTTTGGTTAGGATCTGCAGGGCACGTAATGAAAGTGGTGCTCACATTTGTGCCCATTATTTCTAAGACGGAACTCTGAATATCTTGGTCTGTGATACGCTTTATGTGCCCATTTCTCACACTCTTGTCCCAGATCTGTAGTGGCTTGCTTCCGATGCTGTATAAAATTGATAAAAACCCTGACTGAAAGGTGTTTTTGAACATAACCGAAATAATATGGAAACTATTAGAGGAATTAATTAAAAGCTTACATTGGATTTGTGGCTTTGAGGATCAGCTGCTTTCGATTTGCCTCTTGGCTTGTGATTGGGTTTTTCTGGAGAGTGAGCTTGGTGAGGCCCGACACTTCGAGCGAAATCAGGTTGGATTGGGCTGTGGGTAGGTGAAGATTCTTCTTGATGCTGATAGCGGCTGCTGGAAAGAGATTTAAGAGAGTCTGAGTTGTTTGATGTGATTGATTTAGAAGACTTCGCAGAAAAACAGACTTGGCAGACTGAAGAAACTTCTGAGTTTTTGAAGCTGCATTTTGAACAAGTTCATAGCGGTTCTTTCATAAGATTTAAAGAGCCTAACTCGCCTAGACTGATTTGGTCATTGAAGAGGTAAAATTTCAAGTCAAATTCACATGGCGTGACAGGTGTTGTTGAACTTATTTCTCTCATCAGTTCTGATGTAATTTTTAAAAATTGTTCATAAGTTTGATCCAGAGCATCTATGGTTAAAGATTGTAGCTTTGTACTTCAAGCACAAGATTTTTCTAAATTTTTATTAAATTTCATTCTTTTTGCGTCAATAGCTGAAAGCTGATCTTTGAGCATTTTGTTCAAAGTCTCTGTAAACTCCGCTTTTTTATTAATTAACTGCTTTATCGCAGAGTCAAAAGCTGTAGTTACTTTATACATTTGGTTTTCATAGAACCTTGAAACTCTTTTATGAACTCCTTCAAGATATATATAAAATGACTGGTGACAAGCGAATCGTCCTTCCCACGGCGGGTGTTCTTATAGATCCTAACGTGGTATTTTGGTGAAAGAGCTACCTAAGGGTTGGGTTAGCCTCGAACGATAGGCCCAGCACTGTGCCCACTGATTAGTGGCCTTATCTAATCTAATCTAATGAACTCCTTCAATCTCTTTAATTGCTCTTTCAGAGTTTCTCATGACCAAACTTGCACTTTCTGATAGTCTTTTTACGTCATCTTTAATTTTGTCTGTGTTTACTTTAAACTGCTGAAGATCGTGACCAGATCCAGCATGCTGGATTACACATTCTGAGCATATGTAAACGTTATGAATTCTGCATCTGTATTTTATTTGCCGCTTTGGGTGGCTTGAGCAGTAAATTATTTTGGCTGTTGCTTTGGGTAAGTTGTGAAGGATATTCAAGCATAAAGGCATCTTATCAACTCCTGGATGAGGACTTTTGTCAACTGGGCATGCTAGGTACATGGAGGAATAAGAGAGAATGCAGGATTTGCAAAAGACGTGGCCACAAGGCAGAGATTGAGGAACTCGTGTTGAGTTGTTATAGAAATTGAAGCATAGACTGCATTCAAAGATTGAAGACTCGGACATTAAAATGGATTTAAATTTGGAATTGGTCTTTTAACAGGATAAAAAAACGATGGTTTTAAGAATGCTAGTTATGATAAAGTTACAGCTTTAAATGGAATAAATGTGAATAATTTTATTTGGCTGATGCATTTATTAATGAAAATTACTCATTTAGAGGTAAATTCTATTAATCAACTTTGATTTGATACAGGCATTATAAGTATATTAATTATGCAATACATAAAATAAATAATTCACTTTGTAATATGAATTAGCAATTATTTATATGCATTGAAACACATAATGAGATTTTAAAAGATGGCGACTAATATGGCTTTGCCGATAGCATTAAGTATCAAGTTCCATAGCTGATATTTCGATGAATACTTGTATAGTTTTAGAATTAGCACTCCCTACATGAGCGAGCAAAAAACTTTTGCTGTGTTTTTTTTGTTGAAATTTATTACATAAATTTTAGGGTCATCATGTTTTTCGAAATTAAAAAATATTAATTCGTAAAAATTTCTGTTTAAAAATGCAGGTTGTTTAAATTAGTAGAGATTTCATCATACTAATTATCACTTATATATCAACATATTTTTCATAAAAAAATTTACTTATAGAAGGTGGTTTTCCTTAAAAATAGGAATTCTTCCAATGATTTTGCTCGCTAATAGGGGAGTAAGTATTTTCATGTTAAAATTACATATAGCTTATATACCCCCTTATTTAATATACTTTATTGAACCATATAAATTTCTTTAAGAAACGATTTATAAAAACATAGTGATTTCTTTCAGTCAATCTGAAGCCATCAAAAATAATTAATTGAAGCCTTGACGCACATAACTTGTTATTCGCTAACCAATCATCGCCATTATTTAAAGAAGTAACATGCATAATTCGCGCATTTTAGTGAAATATTCATTACTTAAAGGATACTGCTTTGCTTCTTCTCTTGAGAACTTGTGAATGGACCTTTATCCTTATTTCATCAATTGTTGTAAGGTCTTCAGAGATGGTAAAGCTATGGATAATAACTTCTCGATTAGGTATCTTTGGCTTCTTTGCTCTTCTTGTGATATCTTTTGCTCCTTTTACCATGAAATTATTAAATTAATTGACTTTGCAAATAATTGTCATGTAAATTTAATTTCCCAAGCGATAAAAGTGTAACTAAGCCAATTCACTTTATGATGAAAGCTGATTCATGCTATTAATTTAGAGCAACCAAAGCAAATGAATAGATTTAATTTGTTTATTATAGATAATGCAAATATTTAACACTCTCAAGACTGTATGCCTCTTTTTATAATCAGATAAACATGGCTCGTATCTTCACTCATAGATTTTCAATTTTAATTTTTTATGAAAATAATTGATAAGAATTATTAATGCATGCAAAAATTAATGAATATAACTATATTTTTTCTATAAAACCAATTAATATGCATTTCACCATTAAAAAAACCAAATTTCATGAGGCGGTTTATGATAAAATTAAAATGAAATAAAACAATTCACTTTTTATCTGTAATAAATCTAGCAAACGCTTTTCAATCTCTAAAATCTTAAAATTCATAACAGAATTACTAATGCAAAAAGCTTTTTAATAGCATGTATCGAATTCAATGCAAGAATTTAAAAAATGTCAAGTGTTACTCACTATTGGGAAAAATACCGCCAGCGTAATAAAAGTCCATCAGCAAAGATCTCTGACACTCAGCATCTTATGACAGATAGACAAACATATGTTTCATTTTTAGAAGTCCAAGTTGAAAAAGCTACTCAAAATGCATTACTTACTCAAGGCTTATCAAATCGAGTGGACCAGCTTCAAAATCAAATGAACATTTTACTCCCCTTTAAGTGAGCAAGCAAAGTCATTGGAAAATTCCTATTTTTTAGGAAAAAGCCCCACCACCAGTGAGCGAGCAAAATCTTTTATTAAAAAATACTTTGATATATAGCCTAGGTAGCAAATTCTATTCTTTTTTTAATTTTACTTGGAAAATTTTTACGAGCCAGTTATTTAAGACGATTATACTGACCATAAGTGGATCTAATCACTAGCTGTCGCCCATCTTTGCTCCAAAAAGATCCCCCTTTTAGATTTCCAGCCTGAACCACCTTTTCAGGGAATCAGCTCCCTTGGGCAGAGCCATAGTCTGTGAGACGCCCTGATGGTCCCGATGAGAGAACACTATGTGGTAGAAAAACCTGTCTAGCCCATCTGGCATGGACATCTTCAAGCCTAAAGGCCTAATTCAAAAAGGGAAAGAGGCTCTGTTTTCAGCTTTATCAGGATGGATCCTACCTGCTCCATAAGAGTGCGCCTTGGAGTCCATTTTCTGTCAACGTCTCGATTTTATTTCGTTTTGCGACTAGGATTTTTAAATTCCAAAAAAAATTTACAATAAAGCTACATAAGCGTTTAAAAATCAAATGAGCCTCCTTCTCTGTGGCTGAGCAAAATATATTGCTCACTCACAGAAGGGGATTGTTAGAAGATCGCTTAATTAACACAAATCGGCTTTTAAAGCTGCAAAAAGACTACAGTGAAATCCAAGAAGATGAAAAATCTATACTATATGACCCCGATGTAAATCAAAAGCTCACAAAGCTTGAGCGCTTCACCCAGAACTTCAGCAACTTTGACAAACGACTAGAAGAGTTAGAAATGAAGCTTAAAGTTAAAAACCAAATGAACGATTTAGATGCTTTTGCCAAAGAGGTTAATTCAGCAATGGCAAATTCAGAAGCCAAATTATTCGAGCTTTTTTCAAACGGTTTAAGAGAAGTTGATAACAAAATCAAAGGAATAGAAGAAATATTGAACAATAAATGGACTCATGAAAATTCATATGAATTCGGATATAGAAGACATAGCGCTGACGAAACTAATGAACTATCAAAACTTCAAAAAAAAGTGTCAGAGATTGACGAATTAATCAGGACTAGGAAAAAAAGCCCAGAAATTAAAGGAGATGCTGGAAAAGTAAAAAATCATGATCTTGAAAGCAAAATTAAAGGATTAGAAAAAATTACAACTCACTCAATAGAAAAAATCAACAAAATTGTTGATATACAAGCTGATAGCAAATCAGTTGAAGAAAAACTAACAAAATCTATTGAAAAATTACAAAGTCTAATGCAAAAGTACTTAAAGGACCAGAAAAAGCTGCATTTCGAATTAAGCAGCTTGGAAAAAAAGTTCAGCAGCAAAAAACCTAAATCTCAAAATGAAAAAAACTATATGACTTTGCCATCAAACTCACCAATTTCTTCATTTGTGCAAGCCAGAGATCGATCATTATCAGATTTAGAAGACAAAATGCGAAACAGCTTTGATACTTTTGAAAGTTTAAAAATTCCATCCCCAAGCTTTAGAGATGCTCCAGACTACGATAAAGCCATAAGTAATTGCTAATTTAGAAGAAATTGATAATCTAGTAAAGCGAGAAAGGCCAAAAAGTGCAAATACAAAAGAAAATTCAAAGCAATCGAAAACACCAAAATCATTAAAAAGATCACATAGTAGTTATTCGCTATCTAAGTCTCCAAGACTAACAAAGAATAAATCTGAAATTGTCCCTCCAAAAGTTCTGATTTCTAAGTCAAAGCCAAAAGCATTCCATAAATCTTTTAAAAAAGGAAACATAAAAATCACTGAAAAGCCAAAATCAAAAAAGGTCAGGAATAGCAGCAAAAATGAATCTAAAACTTAATGTAAGTAAATTAAATTATTTAAGAAATAAAAATTAAATAAAAATGTTCAGAGTTTTATTATTTCTCTTAAGCTTTGCAATATGCTTGGGATATCCTATTTCGCAATCTTTTAGAGGAAGCGCTGAAAGTCAGAAATCCTGGATCTCATATTGGCTGATGCTAGGGATAATCACTTATTTTGAAACTTCAGTTCTCAGTCTTTTGCCTTTGTAATCAATATCCAGATTTTATTTATTTTTATTAGTGAAGCCAATATTCTGCATCTGGCTCATGCACTCTATAATCAAATATGGCGTCTCAGCGCTTCACTTTTGGCTTCGCTGACTTCATTCGAGTGCATATTTAATTATCTGGCAAGATTTTGCACGCCTAGAAATCAACGATTATGCTAGGAAAGCAATTCTGGTAATATACAGAACCTAGTCCTTTCAGGTTTGGATTTTACCTCTAGGGAAAAGGTGGATTCAGAGTTGGAAAGGAAAAGCCCAGCAAAGGCTGCAGGCAATTCTAGACTATTCAGGTAGCTTCTTAGTGTTAAACTGGGAGTTACACACCCCAAGCTTGGAATTTTTCCATTTGCTGATCGATGGCCAGAAATTCCATTTTTTGGAATTTTTGTGCGGTCAACCTTTGCTCGACCCAATCAGCATGCTGCAGAAGTCCGTAGCCTTCCCACTTAATACTGGACGAGCACAAGGCAAGGATAAAACGGAGACACAGAACCCTATTCACAGATGCCAAGGCGCGAGGTAGTGTAGAAGATAAAAGGTAGTGTTTACTGTAACTCGCCCAGTGAGTCATCTAGCTCGGAGAAGTTGCTTCCGCCAACGATTCCTTGGTGGATACATTAACAACAGGCAACAGCCAAACCTACAATGAGCTTAAGTTTAAGGCTCATGCATCCTAAGTACAGAGGAATCAATTTTATTGAAAATTCCTATTTCCAGCTAGCCTTTGACCAAATCCAACAATTTGTGAAGCAAACTCCCCTAAAGTAATCACAACTTAGAATTTATATAGAAGAAGAAACAGTGAAATAGATAATAATAACTCTAAATCACAATATAAATATGTATTATTGCACCAATAAAATAGAATTGACTTAGTCTTATGATTTACGATTTTGTAATGAAGGAATCTTGTGCTCAAGGAGCATAAATGTTTCTGGAGGAAGTCCAACAAGAGCTCTGAGGAAATTAGTAATCGAGTACCTTTGGTTGAATAAAGAGTGAACAACAGGCGATCCAGAAGGGACTTGAGGTGATTTCAATAAGAAGCTTAAAATGCTCAAAACTGGGTGCATTCTGGTGTATTCTTCGTCTTGAGCTCTTTTAATTTCTACTCTGGTGCAAAGTTCTGCTAAAAGAATGAGATCCATTATAATAGGTGCAGCTAGCAATGAGTCCTCACAGGTGTTATGTAATACAATAGTGTTTCTGCCACCCATAAAAATTTCACTTGTATACTCATCCATAGCTCTCTTACTGTCTCCGACGTATGGGACGTATTTGATAACTACGCAATGATCTGGATGCTCATTTTCTCCATAAATGAGCCTGTTGGCTCTAATAACATCGTCAATGACTCCACTTTTTGAAATTTCTTTTGATCTGAAGGTCTTCGGGGCACTGAGGTTTTTCCCATCATTGTTACCCAAATGGTTATAGCTGACTACCGAAGCCAGCTTAAGACCAGAGTTGATTAAAAAGTCAGAAAGCACAGTCTTAATCTTTGTTTGGCCGGTTTTGAAGTCATCACCAGCAATAAGGACTTGATGTCTTTCTGAGAGTTCAATCACGCCAGGTATGAATGTACAGTAAATTATTCGAATAATATAAATTTAAAAAAAGATAATAGAAGAATAAATTAAACCACAGAAATTAAAAGCTATTAACATTTTTATTAATAAATAAAAAAAAGAAAAAATTTTATGTTTTATAAGAAAAAAAAGTAATAGTGTATTTTGAGGGGATCCATTAATGTAAGTACATCCTTCTAATATACTCGCCACTGCAAAGATTGTTGATGGAGCAATTTCTGATTCATTGGCCTCTATTGCTCTTAAGAGGTTATCAGCTGTGTCATTCACGCCTTCACGGACTTCTGCATATCTTTCAGTGTTAGCAGTCCAGAGAACAATAACATTTTCGATTCCTTTTGACTGTTTGAATTCTCTAATATTTTGTCTCAATGCTTGGAGCTGCTCTTGTTTTGTCCCTTGAATGACATTATCTGCTCTATCATTTTGGTTGGCAGCGATGAAATCTTCTGAATAAACTGAAGGCCATGGGACCATGTCTTTAAGCTCAGGGTAAAGTTTTCTTTGGAGGTCATAATCCAAAACTCTGGCCCTTACCATGGCATCTGCGATATTCATGCTTGAAATATCCCATCCCCAGATTTCTAAGTCGACAGGATTTAGCATTGGTACGACGTCGTAGAGAGGAGCGTGGACTGGCTGGAGATTATCATCAATTCCAATCCTCATGGTAACTGAACGACAGATGCTTCCCAAGAAATTGGCATGATGCTCGCCTTCCTTAGTCATCCAGGTGGTTTTCAATTTGTTGGCCAAGATACCAGCTGTGAGCGTGGTACCATTGTTGCCACCCCATCCAACCAAAAGGACACCTGTCTTAGGTACTTGTCTTTGAGTTTTGAAAATGAGATTTTCGTTTAACGGAGTCACACGATTGCCCACCACTCTTGATTCACGATACTCATAGCGAGAAATGATCTCATTCTTACTATATTCGACGTTTGGGCTTTCTACGACAATAGGTTCTCCTACGAATCCTATTCCAGACATTTGTAAGTAGGGCGTTTATTCTTAAATTTACGGATTCAATGGCAGAAAATAGGTGAAGAAATAGAAAGGCTTAGGATGATATAAAAATTATAATCTAAGAAAAATGTGGTTCCATTATATGACAACTTTTAAAAATAGAGTTCAGGTTCATTTTAGGTCTTAGCTTGAGTAAAGGTTTTAGTGGTAAGTTGATACTTAAACAAAACCTCAATGTAAAACACTAATAATTTTATGTCTAAAATTATGTCTAATATGTATATTATTGTTTAGTTTTTACTGGACAAAATTAAGCGAAAGGTTAGAATATTTATCGATGTTGCCTTAAGGAATTGCGATAATTTTGTTAGTAATTCCCCCTCTGAACTGGAGCAAAAATTTCTTTTCAAATTTTATAGAGGGTTAATTTGTTTAATAAAAAAAATATATTAAATTTTTCTCTATAAAAAAAAATAAATTTTTTAAAACAATTATTAAATCAGTTTACCAACTGTTTAAGTACACCTCTTCTATTAAATTAGGTTAAAGCTATATATATAAAAAAACTATTTTCACATATAAAATTTACCATTGAAAAATTAAAATTTTGTTCCTATTTAAATGGGGTTAATAGACCCAAAGAATGGAAGTATTACCAATGCTTTGTTTCAATTTAAAGGAGGAGTAAGGTTTTTAGGCATAGAAAGGCTTCAACATCTATTTTTTATTGATTTTAAGCCGAATACAATACGGCATATTTAATTTAGAAATGTAATATAGCTTTCGATTTTAGCCAGACATAGACATTTACAAGTTGAATTTATTACTGAATTATTATTTGATTTATTTTTATATCTATTGAGTAATAAGAAAAAGTAGTTAAAGGATTGAGTAAAAAATATACCTTTAAAAATTGGCAGAGTTTTTGAATAATTTTATTATACCTCTATTTTTAATTAATATTTCAATTTCTATGAGACAAATTTTTCCTTTGATGCATTTTAAAATTTTTTCGGTCACAGCCTTGTGTTTAAAACACCAAAAGTTTCCAATTACTGAAAATATAAAATATTATTATTTAATATGAGATTTTAGATAATTAAATAACACAAATTAAAAGAAAGACCTAATCTTTTTAGTTATGATTTTTGAAAGCAGGGAATCTTGTGCTCCAAAAGCATAAAAGTTTCAGGTGGAAGACCTACAAGAGCTCGAATAAAGTTGGTAATTGAGTACCTTTGATTGAATAAAGAATGAACTATAGGGGATCCAGAAGGAACTTGTGGTGACTTCAATAGGAAACTTAAAATGCTCAAAACTGGGTGCATTCTTGAAAATTCTTCGTCTTGCGTTCTTTTAATTTGCACTCGAGTGCAAAGTTCCGCTAAAAGAATAAGATCTAAAATAATTGGAGCAGCTAATAGTGAATCCTCACAAGTATTATGTAATACAATAGTGTTTCTGCCACCCATAAAAATTTCACTTGTATACTCATCCATAGCTCTCTTGCTGTCACCTACATATGGGACGTATTTGATAACTACGCAATGATCTGGATGCTCATTTTCTCCATAAATGAGCCTGTTGGCTCTAATAACATCGTCAATGACTCCACTTTTTGAAATTTCTTTTGATCTGAAGGTCTTCGGGGCGCTGAGATTTTTCCCATCATTGTTACCCAAATGGTTATAACAGCTCCACATAATTTGATTGTGCACTTTTTAATATGTGAAATTTTCTCGAAGAAGTTTTGTTTACATTTTTCTAAAATCTGTTAAATTTCGCTATCAAAAATTTGGGCAAAATTTCTCCCTCTAATTATCAAAATGAATAATTATTGAACTTGCATCCAGTTATAACTGACAACTGAAGCTAGTTTTAGTCCAGAGTTGATTAAAAAATCACAAAGCACAGTCTTTATCTTTGTTTGGCCAGTTTTGAAGTCATCTCCAGCAATAAGGACTTGATGTCTTTCTGAGAGTTCAATAACGCCAGGGATGAATGTATTTTGAGGGGATCCATTAATATATGTGCAACCTTCCAATATACTTGCTACTGCAAAAAGTGTTGAGGGAGCAATTTCTGATGCATCAGCCTCTATAGTCCGAGCCTCCTTTTTGCTCGGGCTATACTGACGTTTTCAACATCGGAGGGAGTTGGCTTTACCAGCATTCTTGTTAAGCCAACTCCCCAGATAACAAAATCCACTGCATATTGAAGATTTGCCATCTGATGAGCTTGTTTTACCAATAAATGTAGGTAAAATAACCCTTCCGACGCCGGGAGACGTCAGTGTAGCCCGAACAAAAAAAGGTTTAGGCTATATTGATCTTAAGAGATTATCAGCAGTATCATTAAGACCTTCACGAAGTTCTGCATATCTTTCAGTGTTGGCAGTCCAGAGAACAATAACATTTTCAATACCTCTTGATTGCTTGAAGTCTCTAATATTTTGCCTCAGAGTTTGAAGCTGCTCTTGCTTACTCCTCCCCACCCTCTGTGAGCAAAACAAAAATTCTGTTCGTAATGAAGGGGTTAATTTATTTTTTAAAAAATTTTATATTGTAAATTTTTTTTACGAATTAAAAAAAAAAATAAAAATTGGGAAGCAAATATTTATTTAATTTGTCGCAATTTTTTCAAATTAAAAGATTTCATTATATTTATTGTCATTTATATATCAAAATTTTTTTAGGAGGGTAGGCAAAAATAGGGATTTTACAAATAGTTTTGTTCGCTCACAGAGGGGGGAGTTAGTACCATGAATAATATTGTTAGCTCTCTCGCTTTGGTTTGCAGCAATGAAATCCTCTGAATAGACAGACGGCCATGGAATCATATCTTTAAGCTCAGGGTAAAGCTTCCTTTGAAGGTCATAATCGAAAACTCTAGCTCTAACCATCGCATTAGCAATGCTCATGTTTGATATATCCCAACCCCAGATATCTAAATCGGTAGGATTAAGCATAGGAATTACACCAAATAATGGTGCATATACAGGCTGAAGGTTATTGTCAATCCCTATCCTCATAGTAACTGAACGGCAAATGCTTCCCAAGAAGTTCGCATGTTGCTCCCCTTCTTTTGTCATCCAGGTGGTCTTCAGCTTGTTAGCTAATATGCCAGCAGTCAGTGTCGTCCCGTTGTTTCCTCCCCATCCGACTAGAAGAACGCCAGTCTTGGGTATTTTTCTTTGAGTTTTGAAAGTCAGATTCTCATTCAAAGGTGTTACAATGTTCCCATTTACCCTTGATTCACGATACTCGTAGCGAGAAATGATCTCATTCTTGCTATACTCGACGTTAGGGCTAGCCACTACAATAGGCTCTCCTACAAATCCTGTTTCAGACATTTATAAATGGGAAATTATTACCCAAACTTAAGGATTTAATGGCGGAAAATATGAATTTTAGTTTAAGATAGCTCTTCAAGTCCTTACTTCTTGACCTCAGATTGGGCCAGCTCTGAATAACAGTAGGTGGGTCAGCTAGCCGTCAACCTGTTTCTATCCCCAAGCCCTTTGGATCTCTCTGACCTACACCAGACTCAGTGTAGACATATTCTCTTGAGCCGGGACTCTCAGAAATCGTGGACTTTCTCACTGAGTTCGGATGTAGGACATGAGACCTGACATTTTTAATTGTGAAAATATGAGTAAAATGAAGACAACCCCTAATGTGAATATAAAAATTAAAATCAATGAAAAATGAGTTCTTATTCAATTTTATGCATCACAAAATAGAAAATGCATCTGTTTAGAGCTAAAAATCTAATTTAAGCTGCTCTATAAAAATGTAAACTAACCAAGAATTTGAGTTAAAATAAGACACTGATTTAATATTTGCATAAGCATTGATTTGATTAGCATATATATTTATTTGATATCAGCAATAACACTATTATTTACAGTTTTTGATTTTTACTATTTATTTTATATATTAAAAGCATCATTTTTATATGATTAAGCAAATTTTAAACCGATATTTATTGAATATCCTTTAGTATAAATAGATCGGGAATGTTCTGGTCAGAATACTTTTTATTTACTCCCCCCCCCCTCCGTGAGTGAACAAAACCATTAGAAAAATCGCTATTTTTTGCCCAAAAACCCACCCTCCGTGAGTGAACAAAAATTTTTTTAATAGAAAAATATTTATGGAAAAAATATTGAGATATAAGTGATAATTAGTATAATGAAATATAGAGCTGATTCTGTTTAATTTTAAGCGAATTGCTTTTTAAAACATAAATTTTATAAATTAAATTAATATTTGCTTTCAAATTTTTGCGAATTAGGATTTTTTTAAATTTCGAAAAAACAAAATTTTATAAAATTTATATAAATTGTTTTAAAAAAAAAAAAATTTAACTCCCCTCCGCGAGTGAACAAAATTTTTTTGTTCACTCACTGAGGGGGGGGAGTTAGGTAAAATATTAATTTGCAATTTTGCATGAGTTTTTAGGTCAATATTGGCTCTTATTTCAGAAAAATCTAAAAAGAATAGTAAAATCTTCTTCTAAAGCTGCTCTGCTCCTGTATATTAACTACCCCTCCGTGAGCGAACAAAACCATTGGAAAAATCCCTAATTATTGCCCAAAAACCCACCCTCCGTGAACAAAGAAAAAATTATTTATGAAAAAATATTTGATATATAAGTGATTATTAATATAACGCAATCTCAAGCTAATTCTGCTTAATTTTAAGCAAATTGCTATAAAACATAAAATTTTGCAAATTAAATAAATATATGCTTTGCAAATTGGGATTTTTTAAATTTAAAAAAAAAAAAATTCTATAAAAATTTATATATAAAAATGTTTAAAAAAAAATAAACCTAGACAATTTTTTTTTGTCCGCCCTCTCGGGGGGGGGGAGTAAGTAAAATAAAAATTAAACTTAAATCACACGGCCATTTTTAAGTTCTGAATTAATTTAATACATTAAACAAATTCTAGTCTATGAGAACCACTAAAAGTTAAATGCTTTCTCATCGATCTGGTAGTTTTGGATAATTTTTGGTCGATTATAAAGGTAAATAGAGGCAATAATCACAACTAATGCGCATACAAACGGTGGAGTGATTTTAAACTCAAAATAAAACATACTAATAAATGCAGTCAGAAGCATCGAAACTGTCAAAGAAATCACATAAACGATGTTATCTAAATATTTGAACAAAAATGAAAGGCTCATCCCCATTATTGCTTGCACAAAGACTGCTTGAAACGCATAAAAATCTCACCCTTCAAAAATTCCTGGCTCTCCACTGCCAATCAGCTCTGTGAATCCCAAATAAATAGCATTAACTATAATCCCATAAATGGATAAAATAACATTTTGGTATCATATACTGACATCTTTCGTTCTCTTATAATACATTTCAGTATAAACGCTTGCAAATGTGCTCATTGAAACCATAAGTGTTATAAAGACTGAGCCTAATAAAGAGTCACTTCACTTAGAGCTGTCGTTTTCACCATTAGAAGGAGGAGTCGAAAGGACTGCTCCACTAGTTAGTAAACATAAAGAAAGCCATTGAATATCAGCCAGTTTTACTTTCATAATAACCCGATACAAAATTCCTGCAATTATTATCCTTACGTTCCCCAGAACATGGAAAACACCAGGATTGATGTAGCTTAATCCATAATATACAAGGGTATTTGATGCTGCATAAAAAATTGCTGGGATTAATAAGTGGACACTTTGCTTCAGGCTAATATTCGTAAGCGATGCTCTTTTGGATAAATCAGCTGTGGAAAAAATTAAGAGGAAGACAAAGGTGTTTATGGTGAATTTGAAAATTTCTCCTAACAGCACCATCATCGTTTTATTGTAAGCATAAGTTCCGTCAGGCTGTTGAGAAGCTGTAATTGCTAAAGGTTGCCAGCATTTGATTCCGATAGAGAATACTATCATAGAAAAATAGGTCAGGGAATTCAAGGATTCATATCTTTTAGTTTCTTTGCTTAGTAGTGGCTTTGCTGCAATATTGTTTCCACCTTTATCATTGATGAAATCTCTAATTCTCCATTATAAATAAATTTCTTTGTGTTTTTAAATAAAGCTGTTTACATAAATAAATATAAATCTCAATAGTCTAAAAAATATAAGGTTTTATTATTTAATGCTAAAGTAAGCTCTATTTCATTTATTTGCTTATAGTAGTTAGACATAATTATTTTATATTAAATCATTGAGTCGAACGACACAATTTTAGACTCCAAGTTGAATCGGTTTACCAAGACAATATTATGGCTAGGCGCGGAAAATCTTGGAATTGAAATAATTTTGACTCCTTCATATGTTGATGTTCTATAGCTCCCCAGGTTCCCAACAACATATAAATGGGGAAAACTATCAATAATAAAAGGATCGTAGTCTTGCATAGGAATACATGCTAATGCATCTGGAGCAATCGGGGCTAAATGTCGAAATTTTAATGTCAGTGCCATTAAATCTGTGAAAGATAGGTTGGGATTAGTAAACTGAGACAAAACACTTATATTTTGGCCAGATGTGCATAAAACTCGACAATTATCTATCATGAATTCATAAGGATTTGGATAAGAATGAAGAGCTGAATATCGAGATGAAGAAGGCAGTAAGTGCGGGTTAATAGGCTGCTGAGGTAGAGATGAATTTGAAGGGTCCATATCTCCAGGGATTAAATCAACAGGAACAACTCCTGCAAGCTCTGACAAAAATGTATCTAAAAACCTAATGGAATTAGCCAACTCAGCTGCTCCTCTTAAACTTGCATCACCAATTGCTTTTCTGTCAATCATTCTAGCTTCATCATGCTTATAAATTGAATCTCCTAATATGACGAGTCTTATGATTTTTCGAGAATCCTCCAACGACTCTTGTCCTAAGTTCCCCATAATGTATTGTGAAAATAAATTCAATAAAATATGATCATATCCAAGACTCCCCATTTCTAAGCCTGACACAAAGCAAATATACTCTTCACCCCTACCTTTTAATTGAATAGGCTTTTCAATTTGAGGAAAATAAAGCTTTTCTACGGAAAATGTTCCTGTATGCTCGATAATTCCAAATAATCCAATTTGAACGCCTGTAACTAAGTTTAGTCAATCATCTTGGCAGTTAGTAAAATTAAGCAAAAGTCTGCCACTCATGTCTTCAAGCCATAGCTCGTCATTTTCTGATCAATAATTCCCAAAATCGCTAGGACGGGATTCAATAGAACCAACTACAGAAAGATATTTTTGAATGGTTGAAGGCTTGGCTTTGTGGTATCTTGCAATAGTTCCATATATTACTGCCTTTTTGTGTTGTTTTAGATCCATTAGATTTTCTAGAGGTTTAATTTTGTTTTCATGGGCGGCATTTTCTAATGTCCTTGAACGAAGCCCATTTAGTCGAGCATGATAAATTTGTAGGTATTGCTGGGAAAAGTCAAGGTTTGCAATAAATCGCTGCCCAATAAATTCATAGTTGTATGAAAAATTTCTTCCTTCTTCTTTTTGAGTCATTGTCTAAAGAAAATTTGTGTATTAATTAATAAATGGCTCTATATCAAATGGCAGTGTATTTCTGATAATGTACATTTCATCGAATTATTTGGTCAAAAAATGTAAACAGTGTGAAATTTGTTCGAAATTTAACTTTTTTTCGGTCAAATGTCTCACTAATAAAGTTTCAACCAATTTTCAACCTAATGTGCTTCGGTGAAACACTCTATCAAAAGTGCACAATCATTGGATCTGCACCCTTAATAAATAGGGATGAAAAATATTCCTTTTAATTTGCAATAAACGATTGAAATTGATTTACTATTTTATATTTAAAATCCAGAATCTCATATAATTTAAAATATGATTATAATAATTATAATCAGCAATAAATCTAACTTATGTGCTTTAGACTAATTTTTATCTGGCTCCTTTTAATTTCTCTTTTCTGGTTATTTGATGAAATCTCTGACCGAATCAGAGAATTCAAAATCGAAACTAAAAAAAATGCAAACATCAAAATAATGATAATTTCCCAAATCATATTTATCAGCGGCCTGGAGTGATTTTGCGACGTTGGATCTCTTACTATAACGAACAAAACCATTAGAAAAATCCCTATTTTTTGCCAAAAAGCCCACCCTCTGTGAGCGAACAAAAATTTTTATAATATAAAAATTTCATATGAAAAAAAAGTTGATATATAAGTGATAATTATTATAATGAAATCTCTATCTAATTCTGTTTAATTTTAAAACAGCTTGCATTTTAAAACATAAGTTTTACAAATTAAATAAATATTTGTTTTCCAATTTTTGCGAATTGGGATTTTTTTAAATTTCAAAAACAAATTAACCCTCTGTGAGCGAACAAAATTTTTATTCGCTCACGGATGGGGTGGGAATTAATACTTTTTGTTGAGCTTCTAGCCAGTTACTTAAGTTTCCTTTTAGCGCAGGAATTGCAGACTCAATAAATGCTAGTACTGACTTGATATGATTTTTACTGAATAGAAAAATCGTAAAAATAAGCTGTATATGGACTTTTATAAAAGCCTTCCCTATAATCGTTGCTCCTAAAAACACCAACAAAGATACTCCAAAATGGCCGCATAAAATTCCTGCTAAGTCAAACAAAGGGTTTGGGATGGAAGCGCATATCAAAATCGTAATAAACCCATGTCTTTTTAATGATCTCGCCATAAATTCCTTAGCTCTATCCATAAAGCTCTTTTTATTCAAATGCTCCAGCTCTTCTATTTCTTCTGATTTTACATTTGCTGCCCTCGCAGCTTTAGCCAAAAAATAAGGAGGTAGCTCTCCTAGCGCAGTCCCAAATCCTCACAAAAAGCTTTCTAGCTGAACTGAAAGGAGAATTGCCCAGAATGAAATTTCTTCCGATTTCGGATTAGGACAATCTTCAAAGGACTGATAATTTCATCGGCTGGGAATCATGGCAGGGATATAATTACATTGATATGCTACCAGCGTAACTTTAGCAATGTGAGGTCCTAACTCCCCCCCCCCCCTCCGTGAGCGAACAAAAAAATTTGTTCGCTCACGGAGGGGGGTTAATTTTTTTTTTTTAAAAAAATTTATATATAAATTTTTATAAAAAATATTTTTTTTCGAAATTTAAAAAAATCCTAATTTGCAAAATTGGGAAGCAAATATTAATTTAATTTGCAAAATTTATGTTTTAAAACGCAATTTGTTTAAAATTAAACAGAATTAGCTCTAGATTTCATTATACTAATTATCACTTATATATCAAAATTTTTTTTCTATTAAAATTTTTTCTATTAAAAAAATTTTTGTTCACTCACGGAGGGTGGGTTTTTGGTCAAAAAATGGCGATTTTTCTAATGGTTTTGTTCGCTCACGGAGGGGGGGGGGGAGTAAGTACAATATAAAAGTGTGTAATCCTGTGCCTAACCCTATTGATGACAAAACTCCAAGTCCTATTCATCATAATATAAAAATAAACACTTCTTGCACATGAGCAACGTACTGAATAGAAAATTACCGGTTGGTGTAGACCAGGGATGAAGTAAATGGAAAAAAGAAAGCTTGTGCAGCTCATGATTAGAATTGAGTTCTTAAAAAAGTAGTTGAGGCATTTGAGCAGCAGCCTGCCTCCGAGCTTCCCGAGGATGTGTAGTGAAAGGACTGGACTATTGAAAATATTGACAGTGTTGGGCTCTAAAACCATTTATTCCTATTTATATCATAAAGTTGATTAGCTATATGTGATATTCAGCAATAGACTTTCTTTACTAAAAAATAGTAAAACATAAACAATTCAAATTGGACAAAAACGAGCTTATTATATACATTCTATGAGTTTCTTATTTAAATGATTGCAAAAGCACTCAGTTTAATTAATATTATAAATAAAGAAGTCATATATAACTTTTAGTTTATCATTTCAATACTGCTGATGCTTTAAAGTATATTATTCGTTAATGTAAAACTTTATACACTAGTTCCACCATACTACTCTGCCAGGCCTGCCTGCTCGATGATGAATCACAGGATGTGGATGGAATATTGGGTTTTGCCCATTTACAAGCTTATTGACTTCACTTGGGTTTGGAAAAGGAGGCGGCTCAGGCTTAGGGTGATTTTCTTTTGGTGTCCCTAAAATTAAGGAAGCAACCCTATTCATATTCTTATGAAGACTTGCTGGGCTTGGTAATACAATTTTTGGCGGAGACACCAATAAATTCATAGGATTTTGCTCAATAGGACTTAATTTCCGATCATGCATTGGGAGAGGCGCTTCTTCAACATTGATTTTGTGCTGGCAATTTGAAGGCATTTCTGGCTTAGATGCAGCTCTGTATAGTGGGATGTTATTTTGTTCTAATAATTCTGCAGTAGGAATGGCTATACCTCTTGGGGATGGCTTTGGAAGCATATTCCTTCTGCTTGATAAAGGGGCGTCTTTATCATTCAATGGAGGTAATTTTTGCAAATTCAAGGCTTCTACAATGTTTTTTCCAAGCTTAGGTCTATCATGTCTTCTCGCACTGACTAACACCCTTGGTTTTCATTCAATATCTGCTAAATCTCTATGAGAAAACTCAATAGGCCTCGGAGCATCAGCACTTAGCCCTCTTTCTTTAGGCTCATACTTTGCTTTTGGAAGATTCAGCTTCAAATTCTTATAGTTCGCAGCAAGAGCTATCGTTCCAAGTAGAGCTCCTGCGCTTTCCGTTTCTTTCATTTCTTTCTGATTCATATGTTTAGCGACTGCTGGTATTTCCAAAATTTTGTCACATGATGGCCTTAAGCTTGGACTTACTTGCAGAGTGACCCTAATAACATTTGCAAGATCCAAAGAATAAATCTGAGGGATATTAGGGTACATTCCTTTTATAATTTTCCTATAGAGCCCTTGCATATCAGTTGCTGTAAATGGAGGCAGCAAAGCTGCCATTTCATATAATACACAGCCGAATGACCATATATCTGAAGAATATGTATAAGGCTGGTTTTTCCATACTTCAGGACTAGCATAATATGGAGTCCCTGTTTGTGTGTGGGCCATTCCAGATTTGTTTACCTTAGAAACATTTAAATCTCCAAGCTTAACAACTCCGTCTTTCGCTAAAAATATATTCGCACACTAAATAACGGTTACTTTTAGGTCCCTGTGCAGTATTTTTGAGTCATGCAGAGCTCTAAGCCCTTTTGCGATTTGAATTAGAATATCCCAAATTTCTGTTTCTGGAAAATGCGTCCCTTCTTCTTTATGAGCCTTTATTTTATTCAGCAAGTCTCCGTGCTCAGCTAGTTCCATAACAATGCATAAAGTATTAGTTTCTTCATCAATAAAAGCTTCTTTATAGCTGATAATATTAGGATGACTAAACGAAGCCATAATTCTGATTTCATTTACAGCGTTTTCTTTTTCTTTCTGATTAAGTGATGAGAATTTGACTTTTTTCAGCGCGTATACTTGGCCATCAGATTTTCGACGGACCTTATATACAGTTGAGAATGCTCCTTCTCCAAGCTTTGACAAAATTTCAAAATCTTGAACTGACATTTATATGAATTTGCTTTAATTTTAATCAGATAAAATAACTCTCAATACTATGTTTTTTGAAATGTAAATTTTAATATGGGAAACTATACAGCAATGAGAGTATTTTCTATATAGACGTGCTGCGGAAACAGCTTGTGTGCGCCTCAGTTCGAAATTTATGTGTCAGATCGTGAAAACCTGCCTGCTCAAAATCCTGAAACAGCGTTAACAAAAAGGAACAAAAATGATCTTCAAGAAGCTGAGCCTTTAAAAGAACAAATGTCAGCTATTAGAGAGTCTATTATGCTGGACTCACAATACCGAGACACAAGTTTTGACAGGTCAAGAATACAGAAATTAGAAAGCGCTATGCATTATGCGAAATTATTGAGATTAAAAGTATTAAGCTCGGCGACACTTCCGAAGAATTTGGTCATTTCTATCAATGCGTTGGGACATGAAAATTCGTTAAGAGATGTGAAGGACGGGATTACTTATTTTGGGTGCAAAAAAAGAGCAAAGTCTCAAGGGATAGGAAAAGGACCAGTTATCAATGATTTTGTAATCCCTTCCCAAGACAAATATTTGGCAGAAAAACACAGAGGGCAGCATTTCCAGATTTATTATGATCTTATTAAGGACGCTTATTATGTAAAAGATTTAGGGGTCGGGTTTGGGACGTTCTTGAGGCTTGCATCTCAGCTTATTTTGAAGGAAAATTATTTGCTGCATATGGGAGATAACTTCATTTTGGTGAATCTTGTGGCAAGTCCTGATCATAACTCCCCAAGGTTAAGGCTCAAACTATTTGGCGCCCCATGCTCTGGGGACGTTTTTTATTTTAACGCTTCAGATTACAATGAAAGCGTCATAAGGATAGGAAGGACCACTAGGCTTAATTAGATTATAGAAAAGCTCCCTGTCGGGATCTGAAGATCCTTATTCCCTTTAGAAAACGAGACAAGCTTGCTTATTCTCAAATAAGCCCTTGGCTCTAATGATCTCAACAATAATCCAAATAAACAGAAAGCGCTTTAAAAACGTTTTAGACCTTCAGAAATAAGACAGCTGAGATTTTGAACGGGCAAAATAAAAACTTTTCTTCTTATTCCCTTCTATAGTACTCCACTCGTCTGTAAGGCGAACTTCAAAGTCTTGCTCCGCCTGCTCCCTGGGCATTGGAAAGTTTGGATCACCACGCTGTACTTCAACAAGGTTGCCTACCATTGAAAATTCAAAAGGGTTGAATTTTCTGGTTTACTCTGGGCTAAGATGGAAATCCATAGCCCAAAGCGTAAGGATAGGGAGAACCACAAAATGTGAAATTCAAATAGAAGATTCTTTGATTTCCAAGGTGCAATGCACTATTTATTATTCCTTAGAAGGATGGATTTTAGTAGACGGAGACCTAGAAAATGACAGAACAAGCACAAATGGGACCTGGCTTTACTTGAATGAAAACCACGAGCTGTCCAATGGGATGATGTTTAAATCCAATCATACCTTGTTTCAAGTATCTATTGTGTAATTTTTTTAATAATATGGCTATACTTAATAAAGCAATCAAACTTGCTTCAGGAGTGCAGATCCCACAGATAGGAATAGGAACTTTTGACATGAGAGGCACTGATTGTACAAGTGCGGTTTCAAGCGCACTTAAACTTGGATACAGACATATAGATACAGCACTTGCATATAAGAATGAAAATGTCCTAAAACTCGCTGTAAATCGAGTCCCGAGGGAAAATGTTTTTATTTCTACCAAAATTATCCCTTCCAGCAAAGGATTTCAATTTACTTATATAAAAGTTCTGAAGTCTTTAGAAGCAATGCATTGCAAATATTTTGATATGGTGCTTCTTCATTGGCCAGGAGTTGATGGATTTAGGCCTGATGACCCTAGAATGCCTAAGATGAGGTTGCATAGCTGGGAGGCATTAGAAGTTTTGAAAGAAGAAGGGAAAGTAAAAAGTATTGGGGTCAGCAATTTTTTGATAAACCATTTAGAACAATTATTGGAACGAGCTAAGACAAAGCCTGATGTAAATCAAATTGAGCACCACCCTTATTGCCAAAACGGAGGATTAATCGATTTTTGTAGAGAAAATAGCATACAAATAGTAGCGTCTTCACCTTTAGCGAAAGGAAATGAATCGTTATTCAATAATGAAACCCTAAAAAGCATCGCAGAAGACAAAAAGGCTACAGTTGCCCAAGTGGCTCTGAAATGGGCTGCACAAAAAGACTTTGTGATAATCCCAAAAAGTGTGAATCTATCTAGAATGAAAGAAAATATAAACCTGGATTTTTTCAGCTTAAACGCAGAAGATTTGGCAAGAATTGACTCATTGAATCAAAATTTTCACGTCTCTTGGGACCCATCCACTATTTTAACTTAAATTACACAAAAAATATTTGATGATTTATCATTTAATTATATGCAATTTTAACCTCAAGTAAAGACTATTATTATGTATTAAGCCATTGCTTGATTCGTATCAGTGTCCATATTGCTATCATTATCCATTGGTTCATATATTTCATCTTCTTCTATCAGTCCTTCTTCAATGCCACTCAGGTCCGATTCAGTCTCGTTCATTAATTTTCCATTGGATATTGTAATTTTCATCCCTGAGCTTGCTCCTTCAGAAACCTCTGACCCTACTTCAGATCCTTCTTCAGACTCCGAATACTTCGACCTTTTGCTTCCTGTGTCTTCCAGCGGTGAGCCATTTCTTTTTCTGCCTTCTCTTGGTATATCGTAATCTCCGAAGTCAGTATATACAATATTTTTCCTCTGCCTCATTCCTCTACCATACTCAAAAATGTCTTTTCTATAAGTTTCCTGAATAGTTATAGGATTTTTCTCTATATGGCCGGATAAGGGCCGTGGGTTCTCCGTGGAATCCCTCTGCTGGTTGAACCAACCAGTGAATTGGTCAAACCAACGCACTGAGTTGGTTTGACCAACAGGTGGATTCCACGGAGAACCCACTTCCCTTATCGGGCCATATAGGGAAAAATATTATAGCCACTCAGGGAGTTTTTCATCTTGTATAAGTCTGACTTTATAAGGCTCTTTTTGCCGTCTTTCATAGTCCATCTGTTCGAATATATTCAACTCGTCTTCATTTCTTGAAATATTTTTATTTAAAGTGGCGTCATCGAGGAATTCGTCTTCGTCGTTGCTATCGTCGCTTTCTTCGCTTCTTAATAAATTTCTTAGTCTTTCGTTTCTTTCTTTATCAGTTGCTTTGGTGTTAAAAAGCCCAGCTTGGATAACTTTGGCATCGACGTCTTTTTTATAAGCTGCCTTGGTAAGGATAGTTTCTTCGATTTTTGTGTTTGTGACTAGTCTATAGACCCTCACCACTTGTTTTTGGCCAATTCTGTGAGCTCGGTCTTGAGCTTGTAAATCCATCATTGGATTCCAGTCAGAGTCATATATAATTACTGTGTCAGCTGTCTGCAAATTTAAACCTAAACCGCCAGCTCTGGTTGACAGCAAGAAAATGCGGTATTCGGAATTGGGAGCGTTAAAAAGCGACATTCGTGCGTCACGGTCTTCTACTTTGGTAGACCCATCTAAGCGGAGATATCGAAATCCTCTGTAGTCAAAATAAAGAGCCATGATATCCATTAATTGAGTCATTTGTGTGAAAATCAGAATTTTGTGTCCACATGCTATGAATTTCGGCAGCATTCTGTCTAGAAGTTCAAATTTACCTGACTCCCCACTCTTCTTGAGTGAAAAAAATAATTTTGTTCACTCACAGAGGTTTAATTTTTTTTTTTAAATTTATATAAATTTTATAATTTTTTTTCGAAATCTCTATCTCAAAAATTAGAAAACAAATATTTAATTGGAAAATTGATGTTTTAAAATGCAATTTGTTCATAATTAAACAGAATTAGCTAGAGATTTCATTATACTAATTATTACTTAAATATCAAAAATTTTTTCATAAAAAATATATTTGTTCGCTCACTGAGGGTGGATTTTTACCCAAAAAATATTGATTTTTTCAATGGCTTGGTTCGCTCAAGGAGAGGGGGAGTGAGCATCGCCAAATTTCATCATCTATGACATTTATCTGATCAGGGTTCAAAAACAAGTAAGGATGGTTGCAGACTTTTCTAAGCTGCATCACAGAGTTATTAAGATTAAGATTTATACTCTCATAAGTGGGAGCCCACTAGATGGACTTCCTTGATTCCAGTGGCCTACGCTAGGTGCTTATAGGCCAGAGTGCAAATTGTGTAAAGCCTACCAAAATTTCCACCTCTTGAATTTTCGCCGAGACTTACCTAGACTAAGGCTCTCTATGTTAGAGTCACCTCTGTAGGGTGCCCCTATAGTTCGGATAGACAAAGACTATGTAAGAGGCAAAACCTGTCTAGCCTGTCTAGTAGGGACAGGAAAACCCTTGGGATAAACAAAGCATTTCCCTCTTCGGCAATCTCCCAAATCTGAAGGCTTACTTCAACTTTTAGCTTCATCAAAATGGATCTGTTCCATAGGAATTTTCCCTCGGAGACCTATTTCCGTCATCGACGCCATTTTATTTCTCAGAGTTGTTAAGAGTTTTGCATTTCCATGAGCTGCTTTCTCTGCTGATGAACTCTTTGTCCTGAATATCTTTGTAAAGCCTTTTCTGCCAGGAACTGAGCTCTACTTTGAGCACGAATTCAACTTTATCTGGCAGCTCAGCTTCGACTTCTTTTTTGACTCTTCTCAGCAAAAAGGGTCTGAGGACTTGGTGGAGACGGTTAATGACCAGCAAGCTTTCTTCTTCATTCAGCTCAAGACTCTTTTCTCCAGGAATTTTCGAAAAAGGCTGGTTAAAGAATTTTTCAAAATCGTCCAATGAATTAAAAATGCTGGGAAGCAAAAAGTTAAGCAATGCCCACAGCTCAGCTAAGTTGTTTTGAAGAGGCGTCCCAGTCAGTAAGAGTCTATGGTCAGACTGGTACTGGAGTCCTAAAATCTGTGCAAATTTTGATTTGGCGTTTTTCATTCTGTGGCCTTCATCGACCACAATATAAGACCAGTGGACTTTGCTGAGCTGCTGCTTGTCTTTAATTATATACTCATATGTAGTTAACAAGACGTTGAACTTGCGTGAAGTTAATGCAGTATTAATGATTTGTTTTCTATGAGCAGGAGGGCCTTTGTATATCACGACTTTGATTTTTGGCGTCCATCTTTTGAACTCTAAAACCCAGTTTGAGACAGTCGACAAAGGTGTCACGACTAAGAATGGCCCATGGTTGTTTTTACTATCAATCAAATATTGGAAAAGCGAAATTGTTTGTATAGTTTTCCCCAGCCCCATTTCATCTGCCAAAATTCCATGGAGCTTATTGTTATAAAGTGATATCAGCCATTGTAAGCCTATAAGCTGATAAGACTTCAGCTGGCCCCCTTCAATTCCTTTAGGCTGCTCTTTGATTTCTTCATTAATCGTGTGTGTGATTTCATAATACATGCTGGACGACTTTTTAAGTTTATCTGTGATGCTTTCAGTTTGCTGTTCTTCAGGGATCAAATCATCTTCTTTTGTCTCTCCTTTTTGTACTAGCACTTTTGCGCCTAATTTCCTCAAGAACCCGTCAGTCTGTTCAAGAATCTTCAGCAGTCTTTCATTCTTAGCAGTCGCAAGCATATCAATATAAGTGGACATATCATTTTCTCTCAAAATCCTAAGCCTTTCCCTGTCTGCTTTTTCTTGCTCAGCCATTTCTTTTCTGTCAGCTAAATCTAACTGGCTTTTGCTTCCATAAATATTTTTCCTATAAATAGAGTGTTTCTTTTTATGGAACTCAAAAAACTCGCGATGATGATTCATAAGCTCACACAAAAACTCTCTTTCGCGGGTTTTTTTCTTATGCTCAAGGCCATTTCTCATAGATTGCTCATATCTGCTGATGATTTTTGCTTCTTGTTTAGCTCGGATATCTGGTCTCTGCCCAACTCTCATATAGAAATCTCTATCTAGAAGACTTAGCTCCAATGCTTTGTGGCTCTGATCTTTTTGGGTTTCCCCTCTCATGTGCCACTCTTCAAGGACTTTTTTCCTGAGCTTGTTCTGAAGGTCCCTCAGCTTGATCATGTATTTTTCTTTCATGATCTCATCTCGAATTTCAGGATCCATCTCTCCCAGTAAAAGACGATCAAGCTCTTTTAGGCGAAGTTCGTAGTAAAACGAAACTGTTTTAGGCTCAATTTTACCTGGAACTTGGCGGTTGGATGTGTCATAGGTTTCTTGGACCTGGCGAGCTTTGGATTGAGTCAGCAGCCTTGAGTGGGCAAAATTGAATTTTTCTCACTCTTCTGAGCTGAGTCTTTTTATGTGCGTGATTTGGCTAGAGGATAAGGTTTGGCTGTTGTTTAGGGTCTTGAATGCTTGAATTTGCTGGTGAAGCTGATGGATCTGCTCTGGGGTGAAGTTCAGGTTGGGAGATAAAGGGCTGATGTGAGGCTTTGGTATCGAGAAATTCATTATATAGTTAACTGAATTGATTATGTGCTGTCTTTTTTTTAAAATTGTAAACATTATTAATAGGATTTTTAGTTTAGTAAAAAAGCATATATCTTAAATCTATATCTAAATTAAATTTTAATTTAAGTGTCTTTTACATTAGCAGCTAACTTCTCAAGCATGAATTATCTTATTAAAATAAAATATTTGGTAGAATTAATTTATTTTTATAAGAGGAGTAAGAATAATCTGATATATAGCCTTAGAACATAAAATGGTAAAGAATTAAGGTAAAAGGTCGTGCCTTGGGATTACAAAATGGTGTCCATTTTATGAAAAATTTTTATTGTTTAGGTCCAGCTGTTAATATCTATTGACTCCCGAATTTGTTTCGACAGTTTAATTTTTGATATACATTTTCATATGATTTATATGATTTGAGATTAGAATATTGAATGCTCATTCTCTTAAATAATGAAAAAGTTACTATCCTAGAATGCTGCATGCAAGCTAAACAGTATAGAAATCAATAAAAAATTATAGTAGTGATAGCTGCTTTATTTTTACTCCCCCCCCGTGAGTGAACAAAACCATTAGAAAAATCGCTATTTTTTGCCCAAAAACCCACCCTCCGTGAGTGAACAAAAATTTTTGATATATAAATGATAATTAGTATAATGAAATCTAGAGCTAATTCTGTTTAATTTTAAACGAATTGCTTTTTAAACATAAGTTTTATAAATTAAATTAATATTTGCTTTCCAATTTGTGCGAATTAGGATTTTTTAGAATTTCGAGAAAAAAATTTTTTAGAAAATATATATATAAATTTTTTTTAAAAAACAAAAATTAACCCCCCTCCGTGAGTGAACAAATTTTTTTTTGTTCACTCACTGAGGGAGGGAGTTAGAATAAATATGAAACTTTAAAAATATAATTAAAATTACTTATTCCATATCGAAATCTTGAACAGAAAATTTAGAAATTTAGAATTAAAGTTTGATTTTCGGCTGAAAAATCTTATGACCATAGATTATTAAAATTGCACAGATTTACTTTAAAATTGCTATGATCTATAATCAAAATAATTGAAGAAATTATTTTGTACGAATCAGCACTAAAATCAAAAATTTCATTTATTGAAATAAACTTGTCTTAAATTTTGATTTAGTTTTACTCACTTGCAAAATTTAAAATTAATTTAGTTATTTCCCGCAAATGGATACATATCAATAATAAAATTTGCCACAATCTTATCAATGGCAGATTCCAAACCTCGCAAAAGATTAAAAAAGCTTGTACGTGGAAAGGATGAATCTCCTACATTTAAAGAAGATTTCATTCCAAAAAAATCTGGAGCTTCCTTATCTAACTCTTTATAATGTTAAAATCAATTTTTATATACTTTTGATAAATTAAGCTTTCCCTGGAGATTGCTTTGTAATTAAAAATTAATTAATAGAGCACATTAATATATATTAAAAATAAATCCTTAAGATTCGACTCGCCTATTATCATTTTAATAATAAATTTATTTTAAAACAGCCCCCTAATAAAATGGCGGCATGATATGAAGTTGAAGAAGAGGGTAAAAGATAGCATCGGCAAGATAATGGGATCTCCGAATGCAAAACCACTACATGAAGACGATTCCTCCTTAGAAGATTGAATCACTGACAAAGTAGAATATGACAAATATGGACCTCCAGTTAGTTCCTCAGAGTCTGCACATTCCACCGATGAAGAAGGCGAGGCACGCAAAGCCCGTAAGCGCAAGCCTTCAAGTAGTAGTGAAGAAAGTGCTTCAGATACCAGCAGCATATCAGAGTCATCCAGATTTGCCTCTGAAAATGAAGATCGTAATGAAAACGAAGAGCCCAAAAAAATCTTAGTCGGCAAACAAGCATTAGAAGAGAAAAGGGCACGAGGACTGATCCCTGAAGTCCCCAAAAAAGAAAAAACAGATAAAGAAAAAAAGTCAAAAAAGCACAGCAAAAAGCATGAGAAAAAGCATGAGAAAAAGGAAAAGAAAATACAAGAAAAATACGAAGAAATAGTTGAGAAGAAAAAGAAAACAAAAAGTGTTGATAATTCTAAAAAATATATACAGTTCAAAGAATATTCGTCAAGAGAAGATAGAGAAAAGGCAGAAATCGTGACAAAAATATTAGTAAGATGGTGGTATATTAATGAAGATTGGCCACCCGCAAATTATAATTATAATCCAGGACTAAGGCAAAATAATCTGAGGCTTGTCAGCAAAGAAAATTGGAGCATCGAGTCTATTGAAGTTGATGGCTTAGAAAAGGTAAAAGAAGTCCCTGGTTACCCAGGATTATATATGACTCATTTAGGGAAAATCCACGATTTAAGGCCTGCTGAGACTTGTCCATGTTTTGATTTTTATTTTAAGAAATCTAAAAAAGAGCTTCAAAGTTTACTCATCGAAGCCTTGGAAAAGCAGCTTGAAGTTTTAAGCCAACAGCCTAAGCCAGAGCCCGAGCTACAAAAATCTTTGAGAAAAGAGCTTGAGCTGTACCGAAAACAACACTAATCAATGAATTTTTTTAACTACAAAAAAACCAAAAAACAATAAAAATCTGATTTTTATAAACTTTGAGCATAAATGTGTTTTTAATGTCTATGCTAATAATAAAATGAGCTCTTTCCCAAATCAAGGTAACTATAATAACTATCCTTCAGGTGGCAGAGGAGGATTTAAGAATCAAAGAGGAGGATTTGGCAGAGGACGAGGAGGAGACCAAGGTTCAGGCAGAGGAAGAGGACATTCTGATTATCGACCAAGACGTGACGACAGAAATAAGCCCCAAGGAAACCAAAAGTTATGCAAATTTTTCCAGCAAGGTATATGCAACAAGCCAAATTGTGGATTTGTTCACAAGTACTCATACAATGACAGCATAACAGGAGTTCAGCGCTTCACAGTGAACGCTCCTATTGCTTCGGCTGTAGTCATTAATGAAGAGCAGATTGCTGTGGCTCTCGTAAATGGTTCAATCAAAATCATTAACGTCTATACTGGCAGCCAAGTTTTGGAGTTTCCAGTGAGTGGGCAGATCCAAAAACTCTACTACACAGCAAATATTGTCATCAATAATATGCCACAGAATTTTAATTATTTATTGTTTGGAGGAGTCAGCCAGGACGGGTCCCAATTGCTAGGAGGAATCAATACACAATCTGGGAACCCGGAATTATTTCCTCAAGGGCATGCAGGAGGAATTACAGATATTACAGAGTCATGTGGGCTAATTTTCACAGGCTCTTTAGATTGTTCGGTAGGAGTTTGGTATTATAATGGAACGCAATATAATTTTGGGACCTTGCTCAGCTTATTATAGTAAAATTTTTTATTATCATATATTTATTATACAAAATGTTTAATTTTTAATAATAAATAAAAGAGTTAATAAGGCCCGATCCATCTATAATCAACCAGAACTTTATCACATCAGTAAAAGTCATAGGAGAAACATTATTAGCAGCAACTAACTTAGGTTATGTAATTGGATGAACATACGATTTCAAACAAAATAGTGCTAGTTATCTCGGAGTCCTAGATCCAATTCACAATGGCACCGCAAATTGTCTAATTACTTTTGATCGTTATGTTTTAAGTGGCGGACAAGATGGAAGAGTTCTATGTTGGGATTCTGAAAACAATTTTTCTGGATGGGAGTTAGCAAATACTGGAAAAGCACGTTCAGAAATATCATCTTTACTTATTATGTCAAACTTAAGAAATGAGCTGCATTTATTATTAGGAGACGCAAACGGGAAAATTCACATCTTTGCTCTTCTAGGGTATATATGCTAAAAGGGCGTGGCGGAACAGCCTGCCCTCTTATGCCTATAGTCGGGGGGCCAGGGACCTTGCGGAATGGAGGACAGCGTTCGTAGATGTGTATCCAACCAGGCTTACTTGGCCTAAAAGAGCATAAAGCTGGTCAGTCGACTGCAAGCTAACATTCAGGCCAGGGTCTTATCTAGTGAGGAGATGGATTTTATGGAGTTGAAAATTGTAAGCCTAGCAAAGTCAGAATTCACACTCATCACGCCAATCGGGCAAAATCTTCAGCGTGATGTCAGGAGTTGTGCCCTGGACTATAAAGTTCGTTCTCGGTGTGGAAGTCTATCAAAAAAATTGATTTTACAATTTTCTGGAAAGGTAGCCCCGTTGACACGGGGCACGACCACTCAACACACACTCTAGGCAATGATCAAATTCAGCTTAGAGAATCCCAAAATTCGGCTCTTAAGTTGTCTGTCGGATTGGGTTATACCCTCCGATCGAAGTAGCATAATGACTAAGCACGAAGCAAGCGGAAGAACTCGCGACTCACGCTGCAACTTTGACCTTTTCAATAGTCTTAACTTAAAGTAAACTAAGTTAATTAAGTTAACTTCTCTTCAAGGTACAGAAGCGAAATATATTTCTCCTGTCCATTTATGAAAAAGTTATTTTTTAATTTTTGAATAATTTATAACACAATTTTAGTAAAAATTTTTAAAACCCATTTATTCAAGCAACGTGTCACATCGCTTTCGTCATATATAAACAACTCGCAACGTATTAGTGGCTTTGTAAGTACTTCAATGGATCAAGCCGCAGCAATCATGCAATGGATTAAATAAAAACTTTAAAAGTTAAGGAATAATTCTCTGTAGTGTTTTATTAATAACTGCCTTATAATTATTATCTAAAATGCCTCCAAGCACTGCAAACCCATCTAAAAGGCGATCCTTTTCCTCTCCACAAGCTGAAATGATGGTAGATATGAAGAACTGTCCATTGTCAGACCCATCAATTGGAATAGTATCAGAAAACGACCACAAAGTTGGTTTGTGTCTTTGCAAATATTGTGAATGTGGGCAACATGCTTGTCCAGGCAACAAGCAAGATCTTTATCTTAGATCGACCTTTAAAACCAAATACAGCCACGATTATCAGCATTTAGGCTTCGACTCTCCAATAAAGCATGAGCCTAAAAGATTTCGCCCTAACAAGCTGAAAATGGACTTCCAAACAACAAACCAGCATGATTTCAAGCCGTTTACAGTCACTCCAAAACAAACTGAAGAGTCTCCTGTGTCTCCAGTTAAAGCAAACTTTTCCTGCAGAACAGCCTATGCAAGCGAATTTCCTAATTGGGGAACCCAAGTGCCAGTTTACGAAAAGCGGTTCCACCCCCCTGTGAGGTCATGTGAGATCCCTTTTAGAGGCAGAAGTTCATACAGCGACTACTATCGGCCTGTATCAAGAGACGAAGCTGACATTTACAGAACTGACTATACAGTTTCTCAAGCATTCAACTCAACAATATCAATTGCACCAAAAGATAAATTAAATGCAAACACTACATATGGAGACCATATGAGATTTTACTCATGCTCCCCATTGAATTCAAAAATCATTGTAAAAGCTGAAGATCCGACTCAAGTAAAAGCAGTGTCCACCCATTTCAGGACTACCTCAGGGTCATTTTTCAAAAATGTGAAGCCGGAGTATAAAGATCCGAGGCTAATGAAGTTTTCCTTGATGTCAAGAACGGGGAACCGGATTGGCAAGGCATAATCTAATTATGGAACGATTTTTATAATTATTTAAATTTTGTCTGGATAAGGCTTTTTCTCTCGTGATTTGAGAGGTTGGATTTGTGGTTTCACTAACCACGTGAGCGAGCCAAACCATTGGAAAAATCATAATTTTTCGGGTAAAAAACCCACCCTCTGTGGGCGAAAATAATTGTTTGATATATAAGAGATAAATAGTATAACGAAATCTCTAGATAATTTTGTCAAATTATAAAAATCTTGCATTTAAAATATCATTTTTACAAATTAAACTAATTTTTGCGAATTGCCATTGTTTGTTCGTTCACTAAGGAAGCTTGGGAAATAATTCGATGAGGGGGTTCTTTTATTGGTAAAGTGCTTGAACTAAGGGATTTTGTGAATGACAAGGCTTTGTCTTGTCCTTTAGATTTGAGAAAGGATACGTGAGAAGTGTTGTTTGTGACAAGATCAGAGATCTCTTGGTTTAGCTTGGCAAATCTGCTGAGTTGGAGGGAGGAGTCTTCTCCTATTATGCTGGTACTGGCATTCCTTTGATTTTTTGAATTTAGTCCTGACTCTTCGGATGCCAAGCGATACGAGGATTCATTGCAATTATGTATATTTAGGCAGAGAGAAGCTCTTGATTTATGCATAGAATTTGTGAAAATTGGGGAATATAAGGAGTTTGAGTTATTTTCCCCTGCCTTATTAGCCTCTCTTATGAACTTTATAAGTTTGGTATAAAGAGAGCACACAATTGGCTCGCTGTGCTCCGACTTTTCCTGAGAGGGTCGGAATTGATTTTGCCAATAAATGTTGGTTAAAAAATGCTCCATGATAGCAAATCTATTCTATCAGGCGGACCTGTCATTCCTAGAGCTGGTTTTTAACCAACATTTATTGGCAAAGCTAACTCTGACCCTCTCGGGAGAGGTCGGGAGCACAGTGAGACAATAGCATGCTCGTACTCTAATTATTTCATCACTTTTTTGAGCTTTAATAAGCTCTTTAAACAGCCCAAAAGGTCCTAAATTTTTTTTTAAAATGCTGCAAAACTCGTTTTGGTCATTAATTTCTGAAATCAAAGTCTCAAACTGAATATAAATTTCCTGTCAGCTCTTTGCATCATGCAAAGCTGGGTTGGCTAAATACAATTCTCCTTCTAATGATTTATTTGCATTTAAAAGTTCACTGAAAAATTTATCATTTTCTAGGTTCAGTTTTTCAATATTCCTAACTAATTCCTCATTCTTTTTTTGTAAGTCTCCTATTTTTCTGTCTTTTTCACTTATGACTCCTTCGTACTCTTTAAATTGCTGCTTTGAATAATTATATTCAATCGCAGATTCTTCAAGCTTTTTGTTCCTTTCAAGTTCTTGTGTAAATGCTTTGTGATATTTTATTGATTGTTGATAAAGGTCATTGCACTTTTCAACTGATTCTGAGAGAGCTTCTTTTAGCTTTGCGTTTTCTGTACGCAGCTTTTTGATTGTTCGAGAAGCTTCTTTCATATCGCTTCTGAACTTTTCAAGAAATTCTGTTTTAATTGTTGTGCTTTTGGGGGTGTAACCTTTTTCCTCAAAATTTCGTAATTGATCCATGGAATCTTCTCTACTTATAACTTTATCTGAGTCTGATGAGTTAAAGTAAGATTTGGAAGAAAAATCAACTCTTTTTGACATAAGTTTCTATTTAAAAAATGTTTTTTAACTTATATGGAATAATTCGAATATTAGTTGAGAGATTATTGAAAAAAATGAGGTATTAAATTCTTGGATTTCAAAAATTTTTGTCATAAATAATACTTCATTGGAAAAATAGCCTTTAATTTAAAATCTTTATTTTATAATTGAGTTAATTTTAAAATACTAGACTCTAGATTCCTCAATGCGCAACTCTCAATAATTCTTGCGAAATTTCATATTTCTTATAGCTTTTTCACCAACTAAAGCTTATTTTAAATTTTGATCTTCTTGTTCGCACATAATTTATTTATATTTGCGATGCTCTCTATATAAACAAATACAATTAATTTCTCTATCATTATAGTTTCTCCTTCTTTATAATAATTGCAGGTAGTATATTTCCCATATATATTAAAACGGCTTGTCGAACTAACCCACCCTCTTAACTCAGCAGGACCGACCTTTACGATGTCATTGACACGAGCGGTGAACAAGTGGACTAGCATTCGGGGTTGAGGTAATTTTTCGGGAATTATAACGAACTTCTATAAGTATAATTAAGATCATCCAGCATATTTCCCAGCTTAGCCTTCTTTTAAAAATCTTGACATTAATTTACTGATCCATACCAAAATCTACATAATCATAAATGCCTTAAAAGAATACACCAATTGCTAAATCTTTAATGTTGACCTTATTCTTTCAAAAATGGATCCATCTGATGAATCTTCAGGTAATATACGAGTGGTTTGTCGCTTTCGGCCACTCAACGAAAAAGAGAAACTCATCGAAGAGTCAGTTTGTGTGACTTTTGACCCAGATAATCGAACTGTCGCTATAAAATCCGAAGGAGAGCCGCAAAGGTTTTCATATGATTACGTATTTAACCCTTCAACTCCTCAAGCTCAAATCTACCAAATCGGTGCAAGACCTATTATAGACGCTATCATGCAAGGATTCAATGGAACCGTCTTTGCTTATGGGCAGACTTCTTCAGGAAAAACTTTTACTATGACAGGAGTTTTGGGCGATAAGAATTTGATGGGCATCATTCCAAGAATGGTTGGCGACGTCTTTTCAAAGATCCTTAATTCAGATTCCCATATCGAGTTTTCAGTGAAAGTCGGCTATTGCGAAATTTATATGGAAAAAATCAAAGATCTCCTTGAACCGTCTAAGAATAACTTAAAAATTCACGAAGATAAAATAAGAGGAGTTTTTATTGAGGACTTGACTGAAAGGTATGTGTCAAGTGAAGAAGAAGTTTTTGAGCTGATGAATATTGGTACAAGCAATAGAGAAGTGGGGTACACACATATGAACGCTGGATCATCAAGGTCGCATTCTATATTTTGTGTGACTTTATCTCAGACAAATTCTTTAGATTTTTCAACAAAAACTGGGAAATTGTATTTAGTGGATTTGGCTGGGTCTGAGAAAGTTGGAAAAACGGGGGCTGAAGGAAAGAGATTAGAAGAAGCTAAAAATATCAATAAAAGCTTGACTGCCCTGGGACAGGTCATAAATGCATTAACTGATGGGAAAAGCTCTCATGTGCCTTATCGAGATTCAAAGCTAACGAGAGTGCTGCAGGATTCGCTTGGTGGGAATTCAAAAACTGCGTTAATTATTACATGTTCGCCGTCTGCTTATAATGAAGCAGAGACGGTTAGTACACTACGTTTTGGAATCAGAGCAAAGTCGATTAAAAATAAAGCAAAAGTTAATAAAGAGTATACTGTTGCAGAATTAAAGCTTATGCTGGCTAAGGCTAAAGAGGATATTCATATGAGAGATAAAAAAATTGAGATGCTTGAGCAAAAATTAGGGAAACCTTTTGTTTATGAAGAGGCAGACACAAAATGTGACTCAAAAGAAGAGTCATATACAAAGTCTGATTCGAAAGAAGACTTTAAGGAAGACACTAACGCTCCTATTTAAGAGTGAACAAATCAATAAGAAGAGTATGATTTTTGGGAAAATTAGCCCCCTGAAATAAAGAAAGTTTTAAATATATTCTTTAAAAAATATTTTTATATATAATAAGAACTTTTATATATAATAAGAGATTTTATAATGAGATCTCTAGCTAATTATATTAAATTTTTTAAATTTTCTGCATTTTTTAAACACAAATATTTTTTAATTAAAGTAGTTTTTTTCAAATATTTGCAAATTAACTATAATGTTTATATAAAATTAAATAGAAGCGACAAAATTTTAAAAAATTAGGAAGAGTAAGGAAGAAAGTGAAGTAGAAATTTCAAAAGTTTCTGTTTTAGATGATATTGTCATAGAGCTAGAAGAAGCCAGAACCAGATTGACTAATGAAGTAGAAAAAAATATGAAATTAAGAGCTATCATTGCTGAAAATCAAAAGGAAATTGAAGAACTTAGAGGGGATTATACAAACACGAATTAAATTTAACACAAGAGTTAGGTTTTGAAAATTTTTTTAATAAAAATTAACTATATCATTCTTAATATACCATCATTATAATCATCATAATGAAGTATATAATTTTTTGAGGCTCGTTTTGGCTTTTGAGAGATACGGGATGTCCATAAAATGAAGATACAATATTTAATTAAAAGAAAAGAGTTAGTATCTCTTATAAATAAGAAAAACATCATGTCCTTCAGGTAACTCATAATAAGGAGCAAAAAAACCATTAAATTTGACTGTAAAAAATTTTTTTTTATATCACAAAATAGAAGATTCTAGATCTCCACAAAAATGGAAACAGTTGAGTCCTTAATAAAAAAGACCTAGTAACTAACTCCCCCCCTCCGTGAGTGAACAAAAAATTTTGTTCACTCACGAAGGGGGGTTAATTTTTTTTTTAAAAAATTTTATATAGATTTTATAAAAAATTTTTTTTTTCTTCGAAATTTAAAAAAACCCTAATTCGCAAAATTTTGAAAGCAAATATTAATTTAATTTATAAAATTTATGTTTTAAAAAAGCAATTCGTTTAAAATTAAACAGAATTAGCTCTAGATTTCATTATACTAATTATCATTTATATATAAACTTTTTTTCCATAAAAAATTTTTCTATTAAAAAAAAATTTTTTTTCACTCACGGAAGGTGGGTTTTTGGGCAAAAAATAGGGATTTTTCTAATGGTTTTGTTCACTCACGGAGGGGGGGGAGTAAGCAAAATAGACGATACCAGCAATTCATCAATGCAACCTAACGGTCTAGATAATTTGCGAGAGTCTAATGAAAATAAAAAAATTTCGATAAACGCTTGCTTCAATAAAAAACGGAATTGTTATGTTTATAAGTCAAAGTTCAGCCAGTTAAATAAAAACGAAATCCATCTCTTTTTCTCAAGAGATAACGGTTTATTAGGTGCTGCAAAAACTCGCTTAAAAAGACCGTTATATTTGCGCAAAAATTAATATAATTTCTGCACCGATTTGCGTTGCAACACACATTAATATAGTGAAACGATGCTTTATTTTGAGCCTTATTTATATCAGATTTTATGTCTTATATAAGAGAATTCAATATGATCTAATATTTCGAAACTATCAGCTCATGAAAATGCGAAATCGTTTTGCTCAGCGAAAAAAACATTAAACAGAGTTCCTTAAAAAAGAAAATTTATTTTTTTAAGAAAAATAATTAAAATTTTGTTATTAAATACTTTTAATAATAAAATGGCATTCGGTTCGAGAGAAATTAGCTTTGCTAATTTTCTCTCCCTCATGGAATTTTATTATTAGGGTTAGGTTTTCACTCGCGAACTTCTGGACAGCAACAGCGGTTTAACTTTGGGGATAACCAAAGGAACCACTCCTCAGTCCACTCAAGATCTCGGGCTTTTACCTCTCAGCACATCCCCACGGGAGGATGACCCTTAGGCGGAACACGCGCAGGAGCTGAGTCGAGCGACAAGGGCGACGGCAACGTGCCGGGTGAGACGTGCAGCAAGGCCGGTGAAGCAGGAGTTGATAGAAGGCTTGGACGGGGCTGACCCGAACCAAGATGGCTCGCCTACGTCATCAGTTTTGCCATAGGCCCTTTTGGGCTGCGGCACTAGACACCTTAAACACCAGATAATTAAGTAAGTAAGTTATTAAATACTTTTAGAGCAAGCTTTGCTTATTTATTGCGCTTTTTTGTATAAATAATAACAATATTTAAGGTAAAACCTTACTTATCTCAGTTCTAAGTGTACCTCTTTCAGTGTCTATTAAAGATATTAAAATTATTAAAAAACTTATAAAAACCTTTTTTAAGGAAATTTACCTAAAAAATATCGCAAATTTTGGTCATTGTTTTGATATATTTTGAAAGAATATGTCTTGAAAAAGGTTTTTATATTTTTTTAATTATTTGAATATATTTAATAGCCACTGAAAGAGGCATACTTAGAACTGAAATAAGTAAGGTTTTACCTTAAAATATTGTTATTATTTATACAAAAAAATGCAATAAATAAGCAAAGCTTGCTCTAAAAGTATTTAGTAGCAAAATTTTAATTTAATTTTCTTAAAAAAATAAATTTCTTTTTTAAGGAGCTCTGTTTAATGTTTTTTTCGCTGAGCAAACGATTTCGCATTTTCATGAGCTGATAGTTTCGAAATATTAGATCATATTAAATTCTCTTATATAAGACATAAAATTTAATATAAATAAGGCTCAAAATAAAGCATCGTTTCACTATATTAATGTGTGTTGCAACGCAAATCGGTGCAGAAATTATATTAATTTTTGCACAAATATAAAGGTCTTTTTAAGCAGGTTTTTGCAGCACCTAATAAACCGTTATCTCTTGAGAAAAAGAGATGAAATTCGTTTTTTACTGAGATGACTTAAACCCAATTTAGTGACATAATGATTTATTTTTTTTTATTAAGAGAAGCGTTTATTGATTTTTTAATATATTCAGAATGGAATTGCAAGCAAGGTATAACGTCAGTTTGCTATTAAGGATCCCCCCCCTCATTTGTCCAATTTTCTAGTCTTTTATCATTTGCCCATTTTTCTAGTCTTTTTTATAGGAAAAAAAATTTTTTTAGTACCTCATTTCAATTGTCCAATTTTCTAGTCAAAATTTTGATAGAAAAAAAATATTTTTTCAGGACCTCGATTGTCTCATTTTCTAGTTTTTCAAGTAAAAAACTAAAATTTAGGAGATTCGAAAAAAATCCAAAAAAGACTAGAAAATGGGACAAATCATTTTTAACTAGATTTTGGGACAAATGAGGTCCTGAAAATTTTTTTTATCCTATAAAAAAAAGACTAGAAATTGGGACAAATGAGGGGGGGATCCTTATATGAAACTGTCAGATCTTATTTCTAGTACACACAATTAAAATGGCGAGCCATCCGACCCGTCCTTCTCCTGTACCCTTAGGGACTACGGGGTTAAGAAGTAAACGGGGCCTGGATATTGTGTCCAGGGTGGGTTTTTTTACCTTGGTCGGGACACCACGACAAGGTTTTTTTTTACCTCTCACAAAGACAAGAAGACCAGAGCCGCAGAATCAGGAGTCAAACTTCAGGACTAGAAGGAAAGTGAGGAAGCTTGTAGTGGAGCTTAGGGGACCTGAAGGAGATTCCGGGAGGCTACTTTTCACCCTCCCCAGAAAGGACGGCGCCGGGTCACTAGACCCTGATCAAGGAGTACCTGGGTGAGTCTCCCTGTTAGATGGCGACGTCACCATTTTTTGGTGACGTCGACAGAAAATGGAGTGAGCTACAGAGCCGGTGCATAGGGCGCAAGCCTGAAGCTGGCAGCGCTGGGTAGAGGCTGAAATAAACCTCCGTGACCCGCTAAACTAATTAATCTAATTATTTCTAGTACATATAAGTTGCTTATTTAATAGACTTAACAGTATCATAGTTTATATAGCCAACAAGCTTTTTTCATTAAGACATAAAAAAAAAAATTTTACCGTCAAATTTAATGGTTTTTTGCTCCTTATTATAAGTTACTTATAGTACATAATGATATCTTATTGATCTGAAACACTGGCTCTTTTCTTTTAATTACATATTGGTTTCTTATATTGTATACAGCCCGTATCTCTCAAAAGCCAAACGAGCCATTTTTTGATATCAAGAACTAATGAAGTTAGAGATAAAAATACAATAAATGAGGAGTTACTGAAAGAAAAAGATGAACAAATTGAAATTCTTTCAGCTGAAATCCAAGATTTAAAGAATGAAATGAGAAATATGTGTGATACAAAATTTGATCTGGAGCAGTCATTTTGTGAAATAGAAGCATTGCATTCAAAGTCTGAATTTAACGACCAAAGCCCATTCTTAGGAGATACCACTCCTTCTAAATCAGCTTTGAAAGAACAGCTCGAAGAAGAGATGTCTAAAAATGAGAATTTATTAATGAAGATCAATGAGTTTGAAAATTTGCTTGAAGCTAAATCAGAAGTAGAATTAGACAAAGAAAAATTGAACGGTGACAAACAAGAATTAATAAAAGAACTGCAAAAAAAATCTGAAAAAATTGTCAAGCTTGAATGCGAACTTGATGAATCAAAACAAAATTATAGAAATTTGGAATCAACTTGGAAAAAGGAATTTAATTATTTAAAAGATATTTCAGTTAGTCTGGGGAAAAATTTAGAGTTAGTTTCAGCTAGTTATAATCAAATCTCTAAACTCCCTATTCAATAATATTTTTTAATATTTTCTTTTGGGACCATTTACAGCTGTTTATTTGTTTACATACGAAAAAATTTATTAATTTAAAGTACTTTATAGGCCGTTAAATTCAATTCGTCATCTTTCAATCAATTTTACTTCTTTAAAATTGTTTTGAGTAGCCAGGTAGCTTTGAAATTTCAGAAAAAAGCGCTTTGAATTGATAAATCCTATTTGCTTTAACAAAAAAGGATAAAATTGTCAAAGGCCTCTCAAAAAGCAAAGAATATTCCCCAATTAAAATTAAGCCCATCTTGCGGACTATATAAAGAGGCCTTAATTATTATATTTTAAATTGTAAAAACTCGGTAAATAGTAAAAATTAATAAAAAATTTTGGAGAAAAAAGACATACGAGAGATTTGCGCTATGAAATGATGTAAGGAAAAAGCTGAACTAGTCATAGAAAAGAAATCATTGGAAAGGAAAATGACGAAGATTGCCAAAAGAGCAAAAATTGCAGAAGAAGAGCTTAAGAAAATCAAAGAATTGCAAAGTCTTTGCAAACAAGAAACTTCAAAGGATAAAATAAAAGTCAAAACTGTAGAAATAGCAGCCAAAAACTTATTGGATCCAAAGTATTTGCATCAAAAGCCTGTTTTGAAAACCTCTTTGAATGCACCTATGATGAATTATAACATAAAAAAGACCATAACAGGAGGCCAAGGAGTGGCCAGAATAACAGGAGGCCCAGGAGTGGCCAGAATGACAGGAGGGGGAGGTCCAGGAATAACCAGAAGATCATTTGCAACTTTGCAAATGCTGGATGCTATAAAGAAAGCAGATAAAAGCAAAAATGATAGTTCGACTGAAATTGATCCCAATGATCTATCATCATCATCTTCTTCGGGAAAAGAAAAATGCATTGTATTTTAGAAATAAAGGCAATTGTCATTAAACATAATTAAAATGCCAAGTTTTTATTTATAATAATCATATAGTAAGTAATCAGATAATTAAAATGGAAGAAAAATTGATGTTCTAGAATTAAATAATTAAATAGCTTTCTTTGCTTTGTGGCCGAAATTAATATATATAATAAACTATGATTCAATAAGATAAATGCATAATCAAAACTTGATCACTAATCAAACATTCAGCTGAAATACTTAAAATATAATAATTTTATATAATGCTATTTATATATGCACTATTAGTTATTAATTATATTATTTTTAAATTTAGCATAATTGAGTGTATATTGTGCCGTTCTAATTTGATACCAATTCCACTGTGTTGATCCATTTGGAATATACACTATTATATATATGGCATCTATTATGATTTATTGGCTAATTTAAGTTGCAATTTGCTTTACTATATTTAAATATGGTGAAGATTCTGATTCTGATGACGTTAGCATTCGTTGTTATCGCTTCAAAACTAAAGGTTTTAGAAGGGGATGTAGATGATTCAAACTGTGGATGCGGCCTTGAAGAAGCTGAATGAAACGCTGGACCAAGAGGTGAGCAAGGACCCCAAGGTGACCAAGGAGAAAAAGGGGAAAAAGGTCAACAAGGGGAAAAAGGAGAGCAAGGGCCACAGGGTGAGCAAGGAGAACAAGGAGATCAAGGGCCAAGAGGAGAGCAAGGCCCTCAAGGAGATAAAGGAGCACGAGGGGCAAGGGGGCCAGGCTGGAGATGGGTTACATATGTGCCTGTTGGAAATGAAATGCCGCCTGAATGTGATGAGGGATGGAAATATACTCTCTTGAAAGTAATGAAATAGCCTAATACACGCCATTTTATTAAAATAATAGATTTCATAAATAATACTAAATCTCAGATTTTACCATAATTATATTCATCTATTTTTCTTTCATGAATGAATTCCTATATAAATTTATGTAGAAGATATTATAAAAATATAAGAAAATCTATAGTAAAAATATATTTAATATTGAATTCAACTTATAATTCATGTAAATTTTATTAGCTTAGCTAAGCAATTCTCATCAATAATAATTCACGCGAACTAAAATTACGAGAAATAGATACCAACATATAGTTATAGCTTACCTGAATGGTCAATATATAAAAATGGCGACATGTGTCAACCTGCCCTATTGGGCCTTATGGATACGGCGAACTGGGACGGACTCCAAGTCGATAATCAAGTGCAGGCTCAAAAGATGGTGCCTAACAACGTCCTTTGGGCCCTAGGACCCATGGGCATTCCTCTACAGAGAAACTAAGGTTTGGATCCAGACTACAAGAGGGTAGTTTTTCCTGTAGCTGTGGAAGGAATGTGCTTTAACACTCGATAGACTCAATGAAATTGATCCATGGTATCAATCTCTCCAATTGCCCTTAGCAGAGCCACAGAAATCCATAAGCCGCCCACCTGGATGGTGTGATCCTACAAGTTTATTGCAGTGTGGACATATATGATGACAAATTTTGAGGCCTTCAATACAAAATGGGCATAAGCAGCAACAAAATACACATCCGACCATAATGCATGCTCCACACATTAGTCATGCAATAAATCCACTATCATACTCACATTTACTTACATCTTATGCATAAATTGTTTCTAAAAAATAATTTAGTTATTTTTTTTAAATTGAAATGTGAATGAAAGTTAGTCCTTTATAGTCACAATGCTTGCAAGTCATTATTTGTGGCTTGTGTGATCATCTGATTTTTTTGGTATCTATTGTCGAATTTTCAGGAGTGCTTTTGCCTTTATCATCAGGTATTTCCATTTTACGTATTTCAAGATTTTATCTTAAAGTTCATAGATTTGATGCTCTATATAGCATGCAAGTGCTTTTATTACAAACCAGTGGAGATATTTTTTTCACCTCACTTTTTAGCAATTTTAAGCTGCATATTTATTAAAAATTTTTTCTTTTCCAAGCATTTATTTCCTAGAGATTAAACTCTCCTAGGAAATGTCTCAAGATCAAAAAATTACCCCAATCCCATATTAAACGTACGACTTAAAAATTTATTATAAAAATCATATTATACCGTGAGCGCGGTTTTAGATTGACTCGTCATTTTGACCTAACAATTTCATTCAAACTGAAACCGTCAGGGGAGTGGGTGGAGGGGAGGGGGGGGGGGAGTTTCAGGTCGAGTCATCCCTGTTCTGAAGGTATACACAATTTAGATAAAATTTTCAATAAAGCCAAGAAAAGTATTTATCCAAAAAAATAAAATTATATTTTATCCCTGCTAAATTTAACTATTTTATTATATAGAGATAAAACTGCTAATTTAATCATTTTAGAAAAATGTTTTCTAGTTCTCAAGATATATTAGAAGTGATCCTAAAGCCCCAATTCAAAAGCAAATCAAGCAGCTGACTCCAATCAGCCAGCAAAAATGAGATAAAAGGCTTAAAATTAATCGGTGCAATTTTCACTCACAAAGGCAAAAAGAAATTCAAAACACGTTCAGACAGCCATCGAGCTTCTCTACCTAACATAAACTCTTATGAATCAGAGCTCAGAAAACGTCAACTCCAATCAACTTATGAGCTTGAATTCGGAGGTTCCAAAGCCTATCACGAAACAAATATATTTTCCTATAGAAAGTTATCAGATATCTCAGCAAGTGATATATTAACCCCAGTCACTGTTATGTTTATTGAAAATTGGGTTGAGCTTAAAGACGACATTGTATACCAAAACTTAATTTTGCAATGTTTGAGATCTTTGAATGCTTAATTACTTACTTAGTTACTTAGGTATTTAAGGTGTCTTGATTTCTTCAGTAGGATGATTTAGGCATGCTTAGGCCCATCCTTTTAACTCCCAACTGGTGACGTCACCAAGCAATCTTGGACCGGTTAGCCCTACAAAGCCATTCTATAAAGTTCCGCCCTCAGCTGGGCCAGAAATCCCGCACCGGCAGCGTTGCCTCGCCCGAACTTGACTCCTGCGCGTGTTCCGCCTAAGGGTCACCCTCCTTGGGTGTGTCAAGCAGAAAATTCAGGTGTCCTTAGCTTCCTGGACCAATTGAATACCCTATGCGGTATTCCATATTGGTGTTGCTGATAAAAGGCCACGTGGAAAACTGAACTCCATAATAATAAAAGCGAGGGAAAGAATAGTTCTCGGAGAGAACTAATTCCGCACTGAACCATTTTATTATTATGAGATCTTTGAATGCAGTTTTCAAATCCAATGAAACTGGCAGAACAGAAACCCAAGCGTCGTATAGATGAAATGATCCATCAAAAAATTTTACGTCTCATAGATTAGACCAAGTAAGCACAGCATTAATAGGCCAAAGGACTACTGAGCATAAAGCATGGTCGAGACCTCAAACTACTCAAGCTGTAGATACAAATATTAATCCTTTGACTTTTACAAAAGAAGACTTAAAGAAAAGAAAACAAGCTCTAATACAAGGGAGTGGGGTTGTAGGTAAATGGGTAGTTATTCCTGTGAATCCAAATATTACGAATTATCAAGAAACTTTTACAACTCATTTTAACAAATATCAAAGGGCGCCACCTCCTGATTTTCACACTTCGATTTCTGGAGGGAAATTATGTCCTGACCCAGAGACAATTCGAAGATATAATTCAGTTAAATCATTTAGATAAAAATATTGGGATTAAATTATTGGGATTAAATGCATTTAAATTACTAGAAATTCATATAAAGTTTCCAAAGGGTATTTTCAAAGAAATTAATAAATATTTATCACTATTATTATTCGTAATTTAAAACTCCTATAACTGATAAATTTATATTATAGTGCAAATACATTTTATTTTACAAAAAATAATTTTAGCTAATTCATAAAGATTTATAAAATGTCATTAGAAGATGATGAAATCCTTATTGATGAGCTTGGAACAATAGCTAAGAATGCAATGGAAAATGTAATTACTCAAGACCTTTATTTTCAGCCTGAACGAGTGAATTCTTGGTGCCAGCAGGTTATGGATCAATGCTTAAAAGAGTTTAATAACTCCCGCCCTTTAAATTGGAATAAACATCTCTTCCAATTTAGATGGGATTAAATGTTTTTTTAAGATTTTTAAAAATTTATATTTAAATTTTCTTATAGAAAACTTTTAAAAAAAATTTAAATATATAATATGCTTTAAAATTTAATTTATTTTTATGAATAATTAATTAAAAAAAATCGATTCAGTGCGATAACTGTTTAAATAGCATCCAAAACTAATTTTATAAAAATTAGTTTTTCACTATTAAAATTTTCATATTGAAAGCCAAATTTGTTTCAATTTAAAGGGGGTTTACATACCCAAAAAATGCAAATTTTACTGATGTTTGTTCCAATTTAAAAGTGGGGAGTAAAATGAACAAACCATTTAAGTATATAGTTACTTGCTTCATTATGCAAAGGACAGGAGCAGGTTTTCAATCTGGTTCAACATGCTTTTGGGATACAAAGACTGATGGCCTTATTTCAGTTACAGGAGAGTTTGCAAATCTGAACTGCTTAGTCACAATTTATGCTGTGCATGTTTAACCTAACACTTTAATAGGAATACTTTTATTAGAATCTTCGCAATATTCAATTTTTGATAAATTTTCTCTCTATTTGCCAACAAATAAAAATTTAACAATTAAAAGGTCTAATAATGTGGGAAAAACGATAATCATAATTGATATCTGCTTTTCAAGTAAATGCATAAAATAATTAATAAAATTTGGTTTTTTTTGATGCTTTAATTCTAAATCTTATTATAAATAAATCTTTTGAATGAAAAAAGGCAGATTGATTAGAATTAAAATTGAAAGAGCTGCTAAAAGTAAATTATTTTAAGATCACCTTTAAATTTCTATCTAATTTCGCTAATGTATATATTGCCTAACATAAACCGAGCCAATCACTATCGCTCGGATTAAAACAATTATATATTTTTATATTAAGTTTTTTCCTTATAAAATATATCATAAGCTAGACACAAGAGATAGAAAAAAAAATATTAGCAAGTATACTATATATTTTTTTTTCACAATTAAAAATGGAATGTATGAGTTAGGGGTTCTGTCCCCTATACTCGTCCTAGTGAGGGAAGTTCATTCTTTCTGAAGGAAATTAGCGTTGGAGCTGCTCCGGCAGCTCCAAGTGTACTTGAATAACACTCAAGGAAGAAAGAGAAACTCGTCCGGGCCATAGGCGACTGTAACGGTTCGACGGTTAGGCTGATTCCACCTACCGTTGTTCAGAGCTGTTAGCCAGTGGATGGAATTCAGTGAAGGAGGAGCTTGTATTATTAGATCCTAAGCTAAGTGGGGGTCGACAAAGAGTTATCGTAATCTTAATCTTAATCTTAATCTTAAACTATATATTTTATTAAAATTTTTTAGGGATAATACGGTATAATATCTAAAATTAGCTTCCATCAAAGATAGTTAGCTAAATTTTGGTGTTAAGGCAGTGAAGTAGGCTCCATTCTTGACCATATGAAAATCGTTCGATCATAGATTAGGTTATTTTCCTATTTTTATGAAATTTTTAATGATATCTCGATCAAGAAGGTTTGGAGTAAGACATTCTATATAAATGTCATCTGGAAGTGAGTTTGAAGAATACGAATACGACAGTGACAAAGAAGGGTGGTCAGATGAAGAAGACGTTGACGAAGAGCTTGTCACAATTGAAAACACTTTCTACGAAGCCGACGACATCAAAAAGACAAATCCAGAAGATGCTTTAACAGGCTTTCTCAAAGTTCTTGAGCTTGAAGGCAACAGGCCTGAGTCAGAGCAGCAATGGCGATTCAAAGCTTTAAAAAATGTTGTAGTTCTCGAGTGCACTCTAGGTTTTTATGAGCCAATGTGTTCTCACCTCGCAGAACTTATCGGCCTGATCGACACAGTGGCTAGCAACGACGCAACAGACGCTATCAACTCCATCATCGACGTCTCTAGCAAAATCACTGACCCAACCTACTCTATGCGAGTCTTAAGTATGATTCTTGAAAAGCTCAAAGAAAGCGGAAAATCTCGTCTTGTCTTCAACACTCAAACCAAGCTTGCAAAGCTCTATCTCGAAAGAAATGACGTCGAAAACGCAGAAAGCACTATATCAGAGCTAGTCAGTTCTTGCCATCTGCCTAATGGACAGGTTGATAATTCAAAGTCTCAGAGCTTATTAGAAGCTTATGCGCTGGAAATTCAATTATGCACAGTTACTAAAAACTCGAAAAGGATGAAAGAGATTTTTAAGAAAACAGAATCCCTCAATGCTGATGTGACTGATCCTAGAATTATTGGAGTAATCAGAGAAAGCGGCAGCAGGATGTATATGAGTGAGAAATCATGGGATAAAGCCCTTACTGAGCTTTTTGAAGCTTTTAAGTGTTATCAAGAGGTAGGAAACCCTCGTGCGAAAACTATTTTGAAATATGTCACGTTAGCCAGCATTATGGCGAACTCTAATATTAATCCTTTCCACTCATTGGAAGCTAAGGTATATAAAGATGATCCAGAAATTATTGCGATGATGAGGCTGAGGTCAGCTTATGAGACAAATGATATGGTTGAAGTCCAAAGAATTTTATTTGACAAAAGCATAAAATTGCTTGATGATTCTTATATTTCTCAATATATGGATGATTTCTTGAGAGGAGTTAGATTAAGCGTTCTGCAAGCTAAAATCAAGCCATATAAAGCAGTCAGAGTTGGTTTTCTGGCACAGGAGTTGCAGATTTCGCCGGATAGTGTGTTTAGCTTGCTTATTGAACTGATTATGGATGGGAAAATTGATGCAAAAATTGATCAGGTTGATGGAATTGTAGAACTTACCTCTGCAATAAGTGACGCAACAACTAGAAGAGAAGAGGCGTTCAAGAAATGGACGAGAAATCTTCGATCAATCAACTCAACTTTAATAGAAAAAGTAAGAGGTTAATAATCATAGCAAGAATTTATTCGAAATAAATTAAGAAAGCTCTTTAATTAATTTACTAAAACAATATTAAAAATTTCAGCTAGGAATAGGTCCTAGCTCCTGCCACAAGCAGGATGGACCTATAAACCGAGTCTAGTGAGAGAAGTCAAACTTCTTGAGAGTCTCGGCTTGAAGAGAAGGGTTGGTGTTGAGGCTAGCAATGACTAGAGAAGTCTTAACGGGCTTATTAACTTTAACGGTTCGACAGTTAGGCCGGTTCACCTACCGTTGTTCAGAGCTGTTAATTTAGCTGAACCTCAAGTGAAGGGGACTTTCAGGCATAAAATGCTAGAGTAATTCTATTTAAACTTAAAATTTAAACTTAAATTTAAAATTTACTAATAAGATCGATATATTTGCTTTAAATTATTTTGAAAGTCAATAGGTAAGGTAGATTTTATTTATAATAAAGCTTGCACTCAAATAACTGAATTAAATTATTTACTCCCCCCCATCCTTGATCGAACGGCTCGCCATCGTTCGATCAAAGATGGGTTAAAAAAAAATTTTTTTGGAAAAAAAATTTTATATATAAAATAAAGAATATGCATATATTTTATTTTTTTATTTACTTTTAAATAAGAGGATTAAGAGTATTTAATAATTATTTTTAAAGCAAAAAATTCAATTAATTTCATAAAAATACCAATTTTTAATATTTTTATTTATTAGTTACCCTTTTAAACTGTATAAATTTTAAATTTGTTCCTTATTACATTAAATTTTTTTTTTTAAATTTTAAGAATCTCTATTTTTTAGATTATTGAGTTTTTAAGCCTAGGTTGATGATTAAATCACTTCGGATGGTTGATTCTGTAGCTTTTTGCCGTCACAAAGTCTCTGAAAACAACTTCATTAGGTACATCTTCCCAAGCTTTTGATAACTAATATATTTTTATATATATAAAAATTTGCATGATATGAAAATCGTTCGATCAAGGATGGGGCCTAATTTCCCCAATTTTTAGGAATTTTTACAGTCAATCGCTCGATCAATGATGGGGGAGTTAGCAAGGCATAAATTATAAAAATAACCAAAATTTGATTTTCCAAAACTTAAAAAAATATTCTGATGCCCAATGCAGTTTAATCATATTATTTTTAAATTTGCAAGATAATTAGACTGCATATATTTAATACTTTATTATTAATCTAATACAAATTACAATAATTTCACATTTTTTAATCTCATTATCTGTATTATTTCAAATTTTTAATATCTCATTTAACTGTTCACAAAAAAAAATAATGGGCTGCGGTACCATAACAACAAATAGTAAGAAAGATTTAATCACAAAAGACTCAACTAATGGCATTCTAAATCGAGAATATTTACGAAATGCTACCTTAAAGATCAAGCAAAGAAACACGAAAGGTGTAGTTGTGGCAACTGAAACCATAAAATTTGACTGTACTGAGCCTATTCTTACGTCATCGCAAAAACTTGAAGTAGGCCCAAAGTCATATTGAGCCTCAGCATGTGTGATTCCAGGTCTCGACCCTCATGGAGAAATAAATAAAAAGTGCCAAGATTTTTGTTTGTTTTTAAATGATGAAAACAGCTTTATTGTTGCTTTGTTCGATGGTCATGGAGCTGAAGGCGAAAGAGTTGTCGATGTGTGCTCAGAGACAGTGGAGGACTTTTATGAAGCTCATAAGAGTGACTTTGTAAAAAATCCTAACCTATTTTTGACGGAATTAACAAAACAATGCGATCATGAAATTCGAAATTCTGCTAGAGGCATAAATGCTCACTTCAAAACTTTAAAAGAGTAAAACTTATAGAAAAATGCCTATTTTTGAGAAAATTACCTATTAAAAGCAAAATTTTTTTATAATAATTAATTATTTTTAAAAAGTGATCTCAGCAAATTCTATGAGATTTAATTCAGCTTGAATTCTTAGATATACATTTTATAAATTAATTAGATCTTTACTTTCAAATATTTGCCAATCCAGAAACTTTTTATGTAATTACATTAAAAATAAGTGAACCTTTAAGAGCAATTAGGATTTTTCTGTTATGTTTGAAGAGGGAAAGTCAGAACTCGGGATGGTAATGTATAATTAGTACAGCTGTTTTTGTCTGCTTTTTTAATGGGTCACTTTATTGTGCTAGTGTTGGGGATTCTCGGGCTATTGTTGCTACATCACATCCACCAGAAATTCTACCAGCACCACCTGCAATAATTGGGGAAGACAGAAAATTATTAGAAGAAGTCAAAGAAAGGCGAAGAAGCTTTGTGTCTCCACTGCTACAAGCTGTGCAGCTTACAAGAGACCAAAAGCCAGACGACCCTGACGAACTAGCTAGTTATTAATTATTAGTTATTAAGACTTATCCAGAAACTTGCTGTAATTCCAAAAGAACTATCTTCACTCGTAACGCCTTCTTCGCCTGCTCTCCTGCTCTTATACGACCTCACAAAAACTGTTTCTGCCGGACAAAGATCTGCACTCGCGCACCAGTAATTGAGTGACTCGTGTCACCATGCCTTACATCAACAGGGTTAATCCGACTCTCGGCTAAGAGAAATCCTTAACCCAGGGCGTAACCCCCGGCTGGACAGTTGGAATAGTTCCGATTGGTCAAGACGATCGCCATTGACACGGCTGGGAAACGACTTTCCAGCTTTCAACCCATCTCTCACTGAGGCAAAAACTTGGCATTTGATTAAAGTTTGCGGTTGGCGAACCCGACATTGCACTTCACCAAATAAAGAAAAAACCGACCAGATATACATTTCCGAACGCCATTTTTCCTTCCTCAAGATCCTGTACACCCTGTTGGATTCCAACTACAGGAGCTAAGAGGGTTGGCTAGTTAGCCACACCATCTTAATATATCCCTGCAAACTAGCAAGAATTACTAAATGCGGAGGCAGGGTCCAGCAGCTTGTAGACGAATATGGCAATAAAATCGGCCCATATAGAGTCTGGGAAATGAACTCAAATGGGCCTGGGCTTGCTATGAGCCGATCAATAGGAGATCTCAGAGGACAAAGAGTTGGGGTTATATCAACCCCAGTTTGTACAAAATATGACCTTTTTGGAGAATTAGATTATTTTATAGTAGCTGCTTCAGATGGGGTATGAGATGTGCTTGAAAATGACGATGTCGCTCATTTTGTGGAATTTTATAGAGGAAAATGCGTAAAAGGGGTAGATACACATACAGATCAAAAAATTGTAAACCCAGAAAATGCTTGTATTGCACAGCTGCTTTGTGAAGAAGCAAGGGTTAGGTGGCATACAATTGTGGAGGAAGAAGATGTAATGATAGACGATATTTCATGTGTGATTATTGAATTAAACCAAAGCAAATTTAATATTGATCTTAAAGAGCATGGGAAAATTCCTGATACATTTACACCGATAAGTAATTTATTGGATGATAATACATTGAAAATCACATCTTTACCTGAAATTGAGGTGAGAGATCCAAGAAGAGGCTCTTTTGTTGTGGAAAAATTAGAAAATATATAATAGTAAATAAATAATTTTTTAATTTAGTGTTAGTTCAGTAGCTATAAAAATAAGATTAAAGGGCTTAAAGTCTTATAGATTCGATGTCTCCGCACGCTTGTGACCACCGGTACCGCTTGCTTCAGGAATTCAGTCGCTTGGACGCTGTCTCAGCTGCGGTCTACTCCTGGGACCTTGTGGCTTGCACCGTGATCCCTTAGTCTTGATGCTTCACGTCTTGCGGGTGCTATTGAGGTAAAGGTCAGACCGATGCCTCTTGTCGTCACCCTTGAGGATCAGTGAAAAGAGGCACTCCCTTAAGGAAAATACCCATCTATCCGGGATAACTAATACCTAGACTGGAATGGTCACCAGCTGATTCCCAAGGTCTTCCCATCCATTCGGCAACGATTACTAACACTAAAAGTTAGAATTAAAAGTCCTGAACCTTGGTTTAGGCTATAAACACAATTTTTCTGTCCATATTTCATTGCCACCACCATATTATTTATTCTAGTAGCTATAAGGTTTGATAGAGGGCTTGATTATGGATTTCTCTCAGCTCGTTTTCTACTTTATCTGCGTTTTTTTGCAGCTTCATGACTGTATCTACATCCATGGGTTTTAATGGAAAACTCCTATTGCTTTTTTCACAATAAGTCCTTAAAATAAAATAATACTTGGCATAATCGCTATTTTTTATCCCAACATCATAGTCAATTAGCCCTAAAAATATCATTTCCATGCTATTTAGCTCTCTCAAAGTAACTACAGTAAATGCTTGAGAAAAGTGCTTATTTTCATATGATTCGTCATCCCATACTTTACTTGCTAAAATCAAGCATAAAATTACTAACCTTTTTCAGTTTTTTTCAGTGATGTACAGACCTGTTTTCTCAATCAGCCTTTCTAGATAAATTAAACAGATTATACTGCACTCTTTTTCCATCCTGCATCTTATTATCATATTTTTGCTGAAATTATAAATTTCCTCTTCACAAGGAGCCTGAGTTGCTGTTATGTCGTCAAATTCAGTTTTAAACATATCATTGATTGTTTGAGGGACATTTATATCTCCAGCTTCTTTTCTCATTTTTTTCTGTGGGGAATATTCTTGACTTCTTTCAGAAATTTCATCAAGCTCTATAGGATTTAGATGTATGCAAGAGTCTTGGGAGTAGTCTAATGAAGTCCCACTTGCGGAACCTGGAATATTATCTGACACAAAAGAATATCTAGGCTTCATAATGTCTCTTCTTGGAGTTTCGTCATTAAAATCAGGCATATATGACAATGACTCTCTTAAGCTCGGCTCAATTTCTCTATTTTTTTCAACACTCATCCCATGGAAAATAAGCACTCTTATAGCCTTTGCCAAGCTTTTGCACATTTCTTCAATATCAATATGATGAAGAGTTGACCTCATTTTTGATGAATCAAGCGAAACCCCAACTTCATTTTTCGGTTGAATTTCAGGTAAAGGCTCTAGCGGGTCAATTCTCATCGACGGCTTTGGTGACTCTACTTCAGTGCACTTTGTTGAATCTTCCCTCATCATTTCTAACGAATTTTGCTGCTGCTGTTGTAATGACAAAGCTCTTGTGAGTTCTTCTATTTTTTCTTTAGCTTTTTGAAGCTCTTCTTTAAGCTTTTGTTCTTCTAACTCATTCACAATAGTGCTGTCTGCAGTCTCATATTGAGCTGAATACGGGTATTCAAATTGTTCAGATTCATGTCTTATGCTATTTCTTGACCCTTTAGAAACTGCCCCTGCAGATGTTTTTCTTTTCATCCCTGGCAAGCTTTTTCTTGGCTTTGATAAGTTGCTGTTGCTTCTTGCAAGGCTTGCTTCTGATTTAGGAAATTTTAATGTCTCAATCATAGCAATAAATTTCAATTTGTGGCCTGGCATCATTTTGATGATATTTGCTATCTCATCTATCTCTTTAGTAGTGAGATATGCAAGGCGCTTCAGGTCATTCTCAAAACCAATTTCAGAAAGCCGCTTTGTGTATTGCTGGAGATTGAATGATTTTAAAATGCTGTATAAACCGGCATTAGCATAGTCACTTTCACTTGAAATTTTAGAATCAATTTCGACAGTGACTGTGCTTGGGGTTTTTATTGTGGGTTTCGCATTTTTGATTTTTGAGTTGTGGATTTTTTGTTTTTGTTGAAGTTCCCATTTCTTCATTGGTCTACTCATCTTACAATTTACATTTAAATTAAAAATACTAATGATTATTATAGTGGAAATTGAAAAATTGATAGTATTTAAAATAATCTATTTGTTAGTATATATTAATGTTCTGGCAATTAGCTTAAAGTTGAGTTAACTTAAATTGGATATCATTGGACAGGGCATTCTGGGCACTCTTTATTTGGGCCTAGTGGATTTTTGGCAAGGCATTGATCGCAAAAGCAATGTAAGCAGGAATTTTTAATATTAGGGTTGTCTTGTAATAGAGGTTTAAAATATTGGCCACAAGTGAAGCAACTAACTCCCCCCCCGTGATTGAACAAAATCATTGGAAAAATCGCTATTTTTTGCCCAAAAACCCACCCTTCGTGAGTGAACAAAAATTTTTTTAATAGAAAAAAATTTTTATGAAAAAACTGATATATAAGTGATAATTAATATAATGAAATCTCGAGCTAATTCTGTGTAATTTTAAACAAATTGCATTTTAAAACATAAATTTTATAAATTAAATTAATATTTGCTTCCTAATTTTTGCAAATTAGGATTTTTTTAAAATTTCGAAAAAAAGATTTTCTATAAAATTTTAAAAAAAAAAAAAAAAAAATTTTTTTGTTCATTCGTGGAGGGGGGAGTAAGTGATTTAAATTCTTTTATTGGATGAAAATGACTTTGATTATTATAATAGCAATTAAATCCTTCCTGAAATACAGTTCATATGCCATCATTAACTTTAATAGTATCGTTAGTTGCTTAAATAGCAGCATTACCACCAACATGTGGAATCTTTTCTGTGTGAAAAGATTCCACATGTAAAATCAAAGGGCTTCACATGTGAAATCTTTTCACACGTGGAAAAGATTCCACAATTTGATGTTAATGTTGCTATTTAAGCAACTAACGATATATTGTTTAATGCATCTCAAATGAATTCAACAGTCATGGCTTTTAATAATATCTAGATCGTTATCAATAGGACATCTACACATGTAACAATAAATAGCCAATTTAGATATTTTTATTATAAGTTTTGGTGCGCACAAAACGGATAAATATTCGCCAAAACGGCTTCAGTCTGATCCTTTGTAAATATGTTGAAAAGTGCTTTCCAATACACTTTTACTTTTTGCCTTTTTCAATCTTACTTTATTAACAATTCTCGGATTTCCCCAAGCTGGCACTAAATGATATACTTTGCATGAATTTATTTTCTTAGATCTAATAGGCGCTTGGAAATTTGGAATAATTTTAAATAAAGGTGCATTCATGCTGTACTTTTTTGAAAGATCTAAAAAATCGAGCCTTTCTGACTCTTCAACAAATAGCATATCATGCAAAATATTCTTTATCCGCTCTGAATAGCAATTTATAGAGTTGACTCGGATATTTATTCTAGCTTGAAGTTGATTTAAATTTGTAAAGTCAAAGATATCTGTCAAAGTGGCCATATAATAAAAGGTAAGGCCAAGAGAGTAAACATCTGATTTAAATGGGTTATGATCTATGCCTCCACTAGGATTATTATCATAAGCTCTTCTTAGGAGAGGGCTCAGATATAATGGAGTCCCTGCAAGCGTCATTTCTTCTAATCCTGTAGTTTTTTTCTTTACTGCACATCCTAGATCTGCAACTAAGAGCTCATCATTATCTCCAATGAAGATGTTTTGAGGCTTTATATCTCTGTGAGCAATGTTTTTTTCTTGTAAAAATGAAAATACTTCAATGAGCGATTTCATATGGTTCCATAGTTCTGCTTCATTTCATCTCTGCTGGTACTTTGCCCTTCTCTCAATTTCATTTTGCAAGTCTCCCTTCGAATAAAACTTCATGACAAACAGCACATACTCTATCTGTTGTCCTCTTCCGCTCATAAAGCATGCTCTTAGCTTAACGATATTAGGGTGGTTCCCTAAAGCAGCCATTTGCAATGCCTCATTTGTATAGAACGTGGCATCAGATATTGAGTTTACCTTGAGCTTTTTAACAGCGACATATTCGCCTGTAGCTTTCATCAGGGCTTTATAAACTTCTACTATATCAGTCATATATAGAACGTCACCGAAAATCAAATCACGCTCAGCGATATTCTCCATCTTCTATCTATAAAATTAACTTATAAAGAATTATTAAATGCTATTTTGAATACTTCGGAATATTCTTCTACAAAGCTGACCTCGATCCCTTCTTTCAATATATCAGCTAGCTCATCCCAGTGATATAGCTTAAAACCCCTTATAGACTATTTAGCAGTAAAACCATTCCTATTGAATAGGTCACAAAAATGAAAATTTTATGAACAGGGCTGATTAAAAATATGTGCTATAATTTGCATTTGTCAATTTTAAATTGCACTTGCCAGAAAATTTGACATTTTTTAGGACTATTCAATAGGCAAAGGGATCGATCATAAGCAAGCAAAAATGGAACTGGAGCTATATTTGTTTTGCTTTGGTATGATCACTCTTTTTACCCCATCTCGCTTCGCTGCAACAATTTTTTCTTTGAGTCCTCCAATTGGAAGAACTTTGCCTGTCAAAGAAATTTCTCCAGTCATTGCTAAGTCAGGAATAACTGGCTTATCAAATGCAAGAGAAAGGAGAGCCGTTGTAATGGTGATGCCTGCAGAAGGACCATCTTTAGGTGTTGCTCCCTCAGGGACGTGAATATGTATGCTGTGTTTATCCAAGAAATTATTTCCTTTTTCTGATGCTAGTTTTTTGGCAAACGTATAAGCAATATGCACACTTTCAGACATGACTTGTTTTAAGTTTCCTGTAATTTGCACTTTTCCTTCAGTTTCGTCTCCTGTGAATTTCGACTTACTCCCCCCTCCGTGAGCGAACAATAATTTTGTTTGCTCGCGCAGGGGTTAATTTTTTAAAATTTTATAAAAAAATTTCCAATTGAGAAGCAAATATTTATTTAATTTGTAAAATTTATGTGTTTTAAAATGCAAATTAAACAGAATTAGCTAGAGATTTCATTATAGTAATTATCACTTACATATCAATTTATTTTTTTTCATAAAAAATTTTTATTCGCTCATGGAGAGTGGGGTCTTTGGGCAAAAATAAGGATTTTCCAATGATTTTGTTCGCTCACGGAGGGGGAGTTAGCAACTTCTATGTATAGTGTCGATCCTCCCATCGAAGTATAAGCCAAGCCCATCACAACGCCACTAGGTGTTATATCATAAATCTTTGAATGTGCATGCTCTGGTCTTCCTGCAAACGTAATCAAATTTTCAGGCGTCACCACAATTTTTTCTTCAACTCCTTCTACAATTTTCTTTGTAATTTTTTCCAAAATTCTCGTCACAATTTTCTGCAAGCTTCTAACCCCTGCTTCTCTGCAATAATCCCTTATAAGCACTTCTTTAGCTGGCTCTGTGATTTCATATTTTTCAGATTTGTCACTTAGAGAGCATTTATTAATGATTTCTGGTAGAAGATGCCTATTTAAAATATTTGATTTTTCTTCAGCTGTGTATCCTTGGACTCGAATTACGTCCATTCTGTCTAATAGGACTGGATTAATGTCATCAGGAAAGTTTGCAGTGCATAAAAATAGAACTTTACTTAAGTCGACTGTTGTGTCAAGATAATGGTCATTAAATGAAAAATTTTTGCTGACTCCCCCCCCCCTTTAAATTGGAACTAAAAATTTTGTTCCAATTTAAAGGGGGGTTAAAAAATTTTTTTTACACAAAAAAATCATTATAAAATTTTTTTATTAAAAAAGAACCATTATAAAATTTTTTATAAAAAAAAAATTATATAAAATTTAAAAAAATAAAATTTCAAAAATTTATCGAATAGATTAATAAATTTGTTTAATAAAATGCTATTTACTCTTTATCCTTTAAAACAAAGCAAGATATAACTAAAATTTTATTATTAATTAATACGCCACTATTAATTGGTATCAAAACTATTTACACAAAAATTATTATTTTTATCGATAAAACAAAATTTTGGAAAATTTATTAATCAAAGTGCTAATTTTGTTTAAATAAGATGTTATTTATACTCTATTCTTTAAAATAAAGCAAGAGATAAGTAAATTTTGAATTTTTGTAAAGAATTCGTATTGAATTTATATCAAAGCTATTTAAATAAAAAATATCATTTTATCAAAAATAAATTTTTTTTTGAATTTTTTTTTTTAAAAATTTACAATTAAGGATAATAAATTTTATTTAAATAAGATGCTCTTTATACTCTATTCTTTAAACAAGAGCTGAGGGTCAAGAATTTCTAACAGTGCGTTTTCAGGGCTACCTTGGAAATTACGTCTCCCAACTTTGTCAATTTCGTCAATCAAAATCACAGGGTTCTCTGATCCTGCCTGCTTTAAAGCAGTTATAAGCTTCCCAGGCTGAGCTCCTATATAAGTTCTTCTGTGTCCTTTTAATTCAGCAACATCATCTAATCCTCCAAGTGAAATTCTATGATATTTTCTATTGAGCGCTTCAGCAATAGATTTTGCAATTGAAGTTTTACCCACCCCAGGAGGTCCCACGAAGCATAAAATTTTGCCAGTCGAGCTACCTTTTAGCTTGCTAACTGCAATGAATTCCAGAATCCTCTCTTTTACGTCTTTCATACCATAATGATCTCTATCCAAAACTTCTCTTGCTTTTTTCAGGTCAATAGTTTCTTCAGTTTGTACCCCATAAGGCAAACATGTCAGCCAATCTAAATAAGTCCTGATTACATGAAATTCAGAAGAATTTTTATCAGTCATCATCAGTCTCCCCATTTCTTCATCAATGATTTTTTGAATATGCTGAGGGACATTTTTTCCTTCCAAATTTTTGCTGTATTTTATTTTCAAAGTTTCTTTTTCATCTTTATCATACCCGAGCTTATTTTTAATAAGGCTCAAAATTTCTTTATACATATGCTCTTCGCTTGCTTTTTGCATTTTGGCTTGTGCCTCGTCTTGAAGTTTTCTCATCGAGTTCCTCATTTGTACGTGTTCTTGAACCAGCTCATAGGTAAGTTTAAGTCTCATTGAAAATGTATCAGGCTCAAAAATGTTTTGGACTTTGGCAGTATCACACATATAGGATAAAATAACACCTACGTAGTTAAGAAAATCTTCTTCGTACTTCATATTGAATCTTTGGGCAAATAATTCTAAAGTTGTCAGTTCTTGAGGGCTAAGGAGAGTTCTAAGCTCGTCTAGCTGCTGGGCAAGGAGTTTGAGAATGGCTTTGTCTTCTTCAGAACGTGCTTGTTGAGGCGTCTCATCATAATGCTGAAGCTTGACCAGAGGGAAAGGAATTTCGGCTGTTGATGGCTCGATTACTTCGATCAGCTTGGTTCGGTTAACAGGCTTAAGAGTGATTGTTCTATCGAACTTGTTAAAGCTCGTTGTGCAGATTGATCCTATTGTGTATACGCTATCAATTCCTTTTAATGGAAAAATTGAACTATATAGGGATTACTTTAAAGATAGCTGACTTTCCAATTCTTTTACGTCGTCTTTTGGCTTTAATATAAATGCACTGACCAAGGTAGATGATTGGTCTGAGACCATGAATTTGAAGTTTTCTGGAGATAGGCGGAATCTAATAAAATGTTTAGGGAAAATTGGATGCTTATCTCTCATATTCTGATTGAACAATTACATGAAAATTTCAAAAAATGGGGAGATTAAACCCATCCTTGATCGAGCAATTTCTATAGTCTTAATGTAGATATGGGTTATTATGCGTCACTGTATGCAGAGATATAAAGCGTTAGCCTCCTTATTCATCTACTCAGACTTCATGGATCATCTTGACTGTGTGCTCAAGTTTTCCAATCAGACTTTATTCGTCGGATGCTGGTAGCCTCTTGCTCCTGAAGAGATCAAGTGATGTGAACCCTGTGTCTCATAAATACTAGGGCCAGATCTTAGGAGCTGTGCCCTCTCTATGCTGCTTGCTTGGGCTACTTTTAAATGCTCACTGGGAATGCCAAAACTCATAATAAAAAACTTGATAGAGGATGGAAAAGTTTTCTCAAAGATAAAGCACTCCGATAATACCATTTTATTATCGTGATTTCTATGGTCAAAAATAACCCCCTCCACTACTTCAACTCAAACTAACTACGTATCTTTTAGAGTGATGAATCTTAAAGATATATTATTAGATTCGACAGAATTTTAATACATTTCTATCCTATTAGCAAATGCAATGCAAACTTTATTGCTTATGGCTAGTGCATAAAATCTTTTTATATAGAAAAGAATAAAAATAAAAATTTTCATAAAAAATTTTATACGCATTTTTTTCTAACTCCCCACCTCATCTGTGAGCGAGCAAAGCCATTGAAAAAATTTCTAATTTGGATACAAAAAATATTTTTGATATATAAGTGATAATTTATTATAATGAAATCTCTAACTAATTCTGTGTAATTTTAATCAGTTTCATTTAAAGCATAAATTTTGCAAACCAAATAAATATTTGCTTTAAAATTATTTCGAAATGAGATTTTTTTAAATTTTGAAAATAAATTATTATAAATTTATATAATTTTTTTAAAGAAAAATTAGCCCTCCATGAGCAAATAAATTTTTTTTGTACAGAGGGAGGGTGAGAAATCAAACTTTTGACTCCCATCCTTTGATCGAATGATGGCGATAGGTTCGATCAAGGATGGGGGAAAATTAGAAATAGGAAGAAGCCTAACAACCTCTGAAGGTTTCTCAGGCTTATTAGGGGGCTCTTCTATCTCATCTAATATGAAATCATCTGAAAAGTATCTTTTCTGGATTGCTCCTTTGAATCTATTTAATGCTCGTAGCATTTTTACTATTATAATCTCAGGTATAATATTGCTCTATTTTATGGAAGATTAGCCATTATGTTTGAAGTGCAGGGATGTATTTGTCTTTCAGATCTTGGTATTGCCTAACTATAGATTGCAAATTCTATTTTATAAAAAATTATTTATTTTACTTAAACTGTATACTTGAATTTAATAGACAAAAATTCATATAAAATAATAAGAATTTGGAAAGGAAAATGTGAGATTAAAAATTTGTTCGGGGCATGCTAATTGATATTAAAAATGGAAGAAGAAAGCTATAGAGATAAATATAAGGCTTTAAAGAGCAAGTTCAAGGCTGCACAAGTTGTAATTGTTATGAAGGACCATCTAAAATTATCTGCTCAACTTGATTTAGCAATGAAAGCTGTGAATGGTTTACTGAGAGAGAAAAAGTAAAATTTATTCAGATTTCTTACTGAAAAGTTGAATATTACCACAAAAAAGGGTGATAAAACTTCTAAAAGAATGAAAACTGACGATGCTGCTCAACAACTTGAAGGGGAAACTAAATAGAGCTATAAATAATCTCATTTCATTTAAACATAGAAATATAAATGTCTGATTCTTGCTAATGATATTTTTAACTTTAAAATCTATTAATTTTTATTATTAATAATTATGAATTTATATTTCAAATTTTCCTGCCATATCTTATTTTTTACAAAAAAATGTGGCTGGCTTCTAATTAAATTATTTTTCTTTCTAAATGAGCATAAACACGATTTGCGTAAAAGGACAGCTTAATAGAGTTTATTATTTCCTGTATCAATTAAGAAGTTAACTAATAAATTGTTTTTAACTAAGCAATTGACTTTGCATCTTATAAAGAGTAAATCAGGATTTCAATGTTTGTTCTACAAAACACATGATTAATAGTCTGGTACACTTGATCTCAGTTCAGCTTATCAAGGCCACACCCTATTTTTGGCATTGCTAACTTGTTTACGCGAAGCATTGCACATTTATTGCAAAGGTCTACAAGAGATCTCTCCAAATCTGAATAAGTGGGCTTTTGAAAATATTTATCCTTACTCCCCCTCCGAGAGCGAAAAAAACCATTGGAAAAATCCTACTATGTTTTAAAAACCCACCCTCTGTGAGCGAGCAAACAATTTTTTATGAAAAAATATTTTGAAAATAAGTAATAATTAGTATTTTGAAATCTTTAGCTAATTTTGTTTAATTTAAACAGCTTGCATTCTAAAACATAAATTTTTAAAATAAATTAATTTTTGGGAAAAATGGATTGTTTTAAATTTCGAGAAAAAAAATTACAATAAATTTTAACCCTCCAGAGTGAATAAAAATATTTTTTTGTTCATTCATGGAAGGGGAGTTAGTGATCTAATAAAATATTCATTAAAATGGAGTGGCAATCAATCCCCTGACTTCTAGGGAGCAAGCAACCCTTTACACCACAGTGATCAAATAAAAAGCAAATCTATTGTTCCCAATATTCAAGAAAAGACTTTTTCCAATTTCAGGAGACTGTGATTGGAGATCATTGATTCCTCCAAAGCGGTTTCTAAATTCCACTGCGATTCCTTTACTCATTTTTAGGTCTTTTGAGATACAGTGGGCTAATGAGTAAGCTTCTGGTACATCAAACAAATTTCCTGTAATTAAAGTGATATTGCTTGATACCATTTATTTATTAGCTGCTTATCATGCTTAATAAATATGTTATGAAAGCCAGCATTTACGGCAACATAAATATTTAAATAGATTATTATAATGAAATCTTGCACAGATGCTGATTTTAAGAGAGCTGATAGTTTGACTCCACAAATGAACCCTTTCTTTTCTACAAAGCAATTATCAAGGATCAAGACAAGCACGCCTTCTACTAGAAAAAGTGACTTTTTTAAAGAAATAAAAGAAATTAATAAGGAGAGGTTGATAAAAGAGTTAACAAGGCCTAAAATTTTAATACAAACTATTAATATTGAAACCCCAAAGCCTCCTTCTTATTATATTGAACAAGCACGTGCAGAGTACCTTCAGAAGACCGAAAATTTTAAAGCTACAAATTCTCGAAGTCAAACTGATAGAATAAAAACTACCGCTTCAGGAACTCGACGCAAAGAAAAACTCTCTGACATTCCAAAAAACGAGCCAGTCCAAACAAAGCAATTTTCCCAAACCGCAACCGCTAGAGCAATCAGTCCAATCCAAAAAGAAAGTGACATCAAGAATTTTATCCCAGAGTGACTGATGTCCAGAACCGGATTCCAGCAGACCTACAAGCGTATGATGAAAGGCGACGAAATCGACGTTGGGTCCATCGTTTCTATCTACCCCAATCACAGAACCGAAGAAGAAAAAGCTGCATTATTTGACTGAATAGTCAGCACTGCATTTTTTGCAAAAATTCCTAAACTGATTGTAAAAGATACCTGCGATAAGCTGACAAGGCTTGATTTTGAAATTGATAAATATATAATTCACAAAGGCGCTGTTGCTGACTGCATGTACATCATTTATAAAGGAGTTGTAGGAATCTATCTTCATAGTGGAGAAAAAGTCGGCTCAAGAGGAAAAAAAGAAGTCATAGGAGAAATCGGGCTTGACACAGCGTCCCCTAGGAGTGCTGATGTTATTGCTGAAGAGCCTACAATCACTTTTGTGTTAAAAAAAGAAGACTACGACCGTATGCTGCTGAACATCAAAAAGCTTGAAAGATATGAAAATACCAAATTTTTAATGAGCATTGAGTATTTTAAAAGCTGGAGCTTTCTCAAAGTGCATAGGCTCTCCAGCTTTATGATCATAAAAACATTCCCAGCTGGACAAGTTCTTTATGACCGAAACGACCCAAGTAATACCTTTTATATTATCAAGCAAGGACAAGTAGAAGTCCAAGCTTACGTTGACTTAGAAAAACAGAATAGATGGCCGACCTCATCTCAAGAGTGAGACTTATTACAAATAAACAGAAAGTACATTATAACTCTTAGTACCATTGGCAAAGGCTGCTTTTTTGGAGAAACTGATATGATTGATGGCTGCCCTCGAAAAACCCGAGCTGTGTGTGTGACCCAAACCATTTGTCTCACTATTAATAAAAAACAATTTTTCGAAGTGTTTTCTAGTAGAGATGTTATGAGATTAAATGAGATGAAAAGCATTGAAATGCCCAGCAAAGAAGATCTCCAACAGAGACTATTAAAAGAAATCAAAGAAAGCCACGAATCTGTAAGTTTTATATAGGAAAAAGCACTTTTAGATGCATTAAATGTGGATTATGTAGCTATTGAAGGAAGAGAACTTTTTGATAAAAAAAGCAAAAGACTGAAGCATTGGATGACTAATTATAAAAAAAGAAAACTGCAGACAGAAAACCAGATGATTAAGAAAATCGTAAGGAAAACCAAAACTATTACAAGTATCGGCAACGTCGTCGCACAAGCTTTAGGACGAGAAAGCACAGACAACTCTCCAGGTTTTTTAATTGAGGCAGAAATAAATTAATAGCTCTGTAATATCCCATTTTGCTTTATCTATAGCTTCAGCCAAACCTTTATCTTATTTTCACCATTTGTCTTTATCACTATATCTTAATTTGAAATTAGAATATGGTAATGCGAAAAGCAACTCCTCGAAGTCACGTGTCTGGCTCAACTCTTACAGACCAAGAAACAGGAGAAAGCATCAGAGTATGTGTCCGCTCAAGGCCAATGAACGAAAAAGAAATCTCAATAGGCGACACTTCATGCATAACTGTTGTGAATCCCCAAGCTCTTCAAATGAACTTTAAAGGCTCAGCCAAATCTTACCGTTTCCATCAAGTTATGGGCGAAGATTACACACAAGGCCAGATGTTTTCTGAAAGCGGGGTCCACGTTTTGCTAGATTCTGCCTTAGAAGGGTATTCTGCAAGTGTTTTCGCGTATGGACAAACTGGAAGTGGAAAAACTTATACAATGGCAGGAATAGAGGAAAACCTAGGAAGACAAGACTATCGGTCTGATGAAACTGATGGGATAATTCCGAGAGGGATCAGCTACATGTGGCAAAGTATGGCTAATAGGCAAGAACAATATTACGTTAAAGCAGCGTTCATGGAAATCTATAATGAGCAGGTCAGAGATCTATTAAATCCTGCAAGTGGTGTGCTTCACTGTAGGTGAAATATCAAATCAGGATTCTTCGTCGAAGACTTGCTAATTGTTGACTGCACAAATATTGACGATTTAATTGCAGTTCTGCATGAAGGGATCCGAAATAGAAAAACTGGCAGCCATGAGCTTAATAAGGACTCTTCAAGAAGCCACTCGATCATGCTAATTTATTTAATTAGCGAAACCAAAGGAGAAGATGGGCATTCTTTTAAAAAATTCGGAAAAATTTGTTTTGTTGATTTAGCTGGCAGTGAAAGATTAAAAGAAACGAAATCTCAAGGGATCATGGTAAAGGAAACAGGAAATATTAACAGAAGCTTGTTTACACTAGGAAAAGTGATATCAGCCTTAGGAGATAAGAAAAATAAATCCAAGTCACATATCCCTTATAGAGACTCCAAGCTTACAATGCTGCTAATGGACTCTTTAGGAGGGACTTCTAAAGCCTTAATGATAGCTTGTGTTTCTCCTGCAAGTGCTTATGCTGAAGAAACAGCTAGCACTTTAAACTACGCTGGAAGAGCAATGAATATTAAGAACAAGCCTGTAATCCAAATGGATAGCAAGGAACAAATCATATTCAGCATAAAGCGAGAAATCCAGCTACTAAGGATGGAAAATGAATATTTAAAAGAGCAGCTTTATAGGGTCACTGGAGGAATGCCACCCTTAATGGTTGATTTTGCAAGAAACCGGTCACCCTCAGCCAAAAGTGCAAATAGCAAGCTCCCTCCTATTCCAAATCCTCCCCACATGCAAAGCAGTGCAGCTATTATTGACGAATACCAAAAAGAAATGAACCGAATTAAAGAAGAAAACATCCAGCTAAATAACGGCAAAGAAGTCCTGGAAAAGCTAGCTAAGTCTGTAGTAGCTGAAAACCAAGTTTTAGCTGGGAAATTGAACAATTTAGAACATGTTTTCACTGGATATACAAATCCTAATGATCAAGGCGCTGAAAGGACAAGTAATCAATATACGATCACCAATTTATTAAACGATAATGCCAATATTAAGCGACAAATTTCAAAAATGGAGTATGAAAAAGCTGAAATGAGGAATAAATTAAATGACAGTGGGTAAGAATTATTCAGAAATCCAACGCCAAGGTCAGCACAGTCATTTAGTGAAATGAATGACGCCTTCCAGCTGAAACAAATGAATACACAGCTGCAGAAACGAATTGAATTTTTACAGAAGCGTGAAAAAGACCTACTTGAGCATTTGCTTAAAGCTCAAAAGGAAAATGGGCAAAACGGACAGCAGGCTCCATTGAAGAAGTAAATATTCTAATGGTTATATTTTAACAATTATCTTCCTGTAAGAGCGACTTCAAGCTCATCATAAGCGCTTCTTTGCATCTGCTGGGTGTTTTGTAACTTCTGGATAAGCTCAAGCTCTTCTTGCTCCATTTGTTTGATTTCATCTTCTTTAAATCTTCTTATCTCGTTTTCTTCATCAATTTTCAGAATTATTTATATGGAGGGATGGCGTGGCCTCTGGTGATCCAAGAGTTGATTCGGGCTAGAGGAGAGAGCCACATGACAATGGTTCTCTTGGGTGGGTTTTTTTGTCCAGAGTTGAACCTTGGCCTTTTTTCCTTACTTGCAGGCTTACCTTCCTGAGCAATGTCCCTCTGCACTCTATGGGAGCATGACCGAGTCTTAATGCGGCTTAGAGGGTAGGAGGAGGCAAAGTGGTCCAACCATACTCTGAGCCTTGTCGGAGGCTTAGGGAGCCTTGTTGCTTGCTGGGACCAAGGAGCAATCTCCCGAGAGACCTCCTATGTCACCATTTTTTGATGATGCAGGGAGTAAAAAAGGCAGGTATGGGGATAGCGCTTCGAACTTAACCTTAATCATCAATTTTCTTACTCCATCGTCTGTAAGCGGCAAAACCGTTAGAGATCCTCCTTTTTTTGAAAAAAAAAAAACTCGGTGAGCAGGTATAATAAAAATTCTTGCTGATTCTGTCGAATTTTAAACGGCTTGCTAACTGCATTTTTCACTTTTGTAAATTGGAATTTTTAAACTTTGATACAATCATTTTTAAAAAACCCCTCTCCTTGAACGAAATCAACTCACAGAAGATTGAGTTAGCAAGCTCCATTTTTTGTGCTTCTCTTTTTTCTTCTTCTTTTCTGCGTTTTTTCTCTTCCGCTTCTCTTTTCTTTTCAATGACCCTCTGCTTTATAGACATTTTATATGCTTTTTCTTCTTGCTTTTGGCTTTCAATATTTTCCAAATTTTCTTGTTTTTTTAGCTTGAGTACTTTTACTTCATTTTGAACACGGCTTTTAAGCGACATTGTTTTGAAGTCTTTTAACTGCCTTTCAAGGCTTTTTTGGTTTCGTTTTTCTAAAGCTCTAATTCTTTCTTCTTCCTCTTTGGCTTTGCGTTCTTCTTCTCTTTTTTGCTGTGCTTCTTGGATTTTTGCTTTAGACTCAATGATTTTTGAGGCTTGTTGGCGAGTTTCTTCAAGTTTCTTGAGAGCTTTGGCCTCTTCAGCTTTTAATAAAGCAATGCGGTTTGCGAGGAGCTTTGCGTCTTCTTCTGCTCTTTTTCTCATTTGCTTGGCTTCACAGAATACGTTGTGATCGACTTCTTCGATAATTTGGCCTTCAAATTCGAATGACATTTTAACTGATAATTATAATAGACTAACGACATTTATGATACTATCTGTTGAATGAGTTATTTGGAGATTAAATGAATAAGCCAAATTGGTCTATAATGCGCTTTTTCAAAGCTAACTCTGCCCTTTAAAATTAAACAATGATTGGTAAGTTTTTTCATTTTTTGGATAAATTGGCCCCTTATATTAGTTCAAAGTTTTAAAGTCTTTTCGCTAAATTTAATAAAAAAGATCCGCTTTGGATTCCAACTTGTCATGTGGACCAGCATTTTACATGCCGAAGCATGCAGATTTTACATGTAGGATGCTATTTCATATGGCAAGTTCGAACCCACAAGTGGATATTTTTATTAAATATTTTTTAGGCAAAAAAAAATTAACCTCCCTTTAAATTGAAACAGATTTTTTTCTAAATTAAATGGTGGAATAAGCATTCATTTAAAATTATTTCAAAACAAATTCATCTTACTTTCTATAAATCCTTATAAAAACACTTGAGCTATTCTGTCTCTCATTATAAAAAATATAATTATTCTCTATAAATTTATATTTAAAAACAAGAGACTTTTGCTCCAATCCATCATAACTCCATTTGCGCCAAGCACTTAAGATAAATTAAATGGCCGAATCTCCTCTATCAGCCGAGAGTGGCGAAATTCCTGACGATTCCAGCTCAGTTGTATACGATGACGAAGAAGAACCCAGCCAAGATTACCGTCCTGGCGGATATCATCCAATAATGCTTGGAGATATTTTTTTGAACCGGTATGAAGTCGTCCAAAAAGTCGGCTGGGGGCATTTTTCCACAGTGTGGCTCTGCAAAGACCTAAAATATAACACATATGTAGCTTTAAAAGTCCAGAAAAGCGCGTCTCACTATACTGAAGCTGCTTATGATGAAATCGATATTTTGCTGAAAATAAGTACAAGCTATAATGACCCAGTATGGCTAAAATCCTTAAGGCATTATTATGATGGGACAAATGAGTATCAAAACGCACTCTCTGAAGAAGGAGTGCGAGACCACTGCTTTGTAGTCCAGCTGCTTAACAGCTTTATGCATGCAGGACCGAATGGGAAGCATATTTGTATGGTTTTCGAGATTCTAGGCGTGAATTTATTAGAAATCATTAAGGTGTACAACTATAGATTAGATTAGATTGCAAGGGGGTATTTATAGACCCCACTTCTTGAAGCGCTGTGCATTCTGCAGGTGAATGCTTGCAGGGTGGGCTCAAGGCATCTTGAGTCCAGGCCGAAACCTCCAGTTTCTCGGTAGAGGTATTTTCCCTTTTGATCTGGTCAAGCCAGATTTTATTTCCAACTCAAGTACCAAAATTGCCCAACTCTGCGTTGCTTAGGCCAGATCTGCCCATTGAGCGAAGTTTTTAGACTGGAGAGACTAGCCTGAAATCTTCGTTTAGCCTGTTTTTTTTTATCGGATCGCATCCAAGGAAAAAACTCAATGTACTTGCGCAGATTCGGGAATGCCACAAAAGCAGTTTAGCAAAATAAGTTACCTTGCCTCTATTGGGCACCCGCTCTAGGCCTGGCGCTGGTGGCAAAAAACTGCCGCTCGATTCAGGTCACTAATTAGCAGAAATAGTGTAGGGCCTCTCACTTCGAGGCTAACCCAGCCTTGGGCAGCTCTTTGCACCAAAAAACCAGTCGGATATACATCAGGACACCTGCAACTGGGTAAGACTGTCGCTCGCAGCCGGCCATTTTATGTATTAGAATTACAGCTATAAATTAAATGATTAATATGGTCAGAAGAGCCTTTACCTCGTCTCAGCTTCAAAAGAGCAGCCTCCATAGACTCGGAGTTCAAATGAGAAAATGGAAGACCGCAATCTTGAATTTCCGACCTGAACCATCTGCTCAGGGAATTAGCTCCCTTGGGCAGAGCTTTCATCTGAAGAGTACTCCTCTGGTCCCAACAAGGAATGTATGTGGTAGGCAAACCTGTCTAGCCCATCTGACAGGGACAGGAAAACCTTCAAGAAATGAAAATTCCCTCTTCGGCAAGATATCCCTAAACCTGAAGGCCTACTTCAAATAAGGACAGAAGCCTTCAACTTCATCAGGACAGGTCCTGGGGTGGTCCGGAATTTAGTACGCTGTACTAAATTCCGTACTTTTTTTTTACCGTCAAAATGACTGAGAAAAAAAATGTACTTTTTTTTTACGGAAAAAAATACATCATAAAATTTTTGTACTTTTTCTAGGATGGGGTAAAATAGTACATAGGTTTTAGAAAACCATCAAAACGGGGGTAAAAAAGTACACATGGCAAAAAACTCGTTCATAGAGGCAGGTACAAATAAGCTAAGAAAATAGAATAATTAAATTAAATAAAAGTGTATAATGTTGTATATTTTCTTAAATATGATAATAAATATGAATAGATTAAAAGAACTGTGCAGTGTCTTAGACAATATCTATTTTTTTTAATGTATTTTTTTTTTAAAAAACATATTACTCCCCCCCCCCTCCGTGAGCGAACAAAAAATTTTTGTTCGCTCACGGAGGGGGGTTAATTTTTATTTTTTAAAAAAAATTTATATATAAATTTTTAATTGTAAAATAATATTTTTTTATAAGTTGAAATTATTTTAAAAATATTATGGGGGGAGAGTAAGGGAATTTCCCAAAAAAAAAAAAGAATACCATTTGATTAAAGGTAAAACACAGCTTAATTTTTCAATAATTTAATAATCAATAAACCTATTAGTAATAAATATATGCATTCAGTTAAAATATTTTATATATTTTCTTATTTAATATAATAAGCAAATTCTCTATAAATCATAATAAAAATGTACAAAGGGAAAAGAAAGTAATTGAAATTTGGCAGAAAGTTGAAATTGCTGAATTTTACATTCAACACCAAAATGAGATGAGCATGAGAGATGTTGCTGCAAAGTTTCATGTCAACTCCTTTAGCTCGATTTCCGAATGGGTGAATAAGCTTGATGAGTTGAAGAAATCAGTAAAATCTGATAAAAAATTAAAATTAGAAAGCTTCACTCAATTTCCAGAGCTAGAGAAAGAACTAGTTCATTGGTTTACTGCAATCCGTGAGCAAGGTATTCAGGTTCTCAGATCAACGATTGAGGAGAAAGCAAAAAGTTTGGCGGCAGAAATGGGATTGGCGCGATTCGGCTGTGGAGATAAATGGTGGCAAGGATTTAGGACCAGAAATAATTTATCTTTCAGAAAAATCAATGCCTCAAGCATTAAGCCAATCGAAAAAGAGGCAGAACTTGTCAGGCAATACCTAGATGATTTAGCGTCATTGCTTCCTCAATTCGTTCCATCTAACATTTACAATTTCGATGAAACGAGATTTGATTGAGATGTAAAAAGCAAGTTCACTTATGATTTCAAGGGAACTCAACGAATTCTAGGCGTTCAATCAGCTAAAATGAACCATTTTATCACTGTTATGCTTATGATTAGAGCTGATGGAGAAAAAATGCCTGCTTTGCTCATTTTTCAAGAGAAAAATGGCCAGATCCCGAACCTTGTAAGAGAAAGACTGAATATTCCAGAAAATGTCATCATAAAATCAAATAAATCTGGCTACATTTCTGACCAGATTCTTAATGACTACCTCAGAACAATATTGAGACGAGAAAACCAACTGCTGATTTATGATCAGGCTGGAAGTCATAAAACTATCATGATTTCTAATGCAATTTCAGATTTAGATGCAACCAAAATTGTGATCCCTGGAGGGTGCACAAAGTATTTGCAACCACTTGACGCACTGGTAATTGCAAATTTCAAATCAAAAACAACAGATTTCAGAATCAAATTCCAAACAGAGCAGATTGAAAGAAGATCGAAAAGAACTGGAAACCTCAAAGCTCTTGATCGCCAGCAACTGATAAACATTGCTTCAAAGGCGTGAGATGCTGTAAGCCCTCAACTTGTCAGAAAATCATTTGAGTTGACGGGTTCTTATGGCGTTAATCATCCAAAGATTTTCAGCCATCAAGTTAATATGAAGAAGTTAATTATCTAATCGATTTCTTCTATTCATTTTTTTGTCTTAAATTTAAAATTGTTAAATTCAACCTTTTCACTTATGGTATTCTTTTTTTTTAACCCTTTGAATAATATATCAAACAAACTTAATAATTATTTTTCAATATTATCCTCTTTATTTGTATTAAATATAGATATAATAAACTATATATAAAATTATATGTAAAAAAATTTTTTGTTCGCTCACGGAGGGTGGGTTTTTGACCAAAAAATAGGGATTTTTCTAATGGTTTTGTTCGCTCACGGAGGGGGGGGGGGGAGTTAGTAAAAAAGTTCACTATAATTTTTGTATATATTGTATCGATAACGATCTATTATTCAAAATCATTCATAATAATACTAAAGTATTATAATCGCGAATTAATATCTAATAGCATGATTAAATGTTTAAAGGTATGCACGGAATGCATAGCTACAGTTTATTTTAAAAAACTTAAAAACTTACGTAAAAAAAGTACAAAATTTTTTTTGTCAGTAAAAAAGTACATGTACTTTTTTCTGTACTAAAAATTTCAGTAAAAAAGTACATGCTTAAAAAAATCAATTAAAAAAAAAGTACCTATTAAAAATTAATAAATTATGGAAAAATAATTTAAATAATATTTAAATAAAAAATATGAGAACGCATTTTCTATGTTCTACTGTATATGATTTAACATCGCAATTAGCCAATACTACTGAAAAATACTACTGAAGAATACTACTATAAAAACACTTCCTTAATTTTTTAAATCTATAATAAAATAAATATATGCAGAGTGAAAAATTAGAACAAATTGAAGCAGAAGATTCATCAAGTAGTTCATTAGGAGCAGCTTACTTACGTGATAAAGTTGAAGCTTCTGAAGATGAAATTTCTTCTGAGAATTGAAGTGAAATATACGAATTCAATAGAAAAGATAATACGCCTCCAATTGGATCAATATCCAAATCTCATTGATCAAATCAAATTACACCATTGAATTTATTTAGGGCCATTTTTTTCAAAGAAGAATTTATTATTGAAATAATCAAGAAGTGAATGTTTATGCAGAAGCTCTTTCAAAAAGTAAAAAAGTATATGGTGTCAGTAACTGCTCAAGAACTTGAAAAATGGATTGGGATATAGTTATGATGGATCTAATAAAAGCTCCAAACCATAAGGATTATTGATCTATAGTCCCTCTTTGCAAAATTTGGTAATATCTGAGTCATAAAATATAGGAGATTCCAAGACATAAGTCGTATGCTAAATATATTTTACAATTTAGAAATATTCAGCGCCAACTATTCTATTGACAATTATTATGGAAATAGAGTTTCGCATAAACTAATTAAAAATCTCCCAGAAAATCCACAGAGATATTATTATTTTTTGACGCTGGTATTCAAGTATTGAACTCTTCACTTCTATCTTCAGCCTTAGTTTTGCTGCAACTGACTCAATTAATAAAAGCAGAAAAGTCCTTCCTATAGCTCATATTAGCAAAAAATAAAAAATGCAGGCTTGTTTAAGAATCTCCAGAGGAATGAATTCAAAGTTTGCATGTAGTTTATTACTGGGAAACTTCTGAATCTGTAAGCAAACGAAGGAGGAGACTGAATACTGCTGCTGCAAACGCAAGAAGCCACTTAATCAATAAAAAATTACTTGTTTAAAAATTTTTACCAAGCAAGGGTTTAAGCGTAGTCCAAATGAATCAAATGAATCAAATGAAGCTGGAATAAAGCTAATAAAACGTAATAGATAAATAATATTTATGAACTCATATACAGTAGAACATAGAAAATGCGTTCTCATATTTTTTATTTAAATATTATTTAAATTATTTTTCCATAATTTATTAATTTTTAATAGGTACTTTTTTTTTAATTGATTTTTTTTAAGCATGTACTTTTTTACTGAAATTTTTAGTACAGAAAAAAGTACATGTACTTTTTTACGTAAGTTTTTAAGTTTTTTAAAATAAACTGTAGCTATGCATTCCGTGCATACCTTTAAACATTTAATCATGCTATTAGATATTAATTCGCGATTATAATACTTTAGTATTATTATGAATGATTTTGAATAATAGATCGTTATCGATACAATATATACAAAAATTATAGTGAACTTTTTTACTAATATTTTTTTAAAAAAAAAAATACAATTAAAAAAAATAGATATTGTCTAAGACACTGCACAGTTCTTTTAATCTATTCATATTTATTATCATATTTAAGAAAATATACAACATTATACACTTTTATTTAATTTTAATTATTCTATTTTCTTAGCTTATTTGTACCTGCCTCTATGAACGAGTTTTTTGCCATGTGTACTTTTTTACCCCCGTTTTGATGGTTTTCTAAAACCTATGTACTATTTTACCCCATCCTAGAAAAAGTACAAAAATTTTATGATGTATTTTTTTTTCCGTAAAAAAAAGTACATTTTTTTTCTCAGTCATTTTGACGGTAAAAAAAAGTACGGATTTAGTACAGCGTACTAAATTTCCGGGTCACCCTAGGGACTGCACCTCGGATTCTCATTTCCATCACCTTCACCATTTTATTTCTTGTGCAACTATAAAGGAATTCCTATACCAATATGCAGAGCTATTAGCAAACAAGTGCTGATTGCTTTGGATTATTTGCATAGAATTTGTGGGATCATTCATACTGATCTCAAGCCTGAAAATGTACTTCTGCAACTTACTAAAGCACAAATTAATGAAATAATTAAATTTGGGATTTTGAAAAATAAAATTGACTGCCCAGCGATGCCTGCTGCACGACCTATAGAAACTCCACAGGCAGAAATGGTGAAGGAGCTAGGAAATATTGTGAAGGAAAAAGAAGTAGATGAAAAAGCATTGAAGATAAAAGAAAAAAGGAAAAAATATAGACAAAGAAAAAAAGAAAAGGAAAAACAGTTAAAAGAGCAGCAGCAGCAAGAGAAAGCTAATGAGGATGCAACAACTGTGGTGAAAAAGAAAAGAAAAAGAAATAAGAAGAAAAAAGGACAGAAAAATGAAAAGGAAGTAAATGAAGATAATAAAGTAGAGGCAAATATTGACAAAGAAATTCCAAAATTTGACGAGTTTGAAAACATCGATAAAGTGGAAATTAAAAAATCAGAATTGGACATTGAAGTTAAAGAGCCTCAAGATAGCTCTGAAAAAAATGATATTGAAGGTTCCCAAGAAGCTGGAAAAGAAATAAAAAGTGATCTGCTTCATATAGAGGAACGCAAAAACAGCATCAATGATAGCAGAGATGAAAGTGATCTCAGCCTATTGCAGCTTCCAGAAGACAGCTCAATAGATTCAAAATCAGCCCCAGTAGTAAACGAAAATATCAAAGTAAAAATCGCTGACCTCGGAAACGCCTGCTGGATCCACAAGCATTTTTCAACAGAAATCCAAACAAGGCAATACCGAGGTCCTGAAGTAATTTTAGGGATTTCTTATAATTACACTGCTGATGTCTGAAGCTTTGCATGCATGCTATTTGAACTCATCACAGGAGATTTTCTATTTGACCCTCGCACAGGGCCAGATTTCGACAAAGAAGACGACCATTTAGCCCAAATGGTAGAAACCTTACTTTACCCAAATTATTTCACCTAAGCTCGATCAAAATAAATATTAAACATAATTTTTTTTCTTTAGAGACAGCTTAATAGAGTATTATTAGGATTAAAATCAAAATTTGAGTTGAATTCATTAATAGCTAATTGCCAAAATTTTATTCTATTACCATAAATTATAATAAATATTATTTATCTATTATAAAAAAATTTGCAACATGAAATCGCTCAGCTAAGATGAGGGTAGAGTCAGGATTTTTCCCGAAATCGTTTGCTCTTTCTGGGGTAAATTCCAAAAAATTTTTTGACCACCGAGGGAAGCTTCGCCGAATTTCTAAGCTTAAACTGTGGCCTCTTAAAGATGTATTAATGGAAAAATACCGTATAAAAGAGCATGAAGCAAGAATGCTATCTGATTTTCTATTACCCATGCTAAACTATGAGCCAGATAAGCGCTGCACAGCTCAGCAAGCTTTAGATCACCCTTGGCTAAAAATGCCATCAGATTATAACTATAGAATGACTGAAAAAGAGTACTGGGAAACCAGCCTAATCCAAAAGCAAAAAGAAGTTGACAACAATGAAAAACTAAAGAGAGGAGAAAGCCCAAACTTGGAAGGAATTAGAATGCCAAGCTCTGAAAGCAACACAGATATTGAAGACAATGACGTATGGAGTGAAGAAGAAGCTGAAAAAGATACTGTAGAAAATGAAAGAGAGTTCGCTGAAAACGTGGAGTATCATGAGCATATGCTAAGAATCAAAGAAAGTCTGCTTGGAAAAATGAATTAAAAATTAATATAAATACCAAAAATATTTATGAGAATTGTTGACTTAATCCTTGGCAAAGCTCGATACCTTGGTCGTTAATGAGAAAATGCAGCTCATTTTCTGGGCCAACTATAGAGCTGTATTGGATTTTTAAAGTTCTTAAAGTGTTTTGTTTTGATAAAAACATCCTATGTGTAACCATATTGGTTCAAATTAAGCCAAGTTTTGGGTTTAAAGCTCCATGCATGTCAGATGTTACGTTGTTGATTATTAAAATTCCAAAGCCATAGTTGTGTGAAAGGTGCTTGAGCAACACACTGATTTTGGTTATTGCAGTATTTCTTATTCCCTATTGGCTAGCGAGCAAAATCATTCGAAAATAACTATTTTTGGGAATTAGCCCCATAATTAGCGAGCAATCATTTAAAAATCCGATATATAATTGTATAAATGAGATTTCAGCTAATTTTATTAAATTTTAACTGCTTGCATCTTTTAATACATAAATTTTATAAGTTAAATTAGATTTTTTATTGCAAATATTTATATTTTTCATTCAAAATTATTCTTTTTTTAATCTATTAATTAGGCAGCAGACAAAGTTTTGTCCAACATGGGATTTAGTTTTATCCCATTAGGAGTATTTTCATAATCACTAAACAGTTCAGGAATATTATCAAGCACAATTAATTTTACATCTTCTAAACAGTCTATAACAGATTTAAGCTCTTGTATAAAGTATCTGCACTTATCATCTTGGGAAACTGCATTTCTATATACAAAACAATTAGAGTCTAAGTTCATGCTCTGCAAGCGAGCAACACTTAAAGGCTTTTGTGTTGAAAAATAGCAGACTTTATAATGCTGCATCACTATTTCTTTAGATATTGCTAAAGCCAAATTAGTTTTCCCGCTTGCAGATTCTCCTACAAGCTCATATATTGATCCAGGTAAAAACCCTCCACCTATAAACTGATCAAACTCCCCAATATTTGTCTTAACAAACCTATCATCTCCAAGCTCAGCTAAATTACACACAGAAATCGTCACTGCTTTTTGGTTCCATCATTCGGGCCATTCCATATATTAAAATTACTAATTCGATTTAAATGGTTATGATAATTAAGCCTATTTGCTTTTTCTAAATGGCTTCATTTTTCTCATCCATCTCGCCACGATCTTGACTCCAAATTTCTCATAGAAATAGCTAGCCACATATCCAGACCCCAGAATTATTAGCAAAATAAATCGAAAACTTACTGGAATATAGTCCATTTGCATAAAATCCCGAGCCCATTTTGCAGGGATCAAGATTAAATACAAAGTACATGCTAATGATACAGCGGCAAATCCAGTAAATCAATAATTTTTCCATGTGCTTTTTCTGAACGGCGGGCCAGTGCTAAACACAATGCACATATACCAGATAATTGTGGCTGAAACATAAAACATTGCCGTGTTTTCGACACAAGGTTCGGCTGCGCCTACATACCCACCTGTGGTTGGGGTATACCAATCACTTGTAATCATCGCCATAAATACAAAACCTTGTGTAGTTGTCATCAAAATCAAATGGCCCCATATTGATACCAAAACGTCAACAGAAAATAAAGCGGTTGGTGGCAGATAGTTGGATAGTTTTGTATGGGCAGGAGTTGAAGCCATAAAGATTGAAAAAGGCAAAATCAAGAAAATGTCCATATATAAGAACTGGCGCTCAGTGTAATTGGTGTGGTTAAGGAACAAGAAATTTTCACATACAAACTCAGTGATGCTGTACATTGTAATAAATTTAAAGCATTGGAAACTTGTAGTTAACGACGCTCTGCCTTCTTTGAGGATTTCTAAAATGCATTCAAGCTTTTTACCTGTAAAAGGAGCTGCAATTGAAGCTTCAAGATCACTTAAACTAAGCCCAACGTCAGCTGCTTTGAGAGCTCCACAGTCATTAGCTCCATCTCCGACCATAGCAACTAATGCTTCGCTCGTTTGTAGCTGCTCAATAAGGATGACTTTTTGTTGTGGAGACATTCTGCCAAAAACAGCTCCTTTCTTAACAATATCAGGTATCATTCTTGACTTATTATTCGCTAAATGCTCAAGTAAGCTTCCTGTCAATGCTAAAGACACATTTGTCCCAGCCAGCTTATCTTCAAAGCTGCTAACCAAGTCTCCTTCTTCATTTCTCCATTCCACTTCTTCATGAATGATATCTCCATAGTAAACTGTATTTTCTGCTGGGATAATTTCGCATTCTTTCCCAACAGCTGCCCCTGTTAGTAATGCGTCCCCAGTTGAGATATAGCATCTTATATTTGCGTCTTCAAGGGTTTTTAGGATTCCGTGGGTTTCTGTCTTTAATTGGTTTTGGAGGACAAGAAAACCAAGAAATGTGGCTTCTTTTTCAATATCTTCTATAGGGGTTTTTGGGTCAAACTCAGGGATATCTTTATAGGCGCAGGCTAAGACTCGATATCCAGCCCTTGTAAGATGTAGAAGCTGCTTGTTGTAGTCTTCAGGAAGGTTTATGCATGATGGGGAAATTTTTTCAGGCGCTCCTTTTAGGTGTAATCTTAATTTTCCTTCATTTTCTGTGACAACAGCCATTCTTTTTAAAATTGGGGAAAAGTGATAAATGAACCTTACAAAGATCTGAGATTGAGCTTTTTCTATAATAAAACGAGTGTTTTCGTCATCAGATTGGTAAAACCTCCAACCAATCTTATTAAAAATTTCAATTTCTTGAGGATCACCTAGGAGCTCTCCATCAAGCATTGTTAAAGAGTGGCAAGAAGCCATATTTTCTTGCAGCTCAGGGTTGCATCTTTCTAATTCGTCTTCTATTTTTTGTGTGCTGACGTCCCAAGCCCCTTTTAATGTCATAGAATCCTCTGTGAGAGTTCCAGTCTTGTCAAAGCAAATAATTGTAACTCTGCCTGACGAGTTTACTGCAGGTGGAGAAATGCAGCTGATTTTTTTATCTTTTAGTCTTTTTATAGCAAAAGATGTGCTCATTGTGGTAGCTAATGGTAAAACAGGTGGTATAACGGTGGTAACTAAGTCGCCACAGCTAAGGAGCATCTCAATAGGGTCTTCTGCATTTACAATATACCACACCAGATAATATAGTGCGCCTGTAAGACCAATAATTCCCATGAATCCGACAAATTTGAAAGAGTCTACATAGAAATTAAATCTATTTGGCTTTGGAAATAAAATAGATCTAACTAGCTCACCTTTAGCTGTAGAAAACCCTGTAGATGTTGCAACACCAATTGCACCTCCTCTGCATGTTAAAGGAATTGTACCAGAGCTTAAAGAATATTTTTTGTCTAAAGTGTATACTAAGTGAGAAGACATTGGGAGGGCATCTTTTAGGATAGGTTGAGACTCACCAGTAAGCATACTTTCGTCTACTAACTCTCCTTCCCTCCGTGAGCAAACACAAAAATTGTGTTCGCTCATGAAGTTTTTTTTTTTAAAAAAATTAGGTGAAAAATTTTATAGAATTTTTTTTCGCAAAATTTGAGATAAAAATTAATTTAATTTGCTTATAAACCAGTTCCCGCTATAGATCGGGCTATATATGTCGAAATATTTTTTCATAAAAATTTTGTTCGCTTACGAGATGAGTTTTTACCAGAAAAATAGGGAATGTTCCAACGGTTTTGTTCGCTAAAAGAGGGCTGGAAGTAAGCAGACGCCTTTTATTAATACTAAATCGCATGGAAGAGGGCAGTTTTCAGGAATTTCAATTAAGTCACCTGGAACTATTTCTCTCGAATTGAGGACATTTCATTGATTTTCTCTACAAACGTTGACTTTACACTCATAGAGGGCCATCTCTCTTACACTCTTGATATTTCTTCTGGTTTCATAGAGATTTGTGCAGAGAGACAGCATTGACATGAAAAATATGATTCCTGAATAGAAATAGTAAAGCTCGATAACCCACAATATTATAGAAAAAATTTGGAACACAAAAAAAGGATGGATTACCTCAGTCACCAATAGCTTCCAAATTGAAGGCATGGGAACGTCTACCAGACAAGGACCAAATAAAGCTTGTCTGCCTGTAATAATAGATTTATCTTGAATTCCTTTTATTTTAAAATAAAAAATGGCAATTTGCTAGAAAATTAATTTTTAGCAAAAATAAGACCTTTTTGATGGGCTGGATTTTAGTGAAATAATTCTAATTAACTGAAAAAAGGGAGATTTTCCTATTAAATACTTAATATATTATTCCTTTTCCTAGGCTCTCATGAATTTTATTATAAATTAACGTGTAAGGGAACTGCAGCGCTGTAAAATTCTCTTCTGTGGCGTAATAACGGATAAACCTGTAGACAAAAGTTTTGAGTTTAATTTCTTGAAGAGAATCAGAATATCCCAAGGATGACAGCGGGACAAAAATGGTCCTCAATGGAACAATCTCTTCGAAGTTTTCCTTGTTTCTGACCATGACATATATACATTAAAATGGAGGAAAACCAGCCCACCCTCTTAGCACGTTAGCTGAGGAGATCTAGTGACCTTGTGGAAGGGAGAATGGCGCTCGGTGATGTGTATCCGGCCAGGTTTTGCTAAGTTTGGGGAGCGCAAAGTCGGAATAGGCTGACCGCAGCTCATTCCTGGACCAAGGTTTTACCTCTTGGTGGAAGATGGGTTCAGCGTTGGAAAGGGAAAGCCCAGCAAAATCATATTGGCCAATTGGGCAACTTCCTAGCGCGATACTAGGCGTTGCATCCTTGGCGACGAATTCCATTTCGGTCGACAGCTCGACCAGAAAATTCAGTTTTTTTGAATTTTCAGGAAGGGCAAGTCTGACGCACGGGACGGTGACCTAGCCCACTTCACTCGCCGTTCGATGCGAGCCTCAGGCGACGAGGAGTTTACCCCTTAGAGGGTGGCGACAGGCTGCCCAACAACGAAGCAAGGTGGAGAAAAATGCGCCCTAAAGGTGATGCCGAGCTTCTCAATAATGATTAATTAATCTAATCTAAGCATGACATGGGTTGCAGAACCAACTGTCGAAGAATTATAACGCAATATTTTCAGCTTTATAAATCACTGAACAAACAGGTAAAAGACACCAAGGGACAGTATATAGCAAAGATAAAATAATAATTTCTTTACTTTGCTTGCTTTAAGAAAGGTAAGTTGTACATATTCTCCAGACTCCTCAGTGACCTGATGCTTTTTAAGCATCTTCTTACTCCCCCCCTCCGTGAGTGAACAAAACCATTAGAAAAATCGCCATTTTTTGCCCAAAAACCCACCCTCCGTGAGTGAACAAAAATTTTTATGGAAAAAAATTTTGATATATAAATGATAATTAATATAATGAAATCTAGAGCTAATTCTATTTAATTTTAAATGAATTGCATTTTAAAACATAAATTTTATAAATTAAATTAATATTTGCTTTCAAATTTTTGCAAATTAGGATTTTTTTAAATTTCAAAAAAAAATTTTTTAGAAAATTTATATATAAATTTTTTTTAAAAACAAAAAATTAACCCCCCTCCGTGAGTGAACAAAATTTTTTTGTTCACTCACGGAGGGGGGGGGGGAGTTAATAATTACCATTTACGTCAACAATCAAACTAATAAATTAAATTAATTTTATTGAGATTTTTTGGCATCAGTTAACTCATTCTTTCCGAATTTATTGACGATTGTCCACAAATCGGGCAGGGCATCCTTAAGTCTAACTGATTTGTGCTCAGGCTGGAAATATTCAAATGAAGAATTTGAATTTTCTGATGAGCTGGATTCTTCATAATTAATCCGAGTAGTTTCTATGTGAGATTTTGACTTTTTGTGCCCGAATTTGCTTTTATTTCTCTTTACCAACTTTGGTAAAGGTGGGGTTGGAGCTATATTATTGTTGAGTGTGTATTTTCATACTGGACTTGAAGATGTATACCTGTGGGTTTGGGAAGTATATATTTGGTGCGTGATAGTTGGCCTTAAAAAATTTCTATTTTTTGATACTTTTGGGATTGGAGATTGAGCATGAGGAATTGGAGTGTCTCTTTTGTTGAGAAATATGCAGTGGTTTAATAATTCAGTGTTTAAATCTTTTAAGTATAATTATTATTTTATAAAAGATTCATTTAGGTTGAGAATGCCAAGATATTGAGCAATATGTTATAAAATACTTCAGTTGGCTTCAGATAAGTCAAGTTTAACTTTCGCCTTACTCCAAATTAGACTAAAAAAAATGAAGAAAATTTCATTAAGATTAGGATAGAAAATTTATTTTAAATCAGACTCAGATCTACTTTAACTAAGCTTTGCTTTGTACAAGATATTATTTTATCAAAAAAAATATTTTATTGTAATTTTATTTTTCAAATTTACATAAATTTGATATTTTAAATAATTTTTTATCGTGAATAATTTATTTTATAAGTAATAAATATTTAATTCCACTCCATTAAGGAACAAAATATTTCTATCTAGTCAAAAGGGAAAATAGTGTTTTTGATATTAGGCTTGGCTGATTTAAAGGAATTTCTTGACTGATTTTGGGTTCTTCAATACTTCACCTATTATCTGTTGAAATAAATGACTCTTCAGATTCACTTAAAATGGCGTCAGTTCTTTCTGGTGTTTTTTCACGATTAGGTACGTTTAAATTTTTGGTATCTTCAATAGAAGATGAAAGTGTAACCGTTGGGGTAGCCTGTTCCACGACCTTTACAGAAATACTTTTATTTCGCTTTTTTGTCCTTCTTCTTCGTCGGAGCTCTTTTCTCCTTACTCTTTTATCAAAAATTTAAATTACTTTTTTTAAAAACTTTTAAGTATTTAATCATAAAAAGTTAATTTAATTTGAAGAAGTTAGATTCTCTAATCCTTTCTTAAATCTTCTTCTATACAAAAATGCTTTAATAGATCTTTGTATTTTTAGAGCAGCTTCATTTATATGCTGTTTGTCTTTTAATCTTCTCCTAAAAAGCCATAGCCTAATATTTTGCTGAATTTTGACTATTTCCTTTGTCTTTTCACTTCCAAGGAACAAATAAAATTTATTTAATTCCTCATTGACCTGGCTAAGTTTTGTCTTTAACACCTGCTTACTCATCCCGCAAAAATAGAACAAGCCATCAATTATTTTCATAATAATTTTTCCTTATTTTTTGACCTTAAGAGACGATTATATTTTTGTCGAGTAAAATATCCTCTGAAATGCCTTTGAATTGTAGTTGCAGCCTTAATCTCTATCGCTTTCTGCTGATCCCTATATCTATCAAGAACCCTAGCCCTTTCTATCTGTGCTTTATGAGCACCTTCCATAAGTATCCTTTTCTGATGAGCTTTTTCTAATTTTTTTATTAATTCTTTTTCTTCATTAATAATTTTTTGAATTTTTTCTCTGTCTTTTAGGTTTTTCTGCAATGAATTATCGTTATAGAACCTCTGTGTATCAGTCCCTTTAAATCTTGTAATGTTTCTTTTTAATATGCTGGGAGCAGCATAGCTTGTATTGATTTGAGGAAGCTCGAACGTATTTCTTAAGATAGTTCTTTTATTAAAGTCATAATTAAAGCCTTCCAAATACGTTGCGCTAAGTCTACTTTGTTTATAAGTATTTTTCATTAAAATAACTCCAATTCATTTTTATCACAAATTTTAGTTTTCTTTGAGACTGTATAAGGCAGTTAAGTTTCAAATAAAAATGAATTCTCTATCAAGTCAAATTCAAAATATAACACAAATTGCTTTAAATAGGATTGAAAACTTCCAGAAGAGAAAATTAGTACCAACAAGTCGACCAAGTAAAAAAACCAAACTTCAAACTGTTCATAGAGCAAAATGGGGTCCGCTTAAAAAGGAATTTAATTTTTCATCATCTGACCAAAACTCTTCAACTTTTACAGAAGATCAAGAAAACCTGCCCTCCTTCTTGAATTAGCAAAATTATTGAAAAATTTTACTTTTTATGAGAAACAAATACACAAACTAAAATTTAATATATAAATAATGATTACTAATATAGAATTTCTTGATAATTTTATTAAATTTTAAATAGCTTGTAATTCCAAAAATAAATTTTATTTCAAAAAATTGTAATATCCTGGTTTTAAAATTTATAAAAATTTAAAAAATAATTTAAACCTTCAAGTAAAAATATATTGCTAGCTCACAGAAAGGAAGAAGTAAGCATTTCTCCAACTTCCAGCTTTACAAACAGCGACCAAATCGAAAGATTAAACAAAGAATTAGAACAAGCAAAATTGACACTGCAATTTTTACAAAATTCTTTGAAAGAAATGTCGTTAGAAAATTCTTCTCTAAAAGAGCTACTATCACAGTCAGAATCATACCGAAAATTATTGCATGCTCAGCTGCAAGAACTTCGAGGACCGATCAGAGTTTTTTGTCGTGTTAAGCCGTTTACTAATAAAAATTATGTAAGCTATCCAGAAGCTAAACTTCAAGAAAACTATTTGAGGACCATAACAATAGAAAAGGATGGCATTGCTCAAACTTTTACTTTTGATCGGGTTTTTCGTGAAAGCACAACCCAAAATGAAATATTTGAAGAAATTATTCCATTTTTACAAAGTGCTATTGACGGAGAACATGTCAGTATTTTTTCATATGGACAGACTGGAAGTGGGAAAACCTATACTCTTGAAGGCTCAGATTTTGAAGAAAACGCTGGGATTCTGCCAAGAGCTGCATCTTGAATTTATAAATATTTAGAAAAATGCGGAGTCCAGTCAAGTCTTCAGATCAAATTATCGTGCATAGAAGTTTATATGGAGCAGGTAACTGATTTACTAAGTGACCACTACAACGTATTAAAGCTAAAAGCAAATAGCAAAGGCAGCTTACTCTAGCTTCTCTTTAAATAAAGCAAAAGTATTGGAATAATAAAAATGCCTTTAAAAAATTAAATCCCTCATAATAGATAAAAAATAATTAAACATAATTACAATTTTTATAACGAAATCTATTAAATTTTTAGTTAATTTGCATTTTAAACTTAAATTTATAAATTAAAATAAATTTATCTTTTCAAATAAGATTTTTTGAAAAAAATTCTTTTATATTAAATTTTTACCCCTTCAGAGGAAAATAAACTTATCCAGCTGTCAAAGGAAAGAGTTAGAAGTTGAAGGAATATCATGGCATCAAGCTGAATCTTTTGAAGGGTTATTAAGGCTAATAGGAATTGCTTCTAATGGAAGAATGACAAGATCTACACATTTAAATAATGGCTCTTCCCGAGGGCACACAATTTACCAAATAAGGATTGAAGGACTGACAATGTATGGTAATGAGATCAAGGGGAAATTAAGCGTTATTGACTTAGCTGGATCAGAAAGGGCCAATGTGGAATCATACTCAGATAAATCCCAAAATGAAATTGAAGCTATGAAAGTAATTTTGTCAGAAGCCAAATATATCAACACAAGCTTATCTTGCTTGAGGAGAGTCATTTTAGCACTCCTAGCCAGAAGAAGCGGAAACAGTCAAATTCCTCCATATCGCGAATCTAAATTAACTAGGCTGCTTCAAGATTCCTTAAATAGTGGCAAAGTTGTGATGTTGGTAGCTATATCTCCTGATAATTTTTCTGAGACAAGAGAGAGCTTAAAATTTGGTGGGCAAGCTCAAGTAGTTAATACATAAGGTTATTTATAATGAACGCTGTAATTTAGATTTTCCAAACAGAAAATAATTGAATGATATAATTAAATTAGCAGCATCCTTTCTTTTTCTTGGCATCTGTAGGTCTTATAATAACTCCTGGATCATTTGGTCGTACCTCTGGATTTAAGGCAGTTATTTCACTTCTGTGCTTTTTATACAAAATTTCCCCAAATTTTGTAAAAACTCTGAATTATTCTTACTCAGTTACGTTTTCCGCTGTTTTTGCAGAGGTTTCCATAAACCCGTCTAATTTATTCTCTGCAGCATATTTTTCAGCAATATCTGTGTCAACTTCTCGTTCTTCTGGTGATAAATCTAAAACATTTCCTACTAAAAATAGAGAAACATCAGGTCCTGCATTTTGTTTGGCTTCGTTGATTCATGAATCGATATCTTCAAAAGTCTCGAGATTAGTAATATCATACATAATGATAATACCATGAGCGTTCCTATAAAATGTTCTTGTGATTGAGCGATATTCTTCCTGCCCAGCTGTATCCCAGATTTGGAGTTTGACTAGAGTGTTGTTTATTGTTATATTTTTCGCACCATACTCAACTCCTATAGTTACTATGTGATCTTGCTTAAAAACTCCTTCTGTAAATTGCAGCAAAAAGCATGACTTGCCAACTCCAGAGCTTCCAATAATGAGGAGCTTAAATTGAATACTTGATTGAATCTCTTGAGCAGACATTATTAATTTTTGCAACCTTTTTAATCTAAAAGAAGTTCCTATAAGAGCAATTATTTGGGTTTTAAAATATAAATTTTTAATTATAGGGGATTAATAGGCTAGATAATATTAATATGCGATTTATCCTTTATTAATAAAAGAAAATTGAATAGTAAATATAAATAAGCTAGTATGCTAGCCTAGTATCACCACATTCGTCTTAAATAAATTTGCTCCTTAAGGTAAAAAGATATAGCGCTTTCCCGAGGATGGCGCCATTCCGCGCCATCCTCGGGAAAGCGCTATAACTTAAATGCTTGATAATAATGATTATGACAAATGAAAATTTTATTGCTATAAAAGATAATTATAATAAAATGCCTATCTTAATCGAAAAAAATTGAAAGAGTTACGTTTTATAATAAAAGTAATCAAAGCATGGGTAATTGTGCGTCAAACTGTAGAGCGAAAAAGAATACTCGCAGCTTGTCTATGCAAATTAGTAGTCCAAATTTGCTCTTCGCCGATAACACCATTTCAGAAACCCCAAAAAGCGGAATGTCAAGAAGGTCAAGTGTTGTTGGAATGTCAAGAAGGTCAAGTGTCGTTATGAGAAAATTAACTTCAATAAATAAAAAAAATTCTGACGAAGCTGACGTTCCATCAGCAATAGTTATTGATAGGCCACCAAACTTGAAGGAAATGGAAACCATAAGGAAAGCCTTAAAAAATCATTATCTTTTCTCAAGCCTATCAGAAGAAAGCCTAACTCCCCCCTCTCCATGAGTGAGCAAAAAAATTTTTTTTCACTCACGGAGGGGTGTTAAAAAAATTTATATAAAAATTTTTATAGAAAATTTGTTTCGAAATTTAAAAAAATCCTAATTCGCAAAAATTGGAAAGCAAATATTAATTTAATTTATATAATTTATGTTTTTAAAAGCAATTTGTTTAAAATCAAACAGAATTAGCTCTAGATTTCATTATACAAATTATCACTTATATATCAAAATTTTTTTCCATAAAAAATTTTTTCTACTAAAAAAATTTTGTTCACTCACGGAGGGTGGGTTTTTGTGCAAAAAATAACGATTTTTCTAATGGTTTTGTTCACTCACGGAGGGGGAGTAAAGGTTTTTATTCCTCAAATGAAGTATTATACTATCAGCAAGCCAGGAGAAACAATTTTCTATCAAGGAGAAATCGGAAATAATTTCTTCGTAGTCACTTCTGGAAAACTAGAAGTCATAATTAATGGAAAACATAAAAGAATTATTAGTAAAGGATGCTGCGTAGGAGAAATTGCACTTATGCTTAATTCAACTAGAACAGCTACAGTGAAAACGATAGAAAGGACTTCTATGTGAGGAATAGACCGAGAGCAATTTAAAGCTGCAATGCTATCTATATATAATGAAAAGTATAATGAAAACAAAAAATTTCTTGAGAGCATCCAGATTTTTAAATATTTAGAACCTGAGCAAAAGGAAGCATTGCTCAATGAATCAGTACCTCTTATGTATGCAGATGGAGAAAAAATAATATGTGAAGGAGATGAAGGTATTTTATTTTACATAATAACTGGAGGAAAAGTAATGTGCTCCAAAGGCTGTGTTAATATTAGATTAATGGGAAAAGGAGAGTTCTTTGGCGATCAAGCACTTCTGTATGATACAAAAAGAACTGCAATGGTAGTTGCTGACGGGGTTGCTAAGCTGCTAGCAATTACCAGAGATAAATTAGTGAGAATATTTGGTGACAAACTTCAAAGTATTGCCTATAGAAATTCTCAGAAGTTCGCTATTGAGAAAAATCCAGTTTTAAGGAACCTGAAGAAGAATCAAATTGAGAAACTAATTGATATTGGAGAGATAAAAATTTATGATGAGGGAAATGTCGTAATCGGATCAGAAATAGACAAAGGATCAAAGATGTGGATTTTATTAGACGGTAAATTGGTATCTGAACAAAATAAAGAAGATGAGATCCCATACCAAACTGTGATTGGAGCTGAAGATATTATGAACCCGAGGGATGAAAAATATTCTACAGTTTGGAAGGCTGGGGTAAAGGTGATAGTAGCTGAATTCTCTATAACTCCCCCCTCTCCGTGAGTGAACAAAACCATTAGAAAAAATCCTATTTTTTGCCCAAAAACCCACCCTCCGTGAGTGAACAAAAATTTTTTATAGAAAAAAAAAATTTATACGTATGTGATAATAATTATTATAATGAAATCTCGAGCTTATTCTGTTTAATTTTAAACAAATTGGTTTTAAAAAATAAATTTTATAAATTAAATTAATATTTACTTTCCAATTTTTCCGAATTAGGATTTTTTTAAATTCCCAAAAAAATATTTTCTATCAAATTTATATATAATTTTTTTTTTAAAAATAAAAAATCAACCCCCTCCGTGAGCAAACAAAATTTTTTTGTTCACTCACGGAGGGAGGGGAGTAAGAGATATTGAAAATGTATTGGGGAGCAGCCTTATAGATGCACTTGAAAAGAATCAAGTTGCTACAGTGCTAAGGAAAGTTCAGCTATTCAGGGATTTATCTCATGAAAAACTTAGACACTTGTCTTCTTTGCTGAAAATTGAAGAATTTGAAGGAAATGAGTGCATTTTTCATCAAGGTGACCCTGGGGACAAGTTTTATGTAATCAAGAGAGGTCAAGTTCAGGTTTTAAAAAATAATATTGTTATGAGAACTCTTAATCAGTTTGAATATTTTGGGGAAAGAGCAATTGTTTTAAATGAAAAAAGAGGTGCCACAATTGTAACTGTCGGCAAAACAATATGCTGAACTTTAAATCAAACTGATTTTTTAGAACTAGTTAACAAAGCTTTGCACAAACAGCTTATGAGACATATAGATTTAAGAAACGATTTCATTACATTGGATGATTTATCTATTGTTAGCTATATATGTCAGGATTTATATTATAATTTCTATTTAGTCGTTCACAAAAAACGAAAAATCCTGTATGTACTAAAAACAATAAGCCGAAAACAAATAAATAATTATCGACTACATGATTAATTAAGATTAAGATTAAGTTAAGCCGTTCGCACTAACATCCGGGGATTTGCACCCCTACACGCTCATCGCCTATGGTAGGGCCTCGGCGGACACCCTTCCTTGTTGCCGCAAACAAGGGATTCGGACATATCAGTCTTGATTTCCATGGCTCCCGGAGCCTAAGGGCTAACCACCTGGGTCGAAACTCTCAGTTTCTCGCTAGACAAATGCTACCTCTTGAGTCCTGTTCGAGAGAGTCAGTATCCGCTCGGGACTGTCGCCGGTCTTGTCTTTTCCAATGGTTGTTCTGGAGGTAAAAGCCCGAGTCCCACAGATTAGCTCCGTAGGGCCCAAGTAAAACCTAACCCGACATACACAAAGGATTTCCGACCCTTTTCCACCTAAATCCCCAACACTAGTCCGTTGTCTGCATATGCTGAGGAAATAGGGTCGAGAGATCGGGTGGCATGTTGTCGCCATTTTTATGTATATTCGACTGCATGATAATCTTATCATGGAAAGAAAAATCATGATGATTCTAGACCACGCATTCATGATCAATCTTGTGAAAACTATGAAGGATCAGGCTCGAATCTATTTCTTACTAGAATACATACAAGGCCAAGACTTTTATAGTGTCCTAAAGCGCCTTAAAAAACTATCTAACTCCACAACAAAATTTTACGCATGCTGCTTTCTGATGATGCTAGAGTACTTACATGAAAATAAAATTATTTATCGAGATTTAAATCCTGATAATATAATTATTGATGAAAAAGGCTATCCAAAGCTCGTTGATTTTGGATCATCTACTATTTTATATGGAAGAACTTACACAATTATCGGCTCACCTCATTATATGGCACCTGAAGTAATATTAGGCAAAGGGTATAATCAATACTGTGATTACTGAAGTTTAGGGGTCATGATTTTCCAAATTGCATTTGGAAATCTCCCTTTTGGAGAAGAATCAAATGATCCTACTGAAATATATGAAATAGTTCTAAAAGATCCTATTATTTTTCCAAGCTCAACCCCGCCCCATTTTGAAAAAATAAAAAATTTTATTGAAAAGCTCCTTAATAAGTCAACTCCGGCAGCAAGAGGAAATATAGATGTATTAAAATCACATCATTGGGTAAGCAGCACTGATTGAGATGCACTTTTAAGAAAATCAATCCTCCCTCCTTATATCCCTCCACATGAAAACTGGACTGAGGAAATTAATAATGCACTTAGATCAAAAGAAGATATTTTAAATGGACTACTTGTAATTTTTATGTAGAGTCATGAATCTATGGAGAGAGCTTTGACAACTGGAGATATTTTTGGAAAATCAATGATTTCAAAGGACTGGGATTATGATTTTTAGATGCTCAAAGTAAATAAATCTAATGGAAAGCTTGAATTTATAGATAAATGTTTAATGGCTTTTTATTTTTATAAGTGATAGAAATTATAATTATAATACTTCTACTATAAAGAATTTTAATTAAAAAAAAGTCATTATAATTTGTTTAATAGGATTTTATGCATATTTACCCTTTTAAATATCCCTGAAACTCCAAAGAAATTTAGCATCATCTATGTCTTTTTCTATATTCATATCTTCATTATTGGCAATGCTGTTGCGTCTATATTTACTTTTTCTATGAGTTGCTCTGTTGAATGGAACTTTTCCTTTCCCGTATATCGTATTTCCAAAAAAATGTTTATGAAGGCTAGACTTAACTCAATTCTGCTTAGCTTCTTCAAAATTAGCAACATTAGTATATCTAGAGCATGACCATTCTACAACTCTTGCTAGATCGTGTTCACAGCATCCTCTTCCATAGCATCTTTTTATAGTTCTATTTGAGTGTATGCCAAACCGTTTTGTTCTTCTCATAATTATATAGGGAGAAATCAGAAATAATAACGCTATAATTCTCATAAAATTACTTCTACTGCTATAAAGAATTTCAATTAAAAAAGTCATTATAATTTGTTTAATAGGATTTTATGCATATTTAGCCTTTAAAATGCCCCTGAAACTCCAAAGAAATTTAGCATATTCTATGTCTTTTTCTATATACACATCTTCTTCATTATTGGCAATCCTATCCCACAGAAAATGGCGGCGATGTTGACTTATTCTATGAGTTGTTCTATCGAATGGAACTTTTCCTTTCCCATATATCGTATTTCCAAAAAAATGTTTATGAAGCTTTGACTTAACTCAATTCTGCTTAGCTTCTTCAAAATTAGCAACATTAGTATATCTAGAGCATGACCATTCTACAACTCTTGCTAGATCGTGTTCACAGCATCTTCTTCCATAGCATCTTTTTATAGTTCTATTTGAGTGTATGCCAAACCGTTTTGTTCTTCTCATAATTATATAGGGAGAAATCAGAAATAATAACGCTATAATTCTCTAAATTAGTAAATTAATAAGTTATATTATAGAGCAAGTTGTATTTCCACAAAATTTTTTTATAGCTAAGTGGAATAGCCTGAGTGCAAAAATTTAAATTTTGAAACTATTATTTGAATATTAATAAGAGGAAAGTGCCTAGTAATTAAGTCAACTATCATGTAGTTTAAGATAGATCTTTCCGAATTATTATTAGATACTCTTTAAAGAATTTTATATAAATTAACAGAATCAAACGTCTTCTTTTTTATATTAAACAAGTAATACTCATAAAAATTTCCTTCATTTATCCCATTATAACTCAGACCAGCATACACACCTTCATTACCATACACTTTAAACATTTGCTGATAATGTGACATATATATATCTGAGATACGAGTTCAGTTAAATTCATCCAAAAATTCACTTTGATAAAGGTTTTTCTGGGTGATTAAATAAATTCTGGAATCTGCTAATATAAGAACTTTTGAACTATGCCCATCGAGAAAAAAATATCACAACGCTGAATAGCTGTTGATTATTGGGTCATAGCTGTAAATATATCTTGAACCTCGACCTGAAAAAAGAATTTTATGATTAAATTGGATGCATGAACAAATTAGAGCTAGTCCTGGAAGCTGCGTAAGGTTTATTCATCTATTTTCGGAGAGATCATATTTTGCTGCATGCAAAATGCAATCATAGTCATCACATCCTCCAAAAACATATATTATGTATTGCAATAATTTCTTATCATGAGTATGCATGTCAATTTGAATTTGGCATGTGAAAACCAAATATGTGTTTCAAAACGCAGATTTTAGTGTGGCAAATTTATAATTTGAAATTTCATATGAAAATGGCTCGTATAACGTCCATAAGAAATTTATGCAACGCATAATACAAATCTATTATAATAAATAGATGATGAATTATAGCAAGGTTTCCCATCTATCAATGCTCTGCATGTAAGCAAATCTGTATTAATTATACAAGTAACACCAGAAACCGGGTAATTATTTCCAAAGCAAAATAATTCATTATTTGGAAGCTGAGTAATGCATGTATAGTCACTCAGTGGCTCAGGGGTATTTATAAGCCTGCATAAAAATGATTGATTTTCTATATTATAAAAAGAAATCCTTGTTTGGCTGCTTTTTCTATCAATAAAGTTATAAAATTTGATTTATAAATATCAAATTCTTTTTCCAGCTCTTGAGCAAACTTAGTTTTAATGTCAATAGATTTCTTTAAAAATTCTTGACAAAAGCTGCAATAAATAGCAAAGTAATTTTGGATTTCAATATTTGAATCGTATAATGATTTTGACATATCTTCACTTTGATATATAAATAAGGTTAAGTTAAGTTCGTTTTCCACTTCTTTAGCTCATTTTTCAATTTCTTGATAACAGGGAATAATGTAATCATAAAGCGGCAAGGTAAAGCAATAATGATGCTTAAGTTTATTTTGTGCATCTAAACAAGATATTTTTGAATTAATTTTTTGGATTTTGTTTAGCAGACTTTCGAGCTGTCCTTTGATCAAATCTGTAATGGGGTTAGAAATGCTGACATTATTTTCCTGACATGTTGATAGTGATTGATTTGTGCTTGCGCCAAATAATTTTAGGTGATTCTCTTTCAATAGATTTTCATCCATATTAAACTATAACTTAGGCTTGATTATAAAATATAACAGCAAAATTTATTTATTTAATAGCTATCTGATGAATTTATTATTCGCTTTATAAACTATCAAAAATATATGAAATATATCTGCAACAATTAGGACGGGCCCATTATTATGAAATTGAAGTACTCGAAAAATATATTTATTAGGCTAAGTGGAATAGCCTGAGAGCAAAAATTTAAATTTTGAAACTATTATTTGAATATTAATAAGAGGAAAGTGCCTAGTAATTAAGTCAACTATCATGTAGTTTAAGATAGATCTTTCCTAATTATTATTAGATAACTCTTTAAAGAATTTTATATAAATTAACAGAATCAAACGTCTTCTTTTTTATATTAAACAAGCAATAATGATAAAAATTTCCTTCATTAATTCCAAAATAATTCAGACCAACATACACACCTTCATTACCATATACTTTAAAAATCTGAACATAATGTGGCATATATATATCTGAGATACGAGTTCAGTTAAATTCATCCAAAAATTCACTTTGATAAAGGTTTTTCTGGGTGATTAAATAAATTCTGGAATCTACTAATATAAGAATTTTCAAAGCATTCTCATCAAGATAAAAATTTGTCACCACTGAATAGCTGTTGATTATTGGGTCATAGCTGTAAATAGATCTTAAACCTAGTCCTGACAAAAGAATTTTATGTTTAAATTGGATGCATGAACAAATTAGAGCTAGTCCTGGAAGCTGTGTAAGGTTTATTCATCTATTTTCGGAGAGATCATATTTTGCTGCATGCTGAAGGCAATCATAGTCATCACATCCTCCAAAAACATATACAAATCTATTATAATAGATAGATGATGAATTATAGCAAGGTTTTCCATCCACTAATGCCCTACATGTAAGTAAATTCGTATTAATTATACAAGTAACTCCAGAAACAGGGTAATTATTTCCAAAGCAAAATATTTCATTATTTGGAAGCTGAGTAATGCATGTAAACTCACTTAGTGGCTCAGGGGTATTTATAAGCTTGCATAAAAATGATTGATTTTCTATATTATAAAAAGAAATCCTTGTTTGATTGCTTTTTCTATTAACTAACGTAATAATATTTGATTTATAAATATCAAATTCTTTTTCCAGCTCTTGAGCAAACTTAGTTTCTATGTCAATAGATTTCTTTAAAAATTCTTGACATAAACTGCAATAAATAGCAAAATAGTTTTGGATTTCAATATTTGAGTCGTATAATGATTTTGACATATCTTCGCTTTGATATATAAATAAGGCTAAATTGAGTTCGTTTTCAACTTCTCTAGCTCATTTTTCAATTTCTTGATAACAGGGAATAATGTAATCATAAAGCGGCAAGGCAAAACAATAATGACACTTAAGTTTATTCTGCGCATCTAAACAAGATATTTTTGAATTAATTTTTTGGATTTTGTTTAGCAGACTTTCGAGCTGTCCTTTAATCAAATCTGTAATGGGGTTAGAAATGCTAATTTTATGCTCCTGATATGTTGATAGTGATTGATTTGTCCTTGCGTCAAATAGTTTTAGGTGATTCTCTTTCAATAAATTTTCACCCATATTAATCTATAACTGAGAGTTGATTATGAAATAAAACAGCAAAATTTATTTATTTAATAGTTATCTGATGGATTTATTATTAGATTTATAAACTATCAAATTTATCTGAAGCCATTAGGAGAAGTCCATTATTATCAAATTGAAGTGTTTGAGAGATAATATTTATTAGGCTAGGCAAATTAATTTAATATAAAAGGACGCAATATTTTACGTAGTCGAGTTCTTCTTTTTCATACTGGGATTTTCATTGTGCAGTTTAGCTTTTAATCAGACGTTAGAAAAAGGATAGGCTTTTATTCTACTTTTTTACTTAATTTTATCAAATTTTTTTTACTATTCAGTTCATTCAGAATTAATATTCAACATTGCTTATATCTCACCTGAAAACCTCAGTGACTTCGGTTATTATTGTATCCTTTATACACCCATATGCTGTGGCTGCTGCTTTTATTTCTTGCTTTACAAGGGATAGCAGTTGCTTTAAAAGGCTAAGGAAGCTTTTGATTTTTAATACTTATAAACTATGGAGGACTTCTATTGGTAGAATATATAGCTGCTTCCTATTATGGAGAATGATATGCTACATTTTTGATCTTTTCCCCAACAGTTTTTATAGGATTTACTTCGCTTGTGCATGATGCTACTCATATTTTTTACGAAGATGGAAACGATGTCAATGATGCTGATATGGTTTTAGGTATTTTGATATTTTTTATGGCCTTTGCTTAATTTTTTGTTTCTAGTTTGCCATTTAATTTTTAACACTTGGTGAGCCTTAAATTGCTTTATCGAATTCGCAATTTCCTTATTTAGCTTGACTTATCTGTTCAAATGTATCGAGACCTGGAGCCTTTTTCCATATCAGACAGCAAATTTTGAAAGAAAACTAGCTGCACTTATAAGAAATATTAATAAATGAAAAAAGAATGGCTTTATTTGGCTTGCGCTTCTGTGCTTTTCTATAATAAAGGATCAGGAAAAATATTTGAGTAGGCTAAGCAAATTAGAACTCTATAATATTTTCATTCTGAAAATACTTAATTATATCTAATCAAAATAAATAGACTAAATCGTTTTTCTGCCTTTAAATAAAGTAGACCGCTGTTTTGTCTCTTGAACTTAAGTTTTATTGCATTTCGATTACTTTCAATTTCTCATTTACAGAGTATTTTCGTCAGTTATTTTATAGACAAGAAAGATATAAATAGACATTTCGCAAATTTAAAATAATTTTTTATAAGATTACTATTGTTACCATAAATAGACTATTTATTAACGTCTAATTAAGCTTGAAGATCTTAGTTAGATTAAATAGCTGCATAAAGTGCCAAAATCCAAGCCAAAACTAGCCCCTTTGCTGAGCTACTGTCCACACATTTTTTCTCAGAAACGCTGAACTTTTGATTTGGCTTTGCACAGCTGCATACTCCATTATTATTAACCATATTCTCAGAATCATAGCAAGTTTCACAAACCTCAGGGGACGCACATAAAATGCATCCTTCTGCGCAGCTATTATTTTCACAGCCATTTTGGGTATCGCTGCAATCTTTACAACTCTTTGCACTTGGGTCAAATATTTTTTCAGAATCACTACACACACAAGTGTTATTTGACAACAAAGTCATGCCTGAGTAGCATTCTGTGCATCCATTATTGTTTGTACAGGTAAGACAATTCGACTGACACGGAAGGCATACTCCGTCAGAAGCATATTTTCCATTAGGACAATTGTCGCAGGACTTCGTTAAAGGGTCATAAACCTTGGATGGATCTGAGCATGAGGCTTGACAAGTTTTTGAAGTTGGGTCAAATACTTCATTAGTGCCTGTGCATTCACAAGCACCATTGGATGATAAATCCATGCCTTGGTAGCATTGTGTGCACTCACTAGAAGATGAGCATGCTAAGCAAGTTGACTGGCATGGGGAGCATACTCCATCAGATGCATATTTTCCAGTAGGACAAGAAACACAAGTTTTTGTTGTGGGATCGTAAACTTGTGAATCTGTGCATTTGCAACTTCCCTCGGTGCAGTCTCCACAGGTGTTTGTACTTGAATTGAAGGTTTGAGTAGGGTCATTGCAGACACAACTAGCATTAGATGAGGATAAATGCATGCCTGGGAAGCACTCTGTGCAATGATCATAATAAGAGCATGCAGCGCAAGGAGAAATGCAGTTATAGCAATTTCCATCGAAAGCGTATTTCCCATCAGGGCAAGGTACACAAGTATTTGTAGTAGGATCATAGATTTTTGATCCATCTAGCTTCAGTTCCTCCGTGAGCGACCTAAAATTTTTTTGTTCGTTATTTTGTTTAAAAAAGTTTTATATATAAATTTTATAGTAAATTTTTATTTCAAATTTAAAAAATCCAAATTTTAAAGCAAAAATTAAAATTTTGTTTTAATGCAATCTATTTAAAATAGAATTAGCTAGACATATCATTATAATAATTATCATTGTATATTAAAATATATTTTTTCATAAAACTTTTTATATTAAAACATTTTTTGTTCACTCATACAAAGGATGGGTTTTTGGGATTTTTCTAATGTTTTTGTTCGCTCAATAGGTCTTGAGTAAGCACGTGCAATTACCATTTCCACTATTATATAAAATGCTGTTATTTATGCACTCAAAGCAAATATCATATGCGATACACCATGCACAACTATCTTGGCATGGGTCACAAAGTCCACTTACAAGGTCAGGGTATTCACCTCTTGGGCAATCACAAGTATGAGTAGTTGTATTATAAGTTAGCTCATTAGTTTTGCATGAGCAGCTTCCATCTGCATTAGCAATTGTAAGATTTTTATCAAAACAAGTTATACATTGGCTTGGAGAAGTGCAGGTTTCACAGCCAGTATTACATGGTTGGCAAATTCCATTTGTATCTTCATAATAGCCTGGAGCGCAAACACATATATTATTTTGGTTATATATTTGATTCGCTTTTTTGCAAGAACATTCACCATCTATAAGTACTGAGTTGTCTATATCATAACATTGAGTACATATTGAGAGACTTGAAGGACCAGCATGGCAAATTTCACATCCTGTAGAGCACCACATACACATAATACCTTCTAATGGATAATAGCCAGGGTCACATTCTACACAGGCTGTTGTGTTACATAGAGCACAATATGAAGGGCATGGATGACATTCTCCATTGTAGTAAATGTAATCATCAATGCACGAATCACAGTTAAATCCGCCATTACAAGTTTTGCAATATTCCCCAGCACAACATTGAGTGCCATCTTCATTTGGAAGATAGCTGGCAGAACAATTAAAGCAAACTGTTGGCGTTTTACAAGTAACACAATTGCTTATTGGAGGATTGCAACCTGTATCAGCGATTGCTGGCATATATTCAAAGGCGTGGACGGTTAAGTAGTCTTCGACTTCGCTCAGTAGCTGATTTCTATACAAATTATCCTCAAAAATGATGCTTGAAATTGCTGAGGATATTGATTTAATTTGTGAGACCTCTCCAAGAGCCAAGAATTTCTCTGGGTTTATTGCCATTGAGATGACAAAAAGTTGGCTTCCGCTTTCACATTTCTTTATCGTAATCAAGTCATCTTCGAAATCACTACTTGATTTGATAAATAAGCCAAAGTCTGCATCAATACCTTGACTTTTTACTATCTGGTGAATCAAAAAGTCATCACACTGAATTTTCTCTCCAAACTTAAAGCCAGATTTTGAAGCTTTAGAAAGGACTAAATATGATAAAATTTTCATTGTAGTGTCAGCAGCTGATTTTACAGTCTTATTCAACTGGGTGTTTTGAAGGAAATCGTCGTCAACCTCTAATGAAATTCTTAATGGGTAGTAATCCGTTAAATGAGGGTCAGTTAAGCTTTTTAAGGAGAATTTTGGAGTTTCGTGAATATCTTTAGACGCCAAAGACTGGGTCGAGAGTAACAGCCAAAGAAGAGCAATACTTAATCTTTGCCACATATTTATTTCACCATATGGAATTAACCATATTCTTATCGTTGTAAATCCTAAGGATTTTATATTTATCGAAATGCCACAAGGTTTTTGAATATTAATAAAGAGATATAAGCAATAAAAGCTTAAAAAAGCCACATTTAATGCTTTTACTTAAAATTAAATTAAAAGACAATGTAAATGCCTCTAAAAATAAATTTTCTTATATAAACTTTATATAGTTTGCATTATAAAATACCCAGAGAGTGGTTAAAATTTATATTGGAAAGTAAGCTAAAATTTTCTAAACATTTGCAATATGGAAAGAAATTTATTTATTTGTTGTAACAAAATTTATTTTTACAGGAGAATTATTCAAAGGATTTTAAAAATCTTTTGTTTGAAAGATTAGAATTTTTATAACTAAAACAATCTTATAATTAGGCTAGGACTTAATTATCTATATTAAAAATTCATTCATAACGTTTTAATCTGCTTTAAAGAATAACTTATATAGCTTAAATCTTACGTAAAAGTTTGCATCAAAATATTTAAAAAATCAATAATTTATATAATATTTTCCTTAATAAAAATATATGAAAAAAGAGCAATTTTGAAATTAATTAACTCTGCGATGCTAAAGGTTTATTAAGATTTGCACTTAATCTCTATCAGATATTTATTTCACCAGCTCATTTAGCCATATTCTTTAGATCGAACAGAATTAGGGTTTTGGTATTTAAACCAAAGTATCATGGACTTTTGAATTGAATTAAATTAAAATAAATGAAGTAATATAAGATCAATATGAATTATACAAATTGCCCGAGGATGGTTCAAAATAGCGCCATCCTCGGGCAATTTGTATATATAAAACTCTAAAATATTTTAATTAAAATTTAACCTACTTGCTCATAATAGGTCATAATACTTAAATAAAACTTATTTTGGCATTTATAGATTGCTTTAAATGTAAATTTTAAACAGGATGAAATGATTCGAACTAATTAAGTTTTTTAATTAATGAAAATTGACTCGATGAGTTCAAGACGAGAATACTTTAAGACTAGCAAAAATAGTAAACAAAGGATAGTAATTAAATGCATTAAATATTTAGTTTGACTGCAGAGCTATTTTAAGATGCGTAAAATAATAAATAATGGCCATTCTCATATAGGGTAAATTTTTACTTTAATTAGAATAAATAAAAATTGCTGGCTAATTTATTTAGGAACGATTCAGAGTTATGAAAACGCGTTCTAAAAATAAATAATTTTTCTGCCTGATAAGAAGGAATCGCAATACGCAAGTCCTATGAGCACTGATATCAATAAAAACAAGAAATCCAGACCAACAGTGAAGAGCTAGCAGTAATATATTATATTTATTTAGAATGAAAACATTCCTGCTGGCTAGCCTTTTTCCTATTTGTAATCTGAATATAAGATAAAAGCATATTTATATTCTTTATAAGCAGACAAATATAGCCAAAACCATTATTTATGATATACACCTAATTTATTTTAAAGACCTTAGTTAGATTAAATAGCTGCATAAAGTGCCAAAATCCAAGCCAAAACTAGCCCCTTTGCTGAGCTATTGTCCACACATTTTTTCTCAGAAACGCTGAACTTTTGATTTGGATTTGCACAGCTGCATACACCATTTTTATTAACCATATTCTCAGAATCATAGCAAGTTTCACATACCTCAGGGGACGCACATAAATTGCATCCTTCTGCACAGCCATTTCCACAACCTCCTTCTTTCTCGCAATCTCCACAGGTATTAGTGCTCGGATTGAATGTTTTTTTAGGATCATCACATTCACAATATTCATTAGATGTTGCCAAATGCATGCCTGGATAGCATTCTGTGCATTCGTTTCAAAATTCACAGTCAGAGCAACCGACTTGGCATTTATAACAATTTCCCTGAAAAGCATATTTTCCGATTGGGCAAGAGACACAAGTATTTGTAGTAGGGTCGTAAATTTTTGATGCATCAGCGCAGGTGCAATTTCCATCTCCAGTATTATATAAAATACTGTTATTTATGCATTCAAAGCAAATATCATATGCGATACATAATGCACAACTATCTTGGCATGGGTCACAAAGTGCAGTTTTAGAGTCAGGGTATTCACCTCTAGGGCAATCACAAGTATGAGTCGTTGTATTATAAGTTAGCTCATTAGTTTTGCATGAGCAGCTTCCATCTGCATTAACAATTGTAAAAGTTTTATCAAAACAAGTTATGCATTGGCTTGGAGAAGTACAAGTTTGACAGCCAGTATTGCATGGTTGGCAAATTCCATTAGTGTCTTCATAATAACCTGGAGCACAAACGCATATATTATTTTGGCTATATATTTGGTTAGCTTTTATGCAAGAGCATTCTCCATTTGTAAGCACTGAATTTGTCGGATCATAGCACTGAGTGCATATTGAATCACTTAAAGGACCAGCATGGCAAATTTCACATCCTGTAGAGCAGAACAAACACATGGTATCATCTAATACAAAGTATCCAGGGTCGCACTCTACACAGGCTGTTGTGTTACATAGAGCACAATTTTGAGGACATGGAAGACATTGTCCATTGTGGAAAATGTAATTATCAATGCAAGAATCGCAACCAAATCCATCATTACAAGTTTTGCAATATTCCCCAGCACAACATTGAGTGCCATCTTCGTTTGGAAGATAGCTGGCAGAACAATTTGAGCAAATTGTTGGTGTTTTACAAGTAACGCAATTGTTTATTGGAGGATTGCAGCCTGAAGCAGTGATAATTTTTGAGTCTTCAAAGCTGTGAGTGCTTAAGTAATTATCTATTTCTTTCAGCAATTGTTTTCCAACTCCCCCCCTCCGTGAGTGAACAAAAAAATTTTGTTCACTCATGGAGGGGGGTTAATTTTTGTTTTAAAAAAATTATATATAAATTTTACAGAAAAAATTGTTTTCGAAATTTTAAAAAAATCCGAATTTTTGCAAAAATTGGAAAGCAAATATTAATTTAATTTGTAAAATTTATGTTTTAAAACGCAATTTGTTTAAAATTAAACAGAATTATATTTAGTTATTCTAATTATCACTTATATATCAAAAATTTTTTCCACAAAAAATTTTTATTCACTCACAGAGGGTGGGTTTTTGGGCAAAAAATAGCGATTTTTCTAATGGTTTTATTCACTCACGGAGGGGGGGAGTAAGTAAATTATCCTCAAAAATAATATTTACTATACTTGAGGATAGTGCTTTCACTTGGATGATCTTTTCAAGTGATAAGAATTTCTTAGAATTCATTGTGACTAAGGCGGTCAAAAATTGATTCTCATTTTTACATTTCTTTGTGGTGATTAAGTCATCTTTGAAATCGTCGCTTAAATTGATGTATAAACCAAAATCTGCATCAATTGCTTGGCTTTTTACTATTTGGCGAATCAAAAAGTCATCACACTGAATTCTCTCTCCAAACTTAAAACCAGCTTTTGAAGGAGAAAAAAGAACTAAATCTGATAAAACTCTTATCGATATATCAGCAGCTGCTTTTACAGTTTTATTTAAAAGAGCAGTTCTGAATGAACTTTCATCGACCTCATATGAAATTCTAAGAGGGTAGTAGTTTCCCTTGCTAGGATCAGCCAAGCTTTTTAAGAAGTATTTTGGAGTTTCATTATCATTAGACGATGCTAAAGAAAGTCCTACCAAAATAAGAGAAATACCTAATCTTTTCCACATATTTATTTCACCAGCACATTAAGCCATAATTTTAGATTAATAAAATGTGATGCATTTTAGATATTTTTTACATCAGATGAAGCGCATCTAATTATAGTTGAATCCTTAAAATATTATTTTAAATAATTTAATAGTAGGAGCGAAAACTTTCTAAAATTTAATTATTTCTAAAAATTAAATAATTTTAAATCTTGAATAAATAACTGCTTTATGAAGAAAAACTTTTTATTAAATTAGAATGATAATTAAAAATATATATAGAGAGAGCACTATAATAGCTTGGCTTTAAGGTGGGATCATGCCTGCTCTCGAGTGTATTTCAGCTTTTTTAAGTATTGTATAATGCGCTGGAAAATTTTCTTAATGGTGTTGATCGGATCGGATAACGCCATAAATTTTAAGAAGAAATGTTAATTGCTTTAGCTCAGTAGCTCATAATTCATATAAAATAAAGGCTCGCTTTATCATGCATGGTTCCCGATAGCCTGAGATAGAGTAATCTATTTTATGCTTGCCTTTGATATCTCATATTTTAATTAGTAAAAAATATCACTATTTAAATTTCTTTTAAATTATAAAAATCTAAGCACCGTTTGCGCTTACCCGTTGCATCATTTTTTTTTTCTTTTAAAAAATTAGAGCTTTAAGAATATTTTACCTAATCATACTTTTTCTTAAAAATTAAATGTAAACTTATTATTCATCGCTCTTCATTTTCCGCATATTGGATTTGAGCACAAATTAAACAAGAAGTGCCATTTTTAAAAAAATTTCGTCATCTTGATTTTTCTATATGTCTTTAAAAATGTCGGTGTCCGAAAGAGGCAGGGTGAGTTATCTGCCTAGGCTACTTGGTGGCTTAGCCCCAAATCCCGTAAGGGGTTGAGTTCTTTCTTGGAGATGACCCGGGAAAGAGGGGAGGCGAAGCTAGACTAGAGAACTCAAGGGCGCAAGTCTCTCCAGTTAAAAGGGTCCTCTCACGAGGGCGATCTGGCCAATCGGAGGCAAAGACTGGCGTAATTCGGGGCGGAAGGCTGAGTTGGAAATGTGGTGCCCAGCGACAGTCGGCTGACGACTCAATAGGGCAACCCACTACCGAGAAACCAGGGGTTTCGGCCTGGGCTCAGAGAACTAGTGATGGGAAGTCCATCCTTTTTTCGCTCGTGCAGTACGGCTCCCCAAGGAGCGCGGAGGAATGCCACGCATGGAAGTAGGGACTATAAAGACACATCTTAAATCTAATCTAAATCTAATCTAATCTAATCTAAATTTAAAGTTATTATTCATAGCTCTTCATTTTCCGTATATTAGACTTGAGCACATATTAGACAAGAAGTGCCATTTTTAAAAAAAAATTCGCCAGCTTGATTTTTGCATATGTCTTAAAAAAATTAAAACTCGAAGAACTTTTTGCCTAATCATACATTTTTTTTAAAAAATTTAAACTAAACTTGCAAGTGTAGCTCTTCATTTTCCGCATATTGGATTTGAGCACAAATTAAATAAGAAGTGCCATTTTTAAAAAAATTTTCGCCATCTTGATTTTTCTATCTTGTGTAAATATCAGAATCTAAGTCACATTATAATTTGGCATGCTAAAATAATGGCTATGTGTGAATATTGTATATTAATTAAAATATGAACTATCAAACGCAAGCATAAAAGAGATTGCTCTATCTCAGGCTATCGGGAACCATATAAAGCGAGCCTTTATTTTATATGAATTTGAGATACTGAGCTAAAAAATTAGCATTTCTTTTTAAAATTTATGGCATCATCCGATCCGATCAACACCGTTAAGAAGTTTTTCCAACGCATTATAAAAATATTTCTTAAAAATTCTTTATTATTCAAATGCTTTAGAAATAAAATATTGGCTTCACTTATTAAATTTTTTAAATCCAGCTTTTTCCATAAAAATTGCATTAAACTTACAGACTTATTATATAATAACAGCCTATTAAACCAATCAAATAATAAGAAATGAGAACAGGCTCTATTGGAATGAGCCTAAAGGTAGTGAGGATACCTGCTGCAAACTTAGACCTCTAATAAAATCAGAACTTTAAAACTGTTATTTTCTCACAAACAATTTATTTGATAAACTTTAGTTAGATTAAATGGCCGCATAAAGCGCCAAAACCCAAACCAAAGCTAGCTCTTGTGCTGAGCTATTGTCCACGCATTTTCTCTTTGTAAAGCTGTACTTTTGATCTGTATTTATGCAGCTACATTCTCCATTTTTACTGACCATATTCTCAGCATCATAACAGGTTTGGCACGTTCCAGGAGATGTGCATATTTTGCATCCTTCAAGGCAGTTTCCATCACAAGCAGGCTGAGCAGGATCACAATCCTCACAAGTATTTGTAACAGGATTAAACAGCGTATAAGCATTATTACATATGCAGCCTGTGTTATCTGATGATAAATGCATACCTGTGTAGCATTGATTACATTCATTATAATATGAGCAGGAATTACAGCCAGATCCACATGGGTAGCATACTCCAAAAGAAGGATAATTTCCATTAGGACATGGAACACAAGACTTCGATACATTGTTATATACCTTGCTCCCGTCTTGGCATATGCAATTTCCTTTACCAGTATTATATAAAATACTATTGTCAATGCAAGAAAGGCAAATATTATAGGAGACACAGTCTGCACAAGTATCTTGGCATGGGCTGCAAAGTCCGGTTTGCTGGTCAGGGTATTCTCCATAAGGGCAATTGCAGGTATGAGTAGTTGTATTATAAGTAAGCTCGTTAGTCTTGCATGAACAAATTCCATCTGTATTAAAAACCATAAAATCGCTATCAAAGCAAGCTGTGCACTGATTTGGAGATGCACAAGTTTGGCAGCCAATATTGCATTGTTGGCAAACACCATTAGAGTCAAGGTAATATCCAGGCTGGCAAGCACAGATATTGTTTTGATTATATATTTGATTAGCCTTTGTGCAAGAACACTCGCCATTTTTTAGTTGTGAATGGTCTAGATCATAACATTGAGTGCATATTGAGCCACTCGAAGGACCAGGGTTGCATGCTTCACATCCTGTAGAGCATGGCAAATTAACTTAAAATAATGCATCGTTTAACGTCTACTGAAGGGCTGTTGACAATAGATCTCCCGCCATTTTTACACATATATATGGTTTCGAAGAATAGCCCACTCGGGATCATTTGGGGTAGACAAATTTGAATTTTGTAAATGAATTTGCAAGGCAAGCTGACGTTGCTAACCAAAAGCGTGATCTTTATTGGGCATTCATCGTAAGCTAGGATTATCTGTTGCCTTTTTACAGAAGGGCATACTATACGTGTAGTCATTTAAATATGGAGGCTTCACACATAAAGGGAATAGACTACATATGCCTACAATCTTATTTATGAAGTAGTGTTTTTTAAACCTTGATAAGGTTATAAATATGCAAGCATCTCTTGAATGCGATACCTATTTAACCTTGGCACCATTCGATGACTAAAGGCTCGGTTGCTGCCGCTGAATAGAAGTGAAAAACTTATGGGCATTTGAATTTCTAAAGATCTGATTTGGGCAGATGCCATCCTAAATACCATGTAAAACTAAGCCTAATAATAAAAAATTCAGAGTAAGTGCTATCGATTGGCATATAAATGTCTATTTTTTTTTGATAACTAAGAGTGGCAAACAGGCAATTCCTTCTTCTGCATAAAATCCAGGATCACATTCTACGCAGGCTGTCTTATTGCATTGTGCGCAGTTTTGGGGGCATGAGTGACATTCTCCATTATAAAAAATATAATTCTCAACGCAAGAATCGCACTGAAATCCATTATTGCAAGTTTCACAAAATGAGCCACTGGCTCTCCGTGCATAAATGATCCTTAATAACGAATAAGAAAATATTTTTTCAAAAATATTCTAATAGAACTTATAAATATTTTAATTAAATTCTGTTAAATTTTAGACAGTTAAAAATAATAAAAAAATACTAGCAATTTATTTTAAATTAAGATTTTATGAGTTATTTAACAAAATATATGCTTGCATAAGAGAGGTGAGTATTATCTGCATTTGGAAGATAGCTGGCTGAACAGCTTGCGCATTTTGAAGGTGTAATACAAGAGACACAATTGCTTATTGGAGGATTGCAACCTGAAGCTGAGAGTTTTGGTATGCCTTCAAACGTGTTGCTTTTTACATAATCTTCAATTTCACTTACTCCTTCTCTTTGCTAGCGAGCAAGAGATTTGCTAGCTAAAATGAAAATAATATATATTACAAAAAATTTTTGGTTATAAAGCCTGAATTTTTAGCTCAAAAAATTATACTCTATGACGCCACTTAAAATTTAATAAAATTAGTTTGATATGACCTATTAATTATATTTTTAAATTTTTTTATACTAAAAAAAAACATATTCAATTATTTTTATATATATTATCGCATTTAATTGTAGCAAAAAAATCTATAGACTGATTAAGAAGAATTTTGTAATTTCATCATCATGTGATGCTACAGATTGAATTGAAAGCTCTAGCCAAATAATAAATATGCTTAATCTTTGTCACATATTTATTTCACCACGGATATTTGTCCATATTATCAGGTCTAAAATCAGTTGATATTATAGTTATTTAGGTTGACACGTTTATAACTTCCTTATACATATAAACTAAAATAATTATTTAAAGCAATCCAATTCAAAAAGAGCTAAGTGATGCATAATATTTTATATAAAATTTTATCTCATGCGTTTTAAAATGGCTACAGAAAAATAAAAATCCTTAATATTTAATCTTATAAATTTGTGTTATTAGGAAATTCTCGAAAAATTGTAATCAAAACTAAATAATCTAACTCCCTCAGTAAGCGAACAAAACAATTGGAAAAATCCCATTTTTGCCCAAAAACCCACCTCCGTGAGCGAACCAAATTTTTATATAGAAAAATTTTTTATGAAAAAAAATTTTGATATATAAATAATAATTAGTATAATGAAAACTGTAGCTAACTCTGATTAATTTTAAAAAGCTTGATAAATTTACAAAGCTTCCAATTTTTGCTAATTGGGAATTTTTTTAAATCTTGAAAAAATAAATTTACTATAAAATTTATATTTAAATTTTTAAAAACAACATTAAATCCCCTCCATAATCAAACAAAATTTTTTGTTCGCTCACGGAGGGGGAGTAAATGTCTCAACCATTTTAATATTAATTATTATAATAATTTTATAATATTTTTTTACTTCTTGTATAAATAGGGTTAATAGAAGATTAAGCTAAAATTTTAAATTTCTAGCCTTTAGATATCTAATAGATTTAATGATAATAAATAAATTATTTTCATAAAATCGATGCTATAATATTTTGGCGTTATTTCTGATCGGCTCCCACGACAAAAATGGGTTTCCACATGGAATTTCTGGATTTTTACGCGTGAATCCATCTTTGGCTGTGGGAGCTAAGCTGAAATTTAAGCAACTAAGTATAGAATTTTATGGATAAGCCTTTATTATTGAGTACATTGGCATAATGCCGCTTTTAACAAACGTAGCACACACTCTAAATTATTCTTAAAAATCTTGCCCTGATCTAAAGAATTTTTATATAAAAAAGATTTAGCTCCCTTAAAAAATATTTAGTCAAGCTAAAATAATGATTCTGTTTATCTAAAGAGAGTCCTTAACTCTATTAATAGCTCTTCACAGGTTTGAGTTCAAATATAAACTTAAAACTATTTTATATCAAATCCTTAACTAACATCTTTTTGCACTCTATTAAAGCTCCTCAAAATAATAAGAAATGAGTTCAGATTCTATTGGCCTAAATCTAAAAAACAGCGAAAGGTACCTAAAATCCCTTTCCAACCCAGAAACATCAGCATCCCGTCTCAAAGTTAGAGACCTTCAAGCAGAACTCCAAAGACGAGACATTGAGCTACAGTTGACCCAAGAAGAGCTCAAAAAATCTGCAGAAACCATGAAGCAGTACCAAAACAAGGTCGCTGAGCTTTCCTCCAAGCTAATTTCTCGAGATGACGACTTCTACGCCCTTTCTGAAAAAATAGAGAAGCTTAGAGAGCAGCATAATGATAACCTGCAAAACATAAAAGACCAATTAACTAACTACAATATAGACATTTCCCTTATCAAAGGGGTGAATTCAAATGAGTCTGAATACTCTCCTCAAAACGCTAATTTAAGGCTCACAAGTGGCAGTTTATTAGTCTCTCCAATAATACAATCGCCTGCAGAGTTCGCTGATTGAAAATCTCAGGAGTTTCAAAAAGAAGTGGACGTGCTCAAAGAAAAACTTGTAATTGTTACAAGGGAAAGGGATAACTATAGAGCATGAAAAGAAAATCATATTAAAGAAACCCAGGAATTAGAAAATTATGTATTAGGGCTTAAGTCAAAATTGAGAAGAGTTGGGAGAGCTTTAAAAAGTTTCACAGCTAAAGGGACTCAGCTACAAGCTTTGTTGAACACTTCGGACCCAGCTGTAAAAAAGTCAATAAATGCATTTTATGAAGAAAAATTGGAGTTGGAGAGTGCCATTTCGGAAATTGCTGGACAAAGTGAAAGGTCAAATCGAAGAAGATCTCCAGAAAAACTAATGCATAAACTTTCTAAGAAAAAACAAGAAGTTGAGCAGCTAGCTCTCTCCTCTCTTTGGTTAGCGAACAAAAAACTTTTCAGATAAAAATGAAAATTCTAATATAATTTAGTAAAATCTATATTTTATAATGCTAGTTGTCTAAATTTATTATATTTATTAGAGATTTCGTTATTGTAATTATTAAAAATATAGCTTTTCCAAAGAAAAATTATATTTAAAAATGTTTGGCTCGCTAATTTTCCAAAAAATGGGTATTTTTTAATAATTTAGTTCATTAATTAAGGGGGAGTAAGCCACTATTATACAGAAACTGTAGAAAGTCTTACTATAAAAATTGAAACTTTAGAAGACATGGTAAGAAACTTAAATCAAGAAAAAGAAGCCTTAGCAGCTGAAAATAAAGACTGCAGAAATATTTTTACAATACAGCAGCGGCAATTAGACGAAGTCAAAAAAGAACACATAACTGCATTAGAAAATATGATGAATGAGTATAAGCTGATCCTTGACACTAATAGAAGTCTAAGCGAAGAAAACGATAATTTAATTGTTCAGAGAGACCAAATTAATGAAAAATACCAAAAAGAAGCAAAATTTTCTAAAAGGTTGTCAAATGAAATTGAAGAACTTCAGAGCAAAATAATTGCGATAAATGGGGCTAATAATGTACTGCAAAGTCAAATTGAAATGTACAGAAAAAGTCTTGAAGAAAGCTTAGAAAAAGGAGGAAATAATGTGACAAGACAATTTGAGATAAAAGATAATGATATTAGTAGCCAATTAAAAGATTTTGAAATTAAAGAGCTGCAGAGAACAATTGAAGAACTAAAAAGCCAAAAACCAAAGGATCCAGTTCTAAGTCTTATACAAGTTGAAAGCGTTTTTATTGAGCAATCCGACATATCTCAAGAAATTATTAACTCCCCCCCCCCTCCGTGAGTGAACAAAAAAATTTTGTTCACTCACGGAGGGGTTAATTTTTTTTTTTAAAGCAATTTATATATAAATTTTATAAAAATTATTTATTTTCGAAATTTAAAAAAAATCCTAATTCGCAAAAATTGGAAAGTAAATATTAATTTAATTTATAAAATTTATGTTTTAAAAGGCAATTCGTTTAAAATTAAACAGAATTAGCTCTAGATTTCATTATGCTAATTATCATTTATATATCAAAATTATTTTCCATAAAAATTTTTTGTATTAAAAAAATTTTTGTTCACTCACGGAGGGTGGGTTTTTTGGGCAAAAAATAGCGATTTTTCTAATGGTTTTGTTCACTCACGGAGGGGGGGAGTAAGGAGCTTAATCGCCAGCTTACAGAAAAAGAAAGAATCCTTAATGATTGTATAATTAATATGATGGCGAAGAAGAAACATGTCCTTGACAACGCACCAATTTGGGCGCAAAAATGGCTTTATAGCCTAAATTAAGGTCTGGGTTGCTTGTATAGAGCAGCCTTATGGGGCGGCAAGCTTGGGAATCAGCAGGTGGCCACTCCAGTCTGGTATTAGTTATCCAGATGGTTTTTAAAAACAAGGATTCTTTCCTTACTGGCTCCGAGGGTCACAGTTCTTTTTTCAGGGTGTCATCTCTCCTAAAATTGGCGGACAGGAGGTATTAGGTTAACCTTTGCCTCCATAGCACCGTACGATGCGAAGTGTGGAGAACCAAGTGCATGGTGCAAGCCCCAGGTCCCTTAGTAGACCACTGTTGATGTGGCTCAGGCAACTGAGCTGCCCCAGCAAACAGGGTGCAGTGGTCGCAAGCGTTCAGAGGCATCAAATCTGGAAGATCTTAAGCTCATTAATCATAATGATTATATTTTAGAAATAAAATTAGCTGAAAATAAAATTCAAGATTTAGAGAAGCTTTTATTAGAAAAAGACCAGACAATATCATTCTCCAATGAAACAATAATAAAGCTAAAGCAAGACCAAATTACCAACATGCAAAATCAAGTTGAAGAGAAACTATATAGAATTGGTGGCTTACAAAGAAAGAAAACACCAGTTACTAATGAATTTGATGAAGAAAATTTAGGGCTTACTCAAAAAATTAATTGCTTAGACCAAGAGAGACGTGATATGGAAAAAGAAAAAAATGCTGTTGAAAAAGATAGGATTAAAGCAGTGGAGGAAACAGAAATTTGGAAAGGAAAAGCTATTTCACTGGAAACTGAAAATAAAGATTTAAAGAGACAGATAGTCGAACTAATGAGAGGGATTCAGCAGTATGAAATAATCATTCAAAATTTAGAAAATGAAAAAAAATCTGTCAATCTGCAGCCAAAATCAAAAATAGAAAAAATCCAAGCAGCAGAAAAAGAAGCAGGCATTCCTTATAAAATAGAAGAATTCAATGATCTTAATATTCAGATTGAAAAGCTTAAAATCGAGCTAAATCACAAAAATGATCAGCTAGTAAAAGAGCAGAATAATAAAAATAAAGCAATTCAAGTCTTAAAAGAAAGATACGAACAAATAATAAATGATCTAAACAAGGAGCTTGACGAAAAAGCTGATGCTTGTGAAAAGCTTCAAGAAGAAAAATTAAAATTGGAAAAGGTTTTAAAAGAAAAAGAGACTTTAAAAGCTCAAAATGAAAAAAAAATTAAATCTCTAGAAAACGAGCTTGAAGAAAAACAGTCACTTTTTAGCTTTGCTGAAAAAGAAATAGAAAATTTAAAAAAAGAAAAAGATTATATTGCTAAAGAGCTGCAAGAAGAAAAACAAGAAAATAAAAGATTAGAAGACAGAATGGCTGTTATAGAAAGCATAGGAAAAGAAAAAGAAATATTCGAAGATAAATCAACAGAAATCAGTATTGTTAAAAGAGAAAAAGAGCTTTTATCAAGAAAACTGCAACAATCTGAAGAAAAAATCAAAAAAATGGCTGATGAGATTTTAGGATATGAAGACCTTTCAAAAGTGCTTGCAGAAAAAGTGGAAAAACTTGAAGATGATAAAGAAGATGCAACAAAATTAACCTCAAAACTTAAAAAAGAGATTTCTGATTCTAAAGAAGGGGTAAAGAAAATTTTTAAAGAAAAAAAAGAGCTTGAAAATGTATTTGAAGAATATAGTGAAAGAGTGAAAGGATTGGGTCAATCTAATGAAGAAGCCCAAAAACGGATTAAAGACCTAGAAAACAAGTCAAAAAAATCTGAAAAGGAAAAGTCTGACCTTGCCAAGCAGAATCAAGAACTGGAAACCAGAATTCAAAATTATGAGAAACTCATAAAACAATTCGATGATTTTCAAAAGCAAAACCAAGAGCAGGCAGCACGACTGCAGAACTATGAAAAGCGTAGTAAACAGCTTGATGATCTACAAAGGCAAAATCAAGAATTAGAAGCTAAGCTACAGTCTGCTGAAAGGCTTAATAAACAAACTGGTGATATTCAGAGGCAAAATCAAGACTTAGAAGCTAAACTGAAAATTTTCGAAAGAATTAAAAAGCAGCTAGAAGATATCTTAGTTTACAATTAAAATGGAGGTGCTCTGATAAGGGTAGCTACCTTATCTTGGGCTTAGTGAAGGGGAATTTCGGTTCTTCTAAAAGTTTAAACTATAGAGATATTATCCGCTGGCACGAGGTAGTGGAAGAAGAGTGTTCTTTGAAGCTGGAGCGAATGAAGATCTAGCAATCAAGAAACTTCAAATCCACTATTCAGAGCAGAAGTAATATTTCATGTAAAAAGCTTCAGAAAACAGAAGATGAGCTATTATGAGTTATCTTAATAACTGACTAAATCTTAGTTCTTAGTTAAGATTATTGAAAAGTTCCCTATTTACCTCAAAGGTATTTATCTCCACCTTGCTTCGCGACTGCCTGCCGTCTGCCTATGCTCCTTCAGAAATGGGCTATCACACTAGCTGGAGTGCAGAGGAATGGGTCACCATGCCTTACGCATGACTTGGGCTGCTCTTCCAGAAATTCGAAAAATAGAATTTTCTGGCCAAGGTGTCGATTGATTGGGATGGAACTCGCTGCCCAGGGCGCAGCTCCCGGCATTGCATTAGGAAATTTCCCAATTGGTTCAGAGGACTCTGAGGGGCTTTCCCTTTTCAAACCGAGCATCCACCTTTCACAGAGGTAAAACCTTAACTAGAATAAGCTACGGTCTCACTCCTCCAACATTGCGCTCTGCAAAACCAAGTAAAATCTGGCCAGGTAAAGAACGCTATCCTCCCTTCTTCAAGCTCCCTGTGTTTCCTCAGCTACAGGTGTTAAGAGAGTGGCTGGCTCGCCACACAATTTTAATGTATATGCTAGAAGATACTCAAAAGCAAAATCAGGACCTAGAAGCAAGGCTTAAGAATTCTGAAAGAAATGGGAAAATTCAAGATGAGCTGCTAAATCAGATCCAGCAGCTAAGTATTGAACTACAAAACTCTGAAAGGAGAAATAAGCAACAAGAGGAGTTATTGAAGCCTAGTCAAGAATTAGAAATCCAATTGCAAAACTATGAGAATCAAAATAAGCACTTATCAGATGAAGTTTTTGAGCTGAAAGAAAGGCTTGGGATCTTGGAGTTTGAAAAAAATGAGCTCATGATTGAAAATGATGTCGAAAGCGAAAATCCAGCTCCTTTGCAAGAGGATAGCTCAAAGGTGTTATAGCGCTTTCCCGAGGATGGCGCGGAATAGCGCCATCCTCGGGAAAAGTCAACTAAGCATCCACACGGGAACTGGGAGTTCCACGTGTGGATGCCATTTTTGACATGTGGGATCCAAACTTCCACATGTCAAAATGGCATCCACACGTGGAACTCCCAGTTCCCGTGTGGATGCCTTCCTGGCTTTCCCGAGGATGGCGCCATTCAGCGCCATCCTCGGGAAAGCGCTATATCAATTAAGGTTGCAAAACAAAAAGAAAAAATAAAAAATTTAAAAGTTTTGGCTGTTGGTGAATATATAATATTAATTGTAAATTTTATAGTAGCTCCAAAATATTTAGCTCTTTTTTATAAATTAACAGAAAAAACTGCAGATACCCTTAACATCAAATTTATCCAAAAAATATATACCGTAACTCAGATCCAAAACCAAATCCTTTCAGTTCAAAGTCACTTTGAAAATCAACTAAAACTGATTTTATTAAAAAGTGAGAAATTATTATCCGCTCCAAACAAATTGCTGGCCAAATTTTTAAAATTTCAAACAGCTTGGTCAATTAGAAACAGCAATGTCTCTTCTTTCCTTCAGCTTAAAGAAAAATCAATCGGCTTAGAATCAGAAAATAACAGTCTAAAGCTTCAAATAAATGCTTTAAAAGACCAAATAGAATCCATAAAATCCCAATTAGAAAATTGCCGAAAGACTGAGGCTCCTTCACAGGAGCTTCTCCAAAAACTTATGAAATTTGAAAAAGAAAAATCTGACCTTAATTTAGTCACGATTATTTTTCTAAAAAAAATATATATTAATTTAATAAAAAATAAAAAATAATTTAGTCATAAACAACTTTTCAGCTGAAGAATATCCTCAAAAAATTGCAAGACTTGAAAAAGAAAATTCTGATTTAAAATCAGTAATCAAAAATTTGTCATCTGAAGATTTTCCTCACTCCCCCCCCCATCCTTGATCGAAAGACTCACTGTAAAAATTCCTAAAAATTGGGAAATTAACCCCCATCCTTGATCGAACGATTTTCATATCATGCAAATTTTTATATATATAAAAATATATTGGTTATCAAAAGTTTGGGAAGATGTGCCTAATGAAGTTGTTGTCAGAGGCTTTGAGACAACAGAAAGCTACGAAATCAACCATCCGAAGTGCTTTAGTCATCACCCTGGTCTTAAAAAACTCAATAATCTAAAAAATAGAGATTCTTTAAAATTTGCAATTTTTTAATTCAATAAGGAACAAATTAAAATTTATACAGTTTAAAGGGGGGGTAACCAAAAAATCAAAATATTAAAAATTGGTATTTATGAAATTAATTCAATTTTTTGCTGTAAAAATAATTATTAAATACTCTATTTAAAAGTATGTAAAAAAAAAAATATATATATATATATATATATATTTTATATGTAACATTTTTTTCCCAAAAATTACTTACTTTTAACCGCCATCCTTGATCGAACGATGGCGAGCCGTTCGATCAAGGATGGGGGGGGAGTCAGAGAATCGCAAAACTTGAAAAAGAAAAATCAGAGCTTGGTTCTATCGTGAATAAATTTTCAAATGAAGAATATCCTCAAAGGATATCCAAGCTTGAAAAAGAAAAATCTGAGCTTGCTTCAACTCTAAATAAAATATCAGCTGAAGAATATCCACAAAAAATAGCGAAGCTAGAAAAAGAAAAATCTGATTTAAACTTAATGCTAAGCAAAGTCGAAGAGTTACCTCAAAAAATCTCTAAACTTGAAAAAGAAAAAGCAGACCTAGGCTTTATAATAGCAAAAATTTCAGCTGACCATGAAAAATTGCTATCAGAAAAAGATGATTTAAATAAAGTTAAGTCATCTTTAGAGACTGAAAAAGCTAAGCTATTGGAAACCAGAGATAAATTAATAATGCAGTGTAATAAGCATCAAGATGAAATTGATGATCTAAAATCTCAAATAGCAAGCGTCGCATCACTCCAAAAAAAATGTGAAGAGCTAATGATAGAAAATATTCGTCTTACTGATGAAGCACACAAATCAAACCAAAGGCATGAAGAAGAAGCTGAAAAATTAAAGCTGCAATTTGACGAAATTTCTACAAAATATGAAAGTCGTGAAAGGCTTATGAAGTCCTCAATGGACAACAAAATGAACCAAGTCTCAAGCCTAATTGAAGAAAACGCAAAACTTAAAAACAAAATCAATAACTTAACAAGTGAAAATCAAGAGGCTAGCTTAAAAGAAGAGCTGGAAAAAATCAAGGCATTAAATGCAGAACTTTATAATAAAATCCAAGAAGAGGAAGAAAAAAATAACGAAAAAATCATAAAAATTGAGCAAGAATACACTGAAAGCATCAAACAAATGTTTGAGGACATAAAAAAATTTAAAAAAGAAATAAATAGATTAGAATTTGAAAAATCTCAATTGGAAACAATAGTTGACTCAATTACAAAAGAGCTGGAAATTTCAAGTTTAGAGCTACAAAAACTGCGTGAGGAGCATACAGAATATAAAGAAAAAGCTGAGCTAGAAATTGCTGCACTTAAAGAAAGCAGGTCTGAAGATAATTTAGAGATCCAAAAACAAGATGAATTTTTGCATGAAGAGCTCACTGCAAATATTGATAATTTGACCAAAGAAAACGGGATTATAAGAAGGGAAAATAAAAGATTAAAAAGTTTAGTCGATAAAATTGAGCCACAAATAGCTGAGTCAGACCCAAGCAAGCTGGCTGATTCTATAAAGCAAGTGTTTTCTGAATTTAAATCAAGAATGCTAATGTGCAGTCCTAGGCATAGTAAATCTGATATATTAGAAAATTATATAGGCTCCCCTAAAATACATAAAGAAAGTATTGTTGAAATACCTGAGGAGTCTTCGTCATTTGCATTCGGAGAGATTAGATTAGAGGGGGGTCGCTGGAGATTATTTCAGCCAATACCCTTGCACGTTTTAGCTTCGCGCTAAGTGGCATTAAGCCCCAGCTTACGCTATTTTCTGTTGACGTCCTGATTTTTTGTCGCTCCTACAGCAGAGGTCCCACCATCTGCCATAATGGTGGGAATTCGCATTCGGAGAAGAAAGCTTATTTGGGGCTTCAAGTTTTGATTCTATTATAAAAATGAAAACTGAAGCACCTTTGACACAGGACTATAAAAATATAATCCAAATGTATGAGGAGGATTTGCTGGAAAAAGAGAGGATTATTAAAGAACAGGAAGAAAAAATAAAAATTTTGGAAAAAGAGAAGGGTAAAGAAGAATTGGCAGTATCAGAACAATAATTTCAAGAGTTAATTAAATATAAAGTAATTTATTTAAATGGTACAATTGGTAATTAATTTATTTTAACATCATAAAATAAGATTAAAAGCATTATTAGCATATTTAGAGTTTCATAACAATGAATTTTAGTATTTTTTTTCGATTTATAATACAAATTTAAATAATGTCATTTTTGAAAAAAGGCTACGAAGAACTTTGAAAAGCAATAATCAGACCTCCACGAGAAGTATATGACCCCCTAGATCTCGGCCCAGCTGAATTTTCATTGGAAAATAAAACATTTCAGCGAACAGATCTTGATCTTTACAATTCTCGAGGACTTCGGCTTGCCTGCTCTCATTTTGAACCAATCCGCGAAGAAAGAGTTTCAGAAAAACTGCCTTGTGTAATTTATCTCCATGGAAACAGCAGTTCGAGACTTGAAGCACTCACTGCTACTCAAGTCCTTCTGCCAGTGAACATTACAGTTTTCTGTTTAGATACCTCTGGCTCAGGACTTTCAGAAGGAGATTTTATTTCGCTTGGCTGGTATGAAAGAGATGATCTATGCTATTTTTAGAATTTTTTCTATTATTTTTTTAAATAAAATAATTTGAAAGCTGAAAATTATTATATTTAGAGGAAAAAATTATTTGAAAATAATGATTGAGATGTGCTTTATTAATTAAGTACACATAAAATAGCAGATGATTAGTGGCTCGTCCTCCTGTGGCGGGTTCCCTATGCATATTAGACGTGGTTTTTTGGTGCAAAGAGCTGTCTAAGGGCCGGGTTTTTTTTGAAGAGAGAAGTCCAATAATATTTCTACAGATTAGTGGTGGATCGAGCGGCAGATTTTTGCCAGTAGTGCCCAGGCTCAGGGCTGGGCGTCCAATAGAAGCAAGGCGGCTTGCCTGCCTAGACTGCTTCGTTGCTGTCCTGAATCGCGTAAGCGGTCGAGCTTTTCCCCTGATGCTGAACTAGGGGAAAAAGGGAAGCCCAGATTAGACAAGAAACTCAAAGTCTGCAGTCTCTCCAGTTGATAAGGGTACCATGAAAAGGGCGATCTAGTATAAGCTAACTCCCCCCCTCCGTGAGTGAACAAAACCATTAGAAAAATCGCTATTTTTTGCCCAAAAAACCCACCCTCCGTGAGTGAACAAAAATTTTTTTAATACACAAATTTTTTATGGAAAAAAAAATTGATATATAAATGATAATTATTATAATGAAATCTAGAGCTAATTCTGTTTAATTTTAAACGAATTGCTTTTTAAAACATAAATTTTATAAATTAAATTAATATTTGCTTTCCAATTTTTGCGAATTAGGATTTTTTTGAATTTCGAAAAAAAATATTTTTTATTATAAAATTTATATATTAATTTTTTTTTAAAAAAAAATTAACCCCCCTCGGTGAGTGAACAAAATTTTTTTGTTCACTCACGGAGGGGAGGGAGTAAGTAGTTTTGGGTAGGCTGGCTGGCTGGAAATGGAGGTTTCGCAAAGTCCATATGACTTGGACCATAGAGGAAAATCCCTAAACCGAGAAACGGGGTGTTTCGCCCAGGCTCAAGTTAACTGTGGAATACATGGTGCTCAGGAATTGGGAATTATAATAAAATATTTTAAGTTTAATTTAATTATTAATTAAGTATATCAACTGTGGTGGAATTTTTGAGGGTTTCAGGGAAAGTCTCTTGTATTGGATTGTGGGGCAGAAGTATGGGAGCAGCTACTTCATTACTGCATGGAGATACTTAAACTTTACCGATTAAACTGGCCATAAGAGAGCAAGCCCATTAGCCTTTGCCTAGTCTTCGTTCTGCAATAGCAATCTCTATAACCCCTGGAGATGAAATGGTGGAAATTAAAAGGGTTCCGATCTGAAACACCTGTCTAGGGGATTAGCTCCCTAGGCAGAGCCACCGCCTTAGAGTGCCCTGATCGTCTCAATAAGGGCTGCCCATAAGGTAAAACCTGTCTTGCCTTCATAGCAGGACAGGGGAGAAATAAAACTCATCTTCGGCAGGACTACGGCCTAATCCAAAAAGGACAGAGACTTCGTTTTAGCTTTAACAAGATGGTCCTACCTGCTCCATATAGCTCGTGCCTCGGAGTCCAATTTCTGTCCCTTCACCATTTTATTTCTCTGCATGGAGATAGGGATCCCTCTATTGCAGGAATGGTTATTGATAGCCCATTTTGTTCTTTAAGTCGACTCTCAGACGAGCTAGCAAGAACGTACTCAAAAATTCCTGGGTTTATTGTCTCAGTCGCAAAGTCAATGATAAGAAAAACAATCAAAAAAAAAGCTGGGTTTAATATAAATGACTTAGAGCCTATAGACCACGTAAACAAATGTTTTATCCCTGCAATGTTTATCTGTGCTAATGGAGACATGCTAATAAGCCCAAGTCATACCCATGATTTATATGCAAAATATGCAGGCGATAAGAGTTTATCAATAGTAGAAGGTGACCACAACAGTGCAAGACCTCAATATGTGTTAGACTCAATTGCCATTTTCTTTTACAACACTTTACAATGTGAAAGTATAAGTAGCCAAGCAAAAATAGGGAATTTATTAATAAAGACTGGTGAGGAAGAGCTTATATATGACGACAATAAAAACAGGGAACATTTAAATTCCAGCTATGTGGACAGCATCAATATCTTTTCTGATGGACTTTTTGGGCCAGATAATGAAAATAAGCAAAATCTCGCAAATTTAAGTGTCCCTATGGTTCAAAAAGTTGAGCCAAAGAAGGAAGTCCAAAATGTGAATTTATTAGATTTATAGATTATAATTAGTTTACATAAATCCTTGCTTTCTCATCAAATTCAATATAGAAATTCAAACAAAAATGAGAAAAAGCCTATACTCCCCAACGAAATCTTCTCTGAGTAAGATGAAAAACCCAGTAAAGCTCAGAGAAAAGCTTGATACTATGACATATGCAATTGAAGAGCTTAAAGAAAACTTGGCAAAGGAATCTGATGTCACTGAGTCGTTGGAAGTGATGAATTACAAAGTAATCTTTATTTAGAATCACCAGCAGCTGTCTATTCAAATCAACGCACTAAAGGCTGCTTTTGAAGATTTATCAGGAAATATTCTTGGGCAGCTAGGAAATCTACGAGAAGAAATTTTGAATGAAGCAAGGAAAGAATATTCAGTTTTATCCCCTAAGCTTCAGCAACAAGAAAAAATAATAAATGTATTAGACACTGCAATGACCGAACAAAACAAGTCAATTATTCAGCTAAAAAAGGAACTTAACGACAGCTATAGGTATATCGTGGATGTAAATTTGGCTCATAGTAAAAAAGAAATTGAATCGAAAACTGAAAATTTAGTTGGAAGCTCTGCCAATCAGCTGAAGAATGAGCTGAATATTAGGCTTGATGACTTAATTTCAGCCTCTTCTAGCAAAATTCGGCGAGAAGTCTACGATAAGTTTGATATTGTGAACGAACGATTTGACAATTTAGGATTTGAGCTCAAAGACACCCGGGAAAAAGGTTTCAGAAACGCTGAAGAACTAAAAGAATTTACCTTAGATCTCAGAAAGCTTAACCTTACATTTGACAGCTTTAAAGAAAACTATGACATAGACATGAACCGGCTTAAAAAAGAATCCTTCGACCTTAAAGACAAAATCGACTTCATTGACTCCAAACGACAAAAGCTTGATAAAGATTTAGACCTCCTCAGAGATGACAATAAGCGGAGACTTGACACTTATGACGACACCCTCCAAATCAATTCAAAAGAGCTTGCTCAACAAATCAGTGAGATCCAAGAACAGCTTGAACATTATCAAGGGTCAATAAAGCATGATCATTCAGTCTTGCAGAATTTAACCACACAGACCATCGAAAGAGTCGCTGAAATTAAACACTCACTTTCAGCAAGGCAGCAAGAACTTATAGAAAATCAAGAAAAAAAAATTGCAAAGCTGTCAGCTGAAATTTCAATTTTGCATGAGCAATTTGAAAGAGACTCGTATTTGACTCAGACTGGAGACCTTAATTTGAGTATTGGGAATAAAATTGAGTGTCTGTCAAGGTCTTTTTATGGGGAAAATAAAAATTTGAGTGAAAAAATAGGAGATCTTGAAAGGAATTTAGAAGGATATAGGAGGAGCTCTCAGGAGATATTGGAGGATATAGAGAAAGAGATGCAGTTTAAACATGAGTCGCTGTCTCGAGCTATTTCGAAGGTCTGCGACTATAATAGGATTCCAACTCATTTAATCTTTTAATATTAGGAGTAAAAATGTGTTGCAACAATAGAAAAAAGAGAAATAAAAGAGAGAGCTCAGATGCAGAGCATTCGTACATTATATTATTATAGGGAGCTCCTGGCCAGCCAAATGGCCTTTTACGTCCCTTGCTCTGCATCACCTTCTTTCTACCTGTCTGATTATACAGTTTAAGGCTTGTGCTGCTCCCTCCAAAATGGCTTGCACTTGCTACCCGGAGGTGAAAAACGTCTGGTCACCGTGCAGTACATCGACAGGGTTACTTTTCAAAAATTCTAAAAGAGAATTTTCTGGCCAGAATATCACCGAGATGAAACTTGCAGCCTAGGGCGCTACCCCCAAAATTCCCATTGGTCATACGAACGCTCTCTGACCTGGGCTATCCCTTTCCAACTTTCAAGTCCTATCTCCCTCGTTGTAAAACTTGCCCTGGATATGAGCCTTGGTCGGCACGCCCGACATCACGCTCTACCAAACCGAGTAAAACCCGACCGGACACACTAACCGAACGCTGCTCTCCCTTCCATAAAGTCCCCAGACTCGCTGACTAAAAGTGTTAAGAGGGTAGGTTATTTCTCCACGCCATTTTTATGTGTGTCCTCAGATGCAGCTCAAAAATCGAAAATAAGGTCATATTTCTAGGTGACTCATTTCCCCAATCAATTAAAATCCCTTTTTTTCTTATATTTTCTTATAAAATTTTTCTATTATTTTCTAACATTATTTTTAACAAATTATAGGCTTTTCTATTATTAATTAGAGAAGGAGTCAGGAGTTGGAAAATCATCAATTCTCCAGCGGCACATCTACAACCTTTTTGACGAAGCTCATGAAATCACACTTGGAGTCCAATTTCATCAATCCATCGTCAACACAAATGCAGCACAGTTTAAGACGAATATTCCTCTAGATATCAATAAAACTATCGCTCTAGACCTATGGGACACAGCGGGTCAAGAACGATTTAAATCATTGATGCCTTTATATTACAGAGATACTTCAGTCAGTGTTATTGTCTATGATGTCGCCAATTTAAAGACATTTGAAAAATGCTCATATTGGGTTATAGCCCGAGCCTTGCTATAGCTTGGGTTTTACTGACAACTTCTGACATCAGTCAGGGTGTTGACAAACAACATTTGTTGGCAAAGCCAACACCATGGGTGTAAAATCGCCTGATAATAGAGATTTGCCCTCAGGAAATTAGTTTGTCCATTCCCCAAGTGGTTCCAGAAGTCGCCAGCACAGCATGAGCTATATTAAGACTAGGGCTATAATGACCTAATTTCAAAAGAGCCTAATTGCATTCTATTTCTGGTAGGAAATAAAGCTGACAGCAGCAATAAACAAGTTTCTGAGGCAATGGCCAAAAAATTCAGCAAAACACATAATATGGAATGGCTTGAGACTTCAGCGAAATCTTCGTTAAATATAGATCTGCTTTTCAGAAAAATCGCTGAGGCCATAATGACTAACTCCCCTATAATAAACAAATTCTTGCCTATTGGCAAGGGTTTTAGCAAATAAATTTTAAAAATAGTAAATTTTACATAAATAATTTGAAATTTGCTTATTATTGAAGGTTAAATGCCCAAATTTTTTTCCTTTTTAACATTTTATCTGAAAATCAAGTAATTTTAGATCTCTTCTTCATATAAATTTGTGCTAAAACTCATATTATAAGCAAGTTTTTGCTTATTACTAAAAGGATCAAGCGAAATACAGCTTCTAGTGAGCTGAGTTCATGTTACTAATATTTATGAAAAACCCTCTTTATTAACTGATTTATTATTAAATTATGAATCCTTTAGAAAATCAAAGCCTCAATCTGGACGGAGAAGTCGTTTTTGCTGTAGAAAACGATACTATAAGAGCGAACAAACAGCTTTTGCTTTCAAAAAGCAGCTATTTCCAAGAAATCTTGATCGGATCTGAAAATTATGCTGAGGTAAGAGTCCTTCTTCCTGAATGGGTGACTCCTCTTTCTCTAAACCTTTATATTTCCTATCTTGACACAGGAAAAATCCAGAAAACTGACCTATTCAACGTCCAAAAGCTTCTTTGGCTTTCAGACTTCTTTAAAGACACAAAACTGCAAATTTCATTGATAACTGATATTATATGCCCAGGACTAACTAAAGAAACAGTTTTATTATTCCTGCAAGACGCTTTCACAAAGATTTCCACACCTCCTGTAGCAGAACATTGAAAAATCCTATATCATGCGACGTTAGATTATTCAGCTAAAAATTCAAGCTTTATTTTTTCTAAATTTCAGTCAGTCATTGAGAAAATGGAAGTTCCTTTACTCCCCTTGTTAGCGAGCAGAAAAACTTTGTTCGCTCATGGAGGGTTCAAAATTTAAAAAATTCCAATTCGTAAAATTTGAGAAGTAAAAATTAATTTAATTTTCAAATTTATGTTTCAAAATGCAAGCTGTTTAAAATAGAATTAGCTAGAGATTTCACTATACTACTTATATATCAAAATAATTTTTTACAATTCATTCACAGAGGATAGGGTTTTTGACCAAATGGTTTTGTTCGTTCATAGAGAGGGAAGTTAGTAGAAGACTTAATTGGAAGCTCAATGGAACAAAATTTAATTGTGGCGAGCTCTGATAACTCATATATTATTGAAAAAATCAAAGAGCTGAAAGGTGCTTCGTCGCTGCTCGATTTATTAGAAAAAGAAGAAACAAAAATATTGAACTCTGATGTCACTAATAGGCAGCTGGAAGGTTTTACTTGAAATATCATGCATTTTGAGTCTGGAAATTTCTATAGAGAATCTGAGCCTTTTGAGATTAGCGGGCTGAGCTGGGTTTTGTGTATATGAAGCTTTGAGCATGAAAATAAATTAGAAGTTTCTTTAAAACATACAGAACTAAAATCAAATAAAGGCATCACAAAAGATTCTATTGTGGTGATTTCATATGCTGTACAAATTAATGATGAAGATCTGTCAGGAAAACATCCAAATTTAATCCCAATTCTTGCAGGCTCAAATTCTCAAGATATAATCAGAACTATTTCACCTTTTAACCAGCAGAGTATTTCTGATTTAAAAATAAAAATTTTTGCAAAAGTTGAGTTTTTATATTCCTCAATCCTACAGCATTTGGCTAAAAATCCAGAATCTTCTCTAGAAAATGAAAGCTTACTCCCCCCCATCCTTGATCGAACGATTGACTGTAAAAATTCTAAAAAAATTGGGAAATTAACCCCCATCCTTGATCGAACGATGGCGAGTCGTTCGATCAAGGACGGGGGGAGTTAGAAAAATTTTCTCAAAGTAATCTTGAGGTAATTTTGAAGTACAAATATTTAAATATTCTTAGTTGCTAAAATTTCTGATCGGCTCCCACGAGCCAAAGATGGATTTCACGCGTGAAAAATCCAGAAATTCCACGTGAAAAAACCCATTTTTGGCTCTTGGGAGCTGATCGGAAATTATGCCAACATATTATATAAAATCAGAAGACCAAGCTTTACACCTAGTCGGGAAATGATGTGAGCAATGTCCTTTTGAGCTATGTGAAGAAAACATATCCCCAATCCTAAAATGGCTACGATGGGATTTTATTACTCTAAATACATTGCTTTCTTCTGTAAGACTATACCCAATATTAAAAAGATCCAAAACTTTTAAAGACATTTTCAGGCACGAAATAGAAGTCCGCAGCAAATCTTTAAGATCACGCCGTAAGCTCTATTTAGCCTCCACAAGTGAGCCTAGAAAGTCATATAAAGCTCATTTTAACAAAGAGCAGTTTAATTCTATGAAAGAATATATATTGGCTTTATCTGATATTATTTTTGAGCAAGAAAATAATAGCTTTCAAAAGGTAAATTTTAGGTAGAAAGATGAACAAAAATTAGAAGAATTAAATAAACAGCTTATGCAAAAAGAGCTGGAAATAAAAGATTTGAAAAATAAATTGACCATTGCGCAGTCACATCATTCACATTCAGTTTCAGTACCAAGCTTTAATATACAGAGCTCACCATTTTTTGAGGATAAAGAAGATGCAATGAGCAATGAAAGCTCAATGAAATCAACGCCACAGCCAAAACCGTCAATAGGAGGGCATGACAGGTCGAGGAATCTGTCTATTGATTCAAAAGCAGCGATTAGTTTTGAAAGTATTATAAAGGCAAAAAAGTCAGGAAACGCACTGTCTTCATTGATGACGAAGCTTCAAGCGCGGAAAGGTTCTAAAATTGCAAATTTATAAATATAAGAATATAAGTTTAGAAAACTACTAACCTTCTCTATCTTGACTGTAACCCTCCATAAGTGAGGAATTTTTTTTCGCATATAGCAATTCGATGCATAATTAAGTATTATAATGAAATATTAAGCTGATTGCATACAATTTTTTAAGAAATTTGCATATTATAGATTTTTTCTATGAATTAAACTAATTTTTCTTTCTTAATAGAAATCACCTCATTTTTATCAATCAAAATATATTTTCTTACACATGAAGAGAAGTAATAAAATAGAATTAAAAAATATTTAATTGCAAATAGGAAAAAAGTAGCGAGTTAAATTATAATCGTTAAATGATATATATCTTCATTATGATTAATAAGCAAAAATGATCCTTTAAGTATACCAAAAATTCAGAAAATAATAATAGTAAAAAATGACTGCTGTGGGATTTGAACCCACGCCCTTTCGGAATAGCGCCTTAAGCTACCGCCTTAGACCGCTCGGCCAAACAGTCATGTCTGAAACTAAAAGCTGTGATTTTTGTATAAATTCTCACTTTCTGACTTAATTATTCTTGCTTAAAGGGTCATCTTCCGCAGGGGAATAGACCTAAGTCCGTCCTTTTAACTCCAATTGATAGCGCGCAGTTGGCCATCCATGTCATCATTTTTATCTGGTATAGTCATTTAGAAAATTCTTGCCACAATCTTTTTTTGAAAAACTCGCAGGCTGTGCTAATTGCCTAGACTTGACTCATGCATGTGTTCCTTTTGAGTTTCACCTCATTAGGTACGCCCAGCATTGAACTCCTCTTAAGCCAAATGAACTTTTGGCATGTGCATAAAGTTGCAACAGATAAGCCGAGCCCATAATAAATATTGCAAAAAAAGGGGAGAAGAGCTTCCATATGTAGCAATTTTATTATTATGTATAAAATCTCATAACTTCTATTAGCTGCAATCTCATCTGAGGCTTCTTCAAAGCATTCTTAAAAAAATTAAAAGAAGACTTATATGTGAGTTCTTTAATGGTTGCCCTGCCTAATAATTATACTATTTAAAATATAGCAATCTTACTAGATTAATTTATAAATTTTAAATAATATAAAGAGTCACTTTAAATTAGGGATCAACGAAATAATTTCCAAATTAGTGAGAAATTTTAATCTACTTCAAATTTAATATTTATTTATCTTTAATAGTATTTTGCATGATGTACTAGCAAGCTCATTATGAAATGAAATAAAAAAATCTATATATTTTTGATTATTTTACAGCGATTTAATATTTTTGGAATGAGTGAGGTTTATTTATTTGTTCAATTACAAACTTTAAAATATAAAATTTATGGCATTTCTTATATTTGAAGCTTAAAGCAACAATAATTTTGGCTAATAAATCAAAAATTGCTAAATAATGGCTAATTAATACGTAAAATTATTTCTATTTTGATCTGATTAAAGCATCGATTTAAAAACAGGCTTTATTTTTTATTACTTACATATTTTGGGTGATTTTTATCTTCAAGGAGGTAAGTCTTTGAGTTTTTTTCTGCTTCTTTTTTCTTCAATTCTGCAATTTCATGATCAGGGACTAAATAATCTGCGATTTTTCGAGGAAACTCTACAATTCCTACTACAAACTTTCTAAATGACTTGCTCTCTGATAATTTTTCAGCCACATGATAATCTGCTCTTGCTTCATTCCACAAATTAAGAAATTTTAATAGTTTCATTTTAATAATTATAAACTTAAAAATAAGAGCTTTTAATTAACACAAGAAATACGTTTGCTTACTCCCCCCCCCTCCGTGAGTGAACAAAAAAATTTTGTTCACTCACGGAGGGGGTTAATTTTTTTTGTTTTAAAATATAAAAATTTTTTTTTCGAAAATTAAAAAAATCTCACTTCTATAAAAATTGGGAAGAAAATATTAATTTAATTTGTAAAAATTATGTTTTAAAACGCAATTTGTTTAAAATTAACCATATTTAGCTCGAGATTTCATTATACTAATCACCACTTATATATCAAAATTTTTTTCCCATAAAAAATTTTTCTATTAAAAAAAAAATTTTTGTTCACTCACGGAGGGTGGGTTTTTGGGCAAAAAATAGGGATTTTTCTAATGGTTTTGTTCACTCGCGGAGGGGGGGGGAGTTAAGAGTATGCAAGCATTATACCTTTTTACAGAGTTACTGAATATGAAGTTTATACTAGTTTCAATGAATAGTCTAACTAAGGAGCACTTTTTGGTTAGCCAGAGGTTAACGTGCTTGCCAAATTGTTTGAGGAACCCAAATTTTAATTTTTCTAACCAAAAATGTTCCTTTGTAGGTTGGTCATCGTAAACAAGCTTAGGTTAAAAAGTTTTCTACCAAACTTTGAGTACGATAAAATATTTGATAAAAAATTTAAGGGTCAAAAGTAGCAAACAAGTAAGTCTGATGAGAACCATTAAAACAGCTTTTTCAATCATTAGGGAAGTAAATAAAATTTCTAAATTAATAAAATTACAGAATTCTAAATTACTTCACCTATTTATTGACTATTCCACATTATACTAAATCTATCATTTGATATTGATTTTTAAGATAATCTAAATTGTAAAACAGCTAGGCATCTTAATAAAAAGCAGTCCATGCTATACCAAATCCTTTAGATTTATTCCTATTTAATTAATTTATTCTCCCTCTATCAGATTTTTGATATTTCAAGATTTCTCCGATAAATCTCAAAATAACCCCAAAAAATAAACCAAACGTATAAGTCCTTATTCATAATGAATCACCATTCAGATTATGCTATATAACTAATTATTCTGGCTTTCCCTTTCCATCGCTAACAAATTTTGTACAGCTGGGTGGTCAATCCCAAGAATGGCGATTGCCTGTTCTTTTGTCACAAATCTCCCTTTGATCCTTAATCGGCCGTCAGCGACTCGCTTTCGGCAGTCATAAGAGATCTTTTTGTTCCACGTTCGCCTCTGCCTCTTCTCCAGGTATTTTTTGATCTTTTTTCGGCGCTCTTCTAGCGTAATTGTCCCGATGATGTGGTCTGGAGTGAGCTCGACAGGCTTGTGTATGACAACAATTGTGTCCTTAGCGACAATAGGCTTTTTTTTCTTTTGCTTTTGAATTTGGGTCTCATAGACCTCATAAATCAAGGGATTCAGTTTGACCTCGCAATCCTCTTGAGTGAATGATTGTGTAAGTGTTTGCTCGTCGAAGTGCTCTGGCATAGAATCTATGCTAGGGATCTGTGTAAGGATTACATCTGTGTAATGTGCGTAGGAGTGACTCAGTAAGTCAACAAATGAAAGTTTACGCTCATTAGGATGCATTAATTCTGACTGCATTGATTCCAACAAGAAATCAAATTGGCATGTGTATTCTGATCCCAAGTATTCGTCAATGCAATCAACCATCTTAGAAAATTTAATTATTGGTGTGAAATTTTATTAGCTAAAATGGATGAGGTTTTTGTAATTCGTCTTAATTATTTTCAATATTTAAGGTATATTATTATTTGCAAAAACTTGTGAAAATGTGTGTATCTTTCTTGGAATTAATAAATTTTGAGTTTAATTCCTGATTTTTGTGATAATTTTTATATTTTAGAAGATGTGAAATTTTTATTTTGTTGATGCTAAGCTTAGAGACTCCGTTGATTCTTCATATTACAATTTTTAAGCATTTTATTAATATTTTTGAAGGTTCAATGCCTATTCAATTTGAAATGGATTAAAATAACTTATTTGGAACTCCATTAAAATTAATTAATTATCATTAATCTCCATTAACTATTATTTATTATTTTGATTGAAAATGGGAGAATTAAAAATTAAGGATAAATTTGTTTAATTTTTTATTAAGAGTGTAATATTAACAAAATTGAAACTTTCAATTTAGCATACTATTATTCAGCAAAGGTAATATTACAATGAACTCATGTACGATTTACCTGTGTAATCATATTTTATGATTATGATAATTAATTGAATATTTCTCAGTTACCCAGCTTTTTTCCTATCAATATCTATTTATTCTCAGATATCTTTAATTTTTCTTGAATATAGCTTATTACTATCAATCTAAAAATTATTGAGTTACATAATTTAATCAATCAAAGCCTTTTTCTTTATAGGCGATATTTTCCCTTTTCACAATATAAATACTTATGATATGGATATACAAAATTAAAATATTAAAAGATGTCTTTAGATTATGATGTCGAGGAACGAATTTCAAACATAAAAAAATCTTTGCAAAATATCCAAAAACAAATAACTGGAGAAAGCTCTCAGTCTTCTTGAATTCCTGAACCCAATAATTTATATATTGGATCAAAACTCTCTAAAGAAGATCTTGAATTATCTTTTTCAAAATCTCAAAAATCAGATTCCGGTTTTTATATAGAAAAAGGCCAAGAAATAAACAAAACTAAAGCTGAACCTTGAATTAATGTGAAACCAGAATTAATTGATTTTACCTTAAACCCAAAATCCCCTGAAAAGAAAAAATTCAGCTACACTTTAGATCCAGGCATTTCTTCATGATTTTTAAAACAGGACTCTTATGAAAGCAATGGAAATTTTGAAGAAAATAAAGGAATTAAAGAACTAAAAAAAGAAATTTGTGATACTAAAGCAAAAATCGATGAATTGGAAGTGGTAAATATAGAATTAATCAAAAAAGATAATATAATTGCAGATTTAAAAAATGAATTGTATGGCTGCGAAAGGCTAATCCAAGAATTAAATATCAAATTAGTAAAAATTCATCAAAAACAAGAACTTGATTTAGAAAAAGAAAAAGAATTCCTCAACAAAATCGCAGATTTAGAAAAAATTAAAATTCAGTTTTCATATGAAAAAGCGGAATTTAGTGAAATTTTAAAATCAAACGTAGAAAAAATCAATCTATTAGAAAATGAAAATAAAGAATTAAAAAAAATCAATTTCGAATTATCAACACAAAATAAGAATCTTCTGCAAATTTCAGAATTATTAAAATGGCGTGATCTGACGTGGATTATGAGTTGATCCGGACCCAGAGGAACCACAAAGTGATATTCTCGGGTGGGTTTTTTGTTAAGGGTTAGCCCTTGGCCCTCCTATTCCTGCCCTGCAGACATGCCTACCGTGCAATGCCCTTCAGTACTCTATAGGAGCATTAACGAGCTGTGATACGGCTTAGCCAGCCATGCAGGAGGCAAAGACGGTTTACCATACTCTGAGCCCTGCTGGAGGTTGAGATCATCGTTGTGGTTTGGCGAGACCTATAAGACGAGCAGGGCAATCTCTCAAAGATTACCTACGTCATCATTTTTAGTGGCATTAGGAATAAAAGTGCAAGTGCAGGATAGCTCTTAGTGCCAGCTTGAAGCTATCCGTGGAACAACGAGGGTCTGAAATAATCCCTGATGGCCACCATAATTTAACTCTAATCTCTAATCTAATCAGCAAATTTCTGAAAAATCAAAAGAAGAAGCTGAAAGTTTAAAAATTAGAATGGGAAGTCTATTAAGCGAACAATCCAAAAGCAGAAGCAAAGAAGATTTTAAATTGATTTCTAAGCTTGATTCTAAAGACAAAGAAATCCAAGATTTAATTAATACAAAGGAAGATCTCAAAAAATATTTAGATGAGTGTGAGCAAAGGATAAATGACTTAGAAGACCAATTATTAGAAACACAAAGGACATTGACTAGAAAACGAGTTTCTCCTGCAAGAGCTCCAAAAAATGAAGAAATAAGCTCAAGCACAATGAGAAAAATAATAGGCCAGCTGATAAGGGCTTTAAAAGTAGAAAGCTCTGACCAAATTGTTAGTGCTTGCCAAAAAGTAATTAAAGAGGCAAAAATTACCAATGATTCTAAAGAATTCTATAAAAATGTTGTTATTCTTATACTGGAATATTCTCCGCCAAACTCTTTATCGAAGTTGCCAAGTGTAAAATCTGTATTAAAGTGGCTCAAAAGATTGATTAAAGAGTATTTATGATTGAAAAAGCAAGAATACATAAATCAACGCAGCCCATAAATATCAACTTTGCTGAAAATAAAATTTAATCTAAATAATATATTAATTATGCTTAAAAAAAATCAAATATTCTAATTACTTCACCGTTATATCTCATAATGGTTTTTCCTGCTCCGTTTTGAGGCATTTTTTGAGGATTTTTGATCTCAATGTAATATATAAAGTGCATTGCAGTCACTTTTATAATCAAAAATTAAAAATGATGGAAGCCATAATGTTAAATTTAATGAGCTATTTATTTGCAATTTTTCTGCATGAAAATCGAACTCTGGCAAATGATTATTCTTTACCAATACAAAACACCAGCATAATTAGTGAGCCATTCAAATCAGACATTCCTTATATTTTTCAAAAGAAAATAAAATGTGAGATTGAATCCGAGGCAACACCTCTTGATAGAGCGATTGACCGGCAGGATGGCAAAAGATGCTATTCGTGAAAGAAGCAGGCGATCTCAATAGGAAGCCTGCCAAAGCAGGGTGCTTTGTTTCTCCCCCAAAATGTTTTCCTGACCCTGCCAGATGGGCTAGACAGGTTTTGCCTACCACTTGGTCCCTTCTCTATCGGGAACAACGGGGCACTCTACTGATGGTAGCTCTGCCCAGGAGAGTTAATCCCATGACAGGTGGTTCAGATCGGAAATTCAAGATGCAGCCTTTCCATTTTCCTCATTTGAACTCTGATGTATATGGAGGCTGCTACCTTGGAGCCGAGATAGGGCAAATGCTGGTGGGTCGTCTGCTTATGGCCAGTTTAAACAATTTAAAACAAAAATTATATTTTGACGTTGACGAAAATAGGACCCCGAGGCGCACTCTCTATGGAGCAGGTCGAGCCCATCCCAATGAAGTTGAAAGTAATGTCTCTGTCACTTTTGACAGGCTTGGTGATGCCTTCCCAAAGATTGAAGTTTTTTTCTCACCGAAGGTTTTCCTCTCCCTGCCCAGACCGACTAGACAGGCTTTGCATATCAATTAGCCAAAGTCTATTGGGCATCCTCAAGAGGCGGCTCTAACCTATAGAGCTAATCCTTAGGCTAGATTGGTTTACTCTAGAAAGTCAGGCTAGTAATTAATTCGCTTATGGCCTTAAACCACTTAGCTTAACTTATATCTTTCTTTATTTAACAGGGGATCATATCCGAGACTGGAAATATATTAATGGCTTGTATCGAGTCCTGAAAAAAACTCTTTCTGACAGAATTTTTTTAGATCTATCTTTTGAGTATTATTCAAATCTTAATGGTACTGAAATAACTGATGATTGTATTGCCTCAGGACGATACTGCTTAAAAGATTCACAAAGCATCAACTTAGGCAGAGACCTTGTAATTGAGTCTTTACGGTCTCTTTGTTTTTTGAAAAAAACAAGAAAAAATTCAGAATCATCAAGAATTTTTATTGAATATTTGGAGTTAATTTCAAATTATTGCAGATATAGCTATGCAAGCCTTTGTAGTAAAATTTATTTGTATGCTGTTGGGCAATCACCATCAGAAATATTAAAATGTGTTAATGATTCTGTTGATGGGACTGATATATTGGTTGATGATAATAGAATTTTGCAGAAGGAATTTGAGAAAAATAGAAATTTTTCATATATAGCTCCGACAATTATCATTAATGGAGAGGAGTTTGATAGCCAAAAAGGCTCATTGCTAGAGCTTTACTGTAACAGTTTAAAAAATCCTCCAAAATCCTGCCAAGCCCATCAGTCAGATGACGAAAATATCGGGCCCTTAACAATTTTTGTCCTTATCTCTTGTTCCATAGTTGGCTTCAGCCTTTCAAAGTTAGTAATAATCGGAATTATCAAATATTGCTGCCTAAACTCCAAATGCTTCAAAATGCTGAAACCCCCTATCCACCAGCGGCTTGAAGAAAAAGCTTTTGCCTCAGATCTTGAATTTTTAGGAGAATCAGTTTGTACTATATGTTTAACCGAACTATCCGAAAATGATAAGGTAAAAATAACGACTTGTCGTCATATTTTTCATTCAAGCTGCCTCAATGAGTGGCTGATTTTGAAATCTTTCCGTCCTAGATGGCTCCATGCCAATTGACAGTGGATTTTGACAGTGTACATTTCATCGGAATACATTTGGTCAAAAATTTTTAATAGTGTGATATTTGGCCGAAAATATCTCACTATCAAAAATTTTCAACCAATTTTCGGCCAAAAATTTTTTCGGTGAAATGGACACTATCAAAAAGGCAATGTCATTTGACCTGCATCCGTCCTAGATGCCCAAACTGCAACCTTAACCCAGTGACTTCGCATAATTAATTAAGCTTAATATGGAAGAACTCTCTCAAGCTGAATTTTGAAGATATGCTTCACAACGTATAGAAAGCTTATTAGCAACCTCAGTAAAAGTAAATAATGAAGACTTACTTGTGAATGTTGATGAGCCAGACCAAAAATTTGTGTTTACACCTCAGCCTCTATCTAAAATCAATCTAAAAGCATCAAAGTTTTGCAGGAATTATAAAATTTATAGCCCTTTGTCAGATAAAGTTTTTGAAAGGATAAGCAGGTATGAGCCAATACAATCTGAGCCTATAAAACCTGAGCCAAAAATGCAGCCGTCTGGTCAAACCTAGGAGGTATACCCGGTCTGCGGCTATACCTGGCAGTCCAGCTCTATCTGGCAGTTCGGCTCTGCCTGAATCTAACTGGCTCTGTATAGCTCTGCTTTTTTAAATTTAGAAAAATATATTGACGTTCAAAAAACTGAATAAATGTGGAAAAAACAATATAAATGCAAAAAATATTAATTGAGAAATTATACGGATTATCTGATTCATTGCTCAGTTTGTCATTAATAAATAAATCAATTAAAATTCTTATTTTTAATTTTATTATAAAGCTCAGATTAAAATTAATTGAGCCTTTTAATTAATAGAATCAGAGTTATTTAGAGAGTTTATGAATATTTATATTGCTTTAATAAATTTATATCTACTATCAAATTTTCGTTCAAAATGCGAAATAATCCTCTTCTTTTATATGATATAGTTTCTTTCTAAGCCATTGCATCTTTATTTTCTTATAATTTAAAAAGTATTTAACAAGGTGTATCATTTTAAACATTTTAAAATGTTTTGATGATGAAATAATTGAGTGCAATTCTATAGCTTTTTGATGGAATAATAGTAATTTTTTTTTTACTATATGATAATTATAAGATTTATTTTGCTTTTTCACAATTTATAAGCAGTTTATTCCTCACTAAATTACTAAATAAGTTGCAGACTTATATAGATTTTTTTAAAGTATCATTCTCTGCAAATTTTTCTATCACAGGCTTTGCATTTTTATCTATATATCATAGCTTAAAAACTTACTCCCCCCCTCCGTGAGTGAACAAAACCATTAGAAAAATCGCTGTTTTTTGCCCAAAAACCCACCCTCCGTGAGTGAACAAAAATTGTTTTAATAGAAAAAATTTTATGGAAAAAATTTATATATAAATGATAATTAATATAATGAAATCTAGAGCTAATTCTGTTTAATTTTAAACAAATTGCATTTTAAAACATAAATTTTATAAATTAAATTAATATTTTGCTTTCAAATTTTGGCAAATTAGGATTTTTTTAAATTTCGAAAAAACAAAATTTGTTAAAAAAAATAAAATTAACCCCCTCCGTGAGTGAACAAAATTTTTTTGTTCACTCACGGAGGGGGGAGTTAGGAAATTATTTTGATAAAGCCTGACTGACAGGTAGAGCCAGTGGAGCCAGAATGCCAGGTAGAGCTAGAGAGCCCGACTCCCAGACTTCCAGGCAGAGCCAGTAGAGCCTGACTCCCAGACTGCCAAGTGAGCCAGATATAAGAAAGAGTCATTAGAGCTGATTCCAAACTGCCAGGTAGAGCCGAATGCCCAGGTCGAGCCAGGCTTCCAGGTGAAGCCGGACTACCAGGTAGAGCCAGACTGCCAGATAGAGCCAGACTGCCAATAGAGTTAGGTAGATCCAGCCAGGTTTAACCAGCCGTCTTTATTAGTGGTGTCAACAAGAGCAGTAACTAAAAGAATTGCATTTCAGGAAAGCATGGATTCACAAATAAAACCATCAAAAGAAAGCGCTAAAGAAAATCAACTTGAGCTCACTGTCTCAGGAAATAAAGCAAGTTTTTCGCTTCCGCCTTTAAAAACAAAAAAAACAAAAAATTTAAGTTGAAAAGAAGAGAGCCGAATTTATAAAAATCGAAAAATAATTGGGGAGATGGAAAGAATAAATGAGAATTCACGTAACTATATAAACAAATCTTTTGTGGTAGGACACAAAAAGCAACAAGTTGTACCTTCGATTAGAAAAAGGGACCCATCACCGTTTTCGAAAAAGAATCAAAATATCATGGATATTTCGCTAACTTCATTTAAAACACAAGGAAATGATGGAACAAGTCCATAATTTTTGTACATGTAATTTTGTATTAAATAAAGCTAAATGGAATTTAAATTTAAAATTAGAAAAAATTAACTGATATGTGGAAAGGCAACTAGAGTAAAATATATTTATTAGGAATCATCTTAAATTTAACATAAAACATATTAATAATTTTTAATAAAAAGGATTCCGCATCCGGGACTCGAACCCGGGTCTTCAGGGTGAAGGCCTGATATCCTAACCAGCTAGACAAATGCGGAGTGATACTTACATAATTATTTTCATTTAATACAGCATCCAATTTTATAACTTATACATAATCTCAAAATTGAATAATTTGTATAATAACTTAGAATTTTTACAAAAATAAAATGGGTAAACGAGGGCTCAGGCGAAAAATTTTATGCGGCATTCTTTTGCCTTTAATGACTGGAATAATTATTACTGGAGTCATAGCTGCTGTTCCTTTATATGTTGAATACCCCAAATGATTAGACAATTATATAGATGATATGACCTATAGTCAAGGAGTTGCTTTGCTAAATATGAGCGAGTACATGGCATTAGCTGGCTCATATTCAGTTATTCAATACTCTGCTAACCTGATGATCATTGCAGGAGCCTTAATTGATAAATACAACCAAAAGCAGCTAAAAACAAAGCCTTATTTTGATGATTCCAATAATTATGTAAATGGGCAATTATTTGACTTAAAACAGTCATTTCCGCCTGGCTATGACTCATCTACAAATAAAAGCTATGAAGCTGCTGTATGATATTTAAATCCAATAAATTACCAAAAATATAAAAATAATTGCTATTTTTTTTTAAAAAATAAATAAAATTTAAATCCATATCAGATTTTTCCACAACAACTTTCTACCCAATCTCTCTTGAACTTGAAGTCTTCCGCTATTTTTGACAGTTTTTTAAGGCCCATAGCATCAATTGGGAAGATCAGACCTTGATATTTTGCACAAGACTATATAGGATGGTCATCTGATGGGCTATTTTATTCAAATCCATCACAATATAGCGGATTTATTGTATACAGAGACTATTCAGGAAAATGCGTTTATAATCTTCATAGGCCACCTCAGTTTGACCCAAGGTGTAGACCATGGTATCAAGATACAAAAAATGCGACCAATAAAACAGCTGCAATTTTAACTGAGCCGTATTTATTTACCAATACAAATAATTTAGGCCAAACTGCATGCAGAGGAATTTGGATTAGCAGCGCAATGCAAGCTGCTGTATGCATTGATTATTATCTTGACACGATAGAAACCCATATAATAAATTCGCTGAAAAATACGTCATCGTACTGCTATTCATTAGACACAACAGGAAAAGTTGTTTTACACCCTAACTTAAATAGAAATAATCCTACAATACCTTCAATCCAGCAGCTTGAATTTGGCTCAAATCCTGATCAAGATGAAGTCGATTATTTTACAAATGAAATTTTACCAAAATTCAGCAAAAATGAAAGCTCTTTACTCCCCCGCTCAGTTAGCCAACAAAACCATTGGAAAAGTTCCTTTTTTTTGACCTAAAACCTCCTCTGTGAGCTAAAAAAATTTGATATATAAGTGAAATTATTATAATGAAATCTCTAACTAATTCTGTTAATTTTAAACAGCTTGCATTTAATTAATTTTTATTTTAAAATTATTTCGAATTGGGATTTTTTAATTTCAAAAAAATTTACTATATGTTAATTTTTTAAGCCCCTTCAGAACGAACAAAGTTTTCTCTCGCTCTCGGAGGGGGGAGTTAGGAAATTACTATAAAAATGGCGAAAAAATGATAATTGCAGTTTCCCCTATAAACTTGAGGATGACATTTTCTCAGTCAATTATGACTCATTATCTTTCTATAGGAATAGTCACACCAGAAAGTCAAGTTTATGAAAAAATTGACGGTCTAAAAGATGACTGCCAAAATATGATGTATATCTATTTATAATAAATAATTTTTACAAGTAAATAATGTAACAGCTAATCAATATTTTCATATAAACTAAACATACATAGAAACTGGGATTTTTGCAGGGGTTTTAGTCCTTATTGCATTATTATGCTGGTATATGACCCAAAACATAGCTTCATCTATTGTAGCTCCAATTGACAAATTATTAGAAATCTTAGAAAGGCTTGTAAATCATGATTTAGGCTTAGACATAAAAGAACAATATACTCCAGGCCCCCCAGAAATGGAAACCTTATATGAAGTTTTTGATAGGCTAAGACTCGTTCTCAAGCTTAAAGATACTGATAATTTTAAACAAGAAACCCACGCGATCATGAATTACTCTCAAGCACTATCATTGTATTCCACTTTTGGCAATAAAAAAGCTATGGAAATGTGCTATCTGGAGCTTGGAAATATTCATTTGAGAAACCATCAGTATTTAGAAGCGGCCACAAGCTATTATAATTCTTATCAGCTTGCCCAACAAATTGAAGGATTTTCTGAAAAATTATTAGCAAAGCGAAAATCCCAAACAGCGAGAGCAATGATGCTTGCTAGAGTTAAAACAGAAGAAGCTATAAATCTGTTTGAAGAAGCTTTGGAGTTTTATAGAAAAGAGCCAAATTCTCCAGAAATTGTGTTTTGCTTACTCCCCCCCCTCCGTGAGTGAACAAAAAAATTTTTTGTTCACTCACCGAGGGGGGTTAATTTTTTTTTTTAAAAAAAAATTTATATATAAACTTTCTAAAAAATTTTTTTTTCGAAATTTAAAAAAAATCTAATTCGCAAAATTTTGAAAGCAAATATTAATTTAATTTTATAAAATTATGTTTAAAATTAAACAGAATTAGCTCTAGATTTCATTATACTAATTATCATTTATATATAAAAATTTTTTTTCCATAAAAAATTTTCTATTAAAAAAATTTTTGTTCACTCACGGAGGGTGGATTTTTTGGGCAAAAAATAAGGATTTTTCTAATGGTTTTGTTCACTCGCGGAGGAGGGGGAGTTAATAGATTACGCAGAAGGGCTTTTAGCTGATTTTAGAAACCCTGAAGCAGCACTTGATGAAGCCCAATCATTATTAGAAAAAAGGCCAGTTGACTCCTTACAAGACATTTTGATGCAGAGGCAAAAGTACTATCTTGGAGTCCACCTACAAAATCAGTCAAAAACTATGTTTGCAGCTGATCTATTTTTATCTTGTATAGAAGACTATCAATATTTCGACCCAGCAATCAGAAAACAGTCCATTAAAAGACTAATTTCTATTTTCGAAAGCCAAAGATTACCAGTCGACGAACTAAATGCAGCCTTAACCACAGTAGAAGAGAGGCAACAAGATATCGTAATCGCCATGGACACAAAATTAGGAAGCTCCTATATGCACGCAAACCTTAAAACTTTTATAAAAGACATTGTAGATCCTAAAGACCGTCTTTCTATAATTAATTTTGATGACTCTTGTAGAATTTTATTCAATCTTACCAAGCGGCTTTCAAAAGACATAAAATTCCCAGAATATAAATTAAGAAAAGAAAAAAGGGTTTTATTAGATGGGATTGCGGAGGCTTATAAACAAATTATTGCCTGTAATTTTTATTTTGAGGATTCTTATTTGGAAAATGATACACAAAATCATCAATGGGTTATTGTGATTACAGATGGAGAAGAAAAAGGGAGTAATATAAAGCTTGAAAAATTAGAAAAAATTATAAGGAGCACGCCAGCGAATCTTGTGGTCCTTTCGGTAAATAGTCATTCGTTTGGGAGGAATTTGTTGAATGAGCTAGTAAAAATGACGAAAAGAGGGATATTGATGGATACTGTTTATGAAGACCTTGAAAGCTCGTTTAAGAAACTGGCAGCTTATGTGTGTCCCTTTAAGATTTTTTTGAAAAATTAATGATATATTTAAGTTTAATTAAATACTTATAAGGTAATTCAATGATGAATGGCCTTATTGAGCTTAATTAAAAAAATTTGATAATTCTTGCTCATTTATAAGCTCAAGTTTTTTAGATACCCTTGCCATCATTTCTTCAATTTTTTTTCTTCTTGACGACTGCAAAGAGCATATATCTTCAATTGTTTTTTCTGCAATTTTGAAATATTCTTGGGCTTTTGCATATTCTCCAGACATATAATATGATTTTCCTAATAAAGATAGCACCTCAAATGTATCTTTACTATATTTTTCCGTATTTTGGTATTCGATAAACTTTAAAAGATACTCAATTGATGTGTCGTATTTTTTCAGCTTATACATTCTTTTACCAATTGTTTTATAAGATGATAATGTTTCTTCAGTTCGGTCTTTTAGCAGCATAGTTTCATAACGCTTTCTTGATATACTTATTTACAATAAAATTCATAAATTATCGTCTTTATGTCGTAAATAGGTTAGAATTAGTGCATGTTTATTTTAAATGGTTTAATTTGTATGTAAATAAACTATTGGCATTAGTATATCTCTTTAAATGTTTTATTTTGATATTTAACACCCCATCGACATTTTTAATATCAAGCTGCAAAGGTTTAATGTTACTGATTATTTCTTCTAGCCGTTCTGAAGATCCTATCAAGCCTAATTCAATCGAGTCCAGCATTTTTGAGATGCAGACTTGGTTTGTTATAAGAATTTCTTTGAGAATTTTATCTAGATTTTGTAAGGCAGACTTTAAAGAAATTATAGACATCTGCAGATTTTTATATAGAAAAGTGAATTTTTTTGGGGGAGTTGAGCTTGAAGTGGCTTCTTTAGAAATCATTAATTTAAGGTCTTTGATGATGCTAATAATATGGTCTTTTGACTTGCTGACTGTTTCTATCATTAGCTCTTTGGATTTTTTATTAATGTCTTTGTAAATGTCCGTATTGATTAAGGAAACCTCATTCATGTAGGTGTAGTCTTGGATATGTGGCATTTTATTAGACACGGAAACGCCTTGGAAGTTTTTAGTGCTCTTTGCTCTAATCTTGCTATAGATTTTATGTGAATTTCATTTGATATTTATAGATGCTCTATTTTAAAGCATATAGGGATAATTATTAATTAAAAGCCAATAAAACATATAGGTTTTCCCTAGAATTGCGCAATAAGGTGCTATTCTAAGCTGGGCCGAAAGAGTTTCATCATATGAAGAACAGTACTTTCTATCTTTATTGGAGAGGCAATTAGTGGGACTGAGGTATTGGCTTCAATTCAATCTTAGAAATTGAAAAAATGCTACTTGCAAAAGTTATATTTTTGGCTCGTTAAATGATTCTGACAAGCAAATCTGACGAATCGCAATAATTTTTTAATTTTCTGATCATATGGATAATCTGAATTTTAATCCCATTATTGCCTATTGGTTAAGGGCCTTGAAAAACAGCCTAAAAATTACGTATGTGGGAATCCGAGCTCAAGCCCAAAATTCAGTCATACGCAAGCTCCGCCCACCATGATACGCTAGTAGAAGAAAGTTCTTCTCATCAGGTTCTTACTGTCTAAAGCGGGTCAAACCATCATGCATTTAATTTTTGGGCAAAAATAGTGCACACTAGGCTGGCTTTGTCTTTATCTAAATAGAATTTTGCGTGTCTATTAAAAATTCTGATAATCCTAATGACCAAAGATTTTAAAAAAATTATGTTGATTAATCATTTTTTTATTTCACGTGCTGGTCAAATAGTTCGTCAGAACCATTTGATGAGCCAAAAAAAATGGAAAATTAAAAGTTCCACAACTCAGCCCCACTAGTTCCTATCCAATAAAGATAGAACCACTGTCCTTCATATAATGAAATTCCTCCAGTCCAGCGCCTTATCGCGCTATTCTAGGGAAAAGCCTATATATCATTTTAAGTATATTCTTGCAATAAATCAATAAAATAGCCATTTATATAAAAAAAGAAATAAGGCTTAATATATGAGTAAGCAAGCAAAGATTAAATTTATATGCTTAGTTGGAGTAAATGAATTCATTTATTTTAATTATTTATCTCAATTTTGAAACCTATATTGAAGTAAATGTTTCCATTTTTAATATAGATTCTATTAAACGATCTATTTTTATTTACACTCCTAACAAAGATATATGTGACTAGAACATTAGCATTCATTAAACTGCAGCACTATCATAAATAATTTAAATAATAATTGCAGCTAGACTTTTTATAATCATTGCCACCATGTAAATATTATATATATTATTTGAATGATTGACTATTATAAACCTATAATCATAGGAATTTAATCATCAAAAAGAGCAAAGATTGATAAAGCAGAGTTGAAAAATGCATTATATGATTCAGTTAAATTAATACAATTCATTGCATGAATTTCTTTTCGCTTTCATAAGTGAAATGATTTTTAAAATACCATATGCTCAATATTATGCGTAATGATAAGTCATTTTTTTATGATATTTTAAAATTAATTTACCATAGATAAGCAAAATGATATTTTACCAATATATTATAAAATAAATCATAATAAATTCTGAATATAAAAATTTATTTAAATAATTTCCAATGCTAGATGCTCTTAATGACAATTTTCAATATGTAAGAAAAGTCGATCTATCTACTAATGATAAATAATCTTTAAAAAATAAATTATTAACAGTTTATTAAAGTTATTTAGCATGCAAGATAATTTATTAGATTTCGTAATTTAGGTAGTAAAATTCTCTGCACTTCAGAAGAAAAATAATTATTTTCTTAATAATCATCTTTTGAAGAAATGGTGAAAAATTTTTAATTTCCTTTTTTCTATGAATTTTAAATTATAAAACACTTATTTTATAACCGAGCAAAATACCAATAAAGATTATTATTTATAAATTATCCTTTCCAATATTTTACCGCAATTCAACACAATATAACTATTTCAAAAAAATTAAAAACAATTACCGTTTTTAATAATTGAAGGATCATCGAAATAATTTTTATTTTATATTAATTTTTTTTATCTTTTTAAATAATCCATAATCTCAACAGCTTCATTTTTTATTCTGATATTTTAATTATAAATATTTTTCCATAATTATCAAAATTTCAACTCTCGAAAAATATTTATTATATTTTGAGATTAACGCCTATCATACAATAAAAATAATATGTCGAAGTTTCCATAAATTCTAAAGCATACAATTTTTAATGACGTTTAAGTTTTAGTGAGAATAAATATAAATTAAATGGACTGGAAAAATGCAATACACAGTGCTTCTGACTATTGGGATGAAAATCTCCCGGAAATTGAAAATCTTTGTGAAACTGGAGCTGAAACCCATGAACCTCTTGCAATAATAAATGATGATCCATGGCTAAATCTTGATTCGTGATCTCCTGTCCCACGTTCTCCAGCTATATCAGAGCTGGATGAGTTATCTCAAATATCAAAAATTAGTATAGGCAAATCCTATAAACTGCCGGACATTGGTGCTGGAAACTCTCCAGTGACTGGACCAACTTAGTTTGTCAAACCAATTGGAGAGTTGGCAAAAGGACTCTCCAGTTGGTCTAACCACCTCAGTTGATCCAGCCACTGGAGAGTTTCCAGCTCCAATATCCTGACTTTATAGGGCAGTTTATAGGGTTTGACTATATAAAATTATATAAATTTTTCGATGACCTTTTAATTTTCAGGATAAATGCTATGATAATTTATTTTTAATAAATAAATAAACATGCAGAGGTGTCGTAAAATACTGAATATTCTATAAAGTAAATTGGAGTTGTGAAGAGGATAAAATATCAGAAAACGATCAAACTCCTGGAAATAGCCTTATTCACCTAAGTTTAATAGAAAATTCTGAAATTAGCACTGAAGCTGATTCAAATCATATTCAAAGCAAAATCCCTGCACCTGGACACAAAAGATGGAAAAATAAGAATTCAGAATCAAAAAAGAATAAATGAACTCGTGAAGAAGACAACTTAATTATTAAGCTCTATAATACTTATGGAGGTAACTGAAAGAAAATTGCTATAATAATGAAATGGTCCGTGAAAAAGTATCCATGAATTCCCTTACCGAGCCCAACTTTTATTTATTAGAGATTTAAGTTAATCATTATAAGGCCATAAGCGCATAGACCACTAGCTGCCTATCTGGCATAAACCCACTAACCTAAGGATTAGCTCCCTAGATCAGAGCCACCTCTGCGCGTCCTAATAAGCAAGGACTTAGTAGGAGGCAAAACCTGTCGAGTCCATGTGAAGGGACAGGGAAAACCTTCGAAGTAGTAGCAAAACTTCCCTCTTCGGTAGGCTACCTCAAGCGAATTAATATTAACCCCCCCACTCCGTGAGAGAACAGACTATTGGAAAAATCCAATTTTGGGTAAAAAAAACACCTCCGTGAGCAAACAAAAATTTTTTATGACAAAAAAATTTTTGACATACAAGTGATAATTATTATAATGAAATCTCTAGCTAATTTGTTTGATTTTAAACAGTTTGTCATTTTAAAACATAAAATTTTAATTTTTAATTCTCATTTTTTACTATTGGAATTTTTTTAATTTGAAAAAAAATTGCTACAAAATTTATATACAAATTTTTTAAAACAAATTAACCCCTCCATGAGCGAACAAAAAAATTTTGCTTGCTTACGGGGAGGGGGATTAAGAAAGAAAATTGCCGGCTTTTTGAATGGAAAACCTTCTGTAGCTGTAAAAAACCGATATTACGGCACTATCAAAAGAAAAATGTCATCAATTAAGAAAGATCCAGAGAAAAAAAAGCCAACTTTATTTGAGAGTAAAGAGCAGATAAAGTTTATGGGAAAAGCCTGAAATGAAGATGAGCTTATAGATAGTTTACTTGCAGAGCCAGGAAAAACCCCTGTAACCCAGCCATCTGTTAATAGCCTTTTGGAGACTTTAGAAACTGTGAAAGTTTCTGCAGTTCCGAGTAACCCAAGCAGTGAAAATTTATCTGCAGAAGAAAAAAGAAAAAGACTTCAAGAACTTTACGCCAAAAGGGCCATGCTAGAAGCATTTGTATTGCAAACCAAAACACAGCTGCGAAATATTGATGATTTGAAAAACTCATAATCATCATTTTCTATTATAATTGTCATGATTATTGATCATATTACATTTTCACTTGAATAATAAGTCCAATCATACAAAAATCCAGTCAAATTAATTATTCCTTTTAAAATTAAAATTTATATAATAAATCTAATAACGGCTTAACCCTACTTTTAATATAAATAAATATAATTGATGATTTTAGCAAGGAAAAATTAATATATACAACTAATTGTTAAAATTAATAAATGGGAAACTTAAATTGCAAAACCTGTGACTGTACACATATACTAGAAAAACAGCAAGAAGTAAACACCCAAAGTGTAAATAATAAATAGGATCTCACTTATGAGCCTTCTTCTTCCTTGCCATCTATGAACTCTGATATAGTAAAATCAGCTCCAAAACTATCACTTTCCCCTAGCCTCGCCCATCTCAAACCTGTTGTGCCTAAACTAGTCGCAGTCTGACGAGGCTACTCAGTCAGAAAACTTGTCCGGCACTTAAAACGCCAAAATCAGCCAAATCATGCTTATTTCTCCAAGCAGGAAATATTCGAAACTTTGAGCAATAAAATAGGTTTTTCCTCACGTAGACAAAATAGAAAACCATATCGCTATAAATCAGGAGCAATTTATACAGGCCTTTGACTAGGAGGGTTTAGAGATGGGTATGGTACAATGGAATGGCCAGATGGGGCGAAATATGAAGGAAACTGGTCATATTCAAAGCCATCAGGCTTTGGAAAATTCACACATATAGATGGAGATATGTATGAAGGAGAATGGAAAAGGGTCCATGTAGCTCCAAAAGATACCTTTGGAAGCGGAGGGAATTTAGCGAAGTGGAAAGACATTATCAGTGATGGATTCTGTAAGATTTATATAGTATGGCTTTGGCTTAAACAAGAAATGCTTAAAAATGAGCCTAACAAGTCAAGTGTGAAACCATTATCAGAAAACCAAGCCAAGCGGCAACCTCAGCAGCCTTCTTTACAAATAAAATCTTCCCAAACCTCCTCAACTGCTTCAGTCCCTAGCAAACTTGTACTGCAAAGCCACAACAGCCAGCCAAATCAAGAAGAAAGCCCTCGTAGGACCACAATAGAGCTTAGAGGTATGGACTCTATAAATTCCCGAATGTCTCAAATTAACCAAGAAATCCAAGCCATCAAAGAAAAAATTGACACAATTTCTCTACCTTCTGCAGGACTCCTTGCAGGGGAAAGAACTTTTATGCAATACCGCTATGATAATGGAACTATATATCTAGGAGAATGAAGAAATAATATGAGAGACGGCAAGGGTAAACAAATATGGACAAGTGGAGATTCATATGAAGGAGAATGGCTTAATGAGGCTCCTTGCCAAGTGACTGTGTGAGACATTTCCTAGGGGAAAATTCGTTCGAAGCATTTTATATTTGACTGAAAAAACCGTTAAATTCCTTAAAAATTTTCGACCAACTTTTCTTCAATGAAAATGTGCACTATTTAAAGCACACGATCATTGGACCCTTAATGATAAACAGCATGGGATAGGCAAAACAGCATGGGCTTCAGGAAATCAATATATAGGGAATTATTTTCAAGACGAAAAACAAGGTGTGGGGGAATATACGTGGGAAGATAAAAGTGTATATGTAGGAGAATGGAAAAGAAATAGGATGTGTGGGGTAGGAAAACATAAGTGGGCCAATGGAAGAGAATATACAGGAGAATGGCTTGATGGGGTCAGACATGGATATGGCTGCATGATATATAGAAATGGAAGTAAATATGAAGGAGAGTTTAAGAAAGATAAGCAGGATGGAGCAGGGATACTAAGAGAGGCTGATGGAAGAGTTATGAGAGGAGTGTGGAAAGATGGGAAATTTGTTAAGCCTGCTGAATAAATATGTTATTATTTATATTTATTAAATTTAAAAAAAAAAACATTAATTTTAATTGATAGATTAAAATCATTGTATCCTATGGCTCAATTTTCTTATATCTATAATAATCCTATCCAAAAGCTTTATTTTATTTTTCTACTAAAAATAAATATGAAAATAGCTAGGGACTTTATAATCATTTTCTAGAAGCGATGAACGATACTATGGATATTGAACCTCAAAGCACAGAAGTTGAGAGCCAAACAATTTCATGGTCTTACAGCTGCTACCCTCCAGAAAACCCTCCTATTTTGCAAGTCACTTGAATTCCAGAAGTTAAAAAGGATCTATTACTTGACGCCGAATTAAAAGAGTCTGAAATTCTAAGCAGCACCCTGGCAAGCCTTGCCAAATTTCAAAAGAAAAGGGTAAAAAATTACGAATCAATGATTCTTACGCAAACCCCAAAATATTTCAATACGAAATCTTCAGTCCCGCTGCCAGCTAAGAAAATAGAAATTTATAAAGCCCCACTTTTGATGATAGAAGATGACAAAACTAAGCCAATTTATAACCAAAAAACAGCAGCAGCAGCAGCAGCAGGAAAATATAATAATACCAGCGACAATAATTTTGGAGCTTTTTATGAAGACTATATGGCCATAGACGACCTATATAATTTCAAGCGCAAAATTGACAGTGAATTTGTACCATGCAAACGAATAAAAACATAATTAATCTCAAATTTTTAATTAAAAATTAAGCTTCTTCAGCGATCTTTGGGGCTAAGAAGTATTTAAGCTCTCCTAAGTCAAATCCAAACTGCAGCACAATTGGGACTTCTGGGGACATGCTAAGTGTGACTTCGTCTGAAAGACTGGCCGCTTTGTTGAATAAATTGAGGTATCTCAATGCAAAGGCCATAGAAACTGGCTCAGTTGCCCTTAAAAACATTTTTTCTTCAGCTTTGTCAGAGTCGTTAGGCCTCATTGTGATAGAGCCAGCTCCAATGTCTCCAGAAACGGCGAACTTAGCAGCTTCTTTATCAACTGCTAGGTTTAAAGTGTCTGTAATTTGGGTCAGTTCTCTGCAAATTCTGGAAAATTCAGCACTGGACATTTTCATGACTGCAGAGTAGTCTTGTTCAGGGATTCCGAGGTGTTCTGAGTCTAAGGTCAATAGATTGAGGTTAAATTCGCTGACTCTTTCGTTGTTTTTGCCTGTGAAAGTTAAGGTTAGAATATTGGCGTCGTCTTCAGCTCTGAGAGTGATGGAGTCGTCGTTGCCAGCAATTTTCATTAATTTTGCGAGGTTTCCGATGGAGACGCCGAGAGTCTGAGGGCGGTCACAGCGGTATTCTTCGAATTGTTCAGCTCGGAGACTAAGGACTACTAATGCTACATGGGAGGCATCCATTGCTTGAATGCTGAGACCTTCACTTGTGACTTCGAGGTTAACTTCAGATACGAGCTCTTTAATGGCTTCGATAATTTTTTTGAGGATCAGACCATTGCCGAGTAATGCTTCGAACATTTTTATTATAACCCGCCAAATGAGAGTTGCCGGTAAATGGACTTATCTATATTAGAATCAATTTAGATTTTATACTTAGTCCCCCCATTAATTATGAATATTTTTTGGAAAATTTGTTTTATTAAAAAAAATTTTTAAAAATATATATTTACCAAAAAAGTTTGCCACAAAAATCGTCAATTAAGAATTTATTTATAAATTCCGCAAATATTAGAGCAATAATTTTTTTCAAAAATATATAATTATTATTAATTTAAAAGGTAGAGTTAGAATTTGCTTAAATATAAGGCTGAAGTCTTAACTGTTTTAAAATTGGGGGTGTTAGATTTAATAATTTTATTTATTCCAATTTTATCAAATAATGAAGATTATGCATCTTATGAAACTTTGAAAGCGTTTTTCATTATGAATTAATTAATAGCTATAACTTAATTTTTTATGATGATTGCTATAGCTTTATTCTGAAAAAGATAAGATAATTTAAGAGTGTTTATATGAGGCTGGGGCGCGAAATCGATAATTTGATAGGTAAGCATACCAAAGTTTTAACTTGCAATTAATGCTGAAACCTTCCAAAACAAAATGCCTATTAATTAAATAAAAATGCTTAAAAAACAGTTTGGTATACCTTAATTATATATTAGCGAGTGCAAGTCAATAATCATGCACTTTGATAGTGCACATTTCATAACTTGAACGAAATTTTTTCAATAATTCCCATTTGATCAAAATTTAACTTTTTTCGATCAAATACCTCACTATAAAAAATTCCTACATAATTTCCCATAAGAAACGCACACTATCAAAAATACACGATCATTTGCATGTTGCGCTCAAATTATTTTGTAGTTCTTCTATCCAGCTAAAAAATTTTCAAGCTATTTGATTTAAAAGACAATAAAAAGTTCCGGATCATAGCAGCAATTGAGAGGGATGATATTTTACTTCTAAATAAATTGATGACTGAAATGAAGCATGATCCTTTCGATCCAGTTGACACTCTAGGCAGCAATATAACGATGACCCCCCCTCAATCTTCATGTCTATTGCAACAAAAATTTTTCGAAAAAATTTTCATGCTTACTGCACCACAACATTTTCATGCCTAATGCAACACAACATTTTTTATAAAAAAGAATTAATGCATTTTCTCTAGGTGAGTTTCTCAAAAACCCCATAAAACAGCGCTGCTGTAGGCATGTCAATGACCTTCTCATCGAGATTTGGACGCGGCTATTGTCATTGCTCGCCATTTTATTAAATTTATCTAGCTAAAATTTAAGATGCGCATCTAAAATTTGCTGCAAGAGGATTAGGATTATTACAGACAGGCGCTAGCCATATTGTTGACACATTCACCAAAGACATCCCGTGCAGAAGGTTCTACCGCTTTTCGATTCCAGCCCAGAGGGTGTATTCCTCTTACGAGTGCCCTTCCGGTACCTTCTGTCTCCTCCTTGCCTTGCGGCTTCAGTCTTGAGTGGGCGGCTTATGGATTTCTGCGTCCCTGCTACGGGCAATTGGAGTAGCTTGATTCCAAGGATCAGCTCCTTAGAGTCTATCGGGTGTCAAAGTACCTTCCTTCGACAGCTACACGAAAAAGACTGTTCCCCTGTGGCCTGGGCAAAAACCCTAGTTTCTCGGTAGAGGAATGCCCATGGGTCCTCGGATCACCTGAGCGCATCTATTTCCAACCACAGGAAAGCAGCCAAAAACCTGCCCGGATACACACTTCTTGAGCCTGCGTCTGATTCTCGGCTCGGGTCCGTCCCAGTCCGCATTAGCCATAAGGTCTGGAATGCTGCGCCAAGAGGGCAGGCTGACACGTGTCGCCATTTTAATATATATAATTTGTTGCAAGAGACATGAAAATTATTATTTTTTTTTTATATAATTTGTTGCAAGAGACATGAAAATTATTATTTTTTTTATATATAATTTGTTGCAAGAGACATGAAAATTATTTTGTTTTTTATATAAAATTTTATATTAAAAAATTGCATTTTTGTTGCAATAGGCATGAAGATTGAGGGGGGGGGTTGGTCAAGCATAGGACCCACCCCACCCCACCCCACCTACCCCACCCACCTACAATTAAAGGCTTATTTGTTCAAATCCAGTAACGGCTATTGAAATCAAGTGCGGCTATCTGGTCAAGCATAGGTAGCAGCCAGACATCCCACCCCCCCAATAGGGAAAAACCTCCCCGACCCCTACCCCACCTAAAAATGGTACCCTCACCCCCCTTTCACAGATGGCACCCCCACCCCCCTCTCGGGTTTATCCCTATAGAAGTAATTGATAGGAAACAAGCAGAATAAATTTAAATATAATACAATTAAAACACTACATTGATAAATTAAGTCCACAAATTACTTTATATATTATGATTAATTAATAAATTTAAATTAATTAACAATTAATATGAAAATATATGAAAATTGTTTTTTATATTTATAAATATAATGCCAAAGATATAGATAATGGCATTAATTATTAAATAATACAATAACTTGAATTAAATTTATTGATTCATACATTAAAGCTAATCTGATGTCCATTGTACAAGGATTGCAGGACTGAATTGATCATAGGATTCAATAAAATAGTATTTGCTATTGTCAGTTTTATTTTTGGATCTCTAATTCGACTCTTTAGCCATTGTTCCACAAAGTTCATAAATATATGCAGAATATACTGCTAATTAATACCAAAGATCATTATTATGTTTTTTAACAAATTTTTTCAGATGTGGTGTGCTTAATAGTTATAGGAAATTCTCACCGCATTCCACCTACTTCTTAATCGATTGTGCTACGTTATGTGGATATTGTATAAATCGGTAATTTTGAATATTTAAAAATAATAATTTATTTATTATGTCTGCTCTAAATTCGCATTTGCCTTATATTTATGCTATATTAAGGAGGGTGGGGGTGCCATCTGTGAAAGGGGGGTGGGGTAACCATTTTTTAGGGGAGGTGGGGGTACCACTTTTAGGGGGGTGGGGGGTGTATGGTTGCGACCTATGCTTGACCAGCTATCTTAAAATTCAATGCGATTTGAAAGTCTCAGATTCGATTCTCTAATGATCAGTTTGGTATATATCGATAGAGAGATAAGAAAAATAAAAGTTGATCAATTGGAATAAATTGTTAAACAAAACTTCTAAAAAGTTGAATTTGCTTGTTGACTTATAATAATTTTAATTTATTGTAAAATCATAAAGTTATTGGATTATTCTTAATTATGATGTTCTATAATTTATTTCAGTTAGAGCATATTCTCATACTTCAGTTGGATGACATTTCTATTGTTGTATCGCATAATTCATGCCTACACTGATTATACCATCGGAATATTGGTGTTTTCTTGAAGCAACCCCATAAGCGGGTGAATTACCCTCTGATTTCAAATTTGGTCTACCAAAGTAATAATTTTGGTTGGAGCAAATTATAATTTTAGCGGTTAATTCACCCGCTTATGGAAATATTCAAGGAAAAAGCTATAAGAGATCTTCTTCAAAATAATTTTATAAATACTCTTATTTGTATTATTAATTTAATTATGAGATATTTTCTTATTCAGCTTTTTTGTCAAATAATGATGAAATTATCGCTAAGCTTGATTTAGTACAGAGGCGAGGGTAAGTGGCGAAATCTTGATCGTGTGTGCTGCATGTCAGTGGCAAGCTTTGGAGGAGCCAGCTGTTATTCATAAAAAGCAGTGTTTGTAGATTTATATTGAGAATCTGAGATGAAATTGAATATGACATTGATGGAGAAGTTGGTGATGAGTATGATTTGGATGGAAAAGATTACTCTGATACGAAGACGCTTTTCCTGAAAAGGTAAAGCATTTGGTGAAGCGATGATTGCAGTTTTAGTGTTTTTTGAATGGATTGTCTGTTCTTAGAGTTTTTTAATTATGCAGAATTTACTGAAGTTGATTTAATTTTAGAAGGAGAGATTTAGCGATACTGAAGTAAATTTTTTTATAAGTTATAAGTTATAACGTTTAATTTAACTATTATAATCTAATGTCTTATTTAGAAACATATTTGCTAGCATATTATTTCCCATTTGAATTTAATTATTCGTTAAATAGAACAATTCTTGCACAGAGATGAAATATTTATGTCTGGTGTAGTAAACAAGCCTTTCGAAGTTATGAAAATTACAAGAAATTTCGATATAATTTATACATTTTTATACATGACTTGATAGTCAACATTTGACCTTTAGGCTAAAATGTGCAAATTCATCAAATAATTTACAATTTTGAAGAAATTTGTTAAGATTTTCGTCATATTTGCTTGCTAAAGTTTTTTGAAATTAGCATCTAAGGTACCAAAGCCAAAATAGCTCCTAAGGTGCATCTTTAAAGAACCGGAGAGCTATATTGTTTTTAAATAATATATATTACTTTCAAACAAATGCATGTAGGATGCAATGCCGTGAGTGGGTAGTTTAAGGCGAGTGTATAATTGTGCGGGATGGTTGTACGTATGGGGTGGGGTGGGGTGGGTCCTGTGCTTGACCAGGGGGTCATCGTTACTACATGTCGCTTGCTATATGGGAAAATTAAACCTTGCTAAATGAATTTATACAAGCCTTAATATCGATCTTAATATTTGCAATTTCGATGGACAGGCAGCAATACATCTAGCAACTATCAATGGGCATTTTAATATTGTCAAATGGCTATGAGAAATGGGAGCAGATTGTCATGCAGAATCTCTCTATTATTATAGGACGCCTTATTATATGTGCTGCTATTTGATTAAACATAAACAAGCCCCAGAAGTGCAGCTTGGCTGTGAAAATGTGAACTTAAAAATCGGAAAATTAGTGCAAATTAAAAATTTTTTACGTGAAAAATATTTTTCTGACATGAGAGGATATGAAATTCGAAAATTTTTGTGGGCTTATAAGAAACTAAAAGATAAAGGCACTTCACTTGGCAGACTAACTAGTGGTATGGCAAGAGAAATCGGCGAATTTTTGTAGCAGTGTGGCTATATTTTATGAAACCTTAAACTTTGGAAATAATAATTAAAACATAATAAATTTTAAAATATATTAATATGCGTACAAATTTAACTGAAGATGATCTAGAGCTCCGTCTTCCTCTAGTCCGAAATATTGACCATATCTATGATATTGTAGATGAAGAAAATGCATTCTCTGCAACTGCCAAAGGCGGATTTCAATTCGATCAATCTTTGCCTCCTTATTCTTGCAGCTGCAGTGTATGTTTTTTACAATCAAGAGGAAAAATTAAAACAGCTCCTCAATTTTCAATTGAAGATTCTGATCTAATGGTATATGGTCTTCAAAAAAGCTTTATTTGGCTTGCTGAAAAACTTGGTGAAGCCTCTCTTGATAAAGGCATCCGGATTAATATCCCTGAAACTGCAGCCTTCAAACAAGGAAAGCCAGCCTTTATTTTATCTCCAAGCCGAGATAAAACCTTAAAATTCATAAAATCAGCTGACAAGCTAAAAGTCCAAGAAATGATCAAAAATTTTGCAAATGTAGTAAAATTCAGAAAAAGGGAAACTGTTGGAGGTGGTGGAGGAGTTGGAAGGCGACAAAGAACAATAATAAGCAGCAAGCCTAATCCTTCAGATCATCGCAACGAAATCATGTGCGCGAGGTATTTTATAGGCGATAAAGACAATTTTTCGCAAAATCTCCACCCCAGAGATGAAGAAGGCCCTATTAAAGTTATGGACGAAAATGAGATTTTTCAGATAATTTATGAAAACCCTGGGGTTAATTATTGGAAACATATTTCTTATCTTCAGACTGCTTTGAAATGTAGAAACGGGATAGGTGAATCGGTACTTTTCACTTATTATTCTCATAAAAAAGAAGATATTCATGCAATTGGGGAATTGAAAAATGCAGGAGTTACAGAAAATCCTGAGCTAGAAGATCGGCTGCAAAATGAAAATCAGACTGAATACTGCAAATTAATTTGCCAAAGAATTGCGTATTTTTTAGCTGTTCACACTCATTTTGAGCTTCTCAAAATGCAGGCTGAATTTGTTTCAGATGAAAACGGCAAAATGTGGCTTATTTTTGCAAATAAAATTTTCGTCAGAGAAATCCAAATGGATAATGAAGCTGCTCCATTAGTATTCTATTTCTACTAAACACTCCTTAATAATGCTTTTATTTCCTATATAAATAAGTCATTATTTTAAACTAAAATTCAATTTACCTCCTTATATTTAAAAAAGTGAAAATTATTTCTGAGGAAAGAAAGCAAAATTTGGAATCAAAACTAAAAATTTCTTCAGTTGAAAAATCTGTGTGTGCAAACCGCCTTTCTTCAAGAATGAAAGAATACTATGAAAATCTCAAAGAAAAAAATGGGATCAACGTCTTGTTTGAGCCTACCCCATCAGTTGGTACATTAAGTGAGGATTTTTTTAAACTCAGGCCCTTGATGCGCTGTGCAGTAATTTCTCCGAAAAATGACCCTTACCGTAAAAAGAAAAAAAGAGCTTTAAAGCTTGCAATTGATACTCAGTTTGATGGGAGTTTATCTAGCCCTAACACCTTATCTCAAAAACGCTTTGGATGATCTTTGACTCCTAAAATCCAAGCTGAAGATATTCTTTCAAAAGCATTAAGCTCCAGGTCCAAAATGTCTTCAACAGGCATGTCTAGATTTTTTACATCAGCCAGTACAAATAGACTTGATACAAACTAATTGAATAATTCTATAGCATGGGCATGCTTTTAGCATGCCTTATTTCAGTTTAATCTGCAGCTATAAAATATCACCCTAAGTCAGCATATTATTTCCTTATTTGGCATTTAAGGGCATATCAATGCTAAACCCTACAATCCAGGATTAAATATAAGGGCACGCTTTGCGTGCCCATTCTATAATTAACTTTTTAGTATTTCTTCCACAGAAATGTTCTGTTTAATTTTTTCTAAGACCAATTCTCTTTCTCTTTCAATACACTCATAAAAATTTCTTTTATGGTTTTCACATTCACTATTAAAATTAACGGGCATGCCTGTGAAAATGTCTCTTTGTGAAGCTTGCTTGTGAGGAACTGACATACACATTTGGACTTGGCAAGCCAAAGGTTTACACCTAAGTTCTGCGATTTCGTCAATTGTTAGATCTGGGCGCTGCTTGTATTCAATGATGCCAGGGCTGTCTGTAATGCATCTTTGATATTGATCAACTGCGGAAGTTTGAAAACTGTCTTCTTTACTCTTGCCTTTGGCATTTGTTCTTCCAGATGGTTTGTTTTCCATATTAAGAGTATAATCTTGAGTATTTGGATATTCAATTAAATTAATGAAATATATAAACTAATTTAGCTCTTGGTCTAATTTTTTTTTTAAAAATAATTTTTTATTGAATTTTTTTTTAGAATTATAAAGGATTATAGAAATTTCCCTTAATTAGCCTACAATTTTAAAGCCGTTGGTGCTTTAAAAGAGAAGTATTTATTTAAATAGTGCGACTTTAAGCAAGTTCTGAACTCAAAATATTGTTCAGAACTCTTACTATCAGATCTTTAAATTCATCAAAATCAATATACCCATCATTATTCTTGTCTAATTCTGCGAAAACTTCTCTGATATCGCTATCGCTGGGAGGAGTATCGCCAACATCTATTGCGACTTGTCTCATAATATTACCCAGCTCATCAGGATCTAATGTTCCTGAGTCATTCGTGTCTATTGTCTTCATAGCTACAAATACAAGCTTATTTAGTTGGTCTTGATCAGTTAAAATCTGTTCTATATCTTTCCTTGAAGCCATGCTATATTGATAATTTTTTTATATTCTTATAGATTTTAAATTCTTTATTTCATAAAAGTTATATTTCATTACTAATGAAATTCTTCTTTAAAAAAAGCAAAATTAATCAATTATAAAGTTTCTCCAGACATAAATAATTAAAAATTAAAGAAATTATATAAATTTCTATGAGAAGCTCAAACCAAGGAATATTAAAAGTGAGGCTTGTTGAAGGTGAAATAACCAAAAAAAACATTTTAGGAATAAAAACATATGCTTCTCTCAGATTAGGGTCAAATGTCCAGGATTCATCAACAATACCTGGATATTCTCCACTATGAAGCGAAACATTCGAATTCCCACAAAAGGACGGAAGCGTATTAACAGTCCAAGTCATTGAGAAAGGCATCTTATCTAATCAAGTTATCGGTCAAGGTGTGATTGGCTTAAGGAATTTGCTTGAAAAAGGCAGAGAATGTGAAAAGTACCCAATTTCTTGAAATAATAAAATGACTGGCTGAGTAAAGCTGGAAATAGAGCTAATTGGACCGCAAAACGACACAATTCCAAATGATCCTCCAAATATGATGAGGCAAAAATCTGATTCAGGATGAGTGGTAAATCCTCCAAGCAGATATGAAGCAAATGTTCATAGATCGGGATCTCAAGAAGTTTTGTATGAATCCCCACCTCTTAGTGGCTCACAAGTAAATATCCCAAGGTTTCCTCAGACCCCACAGATGCAGCCAGGAATTCCTCTATCTCCTAGAAGATCACAATTGCAAGTGCAAAATCAGCCAACTCAGCAAATAGATTTAAGAAGGCAGGCCCCTATAACTCCAGCAATTAGGGCAAATGAAATTAACCAGCTTATAAACACAAGGCCAAAATCACCTATAAGTCCAAGACAGCAAGCACAAAACGGCTGACCTCCACAGAATGCAAGACCACAAATCCCAGATTCAAGAAGGGCACCAGCGCCAATTCCGCCCTCAGTCAACCCTCCATCATCATCTATTATGGAGATAATTACTAGAGGAATAAAAGTATCTGATATTAATTTTGAAAAATTAGTATATCAAAGTGAAAACCAAAAGGTCGAAATCCATTTAGGGGTACTAAAAAGCCTTCAAAACCTAAAAGTTGCAATCAAAATAAATTACTGTGAAAACCAAGAAGAGTTTAATTATGTTATCAGAGAAGTTTTCATAATGAAAGAATTAGACCATCCTAATATTTGCAAAGTTTATGCTATAGGCATATCCCTTAGATAGCTAGTGATAGATACCAAAACTTCCCACTTGGCTCGGTCAAAATGGATTGGTCGAACCAAGTGGGAAGTTTTTGCCTCTATCCCTAGCCCATACTGGGCTATCTAAGGGATATGCCTATACACTTTTAGACCATAAAGGAAAATATTTCAATAATTTGATAGTCATGGAAAACTGCGAAGGAGGAGACCTAGGGAAAGAAATAGAAGAAAGGGCAAAAACAGGGTCGTTTTGGGAAGAGGAAGAGCTGATAGAGATTTTTAAATCTTTGATTGAAGCCTTTTGCCAAATGCAAGGGAAGAATATAGGGCATTCCGATATTAAACCTCCGAATTTTGCTTTTACGAAAGAACGTAAAATCAAAATCATTGATTTTGGCATTGCGACACATGATACTTTTAGGATTTCTACAGAAACAACGAGGACGTTTAAGCTTGGTGGAACTGTACCATTCTTTAGCCCTCTGCAGTTGGAAGCTTATATGGGCTATATAAGGGGATCAAATCCTAATGTGATAGTTCGACATAACAGATTTAAATCAGACGTTTATTCTTTAGGACTCACATTTTTCAGCATGGCAAGTTTACGTCAGCCAACTGGCTTAAATGATCTTTCTAGTAACTTACCCTCTTTATCAAGGACAACCCCTAGAAGGCGGAAATAATTTAACGTAATCCTAAATTCTATTATTTATTATTAAAAATTCGAATAAACTACGATTTGATTAATACTTTTAAAAGGAATAAAAAAATGCGATTAATTTTTATTTTTAAATAATATCAGCAATTATTATTTTCAGTGATAACTATGCTTTTCTAAGATGGAAAGTTAGAGCAGAGGCTTAGCGATGAGATCTATAATATTCCTTATAGTGAAAAATTGAAAAGAATTCTACGTCCGATGCTGACTGTTGATGAGAAATCGCGGCCTGATTTTATTGAACTTTATGAAATTGTATCTAATTTAACCAATACATAATAAACTATTAATTATTTTATACCCTTTAATTTCTATTATTGATACTAACTCCCCCCCCCCTCCGTGAGCGAACAAAACCATTAGAAAAATCGCCATTTTTTGACCAAAAACCCACCCTCCGTGAGTGAACAAAAATTTTTTTAATAGAAAAAATTTTAATGGAAAAAAATTTTGATATATAAGTGATAATTAGTATAATGAAATCTAGAGCTAATTCTGTTTAATTTTAAACAAATTGCGTTTTAAAACATAAATTTTGCAAATTAAATTAATATTTGCTTCCCAATTTTTGCAAATTAGGATTTTTTTAAATTTCGAAAATAAATATTTTTTTATAAAATTTATATATAAATTTTTTTTTAAAAAAAAAAATTAACCCCCCTCCGTGAGCGAACAAAATTTTTTTGTTCGCTCACGGAGGGGGGGGGGGGAGTAAGGATTATTTCATAAAAATTAAATATTATGATAAATTAGAATAGTTTATTAAACTAATATTCCTCAGTCCCTCTCCTGACAGAATTGAGGTCAAAGAGAAATGGCGCGTAATAAATAATGGCAGAATTATCTACTAAAGGTTGGAGTTGGGGTGACTTGAACACGACAGAAACTGGTCTCGACTTCTCAGTCGACGCCCAGCCTTGTTTCACAATCAACTATAAAGATATAGCAAATTGTGCAATTCCTGGGAAAAATGAGGTGGCTTTAGAATTCCAACAGGACGATACTATGGAAGATGATATTCTCTGTGAAATGAGGCTTTATGTTGGCCTCATTTTTTTATAAAAAATAATTTTAAAATTTTTTCTTTGTAAAGCCGTTAATTTGCCCAAAAAATTTAAAAAAAAATTATCTTTATGTCCCTGACCCAGACTCTTGTGAAAAAATTGCAAAAGAAATAAGTGACCGTGCTGATCTAAGAGCCTACTCAGGAGACGCAATTGTAACATTGTATGATCTGCCGATGATTGTGCCAAGAGGAAAATGCTCTTTAGACATGTTCCATACCTTTATGAGGCTCCACGGAAAAACCCACAACTACAAAATTATGTACAAAAACGTGACCAGGGCTTTTCTGCTTCCAAAACCTGACGGAATCCATGTAGCTATCGTAATAGGGTTGGAGCCACCAATTAGACAAGGAAACACTTTATACCCATTCGTGGTCTTGCAATTCAATAAAGAGCAAGAAGAAAGCGTGAGCTTAAACTTGGCCCCTGAAGAAATTAAGAAAAATTTCGGTGAAGACTTGACCCCTACAATTGAAGGAAAAGCATTTGATGTGATTTCTAGACTGTTTAAAGCTATGGTGAAAATCAATATAATTATTCCAGGAACTTTCAGAAGTTTCAACGACACCCACGCAATAAAATGCTCAGTCAGAGCAAGTGAAGGGCATTTATATCCTCTTCAAAAAAGCTTTATTTTTATATCAAAACCAGTTATTTATATTCCGTTCTATTAGAATACCCATATTTTTAAAAACATAATAATTCCTGGCTTATTCTTTATTAGAACTATATCAGATTTGAAGACATCCGCTTTATAGAATTCGCCAGAGTCAGCGAGCATTCTATGTCCACAAACAGATCTTTTGACCTAAACGTGACCACAAAGACAGGAAGCTTCCAATTCACTGGAGTCGACCGTCAAGAATATAAAAACCTGTTCAGCTTTTTAGAAAAGAAGAAAATCCCTATCAGAAACCTCGAGGAAGAAGAAGACCTGCAAAAGGAACAAATACTGTCATCAGAAGGAGAAAACATGGAAATTGAAGATGAGTCCGAAGATGACAGCTTTGAAGCCTCTGATTCTGATGCATAATTAGATTAATAAGTAACCATATTATAAGAATGGTGGAAGATATTAATTACTCACAAGAAGGCCCAAGGCTGGGAAACCAATATTTAGAAGACTCAGCCCTGATATCATATTTGACAAGTTTTATGGGAGATGAGCTGGGAAGGTATTCAGGAGAATTAATAAGGTTTGGGAAAAGGGTTATAGGCGATATTTATGAAAACCACCTTTTATGTGAAAAATTCCCCCCGGTTTTTGAACAGTTTGACGCCTGGGGGAGAAGGGTGGATAAAATTTATACAAATCCAGCTTGGGGATTTATGCAAAAAGTAAGCGCTGAGGAAAGCTTGATAAAGCATGGGTATAGTAATATTATTCATCATAGACTTCTTCAATTTGCCAAACTTTATTTATTTAGCCCTTCTTCAGGACTTTTTCTGTGTCCTTTAGCTATGACTGACGGGGCCGCATTTTTAAGCAGAGAGCTTCTAAAAGCTAAAGAAGACCCTGAGTTGATGGAAGCTTATACAAGGCTGACTAGTAATAATCCTGACTCCTCCCCTCCGTGAGTGAACAAAACCATTAGAAAAATCGCTATTTTTTTGCCAACAACCCACCCTCCGTGAGTGAACAAAAATTTTTTTAATAGAAAAATTTTTTATGGAAAAAAATTTTGATATATAAAAGATAGTTAGTATAAGGAAATCTTGAGCTAATTCTGTTTAATTTTAAACGAATTGCTTTTTAAAACATAAATTTTATAAATTAAAATTAATATTTGCTTTCCGAGTTTTGCGAATTAGGATTTTTTTAAATTTCGAAAAAAAATATTTTTTATAAAATTTATATATAAATTTTTTTAAAAAAAAAAAAATTAACCCCCCTCGGTGAGTGAACAAAATTTTTTTGTTCACTCACGGAGGGGGGGGGGAGTGAGGAGTTTTGGACTTGTGGACAGTGGATGACAGAAAAACATGGAGGATCTGACGTATCAAATGGAACTAGGACTTATGCTGTACATGAAAACGGAGATTATTATAAGCTGTATGGATATAAATGGTTCACATCAGCTACAACCGCAGATGCTGCTTTTGCTCTTGCAAGAGTTGATTCTAAGCTGTCCTTATTCTATCTAAAATTAAGAAACGAAGCTGGAGAGCTCAATGGAATAAAAATTGTAAGACTTAAAGAAAAAATGGGCACAAAACAGCTGCCAACTGCTGAAATGATTCTTGATGGGTGTAGGGCAAAACTAGTCTCCCCAATTGGACAAGGTGTTAAATATATCGCTCATTTAATTAATATCACCAGACTTTACAACAGTCTAGGAGCTGTTGCAGCTATGAGGAGATCAATTGCAATATCAAGAGATTACGCATATAGAAGAATTGCATTTAAAAAGCCTGTAATTGAATACCCATTGCATCAATCTACATTAAGTGAAATGGAATTAAGCTTCAGAGGATGCTTAATTTTGACTATTTATGCATGAAATCTGCTGGAAAAAATAGAAAAAAACACTGCAAATAGTTGGGAAAAAGCAACATTAAGGCTTATTACACCTGTTGTAAAACTTTATACAGCCAAAAAGGCGGTAGAAATTGCTAGTGAAGCTATTGAATGTATAGGAGGGGTTGGTTATATGGAAAATTCAAATATTGCAAGCATTTTAAGGGATTCTCAGGTTTATGCAATATGGGAAGGCACCACAAATGTGCTAAGTTTAGATGTACTGAGGGCTATAGCTACATTAAAAGACCCAAATTTGACTTATTTTAAGAAAACGCTAGAGAGTTTAGGCGCTAGCCATTTGATTCAAAGGGTAGAAAATATTTTGCCACTGTTAACTCAACAGCATTTAAGTAGAAAAATCTCTTGGGAAATTGGGAATACTATGATTTTGGCTCTTCTTTCGTGGCAGGCACAGGGAACGAATTGTCCTTGCGATAGAGCAATATATGAACAATGGGAGGCTTCAAATCAGCCGAATTTAAGAGGAGTTAATCCAGAGCTAGCTAAAAAACTGGCTACAGATTCAGCTGATGGGAAACAAAAAGTTGGGAAAAACGTTGATGATCATGGAGAACCTAGAACTCGCATTTAAAATAATAATTATTTACTATAAGGAATTTATAACTTTATTATATCTAGCAAGACTTTAATTCAGAATTTGGAACATATTGAATGTCTGCAAATTCATAAAATGGTATATTCTTAAATTTAAAAATCTCTATTAATGGAAAAAATTGCTATTTATTTTACATAGGTTCCGGGTTTGCTTTTTTTATAACCAATTTATTGTTTTCCACGGCCAATAAAGAAATTATTTCATGCACTTTATTTAATATAATATTTTCTTGGCTTGTTCCAAACAGCTCAATTAGTTGGTGCATGTCTAATAATTTTTCCATTTTTTGATTTAATGTAAATGCTGCTATCATATATCCTTTTACTGATCCTTGTATAATTTCGTGGATCCGAATATTATAATAATTATACCTTTAAGTATTTTTTTATTTATTTTGGCATGCAAATATAAAGTTAATTGAAGAGCCTGAATTTAGCGGAAAAATTATTTTTAAATTAAAAAAAAAAGCTTATCAAGCTATACTAGTCCCCAATTTGCCTTTTCCTCTATAAATCAATCTTTTCATCGGATCACTGACTTTTTCAGTCGCAAAAAAATCGATACGATTATTTATAATTTTTACGCGATCTAACAGAACAGGCTGTAAAGAACTTTTTAAGAACTCAAAGTCCCAAACGCCAAGTAGCTCAGTGATTTCTTCTGTAGAATAACAACTGAATACTGGCTTTTTAATCCCAGATACTAGAGGATATGCATCAACAATAATATTCATTTTATCAACATTTCTGGCTAACACTCCACAGATTTTTCGTAAATTCTGATTATCAAATCCTTGATATGTTATGGTGACAAAATAAAGAATGCCATTGAATTTTCGTCGCCCATATGCAATGTACCCAGTAAAGCCTTTGCGTTTTGATTGATCGTTTTTGAATTTTCTTTGGGCAAGCAATTTTCGCACATATGATTGGATCATAATTGAAACTTTGGTTATATCATTAAATTTGTCTTCTTTAACCTTAATTTCTGCATTTTTATTTATTTGTTTATTTTCTTCGGATTTTATCATTATTTTTGTGTCTTTTTCATTAGCCTTTATCTCAGTGTTTTTATTTATTTCTTTATTTTCTTCAGATTTAGGTATTGCTGTTGTATCGTTTTTTTCTGTATTTTCTTCTAAATTCTGATTTGGATTTGGAGATTCGCTTTTTATTGGCTCTTCTTTGTCTTCGCTTAATTTTATAAATAATTTCGAGGTTTCTTTATTAATTTCGCTATCACTTGTCAGGGTTATAGGTGAATTTTCCTCTTCAGATTTTATTTCTAATGGTTTAGATTCGAGAGTTACAGTACTATCTGTTGAGTCTTGGTCTTTTTCTATTATCTGTTTTTGAGGTTTTAAAATTCTTGAAGATTTGTTTTTATTGAAAAGAAGTTTAGGCTTGAAATTGAAATTCACAGGAGAATTTACTCTTGTTGATTCAGGTGAAAAACAAGATCTTTTGGATAAGTTAATTGGTGACCCTAATCGGAATGTTCTGCTTTGGATGCTTTTAGGAGACTTGGGAGAGTCTAATGATGATTCTTTATAACTTATCCTCCTCCCCTTGAAATTGGAACAAGAATCTTGTTCCAATTTTAATGGCTTAATATTATTTTTAAAAAAATTTATAAATATAAATTTAGCACAATAGTTTGAATTTTAATTTATTTTTATCAAGAATTATATAAAAAGTTAATTGATTCAGTGTAAAAATTCTTTGCCTATTAAATTAGTTCAAAACTAATTTTATAAAAAATTAGTGCTCTCATCGATAAAATTTTCCTATTGAAAAACAAATTTTGTTACAATTTAGAGGGGGGTTAAAGTACCCAAAAAATGCAAATTTACCTATGTCTTGTTCCAATTCAAAGGGGGGAGCTAGTAGTAGCTTGGATTTTGTATTAGTAGATGGGAATCTGTCTTTTGGATTTTCTTTATACTTATTTAAAATTGAAGAAGCAACCACATCCGAGTAATCAAGCCCTTGAAACCTATTGTTAACTCATGCCATGAGCTTTGAAGTATTAATATATGGCAGCTTTCTTGCATAATCAAGCAACTTAATTATATTTTCCTTATTCTTTGCGCCAATTTCTATCTTGATTAGTATTTTGAGAGCTTTTTCTTGCAAATTAGCAATATCAATTTTATCTGCATTAATTTTGTTTGCATTTTTTAATATTTTTTTTGCAAACTTGCTTGAAGCTATTACTTTATTTTGAAATTCAAGGTTAAATTTACTGTAAAATAGATAAAATTCCAAAATTTCTGCACTTACTCCCTAATAAATTTAATGGGTCTAGCACAAAATTTTTTTATTGGGGACTTCAGATAACATGTGAAAAATTCAAATTTTAGGCATTTATACCAATAATAAGGAAATTTCGATCTTGAAAATCTTAGGCTAAAATCCGCAAAATAATCAAAAATTTTCTTATTACTGGGGGAGTTAAATGGAATTTCTTTTGACAGCTTATACGATGCTTGGAAGAATTTCTCAGCCTTGATAAACTTCTTACTTTCATAATAAAGCTTACCCAGAACTTGCTTGATATTAAAGATTTCGCTTACCTTTTCAATCTATATTGATCAAAATTCCTCTCAATTTATTAAATTAAGTTCCATTTCTATAATTTATTTTTAATTTTAAGCATTATGGTAATAATTTTTCTCAAAATTAACTGTCTTTTCCATTTTTCACTTACTCCCCCCCCCTCCGTGAGTGAACAAAAAAATTTTGTGTTGATTTGTTTTTTAAAAAAATTTCTGTGTAATTTTATAAAAAATATTTTTTTCGAAATTTAAAAAAATTCTAATTCGCAAAAATTGGAAAGCAAATATTAATTTAAATTTATAAAATTTAGTTTTAAAAAGCAATTCATTTAAAATTAAATAGAATTAGCTCTAGATTTCATTATAATAATTATCATTTATATATCAAAATTTTTTCCATAAAAAATTTTTCTATTAAAAAAATTTTTGTTCACTCACGTTTGGGCAAAAAATAGGGATTTTTCTAATGGTTTTGTTTCACTCACGGAGGGGGGGGAGTTAGATATATATTGAAGTTTCTGGATCTAAAAATTTATTATTTATAATAATTAATAAGGAATAAAAAATTGTTTTTTATTAATTTAGTGAATTAGATTCAGTATGGAATGAGGCTTTATAAGTTTATAGCAGCTTGAAATCAAATATATGGAGGTTTCATTTTCTGGTATATTTTTCACAATTTCTAAACATAAAAATAAAATCGTTTTTACATGTTCAAAAATTAAATCTCGATGTCCTGGATAATCTTTTGCAAGCCCAGAAAAACGCTCTAGCATTGCTATGCCACTTTCATAGCAATGCTTTTCAAAAAGATTGTCAATACGTGCTTGCATTCTTCTAATAAGCGCTAGTTCAACCATATTAAAAATAATAAATCTTCAATACTTCTTTGATTAAACGCTAGGACTGACGGTTAAATACTGATATTGATATTGAAATATTAGGATGCAATAAGCTCTACAATAAATAATTTATGATTTTAATTATTATTGAGGCAGAGTTAACTATTATTCAAAATGAATGTTTTGGGTATATAGTCTTATTTTTCTTTTCTAATGTGAGCTCCTTATGATTTTGGCTTGTAAATTATGCCAATTTCTTATATACAGTGAGCACGGTTTTAGATCGACCTGAGAACCCACTCCCCTCCCCATCCCTTGAAGGTTTCAGCTTTATTGAAATCTACAAATTGAATTTGGGTTGTCAAATCCTTCGTGAGGGACTTGTCATTTTGAATTAACAATTTCGTTCAAACTGAAACCATCAAGGGTCGGGAAGGGGATGGGGAGTTTCAGGTCGAGTTATACCTGTTCTGAAGGTATATATTGAATTAGGATTGTTAAAAATACGTTTCATATAATTTTCAATTTTATGCCAAAACTCAGCTAAAATAAGTAAAGATTAAAATTATAGTCCTATTTCTGTGCCTAAAATACGATTTATTCAAGATTGATTTTTAAATTCATTATTCCAAACATTTGGGAAAATTTAAAGCAGTTTTGAGAGTTATTTGAAACGTTTATGGCTTGTCTATAAAATCTCGATAAATAAATGTGAGAAAGCCAAAACAAATTTCTGCTTCGAAATCATAAAATCGAGAAGCTCCTCTGAAGTACATAATGAAATCTATGGACTGTTAAAGCGTATTAGAATTTCTTAAAAATAAAAGTAATTTATCGATTTATTTAACCTTTAAATTAAATGATTTTATATGAGTTTCTTATCTAATATAAAATATTTTGGCAAAGATATTGGTAGCGGTCATACCAGTTTGTTCTCCAGTTGTCCAAACTTTCATTTATTAACCCAACTATGTGTCCTTTGCACTGAGCAGCTGACATCTCAGGCACCAGTCTCTTTTTAAGTGATTCTGTCGCTCTTTCTCCATCTGAAAAGCAAGGAAGCTGCCTCCCTACTCCATTTCTTGTCATTTCTAATAGCAGCAAAATTTCTTCAGTTCTTTTTCTGACTGCCAAAAATCCTTTGACACATAATTTTCTAAAATACCTATACCATTTATTACAATCAAAATAATTATTATTAGAAGTTTTATTATAGTAGAATCAATATAAATAGGTATAAATCAGCTTGAGCCATGCCCTCCCATCAACTCTAAAAATTCAGTGGTCAATTTAAAAGGAACATCTTCAAACCTTATACGTCCACCTGGAAAATAATTCAAAATAAACCCAAAATCAATATGAATAATATGCCCTTCATTATCCATTAATATATTTCCATTATGTCTGTCAGCAATCTGCAAAATGTAGCAAAGCAGTGAATAACCTGCAAGGCTTTCTACAAAATTGCTTAAAGCTTTTTTATAGCGGCTTAAGTCATCTTGGCCATATCTGATTCTGAAGAAATCTTTAAGGGATTGGTATTCGTGAGGAAGGGATTTTTTAATTGAGTCTAAAGATTGCGCATCAGGGATGCATTCGACAAGTCCTGAGTTATGCCCAGTCGCTAAAATTTCATATGGACGGAGCCATAAATTTAGCCCATCTTCTTTAAAAATTTCTTGAAATTTATATATTGATCGCTACATACGCATTTTTTACTATTTTAATTATTGAAAAATAAATTTAATGGAAAAAAGGATATAAACAAGCTGCATTGCAATTTGTTCTTGTAACAAGTCATCGCCCACTTTTACAATTACTTTTAGCATTCTTCATGTTTTTAGTTCACCAAATATTGATCTTGACCTGATCCTCTTTGCTTGCTGCTGAGAAGTTTCTTGATTTTGTGAAATAATGTTTTCAGATAAATCATATACTACGGAAACGGTGTCACCAGTTGGGGCGCCTGCTTCAAATGGCAGATGAACTCCATTTCCTAGACTACTTCTTAGACCATTTGATTTTTTTTTATGCAATTTCAGAGCGTCAATTTGAGAAAGCTCAAAGCTCTGCTCAGCTGAACTTGGTACAGGCTCTGTTACCATTGAATAAGTCCTTGAATGACTTGAAATATCTTCCTCCTCTTCTTCTAGTATTTTCTTTTCTTCTTCAGGATCAAAAATTTCTACACAAATCAAATAAGGAGCCCTTTCCTTTGTTTCAAAAACTTTTATTTCACTAGGCGGAATATGAAGAATTGCGCAATTTTTAGGTACTTTTCCAGGAAAAGGGACCTGAACACTTGCAGGGAGCATCAAATTTACTTTTTTAATCTCAGTCGCTAATAAAGCTTCTTTTTTTTCTAAATACAAAATTTTTTCAGCAATAACATTTAAGTCTTCAACAAGCCAAAGCGTTGACATGAGGACATCTTTAATTCCTTTCCTTGGGTATGGCTCAACAGGAATATCTCTTTCAATATTTTCACCTATATACAATATACGTGGTACTGGAGGGGTTTTTAATTTTTTTATTAATTTTTACCTTATATAAATAAAAAAAAAATTTATTTTATTATTAGTTTGATCAGGGTTTAAATCTTCTTTTTTCATTTCATTATAAATTCTAATTTTTTCTCTTAAAATAATCCTTTTCGGATCTTCATCTAGATGAGGCAAAAGCGTCCCTTCTCTACTGACGACTTCTACAAGGTGTTTTAGTCTAAATAAAAAATACTCATCAGATCTTACAGCAAGCCCAGGATCTCTTACAGAGGATAAAAACCATATAACTCTATGGGCAAAAGTCATAGAATTTTTACAGAATTGGAAGAAAATTTTGTTAAGGTCTTCATTTTCAGTGCTTTCACATATTAAAAAGTTTACAAGCTGAGGAATGTAAAATTCAAGATCTTTACGACTTATAGCATCAGTAGGAATAATTGAGACTGAGGATAATTCTTCAAGATTTGCCTCATGAGTGTAAATTTTCAGGAGAATTTTAACAATTTCGTCACGAGGCTTGCTGAGCTTGAGTTTCGCTTTAAAGGTTGCTCATTTTTGTGTCCATGCTGATTGTTCACCTTTTTGTGTATTATGAGAGCATCCCATTTATATCCTCTAATGAAATAAAAATAATATAGTGATTTTTGATAGTTTTTATAGGTATTTAAGGATTATTATTTTCAAATAAATAGATTTTTATATATTTTATCTTATTTATAAAATTAATAATTATTTCTTTAAGCTTCCAAACAATCTAAAATTCTTCATTAGCTAATTGCATAGCCTATTCTAAAATATTTACCAAATTGCCTAAGTTTATTAAGATGACTAATGCTTGATATTTTATAATAAAAATGTTTTATTTCTTTTGAAATTTTATAATATCGTTAGAAATTTTTAAATGATAACAGAATCAATAGATCTCCCACTTCCAGAAAAACGCCCAAGACCTTCAAATGACTTCTATGAAAGCATGATTTGCCTTATCTGCTCAGATTTCTTCAAGCCCCCTATAGTGCAGTGCAGCAAAGGGCATAGCTATTGCCAAAGTTGTGTTCAGCGAATGAGCGAGTCACAAAGTCCTTGCAAGTCTTGTGCAGTCTGTCGATCCCCAATCTCAAGTGAGGTTAGAAATTATCCTCATTTATTTTTCAAAGCCTATTATTTTACTATATAAATTTTCTATCTTATATAATTTAAGCATTCGTCGATTTTTATTATAAAAATAATGAATTTATGTATTATATAGTTTAGAGCAGCTTCTTGATAAATTTACAATCCAATGCAACTGGTCTTCAAGAGGCTGCACCAAACAAGTTACTCTATCTGAACGATTTGAGCATGAAAAAACTTGTGAGTACAGGCCGCAAGTGTTTTGCTATTACAAAGAGCTTCAAAAATGCTTATGAAGAGGAGACCCTGGCCTTATAGCAGACCACTTAACAAATTGCCATGAAGTCCAAGAGCTTACTAGAGGATCCCTCTTTAGGTATCTATGAAATCCTCCCTCTGAAAGCATATGAAGATATAGCCCAATTTTCATTATCTTAATAAAATTACTAAAAAATAGCCCCCTATATTAAATTCAACAAAAAGAGCATAGAATTTCGCATTTTAAAACAAGCTGTAAGCTTAGACTCTGAGCCTTTTACCTTTATTCTTGAGCATTACTATTCCTCGGAAGAAAAAATCCTATGTTTCCTAGTCAGATCGCCAAACCCAGATGTGAGGAAAAAATATCGCTTATCAATATTGAATAGAAATAATGATAACAATAGGATAACTTTTGAAAGCTTTACTGTGAGTTATGAAGAAGTAGGGCATATAAAAGACTTTTTAAAAGAAGATTTATCAAAAATGTTGTTAATCCCTTTTAAACAAATACAAAATTTTTGCTTTCTTTGTGAAGAAGACAGGGCTTTATACTTTTCATTACACATTCATTTCATTTAAAACAGAAAATCGTGATTTTGAGCTTTTTAAATGTGAATAATTTTAAAGATAGGATTAGATAACAAATTTATATGATATTGGCTCTTTTAAGGAAATTTAGGTAATTTAAGATTTTATGTGACTTTTTCTTAGGTAAACTCATTAACCGCTAAACTAATGAAATAATTAGCAAGTGTTCCAAAAGGCAGGTTTGATCTTAATGGAGATAAGCTTTGCTTTTTAGCTTAGTCCTTTATAATTTCACCTCTTTGAAATTGCCGTCTCATTTTGGCTTTATATATCTAGTAAAATCTAAAAATTTAAAGCAACAAGAAGGAAAGAATCTACTTATATCACTATCATATACCAGCATACTTAAAAAATTATTCAATCGTCAATAATAATTTGGCGGCTAAATTTAAATGGAGTTAATTTTACCTAACAAGTTTGAACATCTCCTTGATGAACCATCTGATGACAAATACTGGGTCCAAGGTTACAAAAAGGTGACTGAATGGAATACTACAAGGCAAAAAAATGAGTTTGATACCATCATGAATAGTCTGTTTTGTACCGACACAAGCTGTTTAGCTATAATTTCAAATTTTGATATTGTTTATAGCTTTGTGTACCACTGTGAAGAACTTAAGCCTGAAAATCAAGAGCTTTTGACTGATATGCTGTCTGCAAGTTTAATAAACTTAGTAAAGCTTGCAGATGTGAAGCAAGAAGATTCGACTGAGCTTAGAAATGCTTTTAAAATGTATTGCAATTTCCTGTGGATGGCGCTGTTTTGGCCTTGATTTTCCCACTGGAAAAATTTTTGGTTTGATCAGTACCATATGGTTTGGTCAAACCAAAAAATTTCCCAGTGGAAAAATCAAGGCCAAAATAGCGCCATCCATGGGAATTAGAATACATTCTTCTTCTTTCACATATTTTTGCTAACTTTTTATTATAAATAATTTTTTTTTAAAAAAAATATTATTAAAAAATATCCTTGCCAGAGTAAGCTAAAGAACCAAAATTTAGCCAAAGCTCTTTTAAAAGCTTTGAAAGCTATTAAATCTGCTTTGCAGAATGCTTTAAAAGCAGTCTACCCTGGAGGAGTCCCTGAAGATCGATTAATTGAATTAATCATCGACATCACATTTTTCGAAATAGAAAAAGGCCAAAGAGAAGAGATATGTGAGATCATGAACTGTGTAGCAGAGCATGCTAAGACAGAAATGTGGGTTGGCTGGAGAGCGAGAGCTGTAAACCTCTTATTTGGGGAACAGTCGGCAGTCATCGGACCAATAGCTTCCATTGTGAAGCATCAGCCAACTTTGGTCTGTGACCTTCTTAAAGCTCTTTCTATAGCTGCTTTAGAGCAACACAAATAAAATGGCGACGACACCGACCCGTCCTCTCCCGGAACTGTGGCGAGATTGGGGACTTTGCTGCGGCCTGAAGCCAATCCGCCCAGGGAAAGGTCTGGAATGGGTACTGGCAGTTTGTGTCCGGCTAGGTTTCCCTCCCAGTCCAGCAACCACGATCCTAGGGTCGTCCCGATAGGACACGGGGCAAAAAGGGTTTTTCCTCTAGGGACCGCTAGTGCCAATTTGGAGGGCATGGCAGGAGCCGGCAAGAGCTAAGGAGTTAATTCTTAGCTCTAACCCTAGTCTGGCGACGTGAAGCACGGTGACCCAGTTCGCCTACTTCCGGGATAGCATGACCAAGCCCCATGACCGGAAGGAGCTGAGTGGTAGCCTGTGGCACTTAGGTGCACACTGGGAGCAGGTCAAGGAAAGCAAGCGAGGCGTCCAAAAGGCGGAAGAAAGGACCTTCGGTCCTGGCCGGGAGCTACTTTATAAATTTAACTAAGACTAAGACTAAGCTGCTTTAGAGCAAAACCCAGCAAATGATACAAACGGGATATATTTTATTCAATTAAATCTGATTACGATAAAGATTTTCTTATTTAATAAAATTTTCTGGCAAATTTAAGCCAAATTTGAATAAAAAATGTGGGAGCTTTTATAGAGAAACTTTCAGCTAATTTGCCAAGAGAAGTTTTGCAAAATCTTCCAACTCTGATAGGACTTTTTGACTGTGAGTCTTATACTTTAAGGAACTCTATTATAACAGCTATTGGAGAGATCGTATGCTTCTTAATCCGAGCTGATCAAAATGAAGCTACTGAAAAAGACACAGCAACAACATATAGAGAACAGCTGCTACAAGGACTCCAAGACCGTATTCTTGATAAATCCAGCTTTTGCCGCGCAAGAGTCATTGATGTCTTCATAACCCTAAACAAAGAAAACTTACTTCCGAGACATTGGTTTTTGCCAATTCTTAATATAGCGACTTCAAGGCTTCATGACTGTACAGTTCTTGTAAGAAAAAAAGCTTGTCAATTATTTGAATGCTTGATTTATCAAAATAAGCTATATATAATTCTCTAAATATTCCTCCTCTCTGTATCCCAAATATCTTTTTTTCCCTTATAAAATGTCCAATTTCTCATAATCCGCGATAATATTTTATATCCAAAAATATACTTGAAGGGGGTATGAAAGTCGAAAATAAAAATTTAATCGACGAGCAAATAGACAAACTTAATTTTAATTAATTATATTTCTTCTTTGTTTAATGTCAAATACCATATTAACTAGACGGGCTTTCGCTTCTGCTTCGGAGTTCCACGCATACCACGCGTCGTCCACCACCTGGCCTTGATCTGAATATTCTTCAGCTTCAGGCATTCGAATTTCTATGTCTGTCCTTCAATTCCCTGGCAAAACTAACTTAGGTTTGCCAGACACACTAAAGGGTCGAATCTGGGGTGGCACACTTTAGAAAATTCGAATTCCCTGGATAATCAAAATTGTGCAAAGGGAGACTTCTGTTCATGAGAACAGAATATTCAAGTGCCGCTAAGTTTTGATTATGACGAAAAATAAACAAAACTAAAATAAAACTCGAGTCCTTGCAACGTGCTTGTGATGGACAAGTAGACGAAAGTTTAAATAATATAGAGCCAGAAGACCTTCAAATGATGTATGTAAAAGAACAGTTAACTGCCAAATTTTTAACAGATTATGCAGACATGATAAAACTGCTAGAGCATGGGTCAAAAATATTAAAAGAATTATTAAAAAGCAAAAACAGCTCAGATATCACAGGAGCTATAGATGGGCTGGTTGCTTGCAATCTAAGAGGGATAACTACTGCATATGATGCTGCAGCATCCATGCTCTCTTTAATATGGAACAGAGAAACTACAGTAAGAAAAACTGTTTTGCAGGCTTTTAGTAATATATATTTGAATTTAAAATTGCACAATGAAGAAGAAGTTGTGGCAAACTTGCTTGAGCTTATAGAAACTTTGACTACAGGCCAATTGACTTCTTTGGAAGATTTATTTTGTAAAGTCATGAATTGGTATCAAAATATGAATATGCCTATTTACAATGAATATAAGCCTTCTTTATCCTAGCAAATATCCTATTATAAATATGATAGCTGACGAGTAGGATTTATTACAACAGATATATTTATTTAAAATTATTAATTTAGATTAAATCCTATATTTTGTGAACTCCTTCAGCAGCAGTCAGTCCCACCCCAAATTTTGAAAAAAATTTGGTCTGTCTTTAAAAGCAGTGTCTCCTATCCTGCTGCTTGTATTTTAAGATTTACTGCTTCTTCAGACCCTTCTTTCTTAAACAGAAGATACGACACATTTGCAGCAAGAGCTCTGCAGCTAGCAGGGGACTGGAAAATCTTTAGAGAAACCTTGGTCGCTTTTCAAAAACTTGAGCATCAAGGTGAAAAAACTGACCAATTCATAGCTCAAGCCATCCACAAATTATTTGAATTTGACGGGTCTGGGTGGTTTTCTGTTGCTGAGCAGCTTGTCAGAGCTGCTTCCACAATTTGTAATCAGCCATTAACTGTCTTAAAAGCATTTGCCGTACAAAGCCTTAAACCTCTTACAGATGGCAAAAACTCAGAAATTGAAGTCGCTAAAGCAATATTTGTAGGCACAGAAATTGCAATGAAAACTGTCGTATATGGTGACAAAATGGCTTTAAAGTACAAAAAATCAATGCTAACTGGTGGAAAACAAGATGAAATGGACGAAATCAGTGGTGGAAAAGCAGCACAAGTAGAAAATGAGCTGCAAGCATTAAGAATTTCTCAAGAAAAAATCGTAACAACTGGGATTTTAGGGAAACTTACACCACTTATACTTTCCCTTTCAACACGTATGGATAGTATAAAAACCAGCATCCTTAAAAAATCTGTGGTTTTATCACTATCAAAAATCATGTGTATAAACCCAGCAATCTGTGAAAAATATTTGCCAACACTAATAAATATCGCTCAAAATGGTGACTGTGCCTCAATGAGGAGTTCTGCATTAATATCTCTAGGCGACCTTGTTATGAGGTATCCTAACCTTCTTGAGCAATACTCCGAGCATTTATTTGCAAGACTCAAAGATCCTGATACAAAGGTGGGCAAAAAAGCTCTGCTTGTGATTTCTCATTTAGTCTTAAACGATATGCTAAAAATGAAAGGGCTGATGGGAGAAGTACTTCAGTGCTATTTAGAAAAAGACTTAAAAAAGGTTGTATGCATTTTCTTGCAGGAACTCCACCAAAAAGATGCAAATACTATATATAATATGATCCCAGACACTATCAGCAAGCTTCTTCAGTCCTCAATCCCTCATCCACAGTTCAAAAGAATTGCTGACCTTTTATTTTCTTATATTGAAAAAGAAAGACAAGGAGAAAATTTAGTTGAAAAATTATGCCACAAGTTTTTAATGTCAAGCAAGGATGAAGTATTAAATATTGGGTATTGCTTGACAAGGATACCAATAGGAGAAAAAGGGATGAGGAGACTCCTTGATAATGTGTCGACCTGGCAGAATAGACTGTTAGAGGATGGAATATTGGCGGGATATTTCAATGAAATTTTAACAAAATGCAAAAAGAACTGGAAACCTGAGTCGAAAATTTTGTTAGATGAATTTGAAGCAGGGCTTAGAGGAGATGAAGAGGTGTCGAGAAAAAGAAAAGTTAAAGCATAAGTAATAATTAGAAATATATGAAAGTGTAGCCATATTTCTGTGGTGTTAAAATATAAAAGATTTTATAATTAGTAGTATGCCTTGACAATAAAAGAGATAAAAAGCATCATAAACATCATTCCAAAGATTGTATATGAAAATATCTCACTCCCCTCTATGAGCGAATAAATCCACTGGAAATTCCCTTTTTTGCCCAAAATCCACCCTCCGATATATTAATAATATTATTATAATGAAATCTCTAGCTAATTCTGTTTAATTTTAAACAGCTTGCATTTTAATTTGTAAATTTTATATATTAATTAATATTTGCTTTAATTTTTTCTAAATTATAAAGCTTACACAGAAATTTTCTAAAAAAAAACCTCTCCATGATCGACAATTTTTTTTTCTTCGCTCACAGAGGGAGGAGTCAGAATTTGAGTCTATTTTATTTGAATTATTGCTATTTTCTTCATGTTTAGTTTCAACTTTGGGTAGAGTTTCAACAGAATCAACAGGGGTGAGCTTAACAGAAGCTATTACTTCTGTATAGGCTTGGGCTATATTTTCCTCTTGTGAAGCCGAAATATAGCTGCTCAGCACACAACTGTTATAAGAATAAAACACTCTTCTAGGCAGCTGTATTTTTCTTGGCAGCGGAGCTGCCAAAAACGGGTTCTTTTCCACAGTAAACTCATCAGACACAATTTCTAGCCTGTCTTTCATCGAAAATAATATATCTTTAATTATCAAGTCCCTTGCCTCTTTTATCGTCATTTTCTGAGTAACAAGGACTCTGCTCTCTATAAATCCTTGTATATTAATTCTAAATAACTGTTCATTAGAGCAAAATCCATAATTTTTTGAATAAATTTCAGCAATATGAAACCCTTTATCTTGGGCATTAATTCCTTGTTTTAAATTTCCAATAATTTGATCACTTTTGAGCTGTTTGTCTATAAAAATTATGCAGGAATGGAGCATCACGTTTCATTCTTTTAAAATATCTTGGATTAAGAGTTGAGGAATTCCTTCTCCTGCAGCTTCGAGATTTACCTTTAGAAAACAGCGGATTTCTTCCAGTTTAGGTAATTGGACTAGCTTTAAGTCTCCAGCAGTTATAAGTTTTACTTTTAAATCAACAATTTTAAGTGTATATATCAATGTAATTTGTATGATATAAATATTTTATAAATAAAAATAATTTTTTCGAGAGAAAAACAAGTAAAAAAAGTATATTTATAACTGCATGAATTGAAATGCATAAGTAAAACTGAATTTCTTGATAAAACTTCTATAGAAAGGTCATTTAATAAGCTTAAAAGCCCTGATGGTAAGAACGCAAAGCTTTCTAAATTCAATTCTTCATCAGAAACCATAAATAAGCCAATAATATCTAGACCTCCTGGAAGTAGCCGGGAAAGCTGATTAGAATGTTCAAGGACCCAATCTGAATAAAGTGCCTCAGGAGGTGTCAAAGGGGTCGAAAGCAGCGCCGAAATTCCTTTTTGTGGCTGAATTTCTAACTCCCCCCCCCCCCCTCCGTGAGTGAACAAAAAAATTTTGTTCACTCGGGTTAAATTGTTTTTTTTTAAAAAATTTATATATAAATTTTATAAAAATATTTTTTTTTTCGAAATTTAAAAAAATCCTAATTCACAAAAACTGGGAAAGCAAATATTAATTTAATTTATAAAATTTATGTTTTTAAAAAGCAATTCGTTTGAAATTAAACAGAATTAGCTCTAGATTTCATTATACTAATTATCATTTATATATCAAAATTTTTTTCCATCAAAAAATTTTTCTATTAAAAAAATTTTTGTTCACTCACGGAGGGTGGGTTTTTTGGGCAAAAAATAGCGATTTTTCTAATGGTTTTGTTCACTCACGGAGGGGGGGGAGTAAAGAAGGTGTTCTCGATTGGAAATAAATATGAGGCTTGTCACTGATCCAGCTTCCTATTAGTAGCCCAGTTTCTGCTGATTTTTTGTCTTTGAGTGTTTCAATGAATGCGGAAAAGTCTTTTGTTTCTGCTAATATCATGATGGATATAAATAGTCTTAAAAGTTGATATAAACAAACATGAGTTTAGAGAGGGATTATGTTGTATTGGATTTTCTATTAAATTTAAAATATTAAGCCTGCTAGGACTAATAAGAGAAATATTAGGCTCATTTTATATATTTTTAAATAAATGTTAGCTAAATTATAAAATTTTTAAACTTTAATGTCTCACTATTAAAACCATCCCTTACACCTGAAAATAATAGTAAAATTAATTGAAATCAGCGCAATTAACCCTCAGCAACAAATATAAGGTATAAATGAGTCTCATTCTTTGAATGGAATAGGTATATTCATCCCCATAGTCCCTGGAATATGATTTGCAGGAAAATAAATAGTCGCAATTCCTGAAAAAAGGTTCATTATTTTTAACAATTTATCTGCCGTCTCATTTTGTGTGTCTTCTATAGTCGCATTGAATATTTTTTCAGATTTTAATAAAATTGTGTGACTGTGGACTATTTTTCTGTCCAAAACTTCAGCCCTTGTTTTCAGACTTTTTATGTAATATTTCAAGCTTTTTGAGGTGTTTAAGGATTTTAATAAAGAATCAAATACTTTGCATTTGGGCTTGATTAGGTCAATAAGGCACTGCATGTGTCTTTCAGCTTTGCTTAGCCTGGTAATAAACCCAAAGCGTTCTCCGATTTTCATTTTTCCAGTGGCAAAGTCTAGACAGCATCTCGCTTCTATATTCATATTTGAGGCGATTTTTTCGAGTCTCGCAAAAATCCACTCAATTAGTCTGTGAAAAATAGCTTCAACTGCTGAGCACCCGCATTTTTCATTGATTTCTGTTTTCCTGCATGCAATATTATAATCCCATATATAATTTTCGAATTCCCGGTTCTCAAAATCAATTATATTCAATTCTTTATAAAATAGCTGCCTAATATTCGATTTTAAATCAATATACCTATACTATTTTCTATAAAAAATAAATCTCATTTGCTTTTCCTATACATCTTCCCTACTATACAATAAACCCTCTCCTCACAAAAAATCAAAATTAAATTTTTCCTAATAATAGTTTTCATAGATACCGGATTTTCTGGCTCCATGCCAAATGGTAGTGTATTTTTGATAGTGTAAATTTCATCGAAGTACATTTGATCGAAAATTTTTAAATAGTGGACATTTGGTCGAAATTTAACGTCTTTTTTCAGTCAAATGCCTCACTATCAAAAAATTTCACCAATTTTCGACCAAATTTACTACGGAGAAATGCATACTATCAAAATTGCACAATCATTGGGCCTGAATCCAGATTTTCTACATCTCCCTCTATACTAGCATCATTAATAGTCAACAAATAATAATCATGAAAATCAAGCATATGGTCTTTATTATTGAAATGGTTGCTCGCACATTCATAATCTATCACTGGGTGAAGACCAAAAAATTTTCTAATTTCTTTGACTTCTTGTTCATCTAAACCTTGAAAAATTAAAGCATAGGAATTATCCTTGTCGTGCAGAATATTTTTTTGGTCATAAATATCGTCTAAATTAAGCAAATAGCAATTTTTGGAATTTATGTCAAAAAGAAGGATTTTTGAAGCCCGCAAAGTAGCGCTTAGCGAGCCTCGATTGCAGGAATTGCGGTCGATGAGCTCGGGCTCAGTTGTGTAGTCTCATGAGTCTTGCAAAAGAAGTTCTTTTAAGGATTCTAATTCATTATGCATATTGTAAATTTAGAGGATGATAAGAAATGGTCAGCTAAATGAAAAATTTTATCAGGTCGAGTAATTTTTTCTGATATTTAATTTCTAGGCTATAAAAATTCTATGCAAATTTTAAATTGTATAGTGTATATTTTATTAGCTGGGGATGAAAAATTTTAAAGGCTCGATACAATAATATTTTCAAATTCGGCCTAAAATGGCTTTTATAGTATGAAATAGCCTTATTTATACAATAATATGTATAATCTATTTCTCTAGACTATTTTGCATATATCTTCATTATTTTGACGGCTTTCCTTATGTCGTTATATACACCTTTTAATATAAATATTTTGAAATTCCAATATTTAATTTATTATAAAAATATTCAGAGCTTTACAGAATATCTTTCCTATTAGAAATCATATTAAAAATAAGTTAATGCAAATTTTATTCTTTTTCAACCTAATGGCCTCTTCCTCGGGTTTTTTCATGAAGGAAATTTTCATAGCTTTGGACTGCAGAGGCCCTTGATTCTTTTCCAATACTGCTACTTAGCCTATCAACGTCAGTTCTTAAGCTGATCAACTCTTGTGCAAGCTTTGTGTATTCTTCTATTGACCCTCCTCCATTCTGTTGAGTAGTTTTCTCAACCTTTTCAAATTTAATAGTTTCGATCTCACGCCGCAATTCTTCAAATGCGAAATGCATTGATTTTAGGTCTTCTTGATGAGCGATTTTTATTTGTTTTATTTCTTGGATTGCATTGCGAAAGGAATTTCTTAACTCTCTCCTTTAATTTAAAAAACCTGTTTCAATTTAAAGGGGAAAAATATTTAAATTTTTTCTATAAATTTTTTTTTTAAATTCTTAAAATCTTATTTGTTAGAGATAATTAAAAAAATTAAATGATTCAATGTGATAAATGCTTAAATAGCGCTCTAATTACACTTTTTTAATTAAATTATGCCAAAATTAATTTTGGTTTTTTGAAAAATTTTTTAAAAATTTTTTAAAAAATAAATTGAGCACATTAATTTGAATTTAATTTATTTTTATGAAGAATTAAATAAAAATTAATTGATTCAGTGTTATAACTGTTGAGATAGCATTCTACTTGCATTTTGTTTATTAAATTATGTTAAAACTAATTTTATAAAAATTATTATTATCATCTATATAATTTTCCTCTTGAAAATAAAATTTTGTTCCAATTTAAAGAGGGGTTAAAGTACCCAAAAAATGCAAATTTTACTGATGTTTTATCCAATTTAAAGGAGGGAGAGTAAGTAAAGTGCTTCTTTTCTTAAAGTATCGATATCCTTGCGTTCTTCTGAGGCTGATCTTTTAGAGGAATTGGAACGCCTAGGAGAATAAAATCCTGAGTATGTGTTATATGCATCAGGGTGGGTTGATCTTAGTAGTCGAGCTGAGGTTGGAGCTGAACCAGCATTAGGTGAAATGTGTCTTTTTGGATATGACATAAATAATCATTTGATTAATGAAATTTAAAATACTTAAATTTCTTTAAAATATTCGATTTTTAAATCAATTGAATTTTTAGCTACAAATTATATTAGCTTTCCGTCAACCCTAAAAAGCCTTTCACTGAATTATTTTTATAAAATTCTATTCTGCATCCTATCTCATCCTTTGGCCTCAATTTTCTTTAACAGTTATATTGCAGTTCATATTTCGAGATCTTGCCCTACATTTTTCATAAATTAATTAAATTCAAATAAAAAATCTCCAAGAAGCTTCAGAATTTTTATAAAAATTAATAATATTGAAGAGCCAAAAGAAGGCTTCACATAAAAATGATAAAATAATATTCCATCATGGAACAAGTCGATCCTCAATCGAACACAAGCTCGAATTATTCCACAAAAGAGCCTGATTTGATTATTGATTTAAAAGACTCCAACACAGACTTCATTTCCCTTTCTAAAGAAACACACGATTTAAATCGCATGTCAAAAAAAACTGAAGAAAAATTAAATTTAGCTGACTCTGACCATGAAGAAAACAATAGTGGCAGTGACTCAGAAAATGAAGAATTTTCTGCAAACCATCGCAGCCAAGATATAACAGAAATAAGGATGATTGAAGAACCTACGAGAAAAGTCCATTCTGTGACTATTCCTCCGGTTAAAGCGAATCAGTTTAGTACGAACAGGTCAGAGCAGGGACAAAACCATTATAACCAAGGACGGTTTAATAAGCCAGACCCTTTTCAAGAAATCATTAACCTTCAATCACCTATTACAGCTGTTTCTGCATTTGATGAGAAAAAATCACAAGGGGATTTGGAAGGGACTGAATATGGCAGTGAAGCAAAGCTTATCCTTCCACTGATTCATAATAAAGAAATGCTGAGGGATTTTTAATATATAGCAAACTCTATAATTTATTTTATTAATTATTCCATTATTTAGACAATTGTTTTTAAGTCTTTAAATTTATTTGACTTTTTATGCTCCCATTTAATTCTTTAAGTTTCTTAAAATCCTATAAGTTATAAATTTTACAAATGTTAAAATAAAGCCAAATAGGGATATTAGTTAAAAATAGCAAAAAAGAGTTAGCGTTAATTCCCCTAGAAAGGCATCAAATAGGCTGAGAGCAACAAGTAATTTTACTAACAAAACAGAAGAATTTATGGAAAACCATGATGACAGAGCAAGGAGTCAGTGTGTTAAATGTATATTGCAGTAAAAATATTATGCATAAACAAGAGGCTAAGCAGCTCAATTTTATGCTTTTTTAATAAGAATATTCAAATAATTATTAACTTTTCCCTATAGGTAAAATCTACCTATTAAACATCGTATTCTTTATCTAAAACATTATTTTTTCAAAATTTAACTAATTATTCAACTAATTTTAGCAAAAACTTTAACCCGCTTCACATTATTATTGGAAATTAAATATAATTATTCTTAAAGTCAAATAAGTCAGCTTGTCTACCCTGATTTCCAAAGCAAAATCGCGAATTCTTCCAAGAAAAAGTAAACTAAGTTTCCTGTGTCATGAGTGACGAAACTCCCAAATCCTCTTCCTACTATACAGTGCCAAGCTGGCTGAAACTCTGAATCAAACTGTCTCTTTATGTACGCAGCAATTTGGTTGTGGTTTGTAAACTTCTCTTTTGCATCAAAAGCTGTCTGAATGGCTTTATTTGCTATCTCTTCAGGCATGTCAACTGACTTAATGATAAATCTCTGATCCATTTATAATTATAATTTTTTAACAATATATTTATTTTTTTCCCAATAAAAGTATAATTAAATGTGTTATTTAAAAAGAATAATAACTATTTAGCATAAATTTTCAAAGAATAAACTGGGTCTCCTTCATCTATGGCATAATAATCCACAGATATCATGGTGCTATCAATATACACCTCAGAAAACCCAAACTGGACATTACCGTACACTAAATCAGCCATTTCAGTCGTTTTATTTGGACATAGCTCATAAAGCTCAGCTCCTCCAGCGCCTTGTACAATTTCATGCAAGCCTTGTCCTTTAATCCAAAAGCTTTCTCTGTTATAAGGCACAAACTCTTCTTTTGAGCAATTAAAAGTAGAATTCGGCAATGGCTCATAGGGAGGCATTGTATCATTGCTATATCTTGATATAAAATATTGCATATTGTGTTCATGTCCTGTCATAAGGATGTCAACATTATACTTAAAAAGTAATGGAAGGATGAATTTTTTGATAGGCTCGTTATCGCCATGATGAATCCCTGCAGAAAATGGTGGTTCATGTATGTTAACTAATATTCACTTCACTCTTGGATTTCTATTTAAATCTTTAAGGATTTTTTCAAGCCATTCATATTGCTCTAAATCTCCTACTTTATTTATGTCATGAGCCAGTGAGCATCCATTCATAAAAATAAATGCAGCTAAATATTTATTGTCGATTTCAATTGTAAAATTATAAAATTTTCGAGGTAAATGCCACATAGGGTAGAGGGAGGTTGCATCTATTTCATATTGAGGATTACTTGAACAGTCATGATTTCCGAGGACTAAAAACCAAGGTTTACTTTGTAAGCCACCTTTGTTGAAGATGTGGTAAAGATATTTGTAAATCACCTGGTCAAATTTTGAGTCTGGCTTTGGATATCTATTATCTCCAGTTGTGATAATCATAGAGATTGGCCTCACATAAGCATTTGCTACCATTCTCTGGGCAACTACTTGGACAGGGTACTCATTATAAATTTTCTCATAAGGATCAAGTTCACCAAAATCCCCTAAAAGATGAAATCTTAGAGGCTGTCCTGCCACTAGTTCAAATTTTTCAAGTTTTGTGGTCTTGCTCTGACTAGATGCAGATGAGACAATTACTACGATAAAGGCTGCAACTATTAAACTGTATATTGATAGTAAAACCCACACTTCTTTAGCTGACATTTATTATGAAAGATTATCGAATTCATAAACAAGTTATTTTGTTAAAGTCATATCTGAATTCCTTATTTTTAAACTTCAAATGTGTATATATATTTAAGACTTTTCTTATCACTATATGAAAACTACTCAATGAAAACTTTATAGTGACAAATAAAACATGCAATAAAGAATCCAGCTATTATAAAATTATAGTCATGCTTGATTAATTCGTAACTGATTTAATTATTAAAGATATCTTCTTAATCAGCTATTTTGGTAATAAAATGATCCAAAACTACCTTATAAATAATCTTTTATTCCTTGATTTCTAATAAATCGAGAATTGATTAAAATGTTTTTTGTTAATTTAAACATTTTACCTTTGAATTTTTATATTGCCTACCGCGATTCACGGACATTTACTTCTCTATATTCTTGGCAAGCTGCACATGGGCCGCAGAGACAGTGTAATAAACAATCACTAAAACAGCTTCCGTTTATAAGATACCTATCCCTTATCTTCCCTCTATTAATTGCAGCGCCAATACAGCATAAAACAGCAGAGTAGCAGCATGCACATAAGCAAGATTCTCCAGTAGCCTTTTTAACGCTTATTCCTTGATAAACACAATACGCCATGGGACAGAGAGATATTATTATGCAGCTACAACAGTCTCGAAAACAGCCAAATAAAGGTTCTTCCCACTGCACCATATTCTTCGACAATATAATTATTTTTCAAAAATACTTTTCTATAAGGTATTTTAAAGAAAAGAAAAAGGATATAAAAAGATTGCATTATAAATAAGTTTTAGATTTATTTTATAATTGAGTTAAAGGATATGAATAATAAATTACATGAAATAATTTAGAGATATTTTGTGTTATTTTATATTTTCTAAATAGTTCACTCGCATTATTTACAGACAAATGAATTTAGTTCTTTTTGTACTGCTTTATACCACTTAAGCATTGATGCTGGCAGTGTTTCTTTTAAGGCCTTAGCAGGTATTTTCCCATTCATATCAGCTTGGCATATAAAAGTTACTAAAAGTGTAGGTTGGCCACTAGTTTTCGATATTTTTCTTCTCATAATTTGTCCACCAAGTATAGTTTTCCCTCTCGTTACTTTTTTCCCCCTTTCTGGATAATCTGCATGTGCACAGTCTTCAAAATAAATTTCTATATCCCCATTATCCCTTTTTCTCATATATCTTTTTTCCACAAAATCTCTATCAGTAAAAGGCCAAGGCGCTTTATTTAGCATATAATAGTGTACCACGTCTTCAGTCTTCGTAATTTCAATAAATTCACTAACAGAAGACTTATCCCATTTTTTTCTAGTCTCAATGTCATATAAAACGAAAATTATTCTTATTTAAGTAAAATATTTTTTTTTTAAAAATAAATATAGAGATATTTTGAAGAAATCGGCTTGCACTACCATAAAAAAAGTAATAAAATCATTGAATTTATGTATAGATTTTCAGGCAGTACATTTAATTCCATATCTAAAAATGCTTTTACAACAGGGACTGATGGATATCGATCTGTCCCTTTTTTTAAGTAAATTTTGGCAAATGGCTTATTTAGCTTCAATTTTCAATCAGACCCTGCCTCCATTTCTAGCAGCAAATCAAAAGCGGGAGTCTTCGCTCTAACTTCTGCAGAGCAAGGTAATAATCTGCTATTCCCTACAGTAAACATTGCATCGAATGCATCTGAAGAATTGTCTTTATTTTCCTCAATTTCATTAGATGGCTTCTTTATAGGCTCTATTTCCTTTTGAATTTTTACTTCACCTGTATTATTCGCTGTATTAATAGCATTTTCCTTGGCAGGGACAGATTTTATAGGTACGTTTGGAAGCGATTTTGTTTCTTCTTTTGGAGAATTTATTGCTTTATCTAACGAAAATAATAGTGGGTCCTTAATAATTTCAGAATTTTTTACTGGCTCTATCTTAGATGTGGCTGTCGGCAAAATAATCTTAATTTCTGCGTCTATAATGACTTTATCTTCTTTTTTATATCCAGAAATAGAAAATCTCTTAAGATGTGGGTTAACAATGCTCAGCTGAGCGCGATCGATGTTCTGAGTAATTTTTAGATTTTCAAATGGTTTTGTGATGCTTACAAGCGATGACTTAGAAACTCCGGATTCAAGCTCCACACTTGCTCCTCTTTTGCATAATTTAAATGCTGCCGGATCTAAAAAATCATATAAATTATCGTCACCAATAGGCTCCTCGTCAGGGAAAAATTTTATGTTATCAAGCTCTTTCGGGAGCATATCTGACTCGGGAATTTTTCGCTTTTTCAGCTTTCTCTTTCTGACTAGCGCCTTGAACTTTTTCATCGTCTATGTAATTAATATTAATTTGTGAAAATTATTTCTTTTGTTATAAATATATATGCTTATTGTAAGATTAATTGTGGATTTAATTTATTTTTAGAAGAAACATGAGTATCATAATTTTTTGCATTTAAAACCAAGAGATTAGATAATTCTATTTTTATTAGGCCAAATTAAAGCGATTTATATAATAAATTATACTTTAAAACTAATTATCAAAAATCTATCTATTTTATCATGCAAAACTCCTTACAATCAACTCATGATTTATACTAGACACAATTCCATTTTAACAAAATTAACCTTCTGATTAGAAAGCTCAATAAATAAAATGGCTTTCACTTTGAGTGAAATTAGCTCTGCTAATTTTCTCTGCCTCAAGCAATTTTATTCAAGGGGTTGGGTTTTACCTTGAGAACTTCTGCACAGCAACAGTGGTTTAACTTTGGAGATAACCAAAGGAGCTGCTCTCCTCAGTGCGATCAAGAGGTTCAGGTCTTTACCCCTCAGCACACCCGAGGAGGTGGACCCTTAGGCGGAACACGCGCAGGAGCTGAGTCGAATAAAGCCGTGGCGGCAGTGAAGCCCGTTGAAGCCTGAACGCTGTATTTTACCCGTGCCTTGGTGATCAAAGTGGATCGGCCCAGAGGTCCATAGGCCCGACACGTGGATAAATATGGTGGCAGCTCTGGAGGAGGCTACCCCGTAGTGGGCGTAAAATGTTATAGATAATTAAGAATTTAAGAATTTAAGATTAGAAAGTTCAAAAATCTAAATCTCCCTATACAAGTTTCATTTATATTTATTTTGTATCAGAATGTCATGGAATTTTTTTGATTCTTGGAGTTCCAAAAGATCCCCTCATAAGCAAATAGAATGCTCAGAAAATGACTACACACAACAGGAATCTAAGTGCAAAAAGAGGTATAATAAATGACAAACTTGCACAGACACAAGAGGATTTAATGATCCAACATGTAGGGAGCAGCTGCTAGAAAAGTATTATGCATGTGTGGAATATACATAAAATGGCCAGAGACGAGCGACCCGTCCTCCCGTGGCGGGTGACCTTATATATACCGGATGTGGTTTTTGGGTGCGGAGAGCTACTCAAGGGAAGGGCTAGTCTCGAGGCGAGAGACCCAGCACAATTTCCGCTGATTTTGTGGCCTGACCCGGGAAGCAGTTTTTCGCATCTTTTTTGCCAGTAGCGCGAGGCCCAGACTCGGTGTTCGAAAGAGGCAGAGGAATTACCTGCCTAAGCTACTTTGTGGCTTCGCCCCGAATCCCGTAAGGGGTTCAGTTTTTTCTTGAAAAAGGGAAGGCGAGGCTCGACTTAGAACCTCAAGGGCACAAGTCTCTCCAGTTAAAAGGGTCCCGATCAAAAGGGGCGATCTGAAGAATGGAAAAAGGCAGTGTTGGCGTCAACTTGGGCGACACAGCGAGTTGGAAATGGAGGCGGTCAGCTAAGACAGTTGACTGTCCCTTGACCTCACCTCTACCGAGAAACCGGGGGTTTCGGCCGGGCTTGCTGTGGGTACGCTCTGCCACCCTGCGGGTAGAAACCGCGGCATGCAGTCCACAAAGTAGGGACTATAAATACCCAGCTAACTAACTATGCATGTGTGGATAGAATGATTTTGATGAAGAATTTTCTTGAAGATAAATCATTAAGCTAAACTTTATAACAAAAATTGCCAGCTGTATATCTTAAAAGAGATATCTGCTATTAATTCTTTAAAATCTATACGATTATTATATATGTTCATTGCTTATCGGCTCTTAAAAAATTCTATCTTTATTTTTCTTTTATTTATCTAGCAAAAATCTAAAATTCGAGTAAAATTAAAAACTAATCAATTAAATTAGCAAAATTAAGTTTCAAATACATTAAAAAGCTTTTTCATCGTCTTCTTAAACTCAATACTTTTCGATATCGTTACAATATTTGTTGATAACCTCGACCCTTGCAAATCCTTAATAAACCTATAATCCTGTGAATCAAACAGAATTTCTTTAACATCTTCCCCTCTATGAATTTCAGCTTTTTCATAGTCTTTATATGACAAAATAATAATTTTAAATTCAATTTCGTCTATTTTTGTCGTAATTTCTGTTTCAAACGTATATGGAACCACACCTAAGTGTTGATGGACATATTCCATGTCTAAAAATTTCGAATTTTCTTCTTTTTCAGTAAAAAATAAGGAAGCATTCTTGTATCATTTAAAGATCCCTGTTTCTTCTTTATAAACAATATGAGATGTAAGCTTCTTAAAAAGCTGCTTGTGAGGGGTCAAGAAAAGATTTTTCTTTTTTGTTATCTGGGTGAGGTCTACTTGTAAAGAAAAATTTGGGTTGGTAAAGGCAAGATCAACTTTATCAGGCTCGCTTTGGTCAATTCGGATCATCAGAGGGCCTTTTTTCCCTTTGATGCTTATTATTGATACTAAAAATTCTTTAGAGTGAAATTGGTCTCATAGCAGTTGGTAATTTTGCCGACGCAAAATTATATATATACCTATTGAATGAAAAAATAATTAAAATTTTTTATAGGAAAATTATATGAAAAATTATAGAGAGAAAAGGAATTAAATTGATTAACGCTGGGTATTTATAGTCCGACTTCTTGAAACGCCGTGCGTTCTGTGGTGAACGCCTGCGGTGGGCTCCCTCAAGATAACTTGAGCCCAGGTCGAAACTGCGGTTTCTTGTAGAGGCATTTTTCATCCTAATCTGGAAAAAACAGATTTTGACAGGAACCTCTATTTCCAACCCAAGCGCCAAAATTACCTAACCTCGTTGCTTAGGCCAGACTGTCCCTTTTTCGGGACCCTTTCAACTGGAGTAACTAGCCCTGGGTTTCTTTGTCTAGCCTGTCTTCCCTATTTTCATCGGATTATCTCTGAGAAAAAAAACTCTAGGTGCTTTCGCAGATTCGAGACAGACCACAAAGCAGCTTAAGCAGGTAAGTCGCCCTGCTTCTATCGGACACCCTTTCTGGGCCTCGGTGCTTCTGGCAAAAAGATGCAAAAAAACTGACTAATTAGCGGAAATAGTGCTGGACCTCTCGCTTCAAGGCTAACCCAATCCTTGGGCAGCTATACACCAAAACCATGTCTGATATCCATAAGGGCACCCGTCACAGGAAAGGTGGTCAATCATAACCGACCATTTTTATGCATATTAAAGAAAAGGAATAAATGAGGCAATATCAATTTTTTAAATTTTTCTACTGTAGGCTTTGATGAAAGAGTTTTATCCAGCTCTATCAAGTCATGTGTCAGCTTTAGCTCTAAACAAAACTCAGAGTCACGCAAAAACGTAATGGAAAATTTATTATATAATCCATTGCCGAAAACTTTGAGAACACCATAAATTCCTGAGATTTTTGCAGGACAAGCAAAAATCAGCTTCATATGTCGAATTGTCTCAATTGGACGAATGGCATATACTATTAAAAAATAAAAAAGAACAATAAAATAAAAAGATATATTTCCTTATCTATAAAAAAACTATATATCCTTTTTGCATTAACAATAATAAATTAATCTTATTGGCAATATTTTTCATTAACAAAAGGTTTTGAAAAATGAGACTTTTCATGATCTAAATCAACCAGAAAATTTTTTAGTTTTTCTTTAAAAATATCTGTAATTTCAGTATATTTTTCATCTATTTTTTTCTGTTTTTCATAGGCTTCAGGTAGATGCTGCAATTGTTGATTTATCCTTGAAATTTTGGTAATGAAGTCAATTTCATCACACAAATAGTTTTCATATGTAGCAATGTCTCTGATGATTTCTAGCTGGTCACTTTTTGTCCTTAAAATTGCGCTTTTTATATCTTTAAGTCTTTTAAGCTTTAATTCACTAGATTTTGATTTAGCTTCTTCTGGCATTCTAAAAGTGTTAAATGTGGATGGGGCAATAGTTCCTGTTTTTGTGGATGCTGTTGTAACTCTTCCTAATGTCTGAGTCGGATTTTCAATTGTCTTTATTATGATTTCTTTATTTAAATTCTTACTACAATCAATTTTATTAATTATTTTTTAATAAAATCATATTTAATGAGAAAAATGCCCTTTTTTTAATAATTAAGAGAGATTTAGTGCTTTTGCTTTTTGTAATTGCTTTATTTGGGCATAATTGTACGTTATAGATGCCAATGTAACTACTGACCCTTCTCTTGCTGGGCTTATTAACTTCTTCAGTAGGGAATTTATCATGAGAAATCAGCTGTGAAACTTGATCATCGTAAAATTCTTTTGGCATAATTCCAAAACTTTTGGCTTTTGGTTTATGTGTTTTAGGAAAGATCATGAAATAATTAATAATGGAAATAAATGAAGCTATTTTAACCTCTATCTTATATAGAAACAGATTTTATTCTGCTATACAACTAAAATTCAAAAATACTGTATACAAAATTATATCTATATATATCAGTTTTATTTATTAAAAATAGTCTATTTTGCATACTAAACCAATGCTTTTATTCAAAATAATTGCTATAACTTATATAAACTTTAAAATATGACTGAACCACCCAAGAAGAAACACTCCAACAGGCCCAAGTCATCAAGATACCAAAGACACTCAGCTGCAGTCTCAAACTACCTGAAATTCCAAGAAGTCCAACAAAAGCACGAAGCTTTAGAAAAAATTACATCAGGCGGATCAGGACCTGTTATTCCACGCCCAGGAGAATTTGCAGTCTTTTCTCGGACTTTACAAGAAAACCCCTCTCGTGAAATGCTTCTGTCTGAATTTATGCAAACGGGCCTTTTATCATCCTCTACAACATTAGTTTCACAAAGAAGCATGCCTAATATAATGACATATAGACCTACGTTTTCCAGAGACTCAGCCAGGCCTATGCCTACAAACAGAGGACTATTTTCAAGAGATTCAGCGAAAACCAGTCCTATCAGAGATGAACAAAATGAAGAAACCCAAGGCGAGCTTATTTTAACAACTCAATTAAGAAATATCACAAAGCCACAGATACCTCATTTATTGACTTCAAGCAGCTTAGCAATGCTCAGTGATGAAGCTCCCCCAAGGCCTGATTCAAGGTATTCCAGCTTATTTTCATCATCAAGGCCTACTACAGCTGGAATTATCAGAAAATCAGGGATTGCACCTATACAAGATTGGACAGCAGCTAGAAATAGAGAACCTCGCAAAGCGCCGAAGCCAGATTATATTGTAAGAAAATCCAAAACACGAGGCTTAATTTCGTCAAGACCAAGCACTGCCCAGAGTCCATCTAAAATTAAGCAGCTAAGCCCTACAAACTTGCTTAATGAGACTAAAAAATTTGACGAAAAAATTGAAAAAAAGGACTTTTCTAATGTACCAAGAAAAAGAGACCCAAATGAAGAAAACCCAGGGTTCACGGTAACTGCGCCTTTAAATGTATTTATTGCTGGAGCCATAGAAGAAATAGGGAGAACAGAAAATACCAAATTTTTGCCTTTAGAAATGTATGACCCTGAGTCTGAGCTCGGGCCTGGTGAAGAGTTTATAAAAAGTGTGAAACAAAGGTATGGGAAAGCAAAGGCATATTCCAAATGGTTTTATCCTGATGGAAGTTATGAGTGGAAAGAATGCGAAATTTTGAGGTATAATAATGATATTGATAGATATGTTGTATTATGGCCTAATGGAAGCGAAAAAAATGTATCAAGGATCAATTTACGCCTTTTGCATGAAACTGAAGCGCATTTTGAAGAAAGACTGAAAATTGCAGGAAAATTCAGAGATTTAGCTGAAATTATTATGAAGTATACGAATATTATCACAGGAATGACGTCCCCGACTGTTTCTATGCCGCTAAGAATGGTTGAAGCTGTAATAAATCGTCTAAAGCCGAAGTTTAATAGTTCGCTTTTAAATTATTATAGAGTTCCAATGGAATTCCGTAGGTATCCAGCACATATTCACCATGATCCACGAAACCATCTATGAAAATCTGAAATTACCCATCTAATAGAAGAAACAATGCAATATAAAAAAATTGGCCTTGGCAGCATAGATGAATATAAAGATAGATATTACGATCATTTAGCTCCTATAGTCTTAACAACAAAAATCATGAAAAATCCATTCCAATTAAACCCTCCACAAATAGTCAGTCTAATCAACGAAGTAGAAGAAAATTTCATGTACGCCCAGCATAAAATGGAATTTGAAGCTGATCTCCCATACAATAAAGAAAAACAAGATTTATTCTGCGAAATTTTACCCCCTGAAAAATTCATACCTTATAGCGAAAAAAATTATGACACAAATAGAATAGGGGTAATAGAAAAGCTGGGCTTTGATTTCTGGGAAAGAGTTCAATATATTTCAGAAAACCTGCATCAAGCATTTCCTGATACTTTAAATATTTTGGTAAAACAAAACCAGCAGATTATTGAATTTAAAAATTTGATGCTTTTTAATACATTCTATATGGTACCTTATAAGCTTGAAAAAATGGTAAGAATGCATAAGGTAGAGACTTTGAACACGATAAGAGAGCTTAGAAATATTATGTTTGATACACAGTTTGGAATACAAGATATCATCAATAAAGCTAATGAAGAAAGAATTGGGAGAAATAATGCAAAAATAATGGCGAGGGCATATGAAAATCAAAGCATTGATTTAGAACACCAGCTAGCACCAGAAATTATTGTAAGGCTGAGAAAGCTACTTTGTCTTTGCAATCTTGGCTTTGAGCGTGAAATGAGAATATGCTTACTCTCTTTGTAGACAGGTAGGATATATGATAAATTCTTTTCTCTTAAAAATTTATAATTTAGCGAGATTTCTTTATGGTCAAAAATCGTAAATTTATTAGCGATTTCCTATTAAAACATTAATATAATCTAAAAATATTTTTCTATATAAAAAATATATATATTCCATATAGAGCAAAATTTTATATTTGATTACAAAGGAGGATTTAGAGCGATCATTATTAAATCTCCGTGATCAGCTTCACGAAATTAAAGATATGCTTTTCACTTCTATGAATATCGGCATTCCATGTGAAAGAAAAGAGATATGTGGTAGCGTCAACGGAAAAGGACTGTGAGGAGCTCCTATGGAGCAGGTAGGACCCATCACAATGATGGTGAAATAGTGCCCACGCCACTTTTGAGTAGGCCTTGGGGATGCCTGCCTATTCTATCTCTCCTCCGAAGTTTTCCTGTCCTTACCAGATGGGCTAGACCGATTTTGCCTCTCGCTTAATTTTTGGTTATCAGGACTATGGCATCATCTGCAAGAGGTGGCTCTAACGTAGGAAACTATCCTTAGATTAGGTGATAGCGTAGATAGCTTTGATTAATGATTATCCATTATAGCCTTTAACGATTTAACTTAACTTGTGAAAGAATCCCGTCCAAAGAAATGCTCAAAATATTCACCAACGAAGAATGGGATAAAAAAAACCGAAAACGCCCCTATTTTAAATGCGTTCTTATGACAAAAAAAACTGAAAACGATGGGAATTTTATTATTGACCCTAGTCTTGAGGACATCCAAGAGGCCATTGATGATATCATATATTCTGCAACCAAAGAAATCCAAGCAGTCCCCAGCATTGAAACTAGTGAGTTAGGTGCTGCCAGAGACCCTAATCTTATAAGAGTTGTAGAAGACAACGACGAATTTGTATTTAACGTCACAAATGAAATAAAAATACTTGTCGATGAGCTGTGAACAGTCCCTTATAGCTTGCTACAGATGCTGAAACCTTTTGAATTTCTTATAGGGCTGTCTGTCAAAGGCCTAAAGCAGAAATTTGAGCAAAAATTCAAAATTGAAGCAATTGACTATGAAATTAATAGATGTAAAGAAGCATCAGAAAGCCTTGAATTAATTTTTGGGAAAAAAGAACGGTTATACTGTGGACTTTTTGTGATTAAAATTGACCAAGTTCAGAAACAATTAAAAAATAAAATAAAAAAAATATTAACAGAGCTTGAAACCTTAATGCTAACAAAAGCAAAAGACCACGTCGCTAAGGTAGAAGAACAAGAAAAAGAAATCATTGAAATCATAGCCCACGAGCCTGCAAATTTAGAAGAGCTCAACGACATGAAAAACTTCATCGCAACCCATCTTGGGGAACGTTTAGAATACGTCAGTAACATTTTAGGGCAGCTTTTTGGGATTACTGAAACACTAGAAGACTATGGAATCCGTATAGATGACGATCTTTATTATAGGACTTGGGAAGCTTTTGGACTTGCCAAACGAACAATGAAGTACAAGAAAACATGTGAAAGGACTATAAGGTTAAAAGAAAGGGACTTTGCAGTACAGCTGACTGAAAGCCAATATGCTATAATTAAAGAAATTGAAGATATTCGTGACTTATTATTTGACTTGAAAAAAGAAAAAGATATAGAAAAGTTCGAAGAAGTCAGCAATGCATTTGGGTCGTTAAGGGACAGAATTGATAAAGCTATTGAATTTGGCAAAGTTATTAATGTAAGAGAAGGGATTGTAGGAATCCGAAGCACAGATTTCAAAGTTTTGGACTCAGTGAAATTAGAATTTATCATCAATTTAATGGAATGGTTATATTTTTTTATTTTTTTTTATAATGATTTTATTTAATTTTGGGTAGAATACTCCATCTTGTAAATTGTGGTTTTATATCAGAGACTTCTTTGAGCATCTTCCTATATGGATGAAAGGACACTTAGGAGAGCTTGACAGAGAATCAATAAATGCAGAAATCGAGCTGTATTTGACAGAGCTTACTAGAATGCAGAGAAATACCTTTAAAGATCAGCCGGCAGGCCTTAAACTTACAACTTCGCTGCTTGAAGAGGTTAATAAGTTTGCTCCTTATGTTCCGATTATAAAAGATTTAAGAAACCCTGGGCTAAGAGATAGACATTGGGAATTGCTACAAAAGAAAACTGGGCTAAGCTTAACCAAACATCTGAATATTTCTATGGAAACACTTATTGAGCAAGGAATTATGGAGTATCAAGATGACATTGAGGATATTTCTGAAATTGGTGAAAATTCTCAATTTTTTCCTAAATTAATTTAAAAATATTTTTTGAAAAAAAATCAGATTTCTGAAAGGGCGACAAGAGAACTCGCCTTAGAAAACGCAAAAATAAAAATGGAAAAAGAATGGGACGACATGAAATTCCGATTAGTTCCTTACAAAGATACAGAAATAAAATGGTGATGTTGACTGAAGATGGACTCGAAGCATCCCTATGGCGCAGATAGGACCCATCCAATGAAGCTGAAAATAGTGCCTCTGTCATTTTTAAAGTAGGCTTCGGGGATGCCTGCCGAAGAGGAAACTTTTTGTTTCTCCCCCAAGGTTTTTCCTTGCAAGGTGGGCTAGACAGGTTTGCCTCCCACTTAGTCTTTGCTTATCAGGGTGCAAGAGGTAACTTTGACCTATGAAGCTAATCCTTAGGTTGTAGGTTTGCATCAGATAGGCAAGCTAGAGTTTATCCTCTTATAGCCTTATAATCTCACTGAACTTTTTACAAAGATACAAAAATCTTCATCATCGAGAACAATCAGCCTATTTGGGATCTTATTGACGATAACCTCGTCAAAACAATTTCTATGTGCAATTCTCCTTATATTGAGTTTATGGCGAAAGAAATGCATGCCTGGAAAAATGGGCTTGTGAAGTTACAAGATATTCTTGATGAATGAGAAAAAATGCAGGGGTATTGGATATATCTAGCACCTATTTTTATGAACCCTGATATATCAAATGAGCTGCCAGAACAAGCTGGAAAGTTTGGGCATATTAATTTCATGTGGGAAACTATGATGAATCAAGTAAATTACAGCCCATTAGTGCTAGAAGTCACATTTAGCAACCCAAAACTCCATGAGCAGCTAAAATACAGCAACAGCACCCTTGATATTATTATGAAATCTTTAAATGATTATCTTAATATCAAGCGAAAAGCATTCGGGAGATTTTATTTTCTTGCAAATGAAGAACTTTTAGCATAATTAAAATATGGCGTCTTCGTCTGGGCATGGCCTCCCGGCCATGCAGCCTCGACACATATTTTAATTATATCCGGCAAGGTTTTAACAATCCAGAAATGGACAACAATGCTAAGTAAGCAATTCTGGTAATGTACAGAGCCTAGCCCTCAGTCCAATTTCAAGGTTGGGTTTTACCTCGAGGGAAAGGAAGGTTTGGATTTGGAAAGGGCAAGCCCAGCTGACTCTGCAGGTAATACCCAGAGCAATCGGGCAACTGCCTAGCGTGAAACCGGGTGTTACGTCCCGGGATCCAGATTTTTCCTTTTGCCGAAAGGTTGAACAGAAATTCCATTTTTTGGAATTTTTGGTTGGGCCAACCTCGTGACTCATGCAGCAGCCGCAGAAGTCCATAGTCCGCCCACTCAAAACTAGACCCGAAAGGGAAGGAGGAGACGTACGAAGCAGAACCCCACACTTCAGAAGTGCCATGGCGTCAGGCGCTGAAGGAGAAGAAAGACGGCGCCAGAGCTGAAACTCGCCCAGCAAGTCATTGTCCCAATTTCAATCAAGGCGAAGCTGAAGATGGCGCAAAGCGGATGAACCACCCGTATGGGTAGGTCCTTGGTGACTGCGTAACCAATAAGGCAGACGCCACCCTGTAAGTTTAAGTTTAAGTTTAAGAAGAACTTTTAGCAATTCTTTCAAATGCAAGAGAACTAGATATTGTGCAAAAATATATAGGAAAATGCTTTGAAGGCATTAATACGCTTGTATTTAATGATTAAATTAGAATGGGTCTTAAGGGTTATTTCACCCCCTCGCCGACTTTTTGGCTTCAGGCTGGTTGCCCTTGGCATCGGCTTGCACTTATGCCCTTTTCTATTGACGCTACCAAAAAAAAGTGACTTCACCATCTTTCTAGGAGACGTGCCCAGACGCTTTCCTTGGACAACTCCTAGCGATCGGCTTAAACTCTACCTGGGGATGGGATTGTAAGTGGACGTCCCAAATCCTCCTTCTGATCCCCATTACTCTCGCTTCATTAGATGCTTGGAGTTGTCTTTGCGGACTCTGGATTCCTTCTCTGTGGGTCGAGGAAAAAACCCCTGTCGTGGTGTCCAGACTGGGTGCAAGACAAATGACTTTGCCTTTTTTGATAGTGTCCATTTCACTGAAAAATTGATCGAAAATTTTTGATAGTGAGACATTTGACTGAAAAAAACGGTTTAATTTTCGGCCAAATGTCCACACTATCAAAAATTTTCGACCAAATGGATTTCGATGAAATGTAGGCTGTCAAAAATCTAAGGTCATTTGGCATGGAGCCGTCCAGACTAGAGAGAAAATGCCTACCATATTTTGCTAACAGGTTTCCCTTCAAGCAGCAGCAAGGTCCCCAAACTCTTAGGGTTCCGTGAGGAGGACAAGTTAGATAGCTCGCCATTTATTCATTTATATTTAATGATGAAAATGATATAATTGGTATGAAGAGTATTGAAGGAGAAGAAGTCATGTTTTTAGACAAAATTTCTGTATTTGAGAATAAGGAAGAAAAAAAGTTTAAATATGTAGAAGAATGGATGAATGAAATTGAAAAAATGATGAAAAAAACGCTGAGGAAGCTAATGGTTAACTGTGCAGCAGATAAAGGAAATAAAGGCTACCTTCAGTGAATACAAAGCTGGCCATCACAGCTGATACATGCACTAAATATGGTGTTTTGAACAAACAACTGTGAGGATGCTATTAAAAATTGTAAAATATTATAATTTTCATAAATTTATATGCAAAAATTTTAATAATTTTATTTAGATCCTTTAAAAATGGATATGAATCCTTGAAAAAGCTCTTATCAGAAGAATCAGATCGACTGATTGATATCGTAGAAATTGTCCGCCAAGACCTCTCAGACGAAACCAGGATTACCATCAGTGCATTAGTCGTCCTTGACGTCCACAATAAAGACGTCATAGAAAGCTTATACAATAACAAAGTCAAAGACATCAGTGACTTTGAATGGCTTCAACATCTCAGATATTATCTCCAAAGTGACACAGTCTCAGTCAAAATGATCGACACAGAGCGCGAATATGGCTACGAATACCTAGGAAATCAAGGAAGACTTGTAATGACACCTTTAACTGACAGATGCTATCGTACTCTTATGGGAGCTATTCGTCTCAATTTAGGGGGCGCTCCAGAAGGCCCTGCTGGTACAGGGAAAACAGAAACCACCAAAGATCTTGCCAAATCCCTTGCTAAAAAATGCGTCGTCTTTAACTGCTCAGATAAACTTGACCACATCTCAATGGCAAAGTTCTTTATAGGACTTTGCCACTGTGGCGCGTGGGCTTGTTTTGATGAATTTAATAGAATAGAGCAAGAAGTCCTTTCTGTAATTGCTGAAAAAAAAAATAAAAAATTTTTCTAATTAAAAATAAAAAAATTTTAAAAAAAAAAATTGCTGAACAAATTATGATGATACAGGTCGGGCTTATGAAAAATATGCCGAAATTCAGGTTTGAGGATGACTGGATTAAGCTTGATAACAGCTGTGCTATTTTTATTACTATGAACCCTGGGTATGCAGGGAGATCTGAACTTCCTGACAACTTAAAAGCATTATTTAGACCTGTCGCTATGATGATTCCTGACTATTCCATGATAGCAGAAATTTATTTGTATTCCTATGGGTTTAAAGATGCTATACTGATTTACTATGAATAGCCCAGTAATAATGAAGCCTAGGTTGAGCCAACAAATTCTTAATATATGAAAAATTAAAATTGATCTTTTGATTAATTAGATAAATAGAAAAGTGGAAATAGAGAGAGCCCTTGTCATAAGATCCTACAGCATTGGATAAAGGAATCTTGGTGATAATTTACCTGAGAAATTGTAAATTTGATTTCTTGAGTGCATATTTTTTCTATCCCCTAATGGCTCATCAAAAATGAATTGGAAAGCCATTTCTGGCCAGTGCATGAAATAAAAATTTTCATTTTCTATTGTCAGTATGAAAAATTCTGATCAAAATGTAAGATGACCACATCAGATAAATGCTTTATTATGGATATTAAAAATATCAACTATTATAGCTTGATTATGTTACATATGACATCGCATCAACAGCTAAAAATAAAATTTATTAATATTTTCTTTAAAATATGCTTGGATTGAAACCAAGTGCCAGCCAGGCAAATTTGGGAAGTTCGTCAGGTTCTATCTTTAATTTCGATTGACTATGATGCAACTTAACATGCTTATAAGGAGTGAAATATCAATTATTATAGCTTGCTGACATCGCACAGACAGCAGGAGTTCAAATCTATTAAAATTTTTATTTGAATGTACTTGGCTGGAGACCATGTGTCAGTCAGGCCAAATTTGGTAGTTCGTCAGGTTCCATCTTTAATTTCGATTAACTATGATGAAACTCAACATGCTTATAAGTATTGGAAAAATCAATTATTATAGTTTGTTATGATGCATATGATGACATCGCATCAACAGCTAGAAATGATTAGTACTGAAATTTTTGTTCAAATGTGCTTGGTTGGAGACCAGGTGTCAGTCAGTCCAAATTGTGCAGTTCGTCTGGTTCCATCTTTAATTTCGATTAGCTAGCACTAAATTTCAACCAATAAATTGGTATTGAAAAATCAATTATTATCGCTTGTTATAGTCAAATGGTATCGCACTGACAGCAGGAGTTCAAATCTATTAAAAATTTCTCTATGAATATGCTTGGTTTTAGACCAGGTGTCAGTCAGGCCATTTATGGCAGTTCGTCAGGTTCCATCTTTAATTTCGATTGGCTATGATGAAACTCAAAATGCTTATAAGTATCGAAATATCAATTCTTATTGCTTGATATGTTGCACATGACATCGCACCGACATCAGGAGTTCAAATCTATTAAAATTTTTGTTAAATGTGCATGGTGGAGACCAAGTATCAGTCAGGCCATTTATGGTAGTTCGTCTGGTTCCATCTTTAATTTCGATTGAATATAACGCAACTTAAAATGCTTATAAGTAGTGAAATATAAATTATTATAGCTTGATATTATGCATATAGCATCGCATCAACAGATAGAGTTCAAATCTATTAAAATTTCTCTTTGAAATTATTTGGTTGGAGACCAGGTGTCAGTCAAGCCATATTTGACAGTTCGTCAGGTTCCATCTTTAATTTCGATTAACACTGATCATACTCAACAGGGTAATAAGTATCTAAGAATCAATTATTATCACTTATTATAGCTTCTAGCTGTTCATGCAACATATTAAGCTATAATAATTGATTTTTAAATAGCATAATGTATGTTGGCAATAATGTTAGCTAATCATCTTTCATATTTATCAAATTAAAGATGGAACCTGACGAACTGCTCAATTTGGCCTGACTGACAACTGGTCTCTAACCAAGGACATTCAAAGTGAAATTTTAATAGATTTGATTTCCAGCTGTTGATGCGATGTCACATGCAACAATTCAAGCAATAATAATTGATATTTCGATACTTATAAGCATGTTAAGTTTCATCATAGTCAATCAAAATTAAAGATGGAACCTGACGAACTGCACAATTTGGCCTGACTGACACCTGGTCTCCAACCAAGCACATCCAAACTGAAATATTAATAGATTTGAACTCCAGCTGTTGGTGCGATGTCATATGCAACATATCAAGCAATAAGAATTGATATTTCGATACTTATAAGCATTTTGAGTTTCATCATAGCCAATCGAAATTAAAGATGGAACCTGACGAACTACCAAATTTGGACTGACTGACACCTGGTCTCCAACCAAGCACACTTAAAGAGAAATTTTAACAGATTTGATTTCCAGCAGTTGATGCGATGTCATATGCATCATAACAAAGCCATAATAATTGATCTTTCAACACCAATGTGTATGATCAATATAATTACTAGTTAATCATTGTCTCTACTAAATTAAAATTAAAGATGGAACCAGACGAACTGGCAAATTTGGCCTGACTGACACCTGGTTTTCATCCAAGCACACTTCAACAGAAATTTCAATACATATCATTTCCAGATGTTGGTGCGATGTCATAGGCTACATATCAAGCTATAATAATTGATCTTTTAATACCCTTGTGCATGTTGAGATGTAGTGCTATTGAATCGAAATTAAAGATGGAACCTGACGAACTACCAAAATTTGGACTGACTGACACCTGGTCTCCAACCAAGCATATTCATAGAGAAATTATAATAGATTTGATTTACAGCTGTTGATGCAATGTCATATGCATCATAGCAAGTCATAATAATTGATTTTTTCAATACTTATAAGCATTTTGAGCTTCATCATAATCAATCGAAATTAAAGATGGAACCTGACGAACTATCAAATTTGGCCTGACTGACACCTGGTCTCCAACCAAGCACATTAAACAGAAATTTTAATAGATTTGAACTCCAGCTGTTGGTGCGATGTCATATGCAACATATCAAGCTATAATAATTGAAATTTAGTGCCCATATATATGTTGAGATGCAGTGTTAGTTAATCGTCTTTTATGATTAATCGAAATTAAAAGATGGAACCTGACGAACTGCCAAATTTTGCCTGACTGACTTCTTGCTTTTATCTAACTCCCCCCCCCCCTCCGTGAGCGAACAAAAAAATTTGTTCGCTCACGGAGGGGGGTTAATTTTTTTTTTTAAAAAAAATTTATATATAAATTTTATAAAAAATATTTTTTTCGAAATTTAAAAAAATCCTAATTTGCAAAAATTGGGAAGCAAATATTAATTTAATTTGCAAAATTTATGTTTTAAAAACGCAATTTGTTTAAAATTAAACAGAATTAGCTCTAGATTTCATTATACTAATTATCACTTATATATCAAAATTTTTTTCCATTAAAATTTTTTCTATTAAAAAAATTTTTTGTTCACTCACGGAGGGTGGGTTTTTGGTCAAAAAATGGCGATTTTTCTAATGGTTTTGTTCGCTCACGGAGGGGGGGGGGGGAGTAAGCACATTTTAAAGAAAAATTTAATAAATTCGATTCTCAACTGTCGATGCGATGTCATATGCAATATATTACACTCAATTATAGATATTTCAATACCCATAATAAAGCCTTTATCTGATGCTAGTCGTCTTACATTTTAACCAGAATTTTCCATACTGACCATAGAAAATTGAAAAATTTTTATTTCATGCGCCGGCCAGAAATGGCTTTCCAAGTCATTTTTGACGCACCATTAGGGTATAAATAAATATGCGCTCAAGAAGTCAAACTTCCACCACTTCTCAGGTAAACCATAAACTAAGTTAAATTAAACACAGTTTTCTTATTCAAAAATTATCTCCTTATTATTACGATTTTCTATTTGTCTCATTTATCAAAGGCTCAATTATATTTTTCATATATAAAGAACTTGTTGGCTCAACCTAGGCTTAATTATTACTGGGCTATTCATAGTAAATAATTATAGAAGACTTGCAGTAAAATTTATAACAAGCTTAAGATTAGCAAGTGAGCAGCTAAGCAGCCAGAAGCATTATGATTATGGGATGAGGGCTGTAAGCACAATTATTAAGAGAGCTGGAGCTTTAAAAAGGGATAGGCCAGAAGAAGACGAAGACCAAATTGTTCTGCAAGCAATACAAGATAGTAATGTCCCAAAATTCCTAATTGAAGATGTTCCACTGTTTTTAGGCATCACAAGTGATTTATTCCCACAGATTGAATTAGAAGAAGCAGAAAATTCTGAAATGAACTCACTCATTTATGATGTATTAGAAGAGCTTGGGCTTGTGTGGAAAAAAGAGTTTGTGACTAAAGTATTGCAGCTTTATGATATTATACAGATTAGGCATGGAATGATGCTTGTAGGAAATGCAATGTCTGGAAAGTCGTCTATAATTAAAGTTCTAGAAAAAGTTTTGAGCATGAAGAATGCTTTTGATGATCCCAAAGCTAATAAAGTCCAAATAGTCTGAATAAACCCCAAATCAGTCACTTTAGAACAGCTCTATGGTGATGCCAACCCCTATAACCGAGAATGGGTCTATGGAATCCTCAGCCATTACCTCCTGCATTTTGTGGAAAGCCAAACTAACAACTTAAAATGGCTTATTATGGATGGGCCAGTCGATGCTATTTGGATAGAAAATATGAACACAGTGCTTGATGACAATAAAAAGCTTTGTCTCAGCAGTGGAGAAATCATTAAACTTACCCCAATGATCAGCATGCTCTTTGAAGTCGAAAATTTAGATCATGCTAGTCCTGCAACCGTAAGCAGATGTGGGATGATTTATGTTGACCAAGACGACGTCTTAGGCTGAAAAGTAATTTTTGAAAAATGGCTAAAGTCTTTGCCAATTGCTTATAGAGCTCCAGCATATATAAGTCTGATAAGAGAAATTGTAGGATATTTTGTAGAACCCTGCCTGAATTTTGTAATGAATAATAAAAGCTTCCCTAAAGTACTTGGAGTTTCAAAACTGTGGCTTGTCAGCAGTTTATTAAAGGTTTTTGAAGCACTGCTGCTAAAATCAAGCAAAAGTAAAGCCAAGCTTAATGATGATATTACTGAATACAATCGTAAGCAGACTGCCCAAGGCTCAATCGTAAGGAAACAAGTATCTAGACTTTCTTCAGTAGTAGACCAAGGCAGAACCCCGCTACGCAAACTGACCCAGAGATACACAAAAAAAGAAAATTTATTGACAAGTGAATTTGTATTGAATGCTAAAGATATAGGAAAAGCACAAAAATCTGAGGTGTTGTGCTTTTTTTTATTTGCGTTGACCTGGAGTTTAGGGTGTATAAGCAATGAAAATGGGAGAAGCCAATTCAGTGAATTTTTAAGTGACCTTTATTCTAGAAGTCTAGGTAGAAAAGGAGCAGAAGGTCTTGATGCTTCTAAAGAGCTTGACGAAATTTACCATAAAAACAATGCTTTTTCTATGTATTATAACTATGAAAAAAAGCTGTGGTCGACTTGGCATGAAATGGTGCTGAAAGCTCCTAACTCCCCCCCCGTGAGTGAACAAAATCATTAGAAAAATCGCTATTTTTTGCCAAAAAACCCACCCTCTCCGTGAGTGAACAAAAATTTTTTTAATACAAAAAAATTTTATGGAAAAAAAATTTGATATATATGATAATTATTATATTGAAATCTAGAGCTAATTCTGTTTAATATTAAATGAATTGCTTTTTAAAACATAAATTTTATAAATTAAATTAATATTTGCTTTCCAAATTTTGCGAATTAGGATTTTTTTTAAATTTCGAAAAAAAATATTTTTTATAAAATTTATATATAAAAATTTTTTTTTAAAAAAAAAAATTAACCCCCCTCACAAAATTTTTTTGTTCACTCACGGAGGGGGGGGAGTAAGGAAAAAGTCCATGAGCTAAGCTCGCTAATTGTCCCTACTGAAGATACAGCTGCTTATTTGTATCTGCTAAATAAGCTGGTGCCAAGAGGAAACCATGTGCTTATTACAGGAGCCACTGGGACTGGTAAAAGTGTCATCGCTAATTCCCTCCCTGGATTAATGTTTTTACAAAATTTTTATATAAGTTTTATAGTAATTTTTTTTAAAAATATCCTGATTCGCAAAAATTGGAAAGCAAATATTAATTTAATTTGTAAAATTTGTGTTTTAACATGCAAGCTGTTTAAAATAAAACAGAATTAGCTAGAGATTTAATTATAATAATTATCACTTGCATATAAAAAATTTGTTGTTAATTACAGAGGTGGTTTTTTGGGCAAAAAATGGGAACTTTCCAATGGTTTTGCTCGCTCATAGAGGAGGAGTAAGAAATTTATATATGAGCTTGACCCACAGAAAAATATAAATGTCATGAGTACGTTAAGTGCCCAATCATCTTGCAATCAAGTTCAAGATATTATTGAGTCAAAAATAATTAAAAGGAAAAAAGGCTACTATGGCCCTGAGCTCGGGAAACATTGTATTGTCATGATTGATGACCTAAATATGCCTGCCAAAGAGCAATATGGTGCACAGCCAGCTATTGAAATATTACGGCAAGCTATTGATCGATGTGAGTGGTTTGATAGAGAAACATGTGATTTAAAAATACTAGAAGACATGATATATTTAGGAGCTATGGGACATCCAGGTGGTGGCCGTAACCGTATTTCATCACGAATGACTCGTCATTTTTGTTTACTTGATTTTACAGAATTTAACAAAGAATCCTTAGAAAATATTTTTACCTCTTACTTGCACCTCGGTTTCCAAGAGCATTCCCAATTTGTTAAAAGTGCCATAATCTCTATCGCATCCGCCACAATTGACATCTACCACAAAGTACTCACCGCCTTGCCTCCCACCCCTGCTAAAAGCCACTATACCTTTAATCTGCGAGACATCACCAATATTTGCTTATGCATTACTTCAGTCCCATCAGTAAAAATTCCTATAATTGAAGTCCTCTATCGGCTCTGGATCCACGAATGTTTACGAGTTTTTTCTGACAGACTTATTAACGACAAAGACAAAAATATTTTTATTGGAAAACTCAAAGAAACTTTCCAGCATTGGATGCATGAGGACTATGATAATATTACAGGCGGCCATGAGCCTATTTTTTGTAATTTTATAGAAGAGCCTGTATACCAAGAAGTCAGTACGATAGACGCTGCTAGAAAAAGGCTAGAAGTGGTGCTATATGAGTATAGTATTAAGCATAAAGGAAATGCTGAACTTATTATGTTTGACTACGCAGTTTATCATATTATAAGGATATCAAGGATAATTTCATTGCCAAGCGGGCATGCATTGCTTATAGGAATAGGAGGGAGCGGAAGGGTTTCTTTATGCAAGCTTGCAGCTTTTATACAGGAATATAATGTTTTCCAAATACAAATGTCGAAATATTATGATATAGGAGAATGAAAAGAAGACTTAAAAAACCTGTTTAATAGCGCTGGGCAGGAAAATCAAAAACAAGTTTTTCTAGTAAAAGACACTGATTTAAACAAAAATATTTATTTTGAAAATATAAATAATATTTTGAACTCAGGAGAAGTCCCAAATCTGTACACTCCGGATGAAAAAGACTTTATAGCTGAACAAATGAGAGAAAAAAGAGGAAATTCAATAAAAACTTCTATTGAGAGATGGGAGGAATTTGTTAAAAATTGCAGGAAAAATCTTCATATTGTGCTTAGTATGTCAGATACAGGGGAAAATTTACGTCAAAAGTTAAGGCAGTTTCCGTCATTTGTGAATTGCTGTACGATAGATTGATTTAATGTGTGGCCGGAAGAAGCACTAGTGACTGTAGCAAAACAGTATGTGAGGGAAAGCGGAATTTTGACTGGGACTGACGCTGAAGAAGTAATGGATAAAACTTGTGTTTATATCCATCAGAGTGTGCTGGAATTTTCTGAAACTTATTATATAGAAACTATGAGAAGAAATCATGCAACTCCTGCTAACTTTTTGCATTTGCTCATGAATATTAAAGGTCTTTATGAGTATCCTTTTTATATTAAAATTTAGTTTTTTTTATTTTATTTAAATTTAGCTTGTATTAATTTAAATTTTGTATATAAAAAAAGAAAACTACCATGGCTCTTACTCCACACCAGTAATAAACAATTTCTTGCTCATTCGTGGGAATTTTTTCAAATAGTAAATTTAATAGAAAATTGCTTATTATTAGGATAAATGCCCAAACTTTGCATTAATCAGATCTATGCGGATTAAATTAATATTTAAAATTTATTAAAAGCCCCACGAATAAGAAAGAAATTGACTACTACTTGGGATAGTTAGAGAAAAATATACGATTGGGGTCCAGAAATTAGACGATACTCAAGAAATTGTAGAACAGCTCAAAAAAGAATTAATTGAGCTTAAGCCTGTTCTAATAGAAAGTGCAAGAGAAACAGACGAAATCATGAAAAATATTCAGCGGCAAAACGCTGAGGCTGATAAAACTCGAAGTCTAGTTGCAGCAGAACAACAAGAGTCAGCTGTACAAGCAGAAATTGCCGAAAAAATGAAGCAGGAGTGTGAAGAAAAATTAAGCCTGGCGCTTCCAGAGCTAGATGCAGCCAAGCGAGCCCTTAAAACACTAAAGAAACAAGAAATCAATGAAGTCAGAAAAATGCTAAACCCTCCTGTAGCAGTCAAGCTTGTCGTAGAAGCTGTCGTCATAATAAACCAAGAAAAGCCTATAAAAATCCCAGACCCCAACGACAAATCTAAATTTATTTACGATTTCTTTGAAGCCGGCAAAAAAATGATGAACAATCCCAAATTCATCCAATTACTAAAAAAATTCAATAAAGACAGCTTGACTCAAGAAGTAATTGACCGTCTACAACCTTATATCTCGAACCCCAAATTTGAGCCCAGCACTGTAAAAAATGCATCAAACGCTGCTGAAGGCCTCTGTAAATGGGTTATGGCTATGGTAAATTACTTTAATGTCAGCAAAGATATAAAGCCTAAACAAGAAGCCCTTAATAAAGCTAACGACACTATGGCAGAAAAATTCAAAATTCTCCAAGAAAAAGAGCAGCTGCTTAAAGGTGTGGAAGAACAAATAAGGAATCTTAAGCTGCAATTTGAAGAAAAAGACGCCAAAAAGCAACAATTGATATCTGATATTGAAAAATGTGAGCTTAAAATGGCGAGAGCTGTCAAACTTATAGAGAAATTGGGAGGGGAAAGGAAAAGATGGTCACAAAGGATAACTGAGCTTACGGAAAATATGAAAAATCTGCTGGGGGATATCGTTTTGTCAGCAGGGGTTGTATCATATTTAGGGAATTTTATTGGCAGCTATAGAGACCAAATAGTGCAAAAACAGTGGATTCCTTATATTTCAAGCCTGAAATCAGTCACCTGCTCAGAAGATTTTTCATTAAAAGACGTGGTTGGTGACCCTCTTCTGATACAAAACTGGATTTTATATGGTCTACCAAACGATAAAATTTCCATTGAAAATGCCTTGATCATTGAAAGGTCCAAACATTGGCCACTAATAATAGACCCACAAGGGCAAGCAGTCAAATTTTTAAAGAAAAAAGCTCAAGAAGAAAGAGACCAGCTTGTAGTGACAAAGCCATTTTTCGAAGAATTTATGACAACTTTGGAAAATGCCTTATTTGTAGGCGCCACTTTAATTTTAGAAAATGTCGACGAAAAAATTGACCCAATTCTTGATCCTATTTTATCTAAAAATTTCTATGAAGAAAACGGTGTAAATCTCGTAAAAATCGGTGATACCCAAAAACAGTGTGACCCCCGCTTCAAGTTTTACATGGCAACTCGCCTAGTAAACCCTCATTACGGCCCAGAAATCGCTTCCCGTGTCACTATTCTAAATTTCACCATCACCCAAGAAGGTCTCATCGAGCAGCTTTTATCCTTAGTCTGTATGAAAGAGCTTCCAAAAGAGTCCAAAGACCGAAACTTCCTGGTCATTCAAAATGCCAGTTTTATGAAAAAACTTCAAGAAATCGAAGACCAGATCTTAAAAATGCTACAATCAGCTGGAGATACCATTTTAGACGACGAAAATCTGATTAACCAATTAACAGTTTCTAAAGACACTGCTGAAGAAATAGAAAAAAAGCTGCAGACCTCTAGGACTAATGAACAAAGAATTCTTGAATTCCAAAGCAATTATAGACCTGTCGCTGATTTAAGCTCAGTCCTTTATTTTTGTGTGTCTGATATGGTGAATATTGACCCGATGTATTTTTTCTCATTAGAATGGTTTAGCTCACTATTTGTGAGGTCTATTGGAAAGGCACAGGCTTCAAAAAATATACAGACCAGGATACAAAATTTGATATCGACGTTCAGACAGGAGCTATTTTTAAGCATTTGTATGTCTTTGTCAGAAAAGGATAAATTTTTATTCAGTTTTCTTATGGCAATTAGGCTTCTCCAGCATGATGGGCTGCTAGATTCGAATGAGTTTAGATTTTTATTGACTGGGCTTAGCGGGTTTACCTCAGAAGACGAAACCAGACAGCACCCGATTAATCAGTTTAAAGAAGCTTTTGAGGACAAAGTCTGGGACGAGATTTGTGAGCTTTCTTATTTATCAGCATTTTCCCAAATTAAAGAAAATATTCAAAATAATATAGAAGAGTGGAAAAAGTTTTCTCTGTCGACCCGAGAATTCACCAAAATTCCAGAATTTGACGAATTTGTACAAGACCTCCCAGATCCTTATAGCCAAGAAACTTATTCTGATATAGAAAAATTGCTATTGTACAGAGTAATCAGGCCAGAAAATGTGACACAAGCTATCTATGCATTTATCAAAAAATATTTAGGGGAATTTTATTTAAAGCCTCCATTATTAAGCTTAGAAAACGCCTTATCAGAATCCGAGCCTTTGACACCGTTAATTTTTATATTAACTAGTGGGAATGACCCTCAATCTATCCTAAAAAGATTTGCCTCAGAAAATAACATGAATTTGACCTCACTGTCTTTAGGTAAAGCTCAAGGTGAAAAAGCAGTCAGGATTATAAGGGAATCTATTAGTTCAGGAAGCTGGGTGCTGTTGCAGAACTGTCATTTAGCATTATCATGGATGCCAGATTTAGATGGACTATTAGAAAGGCTTATAACCGACAGAGAAAAAAAAATGGTAACAATAAATCCTGATTTCAGACTGTGGCTGACCTGTAAAAGTAATGAAAAATTCCCTATCACAATTTTACAACAAGGAGTAAAAATTACACATGAGCCTCCAAAAGGGTTGAAAAATAATTTAATTAGCATTTATCAGAGGATTAATATGTCAAAAGAGGACAAGCTGCTATATGAAAGCAGCAAGAAACCAGAGGAATGGCATAAATTATTTTTTGGGTTAGCATTTTTCCATTGCTTGATAAGGGAAAGAAAGAAATTTGGAGCGCTAGGGTGGAATGTGCAGTATGAGTTTAATGATTCAGATTTAAATATATCAATGAGACAGCTGAAATTAATGATAGACAACTACACAACAATTCCTTATAAAGCCCTAAACTATTTAGCTGGGGAGTGCAATTATGGAGGTAGAGTTACAGATGACTGGGATAGAAGGACTCTTAAATGCTTGCTCAGTGACTATTATAGAGACGACATGCTATATGACCACCACAGATTTAGTGAGTCTCCTATTTATTATGCCCCTCCTAACTCAAATGATATAGAACAGTATATCTATTTTGTCGAAGAATTTCCTTATGAAGAAAGTCCTCAGGTGTTCGGACTCCACGAAAATGCCAAAATTACCTATGACAGAAAAGAAACCTATGATTTATTCCACAGGCTCCTAATGCTTCAGCCACGCGCCCACGTTGTCTCTCGTGAAAACGAAAAAAACGAAATAAATGCTTTGACTGGAGAAATTTTAGGACTATTATCAGAAGAATTTGATATTAAAGAAGCCAAAAATAAATACCCAATAGTCTATGAACTTTCTATGAATATTGTGCTTGTCCAAGAACTTCTCAGATATAACAATTTATTAAGAATCATCAAAAAAACAACAGAGGAGCTGAATAAAGCAATGGCTGGAGAAATAATCATTACAGAAGACCTAGAAAACATGGCAGCAAGCTTATTAAGAAACCAAGTCCCTACTGCATGAATGGAATTTTCTTATCCTTCATCTAAACCACTACTCAGTTGGTCCCGCGACCTCGGAAAAAGGCTATCATTTTTCCAAAAATGGGTCAATGAAGGCCCACCTAGTGTATACTGGATTTCAGGTTTTTTCTTTACCCAAGCATTTTTGACAGGAAATCTTCAAAATTGTTCAAGAAAATACACCTTGCCTATTGATTCTTTAGAATTTACCTTTGCTATTAAAGATGATATCACTTGTGATGAGGAAGGAAATTATAAAGCAGAAACTCCAGAAAATGGCTGTTATATTCATGGGCTTTTTATTGAAGGAGCAAGATGGAATTCAGAAATAAACCAATTAGATGAGTCATTGCCGAGAGCACTTTTTTCAAGCATGCCAGTCATGCATTTGAATCCAGGAGAAAAAAGCAAATCTGAAGGAATTTATTATACTCCAAGGAATGTGACAAAATATTTTGACTGTCCAGTTTACAAAACAGCAAATAGGGCAGGAGTGCTGTCAACAACTGGGCACTCTACTAACTATGTAATGACTGTGAAATTGCCATCTGTGCATCCAGAAAGCCACTGGGTTAAGCGAGGAGTTGCTTTATTAACACAGCTTGATGATTAGTTTAATAAAAATTGATATTCATTTTATTAATTTATGTTAAAATACATGGATTTGGCATTATCAATAGATTTTTTTTGAATTAAATCCTATATCATGGTTTGTGTTTGCTCACCTACTGAGATTGATGAGCATGATTTTTTCTTTTTGATGATTCGGACTGAGCCGCATGGGTATAAAGATGATGGCTTGGCTTTTAAACTTTGACCTGAAAGTTTAAAAAATTGGGAGAGCTGAGGCATTGAAGGAGTTTTTATGGCTATAGATACTTCTAAAAAAGGTGATTTTCACCTTTTACTGAGAGTAGGTTTTAAATTATGTGGGCTATTTTTAGTTTTTATTTCTGGGCATGAGAAATTCCTTTGAATTCTTGGAGTATTTTGCTTCGAAAGTTTTGTTATAAACAATGAGCTTTTCGAGTTCGGAGGGTTTTCAAACTTTGTCTTCTGATTATCATATGTCTCGACAGTTTCAACACTTGCTCGTCTTCTTTTAATGCAATTTCTAATCTTTTCCATCTTGAAGCACATATTTTATTATCCAAATTAGTTTTTTCTTATTAAATTTAATTAAAAATCATCATCTGATCTTTTCTCATTTTTATAAACTATCTTACGAGAATAATCCATAACTTTTTCAGACAGCGTCGGGAATAGCAACCTTCTTCCCCACTGTCATGCCCCATCCAGCGATACTACAAATAAAGTAGTTGTAATAATTGTAATATAGAAGTATTGCGTGGCAAAAAGCTGGTAAAGTGTCATATTAGACGGAGTACTCGTAAAAGGGTCATAAATCACAATAAAAACAATATAAGCTAGTATGCTGGTTATCCCCATTGCAAGAAAATGCCAAAGATTCCAATAATTAGTGTTTATTCCAAGCTTAAAATTGACAATCAAAATAATAGAAGAAAAAGAAGTTATTGCAAAGGTCCAGTGGTCATAATTATAGCCTTTAGAAGTCATTATGCCTTCTTCTGATGCGTAGAGAGGGATAAAAAATATTATTACAGAGTGCAAAAAGCCATTAGCAAGCCAACCCCAGAATTTTTTAGCTGTAAAAATCTGGTTTAGACGCCCTACATCATAAGTTATTGGGATTAATTTGCGTAGAGTATCTTTTCCGCTTGCTAAAGTAGCACCTACTTCATATCTTTTAGGGATTTTTATGTCTATTTCAAATAGAGCTCTTGCGATTAATGGTAAAGCGGTAAATACCATATTGTAAAAAGTTAAATATCAGTCGTCATAAAGGGTTTCTCCACTATAAGCACAATAAAATCCATAGTAAAATTGAGGGATGGTAAATATAAGATTTTTATAGAAAAAAATATTCTGGATAGATCATTTGTTGTGTCAGGAATTGAGGCAGAGCTTATATATCAATAGAAATTAGGCTATTTAAGGTAAAAGTTATCTATATTTCAATAAAGATTAGCTTACATGATCATCTGACTCTGTCTAATATAATTAAATCTGCCATGCACCAGCAGAAGTTCCCACAGATATCTAAATTCCCCTATTGCATAATCACTTGCCTGTACAGCTTGCATCCCTTCTTCTCCATATATTCCTACACCAATATGGGCTTCTAAAATCATAGAAACGTCATTCGCGCCATCTCCAACTGATAATGTGACTGACCCTGTATGCTGTTTCATCAATTTAACAATACTCTGCTTTTGTCCTGGAGTCACTCTGCAGCAAATGACAGTTTTACAACCCAATGATATTTCTAAGAAAAGCTGTCTTATTTTGGCTTTTATTATTTCTATTTTTGCAAAATAACCTTATCATTATAATTTTGAAGAAAAAATTTAATAAAAAACATATTTTAAAAATCTGAGAAATTAAGACCCATTCTTATTTTGGCTACTTTCTCGAGATCGTCATATTCTGAGCCTTTTTTTACTATAGGATCATTAGGATTATACAGAACAAAATCCAAGCAGTTTCCTTCTATCACAAGGGCAGTTTCTTTTTGTCCTTTAACACTGAGGAACTTTTTATTAATTTTTTTTAAATTTCTATAGCATTTTTTTAGCTCCATCTTTGGGCATCTCCCCACTTCCATATTTTCATCAATTAACGACGCAGTTTTCCCTATATTTTCTGCAGTTTCCAGTTTATCTCCAGTGAGCATCCAAATATTGATCCCAGCTCTCAATAAATCCTGAATTGTCGCTGGGACTTCATCTTGTAGCGCATCTTCTACAGCTGTGCATCCTAACAAAAATAAGCCTTTTTCAATTTCTTCTGACAATTCTTCAACTTTTGCTTCTCTCCCTTCAATTAAAGTGCATGCTTTATCATACCTTGATTTCCAGTTTTCAAAATATTCATCATCAATATATTTAAAGGTAAAAACCAAGGTACGGTAGCCTCGCTCTGAAAACATTAATAAATCCTTATTAATTTTTTCTATACTAGGATGAATTAATTTTATTGATAGATATAAAAGGAAATGTTAAAAGAAAATTTAAGGAAAAATGGATAAATATTCTTTGGAATTTTCTGGGGAAAGCATTGGGATTATTCGAGTGTCAGCACCTTTGGTAAACAAAATATGTTTGCCTGTCTTTAAGTCAGTCACGAGGACTGAACTTCTTTGACGACTAGAACTAAATTCTAGGGTGCAAGTTTTGTCAAACTGTAAGACTTCAATTTGGTCATTTATCCCAAATGGCGTCTTGTGTAGATTAATAATACTTGCTTTGACTTTTGCATAGGTGTAGCCAATATTATGGGCACAATCCACTAGGACGATTTCATCTGGGCTTTGTCCAATATAATTAATTTCGTTATCCTTTTCTTCAATTAAGCATTCATGGCATAGAGCCATGCACTTGATAAATAAATCAAGCAGTTCCTGCTGGGTAGAAACCATTTCTTTTCCATCACCATTATCATAGGTTATAGGATGCACCAATGGGATGCTTTCTTCTCTAGTAAATAAATCATTTTCTATATCTTTAGTGTTAAAGGTAAAAATTAAAGCTTTGGTAGCTTTGGAGATGGCTCCATATTTATTTTAGGTTTATTTCCCTAGTAGACATTTTTCTGGATTTTATGCTTCATAAAGCCATTATTTTTACATCAAGTTAAAAATATCGATACCCTGTAGGGGAAATTCATCAGCTAAAATACCTGCCACTTTGGAGACCACTGATGTAAAATGTCGGCTGAGCAAAAATTTTCGCTCGCCATACATTTTATTGCCGACTGTGCAGAATTTGAATTCCATACGGTTACGAGTAAGAGTGCCAGTTTTGTCTGAAAAAATGTGCTGGATCATCCCCAATTCTTCATTTAGACTAAATGCTGATACCTTGCAGGGCCTATCTCTTATAGTGCTATACATTGAAAGGTCTTGCTGCATAAAATAGCCTTGCATTAATTTCAAAATTTCTAAAGAAACTATAAGAGAGATTGGCAGCATTGTATTTAACAGTAAAAAGTACGTAAAGTAAGTCAAAAATCCTTGAAGTCCTGGACTATAAGTATTTCCATCTAAATAATGGCTATCATCTCCATACTTGCTAGCCCAAACTCCTGATAAAATAGCATGTATAAAGCACAATGAAAATTGTATAGCTAAAATCCCAATAATATATTTATATTGTGCTTATATGATTTAATTTATGCATTTTATATAGCTGCTGCATTATTTCTATAAAAATGAGATTTAGCTTTATTAATAGCATAAATTTCTCTTAAAAAGTTAAGTATATTTACAATTTTTTCGATCTGGCTTTGTTTATACCTTCTTTTCATCAGATTCATCCTCAGCTTCGTTTCGGTCCCTGTATAGACCGCTACTCCAATTGCCCATTTGGTATTCCTTAAAAATGCTCCTGCAAGTAGCAAATTGTCCTTTGTAATTGAGTGTTTTTGATTGTTGAATTCTATTGTACCTTTGAATTCATAGATTTTAGCATTAGGATGGTCACATTCAATTAGAGAAAACATTCGAATAAATTCATCTTTTTTTATTGTATTCATAGTAATAGGTAAGGCAAGTCTTGGCTTCAAAGCTTTTTCGCCATCAAGGCTTGAAGTTTCTATGCTTTTTTAGGAAGATTTCTATATAGTCAACTTACAAAATGTAAATATTTAATTTATTGTTAAGGGGTTTATATAAGCAATCCCATTTTCTGACTCCCTGGGAAAAAAATCAATTCTAATATAAAGCAGTTATTTTTTTAAAGTTTTATTAAAATTTCGAAAAAATAATTTTTAAATTCTAGCTCATTTCTCCCTTTTAAAATTGTGCAAGATTATAGCAAATTTGGGTGTTTGTGACGTTAAATTGGGCATAAAAGCTATTCTCTAGAAACTATAATTTTTATCTAACATAGATAAAATTTTGTCCCTATTTTAGCATCCAAAAAATGAATTTTTGTTCCACTTTAAAAGAGGGATTGAGGAATTCGAAAGCATAACTACATCACAAGGAAAAGCTTCGTCCTTTTCTATACAAATAATGTTGCCTACTTCAATGTCTTTAAAAGGCTTTTTCTCAAATTTTCCATTACAATAAATTCCGGTCTCAGTAGAATTCGTTTCTTTATCTGCCTTATATCTTAAATAGTCTTCAAAACCATCACGGATAATAGATACTGCCAAAACAAAGCAGATTGGTGCAATTGCAGTATAAGAAGTTAATGCAGAGATCTGAGGAATGGACTGTAGCACTGCAATTATTAGAAAGTATATATCAAATTCTATATAAATTGCCTTATTTGTTTATTAAATAATATTATTCTTAATCATTACATTTTATTTTACATTTGGAAGCCTCTTAAACTGCTCTAAAAGACTTAGTGGTAGAAATGTAATTATGTTGTATTTCGTCGTGCTGACATAATTTGATGGAAATTTCTTCAATTGATTTAGTTCAAACCCATTCACATATAGAGATCGCTGTGAGCCAACTTCCGAGACCTGGGCCATTTTATTATATAAATCTGTAATTTTATCTATGATTTGCTCATATTTGTAAGCATAACTAAATTTTCTTTATTTTATGTAGATGAAATGTCTAAATAATCGTAGTTAAGAATTATTTTTTCGGCTTCCCTTTTTTGTCTTCTTCTTTGCTGTCTTCGAACTGTGATTCCTGGCTTGCAATGATTCTTTGGATTTGGGTTTTGCTGGTCTCAACTATGTAGCCTCCCATTATCATTTCGTCAAGTATATAATATGCCTTGTGGAAATTGAAGATAATGTCAAGCTCGCAGACACTGTTAAAATATTTGTCAAGGACCTCTACAAATGAATGAATTATATTGAGCATGCTGAGCTCGTTATCTTCTTTATCGACTGCTGCCACAAAATATAAGCTTGCATACCTCTTGGTAACTAAGATCATGTCACGCCATTCTAAAAAGTTGCAAAGCTTGCTGTTTCTACCTATGACTGTTGTTTTTATCTGAATTTAAAATACTTCTTTTAGCATTTTATCTCTTTCTCTTACTCCCCTCCTTTATAAGCGATCAAAATCTTTGGAAAAATCTCTTATGACCTCTAAATGCAAACTAAACCATTTTTTGAGAATAAAAACCAGACTTTTCAAAAAATTACCATGTGGGACAAGCAAAATTTTTTTGCTCACTCAAGAGATGAGTTATAGGAAAAGCAGTGTAAAATTTTGATAACCTGATTTTTCCATGCCGGCTGATCAAAAGTAAGAAGTGGATCATTTATAATGCAAAAGTAGCAGAATAAATAATTTTACATAAAATAAATAAAATAAAAACCATCGAGATGGCTATATGGGAATTAATTGGAAAGAAATCATGCTAATTAAAAATTTTTTTTATGTAATATTAATTTACAATTTTCAGCCCGTTTTTTTATGTGTATTTTAGCATGATTAGCTGGAATTTCATCTTCAGTTTCCCCTAAATTCTGAACTTTATAAGCAGGGAAAATTGGGTTCTTAATAATCTGGAAACTTCATTTTCCCTCCTCTTTCGTTTCTCCTAAAGCTGCATTTTTAAATTTCAAGGATCGAACTTTTATATGTTTTCACAATATTTATAATTAAAATATGGCGTCTTCGTCTGGGCATGGCCTCCGGCCATGCAGCCTCGACTCATATTTTAATTATATCCGGCAAGGTTTTGCCATTTCGGAGATGGACGGCAATGCTAGGTAAGCAATTCTGGTGGAGTATAGAGCCTAGCCCTAGTCTATTCTCAGAGATGGTTTTTTCCTCGTGGGGAAGGAAAGCACGGCAGTTGGAAAGGGGAAGCCCAGCAGAGTCCACACGACCCATTGGGCAACTCCCTAGCGTGAAACTGGGCGTTACGTCTCAGGCTACGTGTTTTTCCTTTTTGCCGAAAGCCTACCAGAAAATCCTTTTTTTGGGTTTTCGGAATGGCAACCCATGTCACAAGCAAGTAGCTCATTCATGAGCCGTCGAAGCCGGCAACACTTGCCCCTAGGCGCACCTTGGTGAACGAAGCGGACCGGCCCAGAGGTCTGTGGACCCGATGCGGCGAAAGGCGAGCGGAGGTCTTGGCTTAGCTAACCCCGTAGTGGACGTTAAGCGTTATAATTAGTAAGCTAAGTTAAGTTAAGTTTTCACAATATTTAAAATGGGAGTTAGGGATGAGTCCGTTGTCCTGATACACCAGTCTGGACTGATAAACCGAACTCAGTGAGAGAAGTCAAGCTTCTTTAGAGTATCGGTTTGAAGAGAAATGGTCTGTGCTGAGGCTGGCACAGATTAGAGGAGTCTGAAAGGGCTCAATAGCTTTAACGGTTCGACAGTTAGTCCGATTCACCTACTGTTGTATAGAGCTGTTAGCTGAACCTCAAGAAAGAGACTTAGAAGACACTAAAGGCAAGATAAATTCATTAAAACTTAAACTTATATGCTTTAAAGGTCCAGCAGCCATAAATCCTCCTCCTTTAGAAAGAGATTTTACGTTTTCGCCTCCAAATGAGTTGGTTTTTCGGTGAAATGAAAAAGATTTTAGAGATTTTTTGTTTGAGTTTGACAATGAGCAAGTCCTAAATAATAAATCTTTTTCAAAGCTGTTAGAAGCTAAACAGGGAGGAGATCCAGAGTTTTTTTGATTTCCACGAAACACTGAGCTTCTTGATAGGATGCTTCTTTGAAAATATTTAGGTGTAGTCACCTCAGATTTTAGATGACTCTCTTCCTCAAAAAAAGTTGTTGAAACATTCAGAGAAACCGTACTCATTTTTATTGGCTTTGTAAGTAGCTTCTGTTTATGATTTTTGTAGGTGATAGGGTCTTTTTTTAATATAGGTACATCATTTTTACATTCAATATATGTTTGTCCTGATTTTTCGTTAGAATTAATGGTAATTCCTTTGATATTTAATCGGATTCCAAACTGATTTTCTTTTCTTTCAATCTTTGATGGTCAAGCTGCTGGGGACGATAAGGAATCTGATGTATGAGAAGATCGAGGGGAAACTTGTTTTGTTTGAGGGACATGGTTTTCGATGTATCTTCTCAGCTTTTCAATGCCAAATTTAGGTTGGGTAAATCGCTTCATATAACTCAAAATTATTTACATATTTATTTTTTACAAATTCACATGCAATTGCATTTTAATTATAAAGATGCAATATAAAAGTGCCTAATTTATAAAAGATTCTTGTCAGAGCTAGAAAAGTTGATTTTATTGATTTTCCTTTTTTTGAATATCTAATAGGTACAAACTTTTGATATTTTACCTCTGATTAAGATTTTCATTTACAAGAAATTTTAATAGCATCTCTATTTCATTAAGGCTCATAATTTGCATTTCAAAAAATTCAAACAGATTCTAAGATGAATTTTAAAATGGATGGTAATAGTTATAATGAAAAATTGTGCTCCGTTAACATTATTTTTTATTGCAGGCGCTAATATAATCCTGACTTCTCGCATACTTCAAATTGAGACAGGAGAGACCTTTGCATTGCAATCTGTGAATAGTGAAGAAGCAGCAAATATTGAATCAGTAATGGGCTGCCCTCTTAAATGCGTAGACATATGTTTCCAATTTACCAAAGGCATAGCAGCAGCTCAATGCCCTCAACAGTGCGGCTGTAAACACTTACTGACCCCAGAACTCTATACTCAGCTTAAAAGTGGACTTTTAGTCCAAATCGACGATGTGCCTATTATCCAACAAAAAACATATACATAAAAAATGGCGTATGGCGACCGACCCACCCTCTCAGTGGTGGCTACCCATGTATATCCGGGCATGGTTTTTGGAGCCAGGAATTAGCCCAACAACGTCTGGGACCTCGAAGCGAGAGGCCTAAGCGCGAGAGCCGCTGTTTTTGCGACCAGACCTATGGGCAGTTATTCGTGACTTCTTTTTGCCAGCAGCGCTCAGCCCAGTGAGTGCCCGAAATGAGGCAGGGTGAATTACCTGCCTAAGCTGCTTTAGTGGCTCGCCCCGAATGGCGAAAGCTGTTGAGTTCTTTCTCGGGATGACCGGAAAAGAGGGGAGGCGAGTTAGACACCAAAACGGGGGTCTCTCCAGTTGAAAAGGTGCCCTTCAATGGGCAGATCTGGCGGACGACGAAGCGGAGTTGGCGTAAACTTAGGCGACGATCCAAGTTGGAAATGGAGGTGGTCAGCAAAGCCGGTATGAGACGGCCCTTGACAATACCTCTACCGAGAAGCCGGGGGTTTCGGCCCGGGCTTGGTGAACGCTCTGCCACCACACGGGAAACCGTGGCATGCGACCTCAGACGTAGTAGGGACCTTAAATACCCAGCGTAATCTTAATCTTAATCTTAATCCAACAAAAAACAAGACCCTACTGATATTGAAGCTGAAAAAGCCCATTTTGATGGCTCCACTGAATCCCACATAGAAGTGGAAATAGTCAGTGCCGACCCAAACAATAAAGAATTTGCATATAGAAAAGTCAGTACAAGAAGATACAATAGAATAGAAGAAAGCCCCATCAATGAAGAAGCCAAAATTATCAGTCAGATTAAAAATGGAGCAACTATTGAAGATAGCCAAGAGTCAAATATAGAAAAAGCTGCATTTAATAATTATGAAAATCAAGAGAATTCGTCTGGTAGTTATACTAGCACTGATTTAAGGACAGAAACATCTATAAACCAAGGATCTGTATATAAAGAAATAGAAATAAATCGGGTTATTATCAAACCGATTCAGAAAAAACTTTCCAGTTGTGAACTAGACTGCTCTAGCTTCTGTAAAGAAGCTACTGACAATAAAGAATCATGCAAGAGAGCTTGCAATGCTAATTTTTGTGAAAAAAATCCAGCCAAAATGATAGCAAATAAGCCAGATATGAAAAGTTTCTGAATTTGGGGATGGATCATTACAATTGCAATTCTTGGAGTAGCGGTTTCTATGTTCCTTAATAAAGTTGCAGGAGGTAAACCAAGAAAAGTGGAGTTGAATGATTTCACTCAGTCTAGTGCAAGCTATAAAATACTAGTTTAAATTAAGTCTTATAATTTATTACAAGCTTTTTCTGGATTTTTTTGGCTATTTTTCTTGATTTTTATAGTTTTTTTAAACTTTTCTAAGGGTGGAGTCCTGGATCTTTTTCTCTCTGCTGGAACAATTTTTAAGGTTAGCTGGTCTTCTTCTTTATAGACTATATCTTTTCTTGCGTTCCTAAACTTGGCTAGATCTCTGGCTTTTATGTTTATTTTTCCTCCAGAATCTTTTTGCAGTCTTTTATTACCATAATATTGGAAAACTTCAAGGTCCTCTTCATTAATCCCATCAGGCGACACCAGTGAGTTTACAGATTCTTGTCATATTTCCTCAGTTAATACTTTTTTGCTTCTCAGCTGCTCATATAAAGGCTTATACTCAACTTCCCAATCCTGAGCAATTTGCTTGTGTTTCCCTACAACCCCATCGCCTGATTTTTCCATTTTTCAAAAAATTATTCTTTCATGGGAAGGCCTGGTGCTTTTTTACTTATATAGAAAATAATAATTAACTAGATTTTTTTATTTTACTTATATAGAATATAATAATTAACTAGACGAAATGCATTCCACCCTAATTTTATCTAGACTCTCAACAAAATCAGTCCATCTTTTATGCATAGACATCGAATGATCTGCAAACGCTTTCCCAGACTCAGAAAAATGGCCATTCGCAATGACTTGATTTTCTAAAAAAACCCTTCTGGTTTCAGCTTTTACTTGAAAATTATAATAAGAAAACTCATTTTTCAGCTTTTCTATTTCTTTTCCTTCTTTATGTAGCATTTTGGTAAAGGCAAATTGTTTATTCTGCAAGAGCTTATTTATGTCTAATTGTTCTTCAGGGTTGCAGCCCCATTTTGAGACGTCTTTTGTGTTTCATAGCTTTTCTTTTTTTTTATCAAATGCATTTAATGATTTTTGATAAATTGCTAATTTATTTTCACGTTCTTTTACGAACTCTTTTAATGATGAAATTTCTGTGTATCCGTATTTGAAATAAATATTATAATAATCTTTGATTATTTTTGAGGTCTCGATTTCGTGCTCTGATCATAGTAAAAAACTGTTTTTTAAAAGATTATAATGAAGTTTTGAGGCAGGAATCTAAATAGGTATTACTTCTGGAAAGTAATCTTGCAAACTTTCTAATATTTCAAAGCTCTTAGAAATATCAAAAATAAGCTGCGAGACTTCTTTAATAGCCTCAATCAGCGTATCAGTTTGCCGCTTAATTTTTTTCTTCATTGCTTCGGTGTAATGCAAATATTCATCTAAAACTGTGCATTCTTTTTCTTCAAGAAAAGGGTCACAAATGACGTATCCTTCCATAGTTCAATGCTCTTCAATCTTATTCGGCTTTTTCAGCTTATTTGACTGCTTTTTCAGCTGATTAAACTCACTAGGGTCCGCTTCTTTTAAAAAACCCTGCAAATGTATAGATCGTCGAAATAGCTGGTTTCTTACTACGCTTGATATAAAATTTTGTAGGAACACTCTTTGTTTATTTAGATTTTCATCTAAATCTCCGCTCTGCAGATGGCTTTTTACATATTTTGGAGGATTTGGCGGGATATAGCAAGCTGGATATGATACCGCGAGTACTGATCTCAGTCATATAAAATCATCAATAGTCCTTTCCACATGCCAATTCAGCGGAGTTGTAGTCATCGGAAAACAGACTTTTGTAAAGGAAAACATTCCTCCTGACCTTTTTATTGCTCTATTTATACCTTACTCTTCTACTTTTACAGACACTGAGTCTTCTAGTGATAATTGATTATCATGGGCTTTTATGGCTGTATGAGAGTATGGAGCGTTTTCTGGGCTTTCTTGGTTTCAGGGCTCTGGCATTGATTTTCTGGGAAGAATTATGTTTATGGACTGCCGTTTGGCTCTGGGGGATTCTAAATGTGGGGATTCTCGAACAGGTTGTTCAATCGTAAAGGGTTTTTCATCACCTCAACTTGATTTTCTATTTATATTAGGTTGATGGGCAAGCTTGAACTCTTTGACACATACTTCGAGTTCTGAAATATGCCAGAGATCAATGTCAGTCCCTTTTCGGGTCTGGCAAAATTCGGTAAACTCTTCTGGACTATAGTTCATTTCAACGATTTCTTTGTGAAGAAATTCTTTTTTGGCTTGCCTTTCTTTTTCTGTCTCGCTATCGGAATCGCTTTTGGCTTGTATCTCTTTTTCAGAATCACTCTCAGTTTCCATATCTAAGATAATTATAAAAATAAATCACATTCTGTAGCATCATAATGAGATAACAGCGAATTATTATGAATTCATGTGTAGGATAATTAAAAAATAGCATTAACAGAACCCAAACATATAAAAATATAGAAATCAGCCTGACTGCCTAAAATATATGCTTTTATTAAGATTATTAAATTGTACAATCCTTTATGTTTAAAAATCTTTCTGCTTTAATTCAATCTCTTATTTAAAGCAGCATCTAAGATGGCATAATAAATTATGGATTTTTCATTAAATTTGTAAAATACAGTATGGAAAATCCATGGCAGCTTATAAGAATAGCTAGATACATGTATTATTTAGAAGAAGATGACCTTACTTATGTTCTCAAATGGGCAACAAGGATTTTAAATTTTGGCTTCCCACCTCTTATAGGAGGCTGGATGTTTAAAAGAGTTTACTGTGTAGTTTACCCTGGACAAACCTTTACAACTCGGCTTGGCTTTACCTTGATGTCTTTTGCTTTATCAGCTACCTCAATTTTTGCAATGCATTTGATATTTTACAGAGATCAAAGCCGGTTTTCTGAATTAATTGCTAAATACCCTCCAGAAACCAATTTTAAAGCTAGAAAAAGAGCTAGGATCCTAAGACCACCCAAAAACACAACAAAATCCCAAGAAAATTCTAATAAATAATATTTTTTAACGAAATTTAACCTTAATATTAGCCTTAAGATATTAAAATCCTCCCCAGTTTACAGCTGCTTAGTTGATATCTTTAAACTGAGGACTCGATTTAGGCATCAAGCTTTCTTTTTCAATATATTTCTTACTTAAAATGTTTATTGTAAATGTGGCTAATATAGGTAATTTTTACAAAATGCTCACTAAGATTTATTATAAATGAATATAATTGACGATTACTTAGATAGCAAATCTCTCTTATTAACTTAGGTATTTATTATATTAACAAAAATAATTACAAAACCCTTAAAAAACTATTGTCGCTAAAACAATACCCAATAGCACAATCACAACAATTGCCACTATCCCTAAAATGCATAGAACTTTCCTTTTACTTTTCTTCTGATATTTCTCCGCTTTGACCAGCTCCTCCTCTGCTCTCCCTGTTTCCTTTACCGCTGTATCTACATTTTCTACAGCCTCATCAATTAAAACTCCTTGCTCATTTGCCATGACTGCAACATCTTTAAACATCTGATTTACGACCTCCATATCTTTTTCCAGGACCTCTAATTCTTCTACTCTACTTCTATTTAAAAGTGAATCTTCAAGACCTCCGACGCTTTTGAAATCAGACGAATGAATTGTGTCTTTACTTTGCTCTACTGATCTGCTACTTCTTTCTTTTTCTTCTTCTATTATAATTGTTTTCTGTTTTTCTACCAATCCTCGGCAAATTAATGTAAATTGCTTAGATAATGCTTCGAACTCTTTGGTGAGCTTATCGTGCTGGAGTTTTTCGGCCCGGTTAGGAGGCTGAGTTTTGAAAGCGTCAAGAATTTCTTGACATAAGTTCATGGCTGATTCTTTTTCTGCTGCAATCGCTAAGCGAAGCTCGTTGTTATCTTTAGAAGTGCCAATATGATTTGAATGATCTTTCAGTTTTTTCACATGATGCTGAAAATCTCTGACCATTTGAGCATGATCTAGCAAAAATGATTGTCCTTTGGAGTTGGTCGACATTAATTGTGCTTCAAAGAATTCTTTTTATTTAGTTTAATATCTGATTTCTATTACTAAAATAAATAAAGCTACTCTATAGCACTATTTCATCATTTAAAAGAATATTAATGGCAAATTTTCCTCACTCCAGCACTCATAAGCTACGTAAGCTTATCGAAAGAAGAACCGTTTATCCCCTTACCTGTGGACTAGTACTAGCTTCAGCAGTTGCTATTATTTTGCTTTGGACACAAGAATACAAGTGAGTAAAAAACGTAAAAGATTATCTTGTAGATGAAGAAGATTCACATTTACTGAGAGCTTCTGTAGCTAGATCAATGATTTTTACTGCAATGTTTTCTAATGTAATAAATATTTAGGATATTGCGCAGCTGCAGTTGGTAAGAGGAATATTTGATGACAGTGCAAGTGGAGCGATAACATCAGCCAGTGGCATAAGCGATCCAAAGGCTGTAGACGCCAGAAATCCAGGGAGTATCACTTTTCCTGCATACGGTCTTTCTGATTATCTGTTTGCTGATACTACTCGGACTCTTGCAAGCGCAACTAATTATGAACAGCTTAAATTGCTTGACATTCTTTATAACACCGCAAATCCAATTTATGCAGGACGTATTAATCAAGTTGGGCTAATTATCGAAAAAGATAGTCTGGATTTCAGGCACCCAGCACAAAATATGAGCTATGTGCAAGGGTCTTCATTTGATTTCACAGAAACTTGCGGGAAAAGTAATGTGGCTTTTGATCCATTATGCACAAATACATACCATACTTTAAAAAGCAATAGTAAAAATAACGTGACTTTTTCCTATGAATATTCACTGATTGATATATATTTAAATACTGATTTTGGGGCAACAGCAATATTTACAGACAAGAATGTATTAAAATTTTTCATGAACGATTTTGAATACTATACTTATTTTCTCACAAGTAATTACGGAAGTCAAGTTTTAGCTGTAAATAAAGAAGATCTCAGCCAGATCTTCCCTTATAATTTATCATACAACTTATTTCCTGATGACTATATTTTAGCTAATGTGTCTGCTCCAAAGCTTCAGTCAATGATTGATGAGAAAACTACAAGTGGCTCAGTATTTGATGGTCTGAACTCCCGATATCACGTATCTGTTACCAATATGAATATTACCATAACCACTCAACGATACCCAAGCTATGAGGACTCTTTATCAGTTGGAGTCATGATAAGTGAAATTGCAGTACGGAAAGAATGAAATGATACCTTAGATACCATCACAAACACTATCATAATTCAGATGGTCATTTTTATGTGCTTTATATTGCTGACTATTTTTAGTGCTGTAAGACTCTCAAAACATGTGTCTCATAGGGTAACTCATCCACTTCAAGAACTCGAACGATATTTAAATGGTGACGAAAAAATGATTTACACCCACATCAAGTATAACCGAGAAGTCAACACTATTGTAAAATCATTAAATCTAATAGAAGATATTGAAAAACTTATAGACCCTCATTATTTGCTTCACCCGAAGTCTGAAGATAGATTGAAAAACCTTGAAGAGGTTAGAGAAATTTACAGAGGCTTAGGGAATTTAAGAGGTGTTGCCATTACATCAAATTTAATAGGAAATATTTTTTTCGAAAATTCTCAATATCTTGAAGCGATTCAGAACTACACATATGCGCTGGAAATAACCGAAAAAATATTAGAAAATATTGAAAACCAAGAAAAAGAGGAATTAAAGCTGAGCGAAAAAGAAAAAATAAAGGACGGATTCATTTCTTCTGATTGGAAATCTGAAAAAGAGTTTTTAGTAAAAGATATAAATAATAGAAGGATGCAGTTATGTATGGCAAGGAGAGCAAAGCTAGAAGAAGGGCTAGCCTCAGCAACTGAGCTTAGAACTGAATGAAAAGAAATATTAAGCTTGCAGACTAGTGTCCTGCAGCATTATATTGACACTTCTTCTAACTTTTTACAGCTAATCCAGCTTCTAATAGAAATGTCCATTTCTTTTCAATTTTTACAATATTTCCACTCTGCTATGGAAATCCTGAACATTGTAAATGACGAACTTACAAAAATAGAGCAGAGAGGCTTAGAGTTCATTGACATCGATATCGCTTTACTCAAAAGAATAGGTATTGGCCTACGAGAAAACCAAGCAGCCATGCTGAGTTTTTTCAACGTCAAAGGTATCACATATGAAAAAGACATTTTAAGACAATTTATGTACTATAGAAAAGGAGTTATCTGCATAGAGCAAAACAAATTCCAAGAAGCTGGAGCTGCTTTTACATTAGCCATTGAGCGTGGGGAATATTATGACCCTAAAATTAGGAAACTCTGTGTAGAAGAACTGCTGAGGATTATGAATAAATTTTCCATAAAAAAAGGCACTGATGATTTAAAAAGAATGGACCTTTCCCTTAATCAAGCAAAAAAATCAATAGTATTTGTCCTAAATTATAAGGTAAAAAACAAGCCAAAACTCAACAAAAAACTTATTCAGATTTTCTATAAATAATCTATTATGCTAAAAAAATCATCTATTTATACAAAATCCCTATATAAAATTCGTAAATAAAGAAATCGGGCCGACTCGAGACAAATTTGGTGTCGTCTGTATGAACACAAATAACTATAACATTTTAGATGTCTGCACAAGAGACATGCCAGAGGTAGATTTAGAACATTTGCTCTTCCAAGCTAAACATGGAGAATCAGAAACTGAAGAGGTGATGTACCACATTTATAATATGATCATGTGTGGGTTTAAATGTATGCCGGTAGATATGCTAGAAAAATACATTATTGTTTTTATAGGACCACATGAGCAAGAAAGGGGGCCTATTCAAATAAAAGATTTAGATGAAGTTATAGCAAGAAAGGTAAAACTTATTGTGGTGTGTGTGGAAACACATCTGGAGGGCGAGTTCAAGGAATTTCTCGATAGGAATAATTGTAGAGTGTTTATGTGTGAGAAAATGAGCGAGGTAAATGATGTGTTAGAAGAGGTAAGGGATTTGATATATGAAAAATGTTTAATTTAATAAAAGAATATGCTATATAAGAGATATAAATTTTAGATAGGGTTAAATTAGTTACTATTTATTAGGGGAATATTATATAACTGCAATATAATATATCGACCAGATCTTCAGAAAGAGAGTATTAGAATAATTGAAAAATATTAATGGTATTAACAGTGGATTTGTTGATATATCTTCATGCTATGCATTATTAATCCATCCATTTATTATATTAAACTCACTGGTGCTGATGCTACAGTTATTATTATCTCTTGAAATAAGGCAGAGCCATAATTTCAAACTTAAACTTCATTATAGGTGGCTTCCACCTATAGATAATACAGTCACCAAAGACTCATTCGAGGGTTGATCCGCTTGCGATGCTTTAGTAAAGCGGACCCAGGTGAGATCCCCCAGTGAGAATAGGCTCGGCATCATTTGTTCCTCCACCAGCTATAGACATCATGAGACATCCGAAATCTTCTCTCTTCCTCTCACCGACTTCTGCTTGTCTTGTGGCTTCAGTGCTAAGTAGGTGGACTCTAGACTTCTGCAGCTGCTGCTTGAGCTAGACAAAGGTTTTTCATACAGAAATCCCAAAAAAATGGAATTTCTGGTCGACTTTAAGCAAAAGGAAAAAAGTTCGAAACCCAGGGCTTCAGCCCCGGCTAATATAAACCCTTCCCTTCCCTTCGAAGACCAGAGCGTAACTACTTGTTTCGCGCTAGAGATTCGCCCGAATGGTCTAGGCATCGCTGTAGCCTTGCTGGGCTTCCCTTTTCACCTCCAATCATTCCCTTTTCCTTCGAGGTAAAATCCAACCCTAACTAGGGCTAGGCTCCATGCAATGATAGAATTGCTTATCTAGAATTGTTATCTATATCTTAGTTGGGAAAAAATTTACGAGTTAATTAAATATGGGCTCAAGGCTACATTACCCGTAGGCCATGCCTGGACCGAGACGCCCAATTTTAATTGTTAAAGCCATAATCAATATAATTCAACCGTGCATCTTGCGTAGCCACTTGAGATACACATGTATAGATGCCACCAGATAACGGATTACGAACATGCAAAATTGTTATAGTAATTGTCCCAGGTTCAAAAACAGCAAAGCTGCCTATTGTAAGCACATGTGAAGAAATAGAGCAGATTACTTTATTGTTTGAGTCTATATCGCTTGGTCCTATAACAGTACAAGTAGAAAGATAAAAGGCCCAATCCAAAGCCAATGTAAGTGATATTATACCATTTTCAGGAACCCGATGCACTGTTGTTACTGTAATAGTCATAGTGGCATCAACAGAATCATAATCAGCTGCCGAGTATGAAGACAAAGTACATGTAACTAATGAGTTAGCAATTTCTCCTGGATAAACAAAATTAAATGAATAGTCTGTCCCACAGATATCGCAGCTTCCTCCGAAACTACTAGCACCAAAAATATTAAAAAGTACAGAATTAGACGAACTTGATTCTCCTGAATACCCAGGTGCTGTCACTTCTGTAATAGTTATAGTAACACCGCTTGTTGTAATTCTATAATTAGGATTTGTGCTATAGCCAATTATGAATCCACCACTGGTATAATCATTGCTATTGGAGGCTGAATAAATTGTTGATGCAACATTACCGTTAATTGAAATTATTGATGATGGAGACAGCTTAAATCCAGTCGGAAGGCCAATTCCAATATAAGGTGATGAAACTTCTATGGCGACTCTTGCTGAGCCTATCTCATAATTTGTATTGCTAGAAGGTGTTCATGCACCCAATACATAAGTTCCAGATACTAACGGGTTATTTTGTGAATTCGTGAGGGTTATCGGACTTTGAGTGCTCTGATATAAGTAATTTTTGATACTTGGGTCTTTTGCAGTAATGTAGTAAAGTCGAGATGTAGCAATAAATGACGTGTCAGCAAGTTTTCCCATAGCTAAAAATGTATTAATAGCAGGTCGACCAGCAATAACTACTCCAAGGCCTGTAAGTTTAATAATAGTATCACCTATGGTTTCATCTAAAACAGCAGTAGTACCTGGAACCGTCGAAGAAAGAGGGAGATAGCTTCCTTTTGCTAATCCAGTATTAAGATCAGCACCATTGGTAACTTTAATTTCGAGAACAAAATTTTGTTCAGCTGAAGTGAAATCAATTGCAATTATTTTGGCAGCGAATACACTCACAAGAGGAATGCCGGATGCCCAATTAGCATTGCAAAATGGCCTTGCATAAATGTCAGCTCCAAGGTAGTCTTTTATTATAACTGAATAAACTGAGTTTCCAATCTCTTTTTTAGATCCTGTTAATGATATAGCAAAGCATTCATAAAAAGTGCCTAAGTTGGAAGCAACATATGGTAAGGCAGATTCGCCATTTCCAACAGCAATTGTATAATATCTTAAAGTAGGAGCTAGCTGGAAATTTAGATAAATTGTATTTTGAGACAAAGAGAAAGTAGCTTTGGTTGGTGGTGAGTAGAAATTAACCCCATTATTAAGCGTTAGATCGTTATTCATTTCATATTTAATAGCAGTTTCACTAATATAAGGCTGACTCCCCCCCCCCTCCGTGAGCGAACAAAACCATTAGAAAAATCGCCATTTTTTGACCAAAAACCCACCCTCCGTGAGTGAACAAAAATTTTTTTAATAGAAAAAATTTTAATGGAAAAAATTTTTGATATATAAGTGATAATTAGTATAATGAAATCTAGAGCTAATTCTGTTTAATTTTAAACAAATTGCGTTTTAAAACATAAATTTTGCAAATTAAATTAATATTTGCTTCCCAATTTTTGCAAATTAGGATTTTTTTAAATTTCGAAAAAAATATTTTTTTATAAAATTTATATATAAATTTTTTTTTAAAAAAAAAAAATTAACCCCCCTCCGTGAGCGAACAAAATTTTTTTTTCGCTCACGGAGGGGGGGGGGGGGAGTGAGTAAATGAAACTCCAGATGTCGTAAAAGGGAGGTAGATTGCTATATAGGTAGATGTTGTTCATGTAACTCATGAGCTAGGTGTAAATGTCCAATATAAGTCGAGACTTGTATCAGCACCATAGATGAGGCCTGGCAAATATGTTCCTGAATCAGCAAGTCGAGGATATGAGTCATATATAGCTGAAGAGTATCCATGGAATTTGAAAAAAGAATAAAGGAGATTATTAGTATTAATTGGTCAAGATATAGGATTTGAGACATAATCAATATAGTTGGATGATGAGTCCGTGGTGACTATTTTTCTACCTCAGGGCCGCAGAAATTTATAAGCCACCCACTCAAGAGTGAAGCAGCAAGGCAAGGAGGAGCCTGTTTTCGAGGATATACCCTCTGGCTGTCTAAAAACTGTAGAACCTTCCATATGGGAGGTCTCTGGTGACTGCTTCGCAAATATAGCTGACGCCCGACTTTAAATAGTCTAACCTAATCCTGGTGACTATTTCTGAGATTCGGGTGTCTTGGTTAAAAGCAGTTAATAAGGCTATACTTACAGATCCAGCTGGCATTTTATTAGCGAAGGTAATTGTAACGATATTAATGCTACTAATAGCGCATGAAGCTCCATTAATTGGTATTGTCAAGTAGCATTGAGAGCCAGAATTATTTGACCCATCAAGATCTTCCCACCAATCAAGAGAAATATCAATACTCCAGAAAGTAATAATGGCCGTTCCAGCTGCTGGTATATCATGATGTGTTGTAAAAGTTACTTTCGTAAAAATGACCATTCCTCCTATAACATCGCTGGCGCTAACTCCGCCATAAGTGAACAAAAAATTTGTTCGTTTACCAAGGGGTTACTTAAAATTTTAAAAAAATTAGAAATATTTTTAAAATTTAATTCACAATATTAAAAATGTCAGTTAGAGATAGGTCCTAACACCTGCTCTGCAGACCGAGACCTATTTTCGAGATTTGTGATAGAGGTCTTGCCTCTTGAGAGTTTCGAAAGAGAGAAGAGAGGTCAGTGCTGAGTCAGGTACTGACCAGAGAAGTCTTAACGGACTTGTTAACTTTAACGGTTCGACGGTTAGGCCAGTTCACTTATCGTTGTTCAGAGCTGTTAAACAAGCTGTACCTCAAGCAAGGAGACAGCATACAAGAGTAACTCAATTAAACTTAAATTTAATTTGTAAAATTATGTTTTAAAATGCAAGCTGTTTAAATAAGACAGAAGTAGCAAGAGATTATGCTATAATAATTATCATTTATATATCAATTTTTTTATAAAAAATAGTTGTTACGGAGAAAAATAGAAAGTTTTTCCAATGGTTTTATTTGCTCACGGAGGAGAGGAGTAAGCGCATCATTAATAGGAGATCATGCTGCAGTTATTGTGCCTTCAATAGGTGTAGTGGGGCCACTTGATGCGACGTATTGGGCAATCAAGTTTGAGGTTCCCCATCTTCAAATGTTGATTTTTCAGGTATTTGAGGCTGATTGTCGCTTATATAAAGGGTAGTTAAAAGTTGAGATACTGAGTTTTATGGTTATTGAGCCCGATGCTAAGTCTCCTCGACAATCATGAAAGAATTTTGACTTGGTCATAAAGGAGACTTATATAATGCAGTCAAAAATTTTAGATATAAAAATTTTTTGCTTAACTCCCCCTATAATCTTGTTTCAATTTTTAATACTCAATTTTCTCTATAAAAATGAACGTAATATTTTCAAATTTAAATATATTTATGAAAAATTAATTGTGAAAACTACTTAAATAATATTCTAATTGACTATTCCCAGTGAATGACGTCAAAAAATTTTTTATAAAAATTATTATTTTCACCTTATTCAAAAAAAACAATTTCCAGTTTAATTTGAGTTAAAGAAGTACCAAAAATGGCAATTTTGCCTATATTTTGTTTCAATTTAAAGAGTAGAGAGTAGAGAGTAAGTAAAAACCTCTACATAGAATTTTGGTTTTACTTTCTCAGTGAGGGGATAAGATAATATCTTGGGAAAGACCATATATGTAAACACTATTTGACTCTGATATGGTATACTGAGGACCAGTAGTAGAAGAACTTTGAGTTGCTATAGCACAAGGCAAATTATGATCTCCTGTAGGTCCATAAAGAATATTGGGAATTCCAGCCACCGTAATAGAGCTGCAAGTAACTAAAGAAGAAGGCATATATGAATCTGAAGGGATAATTTCAATTAAATCGTATTTTCATAGGTTTTGGTTTAAGCTGAAGGCAAAATAGAGGGTATCACTTGATCCAATCATTGGGTTTACAGATTCATTAGTTACTGTTAGATCTGATGACGTAGAAATTGTGCTTGTAATAGCAATATAGCCGAAAACGTTATTTAAATCATACATTTGGCCTGTTTGTGAAGATCTGGTAATAAGAACAAAAGGTCCATAAATACCTACAGATGCAGGCAAAGTAATTGAGGTATAAGTTAGAGAGACGTCTTTATCTCCTGAAAAGCTTGAAGGAATATATATAGGGCCGCCAAGAATGCTGCTTGGATAAATCACTTCAAGAACTCCATTAGCAAGTGTGGTGCTTGGCCTAAGGGTAAATGTTAGTTTCACAATTGAGCCAGCATTGGTTTGAGAGAGCTGAATTGGGCTGCTTACCCAAGTCTCTGTTGGCCATAAAATCCTGCCTGGATCTAGACTTGAATCTATAAGCATGAAAGAACTAGCAAGTCCTAAAAAAGCTATATAGCTTATGAATTTTTTCATTGCATATTTATAACATAAACCTTTATAAAATTGATCTATTTTACAGCTTAAATGCAGAGTTATTTACAATCTTTAATTCACTAACATAGATTCACATTGTGTTTCCATTAAGCTATAATTACGCATTATTAAATTTTTATTCCAACGATTTTAATAAAACTATTAATTTGCTTTTAAAAATCTATAGCTCTAAAGTACGGGGGTATACTTTTTCCTCTAGATTTTCCTAGGGACCTAGAAATTTTTTTTTCTTCGTGAGACATTTAATCTATGGGCAAAAATAGGGATTTTTCTAATGGTTTTGTTCGCTCACGGAGGGGGGAGTTAATTATTTTAGTAATTTGAATCCAGATTTAGCTTCAATTATCAATTATTGAATAAAGAAATTTATCTATTTTTAAAGGCTGGCAAGAATATTTTTTAGGTATGGTATTGACATGCTATTAGGATCATATCATAAAGGCATCATGCATAAACATTCAAAATCAATTAATAATTTAGTGCTAAAGATATATAAAACCCCTCAAATTATTCGAAGTTTGCAGAAAATATATTAAATTTCAAGATAAACATTTTTGCATATTTCATTTAGAGCTGGAAGGTTTGAATTATATCCCAACAAGAGAGCAGTTTCCTTTATTGTCTTATTAATAAATATTTTTGAATTGGGCAATTGCAACAGCAGAGCCCTGTGAAAAAGAAGGCGAAATATATGAACTTGCTGTGAGCCTATATAGCTATAGATAGCTCAAGGGTAAGTAAAATTGGAAAATTTTACTATTTTGCCATTTTATAAATTAATACTTTTAATATAAAAACTGTAAATTCTTAATATCGTTTTGAAACACCTAATAAATACAGGTAGCCTATTTATTCTTACTCACCTCCCCTTTAAATTGGAACAAAACCCTGTTACAATTTAAAGGGTTTAATTTTTCTCTATAAAAAATCTTTTAAATTTTTAAAAATTTGAAAAAAATATAAATCGAGCACAATACTTTGCATTATAATTTATTTTTATAAAAATTAAAGTCAAAAATTAATCGATTAAGTGTGAAAACTGTTTAAATAATATTATAATTGTCCTTTTACCATTAAATAGGGGTCAAAACTAATTTATAAAACTTAAATATAATTTTTCTCTATAAAATTTGATTTGAATTTTAGTCTATTTTTATAAAAAATTAATTCAAAAAACTAATCGATTCAGTGTATAACTGTTTAAATTTACGTTAACTTGTGCTTTTTTCATTATGTTAGGTCAAAACTAATTTATAAAAATAAATATTTTCGTTTTAATTTTTTAATACCATCACATTAAATTGTTCTATATAATTTGTTTTTTAAAAAAATATTAATTTAGCACTATACTTTGGCTTTTAATTTATTTCGATAAAGAAATTAAAAGTTAATTAATTCAGTGCGGAAACTGTTTAAATACATTATGCTTGCATTTTTTACGTTAAATTAGATCAAAGAGCTAATTTTTTAAAAATTAGATTATCACCTATAAAATTTTCCTATGAAAAAAAAAAAAAATTTAAAGGGTCAAACTACCTAAAAAATAGAATTTTACCTATATTTTGTTCCAATTTAAAGGACAGGGGAATTAGTTATTTCCTACTGGATCAACTATATCGATTAATTTCTTACAATAGCACAGAAAATGTTAGTGGGTAGAGTATATCATATTTCTAAAATAAATATAGAAATAAGTAAAAAATTAATTTTTAACAAACTTTCTTAACTTTTTACTTATTTCCTTATTCATCTGAGAGTCAAACAAATTATAATTTAGAACATCCTAAAAGAACAATTAATATCTTAAAATATCTTATCTATAATCTCCTCCTTTAAAAGCAAGCAAAGCTATTGGAAAAATTCCTATTTTTGCGAAAATTAATCACATTTTCAACCAAAAAATTTTTTGTATATAAATGGAGATTATTACAATAAAATCTCTATTTAATTAGATTAAATTTTAGTCAGCTTGCATTCTTTAATTCTTAAAATATCAATAAATTTAGATTTTTTTTAAAAAAATCTGAATAATCTTTAAAAATAAATTCTTTCAAGAGGGGAAAGTAAGCACTCAGTACTCGGCCATTTTTAGCATAGATTCTAGAATCGCAATAAAGAAATATATGGAGCTCTTAAACTACAGAGAAAGCAACAGTGACTATTTAAATGAGTTTTTAGCTCAAATGAAGGCTGAATTAAGTGCAATAGTAGAGGAAAAATCATTTTTATATGATTTTGATTTTCAAGAAGATAAACCGGTAAAGAATCCCAAAAGATACGCCTGGAGTGTATTGCAAAAAAGTCAAGGAAATTTTGAAGCCGGCTCAGAATTTTTTAATATAATTCTGCCAAGAACTGAGCAAGTCTTTTTATAAAGAAGAAAATGCCTTGCAAGTTTACAGAGTGTTATTTAATATGCTCGTTAATTTATATAAAATTTTATTTAAGAAATAAGCAAGATATAAAGAGAAAAGGAATCAAGTTTGGAATATTAAAAGGGAATAAAACCAGTGATTAAATATACTTCTCTAGGGGATTTTATTGCAGTTCATTATATTTTAATAATCTAGGTCGAAGATTGACTTAGTTATTTACTAAAACAAATTAATTTATAATTTGGCGCACCACCTCACCATCTTTAGGTATAAATAATTACTTAGCTAAGATTCAAAGATTTTTATTTTTATAAAATTGGCAATTTACAAAAAAATAAAATAGCTCGAGAATTCAATAAAATTCTACTAATATGCATGATTAACTTATAACACTCCCAGGCCACTTTAAATCCAATTCGAAATCGCGCTAAAGACATATTTTAAATTTTACGCCATTTTAGCATATCATGCAATTCCCACTCATATCATCCTCTCCGAGCATCCCTAAACCACTCTCAATCTATGTTATTACCAATTATAAACCAGCATATGCTTAATTATTCTTGATTTGCAATATCTTCAAAATTCTTGTCCCCTACTAGCTCTGGCACTTCCTCTTTATCATCTTTCTTAGCAGCCTGCACAAACTCTTTCAAAAAGTCCATATTCTTTGGTCCTAACTGTGTGATGATCCCAGGCATCAGGTCTTTTATTGCTTTTACTTCATTTTTCCCTGATATTAAGAAGAAATTGTCTTTCACATTGGCTTGGACTTCTGGATTCTCAAAATGCTGGACTGTGCTGTCGTCTTTAAAGAAATTAACTTCTTCTATTGCAGGTAATGGCTGGACTCCTAGCTTTTTCAGGGAAGATTTTAGCTTCTTGTCATCGACACTGCTGCTCTTGTGAACAATTTTTTGTTTTCGCTTCATAGAACCTTTGCCGCCTAAGCGAGCTTTGTCACCGAATTTTGCAGCAAGTTTAGCTCGGGCTTGGATTACTTCTGGATCTTCCATTTTATTATCAATCTTCTGCCACTCGTAAAAGTTTTGACTGGATAAATAGGTTGATGGAATTAGTCAAATACAGCTATATTTTGTTTCTATATATTATATAAAAAAAGAATTAAAGTTCTGCTTTGGAATCGGCATTATTTATTCGATTTTAAGCAGATTTATGAAATTTTAAGAAAATTATTTATTTTCTTCAGCTGTTATTTAAATTTGATATTTTATAAAATTTAGCTTGAAGGTTATTTTTATTTAATTTTAAAACAAAAAGCCTTTTGGCGAAAAACCTTTACTCCTCCCTCTCCGTGAGCAAGCAAAAAATTCTTGTTAGCTCACTGAGGGGAGTTAAAAAAATTTATATGTAAAATTTTTATAGAAAAAATTTTATTTTTGAAATTTGAAAACATCCCATTTCGCAAAAAATTAAGCAAATATTAATTTAATTTGTAAAATTTATGTTTTAAAACGCAATTTGTTTAAAATTAAACAGAATTAGCTACAGATTTCATTATACTAATTATCATTATATATCAAAATTTTTTCAAAAAACAATTTTATTCGCTTATGGAGGGTGTGTTTTTGGGCAAAAAATAGGGATTTTCTAATGGTTTTGTTCGCTCATGTAGGGGGCAGTTAGTCAAATTTCCATTTTTCCTGAAAAATTCCTATAGATTTTCCTCACATTTTGAAGAAATATAATGAATAAAATTTTTAAACTGCAATTCTTCGACGAAATCAGGATAGTTAACCCCGCTCCACATAGCATTGAAGATTTGCGACGAAAAGCATCTGAACTTTTTGGTCTTTCACAGCCAGTATTTACTTATAAAGACCAAGAAAAACAAGTAATTACAGTAGACACTCCAGAAGAATACTCAGAAATAAGAAAAATCCGCAAAAAAACAGTCAACATACATGCATGAGAAAAAGCTGATTTGAAAAGAAAAAGAGAACTATTCAGGCTTCAATTCAAATATATGCAGCCTATGGAAATTATGCCTGAAAACAATGGAGAAAGAACCAATAATTATCAGCAAGGCTTGCCAAGGACAAGAGCGACTAACTCTTCACGATTAAACCCAATAAAAATCGAAGATTCTGATGAAGATACAAATAATCAAGCTAATTTTTCTGTAGATGAAGCACCAATGAAATGCAAAGAATGCCATGGAGAGATAAGCGATGAAAATATTGCTGTCAGATGTGTAGGGTGTAATGATTTCTATCATTTAGAATGCCTTGATTATAGGAGACAACCTCAAGGAGATTGATATTGCGATCCCTGCTCTGAGATAAAAAAATGGCATGGTGAGTTGGCCTATCTTCTTAACTCCTGAGGCTGGAAGGCTTATTGGGAAAGCAGGGAACCTTAAGAAGAGTGCCCGGCTGGGTTTTATTTGGTTTGGTGGAGCTCAATGCCCAAAGTAGCCAATCGCATGATCATATCAGGTAAAGGTTTTACCCCATGGGGAGATGAAGCTTGGTGCTGGAAAGAGGACGATCAGTAAGGCTAGTACTGCACACTTAGCCAATAAGGCAAATCTCTAGCGTTATACCATACGATGAGTCCTGGGCTTTGAGCTCCATTTTGGTCGAAAACTCGCCAAAAATAATCGATGTTTAGAATTTTCTGAAGGCGAATCCTGTTGAGCATGGCATGCGACCCAATGCTTCTGTCTCTCAGATAGCGAGCTCAATACTTCATCCATGAGGAGCAACACAGTGGAAGGCCATGTCCAGACTGTCAAGCAAGCGCTGGGGCGATATGCAGAGGCGAGTAATGATCTGCGAGCTTCCAGGAGGCTTCTCTTTAAATAATTTAGCAATAACAATCTCTGCTCTGAGTTAATGCTAAATGAAGACGAGCAAGATATGAGGAGAAGAGTGATTATAAGAGCTAAAAGAGCTCAATACGCTAGAAAGTAGGCAGAACATATTTTATTTTTTATTAAATTAAAAATTTAGGTAAATTCTAAATTAATATTCCTACAAAAAGATCTTAGATTGCTAATTCCAATATGTAAACTGATTCTTTAATTTAAATAAAATTACTTAAAATGCACTTTGAGCAGGGCTCATTTGAAGAGGAAGAAGAAGGATCATTTATAGAAAAACAAGGCGCAGTCAATAACAATCAATTTGATGAAGTCTACGACGTCGAAGGCAGTGAAGGAGAAGTTTCAAGCAGTCCAAGTGAGTCAGGCAGACGTGAAGGCCCTGAAGACAATTCTTTTAACGACTCTGGCACTTCAAGCCCTCAGAACGGAATGCCAAGCCAAAACCAATACGGCCAAAACGGTCTCGAAAACAGTGAATCCGACGAAGGCCAAGAAATTCCTATAAAAGGTGCTTATAACCCAGCAGATTACCAAGATTTAGCAGTTTCATCAGAAGTTAAAGAACTTTTCCAGTATATCCAAAGATACAAACCTCAACAGATTGATTTGGCAACCAAGATAAGACCGTTTGTGCCTGAATATATCCCGTCAGTAGGAGAAGTAGATGCATTTTTAAAAATCCCAAGACCTGACGGCGCCCAAGAAGACTTAGGCTTGGTAGTTTTGGATGAGCCTAAGCTGAACCAATCTGACCCAGTTATTGTAGAGCAAAAATATTGAGCGATTTTTAAACAGCCTAGATTAGGAACTCCTGGAGGAGCTGCAGTCAGGTCTATAGAAAATGCTGATAAAAATCCTAGGATGATCAGCAAATGGATAAGCTCTATTGCAGATATCCATAGGACAAAACCACCTGCTACTTTTAAATACTCTCAGAATATGCCAGATATTGACAGCTTAATGGATGTGTGGCATCCTGACATAGAATATGCATTAGGCAGCATTGAACTGCCAGGGCCTGATATTGATATGGATCTTGGAAAATACGTAGGAATGGTCTGCTCACTTTTAGATATACCAGTCCATAACTTGTCAAATGGAAAAAGCTTGATAGAAAGTTTGCATGTTCTGTTTACATTGTATAGCAATTTTAAAGCAAATCAGCATTTTAAGCAAAATGCAGAGTTTGAAAATAATCAAATGACTCTTGGAGCACCGATTTATTAGTGAAAATTTAATAAGGTCTTTTTTCATAGTGAGTTGTGAGTTATTAAAATATAAATGCTAATATTTATTGCAATAGAATAATATTTTGTGGTGGTTTGAATTGAAATTTAATATAGCTTATTTATAGTAGGCTAATACTTTATTTTTATTAAAAATATAGGACTATAGATAAGGCATAATCTTTAAATTATTGCAGTAAAGAATATTTAAAATATGGACATAGAAGAATTTTTAAAGGACTCTCAAAGAAAATTAAACGAAATCCATAAAGACACACTAGAAATAAAGCAGCTTTTAAAGTATGCTTTTAATAAAGATATACTAGAAGAGCCTAAAGAAAGTGATTCGCCTCCTCTCACCCCAATCCCAAATTTCAAAAAAGATTTCGTTACCAACAATAAATTCACAGCTGGGCTTTCCAAAAAGCTAAAAAAATAATTTCATTATTTAATAATAATTTTCCCCAATTTTAGTTAATTTTTAAACAAAATTTGATAATGAAGCTATTTCCTTCCATATTAATAAAGATATCCCATAGATTATTATAATTATGAAGTAAATTTAATACTAAAAGGTATATATATAAATTTCCATAATATCATTATCTTTAAAAGAAATTATATTACTCAAAATATAAATAGATGGAGGATCATTGTCACGAGTGGTTTTTATCTACACTTCACGAGAAAAAGTCTACAATCCGTATCCTCGAAACTGGGATCTGCAGAGGAGACAAACTGAAAGCTTGATATACAAATGATGAACTTGGCAAGGTTATAGAGAACTCTATCAGAAACATAAGCCATACTCGGTTTATGCTTGTGCAGTTTCTTAATATGAGAGCTCCTATGTTATATCCTCTTTTTCCTATATAAATTATTTTTATTTATATTATAAACTGTTCCTGAATTTATTTATTAAAAATATATGAATACGAGCCTGACAAAGTAATCGTTTATCTCTATCATACAAGAGGCCGTAAAGTACTTACTGCAAAAGATATCGTTGATCTCTCAAAAAACCAACTTCATGGGCTACAGGTCAGGAGTATTCATATGGCGCTTCTAGAAACATACTCAAGGAATATTTTAAAGGTAAAAGTTTGACAAGAGTCAGGAGAACTGAGAAGTGAAATTTTGATTGGAAAATTCAATAAAGAAGGTGGAAAGCCTATAAAGGATATGGCGATTGTGGAAAAAACTGAAGCGTTTACGATTTTTATGGCTGAACTTATATATCAAGTCACAAATAAGCTTATTCTGATCGTAAATAAATATTTCTGTCATTTTAAAATAAAGATTTTTTTTATATTTAGCATGTCTAACTCCCCCCCCCCCCCGTGAGCGAACAAAAAAATTTTGTTCGCTCACGGAGGGGGGTTAATTTTTTTTTTAAAAAAAAATTTATATATAAAAATTTTATAAAAAATATTTTTTTCGAAATTTAAAAAAATCCTAATTTGCAAAAATTGGGAAGCAAATATTAATTTTAATTGCAAAATTTATGTTTTAAAACGCAATTTGTTTAAAATAAACAGAATTTAGCTCTAGATTTCATTATACTAATTATCACTTATATATCAAAAATTTTTTCCATTTAAATTTTTTTCTATTAAAAAAATTTTTGTTCACTCACGGAGGGTGGGTTTTTGGTCAAAAAATGGCGATTTTTCTAATGGTTTTGTTCGCTCACGGAGGGGGGGGGGGGAGTAAGAATATACAAAAGCTTCAATATGATCTCGAAATAGATGGAAGTGGCCATTTGCATTTAATAAGACTCAATACTTTAGAATATGTAAAAGAAAACGGAAGGAAAGAAACTGTCATACATCTGCCTGCATTCGAAATGCCAAGACCGACTCAAAGAAAAGTCACTTTACGCTATACTGAGCCTATATCTGATGACGAAGAAGACGGCAAAATTGAGATGAATTTAATGCCAATTTCCTCATTTAAATCCCTTAAAAAGCCAAAAGAAGTTCCAAAATTGAAATTCGACATAAATCACCCCCAGAAAGAACATAGTCCTTTATTTGTGGACATGATGGCCAAAACCTTTGAAAAAATCCGCATGAATGAGATTATTAAAGAAAAAATTGAAAGAAAAAGGAAAATGATAGAAACCAATACAAATTGTAAATTACCCATTTTTGATCCGAATATTATAAAGAAAATATAGCTTAAGCACGCATTTAGCGTGCTTCTAAAGAAAGAAACTGAATCTATTGACTATCAAAACCATTAAGTCTACATTTTTCAAGTTTATCGGACGTCTATAGTCTTAATTATTGCTCCAATAAATCTCTGAAAGCATGCTTGAGCTATACATAAGGACACAAAAAATATTAAAAGCTTGAAAGATTTGGTTAATACTATACAGACTGAGAGAGTAAAGAGGAGATGCAGCATATATGAAACTTTTAATGAGTCTAATGAAGTTAGCGTGAACCAGCAGTTGGCTTGCTCACCTTTGCCAATTGCAAAAATTGCGACCCCAAAACCATCAGATTTAGATCTTGCAACTGCTATTGCCTCACAAGCGTATTTAACCGAGAGAAAGCATAATAGCGTAGATCAAAGCACACCTACGAGTGTTTATAAGACAGGTTTAAGTACAAATAGACTGCTTCAGCTTTATATTGAGGAAAAAGATATGTTTTACTCTCATAAGTACTCTAATACTCCGTTCCAAAAAGCATCAAGCTTTTCGCGATCAGCGAAAAGGCCTGGGTTTTCTCCTTATACAGCTAGATCTGCAAGGAGGAGCTTTGATTTTTAATTTATGTAAGCTCAAATTTATCAATAAGATTATTTTTAATAATAATTATTCTATTTTTAGGGCTAATTTTAATAAGATTATAGTGCAATAATTTATAATTAATTTTCTAATTATCCAGAAAATCGAATGCAATTTATATAAAATCACTATTATATCGAAATTTCTAATAAATTAGTCAGCCTTTTTCTCTTTCTTCTCTTCAATAGAAACATTCCAGTAATAAACCAGCTGAAACACAATAACAGCATTTAGAAAAGTCCCAAAGCTATAATTGAACAACAAGAATGGGTCTTTCAGTTCTGTAAAAGTCGTGAAAATTCTAGCTGAAGTTCCTCCAAAGTTCATAAAGTTTGTAATAAAAGAAAGCTGCCCAGTCGACCCGTTCCTTCAGTTAGTCAGTATTTGTGATCCTTTCACGATAAAGTTCATACATAAGTTAATATTTGGAGCAATAATCCACAAGCTCTGTGGTAAAATTTCACTGAATAAAGGAAGTATCCAAGCAAACACAAAGAAAAATAGCACAGAAATCTTGTGCTTGGTGTTAATATTACCAAAGTACCAGTAACATAAGACTTGCAAGCAGCATTGGGCTGTGAGGGTCACATTTTCGCCATAAGTGCTGAACGGCTGCTTATTGTGAATATTGTAAGCTGCGATAAGGGAAAACCCGAGGGTTTCTACGTAAAAAGAAGTCAAGGAAAGACCTGCTATGCTTTTTGCGCGGACGATTTTTAAGATCTGAGGGAATTTTAGCATAAGAGAGGCTGACACCATTCCGTAGCCAAGGAGTTTGCTAGCTTCCCTTAAAAGGGATTAATTTTTTTAGATTTAAAATATCCTAATTTACAAAAAAAAAAAACTATTTCAATTTTTAAAATGTTTTCTTAAGGATGAAAGATATCTAAATTAATAGAATTCCTGGAGATTTCATTGTTATATTATTATTTAGATAGACAAAAATATTTTTTGCTACTCTTAAAGGATTAATTTTTCTAAAAAATAAGGAATTTTCTAATGATTTTACTCGCTCTTAAAGGGATGAGTAAATAAAAGCATCAGGCAAGGGGTTTCAAACATTCCTGCTTGTACTTGAGTTAGGCATTCTTCCACTGTGGCAGCAAAAGTGATGCTCAGCAACGCCGCTGCAAAAAGGAAGCGCATTGTCTATTATTATTTGTCGAATTTATTTAAGATTTTATATGAAAAATAGGTAAAAACTTAAATCTTTATTTTTATAAAAATACTTGCCAAAAATTAAAATATTGCAAAAATTGCATGTAGAAATATTTAAGAAACCTGAGACTTGGCCCTTTTTAAGTTATATAAAGAATTATTAAAAAATTATGATAAATCCACTGACGCATTCACAATAGCCAGCTTCGCCTTTATAGAGCTGATTATCATGTCATTAAGTTCGTCAGCAAAATCTATGCTTTTCGGATGAGCTAATTTCGAGCTCAAAATTCGTTCTTTTCTTGAGATTTCTTTATCGACTAAATCAGTTTTTTCTATAAGTTTCTGTGTTTTATCTTCATCGTGAAGGTCATAACTCATTAACTCCTTTTCAAGGTCATATTTTCTCGTAACTGAGCCTTGAGAGCGCCTTAAAATTCTCATTTCAGCTAGAAAATCTATTTTTTTAATTTCTTTTTTCTGAGGAGGTTCAGGCACCATAGGATTTTTTGACCATTTCCGCCGATGTTTTTCGGTGACTGACCCATTTGCAGTAGAAACTTCATAGGTGTTAGCTGAGTTTATTCCATATAATTTTTTCCTTACTGGGAGTTTTAGTTTTTCTACAAGTAATTTCATTTCTTGCCTTTTAAATTCGTCAACAGTAGGTCTGTAGAGCTCTTTTACAAGCTCAGCATATTGATTTTTTTTCTCAATTCTTTGCTTTTTTTCAAGCTCTTCTTTATCTTTTTCTTCTTTTAGCCTTTTTTCTTCTTCTTTTAGAGCATCTTGAGCTTTTGAATGAAAACTTTTAGCGATTTGGTGATACTGCAAGTCTATAGATTGGCTGAGGGCTTCTTTTTCTCGACGAGCTTGAAGATCTTTAATTATGTCATCATGTCTTCTAGCATGCTCTATAATTTCTCCTCGATTAATAGGCTGAAATAGCAATCTTTTTTGAGCAAGTTCAGCTTTCTTCTTTTCAAGCTCAGGCATAACTATTTGAGTTATATACGACTCTTCTAGTTTTTCATGTAAATATTTTTGGCTTATTACGTTTTTATACTCTTTTTCTGTTAAATTTTTCCAGTTTTCAAATTCTTTTTTGTGTTTTTCTTCTTTTTCTCTTCTTTTCAAGGTATTGTTTATTCTTTCTTTTTTCATCTCTTCTTCTCTTTTTTGTTTTAAAATTTCTTCAAGCTCTATATCTTCGTCAAGCTTCCTTTTGGCTTCTTCATCCAATTCTTGCAGCTTCCTATGTCGTTCTGACTTCTCTTTTTGTAGCTTCTTAAGAAGCCGTTTAATTTCTTTTGCTTTTTCTTTACGCGTTTCAGGGGTTTCTTCTCGTTTTACAGGCTTTTCAGAGATGGAGTTTCTCCTTTCTTCGGTGATAGGCTTGGTTTCTTTTTTTGACGATTTTGATCGTTTGTGTTTTAAATAAATATACCTTGCTAGGTTTTTAATTTAGCAGGCTAAATCAGATTTTTTTATAATAAAATTATGAATATTATTGAAGAAAAATCTATGGTGAGCTATATTTCATTTTGAGGATGTTACAAACCTTTACGAAAACTTCTTGGGTAGCATCTTTGGTTATATCTGTAATATAAGGAAGAAAATAAGATGCTTCTATGGCTCTTTTCAGATAATCCGTTGCCATTTAAAAATTTTAAGGTTTTATTTTGATGACTATTATTAAAATGAAAATAAGGAAATTGAATTAGTTAAGCGAAATAAGAATGCTCACTGTTAAACCCACTCACCACATCAATTGCCTCATCTGTAAACTTTTCCCTAAAATGCTGTGTATTCCACAACGGCTTGTGAACTTTCCAGAAATCAGCCATTGTAGAATTGACACAGGATGATATTTCTGTCCCTTCTCTTTTCATCCTACACAACTTGATTATTGCATCTCCTTTCCAAGGCTCCATAAACTCTTCCAAGCTTAAAATCAACGAACTTAGCCCAAACGCATACGCAATCTTATTAGAGATATCTTTTTCTTTTCCAATCTCAAGACATTTATTATAAAATGCGTTTTTTTGTTCAGATGGGACCACTTTTAGCACTAGCGCCAAGCACGACTTGCTAGTATTCCTTGTTTCAGGCCTTGGGTCGAAAAACAGCAAAGAAAAGTCTGGGTATGGCACAGAAAATTGGTTGTAGTACCAAAAATAAGCCAAAGTATGGATCTTAATATTCATTGACTGCCAAGAAACACCTTCAGATTTTATAAATAATTGCAAAATGTTAGAGAAAATGCTTGGGGATATTTTTGATGAAAAAATTTCAGCAATGGCAGTAGAAGCTTCAAGAGAAAGCTTGGAGTCAGCGCTTTCAAGGAATTCTAATATCTTTTGGATGCCAAGCGTGATATAAGAGATCAAGCTTCATTCAGAACTTTGGACCCTATATAACTGTCTATATATTTCAATAAGCAGATGGCTGTATAATGACTCTTCTATTGCTTGAATATTTGTAATATAAGCTGCTGCAGGCTTAAAAATGCCCCAGTATTTGCCAGTCTCTATTTCGATTTTCAAGTATTTTTGGGTTTCTTCATTATTTTTCATAAATCTCCCAGTAGCAGAAATGATTTTCCCTAGCAAAATACTAGAAGTGACTCTTAACGACGCGAAATAATCAGATGGCAAATTGCCTAAGGACATTACAAGCTCTGGATATATTTCAATCCCTTTCCATCCTAAATACCCAACAAATCTAGACAGCAACTTCAGGATTTTTCTCAATTTGGTTGAAGCAGAAACTGACAAATTGCTATACAAAATCCTATAAATTGGTAAAATTTTATGTGGGGACTGTTTTTTGCACATATACTCAATGCTTCTTTGCCAGCTTCCACTGGACTCTAATGAGCAATTTTTGATAGCTTCTTCAAAAAAGCCATAAAAAGTTTCTTTACTTTGGGAATCCCAATATTTCATTGACCGAAATACACCTGCAAGGACTTCTGATAACACAATTTGTGATTCTTTTTCTTGAGAAATCAAAGACCTGGCTTTTGATATCAAAATTCTTACCCCTGATGGACCATAAATTCTGCCAATTCCTTTAAAAAAGTTTGCTTTGGATACTGAAAAATAGGCGCCTCTAGAGGATTTTCGCTTAATAGGGTGTTCGAGGATAAAATTGACAAGTTTTGCAGGGTTATTTAAGAATTCAAGAGCATGGTTTGTGGAGTGTGCGGCAGGGTTGCTGATTTGGGTTTCCTCAGTCTCAATTTGGTGCTTTACAACTAAGAATTGCAGCAATTTTTCAACTTTTTCTTCAGAATTTAGTAAAGCGTACAAAGAATCGTGAGAATCGGTATAAGCGATTTCTGGGTAATTTTTAATGAAATCTGGCAGAATTGACCATCCCTGATGCAATTTTCCTAGGTTTACTGTAGAAATATTAGATAGGTCAAGGTAGCGGGCATCTTCAGAAAACTCAGTCATGGGAAGAGCAGAAACTGAAGGTTTTGGAATAGTGTGGTAAACCTTTAGCCTCAGAATAAAATTAAACAGATGGACCGCAGTATCTCTGATATCAGCATGCTCGTCAAGAATTAATGGAGTTAAAGCGTCACTGACTGCATTTAAAAACTCTATATCAGCAACTGATGCGATATTTAAAATGATATAGACCATAGCATATAGCTTATACCTCCAGTTATAGCCGTATATTTCTCTACACATTTTTTCAATGATTTCTCTGCCTTTTATTTTATGGTCTTCCAATAACTGAATTCCTCCTTGAGACGTAATTTTTACATTTGGATAAGCAGTCATCACATAATTCGAAAATATCGCAAACAGTGGAATTTGGATTTCTGCGTTCTCAATACTGCTTGCCTGCGTCAAAATATTGGGTGCCAAATACATCTTTGTCACAACCCCTCTTTTCCACATCTCCCCTTTATCACTGATAATCTCCAAAACTGCTTTTACATCCTCCTCATTCCTAGTCACAAAGATTTCGCCTATTTTTTCCTCGATTTTTTGCCAAACATATGCAATTACTTCTTGGCCATACAAAAAGTTGTTGCTTATGACCTTTTTTAAGCTGGATTTAGCAGTCCCTCGCACTGATTTCAGCTGATGCAGGGATAAATTAATGATGATGTCTAGTAAATCTTGATAGTGCTCTATACATCTTTTCTGTGAGAGCCTAGTGGCAATTCTCATATTATGATGGATATATGCTTTTTCAATCTGGTAAAGGCGGGTTTCGCTATGGTTTTTTTCAAAAAATGGGACTAGGGGATTCCCTATTCGGTTTCTCAACATGCGAAGTTTGGCTTCTTCTTGCTTGATTTCAGCGATACAGAGGTCGTTGTTTTTTAAGGTTGAGGTAATCAGCTTTATGATGGTTTCAGCTAAATTTGAGTCATTTAGGATTAAGTGGGAAGAGTAGATTAAATTAATTATAGAGGGTCTCTTGAGATTATTTCAGCCCCTCTCCGTTGTATCATTGGTCTTCAGGCTCGATTGGCCCTATCACAAGTGTAGCACTGCACTGAGCCCTTTTTCTGTCAACTTCCAACAATTGGTGCGTCAGCAGCCTCTCGAAAAACTTGTTGGGTTAGCACTCCCTTAACTCTGGTTGTATCCAGAGCGCAAAGAAAGCCCAATATCTTCTTATAGACTACTTTGCCCTTACAGACATATGATTGCTTCCCAGTTATTGGCTAACTTTACTCTTTCATTCTTTCATCTTGGGACAAGGAAAAATCCTGTCACGAAGTCCGAATAGGCAAAATCCACTCCAAACCTCTAAAAAGTATGGCCCAATTACCTGGGCTGGGATTAACTTGCCAGGCACCCTTAACCTATACTCAACTCGTCATCTTTTAGCAGTATTAAAAGGGAAGAAGAAAGGGATTTTAATGTCTCCGAAAAAAATTTGTGGGAGTCAAGAAGTTCTGCAGGGATATTGAGGTTTTCAAGGCCTGTTGATACTCTGAAGGAGCCTGGACTTGTGGTAGATATGAGTTCTAACGTAGAAAGTGCCGGTAGAATACTTGAGGCAATTGCGAGTTTCTTTTTAAGCTCATCCTTAGAAGCTTCAGTATTTATTGAGAATAAATGAGCTACAGCTAATTCTTTAGCAATTATAAGAGCAGCATCAGATGGCTTATACCAAGAAATTTCCATATCAGTCCCTTCAGTCTGCTGCCCAACACTTCCTCTATATTGGTTATAATCCATATGACCATCTACAAAGCTCGGCAAAAAAGGATGATAAGAAGTCGGATAAATCGTGACAAGCCCTTCTATATAGCTTCCTATCAGATCTCCAGCCAATTCATATATCTTTTCACTTTCATTTTTTATAAAAACGCTAACCAGCTCTTCTATCTGTCCTCTGACATTTACCAAATAATCCCCTCCAAATCTCATAGAACTCACCAAGATCCCTACAAGCCAAGAAATTTCTTTTGGGCTTCTGGACGAGATTTCCCCATTTTTTACTGTCCTATTTTTCACTAGTTCTAATAAGTTTCCTAGGACTCTTTGGGGATGCCTTCTTGTCATTTCAGCAGCAATTATCCCGAATTCGTGCTGGGCGTTGTTACAAGCATTGAATTTTATATATTCTAGAAAATCATTGACCCAGAAATAAAAAATATCAATCCCTACACTGGACGACAAAGCTCTCATACAATTTTTCAATGATTTTTCAATATTAAATGACTGTCTTTCAAATAGGCTGAACATAGGTTTTTCTGGTTTTTCTTCTTTTTCTTCAGATTTTTCTTCAAGCTTGCTGAGGGTGTCTAAGAGTCTTTCCATGAAGCCTTGTCCCCATTCTCTAATTCCGTCACCTGCAGAGTCATCAAGGGCAATTGTAGAGCCAAGGACTGCATAATAGTCTAAGACTTTGCAAGCTTTATCAATATCGCTGGATGTTAATTCTTGAAGGCCTTTTTCTATAAGTAAAGCAAGCTCAGTAATATCGTGGTTATATACTTTAGAATCCAAGGTCGCCCTTAGAGTTTGTCTCATCACTTCTATAGCTTTTGCATGAGAAACGTTGTAGTCTTCTAAAATATATGAACAATACTGGGTATAGTACACCCACCATTATGGATGGGGAGAATTTTTCTGGCGAGGTCTGTTAGCTTTCAGTATAATTTGGCACTGATCGCAAGTTCTGCAAAGCTGCCTTCTATTTTTTGGCTTGCCAACTTAGACTAATGAGCTCTATATAAAATTTTTTTCTTCTAAGCCTATCCATAAAGGGTAATTGGCTATACAAAAAGAAATAAACCGTTCTGGAGCTATAAAGCTTAAACTGTTAAACAGCTTGTCAAGTGTCCCCAAATGCTTGGTATGGAACACAACTTCTACACAAGGAAGCAAAATGTCTAAGAACTTATTGATCAAGCTGCTCGAAACTCCTGCTGTTTTATTTTTATTCGCCCTTCTTATCCTTCTGCTCATATAATGCCCACATTTATTTAAATGCTCCACAAAGGCATGGGTAGTCATTTTTTCTTCTTTAAGGTGTCCTCTAATATTTTGTATCCATTGCTGGAAATACTTCAGAGAATTCCCTTGCTCTTTTAAGGTAAAAATCAAAAACTTCACTATCCCAGCTGTTTTTTTCATAAAACTCCCCATAAAGCCAACCATCTTTTTGTTTTCGTCCATATAGGTTTTCGGTCTTGGTGCTGGGTTTGGTAATAGTGGAATAGCTCTTAATGACAAATCTAGTAATTTAGGCATATAAGGCTCCCAGTTAAAATCAGGGCTTGCTTTAGCAGTATCAGCTAAAAATGAAATAACTTTAAGGATCACTGATAAGTTCCTATGATCATAATCTACTGCTTCAAGGAGAATATCAATGAGCCATGAGTCAACCTCTCCCTTATTAGGTATGAGCGTCGTCATCAATGTTACAGCTTCACTGATATCGCCTCCTGGGCAAATTTTCCTCCTAAAAGTATCAATGATTTCTCTTGTCGCACCTTCTGAGTAAAATTTCCTAGCTTTTTTCATAGAAGTTGCTAATTCTCCTAATAAATAAGAAATTTGGCCAAATCCGTAGAACAAAAACTTAGACTCTTGAGAAGAGACCAGCCAGTTGTAGAGATTGTACAGGACTTTTCATTCCAGCTCAGTTTTGATGGACTGCCGAAGCTTGAGGAGACGATTGAATAGAGAAATGGTGCTAGAAAGGGCGTCTATTGATAAGGATGATAAGCTGATTATGCTGAAAACTGTCTGGATAATGGAGACTTGCTCGTCAGGGCTGAATTTGTGGATGTCTAAAAATCGATGGGCTGAAGGGATCCATAAACTGATAAGTTCTTGTTCGTTGGATGAGGATATAAAGGACTGAAAGCCTTTAATTATCATGTCGGCAGCGTCTTCACGCTCTTGTTCCAGCCGATGCCGGTAGAGATCGGGAAGATTTTGTTCGAAGAATCTGAGATTTGCCATTTATAATGATTTTCTGAGCTATGTATCGAATATGAAATCTAATGACTCCTTCTCTGGGAGCGAGCAAAAAAGTTGTTTACTTTAATCGGGCTTAATATTTTAAAAATAATTCAATTTTTTTCTAGAATTAAAAACTCTCAATTCGCAATAAACATAATTTAACTTATGTTTTAGACTCCAAGCCTTAAGTTCAACGGAATTAGCTAGAGATATCATTATAATAATTATTATATAGAAACATTTTTTGGCTTGTCAAAGGAGTTTTTTCCTAAGAGGAGGATTTCTCTATTGATTTTGCTGGCTAGCACAGGGGGAGTGAGAATTCTTATGGAGAATTTTTAGGTAATAAGCTTAATAAATTTTTAAAAATATTTCCATTTTGATTTTATAAATAAATATAAATATGCTACATTAACATGAAATAAAACTTGCCTAATCATGCCTGATGACCTTTATTATAAGAGCGGAAATGATTTTTCTTGTTATTTAAAGTGTAGGTAATCAATTTCTTTTGTATTTTTAGAAAAGCTTAATTCTACATATAAAACTCTACATTAACTTATAAAGTTTTCTTCTTCACCATCCTTTTTTTCAGAGCTCCTTTAACTGTATATAAATAATGGACTCCTATTTGAGGTATAAGCATAACCCCAGCCAGTCGAAGAAATCCCTAATCTTATTTTCTTCACTTTTCTTCATTGGAATCCTTTTTGCTGTTTTCGCTCTAAAATCCAGCTTTCCTTCTAAAAGCCGCAGCCTTTCCCAATTTGAGCTTGACCAAGAACAATTCAAAAGTTTCATTCTTACCTACAATAAAAATTATCCTACGCCCGAAGAGTTCTTAAAAAGGTTCCAAATCTTCAGAGAGAACCTAGCCCACTTCCAGGAATTCAATTCTCAAAGACACTCTTGGACCAAAGGAATAACTAAATTTGCAGATATGACTGTAGAAGAATTTCATGAAAAGTATTCTAGACCTATGGAAAAGGTAGAAATTGAGCATATCTTATCTTATTAAGTTTATAACGTTTAACGTCCACTATGGGGTAGCCGTTTCCAGAGTTGCCACCATATTTTCCACTTGTCGGGTCCATAGACCTCTGAATCGATCCATTTCGTTGTGCCAGGGCATGGACAAATACAGTGTTCTGGCTTCAACGGGCTACCTTGCCTTGCCTTCTTTGACTCAGCTCCTGCGCGTGTTCCGCCTAAGGGTTGCCTTCCTCAGGTGTGCTGAGAGGCAATGCTTTGAACCTCTTGATGCACTTGTAGCAGTGCCAGCTTAATTGCCTGAGTTAAACTGCTATTGCTGTACAGAAGTTCTCAAAAGAAAGCCTAACCCCATAAATAAAATTGCTTGAGGGAGAGAAATTAGCGAAGCTAATTTCACTCGAACCGAATGCCATTTTATTTATATAGAAAATGAACATTACAAGGAATTTGAAGTTGGAGATACAATATTTTCTTGGGACTGGAGAAATGTTCCTGGAATTCTTACACCTATAAAAGATCAACATACCTGCGCTAACTGCTACGCTTTTGCAAGTGCAGCCACAGTAGAAAGTGCTTGGGCAATCAGCGGCAAAGGTCTTCACTCACTTTCTGTACAGCAAATCACAGACTGCTCTTTGGGGTTTGGCAACCATGGTTGCAATACTGGCAGCTACATAGCTACTTATGGCTATATATATATTTTTTGTTATTTTTTACATTATTTTCATTAATATTAGCATTATTTCCATTCTATATTATATATTATAAAAAATATGGGCTTGTCAGTCAAGAGTATTATCCTTTTGTTAATTCAGTTGGAAACTGCAAAGAAAGCATTACTGAATATCCTCTAGCAACAATCAGCGATTTTGATGTGGTGCAACCTAATAATATTACTTCATTCGTGAGTGCTGTTAAGCAGCAACCTATTGCTGTCTCAGTTGATGACACTGCTATGCTGCACTATACCGGTGGAATTATTGATGGCGGCTGCACAGTGAATGTAAACCATGCTGTGGTAATTGTCGGGTATCAAGTTGACGTAGAACAGGACTTAGGGTATTGAATTGTAAGGAATTCATGGGGAACAAATGTTGGTGTGAATGGGTACTTTTATATAAAAATGGAAGATGGGGTAGGAGTGTGTGGAATCCAGACAGTTGGATTATATCCAATAATTTAATAAATTTCTTTTAATGAGTAATATATAAAAAAAATAATTGGAAATTGAGCAGTTTTAGCATGCACTTTTTTCCAAGTATTTTTGAAATATGAGATGCAGCTAAGTCACAGAATTTAGTGCACTCTCGTTTTTAAAAGTAATAGGTAGAGCTTTCATTTCTTGCTCATCCATAAATCTGTTAACTCACAACTAATTCATTCCTTAAATTTTATACTATTTCTTATAAGACTATAACAAAATTTAATAAATCAGAATTGATCACGAGTATGCATTTTATTTATTTCATTTATTAATCAGGATTTGTTTACCAAATCACTCATTCTAGAAATGCTACGGTAAATCCAGATAATGCTTCTTATCGTACTAATAATTGAAATAAAGTATATATTTCTTAATTATAACTCTTCCTGAGCATCCATCAAAAAAACACACTATTTTGGAAAATATTAGCTTTCTTTAAATATGAGCAAAAATTATTTAAATATGATACTTGTTTGACGAAATTTCTAGCTAATATTACACAGCTTACATTATTAAGCATAAATTTTATTTATGAAATCATATTTCTTTTCAAGAGCAAGCAGAAAAATCTTGTTCGTTATTAAAGAGGGAGAGTAAGCAATTTTAATGAGATATAAATTAGGATTGCTAGAATTAGAATTCCATTAATTCATATAAAAATGGAACCAAAAAAACTTATAAAACTCCCTTCAGTGGATCCGAAAGAATTTCACTTCAAGCCTAAAAACAGCCCTAGGATTGACCATTATCTAACTCCCCAAAATCCTGTATATGAAGGTTTTAGCGATTTTTGCAATAAAAACAGAAGAGGATCCCTAAATCAGAAACTTCCTAGCCTAGAAAAGCATATTTTAGGCTCTAATTCTCCTTGTTCTCCTTTTTCTCCTAACGGATTAGAAGGAATTGACCTATCTCCAAGGTTTAAATATAAGCAGCGAATCCATCCTGACCTAAAAAACTTTGAGTTTCGGTGCCAAACAAGTTTGGGATCCAAACACAGACCCGAAGACCACAAAATTCACATAAATATCACCAACATAGAAAGTTCGGACGAAAAAGATGCCTCCATAGATGAAGCAGAAGAAGCAAAAATCAAGAAAAGCCTTCAAGTCCCCTCCTCAAGCTTCCAAAGATTTAAATATAAAAAACACAGAAAAGGGCGAGGTCTGGAAGCAGCTGCCAGCGAAATTAGGCTGCCGTTGACTAAAGATGATAGCTTTAGCTCACAAGACTAATTAACTAATTTAATGTTCATAATAATTCATTAATAATTAGCAATGCCTATCATAGAACCCAAAGCAATTTTTATTTGAATTATAAAAATAATATGGCAGATATCAAAGAAATGAGATTGTTCTCAGCTGAACAAATTTCAGTCCCTGAAGAGTTACCATTGATTTTAAAGAACTACTCAAAAGAAGTGATTAGGAATAACCCTAGCGATATCATAGCGTTTTCTGCAAAGTACTTTGAGACACTAAGAGAAGAGCAGAAAAGACATGTTGACACTATTGCGAGACCTAAATAACTGACATCTTTTGGTCAAATAATTTTTATTTATTATTCTTATAGCATTATTTTGATATAAAATCCTCTAGAAATTTTTAAAGTGTTACTTAATAATGCCCCAGATGCTCTTCCATCCACTTCTGAGTATGCTCATCACAGCTCTCAATGTGGAATCTATATCTATTCACTGTTAAATCAGTCCCCAAAATAAAATCAGCGGGGTGGAAATACTCGTTATTCCTGTTCTCATTCTTGTATCTCCCTCTGATCAAGAATTTACCTTCCACAATACCTGAATTTCTTTGTGGGATTTCGTGGATTTGGAGAGTATCGTCATTGAGGAACATAGAAATAATGAACCTACGGTCGACGTCTTCTGGCTGAGGAGAGTTAAATCTGGCGGTCCATCTTAGAATTCGGTGGGAGTTGTCAATAAACTTGAAGTAGTCTTTATAAGGAGGCTTAGGGATAAGACGATATACGTAACCTAAAGAGTCTTCTTCACTACCTAAACCGTCGTGCGGAGGGATCACGATGTTGTTTACTTCACGCTCTAATAATAAAATGGCATTCGGTTCGAGAGAAATTAGCTTTGCTAATTTTCTCTCCCTCATGGAATTTTATTATTAGGGTTAGGTTTTCACTCGAGAACTTCTGGACAGCAACAGCGGTTTAACTTTGGGGATAACCAAAGGAACCACTCCTCAGTCCACTCAAGATCTCGGGCTTTTACCTCTCAGCACATCCCCACGGGAGGATGACCCTTAGGCGGAACACGCGCAGGAGCTGAGTCGAGCGACAGGGCGACGGCAACGCGCCGGGTGAGACGTGCAGCAAGGCCGGTGAAGCAGGAGTTGATAGAAGGCTTGGACGGGGCTGACCCGTGCCAAGATGGCTCGCCTACGTCATCAGTTTTGCCATAGGCCCTTTTGGGCTGCGGCACTAGACACCTTAAACACCAGATAATTAAGTAAGTAAGTAAGTTTACTTCACGCTCAGGTGGGTCTGGGATTGGGCCTATTGGGAAAACTCGAGAATAGTGCTGTCTGTAGTAGTTCACTGTAAATTCGTCAGCACTGTCAATTACAAATTGACGGTTGTAGATTTGTAAAATCATGTTTGGCTCGATTTCGTATTCTTTTAATGAGTTTTCTTCTGGCTGCTGACCTGGCTGGCCGATTGCAAACTTCTTATTCCTCCCCTCTTTAATAGAAGAAATATCGGCAAAGTTTCTATTTTATTAAGTAAATGAACTCCTATTTAAATTAAAAACAAAATTTTATAAAAAATAAGAATTTATATGTAAAAAGCTTTAAACCCAATATCACAAAATCGAAAATCTGCCTATTGTTTGCTAATTTTGATAGGAGCAAATGTAATTATAAACAATATTATGAATCGATAAAACTTTTAATTTTCATGAAAAATTTGATCTATTTTTTTCAAAAATAAATTATCGCCTTGAATGAGAACGGAGAGTTAGGGAGTTTATTTCTTCTAAGAAAGACTGGGAATTCAACTTTTCCATCATTTGGGTAGTGAATTTCTAATATTTCTACAGTATCATCTGCTAAATAATAGTGCAAAATAAAATGTTCTCCTCCACTAGAGCTGAAAAACCTTAAAACCTTTCTATCATGGTCCAAAAACTGTTTCTGAGGTTTTGGTCTTCCTCCTCCTAACGATTTTTCTAAAAACTCTTTCATAGCTGCATCCTTTACCAGCACCACTTTTTCCCCTTTCTTTTTCGCAAAAGGGTCGCCAGGTATCTCTTCAGCTGGTCCTTGGCTCATTCGATTTAAATCATAAAATTCCCTTGTATATTGGTCACAGTCCACAATCCTAATATTTTTCCCAAAAATCACAATATTCTCTCCTACCCTCAAATCAGTCGGCACAATGGCCATTCCGCTTCCATCATTTTTCAGTATGGCTTGTCTCTTAATAAACGGTCCTTGTGGAGTTCCAGAATTTACTTCTCTTGGCTCTATCACCGACAGAGTATGATCTTCTAAATAATAATAAATAATCAATTTCCTCACTCTGAAGTGCTCTAAGTTGCTTTCTACAATTGGCTCTTTAAAATACCCGAAAAATCTCAAAACTTGTCGGTCCATTTTTACAAAGGTCGGCTCAAATTGGTCAGTGATTTCTTCAGAATTCATAGGGGCATGGACTGAGTGTGTCGTAGAGCGCCATTGGGTGTCCATCATGCGGGTTTGGTCTGGCTTTTCTGGACTTTCACGTCGTGGGAGAGGATATGAAGGCAGAGGACGATTTGCCTACCTAGCAGTTACGTAATCTTTGTTTTCTTCTTGCTTTTGGGCACTGACACGCTTGTGCTGGGTTTTCTATGTAAATTTTACTGTTGGGTCATGGTGAGGGGCAAAGCCTGGAAGACTAGGAAAAGGAATTGGGCCTGACATAAATATTATAAGCCATTTTGGAAGTTTAAGATTAATCGATTCAAATTATGAAGGGATTTGCAATAAATTAAGTAAAAAAAATCCTTGTTTTTGCAGTAATAGGGGTCCTACAAATAGGACAATCTTCTAGGTTTTCTGAGCAGAGCTGGCATATACTGAGGTGTTTGCAAGGGTCGGTGATGATATTTCGAGGGTTTTCTAAGCAGATGCAGCACTCAAAGCCAGCTGGCATACGAATTATGACCTCTCTGTTCATTTCATTTTCTTCTCTTCTTATTCTTCTTCTCTGTGCTTGTCTATTTAAATATCATATCATATAACCACCTAAAAGCGCATGCAGCCCATATAGAAAATATAATAGTTCTTTTTTTTCTTGAAGGATTATTTCTTTAGAATACGCAATATAGTCAGGGATTATTTTTAGTTTTTCTCCTATCTGCTTGATTTCTCCTATAACACAGATATTTGAGTCCTTCGGGATGACTTCTTCAATTATGCTTTGGGATACTTCGACGTTTATTAGGAAAAGTTTTGTGATAAAAAATAAAACGGAAGAGAAAATAGACCGTATCAGCCCAGTTCAAGAGACTGGTAGTGCGCTTTGTTCAGCATATGCTCTTAAGACTGTTATATATGTATCTTTGGTAGGCTGTATAAATATTTGCTGCTTTCCTTCAGTAAGACAGAACTCTTTGATTATCTTTTTATTAGAAGTGCTTATTACTGCGCCTAGTTGGTTATATTTAGTGTCATAATAATCAGAATAAACCACCTTCAGGTTTTGTTTGGACGTCAAAGACTACATTTATATTACGTTAAAGGCATTATGGTTTCCTACATTCCCTGATACACATACATAGGACGATGATAAAGTCTTAGAATTTGACAATTCAGAGACTGAGTAATCTTTTATACGGCTCAGATGAAAATAGTTGTAAGTTAGTTTGCAAGTAAAAATCCCTGTAATAAGAGATCCAATAATGCTGGTATTATAAATCCAGCTGTTTATTCTATCATTTGACATATTAATTTATTATAAATCTCTTCAAATTCTTTAAATTAGGAATTTAATTACATTAGTTAGATTATTATTCAATTTGGTTTGAGAGGTATCTTTTCCTCTTTATCCTCTTGCTAAACACATCATAAGGAAACCGAATATGCCTTGATGGCGATTTAGCGCTGCTATTCCCAGGTCTGAATGTAAAATTTTCTTCATTTCCAGGTGACATGTTTCTGACATTTAAAGAAACACATCGCTCTGACCTTAGTTTTACCTCAGGCAGCTTAAATTTGTTGGAGACAGAACTTATTGAAGTGGGGGTTTCTGATCGTCGTAAAAGCAGCTCTTTGACTTTTCTGTCTTTTTCTAAATTGCTGACAGCTTCTTGGAACATTTTTAAAGGCTCTTTATATCTGGATAATTGGCTTCGGGACTCTCCTCTCAGCTTATGGATCAATATTTCTTGGTCTTTGAGCTGTTGCTTTAATTTCTGCTGCTCTTCTAGTAGCCTACGGCACATTTCATTGAGATCTTCATTGCTTTCAGCTCACTTTGAAGGGCTTTTGTGTGTAGATGATGTAACTGGACTTTTTGCTAAAAGAATGTGTAGAGAGGCATCCATTTCAGGAGCAATTGTAAGGGTCTTTTTGGAAGGCTTTTTACCTTGAAATGATGAGGTTTGCACCCTTGTTGTGGGTTTCATTTGGGGACTATGCATTTATTTGAATGCTGTTTATTTTAATTGAAAAATTAGTTTATAAATTAAGTTAACATCTTTGCGATGAATTAATTCAAACTAAGGATTTTCTTTTATTTTATTTTATGCTTCCCTCTGAATATTAATTATTCGACAAATTTTTTGAATTGTTTCTCCTTTTATTATTTACATAATTTTATCTTTCTTGGCTAAAAATGATTCTCCTTGAACTCTATTTTAGCTTCTTATTAGGGCGTATTAATATGCATCTTTCTATATAAAATCTGCTGATTTTATTATAATAAATTTTCAGATATCTCCAATAACCATCCTACCTTAAAAAAGCTATAAAACCTGCTTACTGAATTACGCTTATACATAATATTTTGATTGATAAAATATTGCTTTATAATTTCCAGAAAGCTTAATGCTAATTTATTATTATCAAATTTAAATTCAAATAATTTTCATCGTTTAAATGATAATTTATTGCATATTTTAAATAGCCATTGAGGATGGAAGATATAGAGAAGAAAATATATGACCTATTTAAATACACCTTCACTACCAATTGTGATATCGACGAAGCTCCTATGACTCAGGAAGAGCTAGACACTCTTGATGATCTACAGCCTTATGAAATTTTGGAAAATCTGAAAGACATTATCACAGACTTGCTCAACTTCAAAAAACAATTCAAAACAACTGAAGCCGCTGAGCTTATAAATCGAGCCGATCAATTCGAAAAAATGCTTCAAAAACTTGAAGCTGATATCAGGACACATATAAAAATCGAGCAGCAAATGAAACTACAGCTGGATATAGCTAAAAGCAAAGTTGAAGAATATGAAAAAGGGAATAAAAACGCTAAAATGCCTAAAAACCATTTAAAACTTAGGCTAGATTTAAAACTAGGCCACAGCCCGAAGCAAACAAAAGAAGAAAAAGCAGTTTCGTATAGAGAAAACTACAAAGAGATAGATAAGATTAAGAAAAAATATGAAGAAAAGCTGCAACAAATTACAGAGGAAAGCGAAAATAAAGAGAAAAATATTAAACAGCTGGAAATTGAGCTTGCCAAGTTGAAAATTGTGGTAGAAGACAAAGAAAAAGAAAACGAAAAAATAAAAAATCAGCTGAATATAGAAAAAAACGTCATAAATCTGAAAAGACTTGAGCAAAGGACAATTATAAACTCTGGGTATTTAAAAAAGAAACTAGAAGAAAAACCATTACTCCTACCTGCTGGCTGAAGAGGCTAATATTTTTTCTTCTAAATACGGAAAGTTTTATCTACAAAATTTATTTTAGAATGAAAGCAGTTAAAATTTCAATAGAATTGGCTAGATTTGATCATGTATAATTGCCACTTATATTTTTTATAAAAAATTTTTGGTCGCTCTGGTGGGCTTTTGCCTCAAAAAAGGGATTTTTCTCATGGTTTTGTTTGCTGAAGAGTGGGTGAGAGCTAGGAATCTTGAGGTTTAATAGCCAAATAAAGGACAGAACACCTATAAAGGATGTAAAAATCCGAAAAGCATCAAGAAAATCACTTGGTGGGAATGAGTCAGCAAAAGACTCTTCGCCATATGGCGTTTGACATGAAATAAACAGTTCCTTTAAGAAGATCACGATGTTCAAAAAGTCAGATATTATGTCGCATAAGCATTTCAGAAGCTTTTCTGAGTATGATAGACCTCAGAGTTTGAAGAAATTGGCTACTTAAAACTGGTAAATTAAAAATAAATACAAAAATAAGCTGTAATTATGCCTTTCTCCTATAAATGCATGCTATTCTAATAGGTTTTATACTATTTAATTATAATAGAATAATAAATTTTACTTTAATATTTTATCTTTTCCCTTAATATGCTTTACCAGCCTGTAAATTTTTTATGATCTTTTGTGCCTATTTAACCCAATTTAGCCAAAAGCTTCTTAATTTCTTAGATTTAATTTAATTTAAAAATATCCCATAACGGAATCGGAGATAAAGTATAATTAAATGGAAACATGGAATAAAAGATTGGAGTGCAGAATGAAGAATCTTGCTTTCTTGAGAGCCAGATGGGACATTCTGTTAGAATAATAGAGGCAAATACGGAAGCAATCATTTCCTGCTATCCACCTGTCTCCTCTTACACTTAAATTAATAATTAAATTCAATTTCTTGAAAATCTCTTACTCCCCCCCCCCCCTCCGTGAGCGAACAAAAAAATTTTGTTCGCTCACGGAGGGGGGTTAATTTTTTTTTTTAAAAAAAATTTATATATATAAATTTTATAAAAAATATTTTTTTCGAAATTTAAAAAAATCCTAATTTGCAAAAATTGGGAAGCAAATATTAATTTAATTTGCAAAATTTATGTTTTAAAACGCAATTTGTTTAAAATTAAACAGAATTAGCTCTAGATTTCATTATACTAATTATCACTTATATATCAAAATTTTTTTCCATTAAAATTTTTTCTATTAAAAAAATTTTTGTTCACTCACGGAGGGTGGGTTTTTGGTCAAAAAATGGCGATTTTTCTAATGGTTTTGTTCGCTCACGGAGGGGGGGGGGGAGTTAAGAAATTCAAAATTTTATACAGAAAAAAGACTGAGAATTTTAAGCAATCAAAAATTCAGCATAATAATTATTTTAAATATAGTTCTGCACGATATAAACTAATTGACTGATATTTTGGCATTATTAGTGACCCGGCTGCTTGGTCTAGTGGTATGATTCTCCGTTCGGGTCGGAGAGGTCCCGGGTTCGATTCCCGGAGCGGCCCTTTTTAATGCTAAATTAAGATTTAAATTAAGCTTCGACTGCCTTCTTAAACACTCCATCCAAATAAAACTTTGCCTCATCGATTGTTCCTTTTGCAATTGTCATTAAGTTCCTCCATACATCGTCAGGATATGTAAACTGCAATGTAAAGTACCATACCACCAAAAAGAAATCTGTGCATATAAATAAGAAGGCGACGGCAAAAAAGAAATTGGTTGAGTAGTCGTCACCTCCAAGCATTCCTAAATTGATAAAAAGAGACAGAAAATCAAAAATTGCAGCCACAGCAGACGCAATTAGATAAAAAGTAGCCGGTCTTGTGCTCTGCTTGAATTCCTCAAATAGTTTTACCTGTACTTCATGAGTCACTTGCCTTAAGTCATCAGGCAGCTGCTCATACACTTTATGTGATTGAGGGATAGAAAGAATGAGCTTATAAGCCAATAAAGGTCGCACAAAATGCATAAAATGCAGCAAAATCATCAGTTTTCCTTGGATTAGCAGCATTAGAAGCCCTAAAATCATCAAACCAAGCTCTAATAGTGATTGTCAATATAAGGAAGTCCTGATATCATGCAGGGCAAGCTCTGTTTTGATGGAATATAAACCCCAACGACCATATTCTTTAGACCTATTGGATGATGAAATTGTAATTGGCTGAATTGGCTCAGTCTTGTATTTTGCGTCTGGAGATGTTTGTCCTTCTAGGTTAGCTTCTGCTTTTCGCCTTGGGACTGGGTTTTCTTCTTCGTCTTTGAAGGGAACAGGTCTGCGGCTTGCCATGTTTAAATATTAATAGATTAGATGAAAATTATTTAGGTATTAAATACTCAGTTTTACTATAAATTTATAAATCAATAAAGGGCAAGTAAATATGCTTAAAAGAATATTTAAGATTGAAATTTTCATTTTAAGATGGATTAGAAAGAAGTTTATTTTCTTACCGAATTTTGTGATAATATATTAGCAATTAGCATAGCACAATACCTTATAAGTCTTGACTTATGGTTTCTTCAGTATATCTTCACGGCAAACCGGACATGTTAATTGCTTAGAATTATTTGCCCATTCATCTAAGCATCATATGTGAAATAAGTGGTCACATTTTGTTTTTTTAAGGTATTCTCCAACCTTAAAATCGTTCAAACATATTGAACAAGTTTTTTGATATGCAATGGAGAATTCTTTGCACTTTGAATCCTCTTTTTTTTTTGGCTTTGCTTTTTCAACCAGATTCTTTTTTTCTGAATCTATTGATGCTGGATTTGGGGTTTCTGAATTTATTGATGATGGAGTTGAACTTTCTGAGTTAATTTCTGGGGTCTGGCTTTCTTCTGGTTGCAAATTTTCTGCTTCTCTATCTAAACTTCTCCACAATTCTAGGTTTTCCCCATTAATCTGTTGGATTTCACTTTCTCTGTGTATTAACGAAGATTCACTTTCTAAATATACCATATAGTTTTGTTCAACTTGATTTGATTGAATAACATTTTCGCTAGCTATATCTTGAAAGCTCTCGGCACTTGCAGCTCCACACTTATATTTCACAATGATGTATGTAATGAGCCCACAGAAAATAAAAAATCCAATTGTTCCTAAAATAATTCCGATAATCTGACCCTCACTCACTCTGATTCCGTCGTCTTTATCCGAAGAGTGATCTTGCCCTTTAGAAAGAGTTGCTGAAATAATAACGGTCCAAAAAAAGTTATTGAAAATAGCATTCATCTTTAATTTTTATAATTTTGTATGGCTGCATGAAAATATCTGTACCTCTACCCCAAAAAGGCATAGTTGATAAGAGAAGAAATATGATTTTTGAGTAAGGGAATGTAGAAGGAATTAAAAATTTATGCGTTTCAAATTTTTATAACATATAATTTTTTAATTAATGTAGAAAGATCATTTTTGTAACCATTTTATGTCTAATTACTATTTACCAGTTGCGCTTATTTAACATATTAATCAAAAATTAAAAATTCATAATAGTAAACAATATTTATAATTTAACTTAAAAATTAATTATGATAGAGTAAATAAAAATTTAATAAATTAATCTTACAATAAGCTATTATTTGTCAATAAACCATGATAAATTTGCTAGATTAAAGGTGAATTTTCTTGGGTCAATCCTAACATCTAAACTGTGTAAAAAAATAATTTTTATTAATTAGCATATACGTTGCTAGGATTTCCACAGCCTACAGTAAATTTTAAAGCTGAGAATTGACTAGAATTTTATTTAGATGCTAATATGCTATGATATACTGCCATTTTATTTGATCATCAGATTCGATGAAATATAAGAAAAATTGATAACTTCCTTTTGAAAGTTATGCTAAAACATAGTTACAACTAGAGATAATAAAATTCTTTCTGAGCCAAATTTTTGTGAATATAGTTGATGTCAATCTATAATAAAATATCAATTATAGAAAATTCATTTTTATTTGAAATCAATTATATTTACTCCCCAGCCTCTGAGAGCGAACAAAACCATTGGAGAAACCTTATTTTTTTGGTAAAAGCTCACCCTACATGAGCGAACAAAAATTATTTTAATAGAAAAATTTTTTATGAAAAATATTTTGAGTTATATAAGTGATAATTATTATAATGAAATCTCGAGCTAATTTATTTAATTTAGACAGCTTGCATATCAAACATAAATTATATAAATTAGATTTAAATTTTGATTTCCAATTTTTTTGTAAAAAAAAGCTCCCTCCTTGAGCGAACAAAATTTTTTTGTTCGCTCACGGGGGAGCATTTAGGCAGTCTTTATATTAGTTTAGATTTGGATAGCATTATGCCATCAATATTCATACACTAAAGCAATGCAGCTTGTAAGCTATTAATTAATATATATATTAATGTTGACCTTGAAATTTGAGCAGGACATTATATTTCGCTTTAAAGCCTTATATCTGGCAGATTTTTGCAATTTTCAATTAAGATAGCCTTTTAATCTTCTTAAAAATAGCCAAATAATGACATTATCGTGATTATTCTACAAAATCTCAGCAAAGATAAAGCTCTATTAAGCTAAGACTTTAAAAATATAAAAAGGAAAATTAGTTTTTATTACCACTTATTTCTAATCTGCATCCTTTGCAATTCTAAATGGACAAACAGGAGTTTGTTCCTCAACACTTTCTTCAGCTGCCAATTTTCCATCCTGCGGTATTTTTATCTGCATTTTTATTCTTGATGGCGATAATTTCTCTATTCTGTCTGTTTTTACTCTATACGTAAACGACCCATTTAATGAGTCCGCAGGACTTGAATGCTCACTCTTGAAATTTTTCACTAGGGCTCTTAACTCATTAAATTTTTTACTATTTACAACAGGCTTGATATTCCCTTTATTAAAAGCTTTGTGAATTATCCTTGGAGAGTTATTAAATCCATACGCCCTTTCTGAGTCAAATTTATCGTTACCTCTTGGAGACTTATGCCTATCAAGCAAAAATGTTTTGAGGTATTTTTCTGATGTACTTGGGCGAATTAAATCAGTCTTTTTATTTATTTTTTCTTGGGTGCTAAAAAGGTAATTTAGGTCTAAATGCTTTGAGAGCTCTTGATACATTATAGCTCGCTTTTTGGCTTCTCATTTTAAAGATGATACAGGGCTTTCTTTGAAGATTTGTCTTGATATAGGGGAATTGGATTTAAAAACAAGTTTTTGTTTGGGTTCTTCATTTTGCAGTCTTGGGCTTTTTGAGCTTGCTTCTTCTAGTTTGCTTGGATGCTTTAAAGTATTATGCTTAACTAAGGTTCTTGGGCTTTGGATCAGTTTAGGCTCTGCTTTTCTTTGAAATTCGGGCTTATTCCTTGGACTGCTGATTTTTGTTAGCTTTTCTCCGATATGTGTGCCTCTTGTTTTTAAAGATTCCTTCCTAATAAACTTCTCACTTATCATTATTTATTTCTTTCATAATAAAATTAAAAATTTTCATTGTAAAAACTATGAAATATAAAGCTGATTTACTATTTATTAGAATTTGTCAGCTTTATAATAAAATTTCATATACCTTTGTATATAAATAAAGTATTTGTGGATAAAATAATTATTCGACCTATGAGATTATTAATGCATTATACTATAATAAAAATTATTTTTTATCATAAAAAATTAGAATGCTATGAAATTAATTTTTAAAATTAAAGTTTTCTTAACTCCTGCTTAAGCTCTTCTAATGCAGAAAACAGTTCTGGATCCAGCATTTTGCCAGACAAAATTTCTATTAAATCCCCACTTTCTTTTTTCCTTCCCAACTTGCAATGTGCAAATGCCTGCATATAAATAATTTCTGGCATATCTTCATCCATACTTAATCCTATATCTCCTACCCACAATACTCCATCAAAATCTTCAATTTCAATTAAATTTCTCATGCTTTCCAATATAAACTCAATAGATGGCAAGCTATCATGTTTGGCTTTTTCCAAAAGCAGCTTTACCTTTTCCATCGCTTCCTTAGCTTCTTGGAATCTTAGCCGAACAAGCCTTAGGTTAGCTAGCATTTGATAGGCATCAATACAATTTGGGTCATACTTAAGGTTAGTTATTAATGATGTGCGCTTATGATCTCCACTAGAACGCCATGCGTTCCACAACATGAGATCCCTAAAGGCAAATAGAGCTCAGGTATTTTCCATAATCGATCCACCAAAATGTGATTTTGTTGGAACTTTCAATGGCCAGTATAATAATAATTCTGCTTACTCCCCCTTTGCGAGCGAACAAAAAAAATTTTATAAAAAATTTTGATATATAGGTGGCAATTATTATAATGAAATCTCTAGCTAATTCTAATTAATTTTAAACAGCTTACATTTTAAAACACAAATTTTGCAAATTAAATTAATATTTGCTTTCCAATTTTTGCGAGTTGAGTTTTTTTAAATTTCCAACAAAAAAAAAATTTATTATACAAATTATATATTTAAATTTTTTAAAAAAAATTTACACCCCTCCATGAACAAAATTTTTTTTGTTATTAGAGGGGGGGAGTTAGCAGAGGCCAGACCGCCCTCCTTAATTGGGAACTTTCTCAATTGGAGAAACTGATTAGTTCCAAAATAAAAACTCAACAGCTTATGCTATTCGAGACAAGCCATCAAGCAGCCTCAGCAGGTAAATCACCATACCTCTACCGGACACCCAGCTTGGGCCAGGATATTGGTAAAAAAAAAACCGACACTTGAGCCAGCCACTATTCAGCAGTAATAATACGGACATCTCACTCGAGCCTAGCCCATCCATAGGGCACTTCTCTGCACACCAAAAAACCATTCCAAATATGCCTAAGAACAACCACGAGGAGGACAAGTCGTTCATCACAGGCGATTTATGTATATATTTAGATCATACTCAATAGCAGCTTGGATGCTGCTTTCACATATTTCTTCTGCGTTTTCTTCATCACAAAGATCAGACATATGAAGTTCTGCGATTGCCGAATATGCAGTCGCAAGCTGAATCCTCGAATTTTCTTCACTTAAATTTTGTTTCAAAATCTCAATCCCAGCTCTATAGAGAGTTAAGGACTGTTTTCCAGAATTTAGCTGGGCAAGTGAAAAATATTTTGATGGATTTTGTGTGGGGTAACGATTAATGCTTTCTTGGAAAAGGCTAATTGCGGTGGCAGCGTCTCCAGTTGTGTTTGATAATTCTGCATAGCTATCTAAAAGCTCTTCTGGGATTTCACCTGTAGAAGAAGCAAGCTCTAGGGTTTGCTTATACAAATTTGCAGCGTCTTCAAGCTGACAAGCCTCATGCAAAGCTTTGGCTTGGGCTATCATTGTGTATATTTGTTCACTCATTTTACTATAAAAATTAATATTTAATTATCAAGAAGCTCTATGGCTTCAAGCATTTTTTCTGATAAATCTTCAGGATTGTCCCAATATAGGTGGTGGTCTGAGTGGCTAATCATGTAAATAAGCATTTTTCCTGAATAATGTTTTTTGAGTTGTCGTGCTCCGTCCGGCTTGACTCAGTCGATGTCTCCGAAGAAAAATGCGAGAGGAATGTTGGCTTCTTCAAAACGAACACAGAGAGGAGATCTTGCTCATGCTCCAGGCTCGAGAATGTAGACTAAGCCGTATTCTCCACTACCAGGCATAATATTGATTTGCTCTAACTCTTGCTAAAGAAGCCAAATTTATGTCGACTAAGGGATTAATCTTAAAAAAATAATTTTTTACCATTTTTTGCTGTTGCAGAGGGAGAGTAAGTAGTTTCCAACTGCTAAGTTTTCTTCTTGTGAAAGGCTGTTAAATCGATCTTTTGAGTAGGCTTGGAAAAAGTGACCTGTTATAGGACCACATTTTCTGATCAACGAAATCGGGGTAATATTAGTTATATATCTTTTATATGTAATTAATTTTGAGTATTTTAAAATACTTGCCCAAAATAAAAAATTAAGAAAAAATTATTTAGAGAACTTTATTGGCACCAGTAATATTTTTGACTCAAAAGAACATCATAAATTTTTTCATAAATCTCACCCATCAATCTCCATCTATTTCTTTCAGAAAATCAAATTCTTTAGGCTTCTGCCCAAAACCAACAGGTGATAGCAAAAGCACTTTTGATACATTCTGGGGATATTTCAAAGCATAACATCCTGATATGTAACCTCCAAAGGAATGCCCCACGAGCAGAAGCTTTTCAACTCCTATAAATTTTCTAAATAACTCTAAAGGCTCTACAAAAAACTCTTCAGCTGATTCTAAAGTGTTTGGGACAAATTCTGGACGCGATGATCGTCCCATGCCTAAGTGGTCAACTATATAAATTCTATATTTATCGACAAATTTGTGGAGAATCTTAAAAAAAATAAGCCCAGACCCACAGTATCCGTGAAGAAGAACCATAGCTGGCTTTGAAGGATCTCCGCATGTCAGGCAATGCAAATATAAGCCTCTGCCAATACATATGTTTTTTCGCTCTATTTCTACTCCTGAAAATTGAATTAAGTCATTCTCTGATTTTAACAGTAATTCTGGTGAATATCTTGACCACTTTACCATTATCTTTTTAATTTGTTCTAGGTTGCATAATTAAAAAACGATATATATTTTAGATTAATTAAATTTCCATAGAGTTATTATTCTTAACTATTAAATCTCATTTTCTTCAACTAACTCATAAAATCAGATCAAAATCCTCAAGTTTCAATCCCACATCAAAAAACTTCCTATTCGTTATTGCTGAAAATGTAATCTCAAACTCCAATTCATTTCAACCCTTAAGAGGTAAATATTTTCATTCTCAATTTGCTATATATTGTAGGCTATCAAATAATAAATTAATACTACTCTGTTAGACTGTTTAATTATAATATCTTTTTATTTTAATGTATATCAAAAATACTTTAAAATCATTATTTTTTGTATAAAATATAAAGCCCATATTATCTTTTCTTGGCCATAGCTGAGAGCTTTCTTTTTTTCTTGCAGTTTTAGGTCTTTTAGCAGCATTTCGAGCCTTTTTGCAGATTATTTTATGTTGTTAACATTTTTAATTATGAACAAACTCATAAAATCCAGTGTCAATAGTTTGCGTTTAATATAATTTCATATAATTAAATAAATGGAAAATCAATATCAACATTTTTCAGAATCGGAGTCTGCATCAATTCACAAGAAGCTACTGCTCGAAGGAAATATTGATGCTAAAATCTGTGCCAAAAGAGTTCTAAATCCTGACTGTAGCTCCTCTCTTCCTATGTTTTATGAAAATTTAATAGGCGATAAATCTAAAGAGCAAATTTTTGAAGAATTGCTCGGGTTCTATTGCAGAATCGCTCCAATGAGAGTAAAATTGGAATCGATGATACCTCTTAAAAGGAAAATAAGAGAAGATGAGCCAGCAAGCCAAAACAGACCGAAAAGAAGAAAGGGGAATAAAAACAGCATGGAAGCTGAAAAGAATTAAAATATTTTTAAATATTCTTTTTAGCCATATTATTTTTTTAGTTTTTATTATAAAATAATATTTATTATTGATGAGAAATTATACAAAAATGTATATATTCTTGTATTTTTTTCCAGGAAATTGAACATAATAATTTTTTTGAGCTTGTGAGAATTTAAATTTCGGGATTTTGATTTATTATGAAATATTACACTGTAGCAGTCTTTGACATTTGTAATTTTCTTCTATCAAAATGGAAATTGAAGTTACAATCCTCAGGGCTGACTTCAAAAGAGACTCTGGCTGGTTCCTACAAATAGAGCTTGAAGAAAAATCATACCCAAGCAAAGAAACAAAAAAGCAGAAACAACGAACTGAATTAGCATATGGCTCAGATCCTCGGTTTGAAAGGCATTTTTTTACTTTTACCACTTCACTCGCAAACCGCATCTCATTGCGCTTCGGCGCAGTCGAAGCTACTGATATCAAATCCTCAGCATCCCCACATTTAGATACTAAAGGAATTGACCCTAAAAAGTGCACTTGCCAAGGCGTTTACACTCTTGTGATAACCCAAAGAAAGTTAGCAAACCTTCGAGACCAAGTCCCTATGAGAGAGATTTACAAACTTTTACACCCTACCACAAAGGAAGAAGGCTGTATATTAACTGTATCAATAGCTTTTAATATTCATGGAATTGAAGAACAGATTATCGAAAACGAAAGAGTCCTTCAAAAGGTAGAATTTGACAGATATGAAAACGACCCTATGGTGATCAAAGAAAAGCTATTGAAGACTGAAGAGCTTTGTGAGGCAAAAAATAAAGAACTTGCAGAATGGATGGGAAAAACCGATTCTATCAAAAATGCATTAAGGTCTTTACTCTGTAAGTAAGCAAAACCATTAAAATTCTACTTATGAGAAACCCTGAGCTGAAAAAATAATTTACTAATAGGAGGATTTAGGAGTTGACTTAGCAATGCTAAAAAAGCAAAAGGACAGCTTAGAAGAAGAAAATGAAAAAATGGCCAAAGAGATCAAGAAAAGGCAGAACATTGAAGATATCCATATAAAAGTAGACATGCTCAGCAACTCTGTGCCTGGGATAGGATTATTGAAGCAGGAATATGAAAAGCTGAATTTGAGGCTGAAGGTGGAAAAAATGATATATGAAGAATTAACACAGGACTGGATGAAAATTGAAGGCAAAAAACGAAAATTGGAGCAGCTCAAAGAAGAAGTCGAAAAAATGAAAAACGCCCAAAAAGAGCTGGAATTTCATATGCATGTATTAGCAGACAGATTGCCAGAATCATTAGTTACGAGAGAAAACGTGAGGGCGCTAGATGTTATAATTAAACAATTTGAAGCACAAATAGCTAAAGGACGCTCCCAAAAGCGAGATAGAGCTCTTGAACTTGAAGTAGAAGAACTGAGGCACAGAAAAGCCCTTAATACAGAAAAATTCAAACAAGTCCAGCTGATTTTAGAAGAAAATGATGGGTTTTTACCAATGGAAGAATACAAAAGGCTAAAAATTGATGAAGAAGAGTCCACACCAGAGCTTGAGCAGATAAGAAATCGAGGAAATGAACTGCTGAAAGAAATTGAGCAGCTTGGGGCACAGCTAAGTAATGATACAGTCACAGGCCCTGGGGAAGGAAACTTAATCCAAATGCAAGTGCAGCTCCAAGCAGCTGAAGCACGAGTTGCGGCAATGCAGGAAAGAATGGATGAGCAGGCTTCTGCACATGCTAAAGAAGTAGCAATGATGGCAGCAAAAATAGCTGAGCTAGATGCCATTATAGAGTACCAAAGACCAAGCTACCAGTAAATTAATTGATATTTATTTATTATAATAGCATTTTCAATAGATCTATTTGCATTAAATTTATCTCAATAACATAACCCAAATTAATTAACATAAAATTCAGCCAAAAAGCATATAATTTTTCCCTAAAAACTAACGAAATGATATTCCAAAATTAGTAAATGGTAATTGTTGGGATCACTGGGACTTTAAGCGCTGGCAAAGAAACAGCAGCTCAGTATCTCCAAGTCGTCCACGGCTTTCACATAGTAAACCTAGAAAACAAGAAATGGGAAGAAAACATCCCTCGTAATTTTTATTTAGGCGATGATTTTGAGACTGAAGAAAGCTTCCGAGCTGCCATTGCTACACAAGCTTTAAAAATGATAATGAGTGACTGGACTCAGCACTATATTGTCTACCCTATCACTCTGCCAGAAGAACTCCTGATTTTCCGAAAACGTAGCTATTTCATGCTCATCGGCCTGGATGCGCCAATTAGAAGCCGCTATGCAAATTACTGTAAAAAGCATGGAAAGCCAAAAAATCAATTGCAAGGCTTTTTGCATATGGATGACCACGTAAATTCCACATAGACCAAGTTCGGCCATGACGGGTATCCCTGCAGAATCCACGAGTGTCTTCTGTCTGCTGACCGAATTATTCAGAATAAAGGGACTTTAGAAGAACTTTACCTGCAGCTGCGCATGCTTGACTCATTAAATATTGAACATGTGCGGCCTTCATGGGACACTTATTTTATCAGGCTTGCAGAAATGGCCTCTACAAGGTCTTCTTGTATGAACTATAGGTCAGGCTGTGTTTTAGTGCAAAATAAAAGCATTATTTCTACAGGCTATAATGGGACACCTACAAATACGCTAAACTGCAATGAAGGAGGATGTGATGCTTGTAATAGAGGGGAAGACACTGAGGACTGTATTTGTATACATTCAGAGATGAACGCGTTATTGGAAGCTGGGAGACAAAAAGCATCAGGCGGGACAATTTATTGTACTCATTTTCCATGTTTGGGGTGTGCCAAGAGTATTCTTCAGTCTGGAATTGTGAGGGTTGTGTACAGTAGAATAGACTCGTTGAACTCGACAATTGAGCAACTTTTTATTAATGCTGGGGTACAGGTGGCCTGGAAACCGCCGGCCATTGTGGCGGATATTCAAATCAGTGAGAATTTGGCCCCGACGAATGATTAACTATTTAACTTTTAATGACAAAATCTTTGTTTATGATGATTTATTAACAAAGTGCAATTTTCATTTATTTATTTTCTTCTCAGCCTTTTATCGCCTTCATCATTTAATCTTTTAAGAGATTTGTACCTGATTTCATCTTAACTTAAATTAGATTATTATAGAGTAGCCCCGCTAGCTAAAATGGTTTTTTTACACCCCTTGTTTCACTCCGCAGCCTGCTTGCTAGTTAGTAAGTATACGGCCTTTTATATACTTTACTCCTCTCTGATGAGGGCTTACACACGCAACCTAAGAATAAGGATGCTGGGCTACCTGCTGTTTGTCAACAGTGTTAAATTTCTGAAAATTCAGATTAAACTTGTAGCCCAGGACGCAGAAAAAGTATTGCGCTGGGGAAATGCCAGGTTTGCCAAGCAACCACATCTGGCTTTATGGGCTATAGCTTTCCAACTCCCAGGCTCCATCTACCCACAAGGGAAAACTGATCCTAGTCGTGCTCTGGGTCTTTCAACCCGACATTGCTGCTCCACCAAACCAGAAAAACCTAGCAGACACACTCACCGCACGCTGCTTCCCTTCCACAAGGTCTACAGGTCTTAAGAGTGCCAATTGATTCTCCACATTGTATTTGTGTTTACCTGATTTCATCAGTTGTCATAGGCTGGGCAAACTCATCTTCCTCAATCAGCTCTAGCACCGCTGGAGCTTCTACTTCAATTTTCTTTAACGACTCAGAATTTGCCTTTGCGTTTCCTGATTTTTCTCTATCCAAAATAAGTTGGTTTATTTTGGCCTCAGCAGCAGAAAAATAATGGATCATATTTCTCTCATTAAGCCCTTCCACCTCATCTCTCTGTTCTATTTCTTGCTCAGTCATACCAAGCTTGTTGCATAGCACTCTCACCCCTTCTACAAGAGAATTCATAGTTTTCATAGTCCTTTCATATCCTTTTTCGAATTCTTCTTCTCTTAAAGTAATTTTTTCGACTTTAAGCTCAAGTTCTTTAATGGTAGTTCTCCTGTCCTGGTCCGCTTTTGTGTCATGTGTTTTGCATTTTTCGACATTACCTTTAATTTCTGCGATTTGTAGATCAAGCTGCTCCATCTCAGCACTCAGCTCTGTCACGTGGTTAAAAAGACTTAAATTTTGCATTTCTGCGTCAAGATATACCTTGACGACATCTTCAAGACTTGAAATCCCTGTCGATTCCCTCAAATTCTGCAGTTCTTCTTCATATTTTTGCATTTTCTCCCTCTGCTGCTGTATCATATCTTTTTCTTTTTTAGTCTGCATCTCAATCTGGACCTCCAAATCTGCTGTATTTTCTTCTTCTAAGCCAATTAAATTTCTTTCATTTTCAGTGATAAATTCTTTGCTCTTTTTGTCTTTTTCTATCAGTTTTTCTAGCGTCCTCCATTCATTTTCGAACTCTTCCTGTTCTTTTTCAGCTTCTTGCTTAATTTCTGCGATTTTTTTCCTGATTTCTTCTCTATCTTTTATAGCCTGTGCGCCTTTGTCTACAATGTCTTTCATTTCTTCTTTTCTTTTTTCAAGCTCTTCTTCTAACGCCTTGCTCATTTGGATGTAAATGACCCTTTCTCTCCTTAAAGCGTCAATTTTGTCGATTATTGACTTATTTTGGGCTAAAATTTCGTTGTATTTTTGAAGACCTTTGTCTATGTTATTTTCTAGTGCTTTTATTTTTCGGTTCATCTGCTCATTGGCTTCTTTTTGGGAAATCTGGCTTTTTGAGAGGGTTTTTCGCTGGTTTTTGATGTTTTCGTTCATAGCTGCGATTTCGTCCTGCAGCTGGGCCACTTTGAACCTTTCCCGTTCAATTTTTCTGACATAGCTGTCAGCTTGGTCTTGAAGTCTCGCAATATCACTATGAAAATTCAGATTTTTCTGCTCTTGAGAGTCCAAATAAACCTGAGATTTCAGCTGTTGGGCTTCTTGGCGCAAAGATTCAAGCCGGGTTCTATATGACTCACTTTTCGATGAGTCTTTTCCAGTGCTGATACGTTTCAGAGACATAAATTATAAAATTTGAGGAGAAAATGTCTATTGAAAAGAGCTTCAATTTTATATCCAAAGATATAGAGTACCAGGCGACTGTACATGCGCAGCCAAGAGAAATAAGGATAACTATTACCAATTTAAAAGGAGGGATGACCTGGATTGGGAATTTTACTGAAAGCTATATTGAAGAATTGACAAGAAAAACAGGCAACTATATGCAGTTTCCGAACGTGGTTAAGCTATTATATGCATGTTTAGAAGCAAAGCGGAGTAATGTGAGGGCTGATTTCTTATCATATCACGACTTAGAACATCTGAGAAACAAGCAAAGCTTCACAAGCACCCCGCCGAAGATAAGCAATAAACGATATTTGATTATCAGCCACATCACTGAGTTCGAAAAAATCAATTATCCGCTCCCTTTAGTTTTGCAGTCAGACCGTCACAACCCAAAATCAGAGAAAAACGAAGAACTTATGGAGCTTAAGATCGCAAACCACCATCTAGAAAAGGAAAACCGGGTGCTTAAAGAAGAATTGGACTCCACAAGCCAAGAAAATTACAGTTTAAAACAAGAATTAGAAGATTTGAATAATAAATATAAAGGAGTAGAAGCTGAAAGAAATCAATTACTAGAAGAACATGAGAGGATTAAGAAAGAACTGGATAATATCATAGGGAAACTGGAAATAAAATGCATTGAAAAATCTGACTTAAAAAACATGGAAAATGCTGTTAAGAAGCAAGAAAAGGAAATAAAAATGCTGAAAGAAGAAAATGAAAAGCTTAGGAATGAGATGGAGCAGGCAAGGATAAGTAAGATAGAGAGGGTTTCGCCTGATAAGGAACAGGAAGAAATAGAGAGTCAGTCAGGAAGCGATTTTGATGGGCATGTAGATTATCCTCAACAGGCAGAGTCGCCAGAACCAATTTCACCTAACAATGATCAGGTTGATAGAGATTCTGCAGAAACACGTGTAAAACAAAGTGTGAGCGCGTCACAGAATGTTGATCAATTGCTGAGCAAGCTCACATATCTGTGTAATAAATACAAAGCTAAATAATAATTTAACTATTTTTATTTAAAAGTTTTGTTTATTAAATAAGCTTTACATCAAATTTTAAATCAATTTCAGCCTATTAATTAGCTTCATAGTGACTCAATTATCTTTTAAAATTTGCATAGTTTTACAGTTTAATTTTTTCTATTTTCATTATTTAATAGCCCATTCTATCTATTTCTAATATAGTTTCTCCATTATACTGCGATGATAAAATGAAAAATAAAGCATTAACTGAATCTTTTATTTCCTCTGAAAGGATTCCTCATAACTCAATCAAGCTGCAGCTATTAAAGTACTAAATATTTAGAACTGCTTATACACACCAAAATGCTTTAAGACCTCACTTTGAAAAAATCAAAAAAAGTCGAAAATTATTCCAGGTCCAAAAAGAGATCAACATTGATGGCTTATTTGGGAAGCTGAAAGAAAACTTGAAGGTAAGGGTAGGAATTGACTCTCCAGTGGCTATTACAAAATTAGAAGCAATGAAGAAAAGGAAAGAAAATCGTGGAAAAAAGGGATTTGTTAGTCAGTCTATGGATATCCCAATTAATACAATTTCAAGCTGCAGTCCTTCATCTCCAGAGCATATACTTAAAAGCCGCTATAACTTGGAAATAAACAATCTTCGAAAAAGAACTATCAGCCCAGTTAAAGTAAAAATTTCTAACTTTCCAATAAAAATATTATTATAATAATCTTTTTTACCTTAAAATCATGAAATTCATAATAAAATGCATAAAATTGGGATAAGAAAGACATAATCATTCCTGTAAAAGTGCCATCTCCATTTACACTCAAAGAAATAACTCCTTATGAGCTTAAAGAAATAACCATTGACGACCGCGCCTTCACCATAACTGAAGAGCAAACCAAAGATTTGCAGCATACAGACACATTTTCAGCAAATAGAGAATGCAAATCTCGGGCAAGTCCAGGAAAACTAGATACTTTAATGGGCACCCACAAGCCTCAAAACAGCGATTTTTCTTTAAATGGAAAATTAATCCCGACTACCCCTCTTTCAACTACAAGAAGAACAAATTCTACAAGCTCGACCCCAAAAGTGGCTGCGATTTCCCAAAGACCATTATCTCAAGGAAACTACCCAAGAAAGCCAAACCTTCGGACATATTCAGCTATTGACGAAAGAATTACCTTCCGGCTCAGCGAAGAAGAAAATTCAGTTTCGTCAACCCCTTTTGAGCCAAAAGAAACCAAAATTCTAAGTAGCCATAAAACGTCTCCTGAGCTCTCTGTAAGTTCTTATGCGAGCTTAATAAAGCTTGAAGATGTCGATATAAAGAGCATTTACTGTAATACAAAATCTACCCATGAGTTTGACAAGGAAATTCCAATTTTCAATCAGACCATGCCAGAGCTGACACCAGAGATTGAGGTTCCTCCTGTTGTTAAAGTCCAAGAAGAAGTCCATACTGAGCAGTTTGACAGAAGGCTTGGAGGGGATACCTGCCTTAAAGAAGATCTGGTACCAGAGCGACTATTTTCGTACCCAAAAATAAAAGTCATCACTATCCTCAGGCCAGAAAAAGAACGCAAAGCATTCATAAGAGGTAGCGTCTGTAAAGGCCTCACAATAAGGCCGACTGAAAGAAAGCAGCCCAGGTGCATTCACAACATAGCTCTCAGCAACTGTTAAATATAGAATTATGCTAACTCCTCTACCGATTGACTATGGATTAAAAATTTTTTATTATAGCACCTGCCCTTCATCGATCTGAGGATAAATGTCGTTGGAGAAAATTTTTTTAACGTTTTAAAAATTCTGAAATTGATAAATAATGTATATGAGATGCAATTATATTTTTATTTCTTGATTTCTACGAAAATCGTTAGATCAAGGATAGGAATTAATTTTCCAAATTTTTATGAAATTTCCAACGTATCACAAGGAGGAGGGAGTAAGTTTATAATTTCCTAGAGAATTAAATATGTCTGATACATTAGAACTCCTTAATGCTAAAGAAGAGGAACTTTCCCAATTAAAGAGTGATTTCGCCGAGTATCAAGAGATGAGCAAGACGCTTGAAGAAGAAATAGAACGAGAATTAGAAGTCCAGATTAAATTGAATTCAGAACTCAATAAGGAAAATAAAGCACTGAAGGATGAACTTGATAAACTCAAGGTAATTTCTAAATAGACCGATCATTATGAAAAATTTAAAAGCATTGAAAAAAATATATTTTTTTTTTATATATAATAAACTTTTTTTTTTAAAAAAATAAAAAAATAGCTTTTTCTTTATAATAAGGATTAGCAATAAGGTAAAAGACGAATTATTCGTGCTACAGGAAAGAATTAAAATTTTAATGAAAAACAACAAAGATTTAGAAACCGAGCTGGACGCTTATAAAAGCAAATTACGAGAAAAAGACTTCGAAATTGATGAGCTGACGAATAGTTACCATCAGACTTTAGAAGATTTAGCGATAACCTGTTCAGAGTTTGAAAATCTCAAAGATTACAGCAAAGAGAACACACAAAGACTTAAAGAACAGCTAAATGAGCTGAGCCAGGAGTTAGACAACGTGTGGAGGAAAACTGAAAGTATTAGGAACCATAGCTCGAATAACGAAAATAAAACTCCTCAACCCAGTTTGAAATCTTCAATGGTAGGGAGAAGCGCTCTTGGGATGGTAGACTTGCTGCTGAGTGATTTAAATAGCAAGTTTAATGCAAAGCAGTAAGGAGAGTATTTCATATGAGATGTCCAAACTGAAAATATCAATAATTTTAATTTATTCTTCGCCTGAAATCGAGAGTATTTTTATGTCAAAATGAATAGGTTTAATTACTATATGGAAATTGTTTAAAGCTACTTGTGAAAATAAACAATAAAATTTACCTAAAAAAATTATTTCATGGTAGAAAAGTGATAAGGTCTTGGTTTTTAATTCATTTTATTGTAAAAATATCAATACTAATCTAGATTCTGGAAAAGCATCGATTAAGCATGAACCATAAAAAAGCTCAATTTTCCATTCAATTTTCAAAATTTTAATTCCAAAGGCTTTCAGTATTCCTCCCATCTGGATTTCTGCCTTTAGGTGCCCACAAATTTGCCAAAAAGCCCTAGGAAAATTGTAACTCCACTCCGTGAGTGAGCAAATATATTTTAATAACCATAAAGAGCGTTATTTCTGATTTTATATCTATGAATTGCATATCATAAAAATTCTAATAAGAATTCTATTTTTAAAGCACATTTTGGATAATTAATCTCAAAAACAGAAAATTTCTAATTTTTATATTAATTAAAGGAGACTTTAATATAATCATCATGCACTTAAAATGCAACTAAAAATGATTTGTAAATCAAGCATTTAACATTCTAAGAGTGGGCTAATTTTCCTAAATTGTATTAAAGAGGGAAGTAAGAGTTATAATCAGACAGAATGAATGGTAAATGAAATAAGTTTGTAATAAATATGAAGGTCTACTTCGATGTGTTCAGCAACGATGAAGTTCTTTCTGACTCATACCCAATCACTGTTGAGCATGAAGATGTAGTCCTTGAAGTCGCCTCCAGAGTCATTGTTAAAGGAAATGAGCAATTTGATATTGGCCGTGGCAATGAATTCGGAGGTGGTGCCGAAGAAGAAGCTGTGGAAGATACTGCTGAAAGAGTCAACGAAATTATTGCTGCTTTCAACCTCCAAGAAGTCCCATTCACTAAGAAAGAATACACTGTCTATATCAGAGGATACATGCAAAGACTCAAGAAGCACCTAGAAGAGAGCAACCCAGACAGAGTTGCCACCTTCATGGCAGGAGCTTCTGCATTTGTCAAAAGAGTCTTGGCTAACTTCAACGAGTTCAAGTTCTACGTAGGATCAAGCTATGACCAGACAGCTGGAGTCATCCTTTCATACTTCAAAGAAGAGTCAAATGAAGCTCCTCACTTCTTATACATCAGAGACGGACTGAGAGAAGAGAAGTTTTAAGTATAAATTCACAGTTTCGTAATAATTACAAGAACCTAAGTTAAATATATAGGTGCTCGGAATAGAGCAGCCTTCTTATGTCAAAATAGTCGCGGCTGATGACCCCTTCGATGACATATTCTTTAATTTCGCCACTTTCTTTATTCGTAAAAATCCATACCTTGTCGTTGATGACGAGCTTTCCTTCTCTGAACTCGGTGTTGTAGCCTTTTTCTGTCAGCAGCCCTTTGATTTTGCCTAGTTGGACTTTTCCTAAGAAATACCCGAACCTTTGTTTTTCGCCTTCGACCATGTTATACTGCAGCTGCTCGTTTTCCATGCCGACTTTACCTTTAATAAGTGCCACTTCGTAGCCATCAACTGGGAGAAATTTCAAGCTGTTATAGAACTCTTCTGGGATTTTTATAGGCAAAATTGACATTGTAGGTATCAGTTGCACTGGCTCTTTTGCAACTGATATATCAGACATCCCTAAAAAGGTTTGGCAATAAATAGACAAAGAATTCGCAGAAGTCTCATTTGTGTTAAGCAGAACCAGTTTTTTAGGCCTAAGCCTTGACAAGGTAAGTCTTAAGCTTGTCCCTGAAGCTCTGAAATCACACAATAAATAGCTGACAGCACAGTTTAGCGTCGTCGTCAGATGTCTCGTAATTAATTTCGAATTTTTCCTTCTCCTATCTTCTTCTATCAATCTAAAAGTAATGGTTTGTTCATAACTTTTTAACGATAAAGCAGTCAATGAAGACGTCTTTTTTTCTGTATTTTCATGCTGCCACAGTGCTATTTCTTCATCAGCCATACTTTCTCCATACTCGTCACAGAAATGCTTGAACTCGCATACTGAAAAACACTTAAAATTTTTCTTATCAAAAAGCTTTGGGCCGAAAGTCTCAGGGATGTCACCTTCTTCAATGATGCTCATGGTTTCTGCTGTTTCTGTGCTGGCTTCTTCACTATTGTTTATATCAAATTCATTTTCATTTCAGTCCAGCTCAGGCTCGTCAAGCTCTATTACTTGGTTAGGGACTGTATTGAATAAAATTTCTTGAGCTAGGCCACTTGGCTTATTTACTAGTAATAAAAGATTCAATGGGTTTCCAGCTAACTGGAATAGCAACTGCCTAGAAAACCCTGATTGCAGGTTGCAAGGAGTAGCCATGATTAATGCAGGGCCAGGTGGCAGCTCTTCAAGAGTATGAATTGTTTTGAGGAATTTAAAAGAAAAAGGGTTGTCTCTGACCCCTTCGAATTTTGACAGAACTTCTTCATTCATCCATTCTAAACAAGTTTTGGCGAATTCTACTGTTGAACTTGACACGTGGCCTAGCATGATTAAGTTATACATCCCAAGCTCGCTTTCGTTCTTTTCCCAGAGCTCTTCAAAAAGAAGCATAAATTCTAGTGTAGACCCAGCGGGATCCACTGGGATTAAGACTGACCCTCCTCTTGTCAATGCTTCAATAACCTTGGTACAAAGCAGTTCTGGGTCGTTTTGGATACTATTTGAATGATAAGAGTCCATGATCAAAACAGCAGGGCTCTGTAAGGAGTCAAAATCAAGCCCTGGAACGTGTTTTTCTACATGCGGGTTAAAAAGAGGAAGGTGGATGATATCTTGCATGTTATGCATAATCCTCCAAGCTGCACCACCAATACAATTTCCTGCCCTTATAGGGGTAAAAATGAGTCCTTCTCCTTTCATATGGACTTTCTGAGAGTGCATAAGGGTTGTAATCTTTTTCCAAGTATTATTGATGTCATCAATAGAGAAAATTTGTTGGACACAGGACAGGTAGGAGTCATACATCACCATCTGGGACATTTTATGGACTGGAAAGGTCACGTATATTTGAGCCTTGAAGTCCTTGTGTTTGGATATATAAGGCAGAGCCCCTACAAATTCAATATATGGGTGAGATATCAGAACGACCCTAAGTGAAGGTATTATAGGGTCATAGCGTTCCAAGGAGGCTGGATCTCCATTCCACCCACAGTCTAGTAGGACTGGGACGTCATTGATGGTGACTAAGTATGATATAGCTCCATCACAATCAAGTGTAAAGATAGGACTGAGCATAGCACACATTTTATTTAGAAATTTTTGCTTATAAATTAATTTATCATCTAAAATTCCTTTTTGCCACTATTACATTTAGAAACTAAGAGCTTCACAAGGCTTACAACAGCTTCGTCATTTTCAAAGCTTGAGTTTCCTGAAATATTTGTTTGGTCTCTTGTAGGTGTGGAAATAGGGGATATATTGATTGCCTCTATGCTGTATTTATTATGCATTTTGGATTCTAATAACGGCTGTGGTACTGATGCAGTGAGTTTTCTTTGATTGTCTTTTACGTTAGTTGAGGATTTTGAAATGACCAGCCTTGAAGTAGGCCTTGTGTTGGAGTTATTTTTTAAGTAGTTGTCTGAGAGCATTCTATTGTGCATTGCTAATTTGTCTAATTCTTTTATTCAATTTGTTGCAGATTTTTGGGGTTTCAAGGTTTTTTCTTTTTTTCTTGTATTAATGGAGTTCTTAAGAACTGGGGACTTTCATTCACTTGTCCTGAGATAAAAATCAGAGCTTGTACGTTTTAAAACTTTTTCTCTGTCTGTCTTTTCTGTGGGGATTTGCTTTGATGCATGCTAACCCCCTTGAAGATTGAGAAAAAGATTTTTATATATAATTAATGACTTCTATAATGATATTTTATTAAATTTTATACATCTTACATTCTTAAATATAAATTTTGTATAAGCTTTTTTAAAAGAAAGAAATTTGCTCCACTTTAAGATTGAGCAAAAAATTTGCATATTATTAAAGGGGAAGCTAGGAGAAATCAGATACACAGGTGAAAAATGGGAAGAGCCAGCTGGATTGCGAAGAGTTGGAAATTGGTATGTTTTGAAGTTTTTAGGTTTTTGTGATGGATTGAGCATTCTTATTTCCATGCTGAATTTATTGGATTCTTTCAGATTAAAATTTAATTAACTTTAAAGTTTTATATAAAGTAAGCTGTAGTTATTTGTAGATCTTCATTGAGTATATATAATTAATATTAGAATTATAGCTCAATTGTTTTTTATTTAGATAGTTGATAATGCTGGCTGGCTTTAATAATGGAATATCTAGTTGATTTAATGCTAATTAGCTAAATTGCCCTGGCAAGTTTTTTTGCCCTATGTGTTAGGCATTTTTTTAAAAATTTAGTGTAAAAAATTAAAATAAATAAGTAGAAATTTTATAATGTTTGAAAAGAAAATATATTTTATAAAATTTAGTTTTAAAAGATCCAAACTTATTAAAATTTAATATACTTAAGTGGAGATCTCATCATCATAATTATTAGTATACAAATATATTTTATAAAACAAATTTAGAAAAATTTTTTCCTAGGCTAAGGATTTTTTTTGCTCCTTATCGAAGAGATAGTAAAGAAAAATCTATAAAAATATCGACATTAACTTACTGCTTTATTTAAACTATATAACTACAAAATAGAATGCTTAGCCAATTTATTAAAAAAACCATTCCGCCATTTCAATTTAAATGTGAAAATTAGATGATTTTGCAACAGGAAGGCTTTTAGGCTCTGGTGGATTCGGAAAAGTATATCTAGCAACTGAACGGGCTTCAGGGAAAGATATCGCGCTAAAAATAACCCCTAAATCAACGTTAGATCGCCACTCAGAAATACTTTTAAGACGAGAAATCGAAATTCAAGCTCGAATCAATCATAAATCAATTATCAGACTATACGGCTACTTCCAAGATGAATCTATGATTTATATCGTATTAGAATATGCGAGCAGAGGCTCTCTATTTTCGTACATTAAAGAACACGGCCCGATCTCTGAGCTTGATACCAAATTTATAATTAAAAAAATTGCCAAAGGAATACGTTTCTTGCATAATTTAGGGATCTTGCATAGAGATCTAAAACCCGAAAATATCCTATTGAGCACTCATTTAAAGCCAAAAATTACAGACTTCGGGTATTCAGCTATTTTACCAGCTAAAAGTAATAAAAGATACACAATGTGTGGGACAGTTCAATTTGTATCTCCTGAAATGGCAAGCGGTGACGGATATGGGAGAGAAGCTGACATTTGAGCACTGGGAATGATAATGTACGAAATGCTGAATGGCTCACCGCCTGCTATATTTGTGAATCCAAATCAAGTTTTGGAAGAAAATAAATTTGTGTATCCAGAAAGCTGAAGTAGAGAATGCAAAGATTTATGCCAGAAAATGCTGAGCAGGCAAAATAGGATTGGAATTGATGAAATATTGAGGCATCCTTGGTTTATTAAAATATCCTAATTAAAGTAAAAATCATCGGGTAAATAAATAGCATTAAAATAAATTAAGATTAGAAATATAAAATAAACTGTAAAATTTCAGTCGTGTGTCCTTTCAGGTATTTTGGTTCGAAAAAATGAAAATTAAATTATAATATTAAATTTTATAGGTAATATAGATTAAATAAATGCTCATTGCTTAATTTGTGCAAAATCTAAAATACGAAAATAAGAGAGCAAAAAATTTTCTGCTAAAGATAGACAATAAGTTAATCTTTAAATTTAGTAACCTTATTTTATATAGTAAAAAATGAGTGCTTAAGAAAAATTCTAAAATATTCCAAAATTTGCAAATAAAAAAGTAATTTTAATATCCTTTCAATATACATTTCAATGTCTATTCATTAAATATAAAAAATATACTTAAGACACTTATTATTTTATATGTTTAAATTATAAAATTGAGCTTAATAAATAAAAAAATTATGAGTTTTTAAAAGAAACATTAGTTAAAATTAATTCCACAAAAATGATTTAATTTAAAAATATAAAACTAAATTTAAGTTCACCGGTGTTAGGGTGTTAGGGTGTTAGGGTGTTAGGGTGTTAGGGTGTTAGGGTGTTAGGGTGTTAGGGTGTTAGGGTGTTAGGGTGTTAGGGTGTTAGGGTGTTAGGGTGTTAGGGTGTTAGGGTGTTAGGGTGTTAGGGTGTTAGGGTGTTAGGGTGTTAGGGTGTTAGGGTGTTAGGGTGTTAGGGTGTTAGGGTGTTAGGGTGTTAGGGTGTTAGGGTGTTAGGGTGTTAGGGTGTTAGGGTGTTAGGGTGTTAGGGTGTTAGGGTGTTAGGGTGTTAGGGTGTTAGGGTGTTAGGGTGTTAGGGTGTTAGGGTGTTAGGGTGTTAGGGTGTTAGGGTGTTAGGGTGTTAGGGTGTTAGGGTGTTAGGGTGTTAGGGTGTTAGGGTGTTAGGGTGTTAGGGTGTTAGGGTGTTAGGGTGTTAGGGTGTTAGGGTGTTAGGGTGTTAGGGTGTTAGGGTGTTAGGGTGTTAGGGTGTTAGGGTGTTAGGGTGTTAGGGTGTTAGGGTGTTAGGGTGTTAGGGTGTTAGGGTGTTAGGGTGTTAGGGTGTTAGGGTGTTAGGGTGTTAGGGTGTTAGGGTGTTAGGGTGTTAGGGTGTTAGGGTGTTAGGGTGTTAGGGTGTTAGGGTGTTAGGGTGTTAGGGTGTTAGGGTGTTAGGGTGTTAGGGTGTTAGGGTGTTAGGGTGTTAGGGTGTTAGGGTGTTAGGGTGTTAGGGTGTTAGGGTGTTAGGGTGTTAGGGTGTTAGGGTGTTAGGGTGTTAGGGTGTTAGGGTGTTAGGGTGTTAGGGTGTTAGGGTGTTAGGGTGTTAGGGTGTTAGGGTGTTAGGGTGTTAGGGTGTTAGGGTGTTAGGGTGTTAGGGTGTTAGGGTGTTAGGGTGTTAGGGTGTTAGGGTGTTAGGGTGTTAGGGTGTTAGGGTGTTAGGGTGTTAGGGTGTTAGGGTGTTAGGGTGTTAGGGTGTTAGGGTGTTAGGGTGTTAGGGTGTTAGGGTGTTAGGGTGTTAGGGTGTTAGGGTGTTAGGGTGTTAGGGTGTTAGGGTGTTAGGGTGTTAGGGTGTTAGGGTGTTAGGGTGTTAGGGTGTTAGGGTGTTAGGGTGTTAGGGTGTTAGGGTGTTAGGGTGTTAGGGTGTTAGGGTGTTAGGGTGTTAGGGTGTTAGGGTGTTAGGGTGTTAGGGTGTTAGGGTGTTAGGGTGTTAGGGTGTTAGGGTGTTAGGGTGTTAGGGTGTTAGGGTGTTAGGGTGTTAGGGTGTTAGGGTGTTAGGGTGTTAGGGTGTTAGGGTGTTAGGGTGTTAGGGTGTTAGGGTGTTAGGGTGTTAGGGTGTTAGGGTGTTAGGGTGTTAGGGTGTTAGGGTGTTAGGGTGTTAGGGTGTTAGGGTGTTAGGGTGTTAGGGTGTTAGGGTGTTAGGGTGTTAGGGTGTTAGGGTGTTAGGGTGTTAGGGTGTTAGGGTGTTAGGGTGTTAGGGTGTTAGGGTGTTAGGGTGTTAGGGTGTTAGGGTGTTAGGGTGTTAGGGTGTTAGGGTGTTAGGGTGTTAGGGTGTTAGGGTGTTAGGGTGTTAGGGTGTTAGGGTGTTAGGGTGTTAGGGTGTTAGGGTGTTAGGGTGTTAGGGTGTTAGGGTGTTAGGGTGTTAGGGTGTTAGGGTGTTAGGGTGTTAGGGTGTTAGGGTGTTAGGGTGTTAGGGTGTTAGGGTGTTAGGGTGTTAGGGTGTTAGGGTGTTAGGGTGTTAGGGTGTTAGGGTGTTAGGGTGTTAGGGTGTTAGGGTGTTAGGGTGTTAGGGTGTTAGGGTGTTAGGGTGTTAGGGTGTTAGGGTGTTAGGGTGTTAGGGTGTTAGGGTGTTAGGGTGTTAGGGTGTTAGGGTGTTAGGGTGTTAGGGTGTTAGGGTGTTAGGGTGTTAGGGTGTTAGGGTGTTAGGGTGTTAGGGTGTTAGGGTGTTAGGGTGTTAGGGTGTTAGGGTGTTAGGGTGTTAGGGTGTTAGGGTGTTAGGGTGTTAGGGTGTTAGGGTGTTAGGGTGTTAGGGTGTTAGGGTGTTAGGGTGTTAGGGTGTTAGGGTGTTAGGGTGTTAGGGTGTTAGGGTGTTAGGGTGTTAGGGTGTTAGGGTGTTAGGGTGTTAGGGTGTTAGGGTGTTAGGGTGTTAGGGTGTTAGGGTGTTAGGGTGTTAGGGTGTTAGGGTGTTAGGGTGTTAGGGTGTTAGGGTGTTAGGGTGTTAGGGTGTTAGGGTGTTAGGGTGTTAGGGTGTTAGGGTGTTAGGGTGTTAGGGTGTTAGGGTGTTAGGGTGTTGGGTGTTAGGGTGTTAGGGTGTTAGGGTGTTAGGGTGTTAGGGTGTTAGGGTGTTAGGGTGTTAGGGTGTTAGGGTGTTAGGGTGTTAGGGTGTTAGGGTG